CACTGCAGCCCCCGGATTGCCGCGTCCAGCGTGGCTTCAATGACACGCTGAGGTGGGTAAAGCACCCAAGGTACCTGAGGGACAGGGTCATCATGAAAGCAGGCGGCAGCACGTCGCGGTCACTGTGCGCCTGTTGCAGGTTCAGGCCGGGCCCGTGATTCGCCATTCCAGGTCATCGGGACACACAGGCCCCCAGTTACACAGCACGCCGGCGTCTCACACAGTTCTCCACACATGGCAAGCCGCCAGCCCAACATGTCGCCTGAACTTTTCTCCTCGTCTTCTTCCCAAGCCGTGCTTCGTGCCGGCGCCTTTCCATGACAGCCATCTCACTTGGCGCCCCCGGCGAACAGCGCCTCGTGGGTGTTGTACCCGTACTCGACGTCGCCGTGCCAGTAGTTGGCCGAGTCGGCCTTGGACACGGCCCAGGCCTGGTCGAGGGCCTCGACGACGTCGGCGGGCAGCGGGCCCTTTTCGAGGTTGTCGAGGTTGTTCGCGAGCTGCTCGACGCTCGAGACGCCGATGAGGATGCCGTCGTTGCCGTCCTTGACGCGCAGCTTGGAGTGGTGCACCGTCCAGCGCAGCGCCGTCTCGATCATGGTGAGCCCCTCGTGCTTGGCCAGCGCGCCCTCGACGAGCTGCAGCGCACGGAACGTGCTCTCGCGGAAGTAACGGTTGCGGTAGTTGGCGCCCTGCGCCGAGCTCACGTCGGAGAAGCGCCCGCTCTCGGGCACCATGTCGCGCGACTTGATCTTGCCCGAGAAGAGCCCGCCGGCGAGCGGGTTGTAGACGACCACGTCGAGCCCGTAGCGGCGGCAGGCGACGAGCAGCTCGGGCTCGATGTTGCGGGTGATGACGTTGTACATGGCCTGGTAGACGGTCGGCCGCACCCAGCCGTTGTACTTGCATGTCATGATGACCTCGGCCACCTCGAACGCCGTGAAGTTGCTGAGCCCGAAGCGAACAAACTTGCCCGCGCGGTGCAGCCGGTCCATGGCCTCGAGCGTCTCCTGGAAGGGCGTGGCGCGGTCGGGGCGGTGGAGGTAGAGGAGCTGTGCCTTCTCGTCAATGACTCTGGGGGCTGGCGTGGATGATGGCGCTGGAGGAGGAGCCGTCTTACATCAACACAGTCGGTCCCCAGCTCGCGCAGGCTCGTCTCGACCGACTCGACGACCTTGTCGGCCGTGTTCTCGCCCGGGTTGTTGGGGTACTTGACCTTGGTGGCGAGTGTGAGCCCGCGCCGCTTCCAACCGGCCTCGCGCGTGAACGCTTCCTGGCCGCCGGCGACATAGACGCGCGCCGTGTCGACCTCGTTGTAGCCGCGAGCCTGGAAGACGTCGAGAGCCTTGTTGAAGGTGTCGAGGTCGGTGATTCGCGCGCCGTCCTCGGCCTTGGGACCAAAGGTCATGAGGCCGAGGATGATGCGGTCCGTGGGGGCTTTCGCGACGAGAGGCATCGTGGCGGCTTTCCTTGGTCGTCTAGTCGTACGGCGGTCTTGAATCGGTTTCTGCCAACGCCGTCCAAAGAGGGTGGTCAACAGCGAGGCTCTCAAGGTTGGCAGTCGGGGACGCGGCGGCACGGCGGGGACGACGGTTTTATCTCCGCCGTGACAAATGCGGCGTGGACTAAACTCCGGGCCCTCTCAGGTCGCCATGATGCAATCGACGCCTTCCGGTCGCGGGGCATCGCGGCTTTTGGCCGAGGCCGGAGGGCAGGCCCCGGCAGTCTGCTCCGGAGGCTGATGCATGATTACCCTCACCAGGAGGGCGGGGATTCCCAAGGCCTGTCCATTCCGCGACACCGGGCTCGCGGCTCGGATAATGCACGAGGCGGCAGAGGAGTTTGCACCAATGAGTCCCGTAACGTGCACCGTCAGGCCACGCTTCTTGTGGCTGAGCGTGCAGTCTGGGGTCGCGACCCACGTGGCCGGGCATGCATGCTTTGGCGCCAACAGCGTCTGTCATCATCGCAGGATTGTGCCGCTGGGATGCCCGTGTCCCATGTCCTGAAGTACGTATGTAGTAAGCAAGCTGCAGGGTCCGGCCCCCAGCGCACTCCGTTCATGCGCCCCGTGGTGTAGTCAAGCTGTGGCATCGTTGAAGGGGCATCACAGGGCGTTGTTGTTCTGCACAGTAAAGTCTGAACAACCGCTTGCTTCCATACCCGGCCATTCAATGGGCTTCCCGGCCCGCAACGCCGTTGCCGATGCCGATGCCGACACCGCCTGAGCCCGCGCCGCACAGTTCCAGAACCCGGCACACGGCCCTGGCTCCGTGCGGGACGGTGGGGGGGCCGTCAGACTATACTCTCACCTTCACCAGTTGGAATGAACATGCCTTCCAGCAAGTCCAATGTGCGGAGTCTCGGGCTCTTGGGCGGTCGCATATGGCTTCGGTCGATGGATAGACCAGAATAGGACGGAAGGGCCGGGAAAGGGACTGCTAGCTCAGTCCATCTCTCTCTCATGCCCCAAAATACTAACCCTCCGTTCGTCGCAGACTGCCCCAAAAGTATCTGAGATGGCAGAGGAAGTATCACGAGGATGCAATGGGGCGTTACCGGTTACGCAGCCTGGCCTCTTTCCTATACTTGTTGCCAATTTCTTGCTCCTCTGTTGTACCAGCCGCTAAATCCCGTTGTTGCTGTGTGCAACCGGCCGCGCTCCAAACGACCCTGCGTCTTGCCAGCGTTCCAACTTCCATCAAGGCAGCCACGCACCTTGACTTGGAAGTGGTTTTGACGATGCTGGCCGCAAACACCCCTGAGCAGCAGGGCTTCTGCATGTGGGTCAACATTCGGCATCACCCGCGAAGATGATGGCTTTCCCCAAGTCTCGAAGCAAAGCCGTTGTGTGCATACGTCCACTGGCCATCTCTCTGTCACTTCCCATGGCGCCATCCACATGGTTGTCATCAAACCTCAGCAGCAACACCACACACATTGTCGCTGTTCGCTAGCATATACCTAGTCAGCCTCATTGATGTGCGGCACAAGGTTCTTTTGCAGGTCCACCTGAGGCTACGATTGACCACAATTCAGGGGCTGGCGACTCCTGTTGTCGGCATATTGGCTGCGAATGACACCGACTGTCCCATTCAAGTCCCAGGTACACCCACCACGACACTGCAACCACCTTTGCCAGCCCTCCGACCGGATAGACGTTCTCATCTTCTTCATCGACAATTACGGCGCCCGCGAAGCTACCGTCGTTCGTCTCCCTCGGTCAGAGCATCACCACCGAGGTATTGGCATTGATCCAGGCGATGTGCTACCCAGGTGCAAGTATCCGAGTAGGCTTGGAACCCATCCTCCGCAACGCCTTCGGTGCGAAGACACCGACGATCAAGGCGACCCGCGCAGGGGCGTTCGGCATTGTTGCACAAGTGTGACAGTCGAAACAACGATAAGGTGGATGCTGCGCAGCCGAGCAATGATGGAATCTAACAGAGAGTTCAGTTGATGGCGGCGGCACCAATGACGGCCCTACGAGCCTGCCAGTTTCGACAGCAGGAGAGGCTCCGCAGCTAGAGACAGTACGGTTGGGTTGACTATCACTCACAAAAGCACGAACCAGCGCCTCGCCATTGAGGACGGGAGCATAGGGTTGAGTCCTCAACAGTCGCCATCCAGCAGGTTACAGCTGAATGCAACGGGCGTCATCGTCTTTGCCACATTGTGTACCATGATCTCAGCTATTCAATGGGGTCCGCGAGATGCCGGTGGCACATGGGAGCCGCACCCAGATGCATTAGACAGCATCGCCAACTACCCGCGCGATTCGAAGGGACGACAGTACCGGGTTGTGGGTGTTGCCAAGCATTCGATTGCTGCGGCGTCACAAAGGGGCGAGCTCTTGACTAACGTTAGTAAGAGCAACGGAAGGACTAGCTGATGGGTCTACGTAGTTGGCAACGCTCTTCGACTTGAGTCGCTGCCCCATGACAGCACCACGTCGCAGAGTCTGAGCAGAACATGGCCATGGATTGAGGGAAGGGCCACCACATGATTCTGGGCGCAGCTCATTTAAGCAACGCCGTGCTGACCCAGCGAGCTATTTCTGGTCCATGCGAGGCTCAACGATTAGAGTCGCGCGGCGGCTGCTGGGATGGGCCGCGATGCAAGGATCAGGATCCAGAGCTAGGCTCAACATGGCGAACCAAGACGCTGACTGCAGACGCTCAATACACTGGGGGGCCCCAGATTGCGGCGACCAAGGATGATCAGTTCCCTCCTGACCTTTTCAGTCTGCCTCGCGATCTCACGGACTGCAGCCCGTTGTGAGATCATACTCTCCCACCTGCCCATCTTCAGGTCGAAGGGACCAACAGGCAGCGCGAACGACGGCGACCGAAAACCGCTTGCACTGGACGACTGAGGCTGCAGACCGGGCCTTACCGATATTGCGACTCTACGACGGAACCTTTCGAGCGGTGAGGGGACGGGCCTCTAGAACGAGAACGCCATGTCGAAAACGACGGACTCGAAGGAGAGCGACACCATGTCCATCACAGCCTTCAATGGGCCTTTCCCAACGGACTGGGAGCCGCCCGAGAGGTGCACGGCCCTCACTCAGCGCGGCATCGTGGGACTTGACTTCGCGCCGTCGTGCCTCCCGGAGTCGTTCATCGCGTCTCCGGGCGTCGTCTACTCTCCGGGAACGGGTTGCCCATCAGGATACACCGCGCCCGCGCCGTGCACAAAGTGGACCGACGCCATCACCACAACGATTACCTGCTGCCCGGTGCGCGGGGACCTGACGCTGTCGTGCGTCCCCAACGACCGGGCGCTCTCGCTGGCGTGGAAGGACAAGTTTTGCACGTGGAGCGCGGGCGACAAGAAGACGGTGCTTCTGGTCACAACGGAGCGCAGCGGCACGACATCGACGCGCGCTGTTACCATGACGGGCAAGGCGGGCGTCAACGCGTACGGCCTGCGTATGGTGTACCAGGAGAGCGACCTGCCCAAGTCGACCACCGCCGGCGAGACGTCGGCCACACGGACTGGGGAGACGGGCGCCGCAACAGAGACAGGAGGCGACGATTCCGCGGGCAGCGGCGGCGGTCTTTCGACAGGAGCCAAGGCCGCTATTGGGGTGGTCATCCCGCTCGTCGCCATTGCAATACTAGTCGGGGCCTTCTTCTTCATTCGCCGACGGCGGCGCGCGCGCGACGGACCCAACGAGCTGCCCGCCTACGGAGCCGGCAACGAAGGCGCCGGGGCCGACAGCAAGACGCTCGCGAGCGCGCACAGCCCCGCGCCTCCGCTGGCTACGGGAGGCGGATACGCGGCGGTGCCGCAGGAGCTCCAAGGAACGGATCAGGTGGTTGAGCTGCCCGGCGACGTCAGTCATTTGTCGCCGCCGCCGCAGCAGTCGTCGCTGAGCCCGAGCCCGCCGCCACAGACCAGCGTGTCAGGGCTTTCGTCGCCGGCGAGCGCGCATGCATCGACGGCGTCGCCTGAGGTACAGTACCAGCCCTACCGGCCGCCTGGGAGCGGGGCATCATCGCCGCAGCCGGGGCAGCACGCGGTGCCGCATTCATGAGAGGATTGGGCCGATGGGTGAGGGCCGCAACACCCCCTGGCGGAGGGGGTTTGTATATAGCGCTGGCGTAACCTTCGTTGTTGATAAATTGGGTAAGGAAAATGGTGGACTTTTGTTTGGAAGAGGTCGTCACTTCAGAAGCCTTTCCAAATCCATAAACAAGCATCAGTGGTCATGTTGAACACACTAGGGCGTGAGAGCGAGTGCTTTGCCATGCTCATGTCGGATGGCGCAACAATGCCGTGCTCCTCGCTCCTCGATGCCGTCGTGGGCAGTCATTCTTTGTTAGCTTGCTCGAGTGCCATTAGTTGCGGGCTGCTGCAATTGCGGTATTGAGAGCCGAGCCTGGCATAATGGAGCAGTGGTCAACGAATTGATGTCTCGTGAGAATCTTGTGTGGTTTCCCCTTGTCGTCGGCATTGCCAGTGCCACCAACAGCCAGGCATATCACGTAGGCATATCACGTGATCAGATTCTCGCGAATCTCGAAGCTGTCCGCGCTTCCAAACCTCGACTGTGTCCTCTCCTCATCACCACGCGACGCTATCCCACAATGCCCCTCGTCGACCCTGTCACCATGTCGAGGACGCTGGCCAAGGGCTCCTCTGCGAGCTCCCCGCAGAAGGCCGTCACAATCAGCCCGGTAGCCGTTCTCGACGCGCCGCTCGCCAGGCCGCTTGCGCTCGCTCGGCCAGCCGCGCTACTGGCGCTCCTCGGAATGCGCTTCGGCGCTCTCGTCGCGGACCCGGTGCCGACGTTGAAGTCTGCATTGCCCGTCGTGGCCGTCGTGCAGGCCGTGTACGCGGTGCTCTGTCTCCCGGTTGCCGGGTCGCAGCAAGGCCGGGCTGCAAAGAAGCAACGGCCGGGCGAGAAGAGGAAGGGCGGCGATGGCGCCGGACCGAGCCCCATCTCCGTACGCCGCGCCCTACCTGGATTGATTGCTGGACTCGCGAGCTGCTAACATGAGGCAATTGTACAGTCCGCGGTCCTCTCCCTCGTCCTAGCCGCCATCGCGACCCCCGTCGTGCACATCCTCTTCGTCCTCTTCGGCGCGCCGTTCCTCGACCACGTCCCGCACACGCTGCTCTGCGCCGCGCACTTCTCCATGCTGGCGCTGTTCCCGACCTTTTACGCGCGCGGCGTCGACGCGCAGGCCCTCGTGGCCGTGGCCGGCGCGGCCGCGCCCCTGGACGAGACGTTCGGGGCGCTGCTCGGCGCCGTGCTGGGCGCGTGGCTCGGCGCCGTGCCGATTCCCCTCGACTGGGACCGCGACTGGCAGCGCTGGCCCGTCACCGTCGTGGCGGGCATGTACGCGGGCGCGACGCTCGGCGCATTGGCGGCCGGGACGGTCCTTTACGGCAAGAGGTTCTCCGGAGAAGGTGACGAGTCCACGGCTGGTGTGGCAACACCGTCGTCACTCAAGGAAGAGTAGAATGCAGCACAATCTTCAGTCGGTAACATGGAACGGGCGCAGCGGTTTGACGTGCGCCAATGCCAATGCCAATGCCAGCGCCAAACGCCCATCGTGCGATGTCACACAGCGTAGGCGTGCCTTGCACCGCGTGGGAGACAAGATGGAGCCGGCTAATAAGAGGACATGATCCATGCAGGCGCCGACCAGACCCTCTCCTTGTTCCCAAGGAGCATCGCACCTCGAAATGAATGCCCAGAATCCATGGTTTTTCACTGGGACTCGAAGCGCCGCCAACGACAAGAGGTGCACAAGCGAGGTGGCCCCTGGCGGTCCGCTGCAATCGCCCTCGGGATACTTCCGCGATGGGGTTGCGGCTTGGCAGCAGGAGAGGCACACGGCGGCCTGGCCTGGCTTGCCTGGCATCTGGGCAATCTCGATGGAACGGTCGTGGTGCAGTGCACCTGTGTTAGGTTGTTCTGGCATCGGCGTTTACTTTTGTGGATGGGCAGGGTGCATGCATGAGCACAGCCACAGGGGGGAGCCGGGCAACATGGACCAGTTCGCTGGCGATGTGCTGGAGTCTAATAATACTGGGCGCACTTGGCGCAGCTGGTTGGCAATTGCCGGCCCCACAGGACAAATCGCAGGCTTCCAGGTTCCAAGGCTGGCTTCAAGGGCACTGCGGCGCCTTTTGGGACGCGTTGTTTGGACATGAGCATCTCGAACAAAGGCAGGAAGCGCTCGTTGAAGGCGTGCTAGTCGTCGACCCAAAAGATCCCCCTCCCCCTCCACTGCCTCATCGTGATTATCCTTGTCGATCTGGGCGGCGGCCAAATCGGCGGCTAGAATTGTGAAATGTTAGTACCCACCTACAGTACTAGTAGTAGCTACGCCGAAGTACCTGCGCACTCTCCGTACATCCAAGTACCTACGTTACCGATACTACCGTCTGGTAGAACGTCACACACGTAGGTTGGTACCTACCAGTAGGTACCTGGCGCACGGGCGATTCGCCAAGAAGAGGTGCTGTTTTCCCTGTTTTGGGAGTCCTGACGGCCAGCGACTTGCGACAGACAGGTTGACAGCCAGGACAGGCCTCGGGAGGTAACGCCCTACCATGCCGAGATCCGTGCTGCCGCACCATGGCCGAGCCCGGGCGGGGGGGAGGCCTTCACGCCGTCGTCACAATGCGTCACCGCACAGCCGAGCGGCGAGATCATCGAGCAGAGCATCGCTCGTGCTCAGCCATCGTCGCCGGTGCGCAAAACGTAGCCGCAATGCAAGATTTGGTCACGGTCATGCTGCTGAGCCTGTTTTTGTTCCACTGTAGTCGTATGGTGGTGATGTGGCAAGTGTGGCGAGGCCGGCGAACCAAGTGTGGCGCATGACCCCGACCCCAGACACGATCCCCGGCGTGGCTGGCGTTCTGTCTTGGTGTTCGTCGTGTCTCGTCTGCATCTTAGGACGCGATCGGTGGCGTGCGCATCACGGGACGGTCCCCAGGGCTCTCGACACAACGTCACACGTAGGCTGGTTTTTCGCGTTCTTGGGGGCGAGCAGCCCCTCCGCCGCCGCAGTCGCAGCAGCAACGCGAGCAAGGAACGGGGAGACCTGCGAGCGAGAGGGAAGAAAAAATTATGATGGCCGACCTGCAAAGTATGACGTAGGCCCCGGGGGGAGCTTGGCCTTGCCTTGCCCGCATCGAGTCAAGCCGGTTCCATGGGGCCCGCTGGCGGGGGTTCGGCCACGGGCGCATGGGTCCGCCGCATGTCCGGGTCGCACGAGATGCCCGGCACAGGCATCCTGTAACTGTTGGTAAACTGCACTGTAAGGGTGGTGTGGCTTGCCTTTCTGGTTGGCGTCTGGCGGGAGATGCATTGGATGTCCTCCGGGGTCGTGAGCGCTTGTAACTTGCCTGCTTTGTCGGGGGGCTCCATACGTAGCTCGGGCTTCCGGGGGGTTCGGGCGGTCGTGCATGATGCGGACAGGCGGACGGTTTCACGAGGGGCGGTTTGCCGGGCGCTTGCTGCTGCTGCTGCTGCTGCTGCTGCCGCCACCCGTCCCGTCGCCGTGCGCGGCGTTTGCGTGTGCGCCCGTGCGACCGGCTGTCGACAGGCCATTCGACAAGCGCCAGCAACCTTGGAATAGAAGTGGACGGGACCTGCCTGCACGCCCAGCAGTACTGCCTGCTGGGTACTACCTGCCCTGTAGGTGGCTCCCACTAATATGGAGCCCACCAAGCAGAGGACAGCACGGCCTGTGCCGAGTGGCCGCAGCACAAACACCTGGCGCGTCGCTGGCGAGTCGATGACGCAGCTCGCCCGGGACACGGGAGGGGGGCTGTGGGAAGGGCAGGCAAGCAGCATGTGGCAGGGCAGGGCTGGGCTGGGCTGGGCGCCGCCTCGCGGTAGGGGACCGTCTCGGGCTTGGACCTGTTGCCGGCCTCTCGTCTGTCCCCGTCGAGGCCGGGTGTCTCCCATGAGGTCGAGTCGCCCTCCACTCGGCCGCCCGGGCGAGCACCCGTGCGTTGGTGACTTGCTTGGACGTCCTACGTTATTGCTAGTACTGACCTGTCTGTGGATAGGTTGGCAGGCGTGTGCCGGCGCTACCTGGCAGGTACTTGCCCGGACTCGATGCCACGCCACGCCATGCCATGCCATGCCACGCTGCCTGGTGGTATGCCATGCCTCGCCTCGCCTCGCCTCCAGAAAGGTTCCAAGTTGCGGGAGTGGGCTCGGGTCGCAGCCCAGCCAAGCCAAGCCAGGCCAGCTCGGATGGAGCTGCGCTGCGCCAAGATGATGCCAGCGGCGGTGCTTCCACATCCCCCATCCCCCCCCCCCCTTCCACATCCATTCCCGCAGCTCCGTCCGTCGGCAAGCCCGCGCAACCCGGGCAGGAGGTCAGGTAGCTTTCCAAGGTCCAGCCACCCTCTCCTTCTCCTCCGCCCGTATTTAAGTCCAACCGTCCCCGGTGTCGTCAGAGCTTCGCATCCGGCCCCTCTCCCTCTCTTCCATCTCAACCTGCCGAGTGCCGTCCCACTGCCGAGACCCAGCGTACAGCTTCACTTCCCAAGCATCACTACAACCACTTCTACCACTACAAGTACTACTCGCTCGACGAAACCGCCGCCATGCCTCTCACCGCAAGGTAAGCTCGCCGTGTGCGTCCCAGCTCCGCGAAGACTCCAACAGGTGGCCGAGCCCCGGTGCTTCCGTGGCGTCGCCAGACGCTTGATGACGCAATACCATTGTCGTCGAAAAAGAGCGGCGATCCGTGAGGCTCGATGGCGACGCGACGCGACGGGCTCCCACGATAGCTGGCCGTGCCTGGCTGGCAACGTCTTGGAGCGCACAATGGCTAACTTGGCTCCCCGCGCAGCGACATTTGCAAGTTCATCTTCGCCATCATCCTCCCTCCCCTGGGTGTGTTCCTCGAGGTTGGCTGCGGCGCCGACTTGCTCATCAACATTCTGTTGACGATTCTGGGTAAGCTCTCACTGTGGTTGTGCGCCTTGGCGACGGCGCTACCGGACGGTTCGGAGACAGGGGGGTCGTTGCCTCAATGTCGCCTCCCAGTCCTGGTCGTCGCCAATGGCTTCTACGCTTACCTCATCGTTTGCTGACGCGAGGACGCGGCAGGTTACATACCCGGCATCATCCATGCCATCTACATCATCGTGACGAGGTAATCGGCCTCGCTCCGTCGCCAGCCAGCCGGACGCGCCTTTGCACCAGGCACGCCGTGCTGGCCGATGGCGCCTTGAGGAACGGCGGTTCGCGTGACGACGGTGGCTGAGCCGGCCGCAGTGTCTCGGCTGGGGCGCTCACGGTCGCGCGCGCCACCCCGCCAAGCGACGTCGGCGATGAAGGAGCTGTTTGTCGACGAGAGCAATGACCACGCGGTTTTTTGTTTCCTTCCCTTTGTCGGATGAGTGGGAGACGGGGCCGACGGGTTGGCAACGGTGCTTGAGCCTGGACTTGTTTGTCTTTAGAGGCCTTTGGATTACATACCTAATTATGCATGGATACCCATTAATCCAGAGATTATTTTCCTCACACTCCCCGTGCCTACATGGGTACTTGCGGTGTTGGCCGCGTTGATGAGTGTCGCGCATGGCGAGCCTGTGCCAAGTCAACTACTACTACCTAGTACTCTGTACTCCTTCTACTTCTGCGCGGTGCACCACTGCGGAACGGGCGCGGTACTCGTGGTGCCAGTCGGCAGAGACCCGAGCGGTGCTGCAGCGGTACCCTGCTAGCGTGCAAGAGGATGGATGATGCGGGCTGGCTGCCACATTCAGACACAGAGGACGAACGGTCGAGGGCTTGTGCAGTAGGCATAAGGGGAACCACAAGATACTAACGTTACTACGTAGACCTTGCAACAACCTTCGCGGGGAACAGAGATTTGGTCGAGATCCGAGTGCGGCGACAGCCATGGATGTGCGACAACCGGGACCTTTTGGGGGGGGGGATGCAATGGCTGTCGTTCTTGCCCTTCCAAGTTCTCACCCCGGCGCATCCATCCACGGGACTGGCGGTTGCACTGGCAGAACTGGACCGGCCCCATCAGTCGATTTTCCGGAAGAAGCAGGGAAGGCCAGGGAATGGGAAGGGGGCGCACCGGGCCATGTGATTGGTTGTGGAGCTTGGCCGCCCGCCAAACGTCATGGCATGGACTGGGTCCCCGTCGCCCTCGGCACGCTCTGTGGCAGTGGCAGTGGCAGCGGCAGTGGCAGTGGCAGTGGCAGCGGCAGTGGCAGTGGCAGTGGCCCGCCAGCAGGCGGCCGTCGAGCAACTGACGGCACCTGACGGCGCCTGCCTAGGTACCGACCTAGAACCTTAGGTGGCCATGGAGAGGCTCCCGTCGCCTCCCAGGCGGCCTCATCGGGACGCGCAGCGCAGCTGCAAGCACGGGAATGGGCGTGGCTCAGATTGAGTTTTGTCCGGGCAAGCTTTCTCGAAAACAGAATTCGCCGCGCCGCGCTGCACTTCCTCTGCGCCGCCGACAAGCGCGCGCACAATAAACTGGAGAGCGCCAGCCCAGCCCAGATCTCAAAAATCTCAATCGCGGACCCAGAGCGAGCGCCGGACGGCCCCGGGACGGGATCAAAGGTGGCACCACCTGCCCCAACTACGAGTAGTACTAGTAAACCACCCGCCGCGGCACGCTCAGCGCAGCACCCACCCCCGGCGCGAACCCGCCCCGGCACCCGCTGACAGCGCCGCCGTTTCGCAGCAGCGCCCGGGAATGGCGACTCCGCCATTGGTCGAGCCGGGGGCCCGCGTGGTGTGATGTTGAGCTTCGACGACGACAACATCATCCCACTGTAAGCCCGCAGACGGCCGGCCTCTCTGCTGTGCGCCTGCCCGCCTTCAGGATCCGTGTTTGCGGAGGGCTGCGAATCCCTTGACTGGCTGCGTTTGGCGAGGGCGTGGTAGGTATAAATATGTAGCACGGCGTGTAACCCACCTCGGGCTGTTGCTGCTGCTTGTCATCGTAATCCTCAAGTCACACCATTCAAGTCATATCAAGCTTTCTCGGCGACTCTCAACTCTTTGTCCTCGCACTTCTCCTCTCCTCTCCCACGAGACACGAAGACCCCATCTTCGCTCAACATCATCTGACGCAGAGTCTTCATTATCGACGTCTAACAACCCCATCACCACCATCAAATCATCAACTCAGTCAACATGGTTCCCGCTGCTACCCGCGTCGCTGCCCGGAGGCCCTTCTCCGTCATGATGTCTCTGCGCACCGCCGCGCGGTCCTTCGAGGCCCATCCCTTCCAGCGCCTCAGCCTCTCCCAGAAGCCCGCCAAGGCTGACTGGAACAACGAGGTCAAGCGCGTGGGCAAGCAGGCCGTCCTGTGAGTAGCCCCTGGCCCTCTCGCCTCGCTCGCCGCAATTACTGACAGGGTTTGGACAGCTTCTTCCCCGGCATTGCGATGCTCCTGGGCTGGCCCATGGCTGCCAAGCGGGTCTTTGATGGCCACATCTAAGTGTCGACCATGCTCGCGCGAGGACTGAAACAGTCCATCGACCGCCGCCAGCGTGCTGTAGAGAAGCAAGCGGATATACAAGGCCGTCCTGGGCGACTTTCGGATGGCAGCGTTGCACAGTGTACATAAGGGAGCATGCCACGGCGTTAGCGGGTGCATACATACAAGACAAATCAAGTCTCTTTTGTACTTGAATTACATCATACTTGAATGTCACATTGGCGATCTCATCACCACTTGCGCATCCGCGAGATGCAGTCTTCCGTAAAATCAGACATACAGCGAGAGAAGGTCAACGATTAGTATACGCACTTGCGGGGTATTTCGAAACACGGCAAGTAGAAAGAAATGTCACGCTAAACAAATGCCACCTCCATTATTCCATCGACGCCCTTGGAGAGACGGTCTTCGGGGTCCGCTTCGCTCTGCCCCTTTTCCCGAGGCACCAGCCCATGACCATGGATACAATCATGAGAATGGGGACCCCGACTCCAACACCGATACCGACGCCAAGCTTCCACTTGTGATATGTCTGGCGGTGGGAAATTTGCTCTTGCGTCTTCAGATAGCGGGACGCTATATCGTCCAGGACGGTGAACTGATCAGAGTGGTCGAAGCGGTTTTCCTCTCCCTGTGCGGCGTACTTTTCAGGCTGGCTGATTTGGAAAGAATTGGTAAGGTCCGCTGCGAAGCCCTTCACTTCGGCGACGGTAAAGTTGGTGTCGGACGAATTGCCAATCTCAGCGGCAAGGTCCTCGAACGTGAACGAAAAGCTCTTGGCCCCCTTGGTGATATCTGCCCGGACGGAATGTCAGCTCATGCTCAGTGCCGACGCAGGAATTGATGTTCTGGCGACGTTACTCTTTGACCAGGAACCAGATTTCTGGGGATCTCTCTGCACCGAGAAGCCCCACCGCAGCTGGACGGGATACTTGTCGTCCGTCTTCTTCCATGTAATGGTGTAGTTTTTGCTCCAGAGGAGCAAGGCCGGGTTGCTCCCGGACTCACGGTCGTAGTAGGGAAAGGTGTTTTCGGGGAACGAGCAACCCTTGTTATCGTCATCATCGTTTGGGCTGGCGCACCAGACAAATGAGTCTAGGCAAAAGTCGTAGTCTCTGCTGCTGCACGCATATCGTTTTGCCGGATCAAATGCGGCGACGGCCCATCCGAGCGAGAGAAGTGTCGCTGCGTGTAAAGGATGCATCGTGGTGGTGAAACTGTGGAAGCTGTGTGGCGATGGCGCCGCTGGTGTAAGTCGGTGGCCGGGCGTGAGAAAGAAGGAAGGGTATTTTGGCCTTGGTGACCTTGCCCAATGCCTATTAAGTACGAAGTACGTGAGATGCCGTGATGATAAAGGATCACACCGAGGCGTATTGATCACCGCTGATCTGGACCTAACCATCCATCATAGCCCATGGTGTTGAATTCTGGCCTCGGCGATGGCAGTTTCGGGCAGTGATTGATCAACGCATCCCTGTCAGCTGCGCCTTGGCTGATCTCACCTCCCCCAGGATCACAAGCAGCGTTGAATGCCAACTGCACCGGCTGCGGGATGACATCACACGGCCGCATCTGAGGCTCAAAGTGAGCTGATGGCTGTGTTTTTCTTATAATAGCCGAATGGAAATGTGCGTCTGGCGCACTATTGTAGCAATCCTGAGTGTGGGTGATGCACCAAGTCGGTCGTGTGGTTGGCGTCATTAAACATCCAACCGGCCAATGTCGGGGGCTGAGCACCTATCTACACATGGGCACACAATCTCCAAGAACAGGTGTTAAATAACACACGTAAAGCCTTCCACATTAAAGAATTCTTTGCCTCCGTGACATGTGATTCAGAGGAGGCAATGAGCAGTGGGTGTTCTTCGGTGCGCTGCCGCAGCAGTGGTCGGTCGCGGTGCACGAGTGGTATAGGGTAGTCATGTGCGGACAAACGCCGGGTAATTTTTTCCGGCGCGCGCTGCGATATCACAGTCGGCGCCCAGGTGAAGCTCCAGCTTCTTCAACAGGCGCTCGACAGACGACGACCAGGTCCACGACCCGAGACATGCCGAATCTAAATATGCTACCGTATGCCCCTCTTGGCCGCGCAATTGCCAATTGGCTTCTAACGTCGCCCAGTCCCCCTGTATAGCAGACACATCACCATGAGGGCAAACCTGGCCCGCCATGGTCGACGGCTCCTCGTCTTCCGCGCGAGCGCGCCGTCATGCGCCGCCTTCGCAGCCCCAGCCCGACGAGTACCGATTACGCGACCGGTAGCCCGGCGGACATTCGAGCGAACCTTCTTCAACGCCCTGTTCCAGAAGCCGCCGCGTGAGGTGCGACAGCCCGAGTACGAGCCGGGGTGGATGCACATCATGGTCTGGAGAAGTCGCATGCTCGACAACCTGCGCCCGCCACCGCGGAGAGAGCTGATCGAGGCATGGAAGAAGCTCATGCAGGCGAAACTCAAGAGGAGGATTCCTCTGAACAGCACCCAAGCCTTGCAGTGCCGCCGCCTGCTCCAATACCTCGCCGAGCCCACCAACACCGACCAGCAAACCAAGACCTTGTCTTCGGCCGACCTCTCCATGGCGCGGCAGGTGCTGCTTGATATTGAACCACACGAAAGGAGCAAGAATCACGCAGACTTGGCCAGGACCTTGCATGCGGTGTGGTCCGCGGGCAGCTTCACCGGCAAGGCTCGGGCCCCGGAGGTGCAATGGAGCTACCTCGTCCGGTCGCTTGCCCGCTATGGCGAGGCCAAAGACGCCGTGCAGATGATCTATTCGAAATGGAGCGAGCCGGCGTATCGAGAATATCTGGTCAAGGATGGCAAGCTCGTCGAGGCTGTAGCCTACGGACTGGCGAGGGAAGGCAGGGAACAGGAACTGCTCGACCTGATCGAGTATGCTGAGATGCATGGTCTGTCTTACAACGCGGGCCTGCAGGCCATCATGGTCACATTCTACGCCGACCAAGACCGCATACCCGAAACGAAACAATGGCTCGCAAAGCCGATCGCCCAGAGCCAGAATCGAGTGGAAGTATATCAGTCTGTTGCCTCCTTTGCCAGGCGCAACGAGTTGCAAGACTGGGCGATGCCAATATTCCTTGAATTGGGGCAATCGCAGCCAAAGAAGAAATACTGGGATGTGCTCCTCCAGGCTATCCTGCTCGTCGGCAGGGGCCTCGGAGAAGTGGAGGCAATGATGGCACACATGGTGGATCGCAATGGAGAGTTGTCTCCGGACATCGGGACGCTCAACGGCCTCCTGAGGATCGCGGTGGAAGTCGAGGATGCGACCTTGGCCGACGAGATACTGGCACTCGGCGCGGAAAGGGGGCTCGCTCCTAACGGAGAGACATACCTTATTCTGCTTCGAATGAGGCTTGCCGCGGGCAATTTGTCTGCAGCACAATCTGCGCATGAACAGGTTCGCCATTTGGAGCCTTGGACAAACGAGTCGAAAACGGAGCTCTTCGACGAATACCGAGAACTCATCAACAAATACCTCACCCTGCTGGCACGCCAATCACCGCCGGATTTTAAACTCATACTCTCTCTGCTGGACGGAGTCGAAGAGGTGCAGATCCTCCTGGACCCGGAGACCGTGGCCGCCCTCTGCGTGCGTTTCCTCGAAAACGACCAGCACTTCGATGCCATGGACCTTCTCGCAGTGCACTCGTTTTTATACAGCGAAGCTCAGCGAGAAGTGGTGCAGAATGCCTTTATATCCTTCTGCCTCGACTCGGGAACCAGCACGTCTCGGGCGTGGGGTGGTTATCAGATCCTCCAGCAGTTCTTCCAAGACACGAGCTTCGAGCGTCGCACAAAGCTGATGGAAGCCTTCTTCGAGCGCAAACGCCCCGACATGGCGTCTCACGTGTTTGGCCACATGCGCCAGCACCGAAACAAAGACTACCACCCGAGACTCGAGACGTACATTACGTGCCTGGAGGGGTTCGCCCGGTATCCTGACGCCGAGGGCCTGGCCATGGTGCACAACATGCTCAAGATGGACACGACGGTGCAGCCAAACACCAAGCTTTACACCGCCATGATGCTGGCGTACACTGCGAGCGACCAGCCCCTGACGGCGCTGGACTTCTGGAACGAGGTCACGCAGTCGCTCGAGGGCCCGTCGTATGCCACGCTCGAAGCCGTCTTCTGGGCGCTGGAGAAGAAGCCCGGCGGAGACAGGAAGGCGCGCGAGATCTGGGAGCGAATAGAGAGGATGGACCTGGAGGTGCCAGCCACAGTGTACAACGCCTATATTGGCGCCGTGGCTGGGAGCGGCAACGAAAAGGAGGTGCGCGGCCTCATCATGAACATGGCGTCCTATGTCGGGGCCGAACCGGACGCAATGACGTGAGTTGATCATTCCGCATGGGTCGGTTAGAGTACAAGACTGACTGACGCGTCACAGGCTGGCCGTGGCACACAACGCGCTCCCCGGGCAAGAACTTCAGGCCAACTTTCGGGACTGGGCTAAGAAAAAGTACCGCGATGCGTGGGCGGAGCTGGACAGGTATGGACGGCGGCTGAACGAATTCTCGCTGTGCCAGATCAAGATCAATCGGGTCATGAAGGCCTGACTGACGTGTACAAGAGGGACTTGATGTCTGCGGATTTGTATCTATACATGGAGGGCTGTTGTACATACAGAGACACGGGCCAGGCCAAATGACATGTCCTGGACGCCGGGGCAGGCCTTTCCTCCCCAAGGCCTCCAACGGATAAGCCGCTCACCGATCCCTCCTCTCCGGGAAGAAGTCGTCTCTAATCATCTCGGGGTGGTCGTGAATGGTCGGGTAGATGCCCATGCCCTGGACGCGGCGGATCATCTTTGCAATCTTGCGCTGGTTGGCGGGCCGCAGGCCCGTGCCGGCCGAGTGAGTGATTTGGCCCGACGACGACGTGAACTCTTGCACGAGCGAAAAGTTCTGCGACGGCTGCGGTCAGTCCACATGCTTTCAAACTTGTCCGCCTGCGCTTCCACGCCTCGCTGCAACGACGAACACCAGCCCCCGACAAGAAGTCCAAAGCAGAGAAAGGACGGGGAAAGTCAAGGACTTCGACTCACCTTGTACATGTCGAGCGGGCGGATGCCGAGCGCGTCGACGACGTCGCCGCCGCGCTGGGAGCGCTTGCGCCACTTCTGCATCTCGACGGGGCTCAGGTCGTGCGGGGAGTAGACGTCGCCGGCGTCCCAGCGGCGGGGCATCTGCTTGAGGTAGTCGTTGGAGTTCTTCTGGTTGCGCAGGAGCTCGAGCTGGGCCTGCTTGGCGCGCAGGGCCGTCTCGGCGCGGTTCTTGTACCGGCTGAGGAGGCGGCTGGCGGCGTCGCCGCGCTGCGAGGCGTGCTGGTGCTGGTGTTGGTGCTGCTGCTGTTGCTGCTGCTGGTGGCCGCCGGCGCGCTTGTAGCGGTCGGCGCTGTTGATGGAGAGGAGGCTGCTCGTGGAGGACGGCGACGAGGAGGAGGAGGAGGAGGGCGCGGAGGGTGACGAGCGTGGCTGGGTGTGGTGAGGCTGCGCCGGGTGCGCTTCGCGGGGGGGCGCGGCGCGGCACGGCGTGGAGGAGAAGGCGCGGCAGAGGAGGCCTGACGGCGAGGGCGCGCTGAGGGCGCGGGCAGCTGGTATCCGCGGCGGCATGGCTGCGTTGTGGGCGTGGTGCAATTGGTGTTGAGGCAACCGGACTGGTGATGCTCTGAGGTCGAGAGAGGTTCAAAAATCCAGGGTGGATTGGGCTTTTGGGAGAGCGAGCTAGTCATCGGGCAGTCCAGTAATTAATTAGGTACGCTACACACGCATTGGCGGGTGGCCATCGGCACGGGGAGCCGCTTCCGCCGTTGGCCCCACTCAGATTTTTCCCATCTTTCGCAATTCCTCCTCGTCCATCAAACCCAAACCCGCACGCAGGCGACGCTTGAGGGAGTACCAGGACGAACACGCGCATACACACAAACGAAAAGCTACCAAAGAGCGAGACAAGGAACTCGAAGTCGCCTCTGGACCTTTTTAGCTTCTCGCCCGCCCGACTTCCGAGGCAGCTCGCCACGCCCCGGCCGCCCGCTCGCCCGCCATGGTGCGCAAGCTCAAGTACCACGAGCAGAAGCTCCTGCGCAAGACCGACTTCATCACCTACAAGCAAGACAATGACCACCGCGACAAGGCCGTCATCCGGCGGTACATGATCCAGAAGCCCGAGGACTACCACAAGTACAACCGGCTATGCGGGGTGCGTTATCCCTCTGCCCCCCGTCCCTCGTTTCGTCGCCCCTCGCCTCGCGTCTCTCGCGCCGCCGCTCGGCCAGGCAAAAGCGCCCCGGTCCAAGCGCAAAGGAACAAGGAAAGCTAACACGATGCCCTCGCTGTATAGTCTCTCCGGCAGCTCGCGCACCGCCTCTCCCTCCTGCCGCCCGACAACGCCACGCGGCGCAAGCACGAGGACCTGCTCCTCAACAAGCTCTACGACATGGGCATCCTGTCGAGCAAGTCGAAGCTGTCGGCGGTCGAGCACGGCGTCACCGTCAGCGCCTTTGCGCGGCGGCGCCTCCCCGTCGTCATGACGCGCCTCAAGATGGCCGAGACGGTCCAGGCCGCCACCAAGATGATCGAGCAGGGCCAGGTCCGCGTCGGCGTCGAGACCGTCACCGACCCGGCCTATCTGGTGACGCGCTCCACCGAGGACTTTGTCACCTGGGCCGTGGGCAGCAAGATCAAGCGCAACATCATGAAGTACCGCGACCAGCTCGACGACTTTGAGCTGCTGTGAGGGCGGCGGGACGGATACCAGAAAGGGTCGCGCGCGCGGGGGAGGGGCGCGGAGCACGGCATCTATCGGCGTTGGGGACTTGTGGGATTTAGACGGGGGGCGCATCGGTCCGGCGTCTGCTTTGTATTTCGCTCCATCAATCATGTCAAGGCCGGCCAGTATGGCTTCATGGGATAGACTGAATGCCATTTTTTTCTTCAGGAATGACATGCCGAATCGTGCTCCTCCGAATGCCATGTCTACCGGCCAACTTAAAGTGCCATTCCAACACCCATCAAACCCCAATCTGCCCTCCAAGGAACCGCCATGGCCCACAGCATTACGCCGGGACGTCGTCCTCCAACGCAGCGCTCGCGCCCGCCAAGTGCTGGTTTGGCTCTTCGGGGTCTTGGCCGGGCCCCGGGGACGGAAAGCCGGAGCACAAGACGGCGGCCGCTGTTCCAGCAACATCGAAACATGGCAGGCCAACCCAGTGCCGCAATGCCCCAACAAAGGGATCAACAAGCAGCAGGTACATAACGCAGGCAGCCCTGCACGGTGCAAATGCCCATGCCAGGCAGAGCGTCCCGTGCGCTCCTCCAGCCGCCCACACACCCCACGCGGCGCGCCTCGCGGAGGGCGTCGGACAGGCGGCCCCACCGACTGCCGGTACGGTGGCCCGCCTAGTCTCGTCTCGTCACGCCCGCAGGGCTTTTATAAGTCAGCGCCGCGCGGGCACACCTCTCCCTCCTGCCCCTCAACTTACACCTGTAAATATTCCTTGCACCTTCCCCCTCTGTGGGATTCGGTAAGTGGACTCCGTCGTCGTCTTCTTCTTCCTGCCCTTTGCTGTGTCCCGGCTCTAATTCCACGGTGAAGGCCGGATACAAGCGCTGCCCTGCCCTGCCCCTGCCCCTGCCCCTGCGCCCACCATGGCCGCCCTCCTCGCAGGCCTCAAGGACCTGCTCATGCACCTCGTCGACCCCTGGCTGTTCATGGGCATCTCGGCCTCGCACATACCCCAGACGGTCCGTGACGTCGTCGCGTCCGGCGCGCTGTGGAAGCTCCTCTGGCCGCCTGCCTTCTCCGACGTGCTGTTCGGCAACTTCTGGGCCACCGTCGGCCCCAGCGTCAAGGAGGCCGGCGAGGCGCGCGTCATCCCCCTACTCGAGGGCCGCGTCTCGGGCGGCCGCATTCACGACGCCGTCGTGGGCACACCCGTCCATGGGACCGTCATCGAGGTCGGCGCCGGCAGCGGCATGTGGGCCGACGTCTTTGCCCGCATCGGCGCCGGCGCCCCTGACTCGGACTCGGCGGGCAGCGGGGCGGGCGCTCGCAAGAGAAGGCAGGCCGGCGGCGCTGGCGGCGGCATCACCAAGATCTACGGCGTCGAGCCGCACCCGCAGTCCGCCGCCGCGCTGAGGAAGCGCGTCAAGGAGGTCGGCCTGGGCGACGTGTACGAGGTTGTCCCCGTGGGCATCGAGTCCGTCAGCGACCCCAAGGCATGGGACGGCCACATCGCCCCTGGCAGCGTCGACTGCATCGTCGGTGTCCTGTGCCTGTGCAGCATTCCGGATCCGGAGGAGAACATCAAGCACCTGTACAAGCTGCTCAAGCCCGGCGGCCACTGGTACGTGTACGAGCACGTCAAGACGACCCGCGGAGGGCCGCTCTTCAGCCTGTACCAACGTGAGAAATCCCAACTGCCCCCCCCGTGCGACCCAGCACGTGTAAGCTTACCCCTCTTCAGGACTCGTCAACATCCCGTGGTCGTTTTTCCTGGGATCGTGCCGTATCTGCCGCGACACCAAGAAGAGCCTCCTCTCCGCCGGGTCATGGCATCAGAGCGACCTCGTCCAGCCGCCGGACGAGCCGGCGTACGCTGTCCTTCCCCACATTCTCGGCACCTTAACCAAGTAGCCACTCGTCGACAAATAGGGGCAGACGAGGTATGGGGATTTGCTCGTAGTTCCATTTAGGGGTATCTTCCGTCCATCTCAAGTAGCCTACAATTCGTCGTCGTCGTCATCGTCGAGCAGGAATATCGATGTCCTCTTCGACTTTCCCTCTTCCAGCTTTACCTTGACCTTTTCTTCGCTGCCCGCCAGTTCGTGCTTGATTGACCTTTTGACATCGTCATCTTCCGCACCGGCGTCCTCCATTTTGAGACCGTGGGGTTTTGTCTCGTCCTTCACCGTTTCGTCCTTGATGCCCTCCGCTTTGATGTATGGCGTTATGGGCCCAGGTTCTAATTTGACGTCTTTCCTGTCCCCTTCATCTTTGGGCTCGAGCTCCAGGTCTGCGTGCTTCGTCACATCCTTGACGTCCTCGTCTTTCAACGTCTTCATTTCGTCCTCTTCTTTCGACACTTTGGACTCGTCCTCATCCTTGAAAGCCTTTGATTCTTCGTCGTCTTTGACAGCCTTCTTCTCGTCACTGTCTTCCCTCTTCGCAGCTTCAGCCCTTGCCAGCGCTGCTTCTCGCCTCCTGTAGAACGCGCCGAGGCAAGTCCGCCTCGTCTCGGATGACCACGTCTCCACAATAGGGGCAAAGGTAAGCGCATTCTTGAAGCCAAACTCGCGTGCCATCTCGCAGAATTGGCGCAGGCACACATCCTCCGGCGGCCGGTAGACGCTGTGCAGCTCATCGCCCTCCTCCTCCTCGGTCTCGGCGAAGAGCGCGCTGTGCCCCTCGGCGTCTCCAGCAGCGTATGTCGCGAGTTCAGCCCGCCGCGAGAGCTGCTCCTCAACCTTGGACGTGCCGACGACCTCCGAGTTGTCGTGTGTATACTCGACCCCTGCCGATGTGAGGATGGCCTGAATCGCGTCTGTTTTCGGTACGGTCGACTTCTGCGACCGAAGTAGCCTCTCCTGATTTTCGGCAGTCAGCAGCGCCGCCAGCTGACCGATACCGCCATCGTCGTTGTCCGCTTCTTCCTTCTTCACCATGCTGAGGCTCTCCTCGTCCTTGGCTGCCTGTTCCATGTCCACATCCGCGAGGTGAACGCCAGCTTTGGCTTCTGCGATGTTGGTCTTGTTGACGATGTCCCGGAGCAGCCCGCTGTCGCTGTGATAGGTAAAGATGTTGGCGAGCCCGAAAATTTCGCCCTTCCTCTCGGTGTCCTGCTGAACACCCTTGAAGTAGCGCCGCTCCGACGAGGCAGTGTAGCCAATGTTGGCTTGCTGCTGCTTGTAGATCTGCCGGGCGTACACAATCTCCTCGACTGTACCGAGGGATATGAGCCGGAACACCTCGACGTCGCGAGTCTGTCCAATGCGGTACGCCCTGTCCTGAGCTTGCAAGTCGTACGAAGGGTTCCAGTGCGGGTCGATGATGACGACCTTGTTCGCGGAGGTAATGTTCAGACCGACACCTCCCGCCTTGGTGGAGATAAGGAAGACAAACTGCGTAGGGTCCGAGTTGAACGTGTCCACCACGTCTTGCCGCTGCTCGTACGACAGCGAGCCGTCCAGGTAGCTGACATTGTAGCTGGTGTTGGTGAACAGGTGCTGCAGGATCCGCAGAAAGCGAACGCTATGAGAGAAGACGAGGACCTTGTCTCCGCTGCCATGCCAGAACTTGAGCAGCTTTTTGAGGACCTTCCATTTGCCACAGAATTCGGGGTTGACCAGATTCCTAATCTGATCCCTTTGTTCGTACAGTTCTTTCCACGTGTCTGGCATGCAGGTCTGCAGGGTTGCGAGCTCGTTCCTGTGCCGAGGCTCCAGATCTGTTGTTGAGGGGACAAGGAGGGTGAGATGGTTGGCAAGCTTCTGCAGGACCATGATGCTAGGGAATACGATTTGCTGCCACGTGCTACCGTTGGGTAGATGTTTACGGCAGCACCAACCCTTCTTCTCGCCATGCTCGCAGTGGTCCGACACGGTCCGCAGGAGCTCAAGCTCTGAGCTGGAGAGAAAATTCTGGTAGGCCTCGAGCTGCAGCTCCGTGAGAGGACAAAATACGACGCGGTCCGTCTTTTTGGGCAGTTGGTCTGCGATGAGGGTCTTCATCCGCCGTAGAAAGTAGCGGGGCAACAGATTCTGGACCAGTTTCTTGGCCGTCTGTCTCGCAAGACTAAGCTGCGCACCAGTTGCGTCGTGAGACTGGCCAACGGTCAGCGGTTTCGTGATTGTCTGTGACCACTCTGACTTGGTACCGAAATGGCCAGGATTCGTCCAGTCGAGCAGCGTCCACAGCTCCTCGTACTTGTTCTGTATGGCGGTTCCAGTAAGGCCAATGCGGCACAGAGCGTTGACTTCAGCCAGAGCCTTGGTTGTTTCCGAGTATCTGTCCTTGAGGCGATGGCACTCGTCGCAAATCACAGCATCCCACTGGACCATGTTGATGGAGCTGCGGCTGTTCTTGTACGTGTCGTAGGTGGTGATCATGATTTCCAAGAGTCCGGAGCGCGCGGTGCCAAGCACATCATCTTTGTTTGCGCCATGAAAGACATCGATGTGCCACCAACCCCAGCGGTTCATTTCGTTCTTCCAGTTCATGATGAGGGAGCCAGGGCAGATGACGAGTATCCGCGGATACCAGCGGCCGCTGCAGAAGCGGATCTCGCGCATGCGCCTGTCATCGCGCTCGTCGCCCGTTTTGCCAAAGGCGGCAGTCAAGAAAGCGGCAACTTGGACAGTCTTTCCTAGGCCCATGTCATCGCCCAGGATACCGCCTTCCTGATACACGAACTTTCGATGCAGGAATCTGACACCTGCAACCTGGTAGTCGCGCAAATACTGAGCGATGGAGGCGGGAATAAGGCCAGCGGACTGAGGGAGCTCAATATCCTTGTAGGGCCGCGATGGTTTGATGCCGCTAGATGCATCAAAGACCGGGCGCTCCTTTAGCTCTCCGAGCCGGGAAGATTCGTCAAAGTCGATGTCCGAGTAGTCTGGGGGTAGCATGAGTGCGGCCTCGTGATGCAGCTTCTTATCAGCATCGAAAGCCCGCCTCCGCTCCTGCAGATAATCGGGGATCCCGGCCAGTTCGAGGTCGTCCTCGGGCGCCGCTTGAGCCTCGCCATGGACGCCCGATGTGTCGCGTTTCTTTGCCGTCGACTTGCGCTTGGCCCGTCGTTTCTTCGGTTTCATGGTGGCGCCATCGGAGTCGTCTGTCCACTGGACCTTTTCCTCCGCCTCCACCTCGACTTTTCGTTTGCGGGTTTCATGGGAGGCGTTGCCGATCAATTCATCGTCAGGATCTGAGGCGCTTCCCTCGTCGTCGAGCAAGTCGATGGCGGGCTGCTTGCCTTTGCGAGACATTGCCGTGAGGTTGCCGCGGGGCAGCTCCAGGCTGAAGCGCGTCGGGTCGGGCGAGACGCGAATCACTTAACACTTGAGGTGCGTGAGCACGTGACCTGACCTCACGTTAACATGCACTATCACAGGCTCATCACTGAGTGTCCTCAGTGTCCTCGCCTCCTCACAGCTTCCACCCGCCATTGTGCAAACGAAGTGCGGCTCGACAGGTGCCGCTTTTTCCATGCACTTTGTTGCATCGAGTTCCTACCTAGTACGGTCGGATGTCCTGGGTTACAGACTTCATGCCCTGGTGAACAGCAGTCATTGACCCATGTCGGCCTGTTGTGCCCGTCGCCGCAAGCCGCACGAAGTATTGTACTATCATGTAGCCTTGGTTGGCTGTTGTCTTTTAACATCGCTTTTGCTCGTCGAGGCCTGTTCTAAGCCCGTTCTCTCCCAAGGCCACTACTCGTGCAAAATGATCGATGATGGTCAGAATCAGAATTCGGTCTCGCTCAACTGAGACCTTGCAAGTGCGACGCCGGCCCAACAAACAAGTAGGCAAATGGAGAGAAAGACTACGACCACTTGAAGAGCTCGTAGCATCTACAGTTTCTACGCAACCCACCCGAAATCGTCGCTCATGGTGACTGGAGTGCCTCTGCATTGGGTGTTCACTTCAGCCATCGAAGAGCTGGATGACTTGGACAACTCGGAGTCCTCGCTCACCGAGATTGAATCTTGAGCAACCTGACTGCTCATGGCGCAGAGGGTACGGACGGCGCCGAGCGCAAGACGGATGCAACAGACATAAAAGACACAGAAGAATGCGCAGGTGCACGATACAAGAAGAAATATCGCACATGCAACGGGATATCACAACCCGCATCATGTCCTGGGCACGGCGGAGAGGCGTAGTAAGTCTCAAATTGTGGCAGCAGTCAACTAGTTCTTCAACATCGCGCTGCTCTTGGCGCCATTTCCCACGCTCGGCCCGCCAATTCTCTCCTCTCTGGCCCGCAATTCTAGACGAGAAACCGGAAGCCGTGCTCGACCGCCTCTCCCGGCGCGGCGTTGATGGCCCCCTCGACGCGCTCGCCCCTGTCGAGCTTCTTGTTGAGCCTCACCAGCATGAGCTTCAGCACAAAGGCAGCCGCGATGGCCACGGCGCACAGCACGCAGTTGTGAATGAAGGCGCCGGTGTAGCCCGGCTTGGCCGACTTGGGGTACAGGTACGCCGTGTAAATGGACGTGGCGTTTCCCACGGCGTTGATGAAGGCCAGCGCCGCGGCCCTCTTGGCCGGCGGGCGAGGCAGCGTGTTGCTGATCCACGCCAGCGCGGTGGTGAAGCCGCTGTACAGCCCGGGGATCTACAGGGCGGGTCAGCTTCGCGACTCACTTCGGCAGGTCAAGGTGGCCCTGGTAGGCACTCACCATGAGCATCATGGCGGTGTATCGCGCGGCCGTGTTGGTGGTGGCGGCGGCGATGATGAAGGTCACCATGGCGAGGCAGAGCGGCAGCGTGATGTGGTAGAAGCGCTCGCCCGTGCGGTCGGCGTGCCATGCGTTTGCGAACGTGGTGATGACGCCGAGGCAGTAGGGCGGCGCTGTCAGGAGCAGCGTGATGACGTTGCTGTATTTGAGCGTCGCCACGACGGTCGGGAAGAAGTTGGTGATGGATGCGGCCGAGATGTTGCCAAACAGCAGGACGAGCTGCACGCCTTTTCTTAGCACCCCGTCGCGTCTCACACATCTGGCCGCGCAGGGAGCTCCTCCAGACTCACCAGAACCCACATCTTGACGTCCTCGAGCGCCAGCTTGAAGCCATGCCAGAACGTCTGCTCCTCCGAGCTGACCCAGTCGTCCTGGCCAATGTCTTCCTCGAGGCGCCAGGCGGCCAGCGCCGTCTCTTTCTCGTCAAGCCACTTGGTGGTGCGCGGGAAGTCGGGCAGGATCCAGAAGGCCGCGATGGCGACGACGATGGTGATGGCCCCCTCGATGATGAAGAGCCAGCGCCAGGCGCGGAGGCCCTTGGCGCCGTCCATGTTGCTCGTGATGCCCGCGGCGATGAGGCCCGAGAAGGCACCCGAGATGAGGGACCCGGCGTACAGGTACGTCGTGCGGACGCTGAGCTCCTTGCGCGTGTACCAGCAGCTCAGGTAGTAGAGGCACCCGGGCTGGTTGTCGACTGGCTGTTAGCCGAAGGCGCTTGGGGGGTTTGTGTCCTTGGGGTTCGCGCTCACAAAGTATGCGGCCTCGACGAAGCCGAGGAAGAATCGTGCCGCGACCAGGCCACCAAATGAGTGGCACGCGGCCGTGGCTGTCGAGATGATGCCCCAGACGGCCATCTACATGGCGGTCAGCGACAGGCGCAACGAGCACGGAGGCGAGCAGCATACGCAGGCTGGGAGATATTTGCCAGGCTTTCCCATCTTGTTCAGGAGCAAATTGGACGGCACCTGCATGAGGAGATATCCCACAAACAGGATACTAACGGCGGTCTGTCCAAGGTCAGCAAATGGCGGAATCGCATGCCGCACAGAAGGCGTGGCCCGTACATTAAACTGCGTGCCGCTTTCGTTGAGCTTCAAGTCATCCTCGAGCCCAGCCAGCCGCGCCGACGCAATGTTGTTCCTAAGACGCAGGATGAGCAACGAGGCGCGGGACCGGCATCCACGGCGAGAGAGCTTACCGGTCAATGTAGTTGAGGATGTACATGAGGATGATCATAGGCAGCAGGCGAAGGTCAATTTTGCGGACGAGCTTCTTCTCGAACGCGTCGCGGTCCTCGGGGCTCATGCTGCGGATGATCTCGGGGGCTTGGAAGGGCCGCGGGCCGTCCTTTGTGCTGGCCCGGTCGAGGTGCTGGAGCTGTTCCTTCTCGATGGCGACGTCGTTGTCGGCGGCGCCGTCGACAGCCGCCGGCGTGGGATCCATGGTGGGCTTGTTCTCCTGCTCCGCCATGTTGACTTGTTCTCTCTGCTCGCAACGCCAGCGAGCGAGCGACGAGCGACGGTCGACCACAAGAGGCTCGTTTGTACTTGACGGAGGTGAGAGGATGCAAGGGGGGCGCGGCGTGGAGTTGAGACGCGGTGAGCTCTGGGTTGCACCAGGCCCGCCGAGTGGCACGGGAGGAAACCCGCCAATATAAGTGATGGGTGCGTTGCGTTGCGTTGCGTCCCATCGAACAGGCCCGCGAGCACCGTGTCCGTCTGGCGGGATTCGTGCGCTTTCCCTCCCTCCGTCCCCCCCGCCACCCAACGATAATACCCCGAGGTAGGACCTCGAAGCAGCAAGGATCACCACCCGCCGCAGACGAGGCACGGACGGACAGCTCCCCGTGCCGACATGCACGTCTGGACAAAGGTGGCTGGCTGGCTGGCTACAGAACTCGGCGCGTCCATCGTACGGGAGCTGCGCCGCCGGTCTCGCAGAAAGCAACGTCGGTTGCCGACTCAACGAGCCGCCATCTCATCATCAAAGATCACGCGCTGGACAATCAGTCAGCGTGGTGCGCGACTTGGCATGTTGCTGCCAGCGCGGCCGTGGCCCCCCGGACCGTGCGACCTGGAGCAGTCATCTTGAATCGGGCACTTGCTCCGTCGCAAGTGGGACTCGAAGAAACGCGGGGAAACCGAAGCACCAGGCAGGCAGCTCACATCATCCGGTCGTTGAGCCGGCGGACCCCACGGGGCGATCTGCCGGGGAGGGGGATGAAGGTTTGTTCCTTTGTGCTTCCGTGGGGGTCGCGCAAGGGGGCGTGGCAAGGGAAATCAAGCATGTCCCGGTCGCTGAGTATTTGCTGCTGCAGATCTTCCTTGCGTGGGCGTGCCCCTGCAAGCCCGCGGTTTGAAAGGGAATAATGCGTCTGCGGGCGCGAGTCAAGCAAGTCTGTACATACGATATGAGGTCTTGAGCTCTGCCAAAGTCTAGTATAATTTACTGAAGTATACGCAGGCACGTAGGTACACACCCAATGTACCCCAGGCGGTCGGCCATTGCATCCTGCTGCTGCTCGGCCGCTGAAAAAACAATGACGATGCTGCCAGCCCCAGCCTCGAGACGCGATACTAGGTAGCGCCTAACTACCAACGTTAGGTACCCAACGTAGTAGAGGTAGGCCGCGTGGGCAGTTTTGCTCCGGGGCGCCTCATGGCCTCCCCCTACGTCAGAGGCTGTGGTGAAATGTGCCCAACCTGGAATACTCGTCGCCTGGCAATATGCCGGATCTACACGTCGTCCTTGGCACGGCAGGCAGCTCAGCTAGCAGCCAACGCCACTCCGATTGCCAGCTACGTAGCGGACAGAAACCCGGGCGGAGCCGGGGACGCGCCAGGCAGGCCACTTCAGTGTGTGCATTGCAACGTACTCGCCGTGGGTGACAGTACTTACTACCTCAATTCTTGCCAACGCTGACCCGCTGAGATAGAAAAGGCGAAACAAAACTTGAGGCGCCTCGACACCGCCTTGAACTACTTGCTAACGCAGCGAGCTAAAACTAACACGTCTAACCAGAAACCCAACTTGTTTGTTGCCCTAAAACGCCAGCTCTAACGATGCGTCCGTCTCTCGGCAAGCAGCCTCTGCCCGTCGGTCGGGCGGCGGCGGCCTCGCTCCTCAGATCAACTCGCCCTCGCCCTCCTCCACCACCTCGTCATCTTCCTCCCAGTCCACATTCGCCGCCATCTCCTCTGCACGTCGCTGCACCTCGGCTAAGCCCGACAGCTCGGCGACGTAGTCCTTCTCCTGGAGAGCGCGCCTCACGAAGCTCCATCCGTCCTGGCGGTAAGCGTCCAGGACTTTGGGGCTGCAGGCGCTGCAGCTGTCGTACGACTGTCCGCGGATCACCATATTCTGAAACGTAGACACGAAACCCCGAATCTGATGGGGCACGAGGCCGAGGGGGTGTTCCGGGGGGTCTCGCTCGGGAATCGCGCCGTGGCTGATCTGCGGCGCCGGAGCGTCCTGCCGCAGTGGGTGTTGTAAGAGGCTGGTCAGGAGCTCCACGAGGAGGGCCGAAGCAATGGCTGCGACTCCTGGTCGAGTCACCGTACATTGCTGGTCGAGTGTCTGATCCTTCATCGACTGGGCTGACTGTTAGCTAGGCTCTTGCCAACGGGGGTTTTGCGTCTTGCACTCACATCAGCCGGAGCTACGACGTCGTTGCAAAAGTAGCAGCCTAACGACGGCTCGCCTTCCTTGGCTTCGGATCCATGTCGCATCACCACGTATGAGTCGAACCCCAGCGCCGCATTCATCACAATCTTTCCCGTTGCCTTTCCAATGACTGTCGGCAGCCATCGCGACTCGCGACTATCCATGAGCAAGAAGATCACATCGTGCTCTTGGATCAAGCCCTCGAGCTTCTCCAAGTCGGCCTTGGTCTTGGCTTCGTCTGTAAACGGGTGACCAAGCATGGGTACTGACAACGAGTGTCCTTCCGTTTCCACCCCTGGGTAGATTCTCTCCAGCATAGCTGCCGCTTGAGCCGCCTTGGGCTTGCCGCCGTCGGTGCAGTCCTCGAATTCGAAGAGCGGCTGTCGCACCGGGTTGGAAAAGGAGACCCGTCCGTAGTCGACAAACGTAATCTTTCGGACACCCCAGCCAAGTAGGTTTCTCGAAACATAACCTCCCAGAGTGCCTGCTCCAAGCAAGAGGCACTTTGTGTTTTTGATGCCCTCGAGATCGAGCTCAGGAGCGAGCCGCCACTTCATCAGTTTGAGATTCAAATCGACGGAAGAATCGGCCAGTCGCGCCGGGTCCATGTACTCCCCGAGGTTCACTTGCTGGGCCTGAAGCTTCCCGTTCTTGGACCTCTCCCATCCTGTGACTTTAGGCATCTCGTCAAGCTCCATGGTGTCGACAGCCTCCATCTGGATAGGTAAGACGACGCTGCGCGCTTCGTGCCTCTTCGCCCACGTGTCTCTGTAACACAGAATTTTGACCTTGGAGAGGTGGAAGCGTTGCCGTATGAGGACCAGGAGATTTCGCAGCGGCCAGCCGGGGCCTTCGGGATATGTTGACGGATCGACAAAAGCGACGTACTGGTCTTCCTCGGCGACGTTCTTGAAGAATCCCTCTTCAAATCGGCGCAGTGATGCCACCTCCCACTTGAAGTCGAGTTTCTGTCCCGCCTCGCTATCGTCGGTGTCACCCGCCTGGCCACGCACCTTCTTGGCAAGAAAAAATCCATGCTCGCGGCTGTCGACGCTGTACCGCCACGTCCCCACTCTGTCGACGAGCGCGGTGCTCTCATCCGCGCTGAAGCGCTCACTGGGGCCAGACCGTTTCCACTGGGGATCCGAGTGCAGCGCAGGGAAGGCGAACCAGTACGTGAACTTGTACTTTTTGAGATCCGCGTACGAGAGGATGACAAACGAAGAGAGAAGCGAGGGGACCGAGTAGATGGTGCCATCGTTGATGGCGTCCCAAATCTTGCCATGTCAGTATTGATTCGCAAGGGCCAAGGGGGACTTGACTTACCTGTCGTCCAGCCGTCTTGAGCATGGCGGCCTTGTCCATGTTCTTGAAGCCCTCGAGCGTGTTCACATTCTTGATGATGCCCTCGCCGCGCGCGGATCCAAGAGGTGAGCTGTCCCGGTCAGCAAAGTGAGAGAACACGGAGGAGCATGGATTCAAAACTCACTGCTGGCTCGTGAGGGCGTTCCCAAGAATCTGCATGCGGCAGCTGGCCTCCGGCTGCTCGACGCGAGGCTCGTACAGGCCCAGCACGTTGCGCGCCGAGTCGTCCAGCTTGTCATAGTCGAGCTTGGACGCAAAAAGCGCCGAGTAGAAGGGCAGCTCAATCTCCGACGTAAACGTCGCGAACTGGAGAGGAGCTGCCATGATGGCTGCGCCGACGTCTCGACGGCCGCGCGCGGTCAGGCAAGATGGGGAGACTGCAGGTCCGCACCGTGTTTGACGAGCGGAGCGACAAAGACGGGCGTGTCGGCGAGGAGGAAACGGCGCGCAGGGGACGAAGACTGCTAATCTCTGAAGCTGCTGATGAGGAGTCGCCGTGGGGTAACGAGATGGGTCGCGATGAAATGAGGGCGTGCGCACGGTAAAGTAGGCGAGATGTCAGATGACGGAGCGTAAATAAGCATCACGAGCTGAGGTTCCAGGCAGATGATGCGGCGGCATGAGTCGACGCAGGCGCTGGGCGGCTGTCGATGCCCCGCCGCGGGGTCGCAGCTACCTTCCATTAGTGCCTGGGGTAGCCCTGCGCGCCGCCTGGCGGGCGCTCGGGTACCTTCCAGGTTCTGGCTGAGGCCAAGCTTGCTTAGGTACCTATGCAGACGGTTCCGCGGCGCCGAGGCAGCTTCGAAACGGATATGGATGACGCAGCCGAGTAACAGGAGCGGATTCCTTCGAAACGGTCCAACGTGCCTTCGCTACTTGCGTGTACTTTGAGGCCTCCTGCTAGATCCAGCGGCCGAGGAATAGTGGTCGCTAAAGGTTCGGAAATTTGCAAAGGTTCATGATTACAAATAATGCCGTCCCATCCAACAACAAGCATAACATCCGGTATGGTGTAGTGGCTAACATCGCTCGCTCTCACCGAGCAGCCCAGGGTTCGATTCCCTGTACCGGAGAAGATTTTCTTTTTTGCCCTTGAGCTCACTCAAGAGCCAGGATCCTGCACGTCCTTGCAAGTAGCTCTGCTATATAATTTGCCAATTTTTTTGGTTTTTATTCCCGCTTTCGCCGTCCGGACCAAGTGAAAAGAGAGGGTCTGGTCCATCTCCCTCATCAGTGGGGGATGCTGTGGTGCATTACGTGCTAGCAGTTTTGGAACATGTAGAAATATCCACCAGGAATCCTGCAGCACAGCGAGCGTCTAACGTGGCGACAAGGCCCGACGATGACCAGGTTTCTCATGAGCTGAGCGACTGTATCCATGGCAAACCCGTGATGATAATTCACCCCAGCTTGTCTCTCCAAGCATCCGCAGGCGACGTCCACACGAGTGCACCCATTGTACAGAGGCACGTACAGCGGGGTCTGGGGTAGGTAGCAGTACATAATACGTAGCTACGAAGTCGGCCGAACGGGATGGACTTGCGGTAGCCAAACGGTCTCTGGCCTGATAAGGTACCTTAATCATCTGCCGAAGATCTAGCCGTCTCCAGCGCAGCTATTTGTCCACCCGGTGGTTGTGTAAATGCGCCTGTTGCACTTCTAATGCCGGGTAACTTGCCAGCGTTACCACTACTGCGGAGCAGTGCGGCAGGAACACAGAAGCCTTCTACGTGCGTCTATTAGCAGCCCAGACATCTGCATGTACCGGAGCATATGTGCGATATCGCCAAGTCAGCCCCTCGCCTGCTCCAACCCGGGGGGGCGACATCGGGACCCAAGCCCAGCATCTTAGGTCGATGCCATAAAGCGCCCCTTCAGCATAGGTTGCTCCAGATGTCACGGATCGAACAGCCATGCAACGCATCAGGAATGCATAACTGGCGCATGTCCGTCAAGGACGGACGGTGTACGCGACAATATACTTTACCACACCCGTACCCGATGGGACCTGGCGGCGGCATCCATCTACGTCAGCCGATGGACCCTTAAAACTATGTCGCGTGTTTGCGCGACAACCCCCCCACATTTTTAACTGCCGACGCCTCACCCACGCGTCAAGCCGCGCTTCTCACCGCGACACCTGCTGCACGAGGCACAACGAGACCCCACGTCGCGCCGTTGAACCTCGAAGCAAACACTGGCGGAATTGGAGGGCTCACGATGCTGATTGGAATCTGCGGAGGTGAACACCCAACTTTGCCATTGGCCATCACCGTTGTTGACCTGGACGCTGACGAGCCGGCTATCTTGCAGGCATCTGCTCGGGCAAGAAGACGGTGGCCCAGTATCTGGTCGAGCACCATGGCTTCAAGCATCTCTATCTCGCGCAAGCCAACCCAGCAGAGCCTCCGCCCGGCAACGAAGAGTCGAGCTCGCCCTCGCCACCGCCAGCGGCCTTCAACGGCGCCCTGACGTCGAGCGCCCTTGCCCCCTCCTCCCCCGTCGACTCCGACACCAAGAACCACGCGTCGACGGCGTCGCTGGCGCTGCACCCTCGGTCGTCGCCGCCGCCGCCGCAGCACTACACGTTCGCGTCCCCCGAGGCGCTGCTTGAGTTCGTCACCAAGCGCTGGCGCAGCCGCTTCGTCACGACCGACATCCCCACCGAGGCGGTCCTCGACGTCTTCGTCCGGCGGCCCTTCTTCCTGCTGCTGTCCGTGGACGCGCCCCTGACGGTCCGCTACCGGCGCTTCCAGCGGCGCGCGCTGCGGCCGGGCGACGCCGACGCGGGGCTCGACGAGTTCGTCGCGCGCAGCGACGCGCACCTGTACGACGCGCACGAGGGCTTCCAGCCGCTCATCTCGCGCGCCTCGGTGCGGCTGCTCAACACGTCGAGCTCGCTGGCGCACCTGTACGCGACGCTCGGCAAGCTCGACATCCCGAACCCGGACCGCCTCCGGCCCGGCTGGGACACGTACTTCATGGCCCTCGCGTCGCTCGCCGCCCAGCGCTCCAACTGCATGAAGCGCCGCGTCGGGTGCGTCCTCGTCGGCCGCGAGCGCCGCGTCATCAGCACCGGCTACAACGGCACCCCGCGCGGCATCCGCAACTGCGCCGACGGCGGCTGCCCGCGCTGCAACGACGGCAGCGGCTCCGGCGTCGGCCTCGCCACGTGCCTGTGCATTCACGCCGAGGAGAACGCCCTGCTCGAGGCCGGCCGCGAGCGAATCAGGGACGGCGCCGTGCTCTACTGCGACACGTGTCCGTGCCTGACCTGCAGCATCAAGATCTGCCAGGTCGGCATCAGCGAGGTCGTCTACGCGCAGGGGTACAGCATGGACAGGGAGACGGCCGCTGTCTTCAGCCAGGCGGGCGTCAAGCTGCGGCAGTTCATCCCGGTGCGTTCATCTCTTGATATGGTCCCCCCCGCACTTGCCGGCGCATGTGCCGCATACTGACTCGCCTCTAGCCGCCCAATGGGCTGATACATCTTGAAAAGATGGAGTTTTACTGATGATGCAGTACTCGTACCTACATAATACCGTATCGTGCAGGGAGTGTGAAATGTAATGAGGCATCGTTATGTGGGCCAGGCAGCGCATATGCATAGCATGGGTCACACAAAGGCTCTGGAATTAAGCGGCATGAAATAGTGAGTTTGCGAAATAAGAGAAGCCGTTGACTCCAGTTGAGTCGTCATGCGCATGTGTCAATCTTGAATTGTTGCATCGGGCTGCGCGTTGCCCCCGCCGTGGTTGGGTGTCGGAATCTGGTACGGATGCCCTCGCACGCATGCACAATTCCGCCGAGCAGTGCGCTGGTGCGGGCCCTCGCGGAGCCACCACGGACTCGGTATAATCGACAGCAACATCCACATGTCAGTCGTGGTTTCTGGCATCCAATATTATCCTCCATGCGCACGCATCATACGTGCTGTCGCTGTTTCCCGTCGCCATGTCTGGCCGGGCAAGGTCCAGGGTAACGTGCCCTCAAACAACCTCGTTGAGACGCACGGCCTGACGTCGATATCGACACCACCATGCCAAAGGCTGTCCTGGCACACAATGGACTGACTGTAGCGATACGAAGTACAAGTACATATGTCCGTACGAACAAACACGCCACGGCTATGCGTGAGACTGGCGTGCACTGTCAACCTGATGATCCACATATGCACCGACACGCCCGTCCAGTTTGCAAAGCCGAGGCCGGGGGCCGGAACGCTCGACGTCGCATCTTGGCCACGGGCCGCATGCTGCCTCGATCACAGGGCGGGTTCAACAAGACGGCGCAGAGAAAACGGTGAGCACGGTGCCATGTGCCGGTGAGTATTTTTCTCGCTAGCTGCAGCACGCTCGTTCGATAAACCCACGGCGCCCATATGGCGGTCAAGCAGCAGACTCAAGATTCTCCACATGAGCGCAAACGTACACCGGACGGCGTGTGCAACACAGCAAGGATGGATGGGTCGGCTGAGTCCTGCGCGGCAGCACAAAATTTTCTTTGTCGTGCGGAGCACCACTGTGACATGCATTGCAGGTTGGGCATTGTGCACTCGTCTCGTCCTTTCTCGGGCACGGGCCAGGCCAGGCCGCCCCCGGTCACGAAGATGCACGTCAAGGAGTTCGTGTCAGTCTGCCGGTTGACCCCAGAGCCTCATCCACGCAATCGACACGACGATAACCTTGATCAGAGGATCAGAGGATCAGGCAATCGGCATCAACAGCGAGGCGCTGGTTGCGGGCTCGCTTGGTCGTGGGTCCCGACCCCGGACTATCGACGGGGAAGCGAAATGAACTTGCAAGGGGAAAGGGGGCTTCTTTGCAGAACCAGCATGAAGAAATCCCACGGCGTCAGGGCGCCGGCCGCCTTCATAATTAAATGCAATCTAATGCGCAATCTCGAAACCCCGTATCACTGCGCAGTGGAGAGCTTGGATAAAAATAAAAAACAACAACCCGATGGCGATGTTTTGTTGTTTGTTTTGATCATCAGAAATTGCCACACCACCCTCGACACGCGACCATGGGGGTGCGCAGAACTGATGCCAGCCTGGGCACAGCCCTGGGGGAGGACGGACGAGGCGGGGGACGAGGCAAGGGGGGCTGCAGATGCGCACTGCAGTGTGCGTCGAGCAGAGCAGAATAGAGCAGAGCAGTGCCACGATGCGAGCGCTGCAGTGCAGCAGCAGGTCCCACGGACACAACATTGGCCGTGTGTTTTGCGGGTGCCTGGGCTGGCTTGGCCTGGCCCAGGGACGAGGTTGGTTGGCAGTCGATGGGTTGACGTGCGCCTGGCGAAGACGTGCGACTCGGATGCTCGGCCTGAGATCCGCGAGACGCCCTTCCCTCCCGCTGCCAAACACGCAGGCGGCAGGATAACGCACTGCCGGGGAGCGAGGGCCTCGTGGACGGGTGGCGGTGGCGAATCGCGCGACACTTGGACGACCGGGTCTGAAACCGCCTCGTGATCGACGACACATGTCATGGCCAGGCGCTGGGTTGGCAGGCGACATCTGGCCGCCCGACCTCTGCGTCTGGCCTGGCCGGACCTGGCAAGCCTGGCCTGGCGGTCCAAGATGCCTCCAGCGGGCATTGGGGCCTGGCGATTCCATTGGGGCGATGGGGAGGACGGACGGCGGCATGGCGGATGCGGTCCCTGGATCCTTGGACCCTGGCTTGCCTGGCCTGGCCTGGCAGCGCGTCAGTAGGTGGGTCGCGCTGTGCTTGTGTGTGCGTGAGTGCAACGGCGGTGGCCGTCCAGACTGAGGCCAGGGCAGGCCAGGGCAGGCCGTTGCAGAAGCCGCGCTCAACAAGTTGCCCTCTGCTGTTCTGTCTCCCCGCCGGTCTCAGAAGCGGCGGGCCGCGGGACGGTTCGAGGCTCTGGTCTGGCAAACGCCGTCACAGAGTTCACGGGATGACGGGGTCCCTGGGGTGGCCGGGCCCATGAGTCGCACAAGAGCCGCAGACAAGGAGCTGCTTGATCGGAAGCCAGTGGCCAACGGACAGACCATTGTGCGTGTCTCGAGGAAACAAGGAATGCAATGTCTCGAGAGCGTGGGCAGTGAAGGAAAAGGTCCCTCTGCTCTGGTCTGGCCGGCGTCTCGTCCTGGTGCCTACGAGTACTGTACTCGCAGCTGCCACTGCTTGCCGGGGAAGCACTTGACGCGTGAAGGACAGCGTACAGCAGCAGTTGTCAGTTGCAACCAACTGCCTTGCTTCCTTGCTTGTATGTACGTACGTGCAGTACAGTACCTTGGGCAAGGTACATATGAACCGGGTGGCCCAGACAGGACCGCCCGCGGGGCCGCCAGGCATTTCTATTCGTGCTCGTACTTCGAGCAAAAAAGGTAGTACTGTACATCCTACACGCAAGGTCCAGTGCAGCGACAGGAAGGCACTCGAAGGCTCCAGCGACACCCCAGCACCACAGAGAGAGGGGAAGGACGGGGAGACAGTGAGAGGGGGNGCTTGCCGAGCGTCGCGTACAGGTGCGCCAGCGAGCTCGACGTGTTGAGCAGCCGCACCGAGGCGCGCGAGATGAGCGGCTGGAAGCCCTCGTGCTGTCTCTTATACACATCTAGATGTGTATAAGAGACAGAGCCCACTCTCCCCGCCCACCGCGAAAGACGCGTCTCAGCGCGTCGCGCTAGCCCGTTCGGGTAAGACGGTAAACAAATGCGTCACCCGCGATTGCGCCCACGCACCTGCCCGCCGCCCGCTGCCCGCTGCTCGCCAGGCGCGCCCGGCGCACGCTTGCCCCGACTTATCGATCGCTCCTGCCGGGCGCCGCCCAGTGTCCAGTCCCTCCCTCCATCCCAGCCAGTCCGTCCGTCCATCCATCCATCCATCCATCCCTCCATTACGGCAGAGCCCTTTTTTCCCTCGCAGACTTTGTACCTGCATTCCAGTTCGCCGCCTCTGTGCCTGTTGGCTTGCCCGCTGCTGGATTCCCTCTCGCACCCGACCCCGAGCCCTGACGAGCAGTCGCAACCGCAGCCTTGGAATCATCGACGCCTTTCCCGCGCGCGCGCGGTATGTGTTGAGAAGGGGAGCGTTGTCGCGCATCGAGTTGCGTCGAGTCCGCGGTAGGGGTTCGCATTCACGCAGTGTCAGCACACCAACACCAAAAAAAAGGGTCGTGACCCTCGCTCGCGTGTCCACGACGAGAGTCAGCGCGCAGCAGCAGACCAAGCGCTATGTGGTAGCTGCCTGCACCTAGTTGTACGCCATATACGCCATTCGCATTACGTCGCACCATCAACCACTTTGGGAGCGCCAGCCTGATCCTGCCGCTGCCACGTTTGTCTCTCCGATCGCCGACGGTGCGTCAGCGCCGCTTCTCTCACCTTCAGTCATCATTCCTGCAAGTCATGGGATAGGGCTGCCAGAGTGGCGAGACAGCCTCTGTTCGAAAATACACTCTTGCCGAACCCTGGGGCGCCATCAACGACGCCCATAACGACGAATCCGCCCGAGCAACTTGACGTTTCGCGCCGGACAACCTTCGCCCCGATACACGCAACGGCCGACAAACCTTATCGTTGTTGTTGCCCTCGAGCGACTTCAGACGACAAGCACGATCTTCACGTATAACTGCTACTGCTTGTACTTCTACCCCTCCACCTGCGCCAACATTCCGCACCGAAACACACCCTTCTACACAGCAGCCAACACCTGCATTCCATTCCTGCGCAGTCACAATGTCTTTCTCTAACGGTGTTGGAGGCACGCTGGCACTGCCATCGCCCACGCACGCCCATCACATGGACGTGACGCCAGGCATCCGCAGCCTGCGGCGCTCCATCTCGAGATCGCCTTCCAAGTTCTTGTCTCGCGCAAGTTCGCAGAGCTCCGAAGGCTCTCAGCAAGCTTCACCACAGTCGCCCTGTCGACGCTTTGGCCCAACACCACAGCGACCGCATCTGGCTCCCTCGCACCCGCAGACGGCTCCTCCAGCCGTGACTTCAGCGCACGCGTCTACCTCGCACCAGTCCTCGTTCACGCCGCAGCGCACAAACGTCCGGCTGTCACTTCGCTCTGCCAAATCCGCAAAAACAGCCTCGCCCTCGCGGCCGCTCGCCAGAGCCCGCGTTTCCCCCAGGAGTCCTCTGAAACGAGCCTTGAGCGCCGCGCCGGACGCGACCAACGTGTCGTACACGCCTTCGCCTTCTCCGCCGTCGACTGCTTCTCCCGGGCAGGAGAACACCGAAGCTACCTTTGGCACACTAACCCGCAAGAGTTCAGACCGGCCTGCGCGCCATAGCGTGCACATTGACGTTACCGGGATTGCGTCGCAGTATTCGTTTCTGAAAGCGCTGGACGCCAACAACGAACCGTACATGGTAACGACGACGGGCGCATTGAAGCGCAGTGATGCGACAATGAACTTGGACCACCCTCATCAGGGCAGCCCTGTTGCCAAGCGACGCAGCTTGCATGGGATTTCAAGCTTCACACAAACGGATGACTTCAACATCTTTGGCACCAACACGAGCAGTTCCCACAACTTCGACATTCACGAAGACTCTCAACCCGAGTATGAGCTGGCGGGGGCTGTGGAAGGCGGTGTCGACGAGGAGGAAGGCATTGCTGCTCGCGATCCCCTATTCTCCCCGTCACCCGTTTCCAATGTGCCGAAGCGGTCCTCCTCCCTGCGCAAATCCACCTTGCAGCAGCGACATGGCGACAAAGGTTCTTGGGGAAGGAGGACGGGCGAGCGTCAGCTTGCACAGCTGAGCGCCGAAGCAGCGACACCCGTTCGCAACAGACCCCGTCTGTCGACGGAGCATTTCTTGCCCCCGCAAGTCCCCCGCGACAGTCCCTTCTCGTCCGGCACACCGCTGCCCAACGCATCGACGCACGGCTTTGATGCCAAGGGCCACCAACCTCACCCTCTCTCGAAGTCGCTCACAACATCAAACTCTGGCAACAGCCTGACGGAGGAGCCGTCTAGCGACGCACCTGCCGTCCAGGCTGTGGAAAAGCCTAAACCACACCCATTCTCTCGTTCGTTGCCGCTCAACGCAACGCGACCAACAGCCCGCTCGATGTTCGACTATCCCAAGGCCGTTGCGACACCAAGTCAGTCCAATCAGCTTTGGTTCGGAGCCTTCAACTCGACGGGACTCATTTCCAAGGTAAATCGCAACCCGGAGGATGATGAGAAGAAGTTTGCGCCGCCAGACACACCTTGCAAGAAGCAGTCGAATCCGTTTGCGACCTTTCCCCCAATCTCGGGGAGTGCAATCAAAAGAAAAGGCAACAACCGGAATTCCTTTGCTGGCGTCCCTTCTACGCCTTTCAACAGGCCATCGAGTCGTGGGGCAGACACCTTTGGCCAGCCTGGAAAGGGCCTCTCCATCTTCCAGCGCGGTTCTGCGGCGAAAGGGTCTCGTCGTGGCAGCCTTCTCAGCCTGGAAGGCGAAGAACGAATGCTCTTTGGCGAGTCCAATGAGCTGTCCAATGCGCTCGACGGGGACATACCGCCCACGCCCACCAAGAACACGCTCACTCCCAGCTTGAGCAACCTCAGCGAGCAGTCGCTCGAGAGCCCGAGCGCGAACCGAACCTTCACCCTCCCCCTTTCGGCCGCGAAGCCTGCTCCTTCGCGTGAGTCAACGTGTAAGTCGAATCTCGACGTTGTCAGCGAGTCGACGGGCGGGGACGACGAGGCGCCAACACTGTGCGCCAGTCGGCCACCGACCATCGATCGCGAACCGTCCCCTACCCCCTGCTTGGCGCCGCGGCCGTCATTCAGTCGCTCGAGAGTCCACAGGGGTATCATGGCACCGTCTCCGCTCGCCCCTCAGACTTCACTATTGTCCGTACCCCGTTCGGAGAGTACATTTACTAAACTTGCATCTGTTGATCCAGCGAGTCCTGTTGACGGGCGGCGGACGCCCCAGACTCCCCAGGAGAGCTTGCTGCCTCTCGATACCAGCCGGTTGTCCATTTCTCAGGCGTCCGACAACCACCGAGAAAGCAGCATGCCGCCTCCCGTTACGCCCACAGCGGGCCGTGACTTTAGATCATCTACCAGCAGCATCTTCGTGACGCCAATCAATGGTCGCACAGGCAGCGTCGACGTCGACGCGAGCCTGTACTCGCGTTTTGACAAAGTCGAACAAGTCGGCCGCGGCGAGTTCTCCACGGTGTATCGGGTCACCAAGCTCGAGCACGCCAACGTGTTCTCGGAGGGCAGCTTCACACCCAGCCGCAGCCCAGCCAAAGGCCAGGTGTTTGCCGTCAAAAAGAGCAAACAAGCCTACCATGGCCACAAGGATCGGCAGATCAAGCTGCGAGAGGTCTTCGCCTTACAGGCGCTTACGCATGCCGAGCATGTGGTTCAATATGTCGACAGCTGGGAACACAATTTCCACTTGTATATACAGACAGAGTTCTGCGAAGAGGGCACACTGGACAAGTTTTTGGCCACTGTGGGATGCGGCGGGCGCTTGGATGACTTCCGCATCTTTAAGATCTTGCAGGACCTGTGCTTGGTGAGTGGCTGCACTCTCCTGCCTGCTTGCAACGAGCGGTTCGCTAACGCTGGGTACAGGGATTGAAAGAGATCCACGACATCGGATACATGCACCTGGACATGAAGCCGGCGAATATTCTCATCACCTTTGAGGGAGCTCTGAAGATTGGAGACTTTGGCCTCGCCCAGCCCAGTACGTCGCCAACCGAAGAGGTCGACGTGGAGGGCGATCGCGAGTACATGGCGCCGGAGATGCTGCGAGGAAAGGCAGGCAAGGCCGCCGACATCTTTTCACTGGGGCTCATGACGCTGGAAATGGCGACCAACTGCTCTCTGCCGGAGAATGGCCCTACTTGGGTCGCTCTGAGGTCGGGCGACCTCTCCGAGGTTCCAAGCCTTACATGGAACCCATCGATCGAGGTGCAGCGTGACGCGACGGGCAACCCGACGGGCCACAGTGACGAATTGCTGGACGAGGGCTCCCACAGCGCCAACAACCTCTTCGGGTCACTCAAGCGGTCGGAGCTGCGCCAGCCGCCCGAATTCATGGTGGAGTCTTTCCACCCTAGCTCGCTCGACTCGATCGTGAGGTGGATGACAACGGAAGACCCGGCGGAGCGACCCGAGATCCATCGCGTTCTGGAGCTCGAGGGCCTGCGCTGGGTCGCCGAGCATCGTAATGCTCCAGCCACAGTCTACGAAGGCAGCTGGGGCCCGGCAGAGATGATGCCTGTTGCGATTGCCTCTCTGGATGGCGACACGGAAATGACGGACGTTTGAGCGACAGTTGACAGAGGAGCCGGTGGACGCGGCTCCGCAACGGTCTGGAGATTGCCACTTGGCAGCATTGGACCAGCTGGCATCGGGAACGTCCAGCATACGTACTGGAAAACGTACAGGTGGATAACACATGGGAGTTTGGCGAGTCTATCACTGGGTCGGCGCAGGGAAGCAACATATCCTGTTTGAAGCGATGACGACCCGAAACTTTGCTTATACACTACACGACGAGGCCACGACACACGACGACAAGATATTTTCCTTTGTCTGTTGGGATGTGCCCTTCTGCGGGCTTTGGAGAAGCGGTTGGGATCACAGAGTCCCCGGCCAAAGATTCTCACGAAGCGCACTGCGTTGGGGGGACGGGCATCTCTGCTTGGTGTCGGCCTTCAGAGGCAGTGTCTCAGTCGAGGGGTGGCGGGGGAGGATTGCGTCTCAAAGCCGTGAGACTGCGTGTACAGAGTAACTTTTATGAGTACGTTGAAGAAACGCGGCCGGAGCACTGCATGACGATCTCAGCAGGGGCAGCTCTAGGCCATGTAGGGTTGGAGGACACGGGGTAGCTGTTCAGCGGGAGGCATCGGTAGAGCTCGTCGGGGCAACGTGGATGTCGAGGGCGACGGCCTCGAAGCCGGTCTGATTTGTTGCTCACGATTCTCACGATGAAATGGACTGAGCATGTTATGACTCACTGAGAGGCTTGCGTGATGCTTTGTTTGCCACTGAATTGAATGACCAAGGCCGAGTGACTTGCGCGTCTTGGTCGTAATTCGTGACGTGCGTGCCAACGACGACGCGATGGCGGCGGTCTGGTTGCCGTACCCTCTTACCCTTTAGCAGGTGATGAGGGGCTGCCGCTGGCTGCGTTACAGAGCACCAGCCGTAACAAGCAACCGCCGACATCAACCTACCTTTGTATTTATTCATGCCCTCTGGCCACTCGATACTCTTGGTGCACAACCCTGCCTCCGCCGCAACACATTACGAACCTGAGGTGAACCGACGCAATGACGGCATCATCGTTACAGGACGGCCAGGCCGAGCTGCCGACGCCGCGCAGCACGCACTCGTACTGGCACCGCGACCCGTCCAAGAAGCTGCTGGGCCACCGGACCACCACCGATCTGCCGCCCACGGCGGATGTAGTCGTCATCGGCAGCGGCATCACGGGCGCCTTTGCCGCGCGCGAGCTGGTCGCGGGCGGGAGGGGCGTGCTGATGCTCGAGGCCCGGGAGGCGTGCTGGGGCGCGACGGGGCGTGTAAGTCTTTGCCCGGCCTGGAACCCCCCCTCTTTGCCCGGACTTCATTTCTTTTCGCTGCCGATTGTGTCTTGCCGTGATTCGCTTTTCCTTTTCGCGGTCCGACTGGGTGGCTGGCTGAGCTGGGCTAACGCCGGCATCGCAGAATGGCGGCCATTGCCAGCCCATGATTTGGACCAGCTCCGCCGAGATCGCTCGCTTCGAGCTCGCCACGTTCAACCTCATCGACGAGCTCGTCGCCCAGCATGACATCCCGTGCGACTGGCGCGTCGTCGGCGGGATGCACGCCATCTTCGCGCAGGACGTGCTCGACGCTGCGCAGACGCAGATGAAGCGCCTCCAGAAGCACGAGGACCTCCGCGACAAGGCCGTCCTCATCCTCGACAAGAAGGAGCTCGCGGCGCGGCGCATCCCCGAGGCCTTGGGCGCCGTGTATCAGCCCAAGGCGGCAAAGTGTTGGCCGTACAAGCTGGTGGCCTGGCTGCTGGAGCGGCTGCTCGACGAGAACGCACCGCCTGCCTTCAACCTGCAGACGAAGACCCCCGTGGAGCACCTTCAGAAGAGCGGCTCCTCCTGGATCGTGCACACGCAGAGGGGCCAGGTCTGCGCCAAGGATGTCCTCCTCGCAAGCAATGCGTACACGTCGTACCTGCTCCCCAAGATGACGGGCCTCATCCTTCCCGTCCGCGGGCAGGTCTGCGCCTTGGAGCCACCGCCCGGAGCCGCGCAGCTGGCCCACAGCTACGTCTGGCTCGAGGGTTCCGATGCGTACCTGATCCACCGCGGCCCCGAAGACACGCAGGTGAGAGGAGACGAGCAGGCGGGTGTCCACTCCCGCCCGGTGGACAGGTCGCTCGTGGTCGGGGGCCAGCGACTGGCGGCGCCGGGCTGGGAAGAGGGCATCTCGCGAGACGACGCGGTCAACCCGATTCTCAGCAAGGCGCTGCACGGGTCACTGGCGCACACGGTCAAGCTGCTGCCCGGGGACAAGGAGGACCCCGCGAAGCTGCGAGCGGCATACGAATGGACAGGCATCATGGGGTATTCGCGCGACAGTGCCCCCTGGGTCGGGCGCGTGCCGGCGTCGCTGGTGAGCGGAAGCAGCAGCAACAGCAGCAGGAGCAGCAGCAGCGTCGTCGACGGCGAGAGTGAAGCCCAGGGACTGTGGATCAGCGCGGGCTACACGGGCCACGGCATGCCGGTGGCGGCGCGATGCGGCGTCGCGGTCGCGGAGATGATGCTCGGCAAGGAGGGCGGCGTGAAGGTGCCGCGGGGCTGGGCGCCCAGCGCGGAGAGGGCGGAGAAGGCACGGGGCATGGAGCAGCCGAGGACCAAGGCCGATATGCTTAGGATGCTGCCTGCGGAGTTTGAGTGACTTTTGGCACGAGTTGGGGATGCATAGAGTGATGGTGCAAGAGTCCTAGTGGGTATACACGACAATGGAAGCAGGCGGTTTGCGAGAATGTTGCGATTTCACAGGGAACGCACATCAAGAAGCATGATGTGAGAAAGCTAAGCACAGGCCCCGAAGTGCGCATGATGAATGCCAGCGTGGGCAGCCTTGGTGGTTGAGTGAAGTCGGGTCGGTCTTGAACCAGCATTGGTCGTCTGCGACGGCACACTGGAGGCGCTGCTGCCCATGGCCCATGGGGCTGCTCAGGCAAGCGTTCATTCGAACGAACCGTTCAGGGGCCCATTCGACCAGTTTACAGCGGCCGTTTCAAACTTGTGGTGAAAAGGCAAGGGAAAGGATGTCTAATGCTTGATTGTTCGAGTGCTCGTGCAGGGCGGCACGGAGAGGCAGGCTTCGCGCTTCACCAGTGCAGATGGCAGCCAGTCGCGACACGTTAAAGCGGCAGCGGGAGACCCTTTTCGCTGCCACTTCCGCACAGAGGGCGCGAGTATGACTGATGGAGATGAGGAGTCTACAGGCGCTTGGAAGACGCTCGGCCAATGATTTTGAGAAAGAGTGCCATCTTTCGTGTGGCCGAATTGCACTTGCCCTTCTAATCCCTCGGCCGCAGATACATATGCGGCTGCGGTGCCGCTTAGACGACCGTTTTTGTTTGACTCCAGTCTTGGGCGGTAAAATGTACGCAGGTGGCCGTCCACCATTTTGGCCAGATGAATACCCGGTAATCACCCGAGCGCCCAATCAGCGGCACCCATTTTGCAAGCAGCCACCACCGGGACCACGGAAAGCGATTGATGGAGTCTCGTTGACATTTCGAAAGCTTGCCTCCATCCAGAGTCCGACCGAGCCTCTCTCCTCTCGCCCACGTCCGCCCGTCCGCCCGTCGCCCTCTCCTCCGCCCCAATTGACCTCCCACCCCCGCGACCGGGTTCTTCGTCACGAATTTCCGCCTCTGCCAAAACCGCCCGACAAACAAATGGCGAGCAAGATGACGCCCTTCCTGCTCCGCGCCTCGCTGCGGACGGCGGCCTCGCGCGCTGCCGGTGGCCGCCGCGCCGTCTTCCAGGCTCGCGCCATGTCCGTCACGGCCTGCCGACCGAGCGACACCCTCCAAGTGGTAAATTGACCTTCCCGCCTCCCCCTTTCCCCTCCGGTCCCCCCCCGGGGTCCGTCCGCCGGGCCTCCCCCGCGCGGCGCGGTGCGATGCCTCCGCGCTGGCGGGATCGACTCGGAGCGCCGCTGGCTTTGCGCTGCGCTGCGCTGCGGCTGGGCCCCTTGCCTGTGCTTTGTTGAGGAAGGAGCCTTCAAGTTCAAAGAAAGTTGGCTGACTCGAGGGCCGCACGCGCGCCCGCGCCCGCTCCTCGCAGCACCGAAACAGCGCCAACAACAACCCCGACATCCCCTTCAAGTTCAACCAGCAGAACGAGACCATCATCGCCGAGATCCTCAAGCGCTACCCGGAGCAGTACAAGAAGGCGGCCGTCATGCCCCTGCTCGACCTCGGCCAGCGCCAGCACGGCTTCACCAGCATCAGCGTCATGAACGAGGTCGCCCGCCTGCTCGAGATGCCCCCCATGCGCGTCTACGAGGTCGCCTCCTTCTACACCATGTACAACCGCACCCCCGTCGGCAAGTTCTTTGTCCAGGCCTGCACCACGGTACGTTTGCCCCTCTCTGCGGTCTTTCTTTTTCTCTCGGGCTGTTCTTTCTCTGCCCCTCGAGGCCAAAACCACACGGTGGGCCGGCCGGAGGGCGTGGGGGGCCGTGAAGACTGGCCCGGCAGCGCTCCGGACTTGGTGGGCTGACCCTCTCGATCTCCTCCTCCCAGACCCCCTGCCAACTAGGCGGCTGCGGCTCCGACGCCATCGTCAAGGCCATCACCTCCCACCTCGGCATCAAGCAGGGCGAGACCACCGCCGACGGCCTCTTCACCTTCATCGAGGTCGAGTGCCTCGGCGCCTGCGTCAACGCCCCCATGATCCAGATCAACGACGACTACTACGAGGACCTCACCCCCGAGACCACCGTCGCCCTGCTCACGGCCCTCAAGGAGAGCGCCGCCGCCGTTGGCTCCTCCGCAAAGGTCCCCGCCCCGGGCCCGCTCACCGGCAGGCAGACGTGCGAGAACAGCAACGGCCAGACGAACCTGTTGGACGAGCCGTGGGGCGTCGAGAAGACGAGGTCGGACCTGTAGAACATTGTGTATCGTTGGGACAAGGTAAACGCTTGGGGCGTGGCAGGCCGGGAACCTGCATGGGGTCATGAAATCGGCAACGGAGAGCGCCGGTCTCATTGTACATAACGCTGTTGAAATACCACCAGGTATAGACGAGGTTTTACGCTTTTAATTTCCTTCCGACTCTGTTAGACAATCTCGCCATAAAGGCCGCACAAGACGTCCCTGATCCGCTGACAACAACACAAGCAGCCCTGCCCGTGTGAACTTCATGCGTTGGTCGCTAATTGCCCAGCCTCAAGATCCAACCGTCGCCTATGCGCTTGTTGTCCTCGCCCAGACCTCCCCAGAAGACGATGCCGCTCTCCTCCACGTCCGTCATCGGCGCACTCGCCAGCCAGCCCCTGGGCGCCGGCTCACCGTCGTCCGCCTCGTCGTCGTACGGGCCGGTCGGCACCTTGACCCACCTGCCCTCGCCCGTCTTCCTCCCAACGGCCTGCAGCATGGCATCCGTCAAGCTCGCGGCAGACATGCCTAGCGGTGGGACCTGGAAGGTCCACACGTCGCTGTAGAACGTACCCGCGCCGGCGTGGCCATCGGAGCTGGGGCTGTGCTCGCCCATGCTCAGCACGAGGTACTCGCGGCCGCCACCAATCGTGAGAGCCTGCAGCGAGGCGACACTGCGGGGCGCGGGCCAGGATTGGACAGCCTGGATCGGGATCTCGGTGGATGAGGCGTCGATGTTGTTGGCCAGGATGGTCTGCCACCCGCCAGGACGAGCATGGATGGAGATCTCGGCCTTGGTCGTCCGGTCGTTAAACGTGCCCAGCTCAAGGTGTAAAAAGTCGAGCTGCCCGCCAATCTCCTTTTCTCCGTCGAAGCCGCCAAAGCGGAAGAGCCTGCTCTTGCTGATGCAAATCGAAGTCCCACCACGGGATGGGCCGGGCGCCGCAGGAAGCTCCATCCAGGTGCGCGCGCGAACGTCGAAAGCCCACAGGTCGCTGGTGCGATCCCCATTGGCAAGACAGCCAGCATGGACGAAGAACGTACCATAGCCGTCAGACTCCTGGTCCACCGCATCTTCCGCGACGTTGCCGACGATGGGATCCTGGGGAATGCCGGTACGCGTCGTGTCGCCCAGCACCCACTGCCGCCAGGTCTTGGCCTTTGGCGGCGGCGAAGAGGCTGGATCCTGCGGGTGGTCGGTAGCGGTTGCGCAGTGATAGCTGCGAGGCGCTGGGTGAGGAATTATAGCACCGCCCTTGACAGCCGGGACCGGGTCGAGGAAGGTCCATGTGGAAGAGCGGGTGTCGTAAACCCAGACACGGCCGGCTTCCTCGAGCGGCTTCATGTCCGGGCCGCCTCGCCCACCAAAGAGGAAAATGCGCGACCCAATGACAGCCGTGGCATGGCCAACTCGAGGGGCGGGGACGTCACCGAGGTCTGGTCTGACATCCGTGGCGGGCTCCTTGCCCTTGCTCAGCAGGCTCTCCTCGAGCGGCACGTCGTCAAGTCCGGCCTTGGGAGTCACTGAGCCCTCCGTCTCTTCTTCGCGTTCCCGCTCCGTGTTCGGCGTCTGCTCCTCCGGCGCCGCTGGCTTGGCCTTGACCTTGTAGTAGTCGGCACCGGCGCTGCTAAAGGGCAGGCGGATGACGTGCATGTCGTTGTCGACGGGCTCGCGGGGGTTGATCTCGCCGCCGAAGACGTACGCCGAGCCGGAGACGACGTTGAGAGAGTGGGAGGAACGAGGCAAGGACGGGATGTCGATGCGTTCCCAGGTGCCCTTGAGGCCGTTCTTGTCCTTTGGTGACGACGGGTGCGACTCGGTCTGCGACTGGCGCCGAAGCAAGGGCATCTGCATCTGCGGCATTGCGGGGAGGTTCTGCTGGACCTGCTGCATCAGGTCGGTAGAGCGACGCTTGAGCTTCGTGAAGGGCTCCATCTTGGGCGTGCTGTTGCGGGCGCCCTTGCTGTACACAAGTCGTCAACGGCGGCAGCGCGTGAAGCGGAGAAGGACTCGAGCAGGAACTGTGGCGGCGGTGCTGCCTGTTGTTGTCGAAGCGGGAGGGTGAGAAAATGACGTATGTAGAGCATCAAGCTCCAGGGACCCGAAAGCGCGCAGAAAGCGACTCGCACCCAGGCAGCTCAGCTCGGGCAGCTCTCTTTGTCCAGCGCGGCAGGCGTCGTAATAAGCGGAGGCTTAGCGGACGGACCAGGGCTATGGTGGATGGCGCTGCAGGCAATTGGGTGCCCTGCTTCTCCATCCGCAGGGAATGCAGGCCGGCTTTCAGCCATTGGGGCTCAGCAAGCATGGCACCTAGTCTTGCCGTTGCGGGCGGCTTTGCGGGGCGCCGGTGAGGGTTCAGGAACGGCGGCGGGCTGGCCTCTGGGACTCGGGCTGCCCTCTGCATGGCCAAACACTGCATTAAAACTTGGCGCGAACAGTGGAGCTGCGGGAGGACATGAGATGGATCGGCTCGCGGGCTTGGCATCTGGAGAACGGGCTCGTGCTTGCCTGGGGGAGATGTGAGACATGCCTGCAAGAGTGCAGCTGACTTACCTTGATGTTTGTAGGTGTCAAGTTGGTGATGAATGAATTGCCCGCGGGCTTGGCCAAAATGTAGGCTGTTCATCTGATGCCGTCGCGCAACCGAAGGAGCGCCCCTGCTCTTTCCTCGTTCCCGTTCCCGTTCCCTTGACTGCTCAGCGGACAAACAAAGGCAGGTGCGCACTGCGCAGCACTAACTTACTACCTCCAGGTACGTGCCACTGGCGATGTTGCGACTCGCTACTGCCATTCTCGGTCAATTCATCAACCATGCCACGCCGATCCACGCCCATCTTCCTCCCCCAGGCCCTGCATCATCGTAAAAGCCTCGTCGTCAAATGACCTACACTACCCATCGATGCGTCTCATTTTGGCCGCTGGAGTCTGCCGTCGACAGACATAGAAGCCCACATCGCCGCCGCCCCTGCCTCCACTGGCAGTGGCACAGACCCGCAGCCGAGTCCGGCCCCGCAAGGGCCTCGGGGATGCCTTCACGCTCCGACCATAACCTGTTTCGTTTCATGGCTGCGTCCACCAAATTTGGCATTCCAAGGCGAACAGGTTGCCGTCACTTACTCGTCCTAGACAGGGATATTTACACTTTGCAGGACATGAGGCACGCGACTGCCGTGGGCACCACAGCCTGCAGCGATGGGCTTGCACTGCCTCCGGCCGTTTGTTGCCTGACCGTGTGACCGTTGGTTCGAGGCTGCTGCTGAGGTCTGGCCCTTCCCGCAAACCTCGTCTCTGCCTGCGGATCCTTGTCTCGCCCGCAGCTGAATTGGCGGTGCAGTCTGCGTGATGCTGGTCAGCCCGTCTCCGTGCCGAGGCCGAGGCTCGTGGCAGATGCAATGAGCGCAGCAACTGCATCGGCAATGAGTCGTCAGGCCTTCTCGTGGCCTACTTCTGTCGGCAGCCAAAACGGGTGGCGCTCAATGGCGTCTGTACGACAAACCTCGCGAGATGACGGCCAGCAGACCAACGATGGTCCGGCGCTTATGCACGTCCCCTGTAGCTCAGCAGCAGCCGCGATGCCACCCGTCCAGCCTCGAATCGAGACCGGGAGAGCCTCATAACGGAGTCCCTCCCGCCTCAGCCGCGCGCCGTATTTCATGCTCGAATGCCCCCGCGTGGCTTTCGTTCCCAAGAGCTGGCCTGCGACTTCGCACCCACACTCTGACAGCTGCATCGTGATACGCCTCATGACCCGCGACCATGGAGGACATGTACCAGAACTTGAGCTTCCTTGACCAGTGGAAGAACGGTTCTACAGACGAGACATCATTCAAAGTCACCGAATTATGGCTCCAGAAGACCTCAGGCAAGATCTCGGCCAAGGGTCAGACCGTCGAGGCTGGGGGCATCAACCGCTGGCTGTCTCAGCGAACCCGTGGCTTGGGTGATCAAGAAGAGTCGGTCATCCTGCGAGTCATTTGGGCAGACGTCAGCGTCCAAGACAAGACCATCAACATATCCGAGGCGGTTCGAGACGAGCTGCTCGACAAGTTGGGCCTCAAGCTCGCTCACGGCTACTCACGTTCCCTCATTTCAGGCGTCACAGCATTTCCGCCTCGCTCCTCGGACCCAGCCCTGGACAGCCGCGCATACTCCATCTGTTACATCCCTAAACTTGCTGCGCTGTGGTCACATACCCGCCCGACCATGCCAGATGGGCCGCCTCCCATCACAAACTGCATCATGTTTGTCCAGAAAGATGAAAAGGCGGGGCTGCAGCAGTGCCTCAACATGACATGGGATCTGAATATTTGCCGCAATCCCATGTTTCCCGCTTTTGCCCTCGCCCTCCTCCTAGGCACTCAGATTGACAAGTCCAACGGAGACATCAAAGTCCAGATCCGCAAGGTTGAAAAGCGCACGGGTTACTCGACGTTCACCAGCAGACAGGCCGACAAGCCGGCCGAGGAGGAGCTGGGCGAGCTGTCCGCCCAGACTAGCGGGAGTGCCGCCAAGCTTGCCAGCACGATGAGGAAAACGAAGAGCCTGGAGAGAGTGCTGGACTGGATCCTGAAGATGATTGCCGAAGAAGAAGGTCGCATGCAGCAGATCCAGACTCAACGCGGAGGGACCCTTGCTGGAGAGCAGTCCATGCAAGAAGGATGCGATTTGCTCAAGGCCCATGTGGACATAGTCAGAGAACGGTCAAAGAATCAGTTCCTGGACACCGAGTACACTCTCAAGAGGACCGAGGTCCAGGTGGACGCGGTGAGGAAACGTTTATATCGTCGTGCGCTGCCTACCTGCTGACACGTCAACAGCTCTTCAGCATCATCACCCAGCAAGACAGCCTCCGCAACCTTGCGCTCGCCCAAGACACCCACACAATTGCCTATCACAGCTATCGGGACTCGTCGTCAATGAAGACGCTCGCCGTCGTGACCATGTTCTTCCTCCCCGGCAGCTTCATCTCGGCCCTCTTCTCGACGGCGTGCTTCGACTGGGATGCGGCAGACAAGCACGGCGGCGACATTGGCGTTCGCCCGACGCCCCAGTTCAGGCTGTACTGGGCCATCACGATACCCCTCACCCTCATTACGTTTACCCTGTACTTTCTCTGGCTGTGGATCCAGAAACGCGACAGGGATCGCATCCTCGAGGACAAGGCGGCGCTGCGTCACGCCCAGAGCGAGAAGGAGCGGAACCTGGAGGAGGCCGAGGGGCACTACCTCTTGCGGAGGAGGCAGACCATGGACCCGAGGCTGCAGACGCTGTACAGCACGTGGAATACCAAGTAAGGCCGTCGGGCTCGGGAGGGTTGTCCGGTGCCCGCGTGGTGGAGCGTTCATGAATACATCGGCCTGTGTAACTTGGCGAGTCGGACGTGTGTTGCGTTGCCACGTTGCCGTTTCATAATGTGTGTACACAGTAACGACGCGATGCAGGTATGAGTGGGATTTGGGGGAGTTGCGTAGCCAGCCCCCAACAATGAAAGCGATGACATATCACATGAGCCAAGTCACAGCGAAGGCAATGTGTGAATCGAGTTGTTCAAGTTGGTATTAGAGAAAATCGGGTAGGTTTGACGATACTTGAAAGCTGGACCAAAGAATATTGCTCTCGGTATCTCCTCTAGATGACAAAATGGACGATGCAATGCTCTGGTATCTAGTGGTTGTACACTGTACAGCACAAATGAAAATGGAGGAGTAAAAAAGACAGATGGGGACGACTTGTGGCTTTCATATCTTCACAGAAACACCTTGAAACTCCCACTCCCGTCCGAGAGGTGGTTCCCCGACTGGTCCCTGCTCCACGTCATGGGCAGCGTCGGCGGCTCGAGGTCTATCGATGAGGCAAAGCCGCTCTTGTTGCGCGGCATCTGCGCGGCGCTCGAGTCCTCCTCGTCGCTGTCCTTGGGGACCAGGCTGATGGACGGGCGTATCGGCCGTGACGGGAGGGCGTCATCCTCGGTCCACTGGCTCGAGGCGGGCTCCGGGCTCGCTCGCTCGCCTGGCCGGGCGCCGTCCCTGGCGGTGCTTGGCCGGGAGGGGTGGAAGGGTGCCGACTCGACGAGGGATTTATACGAGGGACTCGGGCGGCTCGTCACCGTGCCGCGGTTGCCAATGACGCGCCAGTTCTCCGACGAGCCAAACGAAATGTCTGCCGTCAAGTCCCTGCTCAGCATGGCCGAGTCCGCATCGTATAGCAGGCTAGACTCGGCGGGCCGGGAACCCAGCACTGCCCTGTCGGGTTTCCTCAGCTGGGATGCCGTCTCGCCGACCTCACTCTCGGCTATCGTCTCCCAGTTTGGCGCGGATGGGTCCTCTGTGAGCACCGTCTTCTGCATGCTCTCGAATCCGGCTGGCAGCGCCGCCGAACTCGAAGTAATCGTGGAGCGGGCATCCAAGCTCTGATGCGACCCGATTCGCTTAGGTGGCTTGTACGCAATCGCAGTTCCAGGCGGCACGCTCTCCATGTCCGCTAGTGTAGGTATGGTAAAGTCCAGGCCTGACCTGAAATCGTCGTTCCGGGACTCGGCGAGGAAGCTTGGCGTAGGCAGGATCTGGTGTGCAGGTCCTGCAAAGGTCGCTTCTGACATGTTCGTCCGCGCAGACTTTACGCTTCGGGCCGCAGTCGTCGCGGCGTCCCCCTCTACCGTGATCCACGATTGCCTGCCATCGTCGCTGGCGGAGCCGTTTAAGCTCCGGCTAGTCGCGGTCCTGACTGAGGAGGCGAGGAGAGCTCGCGGCATCTCGGTGTCGGAAATCGGTCCCAGAGTCTCCGACGACGGTCGCAGGGATGAGTGAGAGTTATCAGAGTGGACCACGGCGTAGCCCTCGTTGGGGGTCTTGGGCATGTGAGTCTCCGTGTGCGCAACACCAGCCATGTCTTCAATCTCGCGCATTGAAGGCTCCGAGCCGGTGCTATGTGAGCTGTTGGGAACCGGGTTCGAGATATTTCGGCGATACTTCTTGGACAGATAATTATTGTGGGCGCGTCGCCGCCGGAAAAAGCAGACCAGGGCCATTAACAGAACGGTAATGAAAATGATAGGGATGATGGTGGCCAGTAGAATCTGGCTCGTACTCATATGGCCGGAGGTCGGGGCATCTGTAGAGTCTGCGGAAGTTGTGTTGGTTTGAGTCGGCGCTTGCGTGGCGGAAGACGATGTCGCAGAAGCTGTTGTCATTGTTGTAGTAGTTCCATCTATAGCGAGGAAGTCTACACCAACTGTCTCTGTCTCCTTGAGAGAAGAGCTCCTCGACGAAGCCTCAATGGTGAGCTTGAAGGCTCCCTTTGCGGTTTTGGGCACCAGGCCAGAGAGCTTCAGACCGTCGACCTTCAGCCAGTCCTCGTTGGGGCTGGTGGTTACTTTGACTTGAACGTCATCCGGCGTCCGAAAGTATGTGGTCAAATCGACGTCAAAATCACTCCCTGGTCGAACTTGCAGGTCATCGAGGGTGGACTCGAAGAGGCCGGACGCTACGTTGACAATGACGATGACGTCTAAAGAATCGGCAAAAGGGTCGTGAAAGCTGACGGTAAAGTTGGTCGAGTGATCACCCGGCCCTGGGGTGCCTTGGATCGTGAGTGATTTCGGGTCCCAGGAAAGCCACTTCGGAACGTTGCTGGTGGTAACCTTCAAATCGCCTGCACCAACTTGCTTCCCATCCAGCTGGATTCCCCTTTCCAGGCCGTCATAGGTCAGCGCAGAGCCGCGGCTCGCGTTGAGAGTGACAATCGGATTGTCCGCCGTGAGCTTGTGGCTGCCGACAACGATGGAGAAAGACAGTGAGGCGGCAGAGAAACCGACAACATCCGAAGCGACAAGCTGCAAGTCGAATGTCTGCGGTGGCTGAACTAGAGACTCGAAAGGAGGTGTTTGGCCAGAGAATGTCAGGGTGCTGGCGTCGAACTTGACCCACGCGGGCAGGGGACTGTTGTTGCCCGAAGTCGCGTAATAGTTGAGTCCTGCCTTCCCGAAAGTATCTTGGTCGAACTTGAACTTGAACGGCGTCGACGGGTATGAGAGGATGGACGAGGGAGCGGAGAATTTGCCGAAGTTATCGATTTGCTTTGCTAGCGGCACCTGGACCGATGGTGGCGGGCTCCGAGATACAACGACGGTCGCGCTCATGGTTGTCGAACCCGTGCCATCCGTCGCGATGATGTCGACGGGCTGGCCGACGACATCCCCTTTGGTGACATCGGAGGCTCTCGGAGTTCCGTATAGACGTCGCGTGCTGCTCTCGATCGACAGCCAGCTTGGGTGGTTGCCGAGCGAATATGTGATCTTGGAGCCGGAGGTGAAGGTATACGGCGAGAAGGAATAAGAGAAGAACTCGTCTATCCGGGCAGCCAGGGGCAGCTGCGCGTTGAAGGGGAAGGAGATGGAAGGCTGGCAACTTGCCACCCCGGCGAGGAGCAGAATCGCGAGAGTCGCCAGTAGCGACGCCATCTTCTCACGACTGCAGCGCGAGAAAGCGCAAGATGGTGAAGCCGCGAGGGTGCCACGTCGCCATCCAGAGCACGAGATGTTGGGAGAGAAGAGAAGAGGAACAGTCACTGGGCAACCCGAACAGGAGACCGGAACATAGTGAACACGCACATGGGCGCGAGAGGGGCAGCATCTTCAAACAGGGACCAAGTCGATGGCTGGCCGGCCTGGCGATACAGCCCCCTTCATTCCTCAGACAAACGGGCCGCGGGGTCTCCCATTGTGTAGGCCGACGGCGCTATTAAGTGGTCGCAGAGAAATGCATGTCCCATGATGGCCAGAGACGAATGTCTCGTCTTGCATTGGATTCCACGTCAGCAGGGAGGGCAGTCAGAGAGGCAGGGGCGGGACGGGGCAGGCCACATAGTAGCATGGAGTCCACGGGAGGCTGGCCTGGACATTCCAAAGGGCGCTTCCTCCAGACCGGGGAGGTTGAAGGGTGAGACAAGATGGCTCTGACGACGGCGGCTGCCCGATGCTGGACAGCTGTGGCCGCCGTCAATGACGTGACGCCATCGAAGCCGTCTGGAGGTGGGAGACGCGACCGCGTAAATGGATTTCTTGTCCCCCGAAAGATTTAAGGGAGTAGATTGCTGCCGATGGATGTGCTGGCTAGCCTCTTCATGGTCACCGCACTCGCGGCCCACCGTCGAACCCAATTCTCCCTTGCGTCGGAGATGCCTGGGAATCCTGCGCGGCGCTCCGCAGAAACGCATGATAAAGCAGTCCGTTTCATGCAGAAAAATTCAATATCCATTCGACGCTGGGTTTATTTCCTCGCTGGAGAACCATGTCGAGCGCAAGTCGATCGCCGGCGTTGGTGATGCGATCGGCGAAGACGAGCAAACGCCAGCGGTTCAGCGTTGCGACTCGAAAGCCGACTCTCGGTCGGAGATGAGCGCTGGTGTAGCGAGGCCGGCCGGTCGAGTTGATGAATCTCAATCAGACTCATTTGCTCGCCGAGTCCAAGCTCTGGAGTGCTCACAGTCGCGAGCAGCATTGGCCACAGCCTGGCGGACGAAGTCATTTGGCGACACTTGGAAGCTGGAACACGAGCGGCCGCACGTGAAGAAGTGGAACCGCGTCGTCCCATTTTCCGGAGGCTGGGAACACCCAAGTCGCATGATTGCTTCTGATGATCTCGCCCTCGGGCCTTTCATATCGGCGTGTCGTTGCTCGTGGCGATAACAGCCTTGGTGTTGCGGCTCCAGCCAGTCACCTCGGCCCAACGCGCTTATCAAGGTTGTTAGTGCATTTGCAGCGAGCAGCACGACAACAGTAACGACCCCGTGACAGGACCGACGATAGGCTGCACGGGCACAAGAGAGGGTCTGGACCGCAGTCCAGAACAATGAAGGCGTGCGAAAAATGAGAGAGGACCCTGAAGGAACCACAGGGACCTCTGGAGGTTGAGGGAGGGGCGACAAAAAAGTCCGCGCCGCCTGATGCGGCAAGAACGACGCTGCATTTTCTGCACCTGCCAGCAGTCCAGGCTCGCCAGCAATTGCCACTTGGAACGGCACCGCACTTTCCTTTCCTTTTGTCTCGTGATTGCCTCTCGTCGAGGACGCGTCCTCAGTCTTTTGACCAAATGCCCTGCCGTGACAGCGCCTGCTTTGCGTGACAGTAGACCATGAGCACAACCACGACCACCGCCGGCATCGCATCTGCCGGCCCTCCCTCGGTCGAAATCGTCGCCATGAGCCGCTCGTCGTCTCCCGAGCTGGATCCCGTTGCCGTGAGCGAGGACCTGACGCCGCTGCCCAGCCTCAAGCAGGCCGGCGACAGCGACATCGACTTTGACGGCCAGCTCGACCGGCCGCTCAAGGTCCGCGAGGATGTCCGTTCGGGATGCGGGGGCCAGACGTGGCCCGCAGGTCTGGTGCTCGGGAAGCACATGCTACGGTACCATCGAGAGGAACTCCAAGATGCAAGAATGTACGTCTCACAACACCATCGTTCGGATCGCTCGGAGCCCACGCCGTCCCGGTTGGATGCTGCTTCACCGGTGCCGCTGGTGCAGCAACATGCGGGCAGCCAAAGGCACGTCGAGCCCATTTGCTGACTGAGGAACCGTGTGTCTTTACAGACTGGAACTCGGGGCTGGCGGCGGCCTGGTCGGATTGGCCGTTGCACTGGCCTGCGGTGGACGCGAAGGTCGCAGTCGGCTGCTTCTAACGGACCAAGACGAGATGCTGGAGCTGATGCAGCACAACATCCGGCTCAACGAGGTGGACGCGAGGGCCAGCGCTCTGGTGCTCAACTGGTGCGTTGTCCTTCCATTTTCGTTGACAAGTGATATGTGAGCATGGCGAGACATTTTCTGACGCGTGATGGTCTGATCACACTCGCATAGGGGAGAGCCGCTGCCAGATGCTGTCGTGCAACAAAGGCCAAACGTCATACTGGCGGCCGAGTGCGTCTACTTTGAGCCCGCCTTCCCGCTGCTGATGCAGACACTCAAGGACCTGTTTGTCCTGAACGAAGATGCCATCGTCTACTTTTGTTTCAAGAAGCGCCGGCGGGCGGACCTGCAGTTTGTCAAGATGGCGAAGAAGGCGTTTGTTGTCCAAGAGCTATTCGACGAGGACCGGCCGGTGTTTTCGCGCCAGTCGTTGTTCCTGTTCAGCTTCAAGAGCAAACGGGCGGCGACCAAGGCCAACGGAAGCGCCGGCAAGGAGGCCAATGGCTATTGCAGCAGCAATACGACAGTGAGGAGTTGATGAGAGACAAGGCCGCCCCGTGACCATGTGCTTCCCCGCGTCGTGCAACTACTGTACAGAGTACCACGGGGAGCTGTACGAGGTCTGAGACGGCATCGTGCGCCCCTCGCAACCACGTTTGTCTGCACTGGGTACTGAAACTGGCGGTTGGGTCGATGATTCAGGCAGGCTGCAGGCGGGCGCCATGGCGCAGAACACGTCGACCAATTTGCGCTCGGCAAGGTCTGGCGTCGGCCTGTCAGAGCGCGAGACCCAGCCAACGACATGCTGCACGATTTACGAGGGAGAGTCTTTTGCGACACGGCGAGCGCTTCGCAGCCACTTTGCGAGGCAAACATGGGCCGAGGCATCCATCCAGCGTGTCGACGGGCGACATAGAAGCTTGCACTGTGAGGTGTTACTCCCGACAGGCGGCGTCTCGAGGTCGGGCGGTAGAGCAGACGCCTGGACAGGCTCCGGCTGGCCGTCCATGGCCATCTGCACCGTATGACCCCGTATGCGAAAAACGGTGACGATCGCAGCTGACTGAGAAATACAGCAATCTTGGTTCAATACTGTGCGAGCCGAGGACGGTTCACCCTGTGCTCCAGGTTCGGGAGACAAAGGAGACGTGGGGGCACGTGGTGGTCCCGGTGTCGAGACGGGATCTCGCCTCCGGGCCGGCAATGACGGTTCACGAGGTTAAAGCGCGCACGCACTGCACGCGACACATGTCGCTGGGTGGCTCGGCTGGGCCAGGAGTCGAAGCCTGACTCGGAGGGCTGTCACAGTACGGGCGTTTGTACTGTGGTGTGCATCATGCAGACGGGACGGACTCAGACCACCAGCACCAGCACCACGACTTGGGGCGAGAATGAGAGAAAAAAAAAACTGCAGCGGGTTTGCGTGGGCATTTTTCCCGCCTCGACTCCACCCACCCAATCCAGGGCGCAAAAGGAAGACGCCTTGGACTGGGCGCAGTGGCAGTGGACGCCTCAGGCACAGGCGGGTTCCCATTGGTTGGGTACCTGAGCGGCGGCTGCAGGTTCAGCGCAGGTTCTGCGGCCGGCCGGCGAGTCAGCAGTGGAGAGTCCACCTCAGCCCGGCGGCCCGGATTTGCCAGCGCACCAGCGCACGCAGGCAGCGTTCAGGGCAGACGAGCAGCGGTTTCCAGTTTGTGGCAGGTGGCCCTGGCGGGCACTGTCCGCGGTCGCCAGCGGGTCAGCCGTTTTGACGGGCAACCCAGTCAATTAAAACGGGGGCCGCCTTCAGCTGCCAGGGCCAAGGTGTCAGTTTGTCACGAGCAGATGGATGAATGGGTTCCTCTCGCGGGGGTGCGCAAGGCGGTGCCTGCGTGGCGGAGCGGCACGGCGAACGCCCCCCGTTTCGACCCCAGCCCTTCCCTGCCATGCTTATGGATTCCCGGGCACAAGGGGGGGCCTGGGCATGGGCATGGGCCTGGACATGGGCAAGATGGGCTCGGGCAGCGGACGCCCACGGGCGGCAGCCAGTCCAGCCAGCGCAGTGGCAGCCAAGGCGGCCAAGGCCCGGGACGGATGGGGTGCTCGCTGTCGTCGCCCTCTCCACACCACCACCATCTTGTCGGGTCAAAGAGACTCACAATCATGGATGGAGACTTTTTTCCTTCGACGGCAGCAGACCAGACCGGACCAGGCACAGAGACGAGTGGATTGGATGCAGATGGGCAAAGGGGGGTGGTACTGTGTGGGTGGGCGGCGCACCGGACATGTCGGCATCCATCCAGGGCACCGGGCCCAGGGCTTCCAGAGCAGTGGAGGCTGCCCCAGCGCAGCAGAGGCGCACAGGGGAAGCACGCCAGCTCACCTTGCTGTGAGGGTGGTGGAGCTTTCCATTGGCTCTCTGGTCTGGCCTCTCTCGCTCTCTCTCTCCCTGACCCTCAGGCTCCAGGGCGAGCGGATCCGATCCATCCATCCATCCATCTCCTGGCACCACGGCCAATGTCTCCCACCCATGGCGAGGCCCCTCCCCCCCCCCTGTTACCCCGACCATACCCAGTCGAGCCCAGCGCCGCTGGCTTCCCGAGCCGAAACGAAGCCAGAGGCCACCCGGCTCCTCATGCCGTGATCGATGGCAGCACTCGTGGCACGCCGCCTCACGGACGGCTGTCCGTCGCTTCAGCTGAGAAAACCGCGCGTTCCTTTTTAGTCCGCCGGCCTCCCGTCCCCCTTCCTCGACCCCGTTTCCTCGTCTTCCTCCCACCCGCAAAACATTCTTTCGACCCTCCTTCGACCAACGTCAACCAGGTCACACTCATTTTTCAAAACAACAATCGCGAGCAGGACTATCTCGTGTTCACATTCCTTGTTCACTATTGTCGGCCGCTACGCCAAACAAACACGCCCGTACAGAAAACCTGTTGACCAGAGTCTTATACCCCACACGGCGACAACCACCACCTCAACAACACCAACAACAGCAACAGCAACACTCTCTCTACATCGGTCCGCAAGCCTGACCTGAACTGCAAACCAGACAACACTTTCGTCGCATTTATACCCGACACTTAGACATCATGAAGACCGCCGCCCTCGCCTCCGCCGTCTTCATCGCGGCCGCCGCCGCCCAGCCTCGCGGCCACGGCCACCAGCACAAGCATGCTGCCCGCAACGTCGTCACCCAGGTCGAGTGGGTGACGCAGACCGAGTACGTGACCGAGTACATCGACGCCACCACCACCGTCGTCGTCGGCCCCGGCCATCAGGCCGAGCCCACCACCACGAGCGTCAAGCCCAACTTCTTCGAGCCGCCTTCCTCGTCTGCTCCCGCCCCTGCGCCTTCGTCGTCCTCGGCTGCTGCTCCCCCGCCGCCGCCCCCGGCCCCTACCACGCCTACCACCACGTCGGTCTACACGCCTCCTCCTCCTCCCCCGCCTCCGTCTACCCCCAAGGCTGAGCCGACCACCGCCTCGGTGGTCGCGGCGCCGCCTCCTCAGGTCCAGCCTAGCAGCAGCCCGTCCTCGGAGCCTGCTCCCTTGCCGTCGCCTACGCCCAGCAACGGCGGCGGCTCCGGATCCTACTCTGGCGACATCACCTACTACGCTGTAGGCCTGGGTTCGTGCGGTGGCGACGATGCCGGCCAGGACCACACTAAGAACATTGTCGCGCTCTCCGCCTCGCTGTATGAAACCCTCGCCAAGCAGCACATCAACCCCTGCGGGAGCACGATCTCTATCACGGCGAATGGCAAGACCGTCAGCGGCACTGTTCGCGACAAGTGCCCCTCTTGCGCCGAGGGCAGCATCGACGTCAGCGAGAAGGCGTTCGTCGAGCTTTTCGGCAGCACTGGAGTCGGCCGCAGCAAGGTTACTTGGTCCTTCAACTAAGGTTGAGACGCCGGCTCTCATCTGGCCAGAATGAATGATGTTATGACACTTTCTTGGAGAAACACGTCTTTGGCTGAAACCCCCGGCGCGGGGCAGAACCTGGAACATGGGTACAAAATGATATCAAAGATGGAAAAGGTCACCCTTTGGTGAATACAAGGCGCCCACTGCCTGGTGCATAGACTGTTTTTGGAAACTTAACCTTCTTTTTGTACATAAAAGACTTCAGTTGAGCCCCACAAAAGGCAACATTCAAATGGATCAAAACTTGTGCTTGGCATCCCTGCAACCATTCCGTCCCGTCGGGACTCGGGAGATGCATCTCGATCAGCGCACACGTGTGAACAGGGTCTTTCTGCGAAATGGAGCGTTGCAGTCCTCGTTTTCAATTGATGTTGGTCGTTGTCCAGGGAAGCTTGCAATCCCGCTGACCATGCGGCCAGGGTGCGGCTGCAGTCGCGGGTCGTAGCCCGTCTCGGCCTGTCAGATGTCGACGTTAGGCGCGCGGAAACACAAAAGGCGGCAAGATAGGCGCAGGGCTACGGATCCAGGTTACATCCAGACTTGCACGGCCATGGAAGCCCATGCGTATATATGTCGCGGGTCTGCCGCCCCCGCCCCCCACCACGGGTGGTGTTGCTGTTTCTCGTCGTCGTCGTCGCCGTCGTCGTTGCTGCTGTCTCAACGCCTCCCGATTTCTTTGGCGCCGCGCATCCAAAAAGAGGCAGCCATGTCTTCGCCGGCGCCGCTGACCACGGCGCCACCGTCGACGACCAGAGTGCGCCAGATTGTGGCGCCCCTGACGACGGTCTACTTCCCTAACTGGATGTGCAGCGTGTGCTCCTTTGAGGGCACAGACAACAAGCCCAACTACTTCACCGAATACGTCGAAAACTGCACCATGTTCCGAGCGGAGCGGCTCTGCCGGTCGGTCGAGCCCGTGCAGTGCTTCCCTCACGTCACGTCCCTCAGCGACATTGCCGGCACCGGCTACTTCTACTCGCCGGGACTGCACTGCCCGGACAGCTGGAAGACGGTGGCGACGGTGACGGCCGGCCAGGCGGGCAACGCGTCGTCGACGAGGATCTCAGGCGTGTGGATGGACACGCTCCTGCCAGGCGAAACGGCGGCTGTGTGCTGCCCCGCGTATGTCCCCATCGTTGTCCCCTTCTCCTAATTGCCGCCGACGATGGCGGAGGCTCTTCAGAAAGCGGCCACGCCCTTGGTCGGGTCGTGATGGGCTGACGCAAACATATCTTCGGTCACCAGCACTCTATCATACGTCCCTGTCGAGGGGATAGACGGATTCTACATGTGCAGCAGAAACGTGACGACCTCGACGACGTATTTTTCTTGCGAGAACAAGACAGGCACGACTGTTTTGGAAAAGAAGGTGACCAACCTAGGAAGCGATGTGGCCTACACCTACCTGCAAAGGGGGACACATGTCACCACGCTCCCGTTCAAGAGCATCCGCCTCGAGGCGCGATCGATACAGCTCAATTGGCGCGCGCAAGACCGCGAATCTGCCTCCTCGTCCCCAGCCTCTACGACCGTGAGCAGGGGCGCGGACCCGACGAACAGCGTGCCCCAGACGGGCACGCCAACCAGCGACAGCGACAGCGCGCCGCCTCCGCCGCCAACGCTCAGCCAAGCCGCTGTGGCGGGCATCGCTGCCGGCGGGGCCATCTTCGTGATCGGCGTAGGCCTCCTCATATTCGCACTTTGGTTCCGCCGGCGGAAGAAGAGGAAGGCCGGCGACGGAAGCCGCGACGAGAAGCCCCCCCTGACGCCCGGCCTAGGCGACGGCGGATTCCACAAAGCCGAGCTCCCCAGCACCGGCTTAGACGCCGGGCGGGACCGCTTCCACAAGCCGGAGCTCGAGGCGCCGAACCGGTTCGAGATGGAGGCCCAGGACGGCGCGCGGCTCTTCGAGCTCTACGGCGACGAGGAGTTTATCCCCGGCGAGCTGCCGGCGGGGGGCGGCGGCGGCGGCGGCGGCAGCGGACCGGTCATGTCGCCAAGGTCCGGCCCGCCCCCGGCCCAAACCCCGCCGCCGCCGCTGCCGCGGTCGTCTCGCGGAGGGCCACGCCCCGCCCGCCCCGGGAGCAACAACAAGACCAACACCAACGCCAGCACCAGCGCCAACACGGGCCACGCGCGGGACCCAGCTGCTGCTGCTGCGACCCCCGCCGCGACGGCAGTCGCAAAGCCCACGCTCGTGCACGTCCACCGCAAGGCCGTCCCCGCGAGAGGCACGGCCCTGCGCGTGCACCCGCCGGAGGACCCGGGGGGCCCCCGCCACCGCGGCGGCGGCGGCGACGGTGGCGACAACAAGGCCGTAGTAAATCCCGGGCGGGCGCCGCGCCGCGTCCGGTGCGGTAGCGGACCGGTCCACGACCGTGGGAGCATAGAAGGAGGGTGGATATAATAACCTGCCGGCCGGGGGGTCATCTTTCCCCCCGGAACAGATGCGCCCCTTGATTCTTTCCAATTTTTTTTTTCTCTCTCTCTTTTCACACGCAGCATTGCCTCTGGAGTTCCGGGGAAGGGGTTCTGTTTTAAACTCGGGCGGCGGACAACATGGTGGCAGCGGTGTCTTCAGGAAAAGCGCGACATTCATGCGGTGGATGCCATGTAGGGAAGCAGCTGCCCACCTTCGCGTAGGCGGGAAGCGGGCCGTCTCCATTTCATGCGATCTTGCGGGCTGTCAAAAATGTACATACATAATATATACTTTGCATACAAGTACGTAGATCCATGGGCGGCGCATGAGAAATAAGCTCAGAGATAAAAATTGCATCGTGGCCAAGAGTTGCTTGGCGAACCTTCATCTATGCCGCCCATCCACGTTTTAAAACCCCACGCAAGCCCCGGAAGAGAGAGGGACAGGAAAAACAAAAGATGACATTTCCCCTGTTTATGCGACAATACAAGTACGTCGTACACGTGCGCTGGTGGACCACCTGGAAGAAAGCCCCCGTCCATGCCCCCCGGCGGCGCCCGGGACCAGAACCCAGGAACCAGGATGCTTGCGCCTGCGCCTCGGGCGCATCCCTGCCCGTTTCCTGACCCCTTTCATTACCGGGCGGGAGGAAACGCGCTTTTCTTTTCTTTTCGTTCATGCCCATCACCATGACATGTTTATGTTCATGTCATGACCAGAAGCCACCCCAGAAGGTCGTAACCAGGGCGGCTTCTAGTCCACTTGGCGTACGTTCGGTCGAACGTACGTAATACGGACTACGAGTACGGACTGTATCCCCGTCCGTGTAATATGACACCCGTCACAACAGGCTGAGAAGCTCCTCGACGTAGCGCCTCGTATCGACACCGATCCCCTGCGCGAGCTTCCCTGCTCCATCTGCACCGCCCCCTGCGCCCGTCGCGACACCGCGGAGCCCAGCGTGGTCGCTCGCCCGACGGATTAGAAAGATTTCCTTGGCCACGTCGTCTGCGTCACCCTTGCCGCCGCCGTCGTTGTTGTCGCCATCGCCACCGTCGTCATCCTCATCGCCGGCGTTGCTCCCTCCCGCCTCCGACGCCCCAGGCGAGGATTCGTGTATCGTGGACAGGTTGGCGGCGCGTGCGTCGTCACCCCGGCCGCGCTGCTGGAGCAGGCGTGTCCACACGATCCACCACCCGCGGTTGGTCTTGTGCGTGCGCTCCAGGTCGCCGGGCCGGGCGCGCGTCGCGGCGTGGATGTTGAGGAGGTGGAGATGCGTGTTGATGGCGTCGGCGCGGGACCAGGCGTCCGACGACGCCAGCTCCGGGATGTTGGGGATGGTGGAGTGAACCGTTAGCGACGGCGGGTCCCAGACCAGGTTGTAGATGCCGTCGGGGGAGCCCTTGGCATCTTGCCGCTCGGGTCGATACTTGGTCGACGTGACGAGCGACTTCTTTAGCGGCGCCAGCTGGTAGTGCAGCGAGCGGTACAGCGAGTCCCAGGCGAGAGAGTCGGTGCGCAGACGGAATAGGAAGGCGAAGACGAACGGCCGGTTGACGTAGACGACGACGCGCAGCTTCTCCGCCTTGTTTAGGTCGTGCGAGTTGTACCCGGGCATCATATTCCCGACAACCTGCGAGCGGTGGTGGATGCCGCCGATGTGGCGGCCAAAGTCCCGAACAACCGTCGCCTCGGAGGGCACGCCGTCGGACCCGGGCTCAAGTTCGACGTGCAGAGTGCGAAGGACGGTGCGCGAGTTATGCTCGGATTCCGAGTCGGACGAGTTGGCGCTGGCGTCGGGGTCGCCCTGGGTGTCCTCTTCGATCTCGCCCTTGAGGCCGATGAGGTAGTGCCCAGCCGCCTCTGCGGAGGACGTCCGCCGAGGGAGACTGGGACGGGTAGGCCGCGGAGAGGAGTCTTTGGCTTGCGCTGCCTGTGCCTCGTCATCTGGTTTGGCGGGCTGGACGCTGGACGAGTCGCTCGAGCCGCCCCCGGGGAGTGTCCAGTACGAGCCGTAGCCGAGCTTCATGTAGCTGAACATCTTGTCCAGCTTTCCCTCTTCTGCCTCGGCGCCTCCCTTGGATGGGGCTGATTGTGACGGGGCCGGAGCTGGGGCCGGCGGCAACGTCTGCACGACGGTTTGTTTCCTGTCCGTGTTGGACTCATGGTCATTGCGCTTGGCGTCTTTCCTCGCCTTCACGCGACGGACCGACGTCGGGCTCTCTATGACGCCGTACGCGTGCTCCCCCCAGGTGTAGAGGTCCTCCATCCAGTGCGTCACGTCCCGCAGCGACTTCCTCGACAAGGCCCCCGTGCCAAGGAAGATGGCTCCGTCCTCCACAGCCGGTTCCTGGCCGGTCCCGAGCCAGTGCTGATGGTGGTGAAGGGGGTGCTGGTCCTCCCCGGTCTCCTCCTCGTCGCCAAACTTGGAGACGACGAGGTCGACGAGGCCTTCTATCCTCCCGACAAGCCCCTCGAGCACCTCGCGCTCGCCACTGCCGCGATCCTCCTCGCCAACGCCGATGCCAAGCTCGCCCGAGGCGGCGAGGTTGATGCCGCCGAGCATGTCCCGGGCCGGATTCCCGTGCAGCATGACGTTCCAGGTCGAAAGGTATAGGTCCCAATAGCGGCTTAGGACGGCAACAAACTTGGAGCGGCGGCAGTGCACAAACAGCGCGCTCAAGGACGAGGCGTGGTGCATGAGAAAGACGCTGTGGGCGCGGAGCAGGTCGCGCAGCAGCAATGCCGCGGGCTTCATGTCCCGCGAGGAGTACTCGTAGCCCGAAGACGACTGCGACTGGGCCGACGACGAAGACGGCGACGACTTGGTGGCCAGACGCGGCGGCAGGGGGACCTTGGTGAGGTCGACGCTGGCGACGATCCACCAGCCGGGCTCAAGCTCGTGCATGACGACGCGGGCGCGCTCCGTGTCGATGGCGTCGACGGGGGCGCCGTCAGCGAAGCCGCGCGAAAAGCCCACCATGCCCTGGGCGAGGCCGATCTGGCGGAGGCGCTCATGACGCTCCTCCTGCGAGACGGCATCGGTGGGACGACCGCGCGTGCCGGCCCTTCGCCTACGCCGGCGGCTGTGGCCGCTCGACTGCTGCTGCTGCTGCTGCTGCGTGGTGACGGAGGCATAGTAGACGATTTGGTCGTCGATGGTGTCGTCGGAGGTGCCCAGCGACGGGTTGTAGATGGCGAGGAAGCCGAGCTGCGCGGGCACGACGCTGGCGGATGCTGCTGCTGCTGCTGCTTGTGGACCCGATGACGACGCTGAGGCCATCGTGGCTCTGTGGCTGGCGGCTCGTCGTCGCGCTCAACGGCGAGCCGCGGCAAGGGGGGACAGTCAATCGGCCAGGGACGACGTGGGAGGCATGTGCCGGAAGCGAGCCCGCGAGCCCGCACCCTTTCGTCTGATGCAGTCGGTGGTGATGATTGTCGTCGAGGCGGTTGAATCGGGCGGGTGGCTGGCGAGTTGATAAAGCCAAGGCCGGGCGGCAGGTGGAGTGGAGAGGATGGGGTATGATGTAAAGGCTAAGAGCTCCAGTGCCCTGCGTCACTCTGCCCCCCAAGTTTGAGCCGCAAAAAGACCCTGCCCTCCTTGCCTCTACTCTACCCTAGGTCTCGCTGTCGCCCGCGCGCCGTCCCCATCCACCACCACCAGCGTCATCCTCGCGTGAAGCAAGAGTGATCGACGGCTGGCGGAGAGGCGACTTGTGGGAACGGGTCCCTTGATCGTCTATTTATTTTCCGATCTCAACCGCCGCCAAGAATCGGAGCCCATCGCTGCGCCCGCGTGCACATCGTGAAGGACCCTGGATTTCCCCCTCGCCAGGAACAACACAAGACGACGCACTAATGCCAGGGATGGTGGGCAACGTTCCTCCCGAACCCCCAGCTGTTTTTGCTCTCTCGTAACCCGCTCCCGGGATGGAATCCTGGCTGGACCCTGAAGTGAGCGAGGGCAAGGAGGGGTCCTCGTGTCGGGATGCAACAAGCCAGTTAGTGGCTCGCCTACGAAGCACTAGCACTGACTTGAGCTGTGTCAATACCTGAAGATATCTTATCCGCGATGACACAAGATACTGCCTAGCTGCAGCCAGGTAAATTTCTCAAACCCCCGTACATGTGCTGAGTGGAGGAGAAGCGCCGGGCGTAGGTGGGCGGACGGGCCCGCACGCTCGCTGGCGGTAGGGCTAGCAGCCACTGAAGATGGCATTATTAGCCGCCGCATTGCCCTTCGACGCCTCCATGGATCTCGCCCACCGCTAAAAGAACTTGGAATGTCGCCTGGCAAACAGGCAAACGAAACGCCTCCCACGACCTCGATTGCCCGATGCATAGGCGCCATCCGAAAAAGCCCACCCTCCGCGCGCTGCTGTCAGCTGCCACGGCACAGGCCGCAGGGGCGCTGGCAGAGCCAAGCCTTTACAATGCACTCTCACGCCTGCCGTCAAGCCTCTCACCACCGCTCAACGTAGAGTTATCGCTACAACGCAGTCCATACGCGCCTTGACCGCATCTCCCACGCCGCCCAGTTTGCCCTCCAGTCTGACAACAGTTGTCTGACCGACCCCGTCCGGATCCATCCCGCGACATGGATTCACCGATTGCGTGATGCCGACCTCGGGCGCGCGTCCCCGCCAGCGACTGGAGCGTCCCAAAACGGCAATTATAAATGCCCGCCAGGGCTTCATTCACTTTTCCCGTCTGTCGTCCTTCCCCTGCTGTCCGCCCGCTGAGCGATTCTTCCTTCCATCCGTGGCCAAAAGCACACCATGTCTCTCCCCATCGAGAACGAGGCATCGGCGCCGCCGCCGCCAGCGTCGCAGAAGCATCAGCCTCTTGCGGCGCGCGACGAGAAGACGACGCCCTCGCTGCTGGTCAGCGACGCGTCGCAGCAGCAGCAGCAGTATGCCCCCAACGACGACGGCAATGACGCCGCACCCCAGCGGCAAAAGTGGTACCAGTGGTTCTCGCCCAGCGACACCCCCGAGGAGCGCCGCCTCGTCCTCAAGCTCGACGCCCTCATCCTCGTCTTCGTCTTCCTCGCCTACTGGGCCAAGGTGCTCGACCAGTCCGCCGCCGCGACCGCCTACGTCAGCGGCATGCGCGAGTCGCTCGGCCTCTACGGCAACGAGCTCAACTACCTCAACACGTCGTACATGGTCGGCTTCGTCGCCCTGCAGATTCCCCTGACGCTCCTGGTACGGATTTGCCCCTGCCCCGGGTCACTCCACCCACCCCAATGCCGTGCCGTGATGGACTGGCAAACACGTGCGAGAGAGAGAGGGGGGAGAGGAAGGAGGAAGAATAAGAAGAAGAAGACGAAGAAGGAGACGAGAGAAAGGTGCTGACGAGTCCTGACCGTCCAGATGACGCGCTTCTCCGCCAGCTACTTCCTCCCCGGCGCCGACCTCGTCTGGGCCGCCCTCACCCTCGCCCAGTACAAGGCCTCGTCCGCCTGGCAGCTGTACATCCTGCGCTTCCTCGTCGGCGCCGCCGGCAGCCTCTTCTTCCCCGGCGTCCAGTGGTACCTCGGTTGCTGGTACAAGCGCTCCGAGCTGAGCCGCCGCTCCGCCCTCTTCTTCGTCGCCAGCCAGGTCGGCGGCATGAGCGCCGGCTACATCCAAACGGGCGCCCACGCCGGGCTCAACATGCGCCACGGCATCGAGGGCTGGCGCTGGCTTTATATCATCTGTTCGTTGCCCCCCCTCAACCCGCCCTCGCCCTTTGGTTTCTCCTTCTTCCCCTAGCTCGCAGAGAGATTGGGCGGCCTCGTGTAAGTGTGTATGTGCATGTGTGCTCATTGCGTCACATTAGGCTTCTCGTGCACCTTCCCCGTCGCCATCCTCGGCTTCATCACCCTCCCCGGCCAGCCGGACAAGCCGCGGACCCTGTTCCTCTCGGAGCGCGAAGTCCAACTCGCGCGTGACCGCATGGCCGCCGAGCACCGCGAGCCCCGCAAGCCGCTCACCATCCCCGTCGTCCGGTCCGTCCTCTCCGGCTGGCACTTCTGGGTCCTCGTCGCCTTCGCCTTCTTCTTCTCCCAGGCCGACGGCGTGTCCTCCAACAGCGGCCTTCCCCTGTGGCTCAAGGAGCAGGGCTACGGCGTCGAGGCCATCAACACCATCACCACCGTCTCTCCCGCCGTCACCATCGTCGCCTCTCTCATCTGCGGCGTCTTGTCCGACGCGTATGACGCCAAGGTGCCGCTCATAGCCGTCACGGCCGGGCTCAACATCTTTGCCAGCATCGTCCTCGCCATCTGGCACGTCCCCACCGGCCTCAAGTTCTTCGCCTTCTTCCTCGCCGGCTCGGCGGACGGCATTGCGGGCGTCATCTACGCCTGGGCCAACGAGATTTGCGCCGGCAACGCCGAGGAACGCGCAATCGTCATTAGCAGCATGAACACCATTGGCAATGTCTTTGGCGCCTGGATCCCTCTGTTGTAAGTTTTGGCCCCCGCTTTCTTCAAAAGTACGCGAGGTCGACTGACTGTGCCAAAGGGCTTGGAAGACGGTAGACGCGCCGCGCTACCTCATCGGATATAATTGGACAATCGCCCTAGATGTGTGCATGATTGGAATGCTCTTCGTTTTGCGATCATTTTGGAACAAGGAGAGGAAGCAAAACACGAGTCTGGCAGTCTCCAGCACAAGCGGGTAGAAAGAGTAGAAAACTGTTCGAATTTAAAGCATACGTCAGGCTTTGTCTGCACTGCATTCTACACATCTGAGCGCCGCATTAGCGAGCTGCGACGCTATGTGACTTAAACTCGGCGTCCGACGGCTTGGCTTTCACCTCGGCATTGGGCAGAGACTGCTCGTCCGTCAAACGCGGATCGCGGAGACACAGCGCGAAGACGCAGACCAACGACGCGATGCAGATGCCCGTGATGCACAGGATCCGCTGCGTGTACCTATACGACGTGACGACCCCCTGTCTCTCCGGAGACCCCCACGGGTACTCCTCGATGGCGGTAAACGGCGAGTCGTAGAAGAGGCCCGGGAGCGTTTCGTTGCCGAATTGCGCCAGGTCTTGCTGCAGCTGCCCCGGCAGAAGCTGCGTCCAGATGGCGCCCGATATGGCGTTGCCGATGGCGCCTCCAACGTTGAAGCAAGCAAAGTACACGCCCGTGATGACGGCGAGATGCTCGTGCCGCGTGGCTGCCTGGATGCTCGCAAGGGCAGCATACGTGAACATGCCACACGAGATGCCCAAGAGCACCTGCGCGCCGACCATGCCAGAGTAGTTGGATCCGCCGCCGCCCCGGTATTGAATCAGCAGCCCGAACGCGACGAGATGTAGCCCGGAGCCGCAGACAATGATCCACTTGAGGCGCCTCAACTTGTAGACAACTGCTCCAAAGAATAATCCCGTCAGGCAGGCAGTGAACGAATATAGGTTCGTGATGCGGGTGGCGCTCAGAACGGTCTGGTTGAACGAGATGACGAGAACGGTGTAAAGGAAGTCCCCTTGCACGGCGGCGGCGCAGTTCATTGCCGTGATGACTCCGAGCGCACCCCATACCATGCGATCCTTGAGCAGGTGAAGAGGCACCATTGGGTGCTTGGCTTTGGCCTCCCAAAACACAAAGGCCGGGATACAGAGTATGCCAACGACGAGGGGCGCGATGATGTGTCCCTGGTGCCACGTTGTTGATGAGCCGCCAGCTAATGTAAGTGGCACGAGGATGAGGGCGAGCACCGCAATCATCAAGATCATGCCCACCACATCGAGTTGCCAGAAAAGCGCCTTGAGAAGCTCAGCCCCCCCGAGAAGCTGGAACGGCGTCTTGTACTTGCCCAGATCGCCTGCCTTTTTCGCTCGATGATGAGCCCACCACATGGCAACGAAGAGCGGAATAGTCGACACGGGATATATGATGGCCCACATGCCTATCCCCAAGCGCCAGCCGATATTCTCCAACGCCGCAGCAGCAACGTCGCCACTGACCCATGCGTTGATGAGGAAAGGACTGACGGGGACGTAGGAGAAGAGCAGCCGAGCGCGCAAGGACGTGACGTCGGAGAGAATGACCTCGACCAGGAACGAAACGCACGTAAAGCCAACCTGGTATAGAACCGCACCGGCCGAGAACGCCTCGACGCCATTCGAGGTGGCATCGACAATAGTGCCGACGACGTAAAAGAGGATAGAGACGAGCAGCAGCTCCATGCGACCAAAGACGTCGGCGATTTTGGCAGACGTCGGCTGCGCGGCGGCGGCGATGACGCTCCGAAGGACCGAGATGGTGGCGAGGAGCGAGTGCGTGCTGAAGCTGTCCGTGGCGGTGGGCTGGTAGGCGTAGCGCAGCGAGATGTCGAGCGAGTACACGTAGGCGACGATGAAGATGCCGACGAAGAGGATGACGCGACCTGGGAGGTTGATGTGCTGCGCAATGGCATCCATGCGCTTGACGCCGGGGCTGGTGCTGCCGGTAAGAGCAAACGTCGCTTCGGGGCCATTGTGGGACTCTTTGGCGACGCTCGTTTGGCGCACGTCGGACGACTTGTCCGCGGGGGATGCCTGGCTGTCGGAGGCCATGGTGAAGAAAGGCTGGGCAGAAATGTGACTGAGGCACGCGCGGTCCAAAGGCTAGTTCTTCGTTGGCGTGAACCACTCGTATGCTGCGAAAGAGCCGTCTTCTAGGGGAGCTCGCCAGGCGAACCAAGGTTTCCCAGAGGGCCGATCATTGCATTGGCGGACGGGGGGAGCCACGGCATATAAATTTGTCAATACGACGCGATGCGAAGCCGGACGTTCCCCGACAGCACAGCGAGTCGACTGGACGCCCCCATGGCAGCGACAGGCGCCAGGCCAACGGGGTTCCGCGACAGGGTCCAGGGATGGACTGGCGACGGTCACGACTGGATAGACAGTATTCAACTAACGTTAGCGTGGTAAAAAGGACGAAGCGGCCGGCAGCGCAGGAGCTGTGTGGTGGGATCCGAGAAGAGAAAGTTGGCCGATTATCTTATCTGATCTAGTGCAGCTCACGCCACGTGCGATGGGGCCTCAACGCAGCCCACTGCTGCTGGTCCGGCTGCCGGGTCGCGAAAATGCCACCTCGAATCCGCCGGCTGTGGGGGCCGCAGGTGTCACTGCTTGGCCGATGGCACTGGCTGGTGTTTTGATGTGGCTCGGTGCCAGGCTGTTCTAGTACACATCGACAAGAACCGGTTCGCACGCGCCAGGCGGGCTCTTCAGTCATGCCTAGTGGCACCAGGGTAGCTACGCCGACTGGTCCTAAATTCCTAATGACGATGAACTCGTGTGCTCCATAATGGTCACCGGGTCTTTCGTCTGGGAGGCGCAGCGGGTCGTCGCGGAGGTCTGCTCTTTCGCTGTGGGCGATGTGTGCGAAGCACGTACATGATCCAGCGCTTTTCAGATATCGTCAGTGCAGCCGACGGTGAGGTCACTGAGGTGCCCTGGAGCCTGTGGAGGTCTAGTTATTTTGGAAACGGGTAACTATCGGTCCTCCCACTTGCCTGATTGAGCGAGTGACATTCTGGGTTTGCCATGGGCCCGTTTCTGTCCCGGGTTGGCTGGCCGGGTCCGGAGCTCGAAAATTGGCACGTGTTGGGTGGGCGAGTGTTATCAAAAGTATCACAGGTTGTTCGATGCGCTCGTAGGGCAGGGAAAAGCGCCACAACACCGAGGTAGGAATCTTATTAATGATGCCTCAGGGCCCGGAAAAGGCGCGTTGCCGGCACTCGACGGCTGCTTGCGGCGTGGGGCCAGAAAAAGGGGCACTGCGACGACACTCAAGCGGATTTCTACGACGAGCGTACTTCTCGCGATCAAAGATGGCACGTTCCAAAGTCACCTGTCATGTTCAAACGGTCTATTGCAGTTTCACGCGTAGTAACAATCCAAGATGCTCAAGTTAGCATATAGGGGGCCACCCCATCGAGGCACAAGGAACCTCGACCGGGGCAACAATGATGGGGCCAAAATAATGTATGCTGTCGCCTATTACTAGAGACGCATGTCAAGCCATCTGACCCGCGAGAAAGCGCTCTTCCTTCTTTACCTGTGCCTCACCTCCCCAGTCGTTGATGCTCTCGCCCTGGCAGTTGCTCCCCCCCGGTGGGCATCCCTGCGAAGCGGCTCTCTTTTCCCCTAACAAAGCGTCGAAACAAGACACAGGACAAATGAGACTCCAGGGGGTCTTGTGTAACATTCACTACCGTGCTAGGTCACCATACTGCACTTCTCGCACTGTTCGTCTATAAGTTTCAACACGAGAGAGCATCGAGGAAGATTCCCCCTTTCCCTCTAGGCATACGCAAACATTGGCATATTCGTGTCTCTTCTCTACATGCCGCCATCTTGCTTGAGGCGCAACGCAACGGAGCAGTCCAAATAGCCGCAGCAGCAACAAGAACAATAGCCAGGATAAGGCTCCAAAGATCGGCCACCAACTCCTCTCATCTGGCAGCCGCCCGGGACGACAAAGCCGAGTCGAATCATTCCGTCAACTCCGCCGCCGCTACGAAGCAAACCCAGAATTCCTCTCGCCGCTTCTCTCATCTCACAGCTGCCTGCCTCGGCGTAATGTTCGTCGCCCAGCGCCGCGTCACGTACCACTCGCTCCTCCGCCGTCGCCCCCGCCCGTGCCGAAGAGTCCGCCGCATCAAGCGGCAGCTCATCCAATATGCTCGCTTGTGCCACCAGCTTCGTCAGATTCAGCTTCTTCAAAAACTCCTCGATGATATCATGCACATCCATGATGTTCCAGACGTTGGGGAATGGGAGGATGAGGAATGACGGGATGGATGGATGTGTTGGCGTGGGCCCCAGACATGTGTAACTGGCCGAACGGGGGATTGACGGGCAGGGTTGGTTATGGAGGCAAGGCGTTTTACGTGTGTAACTGTTGGAAATGACGGTACGGTGGACCGGACTCGACCTGATAGGGGTCCGGAGAGCCTGATTCGTTGTGGTGCTAGCCTTTGTGCGCAGTGCAGTAATTAATCACATTGTTTCTCGCCGCCTCGGGCGCCGTGTTGTTGTCGCAAGGAAGGTGATGGCCGTATGCGTACATATGGGGAGCGGAGCCGAGCGAGATGCGGCCACCACGGCTGGCCATCGCCTTCCTATTCGCTCCCAATGCGCCCGCCGCGTGATGGGCCAGACGAGAAAAATGTCTGCTAGCCACAACGGGCACCGGGCAGTGACCGACCCAGCCTGGGACCTCCACTCAGTCCACTGGCAGCTGGGCCTCTCCCATAAAACAGGTACGAAGTATTCACGGCTGAAGGAGAGCCACCCACACTGCATCCCGCGTCGACTTGGGAGAAGAAACAAAAAGAGAACCAATGAGTGGACTTCGCAGAACCAATATCGTCCGCAAGAGATAAGGCATCCGGCTCCCCGGAATGCAACCCCCGCTGCATGTGGTTCGTGGAGGCGACCGTTGGTGAAGAATCCATAGGAGAATTGCTTCTGGATGTGACACCGGCCGGCGGTGGTCTGGCACGCGCACCAGCCACAGACGGCGGGCAGGGCTCATCAAGGCGAGAAACCTTGGAATGCATCCCGACTCGGCGGCGGGAGCGCACCATGGGACCGCCTCGCGTGGCCGTTCGCGGGGACCCAAGGGGCCAAGGGCCGTGGGCTCCAGTCGGGCTATAAACATGCGTTGCTTTCCGGTCGCACCCCTCCCAGGCGCGATGTTGCAAACATCGAATCGGGGGGACTATCGTTGCGTTCCTGGCACTTTCTCCCCATGTACGTGCATATATAGATGTACAAAGTCATGGAATACATGTATACGCACGCGTCTGCTGTTTGGTACATGTGAATGCAAACTGGATCCTTCCAAGTCTCCGATAGTGTGTATTGGTTGGCCAATCTTGTTTTGCATTGAGGAATCCCATGGCGACAACGACTAACACTTTGACTTGAATGGATCGCCACGTCAACAACCGTCCGCCAACGAAAGTAAGTTCTTGTCACAGTCAGTCTCTAGCCGTCAACTAGAAATAGGGTATAAGACGAACCCATGAGTTACATCGACTATGCAGGATAGCGCCGGGCGCATGCACCATCTGTTCACTTCTTCACATCAGCGCGGACTCCCTTACATGTAGACAGTTTACCACGGCCACGCAGGATACTCACGAGCTGAGGTGTGTGAGAGCACTCATGTGTTAGCAAGATCAACTATCGTCCTTTTGGGTGAGTGCAACGAGACTAACAAGACACTGTCGCCCGAGTTAGTAAATTAGGTTCTTGCAAAGCCGGCGACGTCGTCATGTCCTTACCACGCAGTCAGGGCCATTATCGCAGCAGCCGAAACCCTGTCCAGAGGTAAGTATTGGCCCTTGGCTGCAAAGTGTGGTCGGGGATTCTGGTGCGCCGTACGTTACGCCCGCAGTTAAGAGGGTTATCGCAGCATTTCCCGGGGCACAGAGGGCAATTGTGGCCGCACTTTGCCTCGAGTCCATGATCAACGGGTGTCGCTAGGGGCGTCGCCGCGACGGCGGCCACCAAGGTCGCCAGAGCAAAGATTCTAAAGTTCATTGTGCACTCAAGTCGAACGAGAAACGCAAGTTGTGTGCTTGGATAGTGTCTCTTGCCGCCACTTGCTGGAGGGTACATGAGCCTTTTTATCTCGCTTCAACCCCTTCGCTTCAATCCCTGGTCCAAAGCGAAACGAAGAAACATAACCTGGTTGCCACAATATGGCTACAAGATCGCCAGAGCACAACACCTCACATGGTGTTCCTATGGCATCCCAGTTCGCCGTCATAGGGTCCACTTGGGCGTGCGAAAGAGCATTGTCGGATGCCTCGAAGGGGAAAAATAAGCTGACATGGAGTCAGAAGGGCATACGTACCTCCCCATTGTGCAGAGAGGACATGATCAGGGTAGGTATTGTGTTTGAAGACGCCGCCCTCCTTCAGGCATTGGCACGGGAGGTCGGGATCTCGCATCCGAGGCACCGATATTCCCGAATCATACGTTCACATGAATGGCCGCTTCCGTCGTCTCCGCAGGGGTCCGTTGACGATCAGCGGGGTTCCCTGTGGGCCGTATGCGGCTCAGGAAGGTCATTCATCATCTGCAATCTGCTCCTGTTCCTTCACTGTCTCGTACAAACGGATAGTCAGCCGGGGGTGTCTTGTCGACCACTCCAGTCAAAAGCTGCCACAACTCGGGCCAGGAATTGAATCAACGTTTGTCTTCTTTGTCTCGTCCGAGCTCTTGTTTCACCACGGCTTTGTAAGGGCTACAAATGACCGTGAGCAACACTGGCAACTGGGCAGGCAAGGCGGTGGGGACATGAAGGAATATGTGGATTTTCGGGCCGCGGTGAGACGCGAGGGGCAATGCTGCATTCACGACGGGGTATCCTTCGTGTTCCAAGAAGTCCTATTGGCAGGATACGACTGTCTGTAGCACGCATAACCCGGAGCCCAGCAACTAGCGTTACCCAAAGGGCAATGACTTGCACTGCGTGGAGATGCGTGCAACCGTGCGGCTTCCCGCACCTCGCTGTCTGATATCCTCGTCAACAAGACGCGCAACACAACATTTGTCACCGGTTCTCGGTTCCACTGTATCAGGCCACAGAAACGTCCATTGAGGCATCAAGAAGGCCTAAAATCTCACCGCGAGGCGAAGCTGGAACCTGAAGGATCAACCTTCGGAGACCCAAGGCCGAAGAAATTCATCCCAGGTAGGCAGCGGGGCCGCATGCTTGGAACATAAATATTGCTCAATTCATTTCAAGTACGGGCTGTTTGAATCTTGTCACTCACCCTCTTCCACATCATCCCTCAGTATGCATTTCAACGCACTCCTATCCGGCGCTGTCGCCGCTCTGCTCGCCACGGGCGTCGCTGCCGACTGCTCCCCGACCCACCCTATCGGCGACAAGTGCCCGTCCACGAGCGAAGGCGCCCGCTTCTGTGACCCCTCGTGCTCCAGTATTGTGAGTAAACGCTGGCTGTTTGTAGCTCTGTCATAGGATATGGGCTGATTGTATCAAACAGATCATCTGCCACGACGGCGTCGTCAAGCTGAACAACAAGTGCAACCCTGGCTGCTGCAAGTACCAGAACGGCGGCATCCCCTACTGCTCCTGCTAAGAGGATGCGAGCTGGGTTAGAACAGTAATTTCAAGGGAAAACAATCCGTACTTATCCAATTCTGGGCCACGTCGCAAGATGTTCGTCTTTTGAGGGCCGATGAGCCCAAGTACGGAAACAAATGTCGCCGTGTTACCCCGTTGTAGAAGGTCACCTTCCATCACCCCGACCAAGCGGGGCCTCATTCTGTCAATTACCCTTTTTCTGCGCATTGGTGACTGTTTTTGTACCAGATCTGTGACGTTGCAGCGCGATCAAGACTGAGGCGACACAGCTGACCTCGATGAAGGGTGATCGCCATGATCATCGCATGCCAAGACGCCTTCGCACAGCTGGGGCGGATTTGCTGACAACACAGAGGTCGGGTCGTCGGGCCATCTCATTGGCACTCTGCGCTCAGGCGAGAGGCCGGACATAGTTGACCCGGTGCACACACCATCACATCCAACCACTACGTTGACGGACCTGCAGATAGAGTGCCGCCGCTCACGTCGCTTGTTCTGTTTTTAGACTACACACATGCCCATTTGCCATTTGGAGGCACGGTCTGCTTGGCCACCTCCACACAGAGGCGGCCCAGCTATGACATGTCCTATACTTGGTCCCTGTGAGGGATGGAGGGCGCGAGGCATGTAAGGGCCCGCCTCTTACCACTGCAAGTGTTGAGATTGGCGCCTTGCTAATATCGGCGTACCATCTCCCTCTGCGAGACAACAGCGAATCGCTTGCAATCAGCCTAGCTGGTTCCTGACGATCCCCCAGAATAGAAACGAATCCCCCGCTGTATGACATGTTGAAGCGATCTGAGGCCCGGCTTGGCAGCTTCACGATGTCAGAACGGAACCATTGAAGTTAAAAACAGAGTCACAAAGGACAATCAAGAAGTCAGAACGGCACGAAATGGTTCCGAGGATGAGCAAACCAACATCTATAAGTACGACGAGATCATCTCGCTCAAGAGGGTACAATCCGAAGCAGCAGACCAGACAACAAAGCCACAGCCATAACCAGCATTCTTCTCCATTTCAGAGAGCCAACTCCCTTTTACTGTCAACATGAAGTTCACTCAGGTTCCCGTCATCATCGCCCTCCTCATCCCCGCCATCGCGGCCATGCCCGCCGGTGAGACGGTCGACATGACGGAGCGTTCTGAGCACATCAACTCCCTCGAGGCTCGTGCCTGCGGCGCCGCTGGAGCCTGCAAGGGCGTTGGTGGCGGTGACCTCTGCAACGACCGCGTAAGTGCCCTCAATGACTGTTTCTTCGACGAAATATGGAATACAGTACTGAAGCTTGGGTTCAACAGTGCAAGAAGTGCAAGGGCCCCAGCGGCTACTACAAGAAGGGCGAGTGCGGAGGCCTCGGCTGGCAGTAAGTACCTCTTGTGGCGCCATGTATCCCGTCAAAGTGGCAAGATTGCTAACATGTCCGCGCGCAGGCGCTGCTACTGCTACTACTCTTAAACGGCCTGCGTAGCCACGACAGAGCGATAGCATTGAGAGACTGTAACTATCTTTACTGTAAAGCAACATGGACGATTGCAAAGGACGGTTTGGCTCCTGGGCGAATGGTCAAGCTAGAATCCCATAAAGCAAGAATACACTTGGTGTTCGACCGGCAGATAAGCGACTTGAGACAATACCAGGCATCCCCAGCCGGCAATTGTTGGTTGACGCCACCAGCCCCGTGTCATCTCAGCGATGCACCCCGCAGCAGGACACCCGTTCGTATCGGGCTGGGTGCGGGTCAACCCGCACGGATGGTGCAGGAGCCGAGTCCAACGGGCAAGCAACCATTCGATGATTTTGAATGTGGCTGCTCTTAGGCGCCGGGGGCGGAAAAGTAGCCGAATCATTGAGCCATTTGTCCAAATCGACTCCACGACTTGGCCCAGGACTTGACGCCCGGGGTAAGTGGCGGGCTGGACAAGACACTCCGCCCCCAGGCCACTGTGGTGCAGCTTGGTCGTTTCACCCAGACGGGACGAAATGTTCAATATTTAGTCAAAGCTATGGCCTAGCAGTACGTACGCAGACGTGTCTTGCCTCCCTTTTCGTTCTCTCTTGTCGACAATCGCCTCAGCGCCGCTACGTCATGCTGTCATTCGCTCTGTGCCTGTACAGCGTTTCCTCGTCCATTTGCGAGAATAGCGTTCCGACATAAAACATAAATATTTTGCAGCGAACCACGTCTTCATTCCTCTCCCAGATCGACACTGGAAAAGTCCGACGATGCGCGCGAGCCTTTTGCTATTGGCACCTATCCTCGCAGTCGCCCAACGGTTCGCCCCTCGATCAGTAGATAAGCTCGACGACGATGCCTTCAACCAGGCTCAACAGAACGACCAAGGCGCCACGCGACATCTCTCGAACGTGCCCATAAAGACCTCTGACGGGCTCTGCCTGTTCGTCGACAAGCTCTCCGGCGACTCGCGAGCGAACCTCACACCCGTCCAGATCACCCAGTGCAGCAATGGCGCGAGTGGTCAGGGGTGGGACCTCATAACGAAAGGAGCACACAATGATCAGCCTGGGCAGATGCTAGTCGTCAGCAACCTCACGAGGGCGTGTCTCAATTATGACAATGATGCGGACCAGATTTATCTGTTTTCCTGCGGGGGGAGGGCAGATGGCAGTGGCACAGTGGCAGAGTCCCAGCTCTTCTTGTTTGAAGGCGGCGTAGGGCCGTTGACTCTGAAGCCTAAGAACGGAGCGCATACCTGTCTGCTAGGCACCGGAAATTATGTGAACGTCACGAAGTGTAGTGGCGCGGTGAATCAAATGTTTACGTTTGGAGGGTAGGCAACGTATGTACAGCATGTTAGTAGCGAACGTCCGTCTCATTTGCTCGATATTCTTGCCCAACCAGTTCCATGGGTGGCCCGGCGCCATAGTTCACCGACCCCAGCTCGGAAGGGCGCCGGTCCCAGCTCTTCTGCCCGTTGCTCCCGTTGCTGTATCCAGCAGTCGCCAGTTCTTGAGGTGCGGCCTGGGGAAAGGCAGTTGTGGGCGGAACTTGTTGCATCGGCTGGACACCATGGCCGTTCGTACTGGGCACAGCTTCAAACCCCCCGTTCGATAGGCTTGCCGACTTGCGTCTCCGTCTTTTGCGCCAAAGAAGGAATCCAGACACAGCGGCAATGATTGCAGCCAAGACCGAGCCGATGACGATGCCGGCTATGGCGCCAGCTGACAAGGATGAGCTCTTCGGCGAGAAGTCGTCACCTTCTTTCCATCGAATTTGTATAGGATAGGCAATCTGCCACCATCCATTCGGCACGACCGAGACAGGCCACGTTGTTGTCGTGACTATGCTCTGATCAAACATGTTGTTCAACACGGTGATGGCTGTCGGAGTCGCCAGGAGACTTCCGCATGCTTGGAAGAGGCTCAAACCAGACGTGCCTTGGGGGCACTCAAAGCCTGTACGAGAAACAGTCAGTCAGCGCCTTCGCAAAATTGCGATTGCCTATTCGCGACGAACCGCCTGGGCAGCAGAAGGCGATGGTCTCGCCAGGTTCAGAACTCAGCTGAGTGGGCGCCATCGGAGGGCTGCACGTTCGATAACCGGACGGGCAGACCCCTGGAGAATAGTAGCTCGTCATCCATCCCCAAGGAGAGGTAAACGGCCGGCTGGAAGGGCAGCAGGAGCTGAGAGCGCAGCCCAGTGTATTATAGTTCCAGGGCAGCCCGAGACCAGTGGTCCGCATGTCATACAGGTCATTCAGGCAGTTGGATGGAAACGACGTGGTAGGAAGTAGACCCAGGTTCGTGGACGTGGTAATGTCCGGCAACGTATACGTCACGTTGGCAACGGTAATAGTAGTGGTTGGCATTGCTGGTCGCTTTTCTCCAGCGAGGTCGCCAGATACACCGTAAACGATAGTAGTTTCCCTCTTGTTGTACCATGCGGCAGGTTCCACGACTCGAGTAAGACTTGGAGCGAGGACGATGTCATTATATTCGGCCGCCTTCCCAGACATTGGCCAACATGTGGCGTCTATCCTTCTCCTGACGTCGACAGAGCTACGCACCTGGTGGAAAGTATCGACGTTGGCACCATTCAGCCGTGGCTCCAGATTTATGTCATGCTTCACCTCTTCGTCCTGGAACGGTTGTCCGAGCCTACGGGTCAGTACGAGGTGGTTCAGGCGCCGGCGTAATGGAGCGGCGGCATCAAGCGCCATGGGCAAACTCAATCCCGGATACATTAGTCGGCAAGATAGCAGGCACGCACAAAGGTTGATACGGTTCAAGTGCCTAGACCTAGGATGCAAGACGGTTTTGCCATGGTACATATAGATGTGTGAACTCCTTCGAAATGCCATTGCGATTGCGGCCAGCTGATCATGCAAATTGGGCTCCCGTATGTTGCAGGCCCAGTGGCCCTAGGCGGCTCCATGGGCAGCTAATTCTCAGCTCGCGTGGTGTCTTGCGCCGAATGAGGTCGTCCGGCGGAGTTCTCAGCCCCTGCCGTCCACCCGAGATCAGCTCAACAGCTGAAGGTCGGGAACGGCCACCGGAGGAAAACTGCCAGAGTCAGTAGCCACAAAAGATCTTCACATGTAGTGATAGGCTTGAATGCAATTGGCTTTGCAGACGTTGGCCGCAATTGCACTGCCAAACCCCAGAATGACTGATGCCAAGGCCACACCAGGTAGGTGGGCAACAGGTAGAGCGTACGAGGGGATCATTCCCCTCTGTCTCCAGATCCAGGAGCTCCAGTCAACAGCACACCTCAAGGCAGAACGTGTTCGTAGACTTCATCGGTGCGAAGCGGTGGGGATTGTGACGGGTGTCGAATCAAATACCATTGTCAGGTGCTTGTCGCAAACCAAATGAGTTGACGTCGAAGTGACGGCACGCCCGGTTATGGCCCCGTTCGCAAGATGAGAGGCAGAAAGTCAGCGGATGGAGGGCAACAGGCTCAACAAGACGGATTTTAGGTCGTCCCAGAAACTATTGTGACAACACATACAAGGGTGCCCAGTGCGAGCGTTCGGTAAATTAGGAGTCGCATTGCTCAGTGTGTGCACTCGGCGTCGCCCCAGGCGACGCCCAAGGGCAAGGAAATCTCTACGACGTATATCGCGCTCGTGTTTCAGACTGCGAACCACTTGAGAATACGTAAGCTTAGTAGCACAGATGCGGCGACGCATGTGAGGGATATGCTGCCTACGTTTCGTTTCGATTAGGTGGGCGAATGCGTCACCAAGCCCGCATAGTCCGCATCTGATCACGACTTGCGACAACGTGAGGGTATCGTGTCTTGTAAAACCAACATTCAGGTCTCGAGCTGACGTTTCGTTTTCGTAATTATGTACTGCTAATGTATCTGCCTCTTAAATACACTTCTTCACGCCAATATGAAGTATGTATAAAGAGGAGGATAGTCCCGACCCGACACATGTAAAGCGTTGGCTCATTGACCACATGGCAAGACCATTCAACCAATTCGCCCTTCCATCCAGCGTCAACTAGAACCAGGACGGCAGCAACACGCCAATGCAGCACCCGGTCCTCCTCCTACATTGGCTTCTTGCCGCTGCCGCCATATTCAGTAGCGCCATGGCCGTCCAGTCAGACTCGGAGGAGTCCTGCTCGGGCCCAGAGTCGGTAGGCTTGAACGAACTGCGACGGGGGAGTCTCAACCTCTTTGGATTCTCAGACTGACCGCGTTTCCTCCCGACCAGACAACTTGGAACGCGCGCATGAATGGACAGCACGGGCACTTTCCAGGGGTGAGTTCAACCATCAAGTCCCTGACCACTCTAAGGCGGGAGCATCGCTACGTGGAGCTGCGCGACAAACAACCGCTGACTTGAAGGGAGTAGACATGCAAAAGGGCCACACAAACGTGCCACTACACGTTGAAGCACGGGATGTGGGGCAGCATGCTCTGGATTGACGGCGATTGGATCGATGATGAGGACGTTTACTTGCACCAACCCATCCCGCCAGGAAAGCATGCCTGGCATTCTAAGCAATGCGACCCACGCTACAAGGTAATACGGCCACACCAAGGCACTTTCGCGTCTCTACCTCCCCCTGCTAACCGTGGCCTTCTCCTGTTAGTGCCAGATTGACGGCGATCTCTGCGTGGACAGGGGGAGCGTCAGGTGCCACTATCCGTACGGTCTGAAAGACCTTAAGTGGAATATTGATTGGAACTCCGACTCTGAATCCATATACAGCTCGGAGGAAGAGGGCCCCCCGTCGGAGGCCAGTCGGTCGTGGAGGTCGAGCAAGCGGAAGTCGTCGGGAGGCAGCCGGTCCTCCTCGAAGAGCACTGGATCCACGAGCTCTTCGAGGAGCTCGTAAGGGTGACGGCTACCTTATTACGTCCTGGGGCTAATAGGAACAGACTAGCGGGCCGCGCGCATAAAGGGAGTTCGTATGCATTATTGTAGTAGAGTAGATGTATTGTCATTCTGAGGGGAAGGCGTTATAGTATACCGTTATAGGATGCTGGCTAGTATGACACGTAAAGCCATTGACCGCCGATTCTTCTATCGCAAGCTTGAAGTCTGTACGCACACGCCGCGGTTTGTCCAAGCTTAATATGCCGTGGAGATAGCCTTGTGGGTGTCGCTGTAATGCCTTCACTTCGAAACCCCCGAGAATCAAGAAAAACAGATCCGTCGTATCGGTAGGACAGATGCCGTGTAAGAGCGCGCATGAGCGGCACAAAGACCTTGTATGGAGAGCAAGAAGCCAAGGGGGACGACTGCATATTGCCCGGAACCTGTGGTAGTAAGACACTTAAGAGCGTTTAGTGTAGGCGCTCGGCGAAATAGCAGTCGCACTGCTCCACGGGGGCTCATGGCGTGGCCCTAGGCGACGCGCAAAGTCAAAGAAATTTTGCAACATGTATCGCGCCTGCGTTTCATGCCGCAGTTCGAATGGCAGTACGTAAATTCATGAGATGCGGTGACGTGTTTGAGGTATGTGCTGCCTACGTTCCGTTTCGACCACGCCGGCGAATTTGTCACCAAACCGCACGGTCTGTACATAAGCATTTCATGACGACTTGCTGCAAGTGGAGCATGGCCTGCCCTGTAAAAGCCATACTTAGGTCCCAGAGCTGCGGTTTCGTTTACGCATAAATGTGTTGCGGGTTTCTCAGCGCCTTCTAAACGCTTCCTCATGCCTAGCATGTATAAAAGGTATCCTGCCCCCCGGCCCGCCCGACACATACAAAGTGCATGTGGTAGCTGGCTGAACACTTGGCAAGGCTTTCAAACCAACTAACTCTTTCTGCCCAGCGTAAGCTAGAGCCAGCAACGTGACAATGCAGCACCAGGCCTACCTCCTTCAATGCCTTCTTGCCGCGGCCCTGTGCAGTGGCGCCTCGGTCGCCTCAGACTCGGCTTCGGAGCTGAGCGATGATTGCTCGGGCCCAGAGTCGGTGAGTTTATACAAACGGCGGCTGGGGGCTATCATTTCCCAGAGTTCAATTATCAGACTAATTGCTTCCCTGGCCAGGCGGATTGGGAGTGGCGTATGAATGGAGGTCACGGGGAATTTGCCGGGGTGAGTTCATGCCGACAAGTCAACGACAAACTCCCTTGTACCCACGACGCGCCAGCCACGCGTTAATGTAGCTGACATGGAACGAAAACAAAACAGTTGTGCAACAAGGCCGCGCAAACCTGTACCTATAAAGTGAAGCACGGCATGTGGGGCAACACGCTGTGGATTAACGGCGCCGACGTCCCGGGTCCGCCGAAACAGCCCGTCCCGCCCACGAAGTATGCCTGGTGGACTAAAGACTGCCACCGGAGAGCAAAGGTGAGCCCACGGCCAGCGAAGCAGCGTCGAATACCTGCTCCCCCCTGCTGACTTTGGCCTGCCTGCGTTAGTGCCAAAAAGATGGAGACCTCTGCGCGGAGAATAGTGGCCAGATCATCTGCCACTATGGGTACGGCATGGAAGACCTCGTGTGGAATCAGTGGTGGGATTCCGACTCGGATCGAGGGGGACCATCGTCGGATGCCAGCCGATCGTGGAGGTCCAGCAAGCGGAAGTCGTCGGGAGGCAGCCGGTCGTCGTCGACGGGCAGCGGCTCCTCTAGCTCTTCGAGAAGGTCGTGAGGGTGTAGGGCCACCTTGTCACATCTTGGGGCTGATGGGGGTGGACCCGCGGGCTGCGCATGAAAGGGTTTCGTATGAATGGGATGGTGAAGCAGGGGCATTGCTATTATCGGGCGAAGCTATCGCAGACCATTGCAACGTGCTGCCCAGCAAGGCATGTAAAGTACACCTGTTGGCTGTCGATTCCTCCCATCGCGAGTTCGAGGTCTGTTGCGTACGCTGCGGCTGCTGCAAGCTCCATATATCATGGAGGCAGCTTAACTGGATGTTGCTGCAATGTCTTCACCTGCCTGTCGATTCGACGACCTCGTCGATGTGCTCACCCGCGTCCGCAACTCCCAGTGCCACTAATTTCAACCCCGAGCATCAAGAGAAGTAGATCGGCGACATCGGTATGACAGATGCCGTGTAAGAGCGCGCATGAGACCTATGCCTAGCCCACACATCGCAGTTGACAGATTGGACGGTCAAGGGATCTCGGGTCCGAGCAGGTGTTACGACATGTCCTCAAGACTCAGTCCGCTCACAACTACCCACGTGTCATGCCCCTTGTATTACCCAGTGTCCGATTGCACCAGCGATATAAAGCCCGACGAGGAAGCTCAATCCGAGGTGGGGTCAAACAGACCTGGGGCGAACCTCGTCACGTCAAAGTTCCCCCCTTCCCATTCATTGCTCATCTCGGCATTGAGTCACCCCGTTCTGCCTCCACGTTGGGGCTTTCATAAACCTCCACTCGGGAGCTGCTTCGGCGTGCTGAATCCGGAATAGCGGGGATGCCGAGGGTGCCGGTGTATAACTGTCGGTGCGACATTGTCGGCGATGGCCAGCGCCAACATCATCGCGCGGGCTGCTTCCTCTCCAGGAATTCGAGGCTGGCCATGGATCCAGAGATGGACTACGAGGCGCTCAACCGTACCAACTGGGACGAGCGCGCCCCCGTCGTGAGAACTCACAGACCCAAGACAACCGCTCGGCAGGGGCAATAGCTGACGAATGAAGCACGCCGCGTCTCGAGACTACCACGTCCAAGACTTCATCTCCGACGCAAACTTCCTCAGCGACGTTGTTAAGTTTGACCGGGCGCTCCTTGGCGACATCACCGGCCTGGCGTGCGTACACCTGCAGTGCCACATCGGCACCGACACGCTGAGCCTCGCACGGCTGGGCGCGGCTTCCGTGACGGGGCTAGACTTCTCCGGCGCATCGCTCGCCCAAGCGCGCAAACTCGCGAGCGCCACGGACGGCACGGGCGGCGAGAGGCTGAGCTTTGTCGAGGCATCCGTGTACGACGCCCCCGCTGTGCTGCCCCAGGGGTCGTTCGATCTCGTCTACACGGGCATAGGGGCGCTCTGCTGGCTCCCCAGCGTGGCGCAGTGGGCGAAAGTGGTGCGCAGCCTGCTCAACCCAGGGGGGCGATTGTTTGTGCGCGATGGTCACCCCGTGCTCTTGGCCCTAGACGAGGCGCGCACCGATGATCCGGTGCTCGGCTGGTCGTACTTTGAGCGCGGCGGGGAGCCGACGATATTTGACGAGGCGGAGACATATGTCCACACGGGGGGATACAAGTTCCAAGCAACGCGAACGGCGTCGTTTAACCACGGTATCGCGGAGATGGTGCAGGCGCTGCTGGACGAGGGGATGAGGGTGACGGGGTTGGTCGAGCATCAGAGCGTCCCTTGGAACGCCTTGCCGGGGCAAATGACCAAAGATGAGAGCGGTAAGCAGCACCTAGTATCAAGCTTTTCTCAGAACTGGTAAGTAGGCTGACAGAGCGGTAGGGGAGTGGTCGTTGACTGATCGGCCATGGCGATTGCCTCATTCATTCACGTTGCAGGCCGTCAAGGAGTGACGCCATTCACAAGCAGACATAACAAACTGCATGTTAAATCCTTAGAATCTGATGTGTACTTGGTCGTATATCGTCGTAAGTGAGCACGGCGGCTGTGCCGGGCCGGGCTCCCTTGGGATGCCTTCCCTGACGAGGCGTGCGGTCCAGCGCTCTATGCCTCCGAAGGCTCCACGTCGTATTCAATGTCAGTCCGGATGATGTATTTTGCGCCCTTCTTGACACTCGTGCCCTCATGCAGTAACGCTCCGTTCGTCTCGCCGTGGGGAAACACGGCCACACCGCCCATGACTGGCCGCACGGGATAGGCATTGAGAATCCCCTCGCGCTGACCGGGAATGAAGAAGGTCGTCTCGCCGCCCTCAAACTCGTCGTTGAGGTATAGTAGGAATGTGAAGAGTGAACTCTGCTTCTTGTCGGGCGGAGAGTCGTCATAGACGTATGTGTCGTCGGGGCGTATGCCTGACGGGGGCCAGGCGCCGTCGATATGGCAGCGGTACTCGGCGCCCGGCACATAGCGATACACGCGAAACCTCCGGTTGAGGCCCCGCGCAAGCCGGCCGTTGACCGCAACGGGCACAAACGGCGCCATCCGCGCCCAGAGCTTATCATGAAAGGCCGTGTCGACGATCCAGTAAAAGTTGTGCGCGAGGACGCTCGTATCTCCGCCCTCGCGAACGGGCGTGTCGGGGATGAAGCCGACGCTCTCGCCAGCAGCAATGATGGCCTTGCACTCATCAGGCGACAGAACATTGGTGGCGAGACCAAGATTGGGCACGCTGGGGTGGTTGTGGAAAGTGATGTCCTGACGTTCAGGTGAAAGGGAGACGCTGTCGAGTTCGGTGGTGTAGAGAATGGCGGGATGGTGATTGGGCGGCTTGCGAAGATGACCCGGTGTTGTTTCGATAATGCGCAAGGATTTCTTTGGCGCGGACGAGAGTATTGACTTGTCCAAGACGGAAGCGTAAACTTGGTGCGGTGTCGTGGACGCGCGAAGGTCCCAGGTCGTCTGGAAGGCGATGTGCGAGGAGAGGTCGATGGCAGCCTTGGCAGCGCTCGTGTCGACGGGACAGCTTACGCGCAAAACGGCATCCAAGACGCCCAGCAGCTCCATATCCTTGGCCGAGCGCTCGGGGCCAACAATGCTGACGCCCTTGGGCTGGGTGACGACATCGAGGTCGCGGACCCAACGGCAGAGGGCACCGAGCTTGGGCTCCTGGCCGCGCAGGCGCATCTCGGCGAGGAGGATCTTGGCTTCGAGGTATTTCTCATCGGCGAGGGCAGCGGAGACGCGGGCAGTGAGATTGGCGCCATCTAGATGATACAATTCGTTAGCCATCGGATTCACACAGGCTTGGTCCTGCGATGGGAGAACCTACCTGCGGCATTGACGCCCGTGGTACAAGACTGGCGAAAGTCATACACGGCGACTCTGAGGTCCTTGCACAGCTTCGACTTGGTTAGGTTGGGGTACTTGGCGAGCGTCGCGAGGGTGTCAATGGTGATTTCGAGTTCCTCGTCCGAGATGACGGTCTGGAGGCTCTTGGGCTCGAAGCCGGCGGCGGCGGCGGCGGCGGCATCTCCGGCGGGCGAGGAGCCTGTCTTGACGGCTTTGCTGGGGTGGTCGGCCTGTGCCTGGGCCTGGGCCTTGCGCTTGCGCTTGGCCGCCTTGGATTGGGCCATGATTGGGTTGCGATGCGGTTGTGGTTGCACGACGACAATGGATGGCAGTGGGAAGTTTTGCGGTTTGGAGCGCAGCGGCATCAAGCAGAAGTCCGGGAAGCTGGCGGTAGATTTTGGTGGAGCAAGGCGGGGCGGCACTCAATTGGATCGATGGCCCGGCGCCCCCACAGGAGACTTAGCGGGACGGGCCCCACATCTCCCGCTGTGTTTTGGGGCTCCCACAGCGCTCCAGTGATGCTTCAGCCGTCCAGAATCCGGATGCACGGATTCACTCATCCATCTTCCCACGCGAATGGAGCCCACCAAGCAGGGCCACGATACTCGGCTCTCTCGCTCATAAGCAAGGCATATCACACCTAATATCCTGATGACGGGGCGAAACAGATTCAATCTACCAAGTGCGAGGGGTATTATGTGCCAACGGTAACTCCGACCATTCTCTGCCAATCTCCCCATCTCCCCATCTCCAGCGTCTCCCAGCATCACGCCTCTCACCAAGCCAGCCTACTGCCTGTACTGCCGCGCCGGGACGCCCTCCATCTTGCTATTCACCTTGGGGTCCAGCTTGTTCATCAAGTCCGAACGGTGCGGCCCCGCCGTGTGAGGCGCCGGGCCCGGGAGCATCTCGTCCCTCGTGCGACCGCCCACGGCGCCCGCCATGCCATACGCGCCGCCTCCCTGCTGTGCCATGCCGCGAGGCGTCCTGTCGAGGTCCGAGTCGACCGTCGGATCCAGTGTGTTGCCGGCGCGCGTGCGATGCGGGCCGTACGTGCCTTCAGGGACACCCCCAAAGGTGCCTGCGGTCTGCGCAGGTGCGAGGGCCGGAGCTGCGGTGCCTGGAGCCGCCGTGGTCTGGGCGTTGGCCACGGTCGCATCGACGCGGGGATCCAGCGTGTTGGCCATGCGAGAGTTGTGTTGCGGGCCATGCGTGTAGTTGCCTGCGAGGCCGCCCGCGGCTTGGGTGCCTGCAGGCATCGCTCCTCCGGCAATGGCGGCCGTGCCAGGAACCGGCTGTGCGGCCCCAGCCTGTCGACCGGTGCCTTGGACGCCAGGTCCTAGGACCTGCGCGCCGCCAGACTGGCTGTCCACCGTAGGGTCCAGCTTGTTGAGGATGTCGTGCCGATGCGGGCCTGCCGTGTGAGGCGCCGGCCCGGGTAGGGTGGCGTCGGGCCCGATGCCTCCTGGTGCCCCTGCCATCTGGGTAGTTGGGACCGTCGTGCCAGGGACACCGGCGCCGTGGGCGTGGGTCTTGTTGTTCTTAGTTCCGAGGGGGCTCATGCTGGTGCTTCTCGTAGATTGTCTTTGGGAGTCGTGCAAGTTGAACGAATAAGTCCCGTCTGGCGGCGCCTGACATCCTATAAATACCCCGATCAGGCTCTGTAGTCATGATGGTGCGGCACTCGATGCCGAGATCTGCCCAAAGCAGGCTCGTCCACGATGCAGTCACAATCGGGAGTACGCGCGTTGCGTTTTACGGTCATGATGATGCTGTCCGGCTCGCCACTTACACGAACCTGGAACATATCGTGGTCTTTTTACGGCGGTTCCCCCAATATCCGGCTTGACTAAAATGCCCAAAATGGCAAGAAGTCCATTTCGAGGGCGGCATCTTGTTGTGTGGCGTCCCATTGTCGGAGGCGTTGCGTGTGTCCGGGGAACGTCATCGTGACAACACCTGTGTCGCCCACAGCCACTTGCCCTGCAATCCGTTCCTGGACACAACATTTTGCATGGAAAAGATCGCCGCATAGCGATGAGATAGCGTCATGTAGTCATGGGATGTCCATTGATGGCTCTCCATTGCGCGACTTGCAATTGAGCCTTGATGGTGACGGCCACCACCAGGAGTCAAGCTCCGGCCCATCATTTTACTGCCGTCCGGGGATGCCAGGGCCACGGTGCAACGGCAGAAACCGGTGGCAAACACAACTTCAACTATTACCTGCCGCCGATACTTCGTCACCAGTCAGTCACCGTGATGGAGGCTGCTTTTCCCTTCTCCCTCATGCCGTGGCAAAGCCAGGCCCGCGCTTCCGCATGTGACACACTCAATCCTTGCACCTAAGCCGAACCAGCCCTGCCAGGCTCTCCAGCCGTCAGGTCCCTTATGAGCTTGACCATCTTCTCGGCCATGAGCGGCACGTCGCCCGGGAACCTGGCGCTGATGTAGTTGAATTTCTCGTCCTCGACCACGAATCTGTCTCCGGTGTCAGCTGACGGGCATCTCCGGCTGGTTGAAGCGACTTACGGAGACGGCGAGAGGCTGATCTTCAGATGCGATGGATCGCCAACTGCCTTTCGAACCTGCGCATTGGCGATAAGCATGAGGCACGCATATTGTCCGCGTCGCAGTCACTCACCGAGTCCTCCACGTCGTCGCTCCCCGCCCCGTACGTCTTGTAGTAATCCCCCAAGAACGCCCTCGTTCCCCAAAACGCCACCTGCTCGAACCTCGCCGGCAGCGTCGTCGTTGTGACCCCGTGCAGCACGCTCTGTCCATCGCCATCCTTGCGCCGCGCCTCCGACAGCACCATGACGCCGTGGCACACCGCGCCGACGGCCGCCGCCTGCCCGCCCGCGGACGCCTTGGCCGTCGACGGGAAGTAGTCGATGAGCAGGGCGTGCACGGCCGCCGAGTCGATGATCTGCCGCACCGACTTTTCGTGGCCGCCCGGCAGGAAGACGAGGTTGTACGGCGCCAGGGAGAATCCGGACGCGCTCCACGAGAGGGGCTTGGTGAATTCGGCAGACGAGGCCATGGCCTTGTAGAGCTGGATAGTGGATTGGGTCGCGCCCTGTAAATTCGCATGTCAGTACGCCCGATATTTGAGGCGCGAGCGCAGAGCGCGTACGAGGATCTTCTGGGTGATGCCCTCAAGCATGCGGCTATCGCAGCTTGGCGTCTTGCCGCTCTCGGTCGCGAACGCGACGTCGAACCCTGCCTCCTTGAACGCCGTGTAAGGCACAGCGGTTTCTGCGAGGGGTGAGATGAGCCCAGCGCAGTGAGAGATGAGGGTGCGCACCTGTCGGGTCGTGCCCGTAGTCGGCCATGAGGATGATGACTTTGGCCATGGTCGCTCTTCTGATGCTGAGCTGTGGATGAGCAAGGGTTAAGCTGCGCGTGCCGATGTGTTGCAAGTGGTGATGAATTACACGGGCCTGCTCGGCAGTTGTGATGAAGAAGATGGGATCAAAGGGTAAGGGTAGATGCTCGTTGAATCCTTTGCCGAGGCTTGCTCTGAGGATTGAGTTGCGGTCGAGTTGATAGGTAAGGTAGCGCTACCCGGGGGAGCCGTTGAGGCAACGCGGGGTTCTGTGATCCACTAAACTCAATCGCCCAGTGCTGACTGTAACCCGCTGTAGAGCTGCCACCTACTGATGCGACAACTGGAACGACGACAACGCCAGTCGCATCACGCAAATGCATGGGTGATTGTACCAGCTTGAACATGTCCATGCCCCTGCATATTCTATAATTGCTCGCGTCTTGTCCAGGGACCATGGCTGTTCCTGTCATTTTTTGTGCGCTAAACAACAAAACGGCGAGGCGTCGGGCGGCTCCATTGGGGGCCCTGGGGGCAGACACGCGATTCACCACATCATTCGATTCCAGAATCGTCCCTCGGCTGAGCCAGCAAAAGGGTATCGGTCGCAGGGAGTATTATGGTACGGTCAGGTCTCGGGCATCGCGTCCTCCTCGTCCGTCTGAATCCCACGCAGGCTAACGCTGACGTCCATCGCCTTGTTGATCAGTGCTCTCAAAAGCGCCTGATGCTCTCCGGTGAATGTGCCTTTCTCGCTGCAAGCCACAGTCAAGCAGCAGTGGTTATCGTAACCGATATCCCATTCCATCACGTCTTGGACGTTCGAGGGCTCGGCGGCGTAGTGCTCCCATCCGCCGTACTCCCAGTCTTTAGCGTCCTTGTTCTTGTTCTTCAGGATCCAGCCATTTACCCACAAAGGCATCCCCTCCGCGTCCATGTGTAGCAGTTGTGACGAGCAGAACTTGCACACGTCCTGGCCACGATAGCGTTCGTCGTCTTGTGAAGTTCGGTTTCCCCGCTCGTGGGGGACGACTTGTTGAGCGAAGCCCATGCCGCCGACGGCACCCGGGTGGAAACTATAGTCCACGTCACCAGCGAGCTCCCAGCTCAGCCAGAATGTCTCCTTGTCACCTGCAAACAGCATTAGATTCCAAAACAGGTCTGAGACGATAGTTTCACGTACCATGTACCATCTCGTAGATACCTGCTCCGCCTTTCTCCGAGTACTGCTCAGGCCCGTTCAATCGGGCGGCCAGTAAAAGACTTATGAAGTGACGCCATTTGTCTACCAATATGAGGCCGGACTCTTGCTCGTGTGCACTCTCGCCAGTCCAGAATCGACTCCTCATTGCCGTCTGAGATACTGGTTCCGGCAATATCTGCTGAAGCCACTCCTTTCTCGAGAACGGACCTGCTCGTCGGTCCCTGAAGAATAGCGCCCCAGTCTCATTGTACCACGGGGTGTCAAATAGGTCTTCTGGATTCTGGAAAAAGAAGTTGTCCGCGTCGATGAATAAAACTTCCCGGAAGCTAGATAGAAGGATAGAAAAGGGCTTGCTGGCATAGCTATTCAGATCTCCTCCTGCGTTGTCAATCATCTGGGCCAGGTTGCGAGTCGTGACGGCACCAAGGCCCTCCAGACGGGCACGGTAGTCCTCGCTGAGATCTGCGTCGCCGAGATACATGACCTCAATTGGCAAATCGCAACCAAGCTCCCGAAGAGTTGGGATTGAAGATAGCAAGTACTCTGCATGTCGACTTCCCGCCGCGAAGACGATTCCTCGCCCGCCTTGCTTGATATGTGCACGTAATGCCGTATGGTCGGAAAAATATGGCGCAGTCCAGGGGAACAACGACGACGCAAGGGCTGACAAAAAATACCGAAATGTCTCGTAGGAATGAACCGTTTGCGCAAAGCCGTCCCTTAGTAGCTTCTCTGAATGGAGCTCATGTCGATCGTATAATAGACGAAGTTGTTGTATTATATTGTCGTGAATAACGCCGTATCTATCTTCGCTGTCGACATCGTGTAGTCCTTCCCATCCATCCAGGAGGGTCTTGTAGCGCCGCGCCCGGACAGCAAGCTCCCGTAGACGTTGTTCGCGTCCAACCTCGATCGGTAGCAGAAGCGCGTCGCGCTCGTCTTGTCCCGGCAGAAGCTTGATTACACGAGTGAGTGCGCTCTCGAAAGTCGAATGATTGGACCCCGAAGGCACAAGCGGCGGAGGTCGCGGGGTGTGTCCTCCCAGGCCGAACGCCTTGCGGGGAGCCGAAGTAAAGAAGAGCGCTGTCAGAAAAAGGAGCGGCACCAGGATGAGGAATCTGCGGAACTGTAACCGGCTCGGCTTTCCGATTCTCACGAGCAACCAACGTGGCCGAAGAGAATTGAAGCTCAGGAGCGCCTGGGACACCGATGGGGGCTCCATTCAGACCGATACATGTCGTGGCAGTTGGGCCTATCGCCCTGCCGGGAGGAGAGTGGGAAAACGTAGAAGAGGAGAGGAAGGCCAATATTATTGAGCGAGCGAGGGCAGTCATATTCAGTACGAGTAGAATGACCCGTCAAGCGTGGCCGGGCTGCGCCCACAATTCTTTGGAATCGCTCATACCGTCGTGCGTCAAGGGGTGCATTGATTGTGCTCTGGACTTTTGGAGATACCGAGAAAGCCCGCATTATGTTGGGGGCTACTGGGGTCGAAGAAATGCCCACCAGTCAATGCTACTGAGACCACCACTTGGCAGAGCCAGCGTTGGCTTTGATATGCACATGGAGATAAAAGAACGGTTGTTCCTACCCTTAGTCGCCCAGATTTACTTGATGCGAACTTGGGCTCCTTCTTCCACCTCAAATTAGTTCTCATGTTCGAACTAATTGAGCCGCGGGTGACCCGGATCTGACGTTTAGAGCTAAACCCATTTACAGGCACGCTTACGACGACTGGGGGCATCAAATTGGTAGCGGGACTCAATCAATCTCCAATCCCGTTCAAGAACACAGCGCGTGCGGCCAATTCCCATTGGGGTTGGTGGTTAAGTTAAAAGCCTGCACAAGTGCTGCCTGGATCATACATTTCGGTCTTCACCCCCAACAGATGCCGCAATAGGAAGCAGCCGGTATCATTTACCAGGTGTTGCAAGTTTCATGACATGCCTCAGTTCAACCAACGTAAAGTCCCACTGTAATCTTTCTAGCTCACATTGGTCGGCTTCGTTCTTTTCGAGCGACCAGTCCCTCACGCACCAACTTGCAAACCGTCGGCTATAACCTCTAGGGGCGTTTGCCGAGGCAGCGCGTTTGCAACGGCGTTTGCTTTCGTCATGACTTCATCCCACTCTTTCTCTTCCTCGCTGAGCCACGTAATGGCCCCTCCCGCACTGAGTTCGAGCTTCTCCCCTGCCTTGACAATCGTTCGAATGACCACGGACTGGTCGACGGTGCCGCTAGCGCAGATGTACCCGATGCTTCCGGAGTAGATGCCGCGGTCGCGTTGCTCGAGGGCATCTAGTATCTGCACGGCACGGAGCTTTGGCGCGCCCGTCATTGAGCCAGGCGGGAAGCACCTCTCAATGACCTTGACGCCTCCGATGGACTGCGCAATCTGCGATTGAATCGTCGTCACAAGCTTACCAACGAGATACAGTTAGACTCTCCCGCGCCGTTTCGAACGCAAAACAAGGAAGGGCATGACACACCTGATGGACAGTCTGATATGATTCCACGTGAAGAAGCTTCGGAACAATGATTGAGCTCGACGGTGAGATGTTATGAAGATCAGATCGGATGAGGTCGACAATCTACACGCACGTACCGAGGTGCTGTTAGTGGATGCCAATGCCGCCAACAAATGACAAGATGGGCGACGTACCATTAAATTTTCGGCAAGCTCTTTGACATCCGTGGCAAGTTGCGTCTTCCTCCGCTCATTTTCTTCAAAGTCGGGGCTCACTGCCAACGTCCCCTTGATCGGCTTCATCTCAGCCACCCCGTTGGCATCCACAGAGATGAATCGTTCCGGAGACGACGACAGAATGGTGTTGTCGTGGGCGGCAAAGTGCATAAAGGCCGAATATGGTGCCGGATTGCGTTCTCTCAGGTCCAGGTACAGTGCGTATGGGTCTACCTTTGGGCTTTCGGCCTTGAACTTTGTTGTCAAGGTCAGCTCGTAGGCCTCGCCGTCCTTGATGGCAGCTTTGGCGGCCCGAATTGTGTCCGAGTATGACTCCTCGTTGTCTAGAGCGACGAAACTCGGAAGTCCATGCGGCTCGACATACGGCGGCGACAGAGGGGCCGCGAAAACATCGCGCACACGAGCCAGCAATGCGGAGAACTCTTCCTCGCTCAGGCCAACTTTGCTGACGGCTCCAATGGAGTCGCCTATAGGGTCGGCATCACTTCGTCTTACTAGATTGAACATGGTCCAGTCGCCCGTGTAATTGTCCAATCGCAGTACCGTGCTGGCGAACAGGAGCTCACTGTCGGCGCGCTCCGTGTCCGGGTCTTCTGTTGTCGGCACATAGTGATATCCGGGGAGGGACTCCCGCTTCAGCTCATAGCCAAAGTATCCCAGCAGTCCCACTTGCAGGAGGGGCTGGCCAACTTCAGCCTCTTGGTCCAAGAGCTCAGGGGAAATTGCCTCGGTGTTATCCCGGATGACCTCGCGGTGAAAGTGGTCCAGCCATGTCCAGTACGGCACAGAGAGTCTCTCTGATCGTATTGGCTTACCGTTTTGTTGGAATGAGAGGACTGCCGACTGAGACGAGTAGCTCAGAGCAAACGTCGCTGAGGCCATATAGGAGTTTCGCGAGTGCGAGTCACGAACCTGAGTCGTGTCAGCTTCCACCAGTTCCCACTTGAAAGCGCTGCGAGGCAAGATCAACAAACCTTTGCACTATCAAGCCAAATCTCTCCATCCGGCGAGTTATTTCTGAACAGCGAATGGAATATGACCTGAGGCACTGGCCCCTTTCCCAAGCTTGTGGACTTGATGTAGTATGCTGAGCTTGGGGGCCCATCTCCACGGAGTTTAGCTGCTCCGTTTGCATGCACTGGTTCTGTCACATTCTCTTTGAGAATGTGCTGGGGCAAAGAGGCATCAACGGAAAGGGGTCTTTTGGTCCAGCGGTTTCCAGGGTTGCCAGTTGCCCAAAAGTCCAGCACTATCTCGTGGAAGTTCTGCAGAATTTGTTTCCCGTGGGCCGAGCAAATACTTTCCGGGTGCCACTGAGTGCCGAATATTGGACGGTTGCGATGCTGAATCCCCATCAAGACTTTCTTTGATGCATCTTCCGGATCAAATGTCCAGGCAGTAACTTCAAGATCCCGTGGCAGACCTGAATGACGCATTAGTGCACATATACGCGAATTCAGTTTTCCAGATGAGGCTGGGAACGTACTCTCCAAGTCCAGCACCAGGCTGTTGTATCTGACACCGTCAAATCCCTGTGGTAGATCCTTGAGAACACCGAGTTCTCTGTGATGTATCTGGCATATTTGCCCATGTTTGATGTTTGGAGTATGTACAACCTTTGCACCGAAAGAGGTACCAATCCCCTGATGCCCGAGACAGATACCGAGTATCGGGATGGAGACCTCCTGAAGGAGTCTGGCGTTGAACCCAAAGTCGGCTTCTCTTTCCGGGGTGCCTGGCCCTGGTGACAAGATGATTGCATCCAATGATGGGAGTATTTCGGTAAAGAACTGATCCCTGGAACAAGAGTTAGCTTGCTGGACGCCTTGAGAAATTTCCAGGCTACACTTCAATGTTGGGGAGCTGGGCACATACCATGAGAATTGGTCGAATCTCACAATTACTACGCTCCACTCTGGATAGGGAACACCATCATGTCCAGTCCGAGTACCTTGAAGGAGCTGGAGGATGTTGTTGGTGTAAGAGTCGTAATGGTCAATGATCAAAACCTTCGCTGTGCCCATGGTGAGGAAGTAATACAGTGAAACACGTCGTTCTGATCTCAATACGAAGATTCTCACTGGATAGGGTCCCGCGACATGTGCGCTGAATGTGTGTTTAATACCGATCAGTGGCGCCGCACTAGTCGGCATTTACAACGATCACGGGTACCCAGACTCGAGGGCTTACAATTCTCCCAGCTAGCTTATCGTCTCCCGAAATCCCAGCTCTCCTTGGCCTTACCCGGAACCAACCTAGTTGTAGGAGCCAGGCCCGTCACTCGGAGGACAAATTGTATCAAAGGCCCCTGTCCGGCAACCATCGCCCACACTCCGAGTAGTCGCCGTAGAGCATTCAACATAGTACGTGATCACGTTGTATGGTAAAACTGTGGCTTCGTATTGCCTCATGGCGGAGTGCGACGGCACAGTAGCTGTCTCCCGCCCGCGGACACGTACTCCCTTCGGCGGATGCCGCGTCTCCGTGATAAACGACATTCCTATTTAGTACGTAAATGGCGAATTGAAGTCCGAGGCTGCCACCATGGGTCGTGATCCTCCCTCTGAAGCAGTCGAGACTCGAGAGGGCTGATGCTCGCCAGTCAACGATTGTCCTCGGCCCTGGATAACGGGTTGTGGCTTCCAAAAATGCACAAAGGCGGGTCCAGACGCGAAGGGGAACGTTGCTTGGCTCATCTCCCTGCCTCGGGAGGATTCACCATCCGAAAAGCCTCCCGGCTTACTAGCTGCCTTCATCGTTGATGTTGTTCCGCACGACAGTCGTCATTGTTCAGTGCCGACGGAAACATTGCATAACGGGACGTAGGTCAAGTTATTGCAGTACCGGGGTTTTGACGCAGTACTTCGTCGTGACAAATCGGAGTTCGGACCCGAATGGCAAGATGGTGACATCCACGCATTGGCTTGCGAGATCGATCCGTTACGGGGCGTGCCGGGGTAACGCACGTACACACCCCTGGACCCTGACTGTATCTTGATCAACTCCGTCCCTCTCACCTCCGCATGATTTCACCCCTTCCCAACTGCGACTCTCGGGGTCGGAGAGCATTGATGCCACCGTCAGAAGAAATGCAACTTGCTGGACCCCAGTCCGGCCGGCTGGAGCGACGCCCACCCGCCCCGCGCCGGGGCTCGGACGCTCTCAAGCAAGGCCCATGGCGCTGCGCCAATTGCCCCAAGGAGTTTTCTCAGAGTCAGTATCCATGGGGGGCTTCAGTGCCCACCCCTGTGCTCACCCCTACGTCACGCCAGCTGCTGTTCCTTGTCTGGCGCTGGCAGGGGCGATGCGGTCGTTGTACGACACCAGGTCAATTGAACTAACATCGTGGGTTGCGAGCAACCCTACCCTCGCGCAGAAGAGTACCGTTACAAGCATCAACAACGCTGTCTTTTGGCGAAGCAAAAGGTGTCGAAACAAAAATCATGTGTTGCATGCGCTGCATCAAAGTTAAGGTGTGACCTGCGGATACCAGCCTGCTCCCGTTGTGCCAGCCGAAATAAGCCATGCCAGTACGTCGCGCCCACGAGAGAACCACAGACAGACGGCCAGGAGATACTCGGATCACGGGAACGGGTTCAAGACCAAAGCGCGGCGCCGGATGTCAGTCTCGACATTCACGATCAGGACGCGTTTAGCGGTAGCCAAAGACATGCACCTGTCAGAGGCGGCTTTGCAACCCAAACCGTGCGCTCAGAGGCTGGATCGGAGTTTGTGACCATCAAGGCGCTGGCCGAGGTGGAGAATGACTTACCCAGCGCCAATTCCACGGTCCCGTCAATGTCGCAGCAAATGCAACACAACCACTCGTCGGGGCAGGCGCCAAACATGGCGCAATCCAACTGGCAGATGGACTCGCAGGAAGACCAGCAAGACACCTCAGATCAACTACTGGGATCCGCGATTGGAGTCACAGTGCCTGGGTCGGACTGGCTGACCAGAAATGCATACAATCTGGCCGGCGAAGATGCCACGCCAGGATGGCAACATGGCGGCTCATGGCTCTCTCGGAGTCCGTTTGCGCCATCTGACCTCTCCATGCCTGTTCAACTCAACGAAAACACTGTCGGCAGCAACACAGCCGGCATTGCTAACGATGAGATGAACTTCGACCTTCTTGGCTCTCTGGGCATACTCGCCAGGAATCGCATTTCTCCATCACCGGCAGCGCTGGCTTCACCAGCTTCATCAATATCACGAAGGCGACAGTCAAGTTCTAGTCAGTTTGCTATTTCGTCACAAGCCTCAAACAGGGTCAGCGAGCCCAACAACCCACCGCCCCGGAGAGATCAAGGAAACAGCAACACATTGAAAACGCTTCATGAAGCATCGAAGACGATCTACGAAGAAGACTTCGTGGAGACAAGGAGGCTGCCCGGAATCATCGAATCTAATGCGCCACTGAGTTCGTGTCCCTTCCACAAGCTCAACAGTGACGACGACCTCGTTCAAATCGTCCGGGGGTATCCGAGAGTGATGACAAGTCCAGGTGTTTATCCCCCTTTTGTGCATCACAAGCTTTACCGTTGCGCGGCTGGCGACGTATCCGAGCCGCTGGCGAGGGCATTTTGCTGCGTCGGCGCGTTTTATGCCTCAGTGCCCACCAGCAAGACCTTTGTATACTCCTTGATCAATGAGCAAAGCAGCAAGCTGGTCAAGGGCTTTGTACGTTTGCGCCCACGAACCCACCCACCTTTGCAATGTTCCGCTAACAGTCGCATCAGCATCAATGGCCTGGCTCAGATACCGATATGTTGGCAGTTGTACATGCCATGTGCATCTACCAGGTATGAGATATCCAATTTTACGAAGAAACCGCTGCTCCAGAGAGCCATGAGTCTAAAAACTTGTTCCCATAGATCTTGGGGTTCTTCGTTAGTAGCAGTAGAGAACAGGCTCGGTCGACAGAAGTGCAGCATATGTACTTCCTCAAGGTTGGCGATTCCGCGTACAAGGAACAACCACCCGTCCTTTATCACTGACAAAACCGCCAGATGACACGCAAGCTCATTCGACAATATCTTCAGACCGCATCCGGTGAGAATGTTGAAGAAGTAGACTGGAGAAAGTGGATCATGAATGAAACAATTCGAAGGACCGTGTTCCTGGTGAACACGATCAACACCTTATCTTGCAGGATCCAGAAGCAGGACCCTAATTACTTTGAGCCATTGGACGAACATTTGGTACTGAACATGTGTATCCCGGCTCCGCAATCTGTTTGGCAGGCGTCGTCGGCCGAAGAGTGGATGGCAGCGAAAGCGCAGCTAGGGGCGGATGACGTTGCTCGTAGCAAGCTCACTGTTGCGCAAGTCGTCAATCACCTGAAGAATGACAGCTTTAGCGGCGATATAGACACCACGGGATATAGCCAGCGAACGGGAAGACTCGTGCAATACGGGCAGCTTGATGAGTTTACGCGGCTGGTTGTATTTACTTCGAGCTTACAACTCGATTCTTAGATCTGTCCTAGACAAAATACTCCTCGGAGGCCATTCCAGACCAGCAGATTTACCATGCTCTCATGGTGCATATGACAGGCACTGCATCACAGAGTGTTACTTGTGGCTGGGATGTATCACCAAGTTGCTTCGAGGTTTCATCCACTAGTTGCAATCGCCTTGATGATTTATTCTCTCCACTGTTGACTTGAAGCTCATGTCCGTTCTCCACCGGCTCATTGCCCTCGGGCCCTGAAGTTCTACGTATCAGAGGGCTTGCCATCATGCAGCCGCTGGACTTTGCTCCAGTATAACAAATTTCTGGGAAAATCCCTTTCCAGCCTTGCTCAATGCGCTCAAGTCATCCTGTTCTCGCAGAAGTATGACATTCTCTGGGTACAGCTTCCCAAGTAGAGCCAGCTTGATGACAGGGTCGGCAGCTGGGATGACGTGCACCAGGTTTCCGCGTCCAGCTTGCGCTCGAGGAGAGATGACTAGGCCAGGGGAGGTCAAAATGTCAATCGTGCTGTGAACAAGTCCGACCGGCTGATTGCCATTTATGATCGCGCCGCTCGACACGCCATTTGCCTGCAGAGCTCGTTTCTCTGATTCGCCGTTTTGTTCGGTGGCGGAGCCATTGAGCCTCTTCTCCGATCGAACGTCGTATGCATAACGGCGGCCTCGTGTGATTTGCCCCAGATCGACGGACACGCATACGCCAGAGTCAAGCGTCAGTCTCAGCTTGACGACGCGGCGCAGAGCGTCGTTTCCCGCATCGATGTCCAGAGAAGACTCTGTCACGCGTGTGTCCACAGCAAGCAGGGAGCTGAGGTTCCATCTGCCGTTGGACAATACAGTCTCTGTCCCAGAAGTGTCCTTGGAAGCCGCCAGCTCCGACCGTGGAGCGTTGACATACTCCTGGTGTTCGTAATCGAAGAGCACGTCAGGCTCAGACTTGTAGAATCGGGCCGGGTGATAGCGTAGCAAGTGCAGCGACCTAGACCCGGACAGAAAAGCTGGCAGGATTACGCCTTGGGAATACTGAAAGCCGTAACCACCACGAGGAAGTTGTCTGGCTGTGAAGACCTTTGCCAAGTCGACAATCGCGATGTGTTGAACGGCCCCGGTCAGGCACCGGACAAGGAAAAACTTGCGAGGCTCCTCGAGATCTCTTAGGCCCCGGCTCGAACTATCCGGGATGACCAGGGGAACTTCTTCGTAATTCTCGAACGGCAGAAGGCTGTCCCTTAGGAGGATCATGCGATGGAGCCACTCGTTGTAGAGCTCCATCAGATGAGAGTCGCTTCGGGGCCCTAGGAGGAGCGCGGCGACCGATGGGGTCCACAGATGGCCCTCGCAAGGGCTCCTGAAGCGGATGTCGTGACTGCCCGTGTACACCCTAGCATTTGCATGAACATGGTTTATGATGGTTTCGGCGATTCGATTCGATTGGGAGACAATTTCTCTGCGAGCGGCGTCTTGAGGCGAGTGCGACAGGGGCAAGGTCGACTCTCGGCCGCTCGTGGCCAACGATGCGGCAAGACCATTCACAAGCACTGATCGAGCCGGTGGTTCGGCCGGAGGATCTTGACCCAGCCGAGCGACGATGGCATCGAGGAGGGGGCTGGCGCTGACGACCAGCTGGCGAACGCTGTAGATGCCAGGGGCTAGCTGGGTGGCCTTCGCGAGTGAAGAATAGCTGGAGTCCCTATGTAGCTGCGCAGCCGATGAGGATTCCATGGGTAGATGTGTCCAAGATGGTTGAATAGTATGGCCCAGAGTGAGATTTGCAAACTTGACCAGTTGATAGGGGGTTGCCGTTGCGAGGGGCGGGGCGAGCGCGGCGATCATGGTGTGTGAGATGGCGAGCCCTTGGCGAGTAGTGTCGAAGAGAGGGCCTTTGCGCGAATGGGAACACAGAGTCGAATAGGCTGAGGTAGAGGCCTTGGAGGCTCAGCGGCAAAAGGCCAGCAGATGTACAAAGTATGGCGCAGTGCGTCTTGTCCGGCGTGGGGAGGTCAAGGCCCGTGGGTGCCACTCAAGACTGCAGTGTATGCCACCCCTACTCCGAGACACTGTATGATGGACTCCACCCAAGGATGGTCATGCAAAGCAGAAATGTGGATGAAAAGAAATAAAGCAAATGGCGGAACGGCCGTGCTGAAGACTAGGATGCGTTCTGTGAATGGCAGTTCAGTCGACAATTGCACCTTCAAAGAAGGATTTCTCCCCTTTAAAATTAGCAGACCGCCAGAGAGGTCAGCTGTCGATGTCCGAAAGCTGTGGCATCGCAGACCAAAGAGGTCTCACACAACGGAATTCTGGTTGGAGAGCGCAATGGTCATGAAGGGCGCATTAGCCCATGGGCAACGGGTCGTCGCGCCAAATCATTCTTCCTGTCTTGAGCCATCCTTACGCCACAGTGGATGTTGATTGCTTTCAGCGTGGCTTCTTGCCCGGCGCAATGTTGTTCTCTATGAGTGCTGCTGTCTGCGTTTGCGACCGCCGCTTCTCAGCGACATGCCTGTTGCTGGCAATTCTGCCGCAACTCGGAGTTGGACGACCAAGAATTGGGTCACCCTTGTCCGATGGTTCGGACTTGTGGCAGATGGGTGGAGCAATCAGGCCCCCAACAGCGCCCCTGGATTGGGCTGATTTGATGAACGACCCTGGTTCCTACCACGAACACCTCCCGACAATCCGATGGGTTTCTCCAGGAGCGGCCACTGGACTGCAGGAAGGATTGAATGCAAGTCAGCCGCGGTCCAGTGTGTTCGAGGAGAGGCCATTGGGGTTGCGTGTGCGATAGTGCCACTGTGTACACATTTTAGACCAGAATGACGACATGTCAAGTGTCAAGCAAACTGGCATGACAGCGGTGGATAAGAGGAGCAAGCAACTTAGTGCTCGGTGAGATGACCTACCAGCCTGAAACATCGCCGGACTCACTGCTCAGGAACCGAACGACCACGTTTTAGCGAAGCAAACTGTGCCGGCATACCTTGACGCAACAACCTCACGCCATGGCAAGTGCAGCTCTCGATAATCGTTCACCGGTGGCGGTAGTTGTGCCAGCAGCAGTGCCACCTCCTCAATTCTCAGGCACTGAAGGGGCTTACATGCTGCCTCACCATGCGCAAGAGATCGAGCGACTCGGCAGGCAACATCACTTTATGAAGTCGACGACCGACGGAAAAGTGCTTGTAGTTCCCGTCATCAACCAGCGTGACTCTCTGACAGTACTCGATTCTGGCGCCGCTGATGGTACGTGGGCCGCCGTCGAGCCTTTGGGCATCCTCCGCAGAGCGGCTCGACTTCAGAATTAACTTCTTTGTCAGGTCTTTGGCTTCGTGATCTTCGTAGCCAGCTGCCGACGCACAAGCTTGATCTCTTTGGCGTTGACATTGGCTCAGCGTTATTTCCCCGACAAGCAGCCCCCGGCGACTCTGCTGTGGACCTCAGAAGCCATGACATTCGCACACCGTTTCCAACCGAGTGGAATTGGACGGACAAATTTGACGTGATTCACCAGCGGCTTCTCATTTGGGGTATCAAGTCTGCTGAATGGCCGGCTGTCATCTCTAACCTGGTTTCGTCACTCAAGCCTGGCGGCTACATTCAGCTTGTTGAGGCGGAATGGATCAATCCGAAGAATCTCGCCGACGCGGTTTCGCGGCCGCAACTGAGGAAGCAAGCGGCTCTGCAAGAGTGGTCCACGGCTAGCTTCGGAATGGACATTCATATTGCATATAAACTTGCCGGCCTGCTGGCCGACGCCGGATTGGAGGATGTCGAGACAATCCAGTACGACCACGGGTATGGTGCGTTGGCTAGAGTAGAGAACCAGCGAGACGTCTCGGCGGAGCTTTGGGTTGAGTGCTTTCGCACCCTAGATGAGAAGATCCCCGGTAAGCGCAGCCTGCCGTTCCAGACTAATTGACCTGCTAACCGGACGAACTTAGAGGAAGGTATTCCTGGGGTCGCTGCGAACGCAAAGGAGTTCCATGAGTTCTTGGACGCTTTAGAGGTAGAGATAAAGACTTATGGGTACCAGCCGAAGCTGAACTTTGTATACTGTAACGGTCTCAACTCAGTGTATTGACAACTAGCTGAGCGACTGCAACGAGTATCCTAAAGCTGAGGAGAAAAGAAAGGAAGAAGAAAAAGAAGAAAGTTCGAGAACAGAACACGAGCTTTTAAAGGGAGCTCCGGAGCCGATGTGGATCCCCGGTCGAGAGCGGAGCCGAGACCCACACGGGCCCAGCCCGTTACATATACGGAAGGAAGCCGTCGATCGTGTGATGCAAGTACTAAATAGACTTGACATGGTTCCTTCTGAGTTGTTAGGTATGAGATGTTGTGAGGCTCAGCGTGGTACGATACGCGTGCACGCGTCAACGGGACGCCTGTGGTTCGATGAAAGAACGGCTCACTATATTACTGATTCAACACACTATAACCGGCTGGATCAAAACACTGCGATGGGCAATGGTAACTGGCAGAGAACGAAAGTGGACAAGTTGCCTTCACTGCACAGGTAGCGTCTGTAATAGGAAGATTACGGTTCGCCGTTGAACTTGACCTGGCCAAAGATATGTCCTCGCTCAGTTTGATTCGCATCACACGTCGACCCGCCAGAATGAGTATTGTCGCACCTATATCACATAAGAAGTCTACTAAAGGCTCCTAGATGAGTTGCCAGGTTAGGCATCCAATCGAAACAACAGAGTATGTCCATCGTGTCGCCTCTATGTCATTTTGTCCAATGATTCAGACTACTTCTCAAGCTAAAGTACCTTGCTTCTCAACGAACTTCGCGAAATCGGTGACCAGCGTCAAAGCCTGGTCCCTTGACAAGCGTGGATCACAAAGAGACTTGTAACAGCTCTTGAGATCGTCCTCATCGCCTAGATGGTCGTTGTCGAGACATTCAGTGACATCCTCTCCCGTCTGTTCGAGATGGATTCCACCCAGATGGCTACCCAAACTTCGATGAGCAAGATACGTTTCTTGAAGTTCCAGCAGCATGTCTCGTGCTCGACGGGTCTTAATGCCACTCTGGGTCACAATTGTGTTTCCATGACAGGGATCGCACATCCAGATAGGGACATGGCCACTTAATTGTACTGCCCTGATGATCGGGGCAAGGACAGTAACGACTTTTCCATGGCCCATGCGCGTTATGATAGTTATTTTCCCATGTTGCATTTGGTCCGGAGCAAGAACGTTGAGAAGGGCAACGACTTCAGCGGGAGTCGCAGTCGGGCCGATCTTCACACCGACGGGGTTTCGGAGGCCCCTAGCATACTCGACATGCGCCCCATCGCGCTGACGAGTACGTTCCCCGAGCCATATTGTTGTGGCCGAGAGGTTGTAATGATCTCGCGTTAGCGAGGCCTCGTAAGGCAAATGCAGCGCCTCATGTGAAGAGTACAGCGTTGCAGCGCTGGATGACTTGGACGTTACGCCCACAGAAGGCGCCAAAATGTGGCGAATGGTATTTTGAGATGCGGCAGCGTAGAAATAGCCCAGAAGAAGTCGATTGGGGTCTGGCCGGCGATCAGTCGGATCTTCGGAGTTGACGTTGTGTCCCCGAAAGGCGTGGATAACCTCCCCCGATGGAAGTGTTTCGAATGGATTGGACCGCGGCTTCGCGTATTGACCGGCAATTCGGCCAAGTACAATGACAGGTTTTCCGAGCGCCTTTTCCAGAATTCTGCTTTGGCGGCGAAGCAAGTCGACTTTCCGATTGATGAGACTGTATCGAACGTCGTGAAAGCTTTCGGCACAGTCACCCCCCTGAATGATAAAGCCACGGCCGAGGGCAACGTGGTAGAACTCCGCGCGTGCTCTCTCAATTTCTGAGGAACTGACCAAGGGTGGCAACTGTCGCAGGTAGGAACATGTCTCTTCCAACGCACCCGCGTTTTCGTACTCAACAGCCTGGGCGACTGGCTTAGACCGCCATGACTCCGACGTCCAAGTTGAGAAGCCGGATGTTGATGCAGTGACATAAGAACTCGTATCTTCTGGAAGAGCAGCAATGACTGGGGGCATCTCAGCGGGAAGCCTCGTCCCCAAGATCTAGAAATATGCCAATCTTGTTAGTGGCGCTACATCGGAGCAGGTACTGTTTCACTTGCCTGAACCTGTGTTTGCATCATCGAGTATGACGAGATCAAGTTTGTATGATAAGAGCGGATTCTCAGACTGAGACTGACTTATAAACTGCCGGTCTTCTGTTCTCCGGGAACAATAGCAAATAAAACAGTGTTGTTACGCGCTCGTTTCATGTTCACAGCACATCTTGGTCTAGGATACGGAGAAGTCCTGATTCACTAGGCGACCCTATAAGCATATGAACTCAATCATTCAGCTACACCTGAAGTGCAGCAAAGGTCGCCCTCTACGGCCCGAAAGTCCCAATCCAGGCATCACGCGTGCCGTCCCACCCAGCGCCGTCTCGTCTCTTCACCCGCCGAGAAGCCGCCTGCCGCTGCGCAACCCCGACCGCTGGCGCAATTTAGATACGTTTGTTTGCCATGCCGCTAGCCTGCCGAACGCCTGCAGCCTAATAATGAGGCGTTAACGTGTGTAAAGGAGCGGCGCTTGCAAGGGCCGCGCCCCCGCCTCTCCGAGGTTCGCGAGGCCATCACCAAGGGTGGCGCGGAGGATCCAGATCTGTCAGCTTTGAGAATGCTAGAATGAACCGACACCTATTATTACTCTATTGTCCGGCGGAAACTTGCGTCCGTGTCCGGGGCAGTATGCTCCGATACCACCTGGGGCTCGGGCTCCGACTTCCTCCTAATCCTGAAACAACCACGGACGCAGGTCGTCGGAGTGCGATGGCAACCGACGGTGGCATAAGCTGTGCCTGAGTGACCCACATCAAGCGATGCCTCCAGTGCAGTGCACACGGCGCTCATGGTCGCGGCTTGCCGGACTCGCATATGCCGAACTAGGTCTCGCCACTGGTGAACTGTCTTGCACAATTGGTGATTCTGACCAGTTAAAACACCGACACGAGCATTGAAGCGTTTGCCTGCAGGGGTTAGGTTGTGTCGGTGTCATGGAAGGTGGCCCGGAGAATTGTACAGGGGACTTTGAACGTGCAGGGATCATGGCACCACATGCCGACGACGGCAGACGTCGCAAAACGCCCGAAAGAGCATATCTTGTTGAATCAAGCAACCTTGTAACTTTGTATGTACCAACTCTCTAAGATGCTACAACTTACGAGCCACCCGCAGCAACAGGCTGCGGTGCGAGTCCATCCGTTGCCTTGTCCGTCCCTCGTTGCATCTTGTCCGTCCACGTGGTTGTATTTTGTCCTTTCTTGTGCAGATACGCGAGCCTCTCCACCACGTGTTTTCCAGCATAGACAGGTCCGTACTTCTTCGGGTTATCCGCTGTGCAACACTTGTCGATCGGCTCTACCAGTGCCTCTCGGTTAGGGTGGCCAAACCACGCGATGGAGTACCGAGCTGGAACGACAGCAGGGATCTGGCCCGTAATGTCCGTCTTTGGCTCCGGTTCCACCACTCGATGCTCGGTGGAGACCAGTCTGTCATTGAACCACCGAGAAAGCAAGTCTCCCACTGTTCCGGCAGACATGCTTAGCAGTGCGAAGACAAAAGCTTCATAGAATGCATCTCACCATTGATAATTGCGCAACCCGGGATCGGGGGTGCCGCGATGTAAGTGCCATCCGTGCGCCGTACTTGCAAGCCCCCGCTCTCGTCATTGAACAGCAACGTCAATGTGCCGTAGTCAGTGTGGGCTGACGCGCGTAACCTATCCTGGAATGCGGTTCGGCTGGTCTCTGGGTAGTAAATGACACGGAAAAAGTGATCCTTCTCGTTAACATGAGGCTCGAAGAAGTTCTCATCCACTCCGACTTGTCGGGCGAGTGCCCGCAACAGTACCAGGTGTACTTCGTGGCACTTCTCAAAGAAGAAGTTCATGTCATCTCGGAACTCGGGCCAGTCTTCTGGCCACTGGTTCGGCCTTGTAGGGTCATTCTCTTTGCCGACATCAAAGGCCTCTTTGAGATCAGAGTGACGTGAGTCTCCCGACGTTCGAGCCGGAGAGAACCACCCGTGGAATCCTTTCGACTCTCCAGTTTCCACCTTGGCCTTCTCCGATTCTGGAAGGGCAAAGAAGCGTTTCGCGTGTGAAAAGAGATTGTCTCGTGCGTAGTCCGGAATTGAATGGTTGTTGAGGTAGCAGAACCCAACGTCGACGAAGGCTTGGAAGAGCTTTTGCTGCTCCAGCTCGCTTTCTTCTAAGACTTCTGGCGATCGGGAGATTGATGGGCCAATAATTTTTGCAAAGTCAATGATTGGAAGACTGGTAGTCCCGTTTGCCGCCATATTTCCGATGTCAGAGGTGCCGTGTTGCTCCGTGGAAGCTTCAGCCAAAAGACAAGCTTGTAAGATGCTGTAGCTGGTTTCGCTCCAGAAAATTGACGTTTTCCCAATGGGCTAAGCAACCTGCACCTCTGTTCCCTCGAACAATCAGCGGCCTTTTAATAAGAAGACCTATCGAAGTGACCGAACTGCATGTGCTCCTTTGTCCTATACCATGCTACGTACTCTCGTTTACTGCGGCTTACCGTTGCTTGTAGTGCCGTGCAAGCATACGCATCGGAACGTGGGTGGCCGAGGGTTCCCCTGGGAATCGACCACTATTGCTCGGTCCGCATCCCTCGACCGCGCCAGTCAGCGTCGGACTCTACAGAATCCAGTCAACGTAGAATGCACATGGCCGATGTCACCGCGGAGTCACTTCAGATCGTCCAGTTTAGACCAATGCATTTATCCCGAAATCCATCGATCTCCGACTACAAAACCCTCGGAATTCGACTGTTAATTCACGTCATCTCAGCGCACCATGGCGTGTTCTGTGATAGGGCCCACGCCGCTGATGCTACGGTCCTATTCCCCACTTACATGCATGATCCGCCACCACCCCATTGCCTGCCGTCTTTTAGCAACGGCACTTCTTGCACAGATTGGAACAGGGGTATGCTTCCGCGCGGTATAGGCTCGGACAAATTTACACAGTTTCGCTATTCCTGCTTACGTTCGCCTGTCGGAGTGAAAAGGCGACGCCGAATTGCATCTGAGGTTGATCCAGTGGCGTCAGGAGCTCGAGGTATTGTTCACGACTTCTTGCGGCTTTCTAGCCCATGCGCTTTACTACGAATACGTGCGACATATATATCGTCAAAACAAATTGTACTGTAACCACAAGAGATTGTGAGAGTGTTAAAGACCTTGGTTACATGAGTGATACGCACAATTGTAACGATCACACATACCCACCAACTGCCCAACATGGTATTTTCGTCTAAACTCCCTCAGATTGATGCACCGGCTACGGATGTCTTCAACTTTATATTCAAGACCGGGCGGGAGAACTACCCGCGAGACCGTGTCTTATACCGTGTGCACGAGACTGGAGAGGTCCTGACTCTTGAGGACCTCGAGCAACGGAGTCGCCGACTTGCCAGCGTCCTGGTGAAAAAGTACAACATCAAACCAAACGATGTTGTTGCGTTCTTAGCAAACAATTCAGTAAGGACGCAGTAGCATTATTAGGATTCGTGGATCGATTACTCACCGCGTATACAGATTCACTATCCTATTGCATATTTTGCAGCCCTTGCCGCCGGAGCCACGATCTCACCTATTCCAGTGCAGCAAGGCCTGGACTCCCATGCAGTTCTTCCGAGGCTACAGCAGGCCAATGCGAAGCTGATAATCACCGATGAAGGCCTAGCCCCAATTTCACAGGCTGCCGCCAAGGCATATGACGGCATTCCTTTGATCAGCCTTGCTGGTTCACCTGCAGGGATCCCCAATATCGAAGACCTACTCGCCAACGAGCAAGAACTCTTCGATGGTTTTCGACTTCAGACACGGGATGAGACCGAAGAACACTACGCGTTCATTTACCGAACTAGCGGGTCTTCGGGGATCATCAAGTCGTTTCTCACGACACACGCGCACTGGGCAGCGAACCTCTTAACGACGCGACTGACCGTACCGGAAGATACAAACCCAGAGACAGATGTCTGGGTTTCATCACTGCCATTCGCCTATGGTATCAACGCCAAACTCAACTTAGGCCTGAATGTCTTACTGGGTATACCCGTCGTGATCCTCCTCAAGCCATTTGATCAAACATCGCTTCACTTAATCGACCAGTACGGCATTACGTTCCTGTTTGTTACGCCTCCTTTGGCAGCCCAAGTTGCGAAATCCCCCAAGGCGGACGGCGTCACGTACAAGACCATCAAGTGGCTTCTATCTGCTGGCGCCCCTGTTCACACGAAGATCCGAGATGCGGTACAGGAGAAGTTTAATGGTACACGACTCACCTTGGAATGGGGCACCACGGAGACTCTTCTCATTGCCTTGCAGATTGACGAGGCTTCCTCGGTCCCTGGGTCGAGTGGAACACTTGTTCACGGCGTAGAGGCAAGGGTCATCGATCTTGAGACAAAAGAGGACCTCGGTCATAACCAGCAGGGAGAGATTCTCGTGCGAAACACTCTCGCGCGATTTGCTGGGTACAAGGACAACGCTGAGGCCAACAAAGACTTTGATACAGATGGGTGGTTTCATTCGGGTGATGTTGGCTACGTTGATGAGAAGTCTAACGTCTTCATCGTCGATCGGCTCAAAGAGTTGCTACGAGTCGGCGATGGTTACGGAACCCATGCTTCAGCCGACGAGTTCGAGGCGGTGTTATTTGACCATCCTGCTGTTGCGACGGCCGTTGTCGTTGGCATTCGAGATGTCGACACCCAGCAGGAGCACCCAACCGGGTTTGTTATCCTCCAGCCAGAGCATGTACCGAGAGATGATGCCAATACGAGCAAGAGGCTCTCGGAGTTGGCCTCAGAGTTGGAATTATTTGTTGAGAGCAAGCTCGGCAAGTTCAAAAGCCTTTCGGGTGGAGTATTCTTCGTCTCGGAGTATCCTTACGTTGGGTACAAGATCAACAGAAGGCGGTTGAAGGAGTTGGTGCAGGTCGGCGGAGGGACAGAAACTACGAGTCGTTGGGTTGGAGTTGCTGCGTGAAGTTCCGAGGAGCTGACCGCCATCCTGTTATACGGGCTAAGAAGCCTGGAATAGAACTTATATCTCGTTGAATTAACCAGACGAGAATGATACCTGAGAATCAGGAGTTTAAGCATTTGAGACGAATCCATTCAGTTCTTAGTTGCCAATCTCAACTCATGCCGTTATCGAGGACCAAAGGAGTGTGAAAATGTGCCCAAGCATCTTCGGGCCCCATGATTGTCGCCGTCTCTCTACATCAGCCAAGTTGGCTCGCCAACATAGTCAGGCATTATGTCAAAGTCGTACACAACCAGAGTGTTGTCAACATCCCATCAAGCATTGGAGACTTACAGTCAATAGGCGCGGACGCATTTTCGTAACAAGCTATAGATAGCTATTAGACTTTATATACCAACCATTACGCGCAGCCCCAGGCAACGCAGTGCCCACGGCACCGTAATGGCGCGAATCCGGACATCATAGCTCCTGTTTAGGGAAAAGAACTGCTGCCTTCGTGGAATCCTGTCTCCCCTCCTCCGTGGAACTGGTGTCCTGAATCAAGCTAGGAGCCTTCAGATTACGCCGTTGTTTCCAAGACAGTCCAGGTGTTTCAAAGATTGAACTGATCTCCTCGAGTGTATATCCTCTGGTCTCGACAAAGAACTGCCAAACGGCAAGCAGCTTTATCATGTCAGTATGCCCGACATGAATCAAATCGAACAAGTAAGTGAACGTACCTCGATCAAAGTATACACTATGTATACTATATAATACTTCCAGCCAATATTTTGCAAGCCGATGGGGTTAACAAAGGTCGAGAAGAATCCCCAGATGTGCATTACGCCAGTCATGTACGCAACGCCGCGGGCTCGAGTCTCGAATGGCAGCAATTCGGCAGGATATGCCCATAGAGGCGTCCACCCGAGGTCATATGCACCATTAGAGAGGAATATTGAGACAAGGACACCAATGGCGTAGTTATTTGTCTTATGGGTGGTGTATACTGTCATAATATGTTATTTCATGTTGAACATCCAAGTATTCGGTATTGTGGTCAAGCCTCGAGAGACATGGGAACTTACAGGCCGCAAAGGATGTCCAGAGGATAAAGGCTACCAGCATTCCGGTGGTAGAAATTAGGAACAGCCTTCGTCGGCCGACCTTCTCCACGAGCAGCGACGCAACCATCGCGAGAACAAAGTTGTATATCGATAAGCAACCGTTGATTGTTGTTTGCTGAACAGTCTCGGTGATGCCAATGCTGTTAAGGACCGAATGTAGGTAGTATTGGACAAGTCCGTTGCCAGAGATCTATCTAGAGTTAGCTTCAGGCACATCGCGCTCTCTGGGGTAACTCAGACTAGCCTCCAGAAAAAGGCCGCAGAAAGTCACAATAATGAGCCTGCGCCGATTTGGCTTCGATCTAACAAGATCAAGATAGCTGCCTTCTTTCTTCACTCGAGTATCTTGAAGAATAGCTTCCTTGATCTGGCTATACTCGATGTCCACGATGGGGCTTTGCTCATCGCCGTTGGCATGGTACTTGACCAGTATTTGCCTTGCTTTGGCACCACTTCCCTTGGAAATGAGCCATCGCGGGCTTTCTGGGACGAGCCAAATGAGTAGCAGTTGAATCACGGCAGGAACTCCTTGAAGTATGCTCGGGGTTCTCCAAGACCATGAGTTTTCGATGTGCTGCGTTCCGTAGGTCGTCCAAGCGGCAATTATTGCCCCAATATACCACGCTGTTGGGAAATAGGACAAAACGGTTCCTCGGTGCTTTGGCAACGCCAGCTCAGCAAGCAGCAGCGGAGCCCCAACGACTGTGAAGGCGAGACCCCAGCCGATGAGAAAACGGGCAATGATGAATGGTGCGACGTGCTTAGCCGAGCCCTGGAGAATGGCACCGACCAATGTCCAAGCGGCGCCGAAAGCAATCGACGCTCGCCGGCCGATCCTGTCTACGAGCCAACCCACGAGGGGCAGTGCCACGATGGCACCAACAGACTGAATGGAGTTGAGCAGGCCGAGAATCGGGCCCGTGGGGTGGTTAAACTCTGTACGACCACACAGACTTGTGTGTTAGTCGCTGGACAAGAAAGGGGGGGCGGGCAGTTGTTGCGGACCTTTTTGCCAGGATGGGAGAAGTTGCAAGCCGTTCATGATCATGCCGTCGAAGCCCTGGTACGAACTACTAAGAATGACAATCGGTAACAAGAGGTACAACGTCCTCAAGCCGGGGTCTCGCCACCAGGCTGTCGCTGGGCCCAGCTGATCCGCTGCCATGGTGTGATACTGATCGCAAGGACGACGGCTGGTGTGGCTTGAACCTGTAAATGGCACAAAGGTTGAAAACTGGATGATTGCCAAAGGCGGTGCCTCCGCGACGATTAATTGCAAGGACAAATAGTTTCGCAGGCGCTGCGAATGTGGTAATGGCAATTCGAATGACTTCACTCGGTCATCTTAAAGGGAAGGATGATGCATTTCACCACATGCGCCATTGCCAGCCCTGTAGATATTACTTCTCACCATCATTGGATGCTCTCATGCTTCGGCAAAGTTGGGCCAGCACGCCATATCGTGGCGGTTCAAGAAAAGTCGTCTTTACGACCATGTGGGCGAGTACACCATCGACTTTTGCCAAGGTCTTCCGTCGGGCCCGCCACAACGACCCTTGTGGTCATTGGTGTCACCAGCTCACGGCCAAGGTCAGAGCGCCTCATTCCACCACTGCCTCCGCCGAGCTCGCAAGAACCCTGGCGGAAAAGACAAATTATCGATAGTCATGAATCTCCATGTAAGTAACTGGTCATGATGGGGGAAATCGAGTCGGCAGAGCGCCAGGGTCTTAGTGCAGGGCACCCATGTTTGTCCGACACAACTGCCATTCAAGTCCGATTGACATCGGAGTTGGACGACCTCTCCACCACAATGTTCAGACTAGCGACCGGGAGTCGCGAGAATGCGCACAACTTGAGGAATCTTGCGCAAGAGATGAGCTTCGAACAATGTCTCGGACTTCGGGCGTTGCCAATTGGCTCCGCGTTGCCTCTTTACGCCCTCTGTTCCTGCTGAACAACCGATAGACGCGATTGCCAACTGACAAGCAAGAAGCTGCTGGCACAAGCAGCCCAGCCTATCCACTTCCAAGTCCCGCCACCAAGCTTTTCGGCGCCATTCATCCGTCGCCAGCCTTTGGCAGCCCCGTTCAACTCGCCAATAGACCAAGCTGCCGTGCCGGCCTCTGCTCACCACACATGTCTGACAAGGCTAGCGAAAGGGACACGACGGTGTCTGCGGCGCCGCCAGATACCGACGATGTCGTCTCAACCCGCGACAAGCCAGCCGACAACGATATTGAGATCGCTGGTGTTGAGTCTGTCAAAGAGCTTTTGCGCCATCAAAGTCCCGTTGGGCATGAGTCCCGAAACGGCATCAGCCTCTGGTTTCAGGACCTCTCTGTCTCCGCCTCACATGCTAACGCGGTTGACGTCAAGAACTTGAAGCAAGCCATCTTGAACACGTTCGGGCCAGATCAGATCAGTTTTCTAAAACAAACGATATGGAGTTATTTCTTTCCTCCAAGTGCTCCTCGCGCCTCCAACAGAATTCTCAAGGATTGCTCCGGACTCGTCAAACCGGGCGAAATGCTCCTCGTTCTTGGCCGTCCGGGCAGTGGATGTTCAACGTTTCTTCGGACAATCGCGAATCGGTCGCCTTTGCCAGTGACAGGCAACCTCGAGTACGAGAATATACCAGCCTCTGTCTTCGCAAAAGATCATAGCAGGGAGACAATCTACCTTCCCGAAGAGGATCGCCATGTCGCCACGTTGACCGTGAGGCAGACTATCAATTTCGCTTTGCGCAACTCAATGTCTGCTCAGAACGGACGCCCCGAATCCATCAGGGATATTGTCGAGGCAATCGCGAAGCTCTTTGGACTGTCTCATGCCCTGGACACTCCCGTTGGCGGACAGTTCAGCCCGGGAGTCTCGGGTGGTGAGAGGAAACGGTGGGTTCTCTCCTTCGCACGTGAAAACCTTCCTGCTGACCCTTGATCGTCAGTGTGTCTATTGCTGAGGTTTTGGCTGCTGGATCATCTGTCCAGTGTTTCGACAACTCGACACGCGGCCTGGATTCCTCCACAGCACTCGATTTTGTAAAGGCTCTGCGAGCATTCACCAGCATCGGGCACAAGACCACCCTGGCGACGCTCTACCAAGCCGGCGAAAGTCTTTACAACAGTTTTGACAAAGTTATTGTGCTTGATGAAGGCCACCAAGCGTTTTTTGGTCCGGTTTCCGAGGCGAGCAAGTACTTCGAAGATTTGGGCTTTGTTCCTGTTCCTGGACAGACCACCGCCGAGTTCCTCGTTGGCCTGACAGACTCAAAGCTTCGGCAAGTTAGAATTGGGTCCAAGGCCGAGGCTATTCGGTCTCCAGAAGACCTGGCAGCTGCATTCAGATCGTCGACGAGCTACAAGCAATTGCAAGAGAACATCAATGACAGTCGACGAGCACAAAGAGACACATCTTCGCTGTCTACTGACGCCTATCAGCTCTCGTTTCCATCGCAAGTACGAGAGTGTCTGACCAGAGAGTTCCAACTCATTGTGGGCCAACGCCGCGTGTACTACATCAAGTGGTTTACCACTGTCATCCTCTGCCTTGCATGTGGAAGCGTGTATTTCGACATCGACAACACGGCGCAAGGAGCTTTCACGAGAGGGGGAATTCTTTATTTTGCACTCATCTTCAATGGGTGGCTTCAGTTTCCGGAACTATTCGATGCACACTCCAATCGTCCCGTGGTAGAGCGGCAAGGTCAGTCGCTACCTCAACGACAGTGCGCCGGGAAGGACTATTCAGCGGACTGACTCGACCCAGCTCGACTTCACCTCTGCCGACCCTCTGCCGTTGCCGTCGCTCGCTTCCTGATCGACTTACCTTTGATCGCTTTCCAGCATGTGATCTTCATTATCATCTTCTACTTTCTCTCGAGACTCCAGATTGAGGCTGGCAAGTTCTTCTTCTTCTATCTGACACTCTTCATTTCCACCGTCTGCTTCAGCAACTTGCTGCGCATGTTTGCGTACTACGTAGGGACTCTGGATGACTGTAAGTTGTCTTACTTCAAGCCACGCCATGCAAGTTAACCCCTGCCCAGGTTTCCGTTATGGAGGGTTCTCGTGTACTGTGCTTCTTCTGTTCGCCGGCTTCTTGATACCACCAAACTCCATGAGTCCCGTATTTGGGTGGTTGCATTACCTCAATCCCATGTTCTATGGCTTCGAGAACGTAAGACCCCTTGATTACACCTATGAGAGACTTACAAAGCGTATGCTAACCAGGGACGATCACAGCTATTTGCCAATGAGTTTACTGGGCTTCAGCTTTCATGCGAGAATAATCTCGTCCCAGCAAATGGAGTCTCTGGGCATCAAACTTGTGCCATCAAAGGCGCACTAGCCGGGCAGACGACAGTTCCTGGAACGCAATACCTTGAGTCATTCGGGTTCTCCGCAAGTCACAGATGGCGCAATATTGGTATCATGATCTCCATCGCCGTCATATATTTGTTAGTGGGCATATTGGGCAGCGAGCTCATGAGCTTCACGACCCATGGGGGCGCGCCGCTGGTGCTTGCCAAGCGGAGAAACAGCAAATCGCCTAGCGCCTTACAAGATGTCGAAAAGATCGCGCCAACATCTGCCTCAGCTTCCATCACTAGCGGGCTCAAGGCTGCACCTAGCAATCGCGGGGAATACGCACTGACATGGCGAGACATTAATGTGAATATCAACGAGGCTCATATCTTGAAGGGAATAACAGGATACGTGAAACGGGGCGAGCTAACCGCACTTTGCGGTGCCAGTGGTGCAGGGAAGACGACCCTGCTCACGGCTTTAAGCCAAACCAATTTCTCAGGCCAAGTCGACGGAGAAGTGCTCGTCGGGAATCGCCCACCTGGTCCGACATACAGGAAGAAGACTGGTAAGCCATTTCACACTGACAGAAAGGGTTTGTCACGGTGTCTAACATGACCAGGCTTCGCTCAACAGATGGACTTACACGAGGGTACCGCGACAGTCCGGGAGGCACTGGAGTTTTCGGCTGTGTTGCGACAGCCCGCAGAGTTCACCAAGGCCGAAAGGTTAGCCTACGTGGATGAAGTTCTACGACTTCTCGACTTGGTCGACGTGCAAGATGTCTTGATCGAAGATGGCGCGGGTCTTGGAGTTGAGCGCCTCAAACGAGTAACGGTAAGACCCTTCTTATCAAATGAAGAACCTCGAAGGAACCGAATGCTGACGGACCTCTAACTCAACAGATTGGTGTGGAACTAGCATCGCGTCCCGAGATCCTGTTCGCGGATGAGCCCACCTCGGGTCTGGACTCTCAAGGCGCGGCACACATTGTCGACTATCTCAAGATACTTGCACGGCAAGGCCAGGCGATACTTATGACAATCCATCAGCCATCCGCTCTGCTGTTCTCCCAATTCGACAACCTTCTGGCCCTGTCATCTGAAGGCCAGCAGCTTTTGTTCGTAGTCTCTCCCTCCCACAAGTGCGGTTTACTGGGCTAACATCGTCCTCCGACAGCTTCGGCAAAGTCACCGAGGCTTTGCCATACTTTGCGCGCAACGGCGCTGTCGCACCTGATGGGGTCAACCCGGGCGAGTTCATACTTGAGACTGTCGGCGCTGGCTTCGGTGCTAGAACAAATGACAAGGCATCCAACTGGGCCGCCACTTGGTCGGCATCCTCAGAAGCTTCTGAGCTCGGGCGGCGCTTAGACGCACATAGAGGCGCCGAGGCAGCGAGCAGCCAGAACGACGACCAGGATACCCCAGTGACCGAGTTTAATGCGACTGCTCTTGAACAGACGATCGTCCTCACCAAACGAATGTTGCTCAACCAGTGGAGGAGCCCGGCCTACATGTACTCCAAGATTTGGGTGCATGTCACTAGCGCGATTCTGGTCGGATTCACCTTCTTCCAGATAGGGACCAGCCCTCAGGATCTTCAAAACCGGTAAGAACTTCAAGCCAGCGCTATTATGTGTTTGAGAGCTGTCGCTGAACTTCTATGCAGAATGTTGAGCGTCTTCTTCATCCTTTTCTTGTGCAACGCCATCGTCAACGTCATTTTGGCGCGGTACTTCTTTGCCAGTTTGCATTGGCTTCTCCGTGAGGGTCCTTCACATGCATACGGATGGGTCGCGTTTGCGTCATCCGTCATCCTCTCAGAAATGCCTGGTGCAGTCCTGGTCACTGTTTTGTACTTTGTCCTGTGGTACTTTCCCAGTGGCTTGCCTCTTGGTGGCCAAGCCGCTTACATCTTCTTGTTCCTGTTGACATACGAGGTCTTCCAGGTATTTCACTCGCTGTGAGATGCTATAAACGGCGCTGACTTGCTTCAGGTTCTTCTTGGACTCTTCATGATGGCCCTGAGTCCAGACCTTGGTGGGGCTGGAAACATACTCGTATTCATTGTGTGCACATGCAACTGGTTCAATGGTATCATTGTGCCATACCACCAGATTCAGGTTTTCTGGCGCTATTGGGTACGTCAACACGACTGACCCGCTTCCCAGTTACATGTACTCTTTACTGACAGCGACTACCAGCTCTACTACCTCTCTCCCTTCACGTACCTGCTTGGTGGAATGGTGACGGCGGTGACTTCATCCGCGGTTGTGTCTTGCGCGGACGCAGACATAACGAGGTTCTTACCGCCCCCGAACCAAAGCTGCTCCTCCTATGCATCTGGCTGGGCCGATTCCGCCTCAGCACAGCTTCTTAATCCGGATGCTTTCGCCCCCACGGAGTGTCAGGTTTGTCAATGGAGCAGAGGGGAGCAGTTTCTCGCCCAGTTTAATCTTGGTGGCGGGCAATTGGGTGGTCAGTGGGGTTGCTGGGGCATCTTTATGATTTTCACCGTCAGCAATCTCTTTCTTGTCTACTTTTTTACGTGGGCAACAAAAGTCAGAGGTTGGAAGCTCTTCTACTTTTTCTAGCCAGGATATGCCATCTGGCAGAATAGATTGGGAACTTGCCTACCACTTTGGTCTTTCAAGGCGGTTTAAGTTGTCGGATACAACCTGGACACTGGTTGCCTCACACTCGACACTACAGCACGCTAGGGTGCGCTAAAGCTTGTTAAAAGCTAGAATCCCCAGGCTGTGCTGGGCGGTGCGCTAGAAGCCGGTGGCAGGGTCCCCAGGCCCACAACGGGCCTTCGCAGCGGGCCAGAGCCTGGAACCTGGAAGTGTGCGGCAGACCCGCTAGAAGGTCTCAAATTCTCGGGCAGTCGATGCGCCCACTGCCCAGTGCCGACAAGCCGTCCGCTTTAGAGCCAGAGGCGACAGTGGCATGGCGTCCTGCAGGGTGGGCAGTCTAGGAGACCTTAATGTTGAAGCCATCGGGACTGGACTTGTGCCGTGCTCAACTTGCAAAGAGGAAAGAAAATAATATTGGCAAAGCGCTACTGGCCCGTCTCATCGTTAAGACAGTGGCGGAAGTTGTCGCCAGGGGAATACCCCTTTCACTAGGAATACAGGCAGAAGCGTGGACTTACTCTTTGTCCTCGGCCTTGGCCTTCTTATCCTCATCCTTCTTGTCTTCGTCCTTTTCTTCATCCTTGTCTTCGTCCTTGTCCTTCTTGTCGTCATCCTTGTCTTTGTCCCCCTTGCGGTTCTTCTTGCCCTTCTTGCGCTCTTTCTTGGGCTTCTCCTCGTCCTCAGACTCTTCCTCATCATCATCATCGCCATCTCGGCCCTTCCCCTTTCCACCCTTGTGATGGTCCTGCTCCTTGGCGTGAAACTTGCTGAGGTCGTAGCCGCAGGCGGTAAGTTGCTTCTCACACTTTGCGTATGCCGCGCCCTGGCCACTGGAGAATTCGTGGAACCACGAGTTTGATGCCTGGGCTTCACCAGCCTCTGCGGCGATACCGCCACCCTCGGCGCCGCTCTCGTGGAGGTGGGAAAGGAACTCCTGGCACTCGACGTCGAGCTTGCAGGGGGGCTTGGGGTGCTTGTTGACAGCATGACGGTCATGGTCTAGGATCTGTCCTTAGTATCGACGGACTGCAGAGAGGAGCAGGATGGCAACAAACCCTTCACTTCCGTTGGCCTAGTAGCGGCTCCCAGGACGGCCGGAGCGCAGAGCGCTGCAATGGAGAAGAGAGTCAACTTCATGATGGCAGGCAGATTGTTGCAATACTAGTTTACTGCTGGGATACTGCGACTGTGCTGTAGTTCAAAGTCAGATACTACAACAGTGGGATGAGCGTGCCTCATATATAGGCAGACAAAACAATTTCTCTCGTCGCGATCAGCAAGACGACCCTCCGCAGAGCAGCCAATGTAAAAGTCAAGCTATGCCAGGTGCCAGTGATTCTTTGAAGCTTGCCAGTGAAGGAACAGCGTTTGAGACCCCTCAATTTTGGCCGTTGAGGGCCGTGAGAGTCTAAGACACGGAATTGCTAGCTTGACACTGTTGGGGGCCGCTCGTGCAGGTATGCGACCACGATGCTGGAATGGGGCGTGCTAACACGCAACGCAAAGTTCAGACATGAATATTACCAGCCAATCCTCTTCCTTCTTATTTCGTCGATGTCCAGAGAACGGCAGCTTTTGACTCGTTGTGCACATTCCCTACATCATCGATGCAGCGCGTCACCGTCGCGCCCCGCGGACAGCGCTTGCTGTCCGACCGCAAGGCAAAATATGTAGACCGTTGATACCCGCGAGAACCTTTGCTAGTAGCCGCGTCAGCTGTAGTGAAGAGCAAGGCGCAGGCAAACGTGCTAACGGAGAAGATCTCCGAATATGTGTCTCTACCGGTCAGGTTGTGGAGTGGGTCGTCGCTGGATATGGTGGCTGAACGTGAGACTGGAGAAGATCGCCTCGTAAGGACAGGCTGGAGACAACAACTCATTTCACAAACAACAAAGGCCGCGCCTTGCTCAGCCTGATCGGAGGCTGTATGTAAACAGTACAGGGCGTAGCATGTGGAGAGCTGCAGAGGTGATGGATGCTGAGTGAATCTCGACCAAACAGAGTCGCGCCGCAATTCTTGCCAAGTTCGTTAGGTCGCCGAAGCGACCCATAGGCCGATGAGAGGTGGCAGAAGTGATGCCAGAAGGTCATGACGGAAAGCTGAGGCGCAGCCAAGCCATGAAGTTCTTGACCGTGTCTGCTGGCGTCACTGCAACATGATTCGGCGCGGCCGACGGCCCGAAATCACTTTGAGCCTAACACAACACATTCTAGAGTGGCTAGTGGAAGGTGCTGCGCCGTGCATGTGGACACTACTTGACTGCGAGCGGCGGCGCAGTTGGCCATCAACCCCCACATGGGGTTAGATGTTCGCACTACGCCCGACATCTCAGCCACGAGGCGCAAAGTATAAAAGAGAAGCGGGATGAAACAACATTGAAGCCTTTATATCACGGCACAGGACAATTCCACTTCTCTTTCACTCCTTCCATCTGTAATGCATTCTCTTATCCGGGTCTTCATGATGGCCCAAGCCGTTGCCGCCGCCTTTTATCGGCCTGCCGAATGGCAGCGCCAGTCGCACGTTATCATGGCCTGGCCTTCTGCGCAGAACGATGCTTATGCCGATGATCCAGAAGATCTCAAAGGAGCAACCCGAGACATCTCAACCATTGCTGAAGCCGTGGCTCTATTTGAGCCTGTGACGCTTCTGGTTACAACGCCCCGACTGCGCGATGCCGAAAAGCGTTTCAAGAAGAACAAAGATATCAGTATCTTGCCTGTTGAAGGCTACGACAAGTTGGACTTGTGGATGCGGGACATGGCTCCTACCTTCGTCGTGAACGATGACATCAACAAGTCCGTCGTTCATGGAGTCGATTACAACTTCAACGGTTGGGGTAACAAGTATCCTGTCGATTCGTGCAAGTCGCTCGCCACCATGATCCTTGTTGAAGAGAAGAAGCCGCGAGTGGGCACCTGGCTTGTCACGGAAGGGGGGTCCCTTGAGGTCGATGGTGACGGCACTTTGCTGGTCACTGAGGCCTCCATCCTCAACCCAAACCGGAACCCCAACAGAAGCCGCCAAGAGGTCGAGGCAGAGCTGCGCCGCACACTTGCCGTGGAAAAGATCATCTGGGTTCCTGGCCGACCAGGCCTCGAGGTCACCGACTCCCACATCGACGGACTTGTGCGATTCATCTCACCCGGCAAAGTGCTCTTGAGCAAGCCAAGCGAGCTCGGCGACGATGTCTGGACGCGCATCTACAGGGAAGCCCGTGACATCCTCTCCAACACCACCGATGCACGTGGTCGAAAGATCGAGATTGTCGAGATAGCGGAGGCGGATATCTATTCTCTCGGATTGGACAAGAAGACGATTCGGGACATTGAAAATGGGGTGGAGGATCCGCCTGCGCTAAACTACGTCAACTACCTTCTTGTCAACGACGGAGTCATCTTCCCGCAGTTTGGCGATAAAGCCGCTGATGCAGCAGCACTCAAGAAGATCCGAGGCCTGTACAACAAGCGGGAGGTTGAGCCAGTGAGAGTTGACTACCTGGCGTTTCTTGGTGGTGGCATTCATTGCTCGACCCAGGAAGTTCCCATGCCTTAACGTTAGTTTTTGGCATCCCTGGCCGTCCTGCAGCCACGGAGAACACGGGGGGCGGCCCCAGATTCCTTTCCCTACACGCCGTAAATGCTTGCCGCGGGTACATACGTGAAGACTCACAGCTCTTTACCTTCTTGTCATACAAAACTTATTAGGCAACTTTTACATTATGTATACAATTCATTCTTATCTTTTTGCAACTGCGTCGCCATCCACAGAGTCCGAGTTTTGTTGGTCGCAGCGGAGCAGTACCAGAACCGCCAGTTGGGCGCCTCTGAGGCTGACAGGAATCCGGTTTGGTGCTGGCGCTGCAGCGGTATACTGGGTCGCATAATGGGCCGCAGCTTGGGGGCCAAACTGCCGGCTCCAACAACACCCAAAAAGAATTCATCCAGCTCTCGGCCATGAGACATGTAGACGACGACATGTTGAAATGAAATTTCAAAAAAAAAAAACATACAACAGCCGGTGTTCGCTGGTCGTCACCGACCCAACTACTAATCTGCCCCTTACCAGCTTAACTATGGGAGAGCGGACGGGATCCCGTGCTTTCTGGTAGGTATGGTCGTATGTACCAGAAGCTGAGTAAACAAGGTATATGACTTGCAAACTGCAGCACAGCTCTCCGCCAAAGTCCTAGTCAAGACTCAAGCCGCGTGGCGATTGGCAAGGCAGGGTGCAGTCAGGGTCATGTTGACGAACCCACCAGTCATGCTGCACTACTCAAGTCTCTGCTCAGGGTTTAAACTGAAGGATACTTGCGCAGTAGGGGCCGAGATTGTGCGCTCGGCCAATGCAATCTTGTGGCGTTTGCCCTTTTCGGCAATTGGTGTGTCCCAGGAGGCCGGAAGGACCCATAGACTCCAGGCACTTGGGACGATACGGCCCCTTTTGTGACTCGAGTCTCAAGTATCCTCTGTATACGTGTAATGTGCGGGCCGGCGACTGTTCGTGGAGTTCCGCCCTTGGGCCCGTGCGGGAACGTCAATGATGGTGGGATGTTATGGTCGGCATGCCGACCACGTGGAGTTTGAAGCATCGAAAAACTTTAGGTGCATGAGACCAATACCGACTCGCCCTCTCTTTCAGCTTCACAGCCTCACCAGTCACGAGCAGTGGTAACATCCGAGGGCACTCTCAGCCACAGAAGCATAATATGAGCGCCGAACGCGGTGGCTAGGAGGCAAGACTTTGCTGCTGGATTGGCGCTTTCATATAAAGTAACGCTGGGTAGCTATTGTAGTGGATTCTACCAGCTTACCTCTTTGCTACCACAAGTCGTCACGATGTGTTGGCCCTCACGCTCCGAGCGGCGACAAAACACAGCTTATGATTCTTACGTATACACGTTCCGTGCAAGACCGGTCGCCCATCCTCGCGTAGTCAGCTACAGCTTCTCCAAGTACCCTAAGCATGGAGTCTTGCATCGAAACCACTACGCCAGCACCTACAGCGGTGGCGATGGGTCATACGATGACAGCTGGGGAGTAGGCCCCTCCGGTCACGGCGGAGGCCACCATGGTGGCCATCATGGCGGCTTTCATTGGGGAGCTTGGGGTGGTGATGGCGGTATTGGAGCGGGAGGAAATGAGGGAGACGGCGGGGGCGATGGGGGAGGAGGTGATGGGGGAGGCGGCGATGGGGGAGGCGGCGATGGGGGAGGCGGCGGCGGAGATTGACACTGTAGCAATCGGGCGGGGTTTGAGAAACTGCTTACGCTGAATCGTCCAGACCCGTTCGCCTAGATTGTGTGCTCTATCGGCAACTCTATTGCAAGTCTGAATCCGCATCGTTTGGGTCACGAGAAGTGAAAGATGAGCACGCCATTGAGTTAGTCAATTGGCGGCTTTACGCGCTTCCAACGGGGAGGACTAAGAGGAGCGCTCGGTACAGGATTACGGGTTACACAAACCGCTGAAAGCCAATCGGCTGCACAGAGGCACTTCTTACAGTTGTTTTCGCGGTCACGCACGCAATTATTGAGCAATTTCTCGCAACTTCTGACGTGAATACTCACAAGCGACAGAACGAGAAAACGTGAATCCACAATCGCCCACTCCCACTGAGCTTGGCTTAAGTAGGTATGCTTTGCGTGCATGCAAATGTACGTTCTCTAAGAATAGCGACAGAACGCGCAAGCAAGAAGGAATAGGCAGCGAAAAGCACGGGGACGACAAGATAAAGCGTTGCTATCCCCGCTTCTCACCAGACACGCCCAGGGACCCCCAGCTTGATGACTTGTAAACGACCCAGGTTATTCCAATTTCAGCGCCTGCTGGGTTCCCCGCCCGCGTCCGTGCCGCCCAAAACCCGCCGCCAGCATGATGCTCTGGGCACCCGTTGCCAATTCCTGCAGCAAGTATTACGCCGATCTTACTTTCAGCCGCATCGCCGCGTTCGTGTCCCTCCTCTTCGTGAAAGGCTTCGTAGCAGATATCACGATGCGAATTTGTATATAAACAGAGGTTGTTTTGCTTCTTTGCTTGCCCTGCGCATCATCATTGCACATCATTGATCTTCACATGCATCCGGGTTTAGTACACCGACGGATTCCCTTACCTCAAACGCCACAATGTCCTCAAGCGACGGGTCGTTCCCCATCATCATATCTCTGACGGGAGACCGGAGAACCAACGATGTGGCGCTAATCGACGAAAACACCGAATCTTTCGAGGAGCTCGCCGCTCTGCTTTACCAGAGTCTTCGCCCAAAGATCCCCGAGTTCTACCTTGAGCAGGGCGAGAGGACCATCACCAAGCTCTGGGCGCAGTGGAACCACAGCAACAACGACTTCCTTCCGCAGGAGACGCAGATTGTTGAGGGCAATGTCCGCGCCGTCCTGCGGCTTCTGGCCGTCCGTCGGGGTGTGGACTCGATCCGAGTGTGGCTCAACGAGATCGACTAAGTCAGGGATGTCGGGCTGCTGGATGTTCAACCCGCAAGGGCTTCTGTAATTAGCTGGAGTCCACGCAGAAGGGCCGCCAGGTTTGCAGCATCACAGCTTACCATGTCAGTCTGCTGCCGCGCTTCGCAGCATCATGCGCTACCCGTTTAGTGCTATTAGCTCCATCTATTAAAGTTTTTCTTGCGGCCATAAGCGTGTTTAGGTCGGACAGCGTACGGCGAGACCGTCAATGCACAACCACGGAAGATGAGACATGGCCCCTGAATCGCCGGCCTGTTGATGTTGCCGCATGAGCCTGAATGTCTGCACTTCCAACCGCCTGGACGCAAAAAACAACTCGGCACGACGCAGCTGCCCGGCAAGTTTTGGAATGACTCATGTGCTGCGAGCGACAAGATGTTTGACAGTGGCTTCGGCGTGTCTTCGTGTTTTTGTTGCACTCCTGAGGCGACGACTCAATACCATTTCGGCCTGGATACGCTCTGCACCCGGTTCTGACGTCTCATATCCTGCGCCTGGCACCAGTCTAGCCGCGACTCTAATTGCAGCGCAACGGCTCGCATTCATTCTTGAGAGCATATTATGGCATCGCGGGCAAATCTACCAGGCTCCAACAGGGCAGAGAGACGCGAAATGCTCATACACAGCGGATTGCCGAAACATGCCTGCGGCGATGAAACCCATCCTGATCAGTTGTGTAGATGGGTATCGTCGCAACGGCACTCAAGCTTGCAGCCGGTTTGACATTGGCCCGGCTGTCCGATTCCCGAGACCATCAAGCTTTTTGCTAAACTTCTTGAGGGCTGCCTCAGAACACGACGCAGACACTGCGCCTGAGGTCATGTTATGCAAGCGCGTTGCCAGCGCCGTCAGGATTACACTATCTTCGGTACCAATTTAAATTCGATTGTTCTTAATGCACGTTTATCCCAACAGTGTTCAAGTCTATCGCGACGCTCTTCGAAGAATTCAACAACATTCACTATAGTACACGTTTGACGCAATGGCAAAACTCGCACTGTTGATGCTTTTGGCCCGCCTGACGATGGCCAACACATTCCATCAGGACGACATTATCCATTTTCCCAGCAGAGACACCTCCTCATCAACCCCAAACTTCAAAAGAGCGGCTGACCCGTGTGCGGCTATTACTCAAGCATGGGAGGAGCGCATGCGGACTGTTCCCCTGGAGATGCGCCAGGGAAAGCTGCTCGCGCTCGACCTGAGGCCCTCCGTGGCTACTGCGTGCTTAGAGTCCGTTCCGCTCAACAAGCAGAAGAATCTTCAACTTCTTACCTACCTCAAACCATTTGTGGAGCTCCAATCGACTATTGGCATCATCTCGAATCCACCAGAAGAGTACCTGCTCTCTGGTGTGGATTTTCCAGGCGGCATGGACGCTATGCAGAGCAAGCTTGAGAACAACGAGTACAAGTCCCAGACCGAGTTTGTAAATGATCTTATGAGCCTGGTACGTAAGCCCGAGAGACTGCAGTCGCGGTGAGCTTGATTCTGATGACGCAGATTGTCTCCTTCAATGACAATCATCTCGCCTACAATGCAGCGCTGAACATGGCATTCCGACGGGGTCGCACGGGTATTGCCGCCGTCAGGTCAATCTCCTCAGACGGGCTCCAGATGCCCGAAATCTTCTTCGACTCAGATCTCCTCGGACAAGGCAACAAACCCCCGTCGGCAGTCGAGAGCATCGACGGCGTCGAGGTTTCTCTGTTCATGGAGAAGCTGGCTATCGGACTCGAAGGGAGTCCCCAAGATCCCGATGCGCAGTACAACCGGCTCTTTCCCTCGTTGGCAGGAATGACTACCGGCCAGGGCAAAGGAATGATACCGCTCTCAATCTTCGACATACCCGATAACCACACCGTCAAGTTCAAGAATGGAACGTCCAGGGTTGTGTTGAATGAGATTGTCACTCTGAGGGACGTCGACCTTACAGGTATACGCTCTGGCCAAGACTTCCAGAATAAGTTTGAGAGCCCGCAAGGCGTGAAGTTGCCACAGCCACCTGCCTCCAGCCCTACGCAGTCGTCTGCTCCGTCGCCTCCGTCGCCTCCCGCTCCTCAAAGGACGCTACAAGGCTACCCAAAGCCTCTGATCGAACATCCACAAGGCCTAATGTCCGGATACCTACCCGACGGAGAAGGGCTAGAGAATACTGCCGTTATCACAATCCTTGGCTTCACATCTCTCCGTGGGCAGGTATCGCTGAAAGACCCGGCTCAGATCAGCGACCTTTTACGTGGAGCCCGTGACGTTGTCTTCAAGACCGCCGCAGCGGCGAAGCAGCAAGGGCGAGAGAAGCTCGTTATCGACTTGCAAGCGAATGGCGGCGGCAAGTTACAACTTGTCGAGTTTTTGTATCGCTCGTTCTTTCCGGAAGCCGCCTTCGATACCGCTGATCGATACCGTCTTACGGATGGGCTCAAATTTATAGCCCAAGCCGACTACGAATCGTTCGCCGAGAATGATATACAACTGGACGCCCTGCCCATGGGTTTGGATGAGAAGCCAATCACAGACGCCAAGATTTTCTTCAAGGCAAACCCGGTCAAGGGTCAAAACGCGACGACTGCGTTCACGAGCGACAAGACCAAGCAGTACCTAGTCAACCCTGACGAATTCCTTCCCGGTTCCGCTCAAGCAGCGAATGGCGCCAAGGCCGAGGCACCGTGGAAGCCTGAGGACATGGTCATCCTTACGGACGGGCTATGCAGCTCTGCGTGCGCGTCGTTCACGGGCCTGATGGTCCGCAACGTTGGTATCCGCACAGTCGCGCTTGGCGGCCGACCGCTGAGTCTGCCCATGCAGGCTATCGGGGGCGTCAAGGGCGGGAGAGTCAATTCCTTTGCGGAAATAAGAGACCTCTTCAAGCATGCGCGTCAGCAGAGCAACATGAGTGCCGAGGCGAGGCAATTCCTTCAGAGCCACGACAAATCTATACCGAGTATCGGAGACTCACCTCTGCGGCCGCTCGTCGACGAGAAGTTTGGTGGATCAATCAACATACGGAACACGTACACTCTTGATGATCTTGACGGCTTCCCATTGCAGTTCAAGTACAAGGCCGCGAACTGCAGGCTCTTCTACACCAAAGATATGATCCAAGACATTACGGCGACGTGGAACCGCGTGGCGGGCATCGCATTTAGAGGTGCTCCCTGCGCTCCTGGCTCAACAGTGAATAAGAATGGAACAATTGGGTTTGAGACTCCTGGCTTCACCAAGGATGTCAAAAGCCGAGTACGGGGACTTCCCGTGCCAACAATTCGCAACAGAGGATAGGATACATGCTGGCCGTGTGCCCTATAGCTTGGGTGGATGTCTGAGCGCTTGTGAGCGGCGGAACGCACGAGCCAGAGCTTAGGAGCCGTTGGCTAGGGGTTCCGTCACCGGACCAGGCAGGTCGATCGGTCGAATTGCCAATGGCACGAGGGCTTGCGCATGTTTTTTGTACCTTTTGTATTGCTTGGCATGAGTTTACTGAAGCTTGCGTGGCGTATTCAACGGATGTTGCTTGTGCCCGCGCTGCTGCCTGTGACGATGACTCCGCGCTGAGAATGTATGATCAGGCACTGCCAGAGCGCTGATGCACCACAGCTCTCGTCGTAATGCATCCCTCGCGGAGCATTGTCTGGTGCAGCAGAGACGAAAACAAGCCTCCGCCACAAGAAGATGCGCATCCAGCGACGACTCATCAAGATCTGATGATGAACTGTGTCCAAGCAATGGCAGAACATTGCTCCGCGTCGCGAGTAAGCAGTCAAGCTGACCAGGCATTTCACAAATGATTCCAAATGCAACCACGAGCGAGAGCGTAACTACAGTGGCCGTCACGCCGTCGGACGCAGTGACTGAGTCACCCAGGTGCGTGTCCTGCGGACTGGGCTGAAAAGAAGCCCGCCAAATCCGCGACTGTCCCTGTGTGGCGTCCAGTTCCTTGACCTTGTCGCCGCAACGCTGGAGCGTCGCGCGCAGGGCAGCTGACAGGCGCCCCTGGCAGAGTGCGAGTCTCGAGAGGTGTTGCGCTACCCATGTGGAAACGTCCACACAAGGGTCGATCCGCGCGCTGCCTGTCCGCTATGACGGACTGCCGATGAGCTGCCACGTTCCTTAGATCGGTCTCAGGTTCGTCGAGCGACAAATTCCAGTCCCTGTACCATGCGCGTTGCACTGAGGCTCCTTTTCTGTCAAGGCACGCCAGCAGCACTTGTAAAGTGGGTGCGGCCTGCGGGTATGGCTTCCACCGCCGCCCACCAAGCTCGGCCGGGGGATTGTGAGCTTCATCATCGGGCCAAAGTGCGCCTGAGATCTGCTGCGATGCACATGACAGCAACGAGTATTTTTGGCGAACTGTACCACATCGCCGCCTGTTGACGCCACAATCTACTAGCGTCGACTCGTCTGAGGAACTCGAGAAAGCTGCATTCTCGGGCAGATAATACGCAGGTGACGGACTTCACGAAAGAGCCGCGACACCGACGGTCGGCAACTCGTCCCCCCACGTCACTCCGGGAAACGCCACGTCCGCAAGACTAACAAATCGCTTGGGTGGATGGGTGTAAGTCCTTGTATGTACGCCCTATTAGCCTACACATACTAGCCCGCACCAAGTTGCAGTCAACATGCGATGATCGACTGTCATATAAGTCGGATGGCTGACTTCGCATTCAAGGCAACCGACAATCAGGGCACGGCTTCTCCCACTCTTTCACAATGGTCTTCCCAAACGAGTCTTTTACGGCGCATGGAGGATGCCAATGCAAGGCCGTTCGTTACCGAGTGTCCGTACCGGCTTTCCAGGAGCGTGCATCAGCACCGGGCCTTCTGCCTGGCATGAAGAGCGCGGAGGATGTCCGACTTCCCATGTCAACGGTATGCCACTGCAACAGCTGTCGCGGGGCAACTGGGCAGCTCGCGGCATTCGGGATTGCCTTCGAGAAGGCCCATGTGGAACTGTCCATTGTTACCAGAGCAGAGGCCGAGTCTGGCCTGCCGCTAGACGGAGATAGGCATTGGGCTTCTGCCGTGGCGCTCCTCGACGATCAGGAGCAACTGGAGAAGCTATCGGTTAGCCTGTACGATTCCTCTTCAAGGCGCCGCAAGATTTTTTGCCCCCGGTGTGGGGTTTCTATCGGCCACACTACCGACACGCGCTCTATTCCCCCAGAATGGGGGTGGCCAGATGCCATGGCCATCATGACTCCCACAATTGATCGCGAGTTCCTATCAAAGGATTGGTGGAAGCCCGAAAGGGCCACGTGGACGGCATGTGGCATCCCATGGGTTAGGGACCTGGCGAGAGGCGGACTGAGTGGCCTCATAGAACATCCGCTGGCGTTCCGGGACAAATTTATTGGCGACGATATCGGGGCGGAGCTCGAATTGTTCAAGACTTTGGGGGAGAGCGTCGACATTACCATTTCCCAGTAGAGAGTCTTGGTGGACAGTTCGGTCTAAACAAGCTACTTCAGTATCGTTTCAATATGGTTTTGTGTTAAGCATATGTGGATGCATGCGCGTGACGTGCGAGCAGTGTTTGCTTTGCTGCGTCTATGTAGATGCTGTAACTCGTCTTCTTGGTCGATATGCTCTACCGGCAGCCTGCCCGATTGTCGCCACCGTTGACTCTTAGATCCCAGGGCGATGTGGCCGTAGCAATGTCGACCCATCTCCGTCTAACGACTATGTTTTTTTCTTCTTTTCAGGCTCAATACTCAAACCGCCATCTGGGGTCAACATCGCCCTTCCAGTCAGGCGCCTCGCCGACATGCTTCACCTCCTCCGCGATCGCTGCCCGCTGCTCATTCTGCCGCTTCAGCCTACGAGCCAGAAAAAACACCAATACAATGTTCCCGATAAGGTATGCCAGCGCCATCGAGTGTCCTACCACGAACCGCGGTCCGTCGTTGGCTCGGTACAGCTGCGTGCCCATGACAGCACCCAGGTTGCCGATGCTGATCTGCATCGCGTTCGCCGTCGCGCGCTTCGTCTGACCCGAGACGTTAATTGCCGGCCACGAAAGTACCAGCGCCGTCGCGGGATAAATGCCCGCAGCGGCGAAGAAGGTGCCCAGGTATGATACGCCTGGTCGCGCTGTCGGGTTTGTGTTCGCAAGCAGGATGATGTAGCCTATGGCAGCGACGGCGGCGGAGCCCGCGATAAAGACGGCGCGGCGATGCAGCTTCTCCGAGTAGATGGCGACTGTCAACGTCGTAACGAAGGCGAGTGCGTAAGGAGGAATGGTGAGCAGCTGCGCCACGGCAGCGGTGTATCCGAGGTTCTTGATGATGGTGGGGAGGAAAAGAGACAGCGTGTAGAGTGGCAGACTCATGGTGTGGAAGCCGAGGCCATACAACCAGCACGAGGGGTCTCGCGCAGCGTCGAGGACTGCACTCCAGGTGAAGGTCTCGTCGTGTAGGGCGTCGCTGTCGGCGGCAAGACGACTGTGGATGAAGCTCCGCTCCTGCGTCGTGAGGAACTTGGCCGTGGAGGGATAGTTTTCGATGAACCAGTAGGCCGCAACGGCCACGAGCACGGTGGCTATGCCTTCCTGTCTCGACGTCAGCGTTGCCTCTACATTGGCAGTAGTCTCTGCACTTACGAGAATGAAGATCCAGCGCCATCCATTCTCCCAGACTACGCCAGCCATCTTGCCAATGCCCTGCCACTTGTCAGATTGCGCGACTGCTGGGAGGTACTGCTAAACCCACATAGGCGAGGATGCCACCAAAAGCGCCGGCCAGCGACGCTGCGCTGAAGAAGAGCGAAATGCGGTACTGGCGTTCACGTCGCTTGTACCACATGGAGAAGTAAAACACCACTCCAGGGAACAGGCCGCTCTCGGTGACGCCGAGGAAGAATCGCCCGACGAGGAACCCGGCAAGGTTCTGCACGATGCCGAGCAGCGTGGCGACGACTCCCCAAGCAATGGTCAGAGTGGGCAGCCATAGTCGAGGGCTGGTGCGCTTGAGGATGATGTTGCAGGGAATCTAGAAGTGTGAGCCTCGTAGACATCTGGGTAGTGAGGCGATACTGAAGTACCTCAAAGAGCACATAGCCAATAAAGTAGACTGTCAGGCCCGTGAGGTATTGGTTGCCAGCTTCAAAGTGTCAGTCAACATGGTCGTGGACGTGGATTCGCGAGCGGAATTCGCCATACTGATGTGCAGGTCGTCCACCATGCCCTCGATGCGTGCGTTGCCGACTGCGATCCTACAAGTCAGCCATACTGATGCGGCTCGTGAGAAGCCAAGTGTTTGGTACCATTGCTGCGGTCCAGAAACGATAGCAGATACAAGATTCCCACGGCGGGGAGGAGCTTGGCATCGAGCTTCCGGAGCAGGGCCTTCTCGTTGACCTCGACGGCCTCGACAGATCCCGCCTGGTCGCTGAGCTCGCTGGGCAGCGATTCTTTCGTTTCCTTCGACATCCTGTGTCGGTTATCCGCGCTTCTGGGGCGAGGTAATAGCACTGGGACCCTTTCCCAGCTTTGCCATCACAGGCAACCTAGCTCTGGGGGAAGAGGCAGCCATCATATAGAGCCCGTGACTGGTAACAAAGGGTCAATTGCCATACCGCGTCGTCGACGTCAGTCCGCCAAGATGTTTCACTGGCATTGCGCAATACTATCCCTGACCGCAGCGGCAGCCACAGCAGTTTAACCAGGCCATGTGCTAGCAGCGTTGCGGTGCTAGCTGCTCTCGGAAGCGTTATCACCAATGTCGCAATGTCGTGCGAGATGATCGTGCTCATCCAACCCTCCAATGACAGTCTCGGTTTTATGGGCCGCAGATCCCCCAAGGTTCGCAAACGACAACGAGAGGTGAGTGAGCGTGAAGGTTTAGCCCACGGTTCTTCGGTATCTGTCGATGATCGAAGAGCATCAATCGGCATTTTGCTCCATCTCAATGTCGGGGACGTGTTAATTGCGGGGAGTGATCGCTCCTCTGCGCTTTGGTCGACCTCGCGTGGGGCCCAACATTGAATCCATGAGCATCTACACGAAACCTCCATTACCGCCTTTCGGGCACGCCAGGCTGTAGGGCATAATGAATGGTCCAGAACAACTTGGCCTTGGCTTCTTTGATCATCCCTCATCACGTCACCCTCAATCAGCCGGTGGCTGCGCCTTTATTAACCGGTTGGGGCGTACCCTGCCTCTAGTCACTCATGTCTTCTCCATAGCATCAAATGATAGCGTCGCGGTTGGGGTGTCGTCGACCTTCAATTGCAGGACATGAAGCGATTTATTGCTCTTCTCAGGACCAATCCCTTCCTCGTTTTTGGGGGGAACGTAATCGCCTGTCAGCCTGAATCTACAAGTAGATGCATGCATCTCTCGGAGTCTCATTGTCAGTCCAACCCCAGAAAGCCTCGGCACTTGGCTGCGACCGGTTCATCACTGTATCTGAGGGACCAGAGCTGCGCCGGCAAAGAGTTTCATCGATCGACATGTGTCATATGCCCACGTGGTTTCATGTTGCGCCGATTCTTCGGGTCCCAGCACGACATGTCCCATTTCACACACTAACGTTAGTAGATGATGCCCATTGCCGAGGCTCCGACGCTACATTCGTAGTTATGGAGGACACCGAAACGAAAATAAATCTCACCAAACCGCTCATCCGAAACGCGGCGCATTGCTGCTTTTGTCGCACTACTAATGGCGATTATATTCCGTACATTTTCGGCGACCTCCTATTGTCTTCTAGATCACACCTCTTGTATTGCATCAATTGATGGTCGCTTGGCGCCCGGCGCAACGTAGCACATGCACCAAGTCAAGCTGTCTGCGATATGTCCACCGATCGTCAAGAAACGAATGTCAACCAAGCCGCAAATCCATTTCCCTCCTTTCAGTGTAACCTACGATCTCTACAAGTATTTTATCGCTACAGGTCTTGTCCTTTGCAAGAACCCAGGCAGCCTCCTCCATTGCCTTGGCTTTACTTCCGTCGAATGATCATCCAAAGGTATACCGTGCCAACGCCGATGGTGCGAGCTTTGTCCGAAATACAAGCTCAAAGGTAAATGCTGCCCATCCAATCAGGCCATGCTGCATGTGTGAATAACGACGCCCCAGCTTATTTAGACTCATGGAAACATGACCGAATCGTCGCGGTCCGCCGGTTCCCCAATCGTAAACGCTTCCGAGCATGCATCACCGAAGCCAAAGTGAACATGAACGGTCGCTCTTCAAGAAGCATGGTGATGACTCGAAAACAGGTCCAGCCGCTCCGCGGAGATCTCCAATGTTGTGAATGAGAGACGAGAAGCCGGCTGATTAATGTCAGCTGGTGAATTTGAGGAGACTGGAGTGAAGACGTTCTGCATCGTTGAGTCGCGGTCGAGACCGATCGAATGCGACCCTGGGATGCGGAGTTTACGTGTATAGCATATGGGTGGGTCCCGAAAAGGGATTCATGCATCTTTCTATACTGCAGATGAAGCGTAGAGGCGTGTTAGACCCCAGGCCCGACAACCGCGTAAATGGGGTAAGTTGCTACCATCCGAGGCGTTGTCCTATCACTCCACAGCTATGTCAACACAGCTCTCAGTCTCATGGAGCTTACAGGGAGAAATATTCTTCAGAATACTATAGTCGTGAGCTCCATTAGTTCCAACCATCAGCCGATGTCCCGCTGTGGGCATGGGCATGCTATGCACGTTGTCGGGTCGTCGCCCGCTCTCCTTGCATCTGACGTTGCATCCGGCCGTTTCTCACGGACACGAGAATACGATCCGTTGCACTTCTGGCTCGGCGAAAGTCCTTTTCAAGACGTCAAATGCAATCGCGGTTGGCTCAGACGTTACTGATACAACTTGGAGGCGGGGTAACTGCGCGTGTTGACCATGAGAGTCGGCCAGTGTTAATCGGCCAAGGGACTTCAACTTCACTCACGCGTTTGCTTATAGCAAAGACGAATATTTTCAAGAGGCTGGTTGTATTGTGTAGTCATTCGCTGACTTGCTTGGTGTGTGTCCACCATAGGGGTTGGCACTGGGGTTTCCGAGTGGACTCGTGCAGTATTGGCTATAAAAGGACGTGCTATGCCCGCATTGATCGACTCTGGTCGTCAATCAGTCACGACAGCTTTGACACTCTGAAAACATCTCAAAAGTTCTGCACTTGCCTTTGAAGATGCACTTCCTCCATACCGTGGGCTGGGCTGTTCTCCTCGGTAGCTTTGGCGCAGCCGTCGCCATGCCCGAGGCTGAGCCTGGAACTCTCGAAGCCCGAGCCTGCTACTGCGTCGGCGCTCATCAGGGACAGTACTGCGGGTATTGTGCCGAGGTCCGAGGCGATTGGATTGCAGACCACGTCTACGAATGCAACTCTCGTGGCGGCTGCAGCCACTATGGCTATCGTGGCAGTTGCGCCAGACGTCAGGGCCCATGTGGTTAAGTGGAGGCTCGCGCTTCTGTGTCGGTGGAATGAACATGCTTGGGTAAGTGGGATTGAGTTCTCTTGAATGGGTTCATTTCTTACAGCTTCAAGGCTAGTCTTTTCCCGACTTTCGAAAGCAAAACGGCAAGCACTGTTTCAGAACCGCGACATGCTCAAAGTTTGAACGCTGGTCATCGAAGGACTGGCACTCTGTCACTTCCTACATCGTCATGCTTTCTTAAACTTTTGCTCAGCAACACCCTCTCTTTCAGCATCACTAATTCATCAATAAACACCTCTCTGATGAGGAACTGCCACTTGTCCCCGACCCAAGGGTAATGTTGTGCGTGACGAGATCATGTGACCCGATGTGCCTGTGATCCCGCCGTAAATCTTTACCAGTGAGCAACTGTGTAATTTATATTATTTTGAACGGCCTTTTTTCCGCGACTGGGATCTGCTACATGGTATTAGTGGAGGCAGACCAATGAATGAGCTCTCGATGCAGCTGATCCCCTCGTCCTCCAAGCGCAGTTTCCAGACTTCGTGAAGACATATTACCACTACACGTCTTCAGCGGACATATCTGGCTTGGTAATGACAAAGCTGGGTAGAGTGCCGCTTCGCAGGTTAGCCACGGCCAGCCAACTGAACGTGGCAACTCGATGCCTGGCGCAACAAGAACGGAAGCCAAGCAACCTGCCGAAAATTACGGTACCTTGCGCTATGGAGCTGGAAAAGGAAGGCATCTTGAGCCAAGACTTTCCATTGAAGAAAATTCGCTGTGGGCTCTTTCTACGATATTATTTACCCTCTGGCATTCCTCGTCACGACAATAAGTCGCCTCCGAGACACGGCACTGCGCCGCGACATGCCTCTTGGCTTCCCCACAAGGTTTAGCCCAACGGCACTCGGTGTCGGCGGCCACCGAAGGCCCACCGAAACAAACGCCTGTCGTCTGGGCTTCGGGCCTTGGGGCTGCTCTGGCGCCCGCATGCCCGCCCTCCGCCACCACGGCCCCTCCGGCTAGTTGTCGAGGGTCCCCGGTTAGTTGTCGACGGCGGGCGGCGCTCCTCTTTCCAGCAACGGACCCGGAGAAGCAAGCAGCGCCCGCAACTAAGCCCGGCGCCGACAAATTGTCGAGAGCAGCGTGCGGGGAGGCCCCATTGACGCCGTACGGCCACACAAAGGCTGATGGCATTTCCCAAAACGGCATCTAAGCTGCACATGTTGCGCTAGCCGGGGGACCGCCGCAAACTGAGCAACACGGCTTTTGGTGAACCAACTGACGGGCGGAATCTTGGCAAACTTTGGGTTTACATGACAGCTATTTATTTATCCGCTGTCGTGGCCACCTCACACAGTCTTGACTCTTTGTGCCTCGTGAAGTCCATGGCATTGCTGCTTGCTTGTGTCCCTGCTTCGGCCCCTCATTTCGCGCCTGCTTCCTCGAGCGACTCTCGACGCATTCTGTCATTGATGGCTCAGTCTACGCCTCGCCACACAAACAGCCATGGAGGCAACAACAAGCACGCAGCCCACGAGCGTGGTGGAGGGCCACATCTCGGGCCAGTCCAACAAGCCGCTTTCTCAGCCGGCTCATAGCCTTTCCGGTGATCAAGTGCTGCAGGAGCTGCAGTCTGATTCCGCGCGGGGCCTCACGGCCGACGACGCCACCCGGCGGCTCGCCGAGCTGGGCAAGAACGAGCTGGAGAGGAAAAAGGGTGTCCAGCCATGGGCCATCTTCCTGGAGCAGATATTCAACGCCATGACCCTTGTGAGTTGATCCTCTCTTTGCTGCTTCCTCCGCCCAAGTCACCTGAGCGAAGAGTCTCTGACCGAGCCCGCAACAGGTCCTGCTCTTGGCTCTCGCTGCCAGCTTCGGCATCAAGGCCTGGATCGAGGGTGGCATCCTCGCCGGCATCATCCTCCTCAACATCTTCATCGGCTTCTTCCAGAGCCTGCACGCCGAGAAAACGATCGACTCGCTCCGCACCCTCGGATCCCCGACATGCAATGTGTATCGCGAAGGCGACACCATCAAGATCCAGACCGCCGAAGTCGTTCCCGGCGACATTGTCGACCTCAACACGGGCGACTCGGTGCCCGCCGACATTCGACTCCTCGAGGCCGTCAACCTCGAGGCCGACGAGGCGCTCCTCACGGGCGAGTCGGCGCCTATCGCCAAGAACCCAGCGCTGGTGTTCGACGACGACACCGGCCCCGGTGACCGCCTCAACGTCGTGTATAGCTCCACGATAATCACCAAGGGCCGAGGCCGCGGCGTGGTGTTTGCGACAGGCATGTTCACCGAGATTGGCCTCATTGCGAGTGCGCTGCACGGCGGCCGCGACGAAAAGGACATTGTCGAAGAGAGCAAGACGCCGTTCACCTACGTCAAGCGCTTTTTCAGGGCCATTGTCAAATGGCTCGGAGAGTTCCTCGGCCTTACACACGGGACGCCTCTGCAGCGCAAGCTCGCCCAGCTGTTTCTCTGGCTCTTTGCCTTTGCCATAATTTGCGCCATCGTCGTTTTGGGGGCCAACAAGTTCGACACGCGCCAGGATGTCATCCTCTATGCCGTCACTACTGCCATCGGCACGATTCCCGTGTCGCTGCTGCTTGTCCTGACGGTGACCATGGCCGCCGGGACGAAGAAGATGGTCGAGAGAAATGTCATCATGCGGAACCTGCAGAGCCTAGAGGCGCTGGGTGGTGTGACCAACATCTGCTCCGACAAGACTGGCACCATCACGCAAGGCCAAATGGCTGTCAGAAAAGCCTGGTTGCCCGGCCATGGAACGTATTCTATTGACACGGGCAACGAGGTGTATAACCCGACCGTCGGCAGTGTGTCGCTTCAAGACAAGCAGCCCAAGGATATCGATGCGGAAGAAAAGGGAAGCGGAACGATGCAGTCCATCTCTCCACTCGATGAACCGGGTGCGAAATCCGCGCTGCAATGGTATCTCAATGTTGCCTCACTCGCCAACTTGGCCACGCTCGAGCGGGTCGACGAAACAGCAAACGAGTCTGAGAAGACGGGCGCCACGTGGAAGGCCCGGGGTGCTCCGACAGAAATCGCGATTGAGGTGTTTGCCGCTCGGTTTGGATGGAACCGCATGGAGCTCTCCGAGGGCCCTGAGGCGAAATGGAGTCACATTGCCGAGTTTCCGTTTGATTCGGATGTGAAGAAGATGTCTGCCCTATTTCAGGACGCGCATTCGCAGGAGGCGCACATCTTTACAAAGGTGAGCATCTGGGGGACGGCGCCAGCCATCGCCTTGCCGCCTTGCTAACTCGTGTCATAGGGAGCTGTGGAGCGCGTATTGGATAGCTGCGACCGTATTGCCCAAGGCGACAGCATCGATGTCTTGACGGAAAATATGAAGACGGACATCGTCACCAACATGGAGGCTCTGGCAAGCCAGGGACTGCGAGTCCTCGCCCTAGCTCATAAACCATGCGATCGACCCATCGCCGAGTCCGACTTTGCGCACGGCACCGCCCCCAGTCGAGACTCATTCGAGAAGAACCTCATCTTCCGCGGCCTCATCGGCATCTACGACCCGCCGCGGCCCGAGTCCCTGCCCAGCGTCCGCGCCTGCCAAGGGGCCGGCATCATCGTCCACATGCTGACGGGCGACCACCCGCAAACGGCGCGCGCCATCGCCGCCGAGGTCAACATCCTCCCGCCGCCAGACAAGATGCGCCTGCTGCCGGCCGACGTGGTCGCCTCGATGATGATGACGGCGCACCAGTTCGACGCGCTGTCGGACGAGCAGATCGACGCGCTGCCGCAGCTGCCCCTCGTCGTGGCGCGCTGTGCGCCGAGCACAAAAGTCCGGATGATCGAGGCGCTGCATAGACGGGACAGGTACGTCGCCATGACGGGCGATGGCGTCAACGACAGCCCGAGTCTCAAGCGCGCGGATATAGGTATCGCGATGGGGACGGGCTCGGACGTGGCCAAGGAGTCGTCGGACATTATCCTAACCGACGACAACTTTGCGTCGATTCTCAACGCGGTCGAGGAAGGGCGCCGCATCTTTGATAACATCCAAAAGTTCATCCTGCATGTTCTCGCCGCGAATATTGGGTTCGTCGTGGCGCTGCTCACGGGGCTGGCCTTTAAAGACGATTCGGGGGTGTCCGTCTTCTTACTGACGCCGGTGGAAATCCTCTGGATGCTCATGGGCACGGGAGCGTTTTGCGAGACGGGCCTCGGGTTCGAAAAGGCGGTGCCCGACATCCTCAACCGTCCACCCCACGATGTAAGTATGCAGACGCAAATACAGCCCCTCAGCCCCCTCCCTCCCACTATCTTCACCACACGGCCAGTCGCTAACGTCGACTATAGCTCAAATACGGCGTCTTCAGCCCCGAGTTCCTGCTCGACATGGTCGCCTACGGCATCCTCATGGCGTGCTGCACCATCGGGTCCTTCACCGTCGTGATATTCGGCTTCGACGACGGCAACCTCGGCGCCAACTGCAACAACGAGTACTCGGCGGCGTGCAACGACGTGTTCCGCGCACGCGCCACCTGCTACACGACCATGACGTGGATCTTCCTGCTCTTCGCGTGGGAGCTCATCGACGCGCGGCGCTCGCTGTTCTACATGCCGCGCGGGTTCCGCGCCTGGGGCATGCACCTCTGGGGCAACCGCTTCCTCTTCTTCTCCGTCACCGTCGTCTTCTTCGTCGTGTTCGGGACGCTGTACATTCCCGTCATTGACCATGTTGTGTTTATGCACACGGGCATTAGCTGGGAGTGGGCGGTGGTGTTTGTTGCGGTGGTGGTGTTTATGCTGGGCGCGGAGACGTGGAAGTGGGCGAAGAGGGTGTATGTGAGGAGGAGGAGTCGCGGGGCGGATGGTGTGCATTGGACGGGCGTTGCGTGAGCATCATCACTTTAAGTGTAGAGACATAAGCGACGCATAGCAGGGTAGCCAGGGTCATATTCACTGCATTGGGCATCAACTCGTGTGTTCAGAGTGATACTTGGCGAAGTAGGTCAAGCAAAACACCCAGGGCAACAAGACATGGAGCTGACGACAACTACAACATGGTGAACCCACGGTACTCTCATGTCGCGCATCGGTATATTCCACGTGCGCGAGAAGGAACCGCGGGAAGAACACGCAACGTGCAAGAATGGCATTTACATGCACCAGCATTGATCAATCCTAAGTCTTCTCAGCGCATTCACCCTCGACAGGCATCTCCGCGCGTGCTCCCCTCCCACGCCCGCTCCCGTCCCTGTCCTCCGGACCCAGCCCTTGTGCCTCGGTCTCCTCCCAGCGCATCGCCAAGCGTACGAGCACGGCTTCTGCCATGCATGCCGCCGCTCCTCGTACCCTCCACTCCGTTTGCGCCCTTCGGGCCATGACAGGCACCCGCCTCCCTCCTGGCAACCGTCGGGCTCGCCATCTCGTCCATCTCCCAAATGTCCTCCTCGCCGTCGATGTCCATCATCCACGCCGGGGGCCGCGTCTCGGGCGTCGCAGGCAGCGGCTTGTTGACCTCCCTCATCCTCCTCTGCGCGCGGGCCGCACGTCTGTCATGTGGCGTAGTCTTTCCGTTCGACGGGTCCTGCGCATCAGATATGTTCGTTCCGTCCTTGCCGTCTCTGGGCCGTCCCGTGTCGAAAGGGCGGTCCGCGCGCCGGAGAAGAAGCATGCGCTTCGCAAAGTCGACTATCGCCGTGCGCACCGCGCGCCAGGCTTCGTCCCCCTGTGTAGCCGATGCTTCGCCCTGTCTCGAGGTTGCATTAGCCATGTGTCCATGAGGAGAGATAGACGTCGTAGTCGTCATCCGGGGGAGTTGGCCCACGCAGTAGGCGAGCCCGTCGAGGTACGCGGCCATGTACGCCGCGCGCGTGTCCTCGTCTATGCCCCTCCGCCCGGCGGCGTTGTTGTCGTCTGTGCAACCATCTTTCTCCACACCCGAGGCTGTTCCCTCGCTCGTGAGGTCACATACTGGCGCTTCTGTCGTCTGCGGCTCCCCCGTAAGGTCGATACAGCACCGCGACGCCGTCCCAGTAAGGTCCACCACGTCGAGCATCTGCACGTCGTCTGGCTGCTGCTGTCTCTGGGCGCTAGCAATGCCACCTCCGTTCTGGCCGTCTCTCATCAGGACGTCTTCAAGGTTCCCCATGCTTCCTCCAACACCCTGAAGTGCAGCCGTCCTCGACGCTGCTGGGTTCGGCTCCCGGACGAGACCGCCGCCGCCGCCGCCGCCGCCACCACCACCAGCCCTCGTCTCATACACCACGTGTGTCAATCTCTCCCGCCAGATCAGATCGATCCTCACGCCCGTAACCTCGCTCAGCCTCTTCACAAACGCCCCGCACGGAACACAATTCCGCCTCGAAAAGTACACCTCCAGCCTCGGCCGCGAGCCGTCGTCCCAGCGCACCTCGCGCAGGCGCGCCAGCGTAGCGAGATCGAGACCGCGACTTGCCTCGCACCCCGTGTCAGCACCCCGATGCCGAGGGGGCTCAGGGCCAGGCCGTTTGTTGGCACTAACGTTACGGATGGTATTGTTGCTGCCGCTGCTGCTGCCGCTGATGCTCCCACTGTTGCGTTGATGCTGACGCCGCGACGGTGATGATGATGACTCCCGGTACAGCCCAAATACATGCAGCAGCGCGTACACCCCATGCGTCGCGAGCTTGACCTCGACATGCGACGCGAGGAACACCCCCCTGAGGCGCTCCCGCGCTCGCTCGTCCAGCTGTCCCTCCCGCAGCCCCATCGTGTCAAACGGCCGTTCCGTCCGCAGGCCGAGCAGCGCGGCGAGCGCCACCGCCCGGCGTGTCCACCTCCCGTTGGGCAGTGCACCCGGCGTGGGGTCCAGCATGTCGCCTGTCCGGCCGGCGCCGTGCCCGCTCTCTGCCCAGACCAGCACCGTGCGTTGCTGCTGCTGATGCTCTGGAGAACCACCGTTACTGTTGCCGATGTCATCACGGCCGCCGCTGCTGCCGCTGCTGGTGTCGCCACCACATGTCCGCACCAGGGCCAAGAACCCCGTCGTCTTGCGGTGCAGGCCCTGCGCGATGCGCCCGGGGCTGAGGTGCCTCCTCGCCCTCTCGTGCGTAAACGTGAAGCTCAGCCCCGAGCCCAGGACATGCACACGCAGACTCGCGTCTCGCGTATCCACGACGTGGTAAAAGTAAAATTGCGGTTCAGTTGATCTGAAACGCGAGTCAAAGGTCGGGAGGTGGGCGAGAGGCGGGGGGATAGGTTGTGGTCGCCGCGTGATACTGCTGCTGGGCGTATCGTCTCCTCCATCGTTGTCGATGTCGGTGTCGGTGTCGGTGATGTCCGTGTCGGTGACGTTGGGGTTGGGGTTGGTGTTGGGGCTGCTGGCGCTATTGGTGCTAGTGGTGTTGATGGGGGTCGGGATGCGAGCGTTCGGCGGTGTGTTGTAGTAAAAGACGCGGAGACCGGAGGATGATGCCATGGTGGTGTCGTGGAGGATTTGGTGCAATGTTGGTGTACTTGCCCGATTCGGAAACGGGCGAGTCGCAGCGCCGGTGCAGCACAGCACGCTCAACCCCGACGCGGTTCTAGCCTCCCAACAGAGGACAGGACTGCAGCATGCAGATAGAGCACGGTGAATCCCGGGCCTTTAGCGAAGAAGATGGAGATCAGAGGGCAAGTCGCTCGTGCTCGTGAACTGTTGTTGATGCTTCAGGTCAAGTTTGTACCCCATGGAGCAAGAGGCTGGAGGTTGCGTTGTTGGTGCTTGGTGCCCAAGCCGCACGCCGGGGACTGATGTGATGAAGTCGTGGTGATGACTTATGGAGAACACAGGCCGTGGGCAGCGAGCGGGAATACTCTGGACTCAAGACAGTAGTTAGGTAGATGGTACGGTGGCTGCGCATGTGCTGCAATGAAGCACCTGGCTCGCACCGGGATCTCAGGCGGCGACCTCCATGACACCGCCGAGGGTACCGAAGCGTGGGATGAAGGGTTCAAGAACCCCAGAGTGGGAGGGCACGCTGTATCGAGGAGATAAATGTGCGATATGATCGCCAGCTGTGAGGATGGTGGCCAGCTGTCCGAGCACCGTGGTGATGATGTTGAGCCACCAAGTTCGAAGCCCAGGGCTCTGACACCACGTGCCGGTTGGGCGAAATGCCAGGCGAATCGAGTCGGCGTTCACCATAGCAGGTGCTGCAGAACGATTACGACTTCAACAATCACGACGGACGTCACTTCTTGCACGACCAATGACAGAAGAATTGGCGGACGGGCCCAAGTGAACCGAATGACCCAGTGGGAATCTCATTCATACATCACAGAAAATCTAGACCGTACGCCCGTTTCATGCCGTCCCAAAAGACTTGGTTTGCTCCGCTCCTTTTGTAGCCATCCCCCCTCATCATCGTCGTCTGGAAAAACGAAAAGCCACGCACAAGGCGCGCGCTTACTCGTCGTCCTCATCCTCCTCCTCAGCCTCGGCCGTGGTCTGGGCAATACGGTCCAGATCACGCTGGCCGGCCTGGGTGATGCGGCGGCCGCCCTTCTCCTCGTCCTGCTCCAGGACGCCAATCTTCTCGAGGGCCTGCATGACCTTGCGGTCGACGGAGCCGGAGGCGTCGACGTGCTTGGAGGGCCGGCTGCCGCGGTTCTTGGCGGAGCCGTGGACCTTGCGGAGGCGGCCGACACCGACGGTCTTGCGGAGGTAGACGTGGCGAGCGACGGACGCGGCGCGGACGTAGAACCAGTCAATGTCCTGGGGGGGGAGCTCCTTGGCGGGGCCGGTCTTGACGGTGTCGACCCAACCTGCAGTGGTGGCGGACGTCAGCACATCAAGCAAACAATTGACAAGACGCTGCCACCAGAGTAGCAGAGAGATTAGAGGCAAACGTACCAGGGATGGGCAGCTTGCCCTGACGCTTCAGGAACGCAGCATAGGCGTTGATGAACTTTTGCGCCTGGCGAAACCAAAACCCATTAGCAAATTCCGTCTTCAGAAGTCTTGCGACTCCCTCGCGCCTGCTCATCGATCCCAATTGTTTCGGTGCCAGTCCAGCGTCTGGTCAGCTCCTGGAGGGGGTCGGCGGCGGCCCGGCTGCGTGGTGTCGCGCCACGTCGTGCTGCGCTGCGCCGACGTCTCGACTCGAGGGGCCGTCAAGCGCAGCGATTAAGACCGCATTATCGAGTGCGTTTAGCCGTCGCAGCCTGGGAGCGCCGCAAACCCCTCCATTCGCCGCAGTCGTGGAAGCCCATTGTCCGCATGGGGAAGATTCGCCAAGTCGTCGAGGACTCGATTTTTCGTCGGTCGCGATATGGGAGATGTGTGGGATGATATTTTTCTGCCCGGCCAGCCGGGGAGCGAAACGCATCCCCGGCTGCCTTTTAGGAAGTCTTGCGTTCAGGGAGGACCTACATCGACGTCGCGCACGGTGATTCCGCCGGCCATTTTGAAGGTGGTTTTGGGGGGTGAAGGGGAGTTGGGTGAGGATGTGCGTTGAAGAGGACTTGTCGAGGCGTGAGGACGGACGGGATGGGACTTGGGGTGCGGTCGTGAATCTGGCTGGGTGGAGGTGGTCAACTTTTCGCACTAGGGTTTTTGGCCCTAAGAGTGTGGGCCTGCAAATGCAGAGAGGTTTGTGCGCTGACTAAGACTCTCCGCCAGGACAGTGTTTTGAACCGTTCCAACTGGGCTAAGGCACTGTGCGGCCGAGTGGGGCCGAGGAGTTCCACCAACGGGACTCCGGTTTTGCGACGCCTTCCGGAAACCCTCACGGGTGTGCCGTGAACCGGGGCCCGAACAGCACATCCTGACTGCAAACTGCCACGTCATGTTACCTCTCGCGACTCGAACAGAGCACCTCACGCATAGACTACAGCTAGACTACAGCATCACTCGCGGTGCCGCCACACTTCCAGGACATGGCATCTCCTCTTGCGACAGACGGATGACTCGTTGCTTAGTGAATTCATATTAAGCATGATGCGCTCTGGCGCTCTATGTCGAGAGTATTCAATCAAGTACAGACGCCGGGTATGAGTATCCAGTCAAGACACCATAACGTGCAGCCATTTCAAATCGCTTTTTCAGTCGTTTCATTCCAATCCTCTACGCCCACTTGGCCAGCAGCGACATGACCGCCACGCCAAACGCCACGCAGCCAAAGGCAAACAACTGGATCTTGAGCGGCGAGCGGCGCATGTGCGGGTTGAACATGAACTCGTGGGCTAGCAGCTCCACCAGGCCCGTGTACATGAGGATGCCCGCGCTGATGGAGTCGAAGATGCCGTTGACCAGCTTCTGCGTCGCCGCGTTATTAGGCTTCGCCCCGATGCCGGCGGCAATACCGACGGGCGTCGAAATGGCGAACCCCAGCGCGAGCACGTAAGGCACCCACTGCCTGTTCTTGGGCCAGGGCGCGACGGCGAGCCGAGAGCCCAGACCGAGACCCTCAAACATCTGGTGAAAGACGAGGACGATGAGCAGGATGACAAGTTCGTCGGTGCCTGTCGTGCCGAGGGTGAGGCCGATGAAGATGCTGTGGAAGACGACGCCGAACTCGAGAATAAAGATGGCCGTGAGCTGGCCAACGATGCCGCCCGTGTCGCCGTCCTTGTGCTCGTGGCGGTGCGCCATGTGGTCCTCGCCGCCCGGAGGGTAGCTCACGTCGTCAGGGGGCCCCGGGATAGTCGTGCCGCGACCAGTCTCAATGTCGTCGACGTGAGGGCAAGGCTGCGTCTGAGGGACCGAGTTCTTGGCAGGCTTCTTCAGAGCCAGAATCTCGTTGGTCGGGTCCGTCTCTGAGTCGGAGCCGCCACCATGGGAGTGATCGTCCTCGTTGCTGTAGTGAGACGCCAACAGCTCGACAAAGAACATGACCATGACGGTCATCAGGCCAATGACGAGGGCCCAGGGGTAGTCGCCCAGCCAGCGCTCCGTGACACAGGGATCGCCAAGCTGGTCGATGGCCGGGTCGAGGAGGTGCATCCAGGCAGTGGCAATGATGACGCCCGTACCGACGTACTTGCAGATAAAAAAGGTAAATTTGGGTACGTGCATCTTGGTTTGGCGCTGCAGCAGGACGGGGGCGAGCGCGCCGAAGATGGAGGCGACGAGAATGATGAAGATGGCACCAATGCGCAGTCCTTGGCGCCCGAGATCGACGGCCTCGCCATCGCAGCTTTGGGGATCCTCGTCGGCCATGGCGACGTCTGGGGGAGCGAGTGTTGGGCTGCACGGGGGTACCGAGAAGGGGTTTCAGCGCGCGTCACTGGCGATGAGCCTCCAAACAACGCTGTCGTCGGGTCCTGGACCAAAGCTCACGTCCTTGAAGGCGGCTTCCCGGGGATGGATGTGACAAAGGGCGTTGGCGTTTTTGAGCTGAAGCGGCGCGCAAACCAGCTATATAACACAGGAAGCAGCCAACAGCCTCGGGGATGTGGCGGGTGACTATACCCGAAGGTACGAAATGGTGGTGAATAACGTGACGGGCTGGGCAACCTTGATGGCCAGGTCGTCTTGTCGTCCGGTCCACTAGGCGCGCTTCCGCCACGAGGAGATGCAGGAAGCTGGGGTCCCGACTTGGCCTCTAGGCAGCTTTCAGGAAAGCACGCTGGAGTGGCCGGATGTGAGATGCCGAGAGATGCAGCGGCGCGGTTCCTCGAGGCCAAGAGATCCAATGGCTTGGCCGATGACGGGAGAGGCCAGGGGCGCGATATCAAGGACCTGACGATGAAGAATCCTGGCCCAACGTCTGATGACACCCTGATGAAGCCGGCCCAAGACGACTTGGAGGACGCAAAGGGACCAGTGAACGGAGCGCCGAGTGGACTGTGAGGGCGGCCGGCGGCTCTGAGTGGTGTGACGCCCGAGACGCGGCGGCGGTGATACAATGATCTGGGCCAAAGGCTTCCCCGTCGTACAAAACCCCAGGGCAAGGGACCGAACCAGGGGGTGTGAGTCTGTGAGAGGGGGGCACAGAATCGATAAAAGCGCCTGGACAATGCTTCGTATGGTCGCGTAAATTTTTTGTGACGCCGCTAGGGATGACAGCTGCACGGCAATGTACGAACCAAGCAGGAGGGTTGCAGCCGAGGGGTGAGGAGAGAGAAAGAGGCCGAGACGGGGGGGAGCTCGAGGATCGATGATGCCAACCGGGGGGGTGAGGAAAGAGAATTTCAGGACAGGACAAGATGGGACGAGGTGGGAACGGGCAGGAGCACGCCAGCACGCAGCAGCATGGGGTGCAAAGACCAGCAGCGCATCGCCGGCGGGCGGCGGGCGGGCGGTGGTGGATTTGCGATTTCGACGGACGTCCCGACTGGCGACTGGCGGCCCCCGCAAACGGCCCGCGAGAACCTTGATGGACAGGACGACGGAGGGCAGACCTCCCGCCCTCTCAGGCTCTCGCTCTCACTCTCACTGACGAGCTCACGCACGCACGATTACTGCACTGCTCGGGAAAAAGGCTACCACCACCACCACCAACATGGGCCCGAGCTAATGACGAGGCGGGCCCGGCCCTGTTTAGCAGCAGCGCGTTATCTGCGGTTCCATCGTGGTGTGCAGAGGCACAGTACCTGGCACGTACGTAGTGTGAGAGGTCACCATCCACAGCCAAGGGTTCAGTTGTCTCGGTCCGTCCGTCGCACGACATGCGCGGGCACGGCGTCAGCGCTCGCTGCTCTCTGCTTCTCTGCCCACCTCTCTGCGCCGATGAGGCTCGAGCACGGCCGCCGCCGCCGAGGGGCCGCATGCGGCTGCGGTCTGACACGACACGGCAGGCTGGTAGGTAAGAGCTGAGGAGGGCGCACGGCCCTTGAAACCAGCTCGGCCCCATTGGAGTGATGAGAATTCGGAAGTATACTTTGCTCTGAACTGGATCTCCTGGAGTACGGTTGTGCAACGTGCGACGCCTCGCTCGCTCGCTCGCTCGCTCGCCCGCCCACCTGGGGCTTAAAAATACCAGAGACAAATATCCAATCCATCCGACGTTATCAGGGCAAGCAAACAAGCAGCGCGAAAAAAAAGGTTGGATCATCGCGGCGCCCATTGGCCGCGGGCGCAGGCGCCCACCCCCCAAAGGACCTGGGGCGCCCAAACGGGCCGCCGGAAGCGGCAAGGTGGGCTGGCCATCAAGGTTCTCGGGAGTCGCCAGGCGCTGAGCATCCAAAAGCCCCCCGCGGACAAACCAACAACCAACGCTGCCCGCATCCAGCTCCTCAGCCAGCCGGCCCAGAAGCCTCGCGCCGCCCTCGCTGGACCTAGCTTTTGCGAGTTGGCGCCATCATCAGCTCGGGCGGTGCAATCGCTGGCGGCCCCTCGTTCCTACGGGCAGGGGTAGAGATGTCCGCGACTTCTTCCCAGAGCGCGCCGTCCAACAAGCTCGAAACGAACCGCCAACACCGCTGTTGGCATTGAGTTGAGTTGTGCGTCTCCGAGGCTATTTCCACGTGGAGGGTCGTCGCCGCACTCTATTTGTACTTGGTAAGCATCATATCATCATCGTCAGTCCACCCATCAGATAACGGGGCCACGGGGCTCGCTGCACCGCACCGTGCTGTACAAGACTGTCTTGGCAGGGCCGCCGTCGTGCGTCACGATTCACTCGCAGTCGTGCCACCCACCACATGGCTTCCCGTATTTCATATCCCTCATGGGTGGCTGCGTGTCTCACAGTCCGAGACGCGCAGCTCCTGAATCCAGGGACCGTATCAGGACGGACTGGGCTGTACGAACTTCGAAGCGCAGGGTATTATGTACTACAGAAAATATCTTCTGTCGCCTGCGCTCGTAATGCGCCCAGGTCGACACCAAGTGCCTCGTGGTCTCACTGGAATTGCACTTGTGATGGCGGACAATCTCGTCTTCACAGGCGATATATTCTGTCTCTCCCTCATACCCTCTCATCAACCCCCAGCTCGTAGCCTCGGCCCCCACCGCCCAACAGCAAACACGCATAAAACCCAGGTCATGCGTGCTCGCAGCTCGCGCACGAGAGGAAAACGCATCATGTGTTGGTCTTAGATGTAATCAAGGGAGCCATCCCACGCAGGGTCATGTCCGCGTGCCATGTCCATGCCTCGGCTACAGCTGCCTCAAGTAACCTCCCAAGGGGGGCTCCTCCAGCTCTTGCACGAGCACGCACATAGAGCACAGACCATTGTGCAGCCAACAGTACCTACTGTAAAATGTATTGGCAAACATTGCTTCGTACTGTACTCCGTGTCTCGAGAGAGGAGTCGTCTACTCGTAGTACTCCGTAATCAAGCCAGAGGCTCTGCTCGTTCGCGTCAAGCCAGGCAGGCCCCGAATCAGCTCTCCCTAGTTCGTACAACCAACACCACGCAGCCCACCGCCCGCCGTCGCACCGCAGCTGCGCGTCCCCTACCACTCACTCCATCAACATCTAGCGCCATGCGTGCTGCCTGTCCAGGGCCATCGACGCTCCTCGCCACGTTGTCTCCGTCCATCAAGGCAGGGAATCCCTTCGCGCTAGGCATGCTAACCCTTGCAGCGTCCGCCGGCCCGTCGCAGCAGCTGCTCGTGCTCGCGCGCGCGCGCTACGACGAAAACTGAATCTCCAGCCCGAGCGTCCGGAACGGCTTATCCAGCTTGCGCAGGTCGATGCCGCTCCCGAGGCTGAAGAGCAGCGACTTGACCCGCCCCTCCCAGAGGACCCCGATGCGCAGGTTCTGGTCCAGCCGCGCCTTGAGCACCCCGGCGTACTCTTCCTCATCCGACCCGCTGCCGCCGCCGGGTGCGCGTCCCGCGTGCCTGCCCTGTCCCGCTGTCGGTTGGATCGGCTCCTGGCTTGGCACCGGCGCCGGCTGCGGCTCCGGCGCCGGCACGACCAGCGTCGGTGGCTCGTCCAGACGCCATTCCAGCTTGGCCTGGAAGCTCCGAGTCGGAAGCTTGACCTCGTCGTTGTCGAGAACAGGTCGTCGGAACGGCTTCCGCCAGAGCTCCATGCCCACGGCCCATCCGCTCTCGTAGCTGAAGATGTTGAACTCCATGCGCGTCGCTAGGCTGCAGTGCTTGCCCGCCACCACGGCGTAGCTCGCCGCAATGTTGCCCATCAGCGGATTCAGCGTCAGCGTCGCGCACAGCGGCGTGCCTTTGTGCGCCGGGAGCGTCGCGAACCGCGCCCCCAGGCTGACGCCGCCCGACTTGTTGAGCGTGCCGTAGTAGATTTCGCCGCCGGTGCTGAATCGGCCGTATATCCGCTCCCGCTCGCTGCCATTCCCGTCGGTGACGTTTGCAGGCGCGGACGCCTCGGCGTCGCCGCCAAAGTTGTAGATGCCCCGGAATCCCAGCAGCCCGCCGTCCGACGACGCGAGGCCTTCTAGCGCATATCTGCCCGTGTCGTACTGCGCCAGGCCGAGCGCTGTTCCACCATCTCTGAGATGCTGTGCCGACACGGCGCTGAACTGCAGCTGCAGCGCCGGGGATATCCGCCTCACCACGAGGGCTTCCAGCTGCGACCGCGGCAGGTAAAGTCGGCCGTAGAGCAACGACGGCTGCGGCGCCAGCGCATTGGAAAGGGTCCGCGCAATCGGGTCGGCGGGTCGTGGTGGCAGCGGCGAGAGCGGCCGGTACGAGCGCAACAGCTCCGGCAGCGACACGCTCTCCGACTGCGGTGTGAGCAGGACACGCAGTGGCTCGGACGAGAAGAGGTACGAAATGGAGCCGTCGACGACGCCCACTGAGCCGAGCTGGTATGACGTCGCAAAGTTGGGGCTTGCGAGCGAGGATAGCGTCAGCCGCAGGCCGCGCGGGGTCGGGAAGTCGAGGAGCGCTGCGAGGAGGTCAGCGGCCGGCAATGGAACGAGGACGATGGCCGTGGCACGGGGGAATTACCATCAGAGGTGGCGTTCAGCGCGGCATACGTGTTGTCGCGCCGCCAGCCCGTCGCCTCGTAGAACGCGCTGTGGACATAGTCCATGAACTCGCGCATCTCTGGCGCGCGGTTATCATGCCGCTGAACGAGACGCGACTGTGGTTGGGGTTGAAGCAGGGGATGGTTGTCGCCTGCCCAGCCTTCGACGTCAGCAGCTTCGGCAAAGCTTCGGCGGGGCGGGCTACCCTGCACCGAGGGCCATCTCGTGATTGTCCAAGCTCTCGTCTACCAAACCACGCTCTGGGGGCAGAAGTTGTGAAATTTATAAAGTCAGGTCAGTTTCCATTCATCTTAATGTGCTCAAATTACCCCTTTGATCAAGCAGTTTGGTTTGCGGGAGTCGCAGAACATGCCGTGCGTTATGACGGTCGCTGATCCACCCGATGAGTGCCGCCCCCTTACCTGTTCGTCACGTATTATCTCACGCAGTGTCTTGACCGTCTACGAGGGTGGCATGATGCCTCCTCAGTACCATGCAAAGAAGCCAAAGTGCCATTTCACAACATTTATTGACAAGCCGTCAGCCAGCAGCTGCCAAGTGCAGGCCAACACGCCGAGGTAGCAAGAAATCATGCCTGCATACGCCTCAAACCAGGCCCTCGCCCGGTGACAATAACGCCTCCCTTGCCGTCCGCCAAGATGGTACCCATACCTCCAACATTGCCATTTCTTAACGTCCGCGACTGGTGTCCCTCTCTGCCTAAAGTCCGTCGTTCGTGTTGCCCCTCGCCTACAGTCGATTACGACGAGGCGACGCTCTGGATCAGTGACACGTTGTCGCCCTTGAGGAGAATTTGGCCTGCATGGGGTTAGCGACGCTGGTCCGTACTTTCAAGATTCTGGAGCCCTACCCAGGGGTTTCCGCCACTCCTTCTCGTTCGTCTTGGTGACCAGGCCGACCTCGACGGCGTCGTCGATGACCAGGTTCATGAACTCGTCGAAGCCCTGCGCTTGTTAGATGAGCTGCCCGACTCGACGGTGGAGCAGCAGGGGAAACGAACGCGAATCTTGCCCTCCACGCGGATACCGAGCTGCTCGTACAGCCACACGCTGACGGTAGCGTTCTGCGAGAGTTAGCGGTTTGTTTGCAGAGTAGAGGCTCTAACGGACGCGCGGCGGCAGCGCGACTGGGCGGCACGCAGTCCGCATGGGATCGCAGTCAGGTTGAGAGCGTGTGCGCCTGCATCACGCAGAGCTCGGCCGGGTTCCGTGGAACAAGCAGGCAGGCAGCAGCAACCACCTAGCCCGAGCAGCCATATCCCATCGTGCCTCGCTGCGCGCCGCATCGCCAATGTCGCCGCGCCATGGGCGCAATCCGTCGGAAGAGGTAACTCACGGTCTGGAGGAGCTTAAAGATCATGTTGCTATGCACTCGTCAGCTCAGGCCATGACGAGATGCCATCGGCGGCGGGGTGAAGAGGAAGCTCACATCGGGGGCAGCAAGACGCGGCGACCGCCGCCTCCACCACGTCCAGTCATGTTTGCGTTGCGGTCGGGGGGAGATGAGAATGATTCGGAGGTGAGCGCGGCGTTGCGAGAGGCGATCGGCGAGCAGGGTGCGGATTGAACGTGCTGCTTCGCGATGTGTTGCGACTGGGGGACGAGCTCGGCGCGGAACCGAAACCTGGTGGTGCAGCTGCTGGGTCGAGGTGGAAATTTCGCCGGAGGGGGGAACGTTTATCCGCGCAGGGAGAACAACACCAACGCGACATCACCATCGCAAGGGTTACACCTGATGAGTTCACAGTTCACAACAATACACACTCCATTGCGACGAATTCAATTGACACGAAATTTTCCATTGATTATATGTACACATACTGGAACCCCGCACCAGCATCTCGGTGCACATGGGACTTGCTCATTGTCCGCTAATCAGATCACGCCTCGCCATCCACAACGCCTCACTCGCTCCCACCGCTCAGTCGCTCGCCTGGTACACTCTCCGGCCCTCAAACCACGTCTCCCTGACCACGCCCTTCACTAGCTCCTCCGGCGTCAGCTCGACCCGCGCGACCACAAAGTCGGCCTTGAGCCCCGGGCGCAGGCTCCCCGTCCACTTGTCCGCGAAGCACGAGTACGCGGAGCCGTGGGTCGCGCCCGCCACGGCCTGGCAGACGGTGAGCGCAAACTGCGGGTTCACGACGGTCTCGAGGTCCGGCTCGCGGAACGAGCGCCGCGTCGTCGCCACGTACAGGTTCGGCAATGGCTGGTGCGGTGCCGTCGGCGCGTCCGAGCCGAGCGCCAAGGGTGCGCCCCCTTCGGCGAAGTCGCGGTACGCAAACGCCCGGCCGCAGCGGTGCTCGCCGATGAGGCGCGGCCACGCGCGCAGGATGGCCGGGTCCGAGTGCACGGGCTGAATCGACGCCGTGATGCCCAGGGCGCCGAGCCGGGCTGCGTCGCGCTCCGACGCCAGCTCCAGGTGCTCGATGCGCGGGCGCCGCGTCCGGTCCGTGTTGCGCTCCAGCACGTCGATGGCCATGCCGATGGTGCGGTCGCCGATGGCGTGCAGCGCGACCTGCAGCCCCGCGGCGTGCGCGCGCGCTACGAGCGGGTGAAGCACCGCCTCGCTCCAGATGGAGTCGGGGTTCTCGCCCGTCGAGTACGGTTCGGTGAGCGACGCGGTGCACGCGTCGATGATGCCGTCGCAGATGACCTTGACGCCGACGATGCGGCAGTCGGGCGTCGTGTCGGCGTTGAACTCGCGCGCGAGGGCCGCCGCGCGGTCGACCTGCGCGAGCACGCCGTCGACCGAGTCCTCGGGCTTCATGAGCCAGTACGCGGCCACACGCATGCCGTTCAGGGTGCCCTGCTCGCGGCGCAGCTCCAGCAGCGGCTCCCAGATGGTGTCGTCCATGGCCATGTCGATCATGCCCGTGTAGCCGACGGCGTTGAAGGCGGCGAAGGCGGCCCGGATGGCCTCCTTCTTCTCCTCCATGGACGCGACGCGCGCGACAAACGGCCACATGATCTGGAAGACGGCGCTCTCGCCAAAGACGCCGTTGGGCTTGCCGTCGGGCCCGCGCTGGATCGTGCCGCCGGCCGGGTCGGGTGTGTCGGCGGAGAGGCCCATCTCGCGGCACACCTCGTCGAGGCCGGCCGTGTTGCACCACGACGAGTGCAGGTCTTTCGTGTCGATGAAGATGGGCCGCGGGTCGAGGTCGTCGAGGAGGCTGGCGTCGACGCCGTCGGGTGTCATCGAGTGCATCCAGCCGCGGCAGAAGATGCGCGACACGTCTGGGTGCGCCTGCGCGTACGCCTTGATGGTTGCGCGGATGTCGTCGAGCGTTTTGCACGCTTCCAAGCCGACCTTTGTGAGCGCCTGGCCGACCAGCAGCAGGTGCAGGTGCCCGTCAATGAAGCCCGGCAGAACGGTGTCGCCCTGCAGGTCCTTGATTTGGGCGCCGCCCGCCTTGGCCGTGGCGACGGCCTCGTCCTCCGCGGTGCCGACGTGCTGGATGAGGCCGTCCTTGATGACCATGGCCGCGGCGAAGGACGGCTCCTTGTCCGTGCTGTCCGTAGACGACTGGTAGATCCTGCCATTGAGCAGGACCGTCAGGCCCGTAGCGTGGGCCATCTTGGCTGCACTCGACGTAGCTGTGCGTGTGTGTCGATGATCTCTCCCGTGCCGCGAAATAATTGTCCAGTAGTTCGTATCTCGTCAATCTCGGGCCTTGGACTAGTGGTCAGAGTCTCACTGGTACCTGCGAGCTGTCTTCAGTGCTCACGTCCGCATGCGCAACGAGCAGCAGCACGAGCGGGCGCATGCCAACGCGGACGGGAACCTCTATTAAAGGCGCTCGGGTCGGTGGGCTCGGCTGGCCGTCATCGGCGGGCGGGCTGGTGCCCGAATGTGACGCCAGTGTGGGAAACGCGGGGCATCCGCACGCGGTGCCACACCCAGGATCCCAGATGCCAGGGGACCGCAAGCCACCGCGAGCCGAGATGGTGTGTCGGCGAGCTTATCTGATCCACAGCAAAAGGGGTCCCGCCCAGGCACGGCGTAGGGGGAAGTCGGAGCTTGGACACGGTGGTGTCACTGGCGCGCGCACGCGTGTGTGTGTGCTGTCGCACGGCATGCTGCGAGGGTGTAACCGTGTCTACGCGGCTCAACGGGCTCTTTCTTGACGTGTTTGACAATACTGGGCATCACTGTTCATGTATTCTGCATACGGGCGCCTCGCCTCAACTTGACACTGCGTCTACCCGCACGGCGCGACTCGACGCCCTCAGCGCCGCCCGCTCCTCCACCAGCTCCGCCATGCGCTCCGCCGTCTCCGTCCCGAGCGCCCGCAGCCCGCGCACCACGCCCTCGCGATCCCCTTCCCTGAGCTCCTGGCTCATCTTGACCCTGCCCTCCAGCCGCACAATCTCAATCTCGAGGCCGACGATGCCGCGGATTGAGCGCGCCACGTAGTTCCCCGGCGCGTCGTCGAGCCGCCACGCCGCCGGCTTCTCGTCCGCCGAGCCGTGATGGTACCCCATGATGTGCGTCTCGCCGAGGCGCGCCAGGTCGCGCAGCTGCTGCGTGAGGAAGGCGGCCGTGGCGGGCGTGTCGGCGTCGTGGTGCACGCGCAGACGCCCGTAGACCTGCGCGGCGGCGTAGTTCCACGTCGGGGCGGTGCGGCGGTCCGAGGACATGGTCTCGTGGTAGAAGTTTGTCGTGATGTAGTGTTGCACCGGGGAGGTGAAGACGAGGAGGATGTCTTGCGCGAGGACGTTGTCGTCGCTCCCCACCAGAGCTTCGATCATGGCTCTGGCTTGGGGATTCTGCCGCGCCATGTGGCCTCGTAAACGGCCCAGGGGCGCTGCCGCCGCGCTCGCGTCATTGCTGTCGTCGACGTCGAGGATGAAGGGGACGTGCGTGGATTGCAGGAGCGGAAAGGACGATGTGGAAGAGGGGATGGCGGTGGTGAGCAGGCCGAGGGGGTTGGCGCGGATGAAGCGCTGTAGAGCGGGAATGTCAAGCTCGGCGTGTTCCTTGCGGAGATGCATGTCTACGGTGTTGCTGTCGAGCCCAGCCGTCGCGATAACTTCTATGATGACAGATTGGATCAAGAGGTTCCAGTTCCATGGTGTTGAGGCGGCATCAGCTGGACCGGCTATCCTCGGCGACCACCTCTGAACGGCGACTCAGCCAGCCTCCGATGGCCGGAGGAAATGCGTCATATCTCGCGTAATGGGCATTTTGACGGTCGAGTGATGAGCGAGCGTCGAGTCAAGACGCGGTGTTCGTGATCATGGGATGGTGGAGAGGCGCGGCGTGCATACAAAGTTGTGGGCGGAGGAACTGGGAAGGAAGCTCGAAGCGCCAACTGGGAAGGAAGGTCGAGCCGCCCGGCGGGGACCCTCACTGTGCTGTAGGGTGGCTGGCAGTTTGCATCCTCGCCTAGGCAGTGAGAGCATGCAAAGATGCTACCGAATCTCCGAATTTCGATATACCATTGTTTTCTTGAATGGAATATTTGCCTTTATCTGCCAGCTGGGTCTTTTTCCGAAGTGCTGTCTCCAGGGGCAGCTTGTGAAGTTGTGTGTCGCTGACTAACGCGCACGATCGAGGAGAGGCCATCGCCGGTCCTTACGACCCGCGCGCCAGAACCTCAGTAGACGTCCCCTCCTTCGCGTTCGCTATGGCGCCCCATCAACGCACATTTGCATCTGCTGGCACTGGACAATGAGCCGTCCCGCCGACAGATGGACCGAAGCCCCAATGGCTGCTGGACGTGTCGCATCAGGCACCGCAAATGCGACGAGGTGTCCCCGGCCTGCCGCGAATGCACCGACCGCGGCATAACCTGCCATGGCTACGGCCGCAAGCCCGCCTGGGTCGACGACGCGACGCGGCTGCGCGAGGAGCTGGCCCGGATCAAGCGCGCTGTAAATGACAACTTTCGGCGCACCCGGAGGAAACAGCAGCAGCGACGACGAAGCTCTGGCAGCGTCCCGCAGGATCATGAGCCGAGCCCTGCCGTTGCAGCACCGACGCCCAGCGCCATCACGGCCGTGGGCACAGGCGCTTCCCACGAGACGTCCTTTCGCGAGGCGCAGCTGCTGATTCACTACCTTGACTACATCTTCCCCATGCAGTACCCGTACTACAGAGACGACCCAGCGCTCGGCGGCCGCGGGTGGCTCTTCTGGCTGCTCATGAAGCGAGGTCCGTTGCACCAGGCGGTGCTGACGCTCGCGGCGCTGCACCACCACGTCGAGTTTGCGCACGCGCCGGAGAGGGAAGGGTCGGAAGACAGAGACTCGGAGCTGCTGGGCTACCACACTAACGCGTTGCAGCGACTGCGCCAGGTCATCTCCGAGTGCGACGCGGAGCGCTTTGCCGAGAACCGCGAGCAGCTCATCGAGTTTCTCGCGTGCGGCTCGGCGCTCATCAGCTTCGAGGTAGCTGCACCCGGTTGTCTGTGCCGGATACCTGGCTGACATGGTCGCAGCTCTTCCAGGGCGGCGTCACCAACTGGCAGCCTCACCACAACGCCCTCGTCTCCGTCGTCAACCGGCTCTCTCCCGAGGCGATGGCGCGGCGCGGCGCGGACCCCGACCAGCCGCTCCTCAGCGGTATCGACCTCGCGGAGCGGTTCCTCGTCACGAAAGTGGTGTGGCTGGACGTGCTGGCGGCAACGGTCACGGGCACCGCCCCGCGGACGCGGTACGCCGAGTGGCTCGACGTCGAGGGCGTGGACATGTCACGCGTCATGGGCTGCCGCAATTGGGCTATGCGCGCCATTGGCGACTTGGCCAGCGTCGCCGCCGAAGGCGATGCGGATGGCGAGCTGGATGGAAGAGCCATTGATCGCATCAAGAAACGGCTTGAGGAGGGCCTAAATGCCCTTGACACAGAATCGGTGAGTTGGGCGCACATGTGCTCTCACGATACTCTCGCTGTCGAATAATACTGACACGGCACAGGAGTCCTCGCCGCCGATAAGCGACGCGCTGACCAAGGTGTTCGCCTCTGCGGCGCTCGTGCAGCTACACACGACCGTCCCAGGTACCAGCCTCGCGGAGGCCACGGTACACAACGCCGTCTCTCGGGTCATTGACGCGCTGCGCGAGCTGCCGAGCTGGGTAGCGGTGCGTGGCCTGGCATGGCCGATAGCCGTCGCCGGATCGGTGGCGACGGCCGGGGAGCAGCAGGACTTCTTCGAGGATCTGATGAGACAGCGCGTGCTCGACGGGTCCGGCGGCGGCTTCACCAACTGCGGCACGGTGCTGCGCGTCCTGGGGCATTGCTGGGAACACGCGAAGCAGTGGCCCGGCGAGACGTGGACGTGGAGGGACGGCATGGCGGACATGGGCATCTGCGCATTGCTCATCTGACCCAATGGCCGCTAAAAATGTAGAGAATCGTTTCAATTGAACTATATAGGACGTATCACTGCTGGCAGAACGGAACATGCACGTCGCTAAGTCGCTACGGGGGCGTGGACGATCGGAGGAGCGCGGTGACCTGCCATCTTTTGGAACCAATGTCAGCTCAACAATTCATCGCCAGAAGGTGCAAGAAAGATGCAAAGAGCGGGTTCAACGTGTAATCAGACTACGGGCGAAAGAAACCGTGCCCAGGAAATTATCCACCTCGTGTATTCAGTACGGCGAGTGAATCCATGATCATCATAGGAAAGAAAGCGAAGGAGACCCAATTTCGAAAGAGAAAGATTGGGGTAATACGCGTGCGTGCGTGCGGTTCTGGAGGCAAAGAAAACTCACCATTTGCGTGTCGCCCCCAGACTCCAGGCTGCGGGCAGGGCAGGCCAGGCCGTTGGGCGGGCGCCTGGAGCTGCGGGCAATCGTGCCTAGAATCTGGGGAAGAAGTGGGCGTGTCAGGCGCGCAGAGCAGTCCGTGCAGTGAGGCGAGGCGAGGCGAGGCGAGGCGAGAGGGCGGGCGGGCCGCTAACGAGAAAATTCCTGGGCGCCAGCGAGCAACAAACGACAGGTATTGCGGGCCGGCCGTGCTGAGTTCCTGGCGGGGCGGACGCTGCCCCCAGTTTAAAGATCTGACACTTGCCAGCTGAAATCCTGTCTCTTATACACATCTAGATGTGTATAAGAGACAGACGTAGGTGAGAGCTGCAACGGACGGTAACAATGGCGTCGAGTTTGGGGAGGTGCGAAGAACGGGTGGCGTTTGTGTCAAGGGACGTGGCCAGTTTTAACAAATCTGTGTGCCAGGGTCACGTGCGAAAAGGTGCCCTTGTCTCTTTGTTCGCTTTCTCGTAAATCTCGTATGAGTCCTTGTACGTACAGGGGCTACAGGCTATTCTGCCGTGTGGCCCTTGTGTGGGTAGGGGAGTTGATTCATGAGTCACACCGAAATGCGAGGATGAGAGAGATCGACGCGCCAAATATTTTGGAGGTGTCATGAGGGCGGGTCTGAGAAGCGCCTCAAGTCTGCTGGCGGCTCGATGCTTCGGCGGCGAATGTTATGCTGCATCCGATTATGAGCGCGATTCCGCCAGATCATCAGACGCTGCGTATAGGACCTTGGATATGTGCCTCGGGACGCAAAGACCGACGACTCCCCCACGGCCTTTCGGGCAAGGATAGTCCGAGACGAGGCATTGACGGACAGCTGCTCCGTTTCCGTTGGCCGTTGTTGTCCATGCCGCGGTGCTATGCAGTGGAACGTCGCAGCAACGGCACAATGCTCACCGCGTCTTCAATGGCGACCTCGAGCCGAGGACTGCTAGAGTTACACAAACAGCACGAGATGGATCCCATCCTATTCCGCTGTTGCAGCGCGTCTGGGAGGTGACCCTGCTACACCCTTTGGGGAGTCTCATCCTGAGAGTCTCATCCTGTTACATCCGCCGCAGTTGGAGCTGAAGGCCTCCTGCTGAATGGCACGGCGGTCAGCTCCCGCGGTAGCACAACAGCTTCTCGCTGGGCAGATGCTGCGCTGATCACTATGAAGCGACATGGCGGCACGACAAGCTGCCCAGAGCACGGCCGAGGCAGAGAGGGTTAACGACGTGGCAACCTATCTCCATCCACTTTGCGACCCAGGGGCAACATGGGCTGGATGAAGTATATCTCAGTGCTGGGCCGCATCCGACCTGGTGCTGGTCGCTTGAGTGTGACGGAAGCTTGTCAGTTACAGGATCACTGTCTACATCACAACCCTAAGCAACAGGCACTCACTTCGCAATGACTTCCTTCATCCTCCCACCGCGGCACAGCACAACAGGTCCCCGCAAGCGGAGCGCCTACTGCTCCATCCTAACACACGTCGTCCGCGCCGCGGCCGACGCCCACGAAGCGCTGGAGTTATTCGGAGCGCTCGTGCGCGGCGAGACAGCTCACGGCTTGTCCAGCTTTGATCCGCACGTCGGGGAGTCGGCGTGCCATCTGCGGGCGACGATGATGTGGGAAGTGTACCGCGCCTGTAGTCGAGAGAACCAGATGGTCAGTGCGGATGGGAGCGCGCGTCTCGTTGACGGGGTTGACGCGGCGGCTGCGCATTTTGCTCTCCTCCGGAAAAGCGCAGAGCTTGCATGCGCAAAGCTGAGTATAGGTCGCGCGAGTCCTGGCGTGGTCGGCCTGGGGAATAGAGATGACACGCCGGAAAACATTGTGAGAATCGCCGCAGAGAGTGCGTGTAGGTTTCAGAAACTGCGGCCGAGCGTATGATACATGAGCATGAAAGACTGAGGAGAAGTTGTAGGCCGGGAACACGCTTCCGACCGCGGCAACGGCACTCTCAGAATGAACGGCCATTTACTAGCGCCGTCCAGCTCCATGAAGCTTCACGATGCCCAGAGCTATCCTCCGGCCTGGAACCTCCGAGATACAGACATCCTCGTCCGATTCATCGTGTACTCGTACGTCCTGTCAAAGTACAAGACTTTTTCGATCCATGACGGCGGCGTGGCATGTCGCCTCAGGCCAGAGCTCGCATGCAAGCACGGACGACATCTCATCGAGCCGTTTTGGGACTCCACAAACCGCGAGTATAAAGAAGCAAAGCCGAGTCCCATTGTCTTGGAGTTTGCTGCCCTGCAGGCGTGGATGTCCGAACTCAGTTGCGCCTGGGTTCGACGCCTGTCTACGAGGGTATCGACGGACATGCTGCACGCCAGGCAAGCTCTATAAGTCTATACGTCAGGTTGATTGGCAAAGATTGACCGCCCCCAGGCTAGCACGCGACTCGGTCCAAGTATCTGCCAAGGGCATGGCCGCTACTGCTTGCTTCCCGACGTACCTCCTCGTCCGGGACTTTTGGGCGAGATCCAACTGCGGCATCGTCCTCGTCGACCGACACTTTTGTCCTAAAGGTCCTCTCCCCCTCTTGCGCTCGAGCCGGATATTCCAGACGCAGCTGACCGGGTCGATACAGGTTTTCATTACAATCTGTTGACAGTCAGACTCCGGCACCGTCCAGGGCGCCGTCGGTATGAGCGGGACCTGTCCGCGCCGGTATACTGGGATGTCGAAGAAACAAGCGTAGAGAGGCTCAGCGAAGCAGACGACAATGAGCCTCACATTATCGTTGTGGGCAACAGCATCGACGGATCGAGCACAGACTACCTCACGCGACTTGCCTCTGGCACGGCATTACAGCTTTCGCGCTTACACCACGACGACACCTGCCCAGAAGCTGTAGCCCACGCGCGCAAGCTGCGATTCACGGACCACGAGCGCCTTGCCAAAGCCTCGTTCGCCGCGCATCCATCCTACTGCATCGAGCTGGAAGACCGGCCCAACGAGCCGGACATCATCAATGACTTGCTGGAACAGGCGGGACAGAGCAACAGCATCGATACGTTCAGACACATGTGGGAGCGCTGCGCCGCGGAGCTCGGCGCGCTGGGCGGTGGGCAGGAAAGCCTGCGCATGTTTTGCTGGCAGCACGTCTTTGCGGAAACGAAGCGCGGCCTGGCAGAGATGCTGCGGAACTGGGTAGCTACCGGGACGCTGCTGTCTTGTTTGGTTGAGGGAGGAGATCAACGACCGAAGTTGAGCTAGTGGTGCTATACGCATCACGATCGTACTCACACGCGGTTATGCAGATCATGCACGTCGAGATGGACTCCAACTAGGGGAGATATAGAGATTACGATGACGAGTCCCTCCATATTATAGCTCCAAGCGTCGAATATGAAGGTTGCTCATCTCGGCCCGCTACGCCGAATTGTCCTTGAGCAGCGATTGGCACGGCGAAGTATGCGCGTGTTGCAAACGAACCAAAAGCCAGTACTCCGTACGTATGGGTGCAGTATACAAACAAAGGGATCAAACGCCGCTGCCCACTGGCATGTCGCGGCAAGGCGTGCGCCGGTGGCCGATGGGACGGTGGAATGTCTCGCAGGGGTCTGGTGTGATTGCTATGTCTCGCCCAGGGGGGCCGATTGATTCCAGCCGTGATCTTCAACACGGCGTCTCGGGGAACACGGCCTGGCCCCAGGGGAGCTAGCTAATCTCCGCGAACCGAGGATGCAGTGGCTCTGACAGTTCAGCACAGCTCAGCACGGCCTCAGACATGCGTGCCGCTCCGACATGGAGTCTCACACTTGGCGCTCCGGACTTTGGGGGTTGTTATGATTGGAGACGGGGGACCAGACTCGACAAATGTGAGCAGTTGCTGCAAGGAGAGCTACAAATAAATCCTGAGCATTGAGATAAGAAATGAAGCCGTGCCTCTTGTTCTGCGTTTTCAGCTTCGAGGAGTGAACGGCCGCGTACGACGCCGAACGGAAACCCGACTCGACATCCCCACGACTAACCGGCCGGGACTGGGTCAGCTAGCCACAGCACAGGCGAGACTTGCATCTTGTTTTGCTTTTGCGGTGACGGCACCTGCATCTGAGAGCTCGTTTGGGTTCCCTGCAGCAGATCGCATCGGACGTCACATGGACTGAGCAGCCGAAGCGCCCGGCGCGATCGTGTATATACAGCTTTGGGGTTCCTTGTTGTTGGAGACGACCAGCGCTTGGTGGGCGGTCGGTTTCAGGACACTCGTTTCGCGGTCATTCAGACACAATGGTGCGCATAGGCCTCGCGGCGCTGGTGACGGCAGTTTTGTCTGCCTTTGCCATCGCTGAGCGCGTTCCCGGCGCCTACATCTTTGAGTTTATCGACGGCTTTGTAAGTCCGCCGCTGTATACTACGGCTACAAGCTCAGACGTGCCGGCTAACAGATAGTGCAGGACTCGCTCGAGTTTCTCCGCACATTCGAGAAGCAATGCAGCCTGCGCATGAACCTCAAGTACAAGCTCTTCAACGGCGCGTCGGTGCAGCTCGACGACCTGGAGCACGCCGATGAGCTTGCGTTCCGGATGGCCGCGTCCCCGGGGGTCAAGAACGTGTGGCCGATGCGCACGTACAGCGCGCCGGGGGACCGCGTCGACTGGGTCGGGACGCCGGGCGAGACGGAGCAACAGGCCAGGAAGGCGCTCCACGCGCGGCAGGCTGGGGGCGGAGGCGGCGGGTTTGCCAATATGAGCGGCGATGCCTTTTCGCCGCATGTCATGATGCAGGTGGACAAGCTGCGCGCCAGGGGGATCACGGGCAAGGGCGTCAAGGTGGCCGTCATCGACACGGGTGTAAGTCGCTGCCTAGACTTTGTCTCATTTCCCTTCCTAGCTCTCTCATATCCCAACGCCTCCGGCGACGGAAAGCTAACGAACGTGCCAGGTCGACTACACGCACCCAGCGCTCGGGGGCTGCTTCGGCGAGGGCTGCCTCGTGGCCAGGGGCGCCGACTTCGTGGGCGACGCATACGACGGCAGCAACGATCCCGCCCCCGACGACGACCCGATGGATTGCAAGGGCCACGGGACGCATGTGGCGGGCATCGTAGCCGCTCAATCGACGGGCAACCTCTTCGGGTTCACGGGCGCGGCGCCGGACGTGTCCCTCGGGGCGTACCGCGTGTTCGGCTGCGACGGCGCCACGGGCGACGACGTGCTCATGTCGGCGCTGTACCGCGCCTACGACGATGGCAACGACATCATCACCATGTCGCTCGGCTCGCCCAGCGGCTGGTCAGAGCGGCCCTGGGCCGTGGCCGTGTCGCGTATTGTGGCCAGGGGCGTCGCCTGCACCATGTCCGCAGGCAACGAAGGGGATAGGGGCATCTTTTACACTGGCGGAGCGGCGGACGGGCTGGGCGTTGCGTCCATTGCGTCGTTTGAAAACACCATCACGCCTACGCTGTTCTATAACCTGACGTATACGGTCGACGGCGGGGAGGACCATATCGTGGGGTACACGCCCGGCGCGCCCAAGAACTGGAGCGACGTCTCGCTGCCGTTGTGGGCAGACAGCTACGACACCAAGAAGCCCAACGACGCGTGCGACCCCTTCCCGGACAACACACCAGACCTCAGCGACAAAATTGTGCTCATCCGGCGCGGCGAGTGCAACTACGCCGTCAAGGTGACCAACGCCAAGGCCAAGGGCGCCAAGTACTTCCTCTTCTACAACAACGTGTCGGGCACCGTGGGCGTCGAGGTCGGCGAGGTAGAGGGCGTCGTGGCCGTCGGCATGGTGACGCCCGAGACGGGCGCGGAATTGATCGAGCTGCTCAAGGCCGGCAAGAAGGTCGTCGCCACGCTCACGGACCCAACCAAGAGCACGCCCTACCTCGTCAACTACCCGAATCCGGAGGCCGGCGGCGCGCTGAGCGACTTTACATCCTGGGGCCCGACGTGGGACATGGACGTCAAGCCGCAGTTTGGCGCCGCTGGCGGGCACATCCTGTCGACCTACCCAGTCAAGAAGGGCTCGTACGCCGTGCTCAGCGGCACGTCCATGTCGTGTCCCCTGGCGGCGGCCATTTATGCCCTCGTCGGCCAGGTTAGGGGCCGGATCGACCCGGAGGAGATGGAGAATCTGTTGAGCGCCAACGCCGAGCCCCAGCTATTCAACAATGGCACTGCGTTTTCTCCATATCTTGCACCCGTTGCGCAGCAGGGAGGCGGCATCATTCGCGCGTACGATGCAGCCTTTGCGACGACGCTGGTTGAACCGTCGTCCCTGGCGTTCAACGACACCGACAGCTTCATCAACTCGCTAAACTTTACAATCATCAACTCAGAGTCAAGTAGGGACATAACGTACAGCATATCGCACGTCCCAGCCGTCACAATGTACGTCCTGCAAAAGGACTCCATCTACCCGCACTCCTTCCCCAACGATGTTGTGGAAGCAGCCGCCACCCTCCGATTCAGCAGATCCAAAGTCACCATTCAACCCGGTCGCTCCGTCAGCATATCCGTCGCGCCCACCCCTCCTCAAGCGGTCGACGTGAGGCGCCTGGCGCTCTGGTCGGGGTACGTCGCGATCAACGGCTCGGACGGGAGCTCGCTCTCGATTCCCTACCAGGGCATCGCCGGCTCGCTGCGCAGCGCTACGGTCCTTGACCACGCCAACGGGACATGGATCGCGCGCGCGACGGACAAGGACAGCGACGAGCCTCCCGCCGTGGCCAACGGCACGGTGTTCACCCTGCCGAAGCAGGGCGAGAAGACGGACAACTCGACGGTGCCGATGCTGGTGGCGAACCTGGCGCTGGGATCGCGCTACGTCAGCGTCGACGCGGTGCAGGTGGACGAGCGCGGCCAGAGCGGCTCGCCGGTGCCGATCGCGGACTCACCGACGGTGTGGGAGACGAGGGACAAGGTCAAGTTCCTGTGGGACGGGAAGCTGGGGACGGGTGAATACGCGCCCGCGGGGACGTATAGGCTTGTCACCAGGGCGCTGCGGCTCATGGGCGACCCGGATGACGAGAGAGACTTTGACGTGAGTAGCTCGCAGAGCATCAGCATCACATATAGACAGTGACGGGTGGTTGGCATTACGGGGAGAGCCGCTCGAAGGTACGCTGTATAAACCTCGCTGTATATAGATTTGCTGGAGACTGCTGTTTTACGCGTCTTTTCTATATGAACCAAAAGATATAAGAGCAGCCAATGTGAGAGATCCGAAAAGCGTAGGTACATGGACTTGCTGTTATCGAGACTACCGTTGGGTGGCACAACTGCAATTGCACAAAGTAGGACATGTATTGACGGCTCAAATGACACATGGCCCTAGATCTTGGCGCAGTCACTCGAGTCAACTGTAATAGTCGTGTAAGTTTCTTGTTATTGAGAATGCCGTTCTACGCGGCTCTACTGTATAATTCTATGTACTTGTATGAATCAAACAACGCAAGCCTAAACCACCTACTGCGTCCCCGCGCAGTCGTCCTTGGCGGCCTGATCGCACCAAAGCTGGGTAATGGCCGTGGCCTTGACGCCACGGGCCAGCATGCGCTCGCGCTGCTCCGACAGACGGACGCGGACGTCGTACATGGACCTGTTGCGGCCCGTGTCCGGGTCGAGGTAGCCGGACCACCAGGCCTCGCCGGCGGCGGCGCCGCGGGGCCAGATGATGGTGTCGACGCTGGCCGGGTCGATGGTCTCGGTCCAGACTGGCGTCTCGCCGCCGATGACGCGCTTGGCCGACTCCTTGGACAGGCCGATGAGGGGGTCGTGAGTGTAGATGAGGCGCCAGTTCTTGGTCGGATTGCACCAGTCGTTGAAGGGGTAGGCCTTTTGGAAGGCCGGCCCCGTCTCGTAGTCGATCCACTCGCCGCGACCGCAATCAAGGTAAAGGAACTCGTTGCTGCTGTCGATGACCTGGTGGCCTGCATCGGCGAGCTTCTTGATGGCGCCGGCACCCAACCACGACTGAATAACCACGTCCTTGCCGACCGTCGCGTTCCACTGCAGGACCATTTCCTCCCAGACAAACGGCGCGAGGCCCTGCGCGCGGACCTTGCCGTGGGCGTAGTCGAGGAACTTTTGGAGCATCGGCTGCAGTATGGCCAAGTCGTTGGTGCGCAGGCCCGGGTCGAGCAGCGAGTTGTTGGCCTTGTATTCGTCACCGCCGGTGTGGAAGTAGGCCGAGTAGGGGGCGACGCGCGGCAGCAGGTCCTTGAAGAGCTTGTCGAGGAACTCGTATGTGTCGGAGCTGTTGAGCTTGAAGGAGCCGCAGGGCGGCTGCGAGCAGTACCACTCGTAGGGCTTGGCGTTGAAGGCGACCGACTTGCCGGGGTAGGCCTTTTCGATGCCGATGTGGCCGGGCATGTCGATCTCCATGATGATTTGCACGCCGCGGTGGATGGCGTACTCGTACAAGCCAGCAATGTCCTTGGGCGAATAGGTGAGACCCGGGGCGTAGGCGCCGAACTCAGTGAGGCGCGGCATGGAGGGGACCTCGAGCGGCCACGACTGGGTGTCGGTGATGTGCAGATGCAGAACGTTCATCTTGTTCATGGCCAGGCCGTCGATAGTACGCTTAATGTCTTCGACGGGGAACCAGTGGCGGCTGACGTCGAGCAGGATGCCGCGGTGCGGGAACTTGGGCGCGTCAGAGACGGATACGGGCGCGAGGGCCGTGTACCAGGCGGTGCCGGAGCTGTGCTTCCAGAAGAGCTGCGAAAAGGTCTCGAGAGCGCGCAGCACGCCGATGGACGAGCCGGCGCGGATCGAGGCCTTCCCGTCGGCAGTCACGTTGAGCGTGTACGACTCGTCGAGCTGGCCCGCGAGCGGCTTGAACGTGTGCGTGCTGTCGTTGCCCGTCTGTGTGATCTCGAGCGTCTTGATGCGTCTCGACGGCGCGCTGTGCAGGTCCGGCTCGTACTTGTCGTCGCGGCCGCGGAGCATCCAGGGGACGAAGCCCTGCTGGAAGATGGCGCCCAAGGCGCGTGACACGCCGCCCTGGACTATGTCCTTGCTGTTGAACCTGGGGCCCGCGGGCGGCTCGTAGCCCGCAGTGTAGCTGATCTGCACCGACGTCAGTGTCACCGTCATCGTGGGCTCGAGGGGTCGTGTGTCGCACCCGATGGCCATTGTACGTCACCTTGACCGTCTGGTCGATGAAGAGGAACTTGTCGCCCGTCTTGGCCGCCTTGGGGATGGGCCAGAGCGCGTCCGCCGGGCCGAGGGCGAGCGCGACGAGCGCGACGAGGGCGTTGCGCACATGCATCGTTGAGTCGAGGGCGGTCAATCAACGATTTCAGTGCGAGGAAACGGCAGAGGAACGACGAGCTCCCCTGTTTCAGGGTCGTTCCCTTTGTTTATAGCTGCAGCTACCCCACACGCCGATCATCTCACCTCGACGACTCGGCGTGGGGGAGGCGGTTAATCAATGCGGTAACGTTACGCACGTAGCTCATGCGGGGGTCAGCAGCAGTAGTTGAGTCTTTAGTTGAGCTGTGCGTCGCGGACTGATGAGTAGATGAATGGAGGAGTGAAGCTGTCGAGGCCGGCAATGTCCGGCATTCAACGCGGGTGTGGCTTTCCCCGCATCTGCCACAACGATGCCTTCCCAAAGTCCGCTTGAATGGCAGCGCCCCGATCCAATCAGTCAAACAAGGATGAAAGAAGATGACTATGACATGTTTTGTAAGTCTGTAGATCTCGTCGACGGAGGACCCTAACTCCGGATCAGTAAGACCATTGCAAGATGTGCCATTGACCAGTTGATCTTGATCCTCGGCGAGTTCAGCCCACGTCGAGCACAAGCTATGCCCCGGTTGTTTTGTAATTGGTCTGCTTCTTCCAGGCAGTTGAGGCGTGACACCATGCACGTCTGGCAGTCGCGTGTATGCACATTGCTGCACCGTGCTTCCCCGGGCAGCCAAGTTCCATGCACACCAAGCACGTGGCGACTCGTCAACTTGCCGCTCACCACGCGGTTGCGCAAAGCCTTTAGCCAGGCAAAACTTGAGAAAGCTCACGTTGCGCAGTATTCCTACCCATGTCAGCCGCGCCCAATCTTGTCTCTCACGAGGCATAGATCCTGTGGTGTTACCCATGTGCCGCGTTGACTCGGCCAGTCGGATCCACCGCCGACGAACCTCAAGTGCCCAGCCACTTACTTGTCTGAAACATCGAGAGTCGAGACCGATGCTGTACAACACGAATCACAATGTGACCCTCGACATCATATCTGCCGTCTTGTCGAGCACCCTGCATGCGAGTTGCATTGATCGGATGCGATTCCAGAGCCGCACACCGCTACGTTGCCGAGTACGAGAGCTCAGCCGCAAACATGGCTCCTCGAAAGGGCTCTTTGTATCCCGTGTGGGATTTGGCCCACCCAAAGTGTATAAATTGCGTCTGATCTACACCGCAACACGCTGTTGAAGTGCTGCCTTTACCGTGTGAATCTCAGCTTCCCACTTGACGACATTGCCAGGATTTGTTAATTCTCAAACGAGAACTGCTCTGCGCTATGCCAAGGAGGCTTTTTGATCCCAAGAACGGGTAGGTATGGAGTGTTTGAACTGCACACGCGGTCAGACGACGCCCCAACCCACCCATATTTGCCCTGACCGTTCGATGCGTGTAGGATATACGTCGACAATGATGAGGACTTGGACCGGCCATGCTCGTACTGCAAAGAGCAGCCTGCAGCCCTCAGTACAGCTGAGCTCCATTGGTGCAAGGGATGCAAGAAGACCATCTGCGAGAGACACTGGTTCAATGAAATCCCCCACGAGCTAGGAAGCGCTGAACATGTCAGGTTGCGGCCGGCCGACATCCGAGAGTTGATATCAGCAGCCTGGGCCGCTTCGGAAGTCAAGAAGAGGGATGCGCCTGGGGAGCAAGACTGGCTCAGCGATGCTACAGGCACAAACGAGCTGTGGACGCTCCAAGGCAGAGAAGCCAGTCTCTGGTTCGGGATTGATACAGCTTCGCGCAAGTCCTTTGTTAACCAGGAGCTGCCAATTGATCTCTTGCGCGGCTCCAGTGAAACGCATTTCGGAAATCAGTTTCCGTGCATCGTGGCTTTCTTGGGCTCAACAGGCGCCGGCATATCCTCACTCATTGTAAGCTACTGCTACTTCCCGTTGCGGTTCTCCACTGACCCCGAAGCTCCCACAGAAAGGACTGAATACGCTGGATAGCCCTTCAGAAAGTGACATGGAGAACCCCGTGACCGCTCATAGCGGTAGGGTGAAACTGGCCAACTCCGGTGTTCATCTCTTTGCCGACATTTCAACTGCCTTGTCTGATCGACCCCTCTTGTACGCCGATTGCGAAGGCCTGTTTGGAGAAAATCCAACTGCCAGTGGCGAGCTGGACGAATTCGTAGCGGAGTCCATCGATTCCCTGAGGTTCGCGAGTGAAGGCCATTTAAAAGAGCGTTGCTGACTTTTGTGAAGGCAAATCGGCAAATGGATCACTCGTCCATTCAGCTGTAACCACAGATTCTTGGAACGCGAGGATTTTGTCCAAGACGAATATCCACGTATTTTGTATCCATTCAGCGACATTCTTTGCTATGTGGTCCAGCAATGGCCGTCGAATCAGAAAACACTTGTCACGGATCTGATTCTGTGGGCATCGAGGGCGCACGACAAGGCTCTCAATCAGGCGATTTTACCGTCTTGCATTATCGTCGTCAACGATACAACCATGAAGGGCCGGCACCACGATCATGAGATTACCACAGGAGCAATTCTTGGTGGAATTGAAAACTATCCGATCCAAGGGGAAGAGATAGAAACGCTCGCGAATGAATGGAATGAGATTGCCCGGACCCGGAGCAGTCGCATCACCACCCTCGGCCAGCTGTTTCATCGGTATTTCAGGGACGTGCAGATCCTGTATATCCCACCGAGGTCAGGCGGCTCAGCGAATATCGTCCGCACTCAACTGCACAAGCTTCGCGATAAGCTCCAAACGACAAGCGCGGCAATCCAGCGGCAGCGAGAGGATACTGGAGGGCGAGTCAACACGAGGCAGTTGGACGTGTACTTGAGTCGTGCCTTTGAATCTCTTTGGTCTGGTTCCGGGTGGCCGTTTGATTTTGGGAAGTACGCCACGATCCAGGAAGAAGCTCCAACCGACCTTTGCCAGCACGCGTGGAACTTGATGTCGCAGCTCAGAGAGCAGGTGATGGATATCTCGCCCGACCAGTTCGAAAGCTGCGTGGCCAATCTCCTGTCGTCGTGTGCAATGTTCCACCTGATTCGGAGATTTCCAGAATTGTCTGTAGATGGCGGCCGGTTTTCTCCCAGAGGAGGGACCATTTTCATCCGTCATGCAAAGAGGATCCTTAAACGCGATGTTGATGAATTCGGCGCGGCCTATCGAAGATTCCATCAGGATTCGCGCTGCTGGTACCGACGAGGCACCAAGCAATGTCGCAACAGGGCCAAGGGCCATAGCAAGGACCACCAAGAGTACCACGGGAGCGTCTTTGCGTTTGGAGGGTACCACACCTACTGGACCGAACGGGGCAACAAAAGATTTGTCAAGAGGATGCGTGAGGTATCGAGTCGCCTCATCAGCAGCAGCTTCTCGGAGCCATTCGCAAGTGTACTTGGCCAGCACCTCGACAATTTGCAATCTCAGAAGGAATTTCTGCAACATATCATGATATCAGAGACCTGCCTGCTCTGCCTCGGACACGTGGCAGACATCGCCTTGAGCTGCGGACATGCTATTTGTCGAGACTGCCTGCGAGCGGTGGGACAGCCCTGCCAGCATGGCAGCACTTTTGAGCTCCCCGAGTGTGTGATTTGCGGGCGCAAGTTTCGGCGGGGAAACGGATGGGATCGAATTGTGTTAAAGCCTGAAACGGCGAAGCCCCGGGTCCTTGCCATCGACGGAGCGGGCGTGCGGAGTGTCATGTCTGCCCATATACTGATCCTTCTCCAAGCACAGCTGGGTTCGAGAATCCCGATAAGCCGCTTCTTTGACCTGATAGTAGGCAACAGCTCAGGTATTTGCCTTTCCTAGCAGTGGTATGCTCCGTCAAGTGGTCGTGAGCATGGGGCTGACGGTGGAACTCGCAACAGGGGCAACAATTGCCTTGGGGTTTGGGGTCATCCGCGGTCTCAGCGAGGAGGAGTTTCTAGAGGCCATGGAGCGGGTGGCCAAGGATGGATTGAAGATGCAGGCGATCGGCTCCCTGGAAAGATGGTTCCCCTACTACGAGGGCTTCTTTTGCGCCAAAAGCCTGGACGAGAGCTTGACGAGTGTGCTAGGAAGTTATAAGCCCCTGATTGGAGCTATAAAATATCCGATCGAGAAGATGGGGACATGGACGCGGACGAACTCAATGGGAAAGGGAAGAAAAGTAAGAGACCTAAGGGTCGGGGCGGTCGCCGCGATGGAAGAGGGCGAGTCATATCAGACGTGGGTATTGGGAAACTATCCTCGTGATGATGAAGGTAAGCTCTGTCTTCCGAAGCAAGGGAGGGCCTCGCACAAACACCAATACTGATATTTCCCAGGGACGCCGTTCCCATGGAAGCCGCGAGCATATCGTCATGCGGAGTCGATGCCCTTCTTCTCCCTGTGGCAGGCGTAAGGCTTGACACCCTCTAAAGCAGACTACGCTTGTTGCTGACCGTGAGCCCGTGCCTGCACGCAGTGCCCGATGCAGCTCCGTCGCCCCTGGCCTGTTTCCCGCAGCTCGAGCTGCGAACCACGAGTCGTTTGTGGACGGCAATGCTGCCAAAGTGTCCACCATTGAGACAGCCATGGAAGAAGCGGCACTCATCTGGCCAAGCACACCAGAGGCTCATATTGGCGTAAGTATCGGCGTGGGTCGCTCGCAGAATCGAACTACACCTTGGTGGTTCAGCCGCGTGGCTTTGCACTCGTGGGAAGATCGCGACGTTGACCAGTATGAGGAGGATCTCGACCCCCATGAAGCCTGGGATAAGCACTACAGGACGCTGTCCAGGTCCCAGAGAAGCCGACTCCGCCGCCTGGACGTGGATTTCCAACAGGAGGCGCTTCCCAGCGTGGTCGCTTCAAATGAGGTGGAACGCATGATTCATGCGACCACTGAATACTTCGCAGCAGGCGAGCCGCATAGGGAACTGAGAAACACGGCAGAAGCTTTGCTTGCAGCGGTATTCTACCTGGCTTCTGTAAAGACCACGCCAGCATACTTCGAGACTTGCACGATGTTCACAATCGCTTGCCAACTAGCCGAGGAGCACCAAGAGGCCTTGTTTGATCGCCTTGAAGCATCGAATTGTGTTTTTGTTGTTGAGGGAGGGCGGGAGAGATCCGAGGTCCAGCTGAAACGCCCGGAATATAACCAACCATTTGAGCAGGACTTTCCGTGGTTGGCTGAATACACCGTGGCGGGAGAGACGCGGTTCTTCCTTGCTTTTCCGCACGGGGATGGTGGAGAGGACGAAATCAAGGCAGAGGAAGAGGCGCCAGGCAAGTCGGCCCCGGCTCGGAAGTATCACATAAACGGGAGCCCCTGGAGCTCTTGATGGTGTGTTGCGCGAAGCGGAAAGTTGAGTCGGCAGGCAATGCTTTCCATTTTGTTGTGACGTTGCAACTGCCAGTCTCTACGGGGAAGGATTTCTTATTTGGTATCCATATACAGATTGTCACCTGAACGATGAAAATTCTGGACAGAGGAAACTGAAGTGCAAGTCCTGGCAGCTTCTCGGGGTCTGCGGTCGTGAAGCACGGTCCGGGAATCCGGCGACGAAGCTTTTGCGGCTCAGATGGCACCGTGCCCCCGTCACCAATTACCTCGCCGCCGAGACCCCGCGATCCCCGCGCCGCGCTCGCTCCCGTCCATCTTACATCACGACCTGGACTTCCTCCAGCGGAGACGTCACTCGAATCGAGGCGCAGTACATGCACAGGGCAGAGAAGATACAAAGTCGCTACCCTTAGCGGGCGGTGCACCGGGGTGGCCCTCCCGCGCTTCGGCGGTCCCGGCCCCACTTCGCGGCGAATCCCCCGCCTCGCAGCACCACGACTCGACGAGTTGCGAAAGGACAAAGAAAAAAAAGTCGGCCGACCGTGAGTTTACGGAAACGGGGAACTTGGGCGGCCGTTGAAGACGGGACGCGTCGTGAGTGGCGGCGTCGCCCGCCACGCCCCGGTTTTCTACTACTCTTTCAACTTTCTTTGCAGGCAGGCGGCCAGGCGGTGCCTGGTCTCGTGCCCTCTGTCTGTTTTCTTGCCGTGGCGGGGCGGCGGATGCACTGCAGTGGTGCTCTGTGGTACAGTAATAAGGTATTATGTAGGTGCAGTACAGTGGGTGCAGTACATCTACGGGCCTGTCGCGAACGGACGGCTGTCTAGGTGTCTTTTGTTCGCTCACGTCGGCCGCGATGTTGGTGGCGTGATGGCAGCGCGGGAGTGGCGCCCCAGCGCGCACCGCTCCCGGATCGGACGATGCTGCCCTGCGCCGCAAGCGCGCTGTCTCCCGCCCCTTTTTTGCGTCCTAGGTATTTACCCTCACTGCCATTACCGTACTGCGCATGTACTTGCGGTGTTGGTGCGAAACGGAAGCGTCGTCGTCGTCGTCGTCTCCGTCACCTGCCAGCCAGGATACACCCTCGCGTCTGGTGCCAAGGGGGGGACAACCCTGTCGCGGGAAATGGCGGTCGGTCGGTCGATCGATCGGACTGGGATCATTGTGGTGTGTGTGCGATGGAGTTTACTTGCAGGGCCAAGCATTAGGCGTTCCTGGCCCTTTGCTGCCTGGCGTCGCGCGAGGCCGACGGAAGTGCGGAAGCACGGATGATGGATGATGCCTGCGCGAGGACAGGTTTTTTTTTGGTGGACGTCGGGTGTTTCAGCGGCTGGTCAACAGCCGGCCAACTGCCGCGTCTGGGCTTGATTGCAAGGCACACAAACACACATGCGGCGTACAGGGACAGGGACGCAGGGTCAGGGTGATCAGCAGGGGATGTGGCTGCACTCGGCTTACACGCGCAACGTGCATCGAAGAGCCTGAAGAGGCAGTCCGGGCGCATACCCTCCGCTCATGCACTCTCAGGACGACATGCATTTACAAAGAGTACGCACTCGTATGCTCGGCTCGGAAGAGGTGAGCAAGGCATGCTCAGCATCCGCCATCCGCGCGGGTATCATCACTACTGCTGCTGAGCTCCCACGTGGGTGGGCGTGTCGGACCGAGTCCTCTGCTGCTCGTCATCCGGGATCCATAGCTCGCATTCGGCGCTTATGTGCTTGCTCTTGAGCCGCAGACGGGGACCCTTGCTGTCTTGGGCCGTGGTCAAGGGGCCAAGGTGAAGAGAGAGAGAAAAATTGGGTTGGCGGCGTCGTGCCCTTGACCTTTTGGCCGCCGTCTCTCCCTCGCGGCGCTGGATGCCGAAGGTATGCGCGCCGCAGCCGCAGGTGGCCGGCCGCGTTCGACTCGCGGGCCCGCCGCGCTGACCGGCGTCGCTGATTCAGGGACCGAGACGCAAAAAGCCCCTGCCTGACGGGGAGGACCCGTTCAGTCCAGATGGAGTCCCAGCTGGCATCAAACCATACCAAGGCACGACCAACAAGGGAGCCAGGGGGGCGGATAATGTTCTAGAAAAAAACGTGGACTCGGAGACACGCCCTCGCACGGCCGAGACGGCGGTAGTGGTTCGTAGGCGAAGAAGGTTCGGGTTTTGGGGGCCAAAGCCAAGGACGGCGGCGGCGGCGGCGGCGGGTGGCCACCAAGCCAGGCTTGCAGGGTCCGGGCTGCCCGCGGCCAACCTTGGAACTCTGGCAGCTGGAGGAGCAGGCACATACCACGGGCCAACGCCGCCCGCCCGCCCAGCGGTGGCTGCATCAGATCATGTGTTGCAGCGCAGCGGCCAGGGGACCAAATCGGCCAACCGAGCAACCCCCCCCCCCTCGGATGCTTCCGAGCACGGGCGACGTTTCGTCGTGGGCAGCCGGCCGGCCAACCCTTCCACCCCCCTGCGCGGGTTGTACGTAAACGACGCTGGCTCATCAGGCGACGGGTGGGCGTCACATGTCTTGCGTTTTCCGTGTGGCTGGCTGGCTGGCTGGCTGGCCGGTCGTCTTGGCTTGGCCGGCCGGGAATGGCTTCGCGGGCGCGTCTACGTATACTGCCGCCCACCGTGTGATATCTCCTCTCAGCGCGTATAGGCCTCAGCATCCCCAGGTGCGGGTGTCCAACTGCCAACTTAGATGGCGCGGGGAAGGAGGATGGCATGGTGCGGGATGAGCAATAAGCAAAACCCAGAAAAACCTGGGGATTCTCTCCGGTCGCCGGCCAAGATCCGGGGGAGAATGGAGAAGAGTCCTCCCGTGAGATAAGGTACTGTAGAGTATCTCGCGAGGGAAAGGCGGGTTGACGCCGTTGGCGATGGCGGGCGGGCGCAACTGGGTCTCCGGTGTCGGAGGGCGTGGGCAAGGGCGCGGAGCCGCAACGACGAGGCACGGCCGAGAAGGGCAGGCGGCTGTCACTGCGCCGGAGATGGCATGGGAATTAGGGGTGCATGTCATGGAGGGAGGGGGGTCATCTGACTCGAAAAGAGGCCAGTGAATCGGTAGTTGCGACAACAGCACCAAGCGATCCATCCACCACCGCTGGACAACAGCCACGACTCCGTCTTCTGTGGACTACGTCTCCATTGTACATGGCAAGTACCTGCCTACAAAGGGACACACCAGTCTGCCAACGACAACAACCACTACAGAGGGCGTTGGACGACGGGCGGACAGGTGGGCATGCGGGCCCTTCGAGAGCAAAGGGGGCGAGGGATCAAGCGGCCGAATGCACATGCGATGGATTCCTCTTGGGTAACAGATTCTGGAACTTCTTGGATGGTGGATATGCATTGTGGAACACGGCCGGGGCCTCTTGGCCTCCTAAAAAAAGCTTGTCGTGCAAGTCGTGTCAGTTGCAGCAGGGAGGCAACGATGCAAACAAACTACCATTACGAGTTCCTCACCAAGGGGCACCTGCAAGAGAAAAAAAAAAGAATTTTGGTGGGTCTGCCTTCCCATGGTGGAGAGTGTGAGAGGGTAGAGGGATGAGGGGAGACATCGCGCGTGTTGCAGGCGGTGGGAGGAGACGGAAAAAGCCTGGCCAGCGGGCGAATCAGCGGCGCGGGACGGCGCACTCTGTGAGGTGTGAGGTGGGCGGGCGGTTTGGCAAAAACCTTGAGGTTGAAGGTGAATGTGCGTGGAGCTTCAGTGCGTTTTCAATGCTTCCAAGGTTGCTTGCGGCCACTGCCGGGCCGCTGAGCCGCCACCAAGCCACCGTGCACGGGCACCTAGTACATCCAGTCACCAAAAATTTCCAGCGGGCGGCACCCACTGACGACTGCCCGCCCCCGGTGCACGGGAAAATACCCAAGGTACCCAGCCACTTTAGCGATGTAAGTCCTCCTTAGTGCCCGTCCGCCCGGTCAGTGGGGGGTCGACGACATGGAATTGATGGAGTGCCTTTTGGGATGGGGATCCATGGATCCATCTTCGACGAGGACGACCATGGACATGCCTCCACCGTAAGGCGCGGGAGGGACTCCACCGGCTTCAGCTCTGCGCATCTCCAACACGGCCGGCGGCCGGGGCGCGCGGGTGGAGTCTCCTTTCCTGTGCGACGACGACGCGACTTGACGACAACATGGCAGCAAACAAGTGTCCTCTTGCGCAACCGCAAGGGCGTGCGTGCGTGCCGGTGCGGTGTCGACTGCGAAGTAACTCGCTTGTGCAAGGGGTCCAGCACGTACGGGGTCACGATGACGACAGATTGCCCAGACTCTTGCGATTGCAATCGATTCTGAAACGATTGCGTGCGTTCCTGCGCCCTTCTCTGTTGCGTGTGTCTGGTTTGCCCGCCGTATTCTCGTACGCATCGCGAGAAGAGAGAGAGGCGCTGCTGCTGCTGCTACCGCTGATGATTAATAGGCCATTATGAATGCCCTGCGACCTGAGGCAAGATGCCCTGCCAGTTTTGGGTTTATAAGCAATGGCGTCTTACAACTCGCTATTAGTCGCCAGGCTGACGGGCGCCAGCCGGGCAGGCTTGTGGCTGCCGCTGGCCGGCCTGGCTGGTTGGCCTTGCGCCCTTGGAGATGGATGGATGGCATGGCATGGGCATGGCATGAGCGTGGCTGGCCCATGTGCCGTACAGGCCGTCATCGTTTATTATTATCCCGTCCAGTGACTGACTGGCGAGGCGCCCCTCGCCTAGACGGGAGGCGTTCCGGTGCGAAAGTCGGCCCTGCGATGCGATGCCGGTGCCGGACCTGGTCGCCCCCGTTTACAGAACAGAACAAGCGAGACGAACGCAACAACACGACGACCAACGCCCCCCTGGAGAGGCAGCAACACCACCCCATGGAGTACTCCATACTGCCTCCATACGCATTTTCATTAGCTTGTTACTTCGTAGTCTGGGTCTTCTGTGACCGAAGCGCGACGGGGCACCAGGTGTCCGTGATGGAGTCGGGCGAGCTTGGCTTTCTCTCTCTTTCAACCGCACTGTTTCTCGCGCGGACAGCCGAATCGGGCACTCGCGCAGGCTTCAAATTTCCAGACGACGTTCAACCCGCTCGACTCCTGGGCCGGCTAGCAAAAAAACTCGCCAAAACACTCCATTTTGCTCCATCGTCGCGGTGGGGCCCCGACCGAGCGAGCGACCGCCTCCTCCTCAGTCTTCGGCCGCGGTGGATCCCCCATGTTTCGCCGGCGGCGGCGGCGGGCGGCAGGCGGGCGGGACGCAAGCTAGGTTGACTCGACTCGAGCCTCAGGGCCCATGGGGAGGGGGAACGTACGTAGCACCAAGTTCCGTGAAAATGTATAATGTACCCGTAGTAGTACAGTACACGATGCGCTGTGCCTGTAAAGTAAATTACTGGCGGGCGGGCGGCTAGAATGCAATGCACGAGGCCGGGGGCACAGACACTGCCTAAGTTAGTACCTCGGGCAGGCATCGTCACGTTTCAAAGCTCAACTCGTATGGAACGCGGACTTGTGCTGCCGGCGGGCGCGGGCTCCGATTCTCGCTCGCACCCTCGCTCGCTCGGTTCGGGCCTCGCAGTGCCGGAGAAGCATTCACGGGGTGGCTGCCTTGCTATCACAGGACGGTATTATGTGAATCGATTATTACAGTGCTCGGTAGTCCGGGGGGGTTCAATGGTATGGGCTGGGCGCATCGAATCGCATCACGGCCTGGGCTTGATCATGGCGTCGATACGCGTGCGCGTGCGCGTGAAAGGCGGCGGAGAAAGGCCGGACGGCCGGGCAGTCGGCCGAGACACCACCAGGGAGACGCCATGGATCAATGGCAAAGACGGCAGGGCATCATCATCATCATCATCGGCGGCGGCGGCGGCAGGGTAGCGTAGGTAGCGTAAAGTGTGAGGTGGCCGGTAGCGCGGGAGAATCCACAGCGGACACGGCGCCTGCTAGCCTCAGCGCCAGCAGGGTGCCCGTCGATGGCATGGCATGTCATGGCGTAGGGCGCAGTCGACATTGACATGATCCAGCAGAAAAGGTGCGCGCCATGCCAGCGGTGACGGACCGACAGCCGCCGCCGCGACGCCCATCAGCTCAGTCAGCAGCCCGCCGCTGACTGTACCGCCTAACTACGCCGCCCTCCCGCCCCTACGGCACCGGCGAACGTGCCCTGTGCAGGTGGTTGCCAGGCGAGGCGGCTTCCGCTACCGGCGCCTGCCTGGGCTGCCACAACGACAGCACCAGCATCTGGGGCTCGATCTGGCGTCAGCGCCTTTCGGCTTGTCAATTGTATTTCCAAGCCCCAGCACCTGTTAGCGTCGAGTCACAGTTTCGCCAGCAGCATCAGCCAACTACCCGCGCACGCCATCTGTCTGTGGCGCCGTAGGGCGCGCACGCCGGCACCCCGTGAATTCATCAGCAGAGCCCCCCCATCGAGGCTCCTCGGAGATGGCAGCCGTCATCAGGCCATGCCCACAACGGGTGTTTCCCCATCACGACGACGACAGAGAGCGCGCATGGATGGATGGATGGATGTACTGCCGCATGTACCATCAAGGTAGCGTCGCACGATGGCCCGACGCATGGAACGAGGTACCTCGCCTCGTACCCGAGATCCATCCATCCAGCCAGCCCTTGTGTACTGTACCTTGTGATGTATGCGAGATGGGCCATGGCATCACATCTCGTTAGGCCAACACTGGCAGCACATGGGCTGCGGGATCCGGGATGCAACGTGGCCGGCCCTCGCTCGCCTTCCATTGTGCTCCTCGGGGCGTTGTTGTTTGTTGCTCGCGCCGGCGGGCGGTGTCACGATTGGGCAATGGATGGAGCCGTGACCTAACGGCGCGATGCCTCGTACGTTGAATACCGCGAGAGCAGAGAACGCAAGAAGAAAAAAGCCGAGTCATTCCCGCCCTCTGGCGCGTGGGCAGGGGACGACGGCCGCTGCAACAGCACCTCCAGCAAGGCGAAGGGTTCGGGGGGTGCCGCCCCTACCTGTAGGGGACCTGAGGTACGTAGCCACAGCGGTGGTGGAGCGCTGTGAGACGAGAAACCTTTCCAGGGATGATTTTGATGCGCCAGCGCAGGTCAGGTCAGCCCAGCCCGGCGGTCGGTCGTGGCATCGAGGTCACGGGTCGCGCACGCCCTGTGGGAGGGTCAGGTACTCGACGCGCCCAGGCGAGGTACCCTCCACTCCCTAAACGCAGTGAGTCAGTACCTGCGATGGTACGTCGTCGCCGCTGGAGGAGGGCGGCCGGGGTGGCGTGCCTCTCTGCCTGGGCCCACCGCCCACATCCCATCCCATACGACGGGGACAGGCTCTCTGGCACCTGTTTGCTGGGTGGTGCTGGTGCAGTGGGTGCTGAACCCTCTGCTGCCGCCGCCGCCGCCGCCGCCGCCGACGACTCCACCGCCCGCCGTCCCCGTCCAGGACGGCCGTCGACCACCGCCCATCGAGGTGTAGGCGGGGTGTGCTACAGGTACCTGTCGCGGTACCCGTGCGGGTACTTGCACACGCCCTGAAAAAGCTTTCTGGCGGATACGAGTCCGGTACCTTCTCCGTCCGTCCACTCTTCCGCATCCGCCCATGACACACGTTGAACACGGCCCAGGACATATAAGTCGACGATGCCCTCCTTTTCCCACCCATTTTCTGATTCCACAGTACAGTAATACTCGCCTTACTAGAATCACGTCTATTTATTTTCGGATTTGTGGTTCCTTCTCCAACAAAGCCAGCCTCTTTTTTAAACGACACGCACGCCCACGCCCGCCAAGACAGATCGCAAGCCGGGCAGCCATCCCACCACGCCTGGTCACACGCAGCACCACAGCGCGCCCGCCCAGCACACTCAGCTCCCGCCCAGCGCAAAACTTACACACGCCGCGACAAGACGCCGCCGCGACCACTTACACGCCACGATTGTCAGCAGGGCTTGGCCGTCTCGACCGACATCGACCGGCAGCTGAATTGGCAGCAGCAGCACACCGCAGCGAAACAAAGAAGGACGCTTTTTTATTTGTTCTCGTCTTTGTTAGACGGGAATACATTAGACGGGCGAATCGCCAGGACAGAAGGAAAGGACAGACAAGAAGGATTTTGAGAGAGGCAAAAACCGCACGGATTTAACAGCACGGCAAGGATCGCCCATCGCCATCCGGCACTTGCGAACCGAGCTGCGTCCCATCCGCCGTCACATCGCCCTCCGGTGCTCGCATCGAAGACCTGCAGCCCATTCGCATCTCGGCGATTATTGGCCCAGTTCGCCCAGACTTTGCCTGTGAGGTGAGGAGACGAGAGACACCCAGAGGTTCAACCCCGCCGCCGCCGGCGCCTGCAGCAATCACGCCAAGCACATCTCCGGCACGCTCTTTGGACGCCTCGCCCGGATCCCAAGAAAACGCCGAGCACGCAGAAGATTGGCAACCCTGGTCTCGTGCTCCTGCGCCCGCTCTGTTAGAGTCAGTCGGAGCCAAAAGTAGTCGAATCGACGTGCTGCCCGCCCGTTGGCCCTGATGCAACGCGGGACCAACTGCAGCTCTTGTTGTCGCCATCGCCTCTCCTCCTCCTCCTCCCCGCGGACGACTCCAGTGTCCACCATCACCACCACCATCGCCGCCAACGCCCGCACGAGCAGCGACTCGCTCCGCGGCCTCAACTACTCATTGCGCGGTTCCTCCCGCCCGACCTCGCCGACAGGCACATAAGAGTAACGGGTAAAAATCAGGGCGAAACTCGCTAGCACTTGCCTCGCCTGATTTTTTCTTTTCCCTCCTTCGGCGCCTGCCCGATCCTCGGACCCGCCCCGATCGGCCGCGCCGCCACTTACACCACCATCTCCACCACCCTCAACCACCCATCACCGGAAACAAAAAAAAGACACAATGCCCCACCGCGTCGCCAACTTCCTGCGCACCTCCTCGGGCAGCATCCCGCACATCAAGCGCAAGTCCACCGCCAGCAGCAGCGCCTCGTCGCGCAACAACTCCATCTCCGGCAGCCCCTACGCCTCCGACTCGGACGAGCACCAGCACCAGCATCACGGCCACCACAACCACCATGCCGTCAAGATGCCCGAGCACCTCGCCGACGCCATCCGCAAGCAGCACCACCGCCTGTCGCTGCCGCTGCCCTTTGGCCGCTCGTCCAGCAAGGAGCGCAACGGCAGCCGCTCCGGCACGCCCCCGGCCTCTGCGAGCGGCCACCACCCCGTGACGCTCGACTGGAGCATCGAGAGCCCGCCCGTCGTCTACTACGGCTCCCCCGACGAGAGCTCCGGCGCCATCTTCTCCGGCCAGCTGTTCCTCGACGTCGCCCGTGATGAGGGCGTCGACGTCGAGTCCCTCACCGCCAGCCTCGTCATCCACACCGTCCACAAGCGGCCTTTCCAGGGCCACTGCCACGACTGCCAGCACCGCGAGACGCGCCTCGAGACCTGGGACAACCTGCTGGCCCAGCCCGTGACGCTCGCCCGCGGCCGCCATCCCTTCCCCTATTCCACCCTGCTCGGCGGCCACCTGCCCGCCTCCATCGACACGCCCGTCCTGTCCATCTCGTACGAGTTCCGCGCCGAGGCCGTCGTCGTCTCCTCCAAGGGCACCCCGCGCACGCTGCGCTTCGAGCGCACCATCCCCGTCAAGCGCTCCCTCGCCGAACCGCTCTACCCGCACCACTCGGTCCGCGTCTTCCCGCCCACCAACATCAAGGCCGGCGCCCACTACAACACCGTCATCCACCCCACCGCCAGCAACAAGCTGACGCTCAAGCTCGACGGCCTCATGACCCACAACGACCGCGTCAAGACGGTCGACCTGTGGAAGCTCAAGAAGGTGACGTGGCGCCTCGAGGAGACCATCAAGACGGTCGCCCCGGCCTGCGACAAGCACTCGCCCTCGGCCCCCGTCGTCACCCTGCCCAACCCGACCAACCTCAACGCCCACCCCGAGGACGACGAGCACCCGGACCTGACGACCCGCGGCGTCGTCCGCTCCGAGACGCGCGTCATCGGCGAGAAGCAGCTGCACGAGGGCTGGAAGTCGGACTACTCGGGCACCGACGGCACCGTCGACATGGAGTTCGACTACTGCGTCAACCAGTACGCCGACGCCGGCAAGCACCACCAGCGCGGCGCCCCCCGCGAGCTCAAGTACGCCTGCGACCTGCGCAACGCCGCCGACGGCACCGAGGTGACGCACTCGCTGCAGATCGAGCTCATCGTCTCCAAGGAGTACGCCCCGGAGGGCAAGCCGCACCTGGCCGCCCAGACGGGCACCGGCCGCATCCTGCGCATGCACTTTGCCGTCACCATGACCGAGTTCCCCGGCATGGGCGTCAGCTGGGACAACGAGGCGCCCCCCGTCTACCAGGACGTGCCGCCCAGCCCGCCGAGCTACACGCCCCCCATGTCGCCCCTGGTGCCGCCCATCGAGTACGAGGACCTGGAGGAGCTGTTTGCCCAGCGGGCGAGCGTCGAGCCCAGGAGCCGATGAGGGCGGAAGCATCACGATCATCAAAACAAATTCACTAGAGTGAGATGGAAAGGGGGAGGGAAAAAGGGGAGTGGAATGACGACGACGACACGACGACCGGCATAGCGCAACTCTCTTCTTCTTCTTCACTTTTGTTGGTTTTTCTTTTGTCAGGCATGTTTCCGGAGACGATTGACGAGAGAAGAGGATATACCCCTGTGAAGCGTATCGGGTCTGCAACGCCGGACAGCATGGAAAGGGGGGGATGAGGATGAGATGCGGGGCATCAATCATGACGGGACGGACGGACAGATGGGTATCATCACATGCATCAACGGAGTTTTTTCTTTCACAAGGGATAAAAGGAGACGAGACGAGCGACTCTACCTACCCGGCGCCTATGGCTCGAGAGTACAATTAAGCAGTAATTCTGTATACCAGTATACTTACTCATGGGTGTGTCTTGGTGCCATGTGACTTGGATGTAATTGAAGTGCGGAATGAATTCACGTCCATGGCGGCGCAGCACGCCCTGTTCGGCGTCGTGTATAAGCTGCGCGTCTCAGCGCTCACTGCTGATATACTCAAATGAGCGTGGCGCAACTGTAGCAGACGATGATGGGCAATCGGAAATGCAAAAGTATGAGATCCTGCCATTTACATTACATCTTACTCCGGTGTAAACTACATAATAGTTACACGTCACCGACCAGCGCCGTCCTGCGTCCATTCCCGGTGCCGGTCTCTCGTACGCAGGCGCAGTAGTTAATCCTCTTCGGCAATTGAGGCGCCTCCTACCAAGGTGACTGCCTATACCGCCCGGCTTGTTTTTCACCTGCGATGTGGCTGTGGCTGAGTTGCTCGTAGCGTCTGCCTTGTGAGGCGCGGTAAGACGGGCAACGATCATTGACCCCTGTCAGATCGGCGCCGTCTCGCCCAATTTCATACTATCCTCCACGGGCGATTCGCCCAGCTGGTGCCCTCCCCAGGCAGATAAATCCTTGGCACCCGATCTGGGAAGCTGGGAAACCTGGAACACCACCATGTCGCGTCAGTGCCTCGGAGCGCATGCGACCCCCTAAATACCCCAGGACGAGGCCGTGGAGAGCCACTCGTTGAATCTCTGTGCTGACTGCTGCCAAGTTGCTAAGCGCTTTCTCACGAAGCTGCTCAAACTTGGACGGTAAAGCGACACGCGCCCATGATAGCTCAACAAGGTGATGCTGGCGAGGACACGGAGCGGCAGCAGAGCGGCGGCTTCCGGGTGCTTGGCTTCCGCTCGCCACATGAACGCCTACCAGCAGAACACGCAGCGCAGCTCGCGCGCCGCGACCGCGTCTTCGCACCAGACTCGCTCGCCAAGAAGGGCTTCGACCGCAAGCCATGCCTCTTCGCCACCTTTGTATGTCTCCCCAGCGCAGAACCCTCTCTCAATCCAGCATCCCAACCCTCAAGCTCCAACAGTCCGCACGCTAACCCGCGACTCCTGCTCAACTCAGATACTCTACTGGTTCGCGCTCCTCGGCTACTCCGTGACGGTGCGCGTCCTGGCCGCGCCGGGGGACCTGGACTCGCGCGCGCTGGGGTACATTGACCGGGCGCAGCACGTGGAGGTGTACTGCATCGTGACGTGCACGCTGCTGTTCTTTGCGTGGCTGGGGCCGGTTGCGGTGGTGCTGTTCCCCATGTCCGTGGCTGCGGTGGTGCTGTGTTGTGTGGAAGCGGTGAGGTTGTCCAAGGTGCGTACACGCTCTCAGACTGTTCACGGGCCGATGGCCCTGTTTATTGCCGGTGGGCTCACCGCGTTTAGATCTCGTACCGGCGAAACGAGTACATTATGCTGGCTGTGTTGGCCATCATGATTGGCTTGCCTGCGGCGGTGAATGCGCGGGAGGGGTGGGTGTGGTGTGCGTGGCGTTGGAGGAAGAGGTGAAGAAGTAGATTCCCAATAGATTACTTGTGTTTATGAAGCCATTCACTGCTGTGGTATCGCATGAGCATGCTGGGGCGCAGACTCGCCGGCTCTTGCATTGTGTTTCCCGCCCTGTCACCGTGGCTGTTGGAACTTGGGAGTACACTGTCCAGGCGTCTCTGGACGTGATGGCAGCATGATCCTCGCCGCATGGTTGGAGGGTAGTTGATACCCAACGAGAAGAGACGCCAGCAAATATCTGGCGCTCAAAGGAGAGAATTACCCTCAGCGGCCTTGCCCTTTCCCTTGCCTTGGTTGGCCCGCGAACCTGAAATGGTCCCCTGCCATCCGTTCTCGGTCGTCATCCATCTTGATCTCAAGTCAGTCAACGCGTCCACGCGCGCAACTCAATGCCAACACTTACGCCGGAATCCCCGTCATGCAGCGGCACAACCGCCTGCACTCCTCCTGCTGCGCCTTCGGGATCGAGTCCAGCAGGACATACCGCTGGCCCTCGCAGTGGGCATAGCCGCGGCGTCGGCAGTGCTTTGGAGCGCCAACGTTTTCTTGGAACGACTTTCCGCACCGGATGTAGTAACTTGGCGGATCATTGGGTCCTCGCTCCTTGCACAACGCGCTGTTCTCCGAGTCTGTGTCGAAGCCGCTGTCGCCGCTCGTGTCAGCGCTTGAGTCGTGGCCAACTTCGGAATCGCCGCTCGAGTACTCGGGGCTCGCGGTTCTTGAGGGTCGCCCTGTGGAGCGCAGGGTGTTGGGAGGGCGAGGACTCGCTGGTGATGGATCTGCCAGCGACAAGCCGCGAAGTAGGCTGGCTGTCAGGAGAAGGTTGAGAAAGTACATCCTGGCGCTTCAAAGCCCAGTTGTGAAAACGAAGCGCCACGATGTGCGTTTGCAATTTTCCCCAGTCAAACGGCGGGTGGTGATGGGCCGACACAGGCAAGAACCAGCCAGAGGCTCCTTGTACGAATGAGCGAGAGATTCTAGCGACCTGGCTGCATCTGAGGCTAGCATATGAATGAAAGTATGAAAGGACGAATGGCCTTGCGAATTAAACGCGCAGTACACGAGGCTCTACACGCATCAGCGACGAGCTTTGCCACGAAGCATGATAATTGCCGATCGTTTCTATCATTAGTCGCAGCTCAGGCGCACACTCAAGCCGTTACGTCAATTACCATGGCTCGCTGCTAAAAGCCTTCCGCTGTGCATACAGCTAGGGGAGGAACCTCCATGGAGACACACGGAGCACTGGATAGGACACATCACCTTCATTTGCGTGTTGTTCACCACACGCTGGCTAAGCCCTTCCTGCACATCTCATTACCCAATCGCTGCGTCAGAGCGCACGGTCATCCTTGAAAAGCTTCTTCGCGAGGTTCATGTTTGATGCCGCTGTCGAGCGGTGGCTTACAAGGGCTACAGCACGTTTATCGTATGATAACAAGGCGAGCTCGACTGAAGAATTTTACTTTTGGAAGCACATGAGATTAAAGATTCATATAGTACATAATGTCAATATATTTCTCGTATGCTCAACTTCGCCGAAATGTGTTCAGGCATGTATTATGCCCCGTCGCTTCCAACATTACGGCACTTGCTGCCCACATCAACAATACGTCTGTGCTGCGGAATCGATAGTCGGTGCGTGTGCCAGTGTCATCGTCTGCTGTTTCAGCCACGACTGACGGACCGAATAGCGTGTTGTTGAGACTTCTCCAGCAAGCCTTGACTAGAGGCAGGGACTGCCCTCCATGTTGACTCGAAGACCAATGACTCGAAAGAGTTGCATGTCAGTATGGCAGAGTATCACCAGCCCTTTCTTGCTGAAAGGATCATTTAATACCCAATCCAAGAGAAGGTACTGATCGACTCGAGACAATCGTATTGAAGTGAGCCGGAGCTTGTTTGCAGCGTGTGGTCAACTTCACGGTTCCCGTTTCAGGATTCAGCATGGACAAAGAGCACATCATATCCCGGTGTTATGGTTTGGTAATGTTTTACTTTGCCTCTGCCATGTAAATACTTCTGAGGCTACCAGTTATAAGATCCGCCCCTTCGCTAAAGCCGTCAGCTTGTATCACTTGCGATCTCACACTTTTAGCTCAAGCCGCCCCTGCGAAGATGCAGCTCTTTCAACTCGCTTTCGTCACCGGCCTCCTCAGCCTTGTAGCTGACGCGGCCAGCATACCCGCGACCTCCCAGGCCGTCTCATCGCACCCCGTCAACGTCCTCGATAAGCGCGGCTACTTTGTCAGGTGCTGCCACTCCGACACTCCCTCGTACTGCCTCGCTCCCAGGGCCTCATGCAGGGGCGGTCGGTACGTCGTGGATTCGTCCGTCGAGGCCGAGTGCAAGGGGACCTGGGCGTGCTGGTGCGACAACGATTCAGTCTACTAGGGTTGCGGGGAATCCCGAACGGATGCGATTCAAGGACTTTCGACACGAGCTATAGCAGCTCAAGGCATATCGGACGCTAGTTACGCAGGCTCAATTACACGGCTCGTGTCAACCAGGCCAATTATTGAATGGAGCTATGCAAATGGACCCTGGTGAAGAAAGACGTCCACTTCGTCTTCACTCAAGGTGTTCCTCTCGGCATAGTCGATAAATATAATAAACACGACGCTTTTACCAAGAATTACTTGCTCATTGCGGTACACCACAAGTGGTGTGGGCAAGCGAGCCCACTGCGGCCGGCAGGTGATATTCGAATCGCCCGATCTCCAGCAACCAGCCCGGACGCCAACCTGAATGCCGCCGCGGCCATGTCCGCGTACGCTAAACCTTTCCCTCGTATAGCAACCTGGTATTGAAACCCTCACCTCCGCTCATACCCCATCCCATCGTCATCATACACAAACAGCCGCAAAATCGCCTTTGCAACCTCCACGCCATCATGCTCCAGGTGCGCCGTCTCCGCCGCGCGGTCCGCATGCTCCAGGTCCTTGATCCCCCCGCTGTCGACGCGCATCTGGATCTGGCGGCGCACCATGTCCTCGTCAAACGCCAGGTGCGCCTGCGTGGTGAACAGGCGGTTGGGGATGTACAGCCCCTGGATGGGCGTGTGCTCGCTGCGGCCCCAGCACGCGACCTCTGCGTCGGCGTCGAGCATGCCCGCTGGCGCGGTCGCGGGCGAGGGCGCCGCCACCACCTGGTCCTGGTGCATCTGGTGCAGGTGCACGTGCGGCGAGCGCGTCCGGAACAGCCGCTGGCCGGCGGGCGTGAGGTCGATGCGGCAGTGGCCCAGCTCCCAGTCGCCCGAGGGGGCGGGCGCGACGGTCGCGCCGAGGAGCCGGGCGAGCAGCTGGTGGCCAAAGCAGACGCCCGTGAAGTGAAAGTCGGGGCGCGAGAGCCAAAGTTCTGTCATTGCGGGTTGATCAGTCAATCAGCTGCCGCGTAGGTTGTGCAAGCCGGGGCATGAAGACACTGTTGGGCCAGACGCACCTTTTAGCAGGGCGAGCAGGTCGAGGATCCACTGGTTGTCGCCGTAGGCGTCGTACATGCTGCCCGTGATGAGCAGCCCGTCGTGGTCGCGGAACTCGTCGACCGTGGGAATGCGCCCGCCCTCCTCCGTGACGACAAAGACCTGGTCCGTCTGCACGCCGAGCGGCGGGTGGTGCGCGCGGCCGGCTTTGCTAAAGTGGTGGTGCACAATGGCGCCAAAGGAGCCGCGTTCGCTCTCCGTGTCTGGGTGCGGCCGGTCCGTCTCCAGGACCATGAGACGCACCGTCGGCGAGTCAATGTCGGGCTTGTAGTGCTGGGCCATGTTGTTTGTGCTCGCCATGTTTTGCTCTGCGACTATCGTGGATGTTGGCGTTGGGAACACGAAGCGTTGGAGGCCGAAAGGTGATGTCTCGAATTTTAAGCATCGGCTGGGCCTGAGGGCCAAGACGCCAGCGACCAAGGAGTCAAGGACCAACGTCGATGCTTTCTGGCAAGCGTCTGGGGTCTCGTGGCTCTTGACGTCAGTAGGTCTTGGTATTCTGGGCCGGTGGACCCGATGACGGCACGGGGGCCATCGTCATGGGTAAGCTTATTCTTCGTGTCCACCGTCCGGCGCCGGCCCCACACACCCGAGCAATCGGCGCCGAGCCACCGGGGCAGGCCGGACGGCAGGACACGGGACTTGGCATGACGGCCGGGAGTGCAGTTCCCTGCTTACAGCTGAGATGGACGAACATAAGGCGATGCGTGGGCTACAGGCAATCTGGGTTGGAAGCGATGACTTTCCTACGATCGGCTCTTGTGGTGTTGAACCGTGGACGGCGTCCGAGGACATACATAGGCTGTGGGATCATCAACGGCAGCTATAAAGAGTGAATTGAGGTGTCGCGAAAAGGTCTTAACAGGCTAATGAGTGACAAGACTGATGTTGATAACATCGGGTATAGTAAATGGCGCGACACAACCGGGCTTGGTCGACATGTCAGGAAGACGGCGTGCTGTGTACATACAGGACAGCAAAACGGACCTCTTAATCTTGGACCTCTCGCCCTCTCCCACTACACGCACTCACTCAAAGTGAACCTCCGCACGATAAAGCACACTGCGGCCATCGCCTCCTTCACACCTAGTACACCGGCCACACGCCCCGCGTCATCACCTCAATCACATGCCCCTCCGCATCATGCACATAGACCGACCTCCCACCCCTCTCCCACCTCATCGTGCCCACAATCTTGACACCCTTGTCCTTGAAGTGCTGCTCCCACGCATCGATAGCCGCATCCGCCTCCTGCGTCGTCGCCGCCGGGCCGCACCCAAACGCGATGTGCTGCCCCAGCCCCGTCGGGCTGCCGTGCTTGGGGATCACGCCCCGCTCCGACGCGCGGTCCTCCGTCACCTTGGTCCGGTCGAAGAGCAGCAGCAGCGTGTCGCCGGGCAGCTGGAAGCCGACGCCCGCGGGCGCGCTGAAGAAGGGCGTCAGGCCCATGACGTCGCGGTACCAGGCGGCGAGCTTGTCCACGTCGGAGGTGTAGAGGATGGTTTCGACGATTTGGCCGAGCGGAGGGGGGGCCATGGTGGGTGGTTTGGCTGTGTATGTGCGCGTGAGGTTGGGTTGGTGGTGTTGTGGCGAGGATGAGTGCTGGCGGTTGAGCGTCACAGTTTGACCTGGATAACCTGCTGCACGAAGCTGGGCGACTTGTAGCGCCGAGATGATGGCACGGTGAGTAGGGAGGAAGCCGTGAGGTCTGGCGATGCGGTTCACCAACATTCCCGAGATGGCATGCAATTTTTATAGACGCTCCGGCGGCGATGATGCCCGGGTTCGGTGCTGTCGGAGGAGAGCTCGGAGGGCGCAACGGGGCATTGAGGCCACTTGGGACGACGTCATGCTGACCCCCGAGTCTATTCAGCATTTACCCGCCCGTCCAATTACACGCCAAAAAGCGACGACACTGCTTGTCTCTTCTCGCATTGTAAGTATGGCATTGTTGTCGCATCCTTCTGGCCCAACGGGCTATACCAGAAATCCCGGACTGTGCGTGTTATGAAATCGTTGCATGTATGCGACTGCAACGGGGCTCCTTGCGCGCCTGTATACTTCGTAACACCGGCACATATTTATTATGTATAAGGGTCACGAGACAGCAAAAGACTGCTGCTACTTTGACTGCCGCATCAACTCTCCGTCACTGCCCGACACCGTTGCAACGGCAGCGGCTCCTGTGCATCCTCACCTACCCGCCCGCATTCCCATCGCTCTACCTACCTATGGCCTATAGGGTCTTATCGCCTTCGGAGCAATTACACGCCTTGCAACGCTGCCACCGTCAGGACCCCTACACTTATAGCCTCGCAGTTAAGACTCGCTGCTTCGTCACCCGCCAGTCCGCCAGACCGCCAACCAATCTGGGGCACCCCCAATGTCATCTCAGCTCCTCCCCTCATCCTTTTCCCCCGGCCACCCCTGCATGCCGCACGCAGCCTGCCCCCGATCCGCCGCCGCCGCCCGCTGCAGTCTCGGCCCCAACCCTCTCTCCCCCATGGGGTTCTGCTGTCGTCGCGGGCTCCTCCAGAGTCTAACCAGCCCACCACACGCTTGTCGATTCCACACACGCAGACACGCAGACGCACACGCTCGCTCGCAATTCCCCATTTGGGAAATCCACATCAACGCGCCTCGGAGCACCGAAGCGAGGATGCGTGTTGAGCGCCCATGATCGTGGACATGAAATTTTCACGGCATCTCCTTGCCGCCCCGACTGCACGGACTCTGGGCCTCTCTTTCTCTCTCTCTCCCCATCTCTTTTGAAACTCTGTCGGGGCGTGCTGCAGGGCCCCCATGGTCGGACGGCAGTGTTAACACCGCGCCGAGACGAGACCTGCCAACTCGACATTGTTTTACATGTGCTTTTACTTCGTATCCATCTCTTATTCTTTCCCTTCCAAGCCATGCCGTCCACCTCGTCTCGTCCTTCTCTCGCTTCCTCGCCGTGGCGGGCGTCGTTGCATTGTATTGCGCCCGCTGGGTTATAATAGCCCGCCTAGACCTTTAATACTCTGTACAATTAATTAACTTGGCAGCAATTGACGGCCGCCGTCACCCGTCCATTAACGAAATTCCTCTCCGCACTCCGCACTTGCGCCCACACACAGCTCGTGCTCGCTCTGCCCCCTTTCCCACACGACAGCATGGCCACGCACACCTAGCTCCTACTCCAAATCCTCCAAAAATCAGGCACGCCCGGGTTTCGCGCCCCTTTCTTAGTCCCAACTCCATCCTTCGCGCCCCTGGATCCTCCGCCACCCCGTCCCATACGTATCTATCCACCGTCCGACCTCCGTGTGCCGTACCCCGCGTTATGGACGTGGGCTCGGCTTGTGCTCGTGCTCATGCTCATGCTCGTACCTGGGGAGGGTAGGGTTCCATCCAGTCCCCTTACCCCCCTCCCCGGACGGGACGCGCGCGAGCAGTCAGGCCAGCAGCAGGCTAGTTAGCCAGCGGCAGCAAGGCTACGTTGGTTAGTTAGTTGGAACAGCAGCAGCCCGTAGTAGCCCTGGCAGGCCGGTCGACGTCGACCACCACCGCCTGGTGCGCTCAGCACCTCACTGCCTGTTCCAGCGAAGCAGCCTGCCCAAGGCGGCTAGCAAGCCAGCAACCCCCCAGGGCCCGAGCGGGGCCCGTCATCTCGGTATTCTGCCCTGCAACCGGGCGCGGCTCCGCGTGCCGGTGCCTTTTGCGGGCAGTCCAGTCTGGGGAGGGTAGGGCGTGTAAGTGCGCCCGGGGCCCGGTAGCACGACGAGGCAAAAAAACAGCACAGAAAATCCCATGTGCAAATCGCACGATTGAGAACTGGTATAGTTCATGCGGTGATATAGACGGGATTCGATATATCCGCGTCCGTGTACTTAAACTGCCTCTGATCCTCCCCCCCGCGGTCGATGAGACTCGCGATGGTCTGCACGGACAGGTGACGATTTCCTCCCGCCCCCCTTCCCGCACCTTGTTGGACGTGCATGCTGCCCCTTCTTTTGTAAGGAGACCTTCGACTTGAATAGTCCTTCATCATGGTTGCTCTCATCCAGGTGGCCGTCTCCTTGGCCCTGCTGGCCGTCGCCGGCGCCGCCCCTGCGCCGCTGGCTGACCGTGCCACGTCGGCGCCACCTAGCAAGGACCCCTTCTACGCCGTCCCGGATAACGTCGAGTCTGCCGCGCCGGGGACCATTCTGCAGCATCGCAGCCCGCCCAACGCGATTGCCGCGTTTGGGGCCCTGCGGGCCAACCTCCAGGCGTCGCACCAGTTCCTCTACCGGACGACTGACAACCACGGCAACGCCACGGCCACGGTCCTCACCGTGCTGGTCCCGCACAACGCGGACAAGTCCAAGGTGCTCTCGTACCAGGTCGCCGAGGATGCTTCTTCCATCGACTGCGCCCCATCGTACGCCCTGCAGCTGGAGTCGGCCACTGGCCCGCTGCTCGGGACCCTCGTCACGCAGGCCGAACTGCTGCTCATGGAGGCCGCTCTCGAGCAGGGCTGGGTCGTCATCGTGCCCGACTTCCTGGGCCCCCAGGGCGCGTACCTGGCCAACGCGCTCGCCGGGCATGCCGTCCTCGATGGCATCCGCGCAGCGCTGAATTCCGCGGACATCACGGGTATTCGCAACCCGACGGTCGCCATGTGGGGGTACTCGGGCGGCAGCGTTGCCACCAACTGGGCCGCCGAGCTGCACCCGACGTACGCGCCCGAGCTCAAGATTGCCGGTGCCGCGGTTGGAGGCACGGTGCCCAACATCACCAACGTCGTCACAACCATCAACAAGGGCCCGTTTGCCGGTTTCATCCCCACGGGCGTGCTTGGCCTGTCGGCGCAGTATCCAGAGCTCAAGACAATCATCGATCAGCATCTCAAGCCCCAGTACGTGGAAAAATTCCACAAGCCGCTCAAGCAGTGCCTCGTCGCCGACGCTGCTGAGTTCCTGTTTGCCGATGTCGTCGGTATGTTTGACGACCGCTCGCTCATCTACACGAACCCGACAGCGGTGCGTGTGCTGCGCGAGAACGCGCTCGGCAAGGCGACCCCTAAAATCCCCTTCTTCTGGTACAAATCGGTGCTGGACGAGGTCAGCCCCATTGGGGACACGGACGCCCTGGTGAGCAAGTACTGCGCGGCGGGCGTGTCGATCGAGTACGTCAGGGACATTGTCTCTGAGCACGGCAGCTATGCTGTCATTGGCGCGCCCAAGGCCCTGTCGTGGCTCAAGGACATCATGGAGGGCCAGGCGCCACGCAAGGGCTGCTCCAAGAAGACGACGCTGTCGACGCTGCTCGACCCGGCGACTTTTGAGATCCTGCCCAAGTTCCTGATTGACGCGCTGCTGGATCTGCTGGGCAAGCCGGTGGGGCCCATCCTGTTCGGATAGAGAGGCAAAGTTGCCTGTGGCGAGCGCGCGGGGGTGGCTCACTCGACGTACGTGCGCAGGGGTCGCTCACTTGACGTGCTTGTGCAGGGATCGCTCATTCGACGTACTTGCGCAGCGAGGGAAAGGCGTCGCGCCAGGGCGGGCCAAGGTGCCAGTAGCGGATGTCGCTTATGATGGACTCGAACTCGGGGTTAAGCTGAATGTCGCCGACGGGACTGCGGCAGAGCAGCTGCTTGTCGGCGGGCCAGCGCAGCTGGATGGAGCGGATGTACAGGTCGACCGAGTGGCGCGAGTCTCGGTTCTGGTTGAGGCAGAGGAAGTCGCGCAGCCTCGGCCAGGGCATGTAGTCGATGGACACGGGGTGGAGGATGGAGTTTTGGATGCGGCTAGGGCGGATCAGGTCGGGGACGTCGTTGAAGGACTCTGGGTTGGGGTACAGGCGCCACTGCATGCGATCGCACATTAGCTTCCAAGTCCTAGTAATAAACGTCCAAGAAACAGCAGGGATACGCACGCGCAACAGGCGATAGCACAGAAAGTACAGGCCAAACAAGGTCTCGGTGTTCTGGACCTCAAACTGGCGCAGGGTCGAGCCCATGATCATGGTCAGGGGGTTGTCGGTGATGGAGTGGAGCATGAGATTGGCGAGGGACGGGTTCCGGGGGATGGAGATGGCAAAGTTGGGGTCCTGGGAGAGGGCGATGTGGGCCTGGTAGAGGATCATGAAGCTCTTGAGCTCGAGGCAGTCGGTGCGGTCCGTGTGCTCGACGCCGCAGCGACACTCGACGACGTTGGGGGGCGGCGTCGTGGAGCCCATGGACGAGGGCGAGGCCTGGGTGCTGAGGAACTGCGGGAAGCCTCCGCTGACGGGGGTGTCCATCATGGCCTTGAACCAGGGGTTCGAGAGGGCCTGCAGGTCGGTCGGTCAGTAAGTCAGTCCGTCTGCATGTCAAAGAGAGCTCCGCGATCTTGAGCTCCACGAGCTTGAGCTCCACGATCTTGGGCTCCACGATCTTGGGCTCCACGGTTTCTCCTCTTGGTGGAGGGTACTGCTACGTACATCGGACATGGACGACATGCCTGCCGGGGGCGCACCAGCACCAGCACCGACACCAGCAGCATCGGAGGGTGCAGCAGCTCCAGGCACGCCGTCCCCGGCGGCCCCAACGCCGGCCGGGTCGGCGCGGCGCACAATGCGCAGCTGCGACAGCAGGTCGCCGACGCTGCTGCGCAGGAAGGAGACGTCGCGCTCAATATTCTCGAGGCGCGTCTTGCTCTCTGCGCGGTTGACGCGGTGCTTGAGGCGGTCGGCCTTGCGCTTCTGGGCCATCTGGGCGTCGGTGCGGGCGCGCTTGGCCGGGCGGGCAGCTGTGCCGTTGCCGTTGCCAGCCGCCGTGGGCGAGGGCTCGGACGGCGACTGCGACGTCTCGGGCGACATGTCGGGCAGCGGCGGCGACATGGAGCGCGCGCGCGGAGCGAGAGAACGGCCGACGACGACGACGACGATGCGGGAGGCGAGGGGCCGTGCTGTCGTCGTTGGAGTTGCGAGTTTGTGGTTGGTCGGGTCGACGTCGAACCGGCGAATGAAGTTTGAGCGGGCAGAGAGACAGGCCCGGGGCGGGTAGTGGGTAGGGCAAGTCGCCAGCTATAAGGGCGCGCGCGCTGGCAGCAGCAGCGCCGCAGCGATGGATGCTCCCCGAAGGCAACCCGGAACCGCCCCCCACCTCGCGTGCGGCCAGCGCGCCGGGGCCTATGAAAGCAAGCCCCGAGGGCGCTAGCCGGGGCAGCTGTCGGGCTGTCCAGTGCGGGGACCCCGGATCTCCAGCGCGCGTGAGGCACTGTCGCCTCAGCATCTCGCACGCTTCGATTTCTGGGGAGGGGGGGCGTCATCCATGTCTGTGTGTCCAACCACCCCCGGCATCCCAGGTCATCATCAGCAAAAGGCGGAGTCCGTCATTGGCGACCCTGGCATGAGGTGTGGCAGACGCAGCCGAGGCGAGACTGACAGCGGAGGGAGACGGGTGGCACGTCTGCGAGATAGAGTTTGGGCGAACCAGCCGTCCGCTATAGCGCTAGGATACTGAGGTGCTGTTCGTTGGTGGCCGCCTACCTACCGAGATGAGTGCTCCAACCGGTATTGGATTCTGCAGAGCGCGCGAGTCGCATATGTCTGCAGTATCCAATACTCGCCGTCGTCGGGTCTATGAAGCCCCGCGGAGCCGCGGACAGTCCGCACAGCGACCAAAGACACGCACAAACGACAAATCCAGGCCCACACCTCTGCGGCTGACGACGATGCATCTTCACATGCTGCCGACGAGCGCAGCCCCCGTCACAATAAGCGATCTGGACCTGGACCTGACAGCAGCGCGCGCGCCTGGCCTCCCTCTCCCCTCCCGCTCGCCCGACAGATGCCACATGTCAATGCAGGAACCAGGCAAGGTCAGCTAGCTCCCAACAACTCAACAAAAAAAAAAGTGTCCGGCACTTGCATGCGAAAACGCGGCGCCTCGTGATTGATGCCGCGCTGCATCTGGCGGTTGGGCGGGCGTTGCAGCGCAGTGGCCTCGGCGACCATCCCGGAGCTGGAGCCCTGGAGCGTCCACTGGCTCCCCCCCACACGCGGGTGCCGCACCCACTGTATGTCGTCCGCTAGCCGCCTCCGGAACTTCCGCCGTGTGCGCCGCCCACCACCACCCGCTGGAGAGATCTGTGGATTGCATCGTCATCAGGTGCCACGGCGGCGGCGCCATCCGCTCGATCGCTGACTAACTGCCGTCCATCGAGGTTGCCTCAGAAGCTGTCCAGCGCCCAACCAAGCATTGACGTTGCAGTGAGCGAGTCCCTTGGACGACTCCAGTATAAACGCCAGATATGAACGTGCCGTGGTTTCGGCTCAAGATCCTCCACGTGTCTGCCTCATACATCCTCTGCATCCCTAGTCCATTCGTACTCTGTACGCCTTTCTAAACTGTAGACCTGTCCAGCCATGCGCCTCCCGCCGCTGTGGCGCCGCCAAGCTCCAAATGAGCATCCAAAATAGCATCACGTTGATCAAACGCAGACGCGTTTCTGTCAAAACATCTGCCTCGTGAGCGCCTCGGAAGACCATCAATCATATGCTCGCTCTCCTGTCCATCACCCATCACCCGACAGCGTGAAACGCTAGCCCCCGACACAGGACGAACTTCTCCGCGCCTCGCCAGCGTTTACGGCGCAGACACGCGCGCTGAGTCCGCCTGAAACCCCCACAGTCGATCCTCAATACGCCAAAGACGCTTGTCACCACGGGGTCAGGCCCCAGCGCCCTCCACGTGGCGGCTCTCGGTGCTTGGCACACGCATATTTCACCTGTCAACCCTGGCTTTGCGTATACGCGAGGCCTCCATGGGCATTGCCTTGACATGTGAGGTGCCTTCAAGTTGGCCGTGATCAAGAGTTGAACCGAGATGCAAATGGACAAACTCGGTGCCAACATGACAGGACTGCCACTTTCCTCAGCCCGCCACATCGTTCCGCTTCCCTCCGACGGCTTCAGCTGAGAGGGTAATAAGCACCATCCGCCAAATCTCTTGTCACCAGACTGTGACTCTAGTCCTGGCCTGCAAAATAGGGCCAATGAGTGGAGATTCATTCATGTTAACGAAGCCAACTCTCGTCCCCCCTGCCACCTGCCTACTCACATTCTGCCATCCCTCAACCTCCAAATCCACAAAACCCCACGAGAACGCTCCAAGCCTAGGCCACTCAGCTGGCACAAATTCACCCCTTGATAAGCCCGGCCTCAATCGTCCAAGTCCATCGCCTTCACGATCCAGGCGTGCACATTCATGAAATGGCCTTCCACGAGTCGCTCCGACCAAAACGCGTGATCCGCATACAGCCTCGCCTGGTCAATCATCTTCCAAATCTCCTGCGCAACATCCGGCACCGTCGCCTTTCCAATCTCCTGCTTCGCATCCCGCACCGCCTTCTCGGCCTGCCTCAAGTTGTCCTGCACCCGCGGAAACGGCCAGGAGGCGCTTCGATCGGGACGTGGACGACCCGAACCATCCCCGCGTTGACTTTGCTTGCGCGCCACGATGACCTCCCGATAGTGCTTCACGAGCTCGTGGTACTTTTGGTACTTTTCGTCCGCGCGCCTCAGACTGCTGACCGCAGACTCGTAGGCTTCCTTGTCGACGATGCCGGCAAGGTCCATGTCTGAGACGATGCCGCGGTCGAGGGCACAGGCTTGACCGCTGGTGTAGGTCTCGTTGTTGTCCTTGTAGTGCCCAAACGCGCAGAACATGAGCGACCCGAGGCAGAGCTCGAGCAGCACCGGGGCGGGGCTGCCGCAGCTGCCGATGGAAGGTTCGTATGACGGCTTCGTGCCCCGCGAGGAGCTGCTGTCTGATCCGGAGGAGTGAGCAAGGCCGGCAAGCGCGGCGATAGCAAGAATGACTTTCATCTTGTGATGTGTAGGTGAAGATGCGATCTAAAGACTAACCGGCTTTTGCTTCTGTTGGTGACCCGTCCTGAACTGACGGCCCGTTGCCCTTTTTATCTTTTCCCCGTCTCACACATCCATCAACGACAGAGTCTTTAACTCGACAGAAGATACTCCGTGGCGGCCTCGTCTCATTAGCTTTCCACGAAGTAGCGGTCAAGAAGCCAGACCTATATCATGAGCCCGCCTGTCCTGTCCTTAATCCGTCACTTATCCGTGAATGCCCACGATCGAACGCGGCAATCCTCACTATAACATACAATTTATATCTTCCCCGCCGACACTCGGCCCCGCTTCAAAGCTATATGAAAGCGAAACAGTGCACCGCGCACCGCGCAAAGCCCAATAATAGTGGCTGCACTATCGTTCACCTTCACAGCGGGCCATACATCGATACGACAGTATGCTGAGGATCATGGAGTCATGGTGCATCTCCAACTCCTTCAGAGCATCGCTTTGTTAAACCAGACTGTACTACACCGCACTCGTATATACCGATGCAACAACTGGATCATCAGACTGGCTTAGGTGTAGCTTCCGCAGGTCGATACCCTCTGTCCAGCGAGGCAATCCTCCGCTGGACAAGCCACTTGAATCAAGTAAATGCATAGATCCATCGCAAAGGGACTGGCATTTCGTCTCACAAACCTGTGTTCTTGTGAAATGCAACGTTCCAGCATGTAGCGGCACGGCCAATGACATTCCAGGGTGGGCCGCAGTGCTTCACTCTATGATGTGTCGTGCAAGATGCTTATTATCGACGTGGGAAAGGCTTATGGGGCACGTATTCGGTTCTGAGTGTGTAAGCGACGTTTCCCAACCTTTCCGGCAATAGTCCCTTGGCAGCATGATACCCCATGCCTCAACCGAGACCCGAAGTCATGCATCAGACGCACTTCGTTCGCACTCGTCTGGCTCATTCGGATTCGTCTGGTACACGCAAACGGGACGACCCAATCCCAACGTGCCAGTCCATTCATCCAAACTCTTCTCAGCACAACTAGAGTCCGAGCATCTGTTTCAGTTGAGCCTGGACCAGACCAGCGGTGGCTTGAAGCCAAACGAACCCCAGCACGCCCAGACTATGCAACTTTGTCTTGGCCGTGATCCTGCCCTCGAGGAGCTCCGCACAGCCACTTCTCAGCGTCCGCCACGTTTCCTACCTCCATGTGAGCGTAGCGCGTACGATTGTACCACGTGGTTGAGCTTCAATGCACGTCGTGGGACCGATATGCTAGTTGTAGACGTCACAATCGTACTGTCTCGCGACATCGGAGACCGGGCCGGAGCGGGCTTTGGTGTCGCAGAGTGTTGTGCTCCCGCCTACATACCGGCTGTCCGTAAAGTCTATACCTCCTGCTATCATGGTTCATATATATGTGACTTAACCCGCATTTGTTATGTAAATTGTTATGAAGCGGCTCCATTCTCCCTGCTACGAGTTTCATGCATCCTGCGGCAGAACCATCTCTCAGCCTCGATCTCGCCTTTAAGACGCCACAGTGGCAACAGAGCAATGCCATGATGCGTACTACCTTGGCTGCAGAAACCAAGCGGAGATGTGAGCATATCCGGCCGTGTCCAGGAGCCACGCCCTCGTCGATTCACTCGGGCCCATACTTCAGGACGCTCAAGCGCGCCCTAAATTTTCATGTACTTTGTACTTCATCAGTCGCTACTTTGCCGTCAATGTGGCGTGATCTTGCTTCGAGCACGACTAAGGCCGAGTGCACGTACGGTCGGAGACCTTGGCAGGCGTGTCCGATCATCGACTTCTTCCAGCCTCGCCGAGAGGCAGCATATCAGATACAGCGGCACTGAAAGCTCATGCCACCTGACAGCGTGTATATCTATTCACAGCGAAATGTTCACCGTTGATGGCACCCCCAACCTGGCCTTCGCGAGCTATGCGATCGTGTATATGCTATGATCCAGTTGCGGTATGGTGTCCTTGGTAATAGCTATTACCCTGGATGATGCAAGTGCCTCTAGAATGGCCTCGCACCGATGCTTGGCCCCGAACAACCTCTCCCCGGAAGCATTGCCTTCTTTCAGCACATGTTATGGCGAAACTAGCATTTGCCAAGATTTGCTAACAGGGATATCAGTCCGCCTGGCGGGTTGGCAGCGGGGCGGGAAGACATACCAACAGTGCACTGGTTGTCGGTGTAGTGACCGTTCACAAAGCAAGGGCTCTCAAAGTCTCGGAAGGACAGGCGGTCCCAGCCACTATCGGCTCATTAGCAAACTTCCTCAAACAGGCGCGGCCAATGCATGTCATGCGCACCAGTTGACGCTCCCTCCGATATTGATGCATTCTCCAGACTTCACACAGGTGAAGAAGTAGAGCACGCCTTTCTTTGCGGTGGCGATCACTCGGTACTGGGTCCCTGGTCCTGATCGGCAGTTCACGTCTGCGTTGATGATCCTGCAACCAGCGCCACCCACACGCTTGTCAAACACCTCATCCGTGGCATTCCGAGGCTCCAGATCGCTCAATTCGGCAATTGGGTTGGCCGCAGTCCCCAGTGCCAGGAAAGAAGCGGCGATTGTGGCTGAGAACTTCATGGCGATGGTTCGAAGTGAAATGCGATCGCTTTTGGCAGAATATCTTCGACCCTGTGAACAGTGTGAAATGGCCAGTTGCGCATATTTATTTCCGCAAACGCAAACTTCAGAGAAAGGGTAAGACGGTGGAATTCTATTGCCGCATTGCTTCGATGCGGACTAGGCGATCCAGACAAGGTCTGACCCATGCAATGTCCAGGTTGCCAAGCCGTAAGCAAACAGAACATGTCAGTCGGGTCATTTTGAAGTGCTGAGGGCTCCTTGGGATCACGAGAGCAAAAGCGACACATTGTCTGCCAACTAACAAAATAGCCTTCGCCCCAGCCTGACGGATATCTCGCTGGCCTGACTGGCACCGCATACCCAACCTTTCGAGCCATTGTCGCGTCACGCGGGCCTTTGGTTCGGCGCACGCAATTGGACCAGTGAGTGAACTAGCCATACAGCAAGACTTGCCGAAGCGCTGAGCCTCCGCCGTAATGAGGCCCCGCGAGAGTCATGAAAGTCTACTTTGAACAATTGGAGCCCACGTACTTGACCCGTGTAGGACTGTAGAGAAGGGATACCAGACCTTGAGGCAATGTGTCTGTACGGTTGCCCGCCTTGCCAAATGATCGACAAGGCTGGGTGTTCGCAATGCGCCGAATGTGCAGCTGCGGTCTGCTCATCTCATACAATACCTATCCAATTGACGCGTTCAATTGCGGTGGGATCAGACGTCGGCGTCATTGTTGTATGCACATGAACCAATGAGATAGGCTGCGCCATAACAGTAGCCGAATCAGCTTTGCCATTGGCCTGGCATAACAAATACGACAACGCTGAAGGGCAACTGTACATACTTTGCACGCAGCGTGGACCAGCGGTCGCGAGAAAACATGGTAGATATAGAAGTAGAGGTGGGGTGCGTAGTCGAAGGCGAACAGAAAACGGTTGGGTTTTGGTCGCTTGGAGGTGTGGTGCTTGGGCCATGTATGCGTAATCGGAGTCAACATGAAGCGCTATACGTCCTAGCCCAGACATGACTTATGATTGAGCAGACTCGCGCAAGGTCCTGCTGGTATTTGTGAGCGAGGGGCCCTGCTGTCACGCTGGCACGGGCGGGAGTTCAGTGAGTTCACTGCTGATGCAAGACTGTCGCCTAGCCGCAACTGACATCTTAGGTCGTTTTGAGACGACGTATACCAGACGCGTGCGTACGTAGATATCCCGAGCCGACTCGAGGCCTAGTTGATGTTCTAGGGTATTTCTGAACACCCTTTGTGCACGGTGCATGTGCCTGTTGCGTCAAACCTGAGCAACAATTCGCCCGGGTGATGCGCATTGGGCTTGGTTAGCCTTGCACGAGTCGCAGCTGAGGCACGGCTTCTGTGCCATACGCGTTGCCGAAATCGATCATTTCAAGGTGTTTGGAGTTTCTATGACATCGAGACGCGCGGCGGATCTGCACTGATTCAAGGCCGTGCCGTTAAATGGCTGCCTTTTAGTTATAATTTGTCCCACATTCTATGTTGACTAATTGACCTGATGCGAGTCTGACTCCTATAAATTGACCACGAACCTCAAATACAAGTGCAGAAGGGCCAGTGATGTTTTCGCACCTGAGTTGTTCGACACCAAGTAGGTGTTCCGCCCGTTGCATGAAATGAAAATCCACTCGTACCTTATTCTCTCGCTCTGCACGGCCCTGTGTCTTTCACTCGAACCGAAACTCGAGAATATTCTCAACCCGGAAGTCGAAACACAACAAGAGGCGCCCTGTCCGCCCTCGACAGGGCGGAATGGTGGTTCTTTGGAATCGTCTCCTCCGAAGGCAGTCCAAGTCGGAGACATCTTTGAGGGGGTAATTGCACCCCAGTGGTTACCAGATCAATTCCAGTTCTAGTTTCTGACCTACAGCGGCGCAGATATGTTCAACCAAGTTTGGTTCATGCACTGTCCGGCGTCCTATGAAGACACGTTATACGAAACAGCAATGGGAGGTTCGTACTGTAACGTACATCTGCGGTGTTTATAGGGTGAGAACCTTGATGAAGTGGCGAAACTCATACATGCTGACATGAGATATAGCCATGTACCAGGGAGGGTAACAGTTGCACTTGGCAATTCGGATATCGGGGATCCGCGTGCACATGAAATCCATCTTCTGCTGAAGCCTCAGAGCTCCAGGGTGTTGACGCGGCCAGCGGCAACGCCGAGTCGAAGCAGGCTATGGGATACTGCCACACCGCGACTATTTCATTGTCTGCAAATCGAATCAGCACGCAACAAAAAAAATCGCAAGCTTTGCCTCTTGATGAACATGAACTAAGGAAAGTGATCATGGATAGAAACTGAGTTGCGGACTGCAGAGCAACGTCGAAGATGAAAGAGATGAGCGAGGATCTGATCAGTGGGTGCCAGGAACGTGTATGATTCACACGTGGGTTCGAAAGCGCAGTCAGGGTATCATAACAATGCTGGTAGAATATGGTTTCCATACATGTAGTCTGGCCCGATTCCATGTAGCGTCGCTGGTTCGGCCGGGACAGTTCGCCCACCCGCTCTACTTCAGCTCAATAGAGGAGGTATATAACCTTGTTTCGGCCCACCCTGGAACGCAGTCGAGGGGTTGAGCCTCGGTTATTACATGCGTGCATCTGATCTCTGTTTCGTCGGATCTCGTGTCTTGCAAAGACGCGCATTTGTATTGGTCTATATGCCTGGATGGCTGCCTCCGGCCGCAACCGTACATATTGCCAAGGCGGGCTACATACATGTGGCTCAACTATCCACCATGGCGAGGTAATTGACCGTCTTACTGGCCGCACTAGCGATCCTGGCCAAGTGCGCAGTGCTCTCTTCATATGCCTTGTCCAGCCTCGCGGCGAGAGTCCGCGAGATGGGCATCTTGGGCACCATACCGGGCCTCAAGATCTGCGTCATGACCTGCGCCCATTCCCAGGGCTTCGCCTCGCCGCCAGGCAGACTGTTGAAGTACTCCCAGCCAAAGATTCCGCCAATGCGATGGTGCAGCTTGTCCCGCAGCGTCACGATGGTGGCATTGAGTTGGTCGTATGGCACATAGGGCCATCCGTTGGCCGGCGATGTCAGCTGCCCAATGACGACCTTGTACGGCTTCCACCCGTAGTCGATGATGCGGAGGTAGTCATCTGGCGTGGACATGTTGCCGAAGCCTGAGTAGAACTGGGCGTTGTACCAGTCGATCTCGCGGCCCAGTCCAGACTCAATAGCTGTATAGTTTAGGTCGCCGAAGGAGTCTGGTCCGATGAGCGAATCCGCGACGGGCGCCATCGTGATGACGAAGTCGTCCCCAAAGTCCTTGTGCAGCCGCTCGATAAGTCGGTAGGCACCCTCTTGGCTCATGTGCTGTTCGATGTCCAGGTCCATGCCCTGGAGCTCGAACTGGCGGATCACGTCCCTGAGCTGTCCATAGTAATGCTCGAACGTGGCGGTGTCTCCGTCCAGTGTTTCCTTAGTGAAAGACCCAGACGCCGCACCGCCAACCATGCCCATAATCCTGACACCCGCTTCTTTCATGATCATGGTCTCATTCCATAGCGTGAGGAACCGCGGGTCCGACGGAGGATAGTCATTCAAGTGGATGACGCCGCCGGCATTGACATGGAAGGAGCAAATGTACAAGTCCGACATGGCGATGCCCTTCTCTTTGACCAGCGGCAGCATGGAAATTGGACGCCCGTTCCTGTCGTGTGTCGTTTGGAAGTAGAGAATCAGGCGCGGGTTCCATGTCGAGCTCGTGGTTGGCACCTCAGGTGCTGGCAGGGCTGATGCCAGTCCCGCTAAGACGGACGTGAAAAGTGTCGACCACAGCATCTTGGTTAGCCGTTGTTTGCGACGATGAACTTGTTGGACGACAAGACAAACGGGAGCGCCCGAGGCCTTCAAGTTATAGCTTTGCCTCGCCCTGATTTCGGTCTCCCTAGCCGGCATTGGCGCCGGCTAGCTAACCGGACCATCGCGCGAGCCGGGCACTGAGACACCCATGGTTGAATGCCGGCTTCCCTCTCGTGGCCGTAAACGATTCCCACCGCAGAGGTCGTATGAGTCGCAACTAATATTGATGCAGCCAAGAGCTCGTGACTCCATTGCCAGCATATATAAAGCAAGGGGTTAGAAGATGGTGCGATTGGGTCGTACGTTGCAAAGTGTGCGCTGCGGCCGACATCGAGAAGCCGGCGGATGGGCCAAATGCGAACGTGTTCGCGACCATGCGCGTCTTGCGGCGGGGCCGCGATTCCCAAGTGAGACAGATGCCAGGCACCTTCACGTTGCGGAGCAAAACGAAGGCCAATGGAACGAGCCGATGCGGAAGGTCGCATCCACTGGGGTTACATTCCCGCGGCGTTGGCCAGATAGATAAGTGAATTGACCGCTCACATCTCCCCTTGCCATTGGCACCGTCGGATCACCAGACCTCACAACTCACAATGCCTCGATCCAGTTGAGCGCGACTTCAGGGTCCAGCCTCTGAAAATAGTCAGGCTCCGTATGCACGTTCCTCACCGTCCCGGTCCGGTCCACGAGCAGCGTCGTGGGGACCGGCACCTCGAGCGAGTTGTCCCCATTTTTCGCTTCTAGGCCACCACCCAGCATCTCGAACACGGGCCGCAACGTGTCCGGTTGCTTCCATACGATGCCAAGCCTGCGCGCGAGCCCGTTGCCGGCGTCGGAAAGGACAGGGAACGACAGCTCGTTCTTCTCGGCCGTTGTCAGAGACGTGTCCGGAAGCTGCGGCGAGATGGCGACGAACATGACGCCCTTGCATGTAATATCGTCGAGGCGCTGCTGAAAGGCGCGCAGGGCGAGGTTGCAGAATGGACACCACTCGCCGCGGTAGAAGGTGATGAGAATGGGACCCTTGGCCAAGAGACTGGAGCTGGACACGAGCTTTCCAGAGGCATCGGGAAGTTCAAACTCGGGCAACCGAGAACCGACTTGGATTGCTGTCTGTGGATCAAAGGAAGTCTCAATGTCCCGCTTTGCATCCAGGATGGCATCTCGTATGTCCGATGGGATGGTGTCGAGGTGCTGCGTAACGCCGCGAAGTTGCGAGGCCAAAGTGGAGGCCATGTTGAATCTTGTAACAAGAGAATTGAGTGGCTATAAGCCTATGGTAAGCCAATTGATGAAGTCTGCTGGTTGCAACTCCCAGATGAGCCAGGTAGCATGAATAAATGTTCAATCGTTGACCGTTAATGTAAACAAGCCGGGCTCGCGGGGTTCAGCAGGAACCCGTCGGCCACCCAGCAGCAGGTTAAATACATCAACACCGTTGCTCGTATAGAGCGTATTACAGCTCTTTCGCCAAGCCGTCCGTCTCATCTAGTTGTCTCGTGCAGTCGCAGAGAATCGATCAACCGGCATCGCATATGAGGATGCTCCGGCCCGAGCCGGCACCAGTCGGCGCCGGGCGGGGCGTCTCCCCGACCGGTTCGTCCGAATTCGGGCGAACGCCGCCATTGGCCATTATATACGCCGACGTGCGGCTGGCCACTATACGACGTACGCGGCACCGCGGCTGCGAAACCGCCGCCTAATTGGTGTCGACCCTTGACGTGAATCCACCGTCCGCATGCCCCCAGCACCGTAACCACCGTTCATGTCGACGCCCCGTTTTCTCATCACCAGCAAACACTCATGATCCTAGAGCCACCGACATGAGCGAGTCCGTGGACCAGCAAGAGCCTCCGCGGCGGATGCGGCTCGGCACCAAGTCGTGCGCAGAGTGCCGGCGTCGCAAGATCCGCTGCATCGTACCCGAGGGCGCCCAGACGTGCCAGTCGTGCACGCTCCACGACGTCGCCTGCAGGCCGCAGCAGCCCCGGCCCCGCGACCGGACGCAGGCGGACCAAACCGCGGCGCTCCGCAAGAGGGTCGCCGAGCTGGAGAGCGTCATTGGGCGCTTCCTCGACAAGGTTGGCGAAGACCCGTCGCTCGCCGTGCGGGCTCTGCAGGCCGGAAGCCTTGAAGCGGGGAAGGCGGCGTGTCTTCCGAGGAAGCAGGCGGCGAGGCGGCAGGACGGCGAGCAACCCGCTTCGGAGAACGGTTCAGCATCGCCGGGTCTACCAACACCCTCGGCCTCTGAAGGTAGCCACCGACGGAGGCGGAGCCCCGGAAACTCGGAGGATGAAGCGTCGGAGAATCCAGCATATGCGCCGCTGGTGCAGCTCTTTCGCGATGCACTGCTTATTCGCGACAACGAGGGATCGGTGCTCGACGACGATGAGGAGGATCAACCGGCAGTGCATCACCTGCAAGACGAGCTCAGCCAACTGCGCCCCGAAATTCCGGACGAGCACATCGTCCGGCTCATGATGCGGGAGACGACGGTATACTGCTCCATGTGGAGCACCTGCTACAACGACTACGAGTCGCGGGTCCCGTGGCAAGGCTCCCCGCCGTCTGAAGTGGAAGACTACGTTGTGGCGGCGCTCGCGCGGCCAAGGTTCGACTCGACGTCGTGCAAGGCCCTCACATGGCTTGCCCTATGTGTGCAGCAGCTGCCCACGGAATGGCTGCGGCGGCACATGCCATCAGTCCAGCGCCAGCCGCTCCTGGACTCGTACACAAAGTACACACACGCCGTGCTATCCTTGCATGGTGAGGACACACTCGACGGGATCCAGTGCCTGCTGCTCCAGTTCAAACTGCTCATCAACATGGGCCGACCGCGACGCGCGTGGTCGTGCGTGCGCCGCGCCATCACTTCTGCCACCATCCTTGGCTTCGACCGACCCAACGACGGTTCAGATGGCATGAAGCTGAAAAAGAGCCTCTGGTCGCAGGCTTGCCAATTTGAGCTGAATCTCTCCATGACGCTAGGATACCCGTCGGCCACGTTGTCCACGTACCCGAAGCCCGGCGACATCCAACCACTCGGACCTCTCGGTGGCCTCGCACAGACCATCCTCCAACATATGGTTCGCATCGTCGGCGCCATTGTCAAGCGCGATCAGAACTGCGACACCGCGACTTATGAGACTACGTTGCAGATAGATCGAGAGCTCGAAGAGACCAGGGCCTTGTTCCCACAAGCCTGGTGGGGGGAGCACTCGCCCGGAGCGAGCCTCAGCCAGATCTACCAACAAGAGATCTCGAAGCTGCTCTTCTTTTCGCTCTTCAAAATTGCGCACACGCCATACATGCTCAAGTCCGTGGCGGACCCGCGATACGAATACAGTCGCATTCGAGCCATGGAGGGTTCGCGAGAAGTCATTCGCACGTACCTGCGTCTGCGCAACTACCCCGGCGCCGAGCTCATCATCTGCGACCTCATGGACTTTCAGGGATTTAGCGCCGGTCTCACGCTCGTTGTCGGAGCGCTGTCCCGGCACTGCGCGACAGGCGAGCCGTTTGAAGCCTTCTCCGAGGACTGGAGTCTGATGGAGGGCCTCATCATGAGTCTCAGGCGCACCGCGGACCTTTTGGATTGCCGCGTTGCGGAACAGAGCGTCAAGGTGCTCGAGCTTCTCTCCTCAGGCCATGATGGCAGAGACGGTGACATTGAGGCCCTGGTGCCGTACTTTGGCAGGATGCGCATCCGAAAGCCGGGGCCGAAGAGTGTCCAGTCCGTCAGCGCCATGTCCTCGTCGACACAACCCAACGTTCTGCTCGGCTATCACCCACCTCCACCGAGCGCTATTGAGATGAGCGCATCGGAATGGCCGACGATGCTGCCCATGGAGATTATTGACGAGGACGAGCTGAGAGGAGACTGGTTCGCTGTATCGCAGGACGGAGGCCAGTACAGCTGGCACCAGACACTGAGTACATTCGCGATCTTGTAGGTACATATGCAAGGCTGTACTCCAGACTATACCCCACTCAAATCTCAGCTGCTTTCGCTCTCTGCCTCGTTCTTTTACCGTGATACCCGAAAACAAGTTGTGTTTGCCGTTCTCCCCGGGGCTACTCACACAATCTTCGTAAACAATACCTTGGGGTCCCTGTCGCCCTCGTTCAATCCCCCAGGCGAGAATTGCACGTCTAACCCATGCGGCCGCCCGTCCACCCCAAACTGGAACTCAGCCTCGGCGTATGACCGAAAGTATACGACTGGGTTGTTGGCCATGTCGAGTACCATGAGCCACCAGTCGCCAGATACATGATGCAGGTCCAACACCATCGGAAATGTGAACTCTGAGCGCGAGGCAGTTAAAAGCTTGCGCTCGCCAAGTACGCTGGTCTCGTCTTTGATACGGAGTGTGATGTTCCCATATCCAGCGTTGTGATATGTGCCTTGTAGCTCGGTGATATCAACGGTCGGAGGAAGGGCTTTCTTTGGTCTTTCCGGGTATACTTCGTCGAGGACCTGGGTCAGGTTCTTCTTGCTTTCTTGCAGAATCTTGTCCCACCTAGGCTTATTAACGGCTGAAATTTGAAGCTGACGCGATTTAAGGTATACTCACTTCTTTCTCTGGTCAATGCGGTCCTCGTCCGGGATGCCAAGTTTGTCGTCAATGAGCTTAAATATGAGCTCCTCTTCGGCCGCGTTGGACGTCAATGCCGTATTTCCAAAGGCCACGACGCCAAACTTGACCTCTGGCAGCCAGTAGACGCCGGCGCCAAAAGCGTGCATGCCTCCACCGTGCGTGTACACGACGTGACCCTTGTAGACGAACCTCTCCCACGCCAGGGCATACGCCTGCACATCAAGGCCATTCGCCGGCATGGAACTGATCATTCGCGGTGTCCGGATCTCCTTGTGGACTGCCTCAGAGAGCGGGCCGCTTGCGTGGATAAGGCTCTTAACCCACTTGGCGTAGTCGAGGACGTTGGAGAAGATGGCACCCGCGCCGCTGACCTCCGTCACGGGCATGTGGTCTACCTCGTGATAGGTTTCGTTGTCTTCATCCCACCTGTAACCCCGGGCAAGATGGTACGGCGCGTGTAGAGCGTCTTCGAGACTAAATCGCGTTCCGTTCATACCGAGAGGACCCCAGATTGTCTCCTTGATCGCGTCTCCCAGCCACTTGCCCGTAAGAGTCTCAATCACATGAGACAACGTGACGAACATGAGGTTGCAGTACTGAAACTTGACGCGAGGCTCCGCAGTGGTCGGGAGATGCCGCAAGCTACGCACAATATCCCGGGGCACGGCCGACCTGCCGTCTATGATGCGAATGCTTGACATGTCGTGGCGCGGCATGCCTGTGCGATGGCTGACCGCATCCTCAAGGGTGATGTGGTTTGTCGCCCACTCATCCTGCAATATGAAGTCGTCGCGAAGCACAGACGAGATTGGGGTTTGCCAGCCTGCGGTCAAAGAAGGATGTTGCTTGGAATCGATGAGGTGGGCGAGAGTAGCCGCCGTAAACGCCTTGGTCGTCGAGGCGCCGTACCACAGCGTCTCTGGCGTTGCTCTCGTGTCCGGCAGCGTCGCATAGCCATACCCCTGCTCAAATTAACATGTGTAGCTTTACTGCGACAATCGAACTGACCTCGGCAAATATCTCTTCGTCGTCAATCACCGCAATGGCAAGCCCTGGAACCTTGCAGTCATCGAGCGTCTTGTTGACAAGCGTCGCGAACGTATCGTCAAGCGGATTCCGGGCGGATTTAGGAGACAGCGGCTTCTGCGCGGCGATTGCCACTTCCGAGGCCAGAAGCCCGGCCAGGGCAATGCGCCATGGCCATCCGGCGGCTACCATGGCGACAACAATGACACAATTGGGGATTGTGCTGCTGGCTATGGAGGAGACGAGTTGCCGTGAGTTTGTGACGTGCTGACACCCCGCAGCTGGCGCGTCATGCCAGGACGTGGAGTTCCATCACGGTGCGACAGTGACAGAATGAGGAATAGCTCCGGCTACCGTAACCTAGCATTTCAAAGCCTGCCTCTTCCACCTGGCGAGACATGATGATGGATGAGCTATCGGCATAAACATACATCAGAGGTCTTTCTCTCCGCGGTCATCGACCAAATTCGATGTGTTGCGGCTCGATTCTGTGGCAGTTGCTGGACGCTAGCAGCCAGGGGGTCGTCTGATGCAACAAGACTGACATTCTCTCCAATGCTCCGTGCTGTGGCGTTCCTAGCCTCGCATTCCACACTTACACGCCTTCAATTGGACTTGCTGTTCAACCCCGGATATGAACGTCTGGCTTATACGTCAGTGGAAGAGGGCTGGGCCTTGCAGGCCTGACCGCGTTCGCCAATCATCAGTGGTCAAACCGGCCTCATTCTTGTCCGCCTCTCCTCGAGGCCTCGCTGTGGCTGCCAGTAGTGCCGAAGCAGGACCGATTAAGCAAACTCGCCGGCACGCACGCCAACGAAGCGGCCAGGGGTTCGACCTTCTCCAACTCCTGTCCCCCGCAAACGGAGCGGACCCGGCGGCGATTGTGATCGATGCTGCGATGCAGGTCATAACCCGGGGCCCCGCCATGCGGCGCGCGCGGGTGTCATTGAAACTCGGATGCCTTGTCCACTGTGCGGTTGCAGCTCGCCAAGGAGTGTTCGAGTAGCAGTCTGCCATGAGAGTCTCCAACTCCTGCGACGGATGCGCCCTTCGAAGGGTCCGATGCGACACGAAGCGCCCGTGTCGCGAATGCACTTCGCGTTCTCTGGAGTGCACGTTTCTGCGCGCCCGCAAGAAGCGAGGGCCGAAGGGTCCGCGTCCCGCTACGTTCCACAAGGTCCAGCAGGCGCAGCAGCAGTTTGAACAGCAGCGCCGTCTCTGGGACCGGCTCGACGAGAATGAAGCCGAGGGGACCAGCGAGCCGACATCGAGCACGCCTGGCTCCAGCCCGACGTCCTGTCGCGAGACTTGCGGTCCGCAAGCTGAACGGCTGCCCATCGACGCCTATTCCCGGTATTTGCGGATATTTGACGAGCGCCTCTACGCTGTCTGGCCGGTTGTCTCGACTTCCGAGTTGATTGGAAGGTTACTCGCAGATGAGAGTGACTATGAGGCATGGGCGCTCGCAGCCTCGCTCTGCGCCGCGACAATAGCACAGCTCCGGCTGCCAGAGCACGCTCCGTCAGCAAGCGTCGGCTTCTCATCGCACGACTTTGTCACAGAGGCGCGTTACCTGCGCGGGCTCTACGACTACCGCGAGAATTGCAACTCGGCCTCGGTCCTAACGCCATTCTTCCTCCACATCTACTTTGCCAATGCCGACAAGCTGCGCACGGCGGGCATTTACCTGCGCGAGTCGATTGCGTTTGTCCATGCGCTGGGCCTCGACCGGTTGGACATGTACGACGCCATGGACGGTAACGAGAGGGCCTTGATGCTCAGGCTCTTTTGGCTGGTCTTTATCTCGGAGAGGTGCGTTTCGATCGTGCTGCCTGCGTGTTCTCATGTCCGCTGACAATCGTTTGTTGCAGAACATATTGCGCTCAAAACGAGTACCCAACCATATTGGAGCCTATCGACGAGCTTCCTCCGGACGAAGACGGGCGGGACGTCACCGGCGCGTTCGCAAGCCTCACCCGTGTGTTTGCGCACCTCCAAGGCGACGTCATGGGCCGGCCGTCGCGATGCGGCGCCGGTCTCGACTCGCGCAAAGTGGCGACCGCCCAATCAGCCCTGTGTCAAGATCGGCATAGCCACGTCCTGTCGGAGGTACAGCGCGTGGACTTGTTCGTCACGCAGCAGTGGATACGGCTCCTGATCTGGGAGTACACGATGAGGCACTTCAAGATGTCGCGCGAGTCGAGTGACCAGGCGTTCTCGTTGCTACTGCCCATCGCTATTGCGCGAGAGCTGCTGTCGCTGCTTTGCTCCGTGCGGATGGAATCGATTTGCGCGCACGGGTATGGAATGGTGAGTTGGCGCTCAATCACTATCGTTGGATCTGAGCTTGACAAGCTGACTTGTGGCAGGAACTCAAGGTATATCGCGCCGCGGATACCGTCATTGACCTGCTCGCTTGTTCGCCGGCAATAGACCACGATCACGGCATGTGCTTCGGCCTCGAGGACGTTCTCTGCTCGCTCAAAGACGTCCTGGTGGGTGTAGGCGGCCCAAAGTCGATGTTTGTGGAAAAGGTGAAGGGTCGTATGGCGAGCTCTGAGCTGGGCGACCGGCCCTGGCCATATGCCACCATGGCGCTCCCGGCGTATAATCACGATGCGCGATGTGAAGTGACGGATGAGGACAGCTCTGCTTCGGATACATTTGAGCATGATGAGCGGGTAGCAGTTGCTATTGAATGAGGACGCCAGTGGCAGTTCTGGGAAAGCACAATTGCTTGATGCCGGATCCAAGTACAAGTTTCTACATGTAGATACTGGGATCGTATATATCTCATCCGAGGTGCGTTAGGTGACGATGAGGAGGCATCAGTTGATGCTGTACCGAACTGCCGACATATGTGGGTGGCAGCTCATGTACATTTTTCCTCCAGTCAGTTTCTTGCATCGCGCTTCTTTCGAGAGTAAGAGAAGGCCCAACTCTGTATGAGGGGCTCGGCTCATGTCCCTACAGGATTTGGCAGGGCAAAGGTGCACAGCATGTTGCAGCTGCTCAGCTTGGGAGAAACACCAGGAACCACCGGCATGCACCTTCCACAACACGGACGGCATCACGGCAGCCAATGAGGCATCACGGCGCCTCGAATAAATATTGGTCCGTGGTCAACGATTTTAGTATTTCAACGATTTCACGCGTTCAATCATTTGACTAGACCAATGATTGGGCAGGTACTTACCGTATCACTGCCGTCAATGGTTTTACACCACCAATGATTCGATCCCCCGCAACAATTAACTACCATACCCACTGCCTCAGGAGGGAACTCAATTATTATTATGCGCAACCCTCTGCGCACACTCCTGAATGATGGCCCGTCCCGATCCCGACACGTAATCCCGCGCCATCCTCCGGATCGTGCCTAGCTGCTCATACGCCGCGAGGTCTATCGCGCCGAGCTCATCGCTCCCCTGCAGGCGAAAGTAATTTCGCTCCAGCCCGGGGAACTGCTCCAGGAACTCGTGGTGCTTCGCGTCGGCATCGAAAACCCGCTGCAGGACGCTGCTGAGCAGGCCTTTAATCCCGCCTCCTGGTCCCACGGGGGCGGCGCTCCCGCATCCGATGCTCACGATGGCCACGGGCCGCTCGTCTGGGAACAGCGCACCGGCTTCGCGGACGGCTTCGAGGATGGGGTTGTTGCTTGCTATGCCCCCGTCGAAGTAGGTGTAGTCTCCGATGGTCATGGGGGGGAAGTACAGTGGTGCCGCGGACGTGGCCCTTGCGGCCTGCCATATGGCGCAGTCTATCGATGGATTGGCCCTGGGATGCCGATATGTACGGAGGCGATGACAGTTTCGAGAGCACTCGGGAAGTGCGCACACGAAAGTCCGGCATGTGTCAGGGAAGACGGTAGGTATAAGAGGCACGTGGTCAGGATCAATACTCTGGCCTTCGAGATCCCGTCTCTCCGCGATGGACAGGTACTCGTGCACCAAGTTTCGCGTCTCGCTCTCAAGAGTCGTGCCGGAGAACCACGGCTTGTTCCAGTACGCATCCCACCATCGTTGGCCAGGCACTCGCCACCGGGTGGTCCTGAAGATTCTCCCGGAGATGGCGTCGTACGCATGCGCGCAGGAACGCACGTTCATGCGCAGCCGCCCAAGCATGATGGCGAGAAGGCCTCCCGTGCTCGTGCCGCAGATAAGGTCAAAGTAGTCGCACGGCCGAGGCGCGTCCGAGTTGTTGGGGGTGTCGATCTTGCGCACTTCCTCCATCAGGTGCTCGAGAACCGTGGCCGAAAAGAGGCCTCGGACGCCACCGCCGTCGAAGCACAGAATCCTGATGCCGTCCCTGGCTAGCACTGGCGGGCTGAGAGCACCACGGAGTATGCTTTTATCCCAGTGCATCATCTTCGGGACAAGCTGTCCGAGGGACTCCATGACCACTTCCAGCGAGGGATCGAAGTAGGTCCAGAAACGTACCAGGTTCTCGTGGTCGGCGTCCAGAGGGAATGACTCCGCTTCTGGAGCAACTGCCATCTCCTTGGGGACCAGTATGACCTGCAACACACATCAGCAAAATTGGTATGCCGTGGCGCTGCTTGGCACGAACACCATACCAGCCCCAGATCCGTGTAGGCTTCGTCTCGTAAAAGCACACGGTTGGGACCCGGGAGCCGCCGCAACTGTCGAAATCCTTGTTTACTGCCTCGACCTGTTCAAGGTACTCGATCAAAGCCGCAGGGTCTGCGCGATGGCCAGGGACCAAGACCCACGGGACGCTGCTACGGAAAGCGAAACTCCATCTCTCACTGGGACGACCAGCATTAGTAGTCCCGAAGAACATGAACCCTTTGATGTGCCAGTGCAGCTTCTGTGCCTCCTCGCTAGGATTGCGCGACGGCGATGAGGCAATGAAGATTTGCTTCGCCAGCGTCCCGCCGAAGCTGTGCGCCAGAATCACGATCGGTACTTGGTCGCAGCCGGACGCTTCTCGGTCCCCGAGGAGATCCCACAAGAGGCTCTCGATTGTGTTTTCGCGCAGGCCCCCGTGCTCGCATGAAACGATTCGCGCGGTTGGGAAGCTCCGCGGGAGGGCCTGCGCGAGCCAGAAATAGGTCGACTCAGATCCATCTGCCGTCCAGGACCGGAGCCAGTGGCCAGTCAACCCATGGACTGCCACAATTCTGGAAGAGTTATCGACATGTTCGCCAAAGAAAGCTGCGAAGATCAGGGGGAGGTGTACTCAATCGTAGGCTCTGCTCGGGCCCCCTCTGCCTCTCGCGGGTCGTACAGGACGTGAATCCTGCCACCACCAGCCGACCGCCCACGCAGTTCCTCCTCTGTATATCCCATGGTGTGAAGTCGTTTCAAGTGTGAAGGACTTATCTTCAGTGAAAAGACTGTGAGAGTGCAGCTGAGTGTCTTGCTACACGGCTAATGCCACTACATGTAGTCGCGTCGCTTTGCTCGGCAAGTGTCGATTCGTTATCCTGGATGCCGTTCTTGTGGATGCTCAGATAACATAGTGAAGCCAAACTTCGCACATGTAGAGTGGATGCTGAGCTGCGTTTATTATACATATACTGAGCTGCGCGGGGAGCTCCGACATCTTCTGGCAGCGAACCTTCAACCCGCAGTCTGGTGGAATGTGGCGCCCCGATCAGCTGTATGTCTCACCAGGCGCAGCATGCAGCTGCCAGCCTCTGCACCCGATAGAGTCGTCGTGATGTGATGGCGAGGTGCTGGCCGGTCGTCCTCGAACGACCTGCTCTGCATAGCCTCCAGACAAGGTTGACGCCTCAGAAGCCTACCTGAAATACGTTTAACCAAACCTACAGCAATCCAGACTCAATCTTCGTAGACGACATCGATTGATCTCTACGACTCACGATCAAAGGATGAGAAAGGGGTTGCAATGATGGCATCTGCACCCCAAGGCTTGAGGCTGAGTCGGACAAGCATAGAGCTGAACATGCCGACGAGTAAATGCCTTATGTCTGACGCCCTGTCGGCAGGGTATCGACTGCCTCTCCACCTCAAGCCTCAATGGTGGAGGGCATTCGTGGAGCGCTGTCAGTCCGGCAAGCTTGTCTCAGCCGCAGGGTATGGCCAGAAAAATAAAGTCTTCCAATCATGGCGGAATCCGCGAAGCCCATCTTGATGCGCCACCATAGCTGCGTGCGAGATGGTTCTCGGATATCGCTGGGCATTGGCGATGCCAAGGCATCATGCCACCACCACATGTACTCGAAGCTCAAGATCGACACGGCCGAGAATTCAGCCCGAAAGGTACGATGTGTTCAATCTGCATTTAGCTTGCAAGGGATCGCTGTGGCACATCGCCGGTGGCTGCAAGCGGTCGCAATTGGGGCCGACGTTTAGACCTTCGAGAATGACCCCCGATGGCGGCAGCTCACGCACCTGACAGGCGCTGTCGACGAGGTAGAATGCCTTCGAGGCGAGTGAAGCGGCATGATGACCACGGCTTGCCCCAGCCTCATGCGGCGTGCTGTGCAAGGTCTGGCGATGGTGTAACACGAGCTTCCCGCTCGCGCGTCTGAACATACGCTCGGCGGACAAGGTCACGGTTACGTGTGCACATCGTTGAGCTCCCCGGGCTGACGGCGGTTGCACTGCGTTGTCTCAGTACAGAATGTGTGGCCGAAACGGGTTGAGCGCTAATACCGTCTTCTGTGCGACCAGATCGTTGACCAGACTTGCCAGATATACTACGCGACGTCATGCCAGTTGAACTATGAAGTAGTATGGACGAATTGAGAATTGGTCCAGGCGATGACTCGAGCAGCTCAAGCGCGAGCCGGTGATTGTTGACCAGAGCGACGCGACAACTCGGCTCAACACCCAAAGTCAGCGCTGATTGATAACAACGTAACTGCTCCATTCCCCGAAAAAACCACGAAACCCACGACGGGAAAAAGCCTACCCGAGCCGCCCAGCGATGGCACCATGCGGCCGCTGTATTACAAATGCCGTGCCGCGCGGTGGACCTCGGCGCGCGGCAATGACCAAACCTCGGCCGCTGGGTGGTGGTGCGCCAGCCATGCTTCGGTTCCGCACTTCTGGCTAAGCCCTGAGTAAGCGGTCCATGAAGGACGTTAACAGCGGGCCAGAAGGCCACCGTGCCACCGTTTTCCCCCTCTCGGTGCAGAGAGTGTGTGGCTTGTTGGGGTGGGAGGTTCCGAGATTCCGGGGGTCGCGGGCGCATGAGGCTCTGGATTCGGCGGGCGGAGACGCGGGCAGCAATGGAGCCGGAGACTGCTGGGTGACGCCACTGTAAATTACTCGCAGGAGCCGGCAGGGACAGACCGAGTGCTGAGAAGCTAGGCTATAAATGCGGCAGGTGGTGCAATCGCTGCCGGAGTTGGTGAAGGGGGGGCAGCCACATGCACTGGGGCAAGTTGGAGGTCTGATCAGATATAAGACGTGCGCTCGCTCGTAGACATTTCTTTCCATGTTGTCCATCTCACCCAAGCGCGCGCTCCTCGTACTCAGCCTCGGCATCGCAGTCGGCTTGAAGAGATACTACGCGAACCCCAAGACCATGGCGACGCTCGCGCCCGCCATCGCCCTCTCCCACGGTGGAGGTATGTTTCACTTGACACTCTCACAGTCCCAGTCACAGTCACACACAATCATCTCACCACCAGACACCGGTCAATTTGATGCTAACACAAATGACACCTCAACAGGGCCCCTCCCCATCCTCAACGACCCCGGCCACAAGGACATCATCTACTCGCTCAAGAACCGCGTGCCCAAGATCCTCCGGCTCGGCACCCCCCAGCAGCCCAAGGCCATCGTCCTCGTCACCGCCCACTGGACCACCGACAAGCCCGCCGTCTCGTCCGGCAAGACGCACGAGCTGCTCTACGACTACTACGGCTTCCCGCCCGAGTCGTACCGGCTCAAGTACCCGGCGCCCGGCGAGCCCGACGTCGCCGCGCGCGTGGGCGAGGCCTTTGCCGCGCAGGGCCTCAAGCCCGACCTCGACCCCAAGCGGCCCTGGGACCACGGCGTCTTCGTGCCCCTGAGCCTCGTCGCGCCCGCCGCCGACATCCCCATCGTGCAGGTCTCGGTGCTGCTCAACGAGGACCCGGACCGGCACCTGCGCATGGGCGCCGCGCTGCGGGCCCTGCGCCGCGACAACATCGCCGTCGTGGGGTCCGGCTTCGCGTCGTTTCACAACCTCGGCACGATGCGCGCCCTCGCGTCCTGGCCGCTGGACAAGCGCGCCGCGTTCAAGAAGGACTCGGATGCGTGGAACGACGCCGTGACGGGCGCGGTGACGGCGCCGGCGGCCAAGGACCGCTGGGACAGCATCAAGCAGTGGCGCAAGTTCCCGCACGCGGACACGATGCACCCGCCCGGCGGCGGCGAGCATTTCATGCCGCTGATTGTGTGCGTCGGCGCGGCCGAGGAGGGCGAGGAGACCAAGCTCTACAAGGACACGTACACGGGCGTAGACATTTTCACGTACTACTGGGGCGGCGAGGAGGTCAAGTGAGCTGAGGTGACTGTGCTCGGCTCATGATGGTGTTTTGATGTTGTTGTATTATACATAGCGTCGCTCATTGCCTATTTGAATGAATCGTTGAGATCTTGATGATGATGTGATTATCTATGCATTTCGTGTTATTGCAGCTTGTCGTCTGCTTGGCTGAAAAAGGTCGTGTACACGCTCTTGACCATGAGAACCATGTTCATGAGCCACGCCGCCACCACCAACACCGTCATGACCGTCGACACCCACAGCACCGCCTCGCTCCCCAGCTCCTGGCCCAGGTACACCGTCGAGAGCGTGAAGCCGACATTGGGGAAAATCATGGCTGTCTCGTCAGCATCACTTCGCTCAGCAGCAGAACACAGGCACGGCACTCACCCCACCAAGTGTTGTTGAAGCTCAGCTGCCACGTCCACCGCCCATCCTCACGCTTCGCCATCGACGCGAGCGTAATGAGCAGCGCCAGCGCAAACAGCCACAGCTCAAACAACCACATGAAGACGCTCGTCCACGTCGCCAGCACGAGCAGCACCTCCCGCGCCGAGGGATGCTCCGCAAAGTACCCATACCCCTCGGGCGCGGCCCTCGCCAGCCCGATGAGCGCCACGATGGTATATCCCACGCTGCCGACCGTGATGAACAGCCCCGGCGTGCGGCTCGCCGCCGGCCACCCCTTCTCCATGAGGTGGCCAAACAGCCACGTCAGGAGCAGCATGCACCCCAGCCAGCCGAAGCCCTGGTACGCCACGCCCGCGACCATCATGGGCAGGCGCTGCGCGGGGGGCTGCGTCTCGACGAGCGTGCCCGCGACGGTGCCCGTGAGCATGACGTTGTAGAAGAGCAGGAACCACGCCGGGTGGATGCCCAGCGCCGTGACGGGCGTGCAGCGGAAGATGACGACGAAGTGCACCGTCGCGGAGAGCAGCACCACGCCCGCGTACGTCCAGAAGCAGACGCGCAGCGCGACGACGAGCCAGGCGCCCGCGTGCGGCACGCCGTAGCGCTGCGCGCCGATGATGACCGTCGCGAGCGACAGCCAGAAGGAGCCGTAGAAGAAGCACTCCGGCGCGGCGACGAAGCTGCGCCGCAGCGTGGCCGGCGTCGTGGCCCAGCGCAGAAGCATGAGCGAGGCGAAGAGCGCGAGCAGCGCCAGGTTGAGCACGTAGATGACGATGCCGATGGTCTGCAGGCCGTGGAACTGGTGAGGGCACTCGGATAGCAGCACGGCGATGCCTCCCGTCGACTGCGTGCACGTGAACCACGACCAGTCGAAGCGCTCGTCGAGCCACCGCCGGAGCGTCCATCGCCGTCGCGGCTTGACGGCATTCGTGGTGTCGGCGGGGAGGTCTGGGCCGGCCTCGGTGGCGCTGCTGTCGCTGCCCGGCTGTTCCATGAGGCTGCTGTCGCCGGCGGCTCGGGGTTGTTGTTTGAAGACTGAGTGAAAAGACTGGGTGTCTCAGCCTTTTGCAATCGCGGGCTGGAGTGTCGCGTCCATCGAAGATCCGATCCAGTCGCGTCTGTCCGTCCTTGAAGTCGCCAACGGGAAGAGCGCAGCGTCTCTCAACGTGCGGGCATCAACAACAGAAACTCCATTGACGGGCCGTAATCAAATGGGGGAAAAGTCTGCGCTACCAGCCGGACATAACTCGCTGTTTTAGACGGCTCACACTGGCACTCTGCGATGGGGTCGCCCGTGGGGAATAGTAATCCGGGCCAGAGGAACTGGCCGTCTAACTTATTCACTCGTTAATCCCGGTGAAGGCGGAACGGCGCGGCGGTTGGCGGTGGGTTCCGCCGTTGACGTCTCAGTCAACGAGTGGGCTCTTGGCGGCGACGCCACTCCCGCATCAACGGTCTGGTGCTGGTGCATGCGACTCTTGATCGCTGATGTTGCCTCCGAAGCTGAGTATCTTCGATAATCTGTTTACATTTCCCTTCTCAACACTAGAACAGCCTGAGCCACACCAGTGTACCATGATTTGCAAATTTCAAGTCTCACTCTTCTACTCCTATACCAGGGGCCAAAAGATCCCCTTATAGCAAGATCGATGGCCATGCAAGTTCTGAGCTCATACTCGACAGTAATCTGAAAGGATGTTTTCATGAAGTAAACGCCACCTCATGCTACTTTGTATGGCAATCATACATAGACCAGGACCTCCCCCCTCCCTGTCCCGACCGCCTTGATCCTTCCTCCAATCTCCAGCGGACTCCCTTCACTAACCACAAAGTGCCGTCTCTCAGCGCCCTCATCATCCGCCTTCACGCCCAAGATCTTATGAATGTTGGCCCCCACCAGCGCCAGCGCCTCCCTCTCGTTCAGCCTCCCCGCGCCGTTGCGCAGCGCCGTGCCCGCCTCGAGCCCCAGGTCGCGCACGCGCCAGTCCTCGGGCAGGCCCACGCCCACCGTGACGCCCGCGTCCAGCAGCCAGTCCACCGCCGTGCCGTTGGTGAGCGGCGCGCCCGGCAGCGTGCGGCGCGTGTCCCACGTCGCGGCCGTGGGCTGCAGCGGGAGCAGGATGACGCCGACGTGCGCGGCTGCGATTTCCGCGGCAACGAGGTGCGACTCGGCGCCGCCGATGATGGCCATCTTGATGCGTCGCTCGCCGCCGTCGTCGTCGTCGTTGTTCTTCAAAACGCCCTCTACCTGCGCCTTGATGCGCAGCGCGGTGGCGATGCCGTCGGCGCTGTTGATCGTCAGGGCGAGCACCATGTCCCCCTTGACGACCTTGCGCAGGTACGCAAACTCTGAGTACGAGTCCGTAGGGTCGCGCTTCGCCCTCGCCGCATCCATGAGCTTCGTGCGCAGCTCCCCAAACGCACCCGAGTAGCTGTCCTGCCCGCGCACGCCCAGGTCCAGCGTGTAATGCACCGCCACGTCCTCCGCAAACACGGCGCCGCGCTCGAGGCTCGTCGCCGCCGTGGTGACGAAGCCGACGCTCGTGCCGTGGTGCGACTGCTGGCCGGTGAACTTGGGCGCGGAAATGGCCCGCGTCACGCCGTACTTGGCGCCCGCGTGCAGCTTCTTGCCGCCCAGCTGGAGCCCGTCGACGGCCCGCGTGAACTTGTACGGGTTGTCGCCGTTGTCTGTCGCGCTCTCGGCGTCGATCTCGTTGAGGCCCAGCGTGCCCGCCACGCCCGTGAAGGCGTGCGTCAGGTAGCCGTGCTTGAGCGCCACGGGCTTGACGCCGGCGGCGGTGGCGGCGGAGAACTCGGATTCGCAAACGCCGATGCAGGCGATGTTGCCTTTGGAGACTACCACGTTGACGGGCATGCCATCCGAAGCTGCCTTCTCGTCCTCGCCATTCGCCAAGAGCACCTTTGTCACGCCCGTAAACAGGGCATCGGCAAACGTCGTCGGCTCCTCGATAATGGTAGCCAGCGCCTCGTCTGGCACGATGGGTCCGTCTCGCGACTTGGGAAGCTCGACGGGGTCTTCAAACTGCGCCGTGCCGTCGATCCAGACCTGCACAGGCGCGGCACCCACGCTCAGCGGATCACTGTCCCAAACGACTACGTCGGCGTCAAATCCCGGCTTGATCTTTCCGAGACGCTGGCCCATGCCGAGGTCATCGGCCGGAGCCGTCGTCACCGCCGCCAGGGCCGCGTGGTAGGGCAAGCCATAGCGGTAGCCCTTTGCGGCCTCGAAAAGCACGTGCTGGGCGTTGAGCACGGGGTTGTCGCTCACGTAGACGGTTGTCAGGCCGGCGTCGTACAGATGCTTGCCCGCGTATTCGGAGCCGACGTACGCTTCCATCTTGTAGTACATGTTGTCGGCGAAGATGGCCGAGGACGGTGTTCGGCCGCCCCAGGTGCGTTTCAGGATCTGTTGCGCTGGTCAGAGAGACTCATCACGTATGACGGCGACGGACAGGACAGCTCACCTCTGGCACGAGATACGTCTGGTGCGCGTGGTGAAAGGCCCTGACGGGAAACTGAAACTCGTTGGTGTGGTCGACCATGGCCTCCAGATCGGGGACCGTGTAACAGTGCGTGTTGATGTGCACCTGTCCGCGCAGGGCCGCCCCCAGCGACTCCCAGAATATCTCTTGTGGCAGATACTCGTCCATGCTCTCGACACCCACAGCCTCGGCCTTGTCACACCAGTCGTCTTGCCGCCGGATCAGCTCCCTTGCCCGTTCAAAAGCGTGGCGGAAATCATAGCTCTCGCCCATGCGACTAAAGGGCCGCTTCCCGATGCCGCCGTGAACGTTCTTGGCGTTCTCGCCGCACGCCATCTTCATGTAGCGCCAGGTGCGGTCCGGATCGGCGAGCATGTCGGCAGCGCTGATCTCGCTGCGGCCATCACGATGACCGACCGCGTGCTTGACGAGGTAGGCCTCGCCACCCATGTTGTTGCCGGAGCCTGGCAGCACAAGCGACGTGGTGACGCCGCCCGACTTGATGACCTGAATTTGAGGGTCAAAGGGGTAGATGGCGTCGATGGCGCGTGCCCAGGGAGTGATGTTGTCCGACATTTCATTGCCGTCCGAGTTTCCGTTGAGTGTAGGCAGGGAGTAGACGCCCGTGTGGCTGTGCATGTCGATGATGCCGCTCGTGAGCTGCCTTCCCGCGGCGTCGTACACGAGCGTGTCCTTGGAGAGGTGGCGCGCGTCAATGTGCGTCTCGACGCGCGTGATGAGGCCGTTCTCGAGCAGGACATCGCCCGTCGTCCACTCCCAGCCCTTGCCGGCCCTAGCATCCTCGTCACTGGTACCCTTAACGGGCTCACCGACCCAGATCGTGGCGTTCTTGATGAGCGTCGGCTTCGCGCCGTCGATGTAGCGAGCGTTCCTGTCACGGCCGAGGCCAATTGGGTCCTTGGGCTTGTGCCGCAGCCGCTTGCACGTCGCGAGATCCTCGTTGAGCTTCACCTGCGAGAGCCGCGGGGCGCGCGCGTCGGAGCGCCAGAGCTGCTTCCACTGCGCGACGACGAGCAGCGCCAGACACGCGAGGCCGAAGAGCTTAAAGGCGCGACGCCGACGCGGTGAGCCGTGCCGTCCGCGCAGCCGCGACCAGCGGCCGGCTGGTGCCGCGACGGCGCTGTACGGCGGAAGACTGTTCTTTTCATCCATCATGATGCCTCTGCCATTCCAATGGCCAAAGCTGATGAGGGGGAGGCGGAGGTTTTGATGTCGATAAGAAGCACGCGACTGCGACTATCGGAGCTCATTGTCGTCGATTACCAGCCCAATTCAGAAGGTCGTTGGCCGCGCCCACGGGCGTAGCACGGAATGAAGAGCGCTGCGACCTGTCAGAGAGGGCAGTGCGGGGGAGACTCCAGCGGCTTCTGGTACGGTACCCGCCCGAGCTACCATCGGTGTAGGGTATGACGGCAAGACATGGTGCGAGAGCTCCGAGGTCACCTTCTCCCGTTTGCAACGCTCTCGTAATTGACACGACATGGCGATCTGATAACTATTCAAATTCGATTTCTTCGTTGGCCTAAAATAGCAATATGTTGACGGGTTGTGTGTGGATGCAAGATCCAGGATTGCCCTCGCAGATTGCGACTTGGTGATGCCCCGGCAAGGGCGCTGACCCAACGCCTGGCACCAGTCAAACCCTGCGTTTATGCAGTGACAAAAACCCGATGTCGAACCGGCCGGGTACATCAAAGAATGGCAAGCTACGTCTAGGCAGTAGTTGGGCAGCATCAGATCCCGGAAGCACACCACTTGCTGCACCGCAAAACTATGTCTAGCACATCTTAAAACCACCTCACGGCAACCATGGTTCAATGCGCGAACCAAATGCCCCGCTGTCAGCCAGCAACAACGTTCCGGCCCGTGCACGTTGTCAATCCCTCCCACAGGGCGCCACGTCTCGGCTCCGGGCTTGGGGCGCGGGGAGTTTCCGCTCACCCTCCCCCACCACGGCTCCCCGGCCGGCCGCGGGTACTCAACCAACGAACCCCTGGAATCACCTCAGTTGCCGAACGACCCCACGGTGAGACTCCTCGCAGCTCACTCAAGGCGACTCGTATCCGGCAAGGCCATAATAAGACGCACCTTCTGGCTTCACCGGGAGTTCCGTGAAACTCTCCCACAAAACCCTCACCGGCCAGTGGCGCATCAATCGTTCAGGTGAGAGTCGCAACATGCCCTCGGACAAACTGCCGCGAGTCGCCTGGCTCGGCCTGGGCAACATTGGCCTGGTATGTGGCTCACTGCCCACGACGGCAACTTACAGAAACTAAACGCGCACTCGTCAGGCTGTGTGTAGGAACCTCGCCAAGTATGGCCCGACCAACGGCCCCGTCACCGTCTGGAACCGCACGCATCAAAAAGCTGCAGACCTTGCCGCCGAGTCGGACGCATTCGTCGCCGCCACAGACCTCGCGGACGTGGTGTCGAGCAGCGACATCATCTGCCTGTGCCTCGTCGACGATGCTGCCGTCGCCCAAGTTCTGGATGACGCCATCCGCGCGACAAGCGTCAAGGGCAAGCTCTTTGTCGACTTCTCCACTGTCCACCCAGACACGGCGGCCGCGCAGGCAGACAAGCTGCCTCGCCATGGCGCAGAGTACTTGGCTAGCCCGAGTGAGTACAAAGGCCGACACACGACTACTACTATGAACGTCGCTGACGGGCTGCTGCAAAATACAGTATTTGGAGGCGTGCCGTTGGCTGTAGACAGGCTCATCACACTCGTCCTAGCCGGCTCTGCGCAGGCAATAGAACGGTTCACGCCTTTCACGGACGGAGTGTATGTGCCACCGACTTGACCAGACCGCAAACGTACTGATAAGTCGGCAGAATCTGCAAAAGCACCATCCTGCTCGTCGACGAGCCCTGCGAACAAGCCAGCCTGCTGAAGCTCATCGGCAACTTCATCCGCTTCTCCACCATTGAAGTCCTGTGCGAAGCCAGCGTACTCTCCGAGAAGCTCGGCATGGGACAAGAAACGCTGTCCAAGTTCGTTGAGACGCTCATCCCGGGCCCCGCGGCTGGACAGCTGCGCATGCTCAATTCGGGGTCGTACCACAGCGAGAAGAAGGTGAGCCCACCGCCTGCCCGGACAATGTCGCTCGTGTTGTGCTGACAGGGTTGCCAGCCCATGATACCGATAAGCATGGCTGTCAAGGAAAACAATCACTTGAATGACCTGGCACAAAAGAACGGTGTGAAGCTCAAGACGCTGGAGACTGTCACACACCATACCAATAGCGTCACTGCGAAGCGCGGACCTGATGCGAACCTGTTGGCCATTTATGGCTCAATACGAGAGGACTCTGGTCTCCCGTTCGAAAATTAATCCTTACATCAAACATGAAAGTAGTTTAACCCATCCGGGAAAGCAAAGCTCCTTCTCTCAGCAACATCCTTGTTGGTACATGTGCCGGCTCTCAATTGTCCTCTTGTCCACCAAAGCCTCGTCTCGTATCCTCGGCTTCCATCTCTCAGTGGTAGGTGAGTTGGACGGACACACGCAGCCTACGCGCCGTGTAGAGCTCAAACATGCGGGTCAAGTTGCGACGGGACCTGCGCCTGGCCAAGCCCCTCGCAGTTTCCAGCCGTCCATACGCTTCCTCGGCGTCCGGGTCAACCTCCCCGGTGGCTAGGAGCTGTCTCACGATTTCGCCCAGGTTGCGGTCAGTAGCCAGCCTCAAGACCGTGCGGCTGTGACGGTCTCTCGCGGCAGGGTCCGCGCCGGCAAGGAGGAGCAGCTCGACGCATTTCTCACGAACATCCTCGGTGATGCCGCCGCAATCGATGACGTGGTGAAGCGGCGTGAGGCCGCTGCGGCAGCGTGCTGAAGCGTTGACGCGTCCGGTCGCGAGGAGCATTCGGAAAAGGTCGACGTTGCAGAGACGGGCGGCGTACATGATGGGCGTCATTCCGGCGGCGTCGGCGACGTCCACGGCGAGCTCGACGCCAGCTTCGGCGGCAGCGCGAAAGAGCAGCTTGACCAAGTTCATGTCGGCGAGAATGCAGGCGTTGGTAAGGGCCGTGCGGTTGTACATGCCCGTGACGTTGACGTCGGCGTCGTACGCGGTGAGGATGGTGGCCACCATGTCCAGGTTGCCGAGAATGGCCGCCTGAACGAGAACGGGGTTATACCTCGCCTCTTTGTAGGCGACGGAGGCGCCGACAACGATGGCCTGGCGAACAGTGCCGACCACGCCTTTCTGAACCCCCCACTGGAGGAGGTAGGGCCGGCCGGCGGGGATGTTGCGATGGTACAGGGTGATGTTGAGGCGGCCGCTCGTGCGGCGGCAGGTCTGCACCAGGGCGTTGAGGTCGCGGTCGGAGAGGTACGCGGCAACCTCGCTAAGGAGGTGGTCGTTGAGGTACTTGAGAAGCATCCTGGCTGATCTGTTTGATGAGTTTCATGTCGTCCCTTGATGGGCCCGGTCGATCACGGCCGCTGGGAGATGTCTTACGAGATGCGTGCTGGCGAGCGGGGATGATTTGTACTTTGTAGGGTGTTTGGTGTGATGTGAGAAGGAGAGAAACAGATAGAATGCAAACGCGTAGAACGGATTGTTTTCATGGCCTGGCCGCGCGACCTGGCACGGGGTGGTTGCTGGGCGCGCAGCTGGCAGACTGAACAGACCAGACGAGGTCGGTGCAGTGAATCACTGTCAACCGTGAACAAGGCGACCGGCCGGGCAACACGCGCCCTGTCCTACCTGTTCAGTAGCCAGGGAGCCCCTTTGTTGTTCCCCGGCGGCGCGCCATAACGATTCCTGGCTCCTGGGACGGCCACAGGATAAACGACTGGACCTATCCATGGCATGGCAACGGGAGTCCTGTCCCTGTGGCTTCTCCTGATGCCCCGAGTCCCCAAAAGCGCCCCGTTTTCGCATCGTAAGGCACTTGCCGACAAGAACCAAGTGCACAGCTTCATGCCCAAACGATGAGAGGAACCGGTCACTGTTGAGCATGGCCAAGAGCCATCAGCCTCAGCGACGCCGCCTAAAACGATGCCACAGATCATCATATGCGGTATCGCGCGCCCTTGCTCCCAGCCAAATTTCTTTATTCCTCTCACTGTGCTAGAGACTGCTTCCAAACTGGTTCGGGGCCGGGTCCTTTCCCGGAAGATGAGATGCACTGCACTTGCCGAGTTCATGTTGCGAGTGACGATTTGCACCACTCGGTCGACGGCTTCGTCAATGCGCCACCAGCGCTGCCGCTTCGCTCATGCGGGTAAGTCGAGTCTAATGCAGGAGACCCGAAACCGCACCCGCCAGGAACGAGCCGTGAGCGGGCGGCATCCCACCGGCAGCCACACATTCACGCTGACATTTGCTCGTCGATGACTTCAGCAACCCCGCAACCCCGCAGTCACTGCATTCCATTCCTCTAAACGGCAACATCGGCCGATGGTATAAAGCTGCCCGAGGACGCGCCCTGCTCAAACACTTTGCCTGTCACTCGAAACACCCAAACCATCAGACCAGAACCGCAGCCATCCAGCCGCCATGTCCGCCCCGCGAGCGAAGCGCGTCAAGACCAACGACGACGCCCCCTACGAGCTCATCTACTGGCCGGGCATCCCCGGGCGAGGCGAGCTCGTCCGCGTCCTCTTCGAAGAGGCCGGCGTGCCGTACGCAGACACGGCCAAGACGGAGGGCAACAAGGCTGCGCCCCTCGTGCTCGGGTACATGGACGCGGGCAACACGGGCGACGCCACCAACCCGCCCGTCTTCGCACCGCCGGTGCTCAAGCACGGCAGCCTCACCATCAACCAGGTGCCTAACATCCTGCTCTACCTAGCCCCCAAGCTGGGGCTCGCGGGCGCCGACAGCGACGGCGACGGCCTCTTCCACCTAAATGAGATTGTCCTGACCCTGCTGGACGGCTTTGTCAATGAGATCCACGAGACGCATCACCCCGTCGCCACGTCATTGACGTACGAGGAGCAGAAGCCCGAGGCCAAGAAGCGCGCAAAGGCATTCACAGATGAGCGGCTGCCCAAGTTCTTGGGCTACGTCCAGCGGGTGCTGGACGCGAGGACGAGCGGCGACGGGCCCTGGCTGTACGGCGGCAAGCTCACGTACGCGGATCTGGTGCTCTTTCAGGTACTCACTCACTGCGCAATGTTCTGGTCAATTGGAATGCTGACCTCAAGAATAAGTGCCTGGATGGAACCAAGTATGCATTTCCCAAATCCGTGGGCAAGCTGCAAGAGTCGGGCAAATACGACGGCGTGTTCAAGCTTTACGACGCGGTCAAGGAGCGACCGAACATCAAAAAGTATCTCGAGAGCGATCGCCGCGTGCCATACTCGAGCGGCATCTGGAGGCACTACCCTGAGCTCCATGTGGATGCGCCCGGGATCCACGCCCATGCCCTGCAACGCTTCGCTCTGGGCCTTCATGAACGGCAACGGGCCGCAAATGTAGTAATCCGCGTCGGGCACGACGGCCACGTCCTTGATGCTGCCCAGGTCCACCCTGCCGACAAAGTCGTAGTCCTCGCCCTTCTTGTCGCCGTCCGTCACCTGCTCGTAGAAGACGGCGCGGCTGACCTGCGGGTTCTCCGCCACAATCTTGGACAGCGTCGGCTTCATGGCGTGCACGCGCGAGTTGCGGGCGGCGTGCACGAAGACGACCTTGCGCTCCTTGGCCTGCTCGACCAGCGTCTTGAGCATGGCCATCATGGGCGTCAGCCCCACGCCGCCGCTCATGAGCACTGCCGGCGTGGTCGCGTTGACGTCGAGCACAAAATCGCCAAACGGGAAGCTGACGTCCAGATCTGCGCCCACCGGCAGAGACTCGTGCAGGACGTTGGACACGCGGCCCGCTGGTCGGTCATCCTGGGCGAACTCCCGCTTGACGGAGATCTGAAAGTACTTTCCGTTGGGAACATCCGACAGGCTGTACTGTCGGGGCTGGTACGAGCCCAGCTCGGGAACGAAGCACCGGACACTGACAAACTGACCGGGCTGGTAGGCCGGCAGCGCGTCTCTATCTTCGGGCGTCAGGTGGAAGGAGATGATCTCGTCGCTCTCGGGGACTTTGGCCGACACGAAGAACTTGCGCCATCCCTTCCACCCGCCCGGCGTCGCCTTGGCCTGGCGGTACAGGTCGCTCTCGAATTGGATGAAAATGTCGGCGAGCTGCTGGTACGCCGCTGCCCAGGCCTCGAGAATTTCCGGAGTCGCGGCGCTCCCCAGCACGTCCTTGATCGCGGCCAAGAGGCCCTGGCCGACGATAGGATATTGCTCCGCCGTGACGCCCAAGCTCGCGTGCTTGTGCCCGATGCGCGAGACGGCCTCCTTCAGCGCCCCGGGGTTATCGATGTTGGACGCATATGCCCAGACGGCGTGTGCAAGAGCGGCGGGCTGCTCGCCTGTCGCTTGATGTGCTGTGTTGAAGATATTTCTCAGTTCGGGGTGGTCTTGGAGGAGTCGCTTGTAGAATAACGTTGTGATGGCGATGCCGTGCTGTTCCAGCGCCGGGATGGTCGCCTTGACGATTTGCTTCTGCTGGGTGGTGAGAGCTGGTGTGGCCGCCGCGGCGAAGCTTCTCCGCGCCGCCGGCATCCACGATCGGGATCCGGCCCGCAGAATCCTCTGTGCAAACATGGTGATGTGGCTGACGGATGAAAAGGTAACACCGAACAGACGAGAGCTGCTCAATGGAGCCAATTGGTGGTTTATAATACACTCAAAATACAATTACAATGCCTCAATGACAGGAAACACAAGGGATTAAAAGAGCTTCGCGGAATCGGATCTGCCGGATGAGGTGGATGTGACGTCTTGTTATACCTACGTTTTCGTCGGAGGCGTAAACTCAATGGCAACGGTCAAGACTCAAGCTTCCTCGAGATGCCCGGGGAAGGTGGAGAGCGCACCCCCGGGCCATTCACTGTCGCATGATTAACTATACGACGGTCCCCTGTGCGACTGGGTCCACCGCCTGCCATCAGGGATGCGGCGTCCGGAGATGCGAAATCCAGCTCGTACCGCCCAATGGACGAAGCTGGCGCATCCCGGCCATGAGTTCGGGTGGCCCCCTTCGCGCAGAAAAATGGCGTGTTGTGGCTTGTGTGGTGTGCTGACCTCGTTCCATAATTCAGGTTCGGCGATGCCTCGGGGCCGCCCCGTGGCAATTATCCAGGGACAATGACAATTAACCGTCATGGTTTTACTCATTTTTTCTTCTTGAATTCACGTGCCCTCGACTCTTGTTCCGTAACGACCCGTTTGCTCTATAAAAATTGCCCTCCTCCGCGGAGAACAGAGCATCGGCAATGAGCGTGGCAATAATTAATTGCGGACCTGGTTGCAAAGGGAGCGACCGGGGAGCGCAGCGTTCTCGCTTCACCGCGAGATTGCCCGACGCCGTGGCACTTGATGCTTCCGGATACTCATTGGCCTTGGGCAGGACTGTGGTGTCAGGGCCTCCACGTTTCTCAGCGGCAGGCAACGTCTCATCGAAAGGACGGCTCGGCTTTTCTGCCGCGGCACGTTGAGGGAGGCAACCTGGCGCCGCGCTCTTTCATTCTCATGCCGAAGGTTTTACTGATTAACATGGAGCTGACGGATTGTTTCTAGCCAGGCTTCTAGCGTTCGCCCCATCTAAAAAAAGCATTAAACGTCTAGGATTACAGGACACGGACGAAAATGAGAACAAAAGAGATCTAAAGGTGACAAGGCCCACCATGAAGAAGCGTCGGCCACGGGACCCGAATATCCCAGAACGCAACAACCGCATTTCGCCCCCTTCAGCACCTTCAGGCCGCAGTGTCCAGGCTCTGAGCTTCACACATCTTCTTATACATGCCGCCTTGCTTGATGAGCTCTTCGTGCGACCCAGCCTCGGCAATCCTGCCGGCGTAAAACACAAAGATTGCATCGGCGTGTCGAACGGTGGAGAGGCGATGAGCCACTGCAATCGTGATCCTGTCGCCGCTGCTCGCCGCCTCCATGAGCGCCGCCTGGACAATCCGCTCGGACTCGGTGTCTAGAGCGCTCGTCGCCTCGTCGAGGAGAATGACCGAAGGGTTCCTTACAAGTGCACGGGCGATGGCTATGCGCTGCCGCTGGCCGCCAGACAGTTGACTGCCGCTGGTGCCGCAGAGAGTGTTGAGACCCTCTGGCAGGGAGCTGACGAAATCCCATGCGTTGGCAGCCCTACAGGCGGCCTCAATCATGTCGTCGTCGACAGCATGCGCGTTGGGGTCCCCGTCGACGCCATCCGTGTCGATGCCCATTGCGACGTTCTCGCGAATGCTGACGGGAAAGAGCACCGGCTCCTGCTGGACGAGCGCGACCTGTCGGCGGTATAGCCGTGGGCTGAGCGACGTCAGCGGATGGCTCCCATCGATGACTATTTGCCCGCTCGAAGGATCGTAGAAGCGCTCGAGCAGAGAGATCATTGTGCTTTTGCCACAGCCTATGACTATCGGTTAGCGATGGCCGTCCTGCATGTGGGCTTGATGCCATCATCGAGGGACCTCTTACCCGATGCGCCAACGAATGCGACAAATTTCCCGGGTTGGATCTATGCGCTCAATTGTCAGCAGCTTGTTGAACGCCCGGGCTTCATGGAATCGCACATTCAGGGAGATGCCTTTCAGCACGCGGTTGTTCGGCGCGAGCGGATAGGCAAACGCGACATTCGAGAAGTCATACGACTTGCAACCATTTGCCGGCGCAACTTGGCGGTTCTCCGTCGTGTCTTGTATCGTCGGCACAAGATTGCATAGCCAGAAGTAGTAGTTCGCCGCGGAACTCGCCTTTGTAAAACCTGTCATGACAATTGTAAGCGCATTGCCGTCCGCCTCGGCGAGAGAACATTTAAGGGTCTGGTACTTACTGCCGGCGAAGCTGAACATCTGGCCCGCCCCCTGCCCTGCAAAGTATACGGCCATGAAAGACACAATGAGTTGGTAGAAGCTGATTTCGCCTTGTGACAACAGCTTCGATCCCCACCTACATGTACACGCAGCGTTAACAATTGGACGAAGCACAGGGAGAATTGGTCACAAACCAGAAGCCCAGTCCCAAAACAAAGTACTCAATAGACTGCGTGAACGAGAAGAAAATCATCATCGTAAACAATGATTGCCTCGAGCCGGAAATAGCGTGATCCAGCTCTGCTGTGTACCTTCGCAAGACTGTCTCCTCGATGGCTAGCGACGACACGGTTCGGATCGCGTTGACCGACTCCGAGGCCACGGACGCGCTATTCGAGAACCTGCTGTCGATGTTGTGGTCCATCTTTGTCTCTGTTCGAATCCGAATATAGCCCGCCAGCACCATGGGCGGGATGCCAGCACACACGCCGACAAGCCCAAGCTTCCACGACGTCGCAATCGAAAGGATTCCGCAGGCCAAGATCATGACGATGCAGATGACAATGAGCGCAATGCTAAAGCCCATGAGCTCAAACACTGCCTGCGCGTGCGAGTCGATGCGACTGATCAACGCCCCGACTGTGTTCTCGGGGCGATCGAAGAAGCGAAGGTCCTGTCGCAACATGGCGGACAACATGTCCCGTCGCACGCGTTGCCCAAGCGCCTGACTTGCATCAGTATGCGACCATTGAAGTAGCTCTTTTCAGTGCACTGACCTGGGAGATGACGTTTGTGGTCCAACCAAGGACGAAGAAGATGCACAGCAAGCCAAGAGCCATGACGAAGAACATGAGAGAGATAAAGTTGCCGCGGCTTTGCATATCGGAAGACCCAAAGACGTCCATGACGTTGCCGAGCAAGAGAGTCTGCCCGGGATACATGCCAGCTGCATCATGATTTAGCAATGGCCGTTACTAGGAGTTGTAGGAGAACTCACCGCCAATGACACATCCAGCTAGTGACACGGCGTACCACGTCCAGAGCTCGGGTGTGTTTGCAACGAGCCTCAGTACTGTGTGAACAACGCCAGTGCGGGGGGCAAGATTGTAGTCTTCGCGATCCTTAAGGTCCAACGCCGTTCCATCTTCTGTACGCGTTTTCGCCAGGGATTGTCGTTCTTTCAGCGCGGCGCTGTTGTCCTCCTCAGAGCTGTCGTTGTCTTTCGTAGCTGCGTGTGGTGACAGGTCCTGCGCCTTTACCAAAGTCGAATACGTACCGCCTCGGGCAACCAGATCATCATGCGTACCCTGCTCCAAGATTGAACCCTTTCCCATCACAACGATGTTATCGGCATCTCTAATCGTTTTGAGCTTGTGGGCGATGACTATCGTGGTTCGAGACTTGGACGCTTCGTCTAGTGCCCTCTGCACAATGGCTTCAGAATTCGGGTCCAGCGCGCTCGTCGCCTCGTCGAGGAGCAAGATCTTTGGTTCGGAAATGATGCTGCGTGCAATCGCAATTCGCTGCTTCTGTCCTCCGGACAACAACCCGCCGCGCTCTCCGATGCGGGTGTCGTAGCCCTGGGGGAGATCCTCAATAAAGTCGTGCGCGAAGGCGACTTTAGCGACGGCCTTCACTCTTTCGCGCTGCTCTTCTTGTGAAGACGTCTCCCACGGAGTGCCTACGAGCCCATTGGCAATATTCTCGAAGACAGTACCGTTGAAGAGAACAGGTTCCTGATTTTCACAAGTCAGCGGCAAAACGCATCAACAAAGCGCTGTCTTGGAAAGCGCACCTGTTGCACAAGTCGGATATTGGTCCTCAGCCATCGGAGGTTCAGATTTTCAATATCGGTACCGTCTAGGCGGATGGTTCCTGATGCTGGGCGATACCACCGTTCGAGAAGGCCAACGATCGTGCTTTTCCCGGAACCACTTGCACCCTGCGGAATCATAAAGTCAGTCGAGGGTTCTCCTTCGCTTGGAAGGTTGCTAACGTACCACAAGAGCCGTCACTTTCCCGGCTGGGACTGTCAAGCTGAAATCCTGCAACACACGGACGGTGGGCCGTGTAGGATAGCTGAAAGTCACGCCTTTCAACTCGACATTTCCAGACGTGACCAGCGGTTTCTCCCCAGAAGGATCGAATGGATCAATGTCTGACGGACGGTCGATGAGGCAGAAGAGCTCGGATGCCGCGGTCGAGGCTCGACTAAAGGTCACAAAGTGTGGCGCGACCGAATTGATCGTGCTGGCGGCGATAATGACCGAGAATAGCACACTTGAATGCTATTAGCGCGAGAAACATCATGACTTGATAGGGGGCTACATTGAATACGTACGTGAAGACCGTGCCGATGTTGTCCACTTCGCCTCGAGCAATCATGCTGATGCCTTGCCAGAACGCAAGACCCATGCCAGCAAATAGGATAAAGTATTCTCCGCCAAACATGATGCCATACAGAGGACTTTTCTTTCCTCCGAGGTCTCGAGCCTCTTGAAGATGCTTCTCGTACTTGGACACCATCCGCTGGTGAAGGCTGAATGCGTGCGTCGTACGCACACTCCCGAGCACCGACTCGGCAAACGCACCGGCCTTGCCGAACGTCCTGAGAATCTTCGTCTCAATCTTTGCATCAACCATGGCGACGCCCGTCACGATAATCAACAGAGCCGGGAGGATGCAAATGATAATCAGCGTCAGTTTCCACTGTGTCTTGAAGGCAATGATGAAGGCGGCGACAAAGGTTGATAGTGCCTGGAAGACCTGTCCCAGCTTCTCCGCGATGCCGTTCTGGATGAGCTTGCCATTTGACGTCGCCTGCATCGCAATAGAGCCACTGGTGCCGTGGTCAAAGTAGCTGATCTCTTGACTGAGGGCGGACCGTAGGTATGCGCGCCGCAGATTTCGTGTCAATTTGAGCGCGACATACGTGAGGAGCGACGCGTAAACGTAGGTCAAAACGAGGCGCGCGATACCGATATAAACGAAGTAGAGGCTGTGCGTCTCAGGTTAACTTTCCTGCTGTTGTCTTGTTTAGGAAGTGAGACTAACGAGTATTTGGCCGCTTGGTCCACGAAGTTGCTTGGTGGCTGTCCCTTGCCAGTTGTGAAGCCGCTAAGTAAGTTGATGAAGTTGCCCATGACAAGATTCACCATGGCCAGGGCCACGCCGGAACCAATAGCCGCAACAATGCCGACGGATTCGAGTGCATAGTCGGAGGTCGATCCATATCGAAATACCCGCTGCGTCGAGTCGGTTAGCAATAGGTTATCTGGTGGTGGGAGATGGGATTGTGTCGTACCAAATATCCGTTCTGGCCAGAAGGCTTGCTGGGCGTGCTCGTCGGCTTGTCATCTTCTGACGTTGATGGCCTGCTCGTTGACCCCGGGGGCTTCTCAGTGGTGCCTTGTGTCATCTCAGTATGATTCGGGCTTTAACCTGTGCGTGAAAGAAAAGAACATTAAGCTGACCAACGCAGAACTGACCTCAACTGGAATGGCGCAAAGTCATTCTTAAGGGACGTGTGATTGAGGCTGAGCCTGTTCAGAGACATTTGGAAGTCCGTGCTCTGGTATCAATGCCAAGTGATGAAGCTTCTCCGTATACTTCGGCATCTCAACGGACTGCTGAAAGTCCGGCCACGCGGTTCTGGAAGGGGTAAGGGCCGGCAACTCGGACGCTCCGGAGGGCCGGGACCCACTTCTCTTGCGCGGCCCCACACCGTTTTGCTTCACACAGCCTCAGGTCAGGCCTCGAGCTCTCGAGTCACTCACAGTGACTGGGGGACGTCAAATGCCTCCCTGGAGATTTTCTCCTGGTAATGCAAGATGGTTCTTCCTTGTCCGTAAATCTCCAGACCGTGGCTTCCTGCATACTTTGGAAAACCGCTCCCTACGACGCCCGGCTGTCAAGCCAGTCGAGACCGAACTGTGACATCACTGATCAGTTGTCCCACGGTCCACCATCCTAGCTTAAGCTTAAAGCGGATTCCAGCGCTGTTGTCCTCCGTCGCGCACACAATGTCATGGCAACACCCCCTCCTCCCGGACGGACTTCCGATGAACCACGGTGCGATGGCTGCAGCTGAAGACGGAAGCGCCCAGGCGCTCGACACTTCCATACCTACCCAGAGGCTTTCAGTAAGGCCAAGACATGGAACCACCCTAGCGGCTCGAGACGTGTAAACTGACTGGCTACCAGTGTGAACAATGCCGGGCGCGAAAGGTACGCCCAACGCGCCGACCCCTCTCGAAACGCACGTCTCTCGTCTAACGAGCCATGCAGGTCAAGTGTGACCGCATTCACCCGTGCACACCATGCACGGGCAAGCAGGTCAAATGCACATTTCCCGGCGGCTTCAAGCCCAGGCAAAAAAGGCAACGCCCTGCTGTGTCCAGCTCTTAGTACGACGCCCCCAATCCACCCTTTTGTTCGAGCCCATGCCAACACACGCATAGTGAAGACAAGATCGATGAGATATCCAGCAAGCTCGACCAAATCAGGACAGCGATTGACACGATTGGGCTGTCTTCTCATCCAATCGCCAATGCACCAGGCACCTCGCACTCCAACGCCTTCCCGCGCGGGACCTTGACTCCGGTCACTTCGTCTTCTTACCGTGGCCAGTCTCCTCTCGCGGCTAGCAATCGAGATGATCTGTCCGAGGTCGAGTCTGAAGATGACACTCCACTCCGAACACACGCCGCACACGCGGCGGATTTGGTACAGCAGATGGTGGACAGCACATGCTCGGGGTTGACCCCCGATGTAACCTCCAGCCTCGACGCGCTGCAAAGGATTGTCCAAACAAAGGCCAAGCGCAAATTGCAAACCGCGACTACTTCTCCCGCCAAGGGCGCAGAGACCCCAGCGATCGAAGGGCTGAAACTATCGCCGCTCGAGACCGCCATGATGTGCCTCGGCATGGTCAGAGGTAATCGCAGGCTCAATGTCGACTTGATGATCGTGGCTTACCATGTCCACCAGAGAACGAAACGATCAAATATTTGTGCTTTTTTGAGCTTGAGTCAGTCGGCGACTTCGTCGAATATTTGCCTTCTTGCTATTCACAAAAACCGTCAATCACAGACCTGATAATCGTCAACGTCGGTTTGGCTCGGATCTTCTACTGCTGCAGCTTTTACGAGCCCGACGCACACTTACGGGCGGAATACGAAAGCCAGTCGACTGCTTGTTATCGAAACATCGACCTTGTGATGCCTCAGCTTCCATTTTCTGCCGCGCATACGTTCGACCTGGCTCTGGCCCTATGCATGGCTGTGAGGCCGACACCGTTTCCCAGAGGCACAAATATGGATCATGCTGACAGTTTCCTAGTCGTCGCACTACATGGAAATTGCAAGACCACGCATGGCCTGGAAGCTTGCCGTGCACTCGACGCACGTGTGCCAGTCACTGGGGTTCAACCGCGGAGACATTGAAAACTCGTCAGCCGCCCGACGGCAGAAACGGCTATTCATAATGTGTTGCGTCATGGAGAAGACGCTGGCATTCTGCCTTGGGAAGGCATCCGTAATCCGCAGTAGTGACATGCCGACGGTAGACGTTGAGATGACGGATGGCTTCAGCACGTCTCTGGATCCGTTGTGGCGCAAATGGATTGACATTGCTCTTGTGCAGGACCAGGTGTATGATGACCTGTGCAGCCCCAGAGCTCTAATGCAACCGGGCGGCGTGAGAGATGCTAGAGCGCGGTATCTGGCTGCTGAACTGGAGAAACTCTTCTTCACGCAGGACAGCGCCGAGGTAGCGTCATCCCCCAGCCCGTATCTGCCAACTCGTGGATACTAACATTCTCTCAGACACGATGCTTGCAAGCAATCAGAGACAGCGTGGGAGATACAATTGCAGACATCTTTTGGAGGTCCATGAGGATATCAGGACTGGCGATGCTGACGCTCATCTACCGGACAGCCCCTCCGGGCACAGATGCGGGATCTGCATTCTCGGCCTCTTGCATTTCGGCAGCCGTACAAGCCTTGGAAGAGCATCAACAGTGCATGCGCCTCCTGGAGAACGTCTCCCACAGCATGTTGGACTTTTACGTTCAATGGTAAGTACAACGACCATTGGCACAGCCCGTGACTAATGCAATCTGGCCAGGGCTTTGCTTTCAGCACCGTTTGTGCCGTACATTGTCGTGTTCTGCCTCACTGTCGAAACTTCCTCGGCTTATTACCTGACGAAACTCGCGTCAGTTGTCGAAGCAACCGAGAAGGTGGCCAGCACGTATCGCGAAGTCTACGAAAAACAACTCGCCATCTTTCGGCTCATGTACGACGTTGCGTGCAAATGCGTCGAGGCGAGAAACTCGGGTTCCGAAGCATCAAGACAACCCGAGAAGCTGGCTGCAGGGACGGTGAGCGTCCCTGCAGACCCGAACATGACTGCCGCCAGCTCTTCGTTTCCATTCGACCAGTCCTTCGGATTCCAAAGCCTCGACCCGACTGTGGCAAGTATGGGGGCTGACCATTCTGCGGCCATGCCCGGCGGCAACATGGCCGGGCTCTCTCTTGGCGACTGGATGGATCAAAACTATCAGATATTTCAGCTGCTAGAGGAGGATGCAGTAATGGACTGGGACACGCGAGGGGCTCCGGGTAAATGAGACGCAAAGGATTCGCGAAGTACGAGCGCCGTCGCGTGAGACAAGGCGTTGCATGAAGAGACAGCCGGCTGCAGGCACCCGAGTTTCACACGGTTCTGCAGTGTGGCTCAGAACTGCGGCCTTCGCCCCTGTCTGTGTCAGGCATGCAATCTTACAATGCGTTCGTGCCCTGAAGCCGGGTCGCTCGAAGTGCGGAGAAGGCCTGGCCGCCGCGCCGGCCCGTGCCCGACGATCGCGCGACTTGCGGCGACGGCTCAGAGGCTGCATCGCTAATGCGGCCTGATGGTCGTCTTGCCGTGGGTCTGTTGACCCCAATCTCGACCACGTACGTGGTACACCGGGCCAACCCCTGCAGCACGGAATCTAGGCCAGGCTGACAGGCCGAGTTGAGCCTCGTGCAGGAGTCTAAATTTGGCCCCCGTTCCTGTCCTCACCCGGTGAGGCCAGAGAATTGGTCGGGGCTGTGCGTCCGCGACCGGGTGTGGGTGGGTTGGCTGCAGCACAGGCCGAGCGACGGCCTAACCTCCACATCCTGCGTCCAGGCTGGTGAACACCACGATACGATCAGTCCGCGACGAGGTTGTGTGCTTGTTGGCAGCTATTCTGTGTATTGCTCACAATGACCCTAGTTGCTGACCGTTTTTTTTAACGAACACTTGCGGAGTTTGGAAGTCGAAAGTCGATTCAGGTTGCACTTAGTCGAGTCGCTAGCCGAGCCCTCTCAGACAAGCCATTGCCCTGCCCAGGGCCCTTGCAGCCCGGCTGCGTCTTTGGGGGCGGGTTGTTGGCTCGTCCGCCCAACCTGCATATGGGCTTCAGCCATGGCCACAGTCGTGTCGCAGGGTGATGGAGGACAGCCAGACAGTTCAAAGGATCGCGAGCCTGGTCGTGGAGAGGAGAACGCGGTACTAATAATCGTCAACGTCTCCGCGTTGTTGGAGCTCTGTCAACAGATGTTCTTACTCCCCCGCTCTGTCCACTATCCTGGCTGCCAGCCCACTCACAGTGCGACATGCTAAATATGTGGTGGCAACTATCTTTGCTCTTGACCTGGCTCTGCGGTCTCGCAACAGTTGCAGAGTCTTCCGAGCTTGTTGTACGCAATCTTCCTGGCCTGTCTTCTGAAGATACGGTCCGTGAAATTCGCCGGCGACTTGATCTCAGAGCAAAAGGCTCCAACACTACCGTCCTGTTCGACAATTCTACAGCCTTGGACGCTGCATTGAACGATAAGACGCTTTTCGAGTAGTAAGAGGCCCCAATTGCCAAGGTGGAGCGGTATTGGGGCGCGTATTGACACAATGCACCCAGCAAAAATGCCAACGTGACTCACCGCCGAAGGGATGGCACTGAAGTCTCCGCCGGCATCCAGATCCGGTGTGCCAAATGTTACATCAAAGGCCTCGCCAGAGCCAAGCTCACGATTGACGGGTCATTCAACGGAGGCGAGGTAATGGACGACGTCAAGAACAGCACCAAGAACACTTTCAACAGCATTACAGGCTACTGGAACAACGTCACGAACGTCGTCAAAGGAAACGTCAAGAACTTTACTCTTGATGAGATCACAACCGAGATCGAGCAGCTGCCTCCGCCGCACATCGACTTTAACGTGCACCTCGAATTTCCAGACTACCAACTGCAAGTTGCCTTTGTCAACACCGAGCTCTACGTAGAGCTTAGCACAATATTGTCTTCCGGGCTGAGCTACAGCTTGACGCTTTACTCTTCAAAGAATCTCGGTGTCGACTTGGGGAACGACTTGTTGCTCGGGGTCGTCTTTTCCATCGATCTCCTCCTCAGCGTGGAAAATGAGATTGAGATTAGCAGTGGATTCCACGTCAAGCTTGACGATGAAGTTCTGATGACGATTGCGTTGTTTAGCAAACAGGCATCTGGATTGCAATTGTAAGTGCCGTCGCTCTTTGAGTCAATGAAGCCACTGACAATGAAGCAGCAAGGGAGGCAAGTTCAGGTTCTTGCCTGTTACTATTCAGAGCGGGAACACTGTCCTGCGAGCCGTCCTTCGCCTGCAGCTACGCACCGGCTTCTCTATAAAAGCCTTTGACTCTGGCATCGACATTAAGATTGGCGACTTCTCGCCCAATCAGCTCACTGCGTCCGCGGGAATTGAAGCGCGCGTCTACGCAAACGTGGCCGAGTTCGTCACAAATGTGACGACCCAGGCTCCCGAGGGCGATGGCAAGCCGGCTTGCGCCCTGAGGGTCATCCAAGACTACAAGCTGGCAATCGGCGCCGCGGCTGGCGCAACGCTTGGGTTCCTGGGCACCACGTATGGGCCCACGCCGGCCACGGAGATTCCCATCTTCTACACGACACTGGGATCTGCATGCTTGGTCAAGGGATCTGTAGCCACAAGCAGCGCATCACCTGTCACCTCCCGAGCCGTGCGTCGCGCCAATGGAAATCCCTCGACGTCGACAACCGTCACCGAAGTGACCTACACGGCAACGGCGTGCATGTCTCTCGGCATGATCAACTGCCCAGCTTCGCTGCAGACGGTGTCCAAGAATGTTGTCACCAAGACCTTAAGCGCGACCGTCGTCTCTGGGTCATCTGTGGTGTGGTCAAAAGCAGCGGTCACGGCGTTCGCGACAGTGCCCTTCCCAAAGGATGCCATGTCGCTCACTGGATCATCCGGCACGCCCAAGTCGTACGTCCCTCCGCCGCCAACCACTACGTCGCGGACGCAGACCACGGGACCGTCTGCATCTCCAACAGGGCTGGGTGCAGTGCTGAGCGGAGAGAGCGGAGGAGTCAGCAACAAGCTCATCATCGGACTGAGCGTAGGGCTTGGCCTGCCAGCCGTCGTTGCGGTCATTGCCGGCGTAATGTAAGTTTCCCCTACTTTCGCGAGTACATTGGCGTCACGCAAAACTCGCCATGGCATTCTAACAGACTTGCCAGCTTCATTGTAAAGCGTCGACGCGACTCACGCCTGTCTACATGCACATTGTCGGATGAGACGGAGCCTTCCCATTCAGTGGACAAGAGTACCAAGAATCGCCAGACTCGAGTTGGATATGCCGCTGTTCATCAAGATCATGACTAGGTCATAAGTAGAACAAGCTGCGCTGCGCCATTGAGTACTGTACCGTACTGCCGTGTGGCATGGTTGTCGCACATGTGTCTAGTTACAGCCTGTGTGCCTATCTATCTAATCATTTGGTTCCAAGCGCCGACCGGCACGCAATCATAGTCGCGCTGCGTATGCTTGTGCGTTTTCACCCACGAAGCCGAGTCGGATGGGAAACTGAATCGTCTCCGCGACGCATCCGACGTCTCCGCAACATTAATGCACCAGCAAGTCATGGCATGCATTTCATCCAAAAAGGCGCCATTTGCAGTTCAGCAGCGCCTGACGAGTCATTCCCCGTGCTACCGCATGAACGACGTCGAGTTCATGTGCTTCCCAGGGTACGCTAGCGATTCTAGAGTTACCCACTCGGGTGCTTTGTCAGGTCTCTGCGTGTATGCTTCTTTCTCAATGTCCAACTGTAGGAGGTGCAGCCTCGCATTGTAGTGGGAAATCTTCCGGCCTGCAGACTCAACAAGGGGAGGGATGGCCTGCTTGACTGGTTCCCAATCCTCCATCTTCGGCTCCCGCAAGCCAACCTGAGCGTCTCTCAAGAGCGCCTCAAGCTTATCAACCACTTCAATCTCGGCGATGTATGCGTTGAGTAGCTCAAACAGAGTGTCTATGTGTTGTATTGAGGTGTTCTTCTCGAGCTGAATGTAGCGCAGGCCTGGTGAGCGGGAGTGGCCGTGGGCCAAGGCGTCGTCAAGAGAGCCGAGCAGCTGGTTCGCGCGTGCCTCGTCGAGAGTCGCACCAGCGCCGTAGCATAGGAACCGCAGCTCATCAATGCGAAAGCAGCTGGCGCGTGGATGCTGCTGGTATAATCCTTCCCAGACTGTCTGCCACGTTCGCACAAGCTGCTCGCGGATGGCTTCGGGGGTCCTCTTGCCGATTGACGAAAATGAGGACGAGTCGTCGGGAGCTGATTTCGTCGCCTGGCTTGTCGACGAAGCTGGATTGCGCGTCCAGCTCAGTAAACTGGAGACTTTCTTGTGCTTCTCAGGCCGGGATACCATTGCCGGTTGTTGGTGGGACTGTGACTTTGAGGCTGTCAGTCTGGACGGATGACTAGTGACTAGCAGAGCAAGATCAATCCTTGCTTCTCAGCTGAAAGTTGTGAGAATGCCCCGCTTGATGCCAGTCACATGATGGAAGCGCTACAATGCCTCATGGGTCTCCTAGTCGAGGCTCATCAGTATTTACATCAGCAGCCATTTTCGGGGTTGAGATGCGCCACATCCAACGAGCCAACCACTTTGTTCCGCTGTGCCCGTACTTCGTAGTCGCGCCAGTACTCATTATCGCGAATGCCCGTGAGGTCACAGGCGTCTATTCTGTAGCCTCTTCGCTTCTGTCACCTGTTCAAGTACGTATCTCGGCTTTCTGCGAGGCAGCCTGCAAGATTGGGTGTGTTTGGGTACCATTGACGCTTTCGCCAGGACTGCGGCCTCCTCCGTCCAAATCGCCCGCCCAGTTGAGCATCGCGTTCTTCGCTCGCCTCATCTCTTCTTTCATGCCATTGATGTAATATGGTTGCATTTCTCTTGGCATACTGCTTTCAAACACTGTTCGAAGGCCATGGCTGACGGGCTCACGAGTCATGAGTCTCGTTGTCTGAGGGGCCGGATCAGAACCAGATGTCCGAAAGGGTGGCGGCTCATCAACGGCTTCATGCGCTTAGTGCATCAGGTCGAACTCCACGGACATTCGGTATGAATTTCTGATCTATGGGCTCATCCTCGTTTGCATCGTCGATCACTACACGCAGACAATGGGGCGTGTCGGAACATAGAGTGCTCGACCTACTCAACACGCCATCATGCGCAGAAACGTCAGCCGCAATGGGTTGTTGGGCACGACCAAAATATGGCGTTATCTACGCTTATGAAGCAAGGGCTTGGCCTGTTACTCATTGGAATGCATGAACACCAAGGCCGTGGTGCGAGGCAAAATAATTCTGTTGTTTGCCTCGCACAGTATCGTGCCGATACTTGATTACGACTGTTCCTGGGACGAACGGTGGGTATTTAAAGGTGCTCGTGCTGCCACTTCCGAACGGTATGAACGCTCATTAGTTTCGATTCACTCTCTTCAAGCCACCCATCAGACAACCCATAATCACATTACGTCAACATGAAGACGAACCTCGTCATTCTTTTATCCATCCTCGGCTCGGCGGGAGCTATCCCCCAGAGCGGCGGGGCAGCGGCACCACGGCCATCCAGAGAGGAGCTCTGCGCAGGGTTCAGCAACGATAGCGACTGCAGCATCAGATTGAGAAGCTGTTGGTCACTTATGGGATACTCTGCGGTCAAGGACGTTGACTGGAATGACATGAAGGCGTGCCTCCAGATACGCCCAGACATGGACAAATGCACGACGTTTGAGGAGGTAAAGAACAGATATCACGGGGATCGAAACGCCTGCCTTCTTCAGCATCTTATCTGCGAAAGAGCTCTTGCGACAAACCCTAGCTTGTTGTTTAGCAAAGAGGCCAGAGACGAATGCTTGCGACAGTCTACCAAGCCTCAGCGACCGGAAGCGGAGGACATCTGCAGAGGTTACCAAGACAACTACAAAACGTGTCTCTTTGAGTACAAGGGCTGCAGCGACCGCCTGGGTACAAAGGCCGAATGGGCAGCTTTGGAGAAATGCGTTTCAAATAACAGCAGAGTGCCTCTGTCGGACGATGAATGGCCGACAACTCAAGGCCCTTCCACCGATGGGGCTACTCCTGCACATTGAACCTTCTGGACTGTCGTCAGTCCCATATGACTAGAGGACGGCTATTCGACATACAGGATCAGGATGGGGTGTGTGGACACTACATGTGTCAGTAATGAGACATTAGGTTGTGACGGTGTACGCATGGCTAGTTAGGCGTATATACTATGTCCGCAAGTCAATGCTTCATGTCACTAGATTCGCTATTTGGAAACAAAGCGCTCGCGAGAACCTTTCGATTTGTGCCGCCCGACCCAAGGCCACGGCCTAGCCGCCACACTTTCATTGATCCGATGCCGCACTAAGTCCCCGGAACTCTCTTCATGTCCACCCTGACGTTCCTGTCGCTGATGAGGATATAGACAGTAATGCGATCTTGCGACTTGACCTCTCCCCAGAACTTGTACCCTTGCCATTGGCCGGCGGCCACGCGTTCAGTCACGTCAAACCTCGGGATCTTCCCCTTGTGCAAACGTATCCGCCCACGCACAGCTTCCGGTCGATGCTCGACGCCCGAAGCATCCACCGTCCACGTCCACGACATCATGATGGGCGCGCCGTCGTAAAATCCACGCGGGACTTCAAGGCGTATCCTCTCTCCAGCCCAGGCATAGTTTTCCTCGGTCAAGGTGCCAACAAAATTGGCACCGAAGAAGTAGTATACTCCTTTCGCCATGCCGGTAAAGAACCTGGCCGCGTTCTTGCTGACACGAGATTCCGAGATCAACACGTAAGATGAATTGCTGCTAAGGACGTGCTTGATCCTGATCTGTGGCTTATCAGGCGGCGAGTGGTAGATGTGAATCATTTTCTCGGTGAAGGACTCGGCCATGCTATGCACGAGAGTAACTGGGATGGGTTCCGCCCATTTCCCAACCAGGACGACGTCGCGAATGGAGCTCTCGCAAGAGTCGGCGATTGCCTCCCAATAAATCTTCCAATTCTCCTCCCTCACGGCGACGGTTCCGCGGTACAGTGAGTAAAGGGTGCCGACGAGAGGTACATATTCGACGACAACATGGGTGAGGTCTTCGTACTGGGAAAAGTACTGGCTCATCGAGTTAGCTTTGGTGAGCAACATGGAGCCAGTGTCTATCTACGGTATTTTCCCGCGCCTCCAGTGAGTTGGCGCTGGTCGGTTGCACGGCTAGGAGAGCCACATGTAGAACGATCGAAACGGTTCGTATGAGTGAGAAGCGTAACCACATGTTGGATAAGACGATTCGACTGCTTAGCCGGGCAACGTGACAAGTCAAAGGACTTACCTATCCTCACACTCTTGGTCCTAGCCTTGACCGCGAAGTAGTCGCGATATATATATCCATGTATTCAGTGAGCAGAAGTGCGGCCAGACGGCAGGAAGCCAAAGCCAAGAGAGGAGACGATGAAGCCATCACTATAGCATAAACTACTGAGACGTCTTATGACAGGATTATCAGCCCGTGTGCGACGAACCAAACTCAAAGTTAGCTGAGGCATTCTACGCGAGCGCCTTTCGTCCGAACCAGCGGGCTACGTGTACATGTGTACCGACACAGCTCCAAGTTCTTACTGTAAAATGATGCGGATGAAGCTCGCATCTCGCCAATCGCCGGATGCACGGCCCGGGTTCAGAGCAGCGTGTGATTATACACGCCAGGGCAGCTGTCACGTTTCCCTGACGTTGTAATGAAGCCGAGAACGGCTGTAGACCATACCCTACATCGCATTCGGAACCATTATATGGCCGTATATATGCGCGTTTTTCTCCGTCGCATCAAATGCCACCGGCCGCGCCGCATCGGGTCATTGGCGCAGAAGCTGGCTGGGCGAGGGAGGCAGCGGCTTCAAGCCCAGAACCCTCAGGGTTCCTCCAAGCGCTGCAGCGCTCTCGTATGCACAGCTTCAATCCGGCCAGCGCAATTCCGATGAGAGAAATCACAAGAGATAGCTGCATTAAATCCGTGGATTCGTGTGCGCTGCTTGAATTGGAAGCCCTCGGCCATTAAAGTTGAGCCCGTCTAGCGCGCCTGGGGCTGTGAAAGTGGAAGGCACATGAAGTGAAGCACATGTCGCAATTGCGTCAGCAGGATCTCGGGCGGAGTTGCATCGGCTTTGGGCCAGCGTACGTAACAAGCAAACACGCGCATTTCCGCTCCAGGAAAAGGCTCGCTATCTCTGTCCTGATTTCGTATCCGCCGGCGAGATCCCGAACAGGTATTGGGATTGGCCTGGGCCGTGTGTTCACCGCGGGGGCAATTCGGGCATGGGCTCTTTCGCGGGCGAGCTGACACGGGTAGAGCCACAGCGGGACATCGTCCACTCCGTCCGTTGGTAATGGTATTAGCGCCGCACAGTCATCGATGCTCGGAATACACTCGGAGGGCGTCCTTTTGCGCATCAGCCAGCCGCGTCTAGAGGGCGTCTAGAAGGCGCCATGTGATGTAAATCTCGAGGCAATCTGCCGCGCCGAGCCGAGACTCGGGTTCGGATGATGAGTGAATCCTTGCAGATCTGGCGACAGCCGGCGCGCGGTGGTTGGGTATGAATATAAAAGAGCCACTCACGGTTCGCGGATTCCCAACCCATCGTCATCATCACCACCATTTACACCGTCGTCACCCACGCCGGCATCGCTCTTCCCAGAGCGCCAATTGCCAATTGAGCCGCACGTATATAGTAATAGCTCCCCAGCATCTTCTCCTCCCACAAAGCGAATCGCGACCAAAACATAAATTCTACAGCGCTGCCATATATCCGCCGCTCATGGCCACCGCTGCAGAAACACCGTCCTCCGCGGACGCAGACGCCGCCTCCTACGCCGCCTCCCTCCTCGACGCCCAGACCAAAGCCGCCGCCCTCTTCGACGAAATCGAGCACTCCCTCATCCGCCCGGGCATCTCCGAAAAGGCCCTCAGCGACGCCATCCACTCCCTCGGGCAGACGCGCCACGGCGTCCGCACGCACTGGCACAAGCGCGTCGTGCGCAGCGGGCCCAACACCCTGCGCCCCTTCGAGGACAACCCGCCCGACCGCGTCATCCAGGCCGACGACATCCTCGTCGTCGACCTGGGCCCCGTCTTCGAGGCCTGGGAGGCGGACTTTGGCCGCACGTTTGTGCTCGGCGACGACCCCAACAAGATTAAGCTGCGCGACGCGCTGGAGCCGCTGTGGCGCCGCGTCAAGGCCAGGTTCCGTGACAGGCCCGACATGACGGGCGAGGAGCTGTATGGCATCGCGGTGGAGGAGGTGCGCGCCGAGGGGTGGGAGTTTGGCGCGCCGATTGCGGGACACATCGTGGGGTCGTTCCCGCATGAGAGGATCCCCCGCGACAAGATCACGCTGTATATTGCAGAGGGCAGCGTCAACTCGATGGACTGCGTGGGCAAGGACGGGCGAAAGAGGCACTGGATCTTGGAGATTCACATTCGCGACCCGGTGAACAATCTCCAGGGCTTCTTTGAACAGCTTCTGACAGTAGACTGAGCAGACACTAAGGCTGAAATACACAGAAAGCAACCCAGTGTTTCATCACCTTGCTTGTGACACTGGACAGAACGCACCTCGTTCTACAATGTTCCCGTCGAGTCTTATCTCAAAAGCATGTTCATATCCGCCATATAGAGTGGCTACGCCCGGTAGACCACCTCAACTTTCTAGCCGAGCAACACCTCGAGAGCCTGCTCCGCCCCCATCATCCCGCATCTCTCGGGTGACACCATGAATGCCCTCGGAAAGCCCTCCGGTCGTTCCCCCCCAATCGCCATCTTTGCAACCGCCTCCCCCGTCAACCAGCACTTGTCCATGCCATGGCCATTGAACCCCGCGGCAATCCACTCCCCGTCGCCGGCCCGCCCCGTGAGGTCCTCGGTCAGGCGCCCTACGAGCGGTAGACCGTCCGACGTGAACCCCAGGATGCCAGACCAGACCTTTTGTTCGCCCACGGGCGCCACGTCCGCGTCGTATATCCGCGGCAGGACGTTACAAAGACTCTCACGCGCCTCGCGAGCAATTACAGAGTCGTCGCTGGACAGCAAGTCCTCCATTTTCTGACCTTCGCCGCCAATGAAGATTGCGCCAGTCCGGGCATTTTGCTGGGCGTAGTACAAGCCGGGACAAAACTCCCCCGTCTCATGATCCAGCTTCGGCTTGCACAGGTAGCTCCACGACACATTCTGTCCCAGGTTGGCAAAGGATGGACCTGGCTGTTGCGTGGACATGGTACCGCGTATGGGGAATAGCCGGCCGGGGAGGTTTGGCACGAGATGGCCTGAGAAGCCGTTGGTGCAGTGGATGATCTTGGCCGCGCGGATCGTACCTCTAGGTGTGGTGAGGGTGTACGGATACTCCGGTCCCTCGGCGTTAGTGCACTCGATGGACTGCACTGGAGTGCTTGTTTCGAGGTTAAACCGATCCGAATGCTTGTCGAGAAGCTGACGGAAGACGGCCGTGATGAGACGATACGGCCATAAAGCGGCCGCGCCCTGCTGCTCAACCGCGCCAGCAATGCTCGTGTTGTACTTGTACTTCTGCAGGATGTCAGCCACGAGCCGGGAACATGTTATCAGTCGGTGACGACTCAATTTACCTTGACAGCCTCCTCGGCAGACACAATCTTGTGTTGTAAGCCACTCCCCGGATGTATCTCCTCCAGGATCTTGAGCCCTTCCTGTGCCGCAGCCAGCGTCTCCGCGTCCCCAAAAGCCGCGCTGCCAATAACCTCCCTCAGCTCGACTGCCTCTCGCTCCGGTCTGTCGAGAGCCGCGACCAGCTCTTTGATGCGAGCTATATTGGCCTCGCTGAACCGCGCCACCTCACCCGCCGCATCGGTGCCGATGGCAGGGACGAGCTTGGGCACCAACGATGAGCTATCCGATAGCAGATGCCCGCCGTTGCGACCTGTTGCGCCGCTGACGGCCTGTCGCGCTTCTAGCACCGTGACACGGAGGGTGGGAGACGCATCGAGAAGAGTGTGTGCGACGGAGCAGCCGGTGATGCCCGAGCCGATGATGGCAATGTCGACAGTCTTGGGCAAGACAGCCGACTGCGCGTCTGCGACAGTCGGGTGCGGAGGGTCCTGCCATACCGCAGTGGTCGGGTTCGGCTTGGGAAGCCCTGGCGGGAGGGCGATGCGGCTCTTGACCGCCTCTGCGAGTGAAGGGGCGGAAGTCATGTTGTAATTGCTCGTGTACCGTGACAGTTCAAGATTGTAGGGTCGAATCGAGGGACCTGGTGTTATCAATGGAACGGTGTCGCCGTTGCCGCCCTTTATCTAGGTTTGCGGCTGCGTACGAAGAGCCATCATCGACGTGGTCGCCGACGAAAAACGATAAGCCACGGACATTCGGCGATTCCCATTGTCCTTGGCTCTTTGCCTTGTATCAGTCCATCGAAACGGGAACCCAGCTCCCAGGGCGAAGGCATCCAAGCCCAAGGTAGAAGCTAGAACCGCCCCGCAGGCCGGGTGGCTTGGAGCAGTGCGAAGCCCCGAAAGGGACCCGGGACCCGCGGGCCCGATCCGATGTGGGTCCACCGACCGGAGGGTTCCCCGCAAGATCGCCCGGAGGGTTTCGAAGTTGTGAGTCTTTGATTGCACGCCCTACCCTTCCATCGGGTCCCCAGGAACGTGCAGCGGTACACTGCAACTTCCAATGCCGGCACTGCCGCGATGCAGTTATAACGAATAATGACGACGACTTCCTAGCCTGTCTCAAGATGGTGTCCTGTGAACGGCACCTAGGTCATACCAGTAAAGAGGGCAGTGTGTCTGGCGCGCTTGCCACACCATGGTGATCCAGTCCGCCATGCGCTTGCGGAACAGTCCAGAGTAAATGCCAATCGATGAGGCACTGCGAAGATGATGCCATCGCTCAGCTTCGTCTTCAACCTCGAGGCACGCCACGGCGAGCGCCAGATCGATGCTTCTGGGCGTCTGGCCGGTGATGAGCCGCGTGAGGTCGAGCTGCTTGAGAATGCTCGAGGACATGGCCCGCGCGGCGTCTTGCTCCGTCCCAAAGGGATGCCGTAGCCGATGGATGACGAGCAGGGCAGCCGTCTGCATGACGGTGGCCTGGCATGTCATGCGCGAGACCTCTGTGGCGGAGTAGTTGTTGATGAAGCCATCCGGGGTGTCGGGTAGCCAGTTGCGGATCTCCCTCTCCAGGGCGTCCAGTCGCTCGGCCGTGTCATCCCCTGGATCTTGAGCCATGCCTGTGCTCAGCACGCACAGATCGTAAAAGTAGGGCATCAGCGTCTGGGTCAGCCCGATGTAGCGGTCCACGCTGGCAGCCGGCGGCCTCAACCTCAACGTAGGCACACCCCCACGCAGCAAGCACTCCGACGTCTCGGTGAGCACCAGACACGTGAGGAAGCCAAGGTCGACGGGAATGGCACCGCCTTTTTGCTCGTAGAGGTCCTTGGCCATGCCGAGGACGTTGCTGCATATTGCATGGGCATCAGAGCCACCCACGCGCAGCGCAAAGGTGAGCAGCGCCCCGCCCAAGGCCAGGCACAAGGGCACGTCGTGCTCACCCTTGATTTTGATGGTGCGAAGGACGGACAACGCAGCAGAAGCCCTGCGGTAACTACTCGCGAGGCGCATATCGTCGAGCGGGACGCTGACGTCCTCTCCTGGGCCCGGCATGGAGATGGCACAGGCCACATACGCGTCCTTGACGATCGAGCGCGAGGCAAAGAACTGCGAAACGAGGGTCTCGCGATGGGCCTCGCAGAAGCTCGGCAGCACAAACTGCTGGAGGAACTCGTCGGAGAGGATGCGCTGCATAATGTGCACATCGTCGTCGATGGGGGGCGAGTCGGCGAGGCGGGTCAGGCTGGAGCAGAGTGAGTGCCACTTTTCCTTGTCCTTGTCTTCTGCCGGAGGCGTAGGCAGAGACTCTTCGGTCGAGTTCAAGGACGCGGCCGGCTTGGAGGCCGTCCGCAGGTGATGGTACGGCCGTGGTCGCCGGCCTGGCCGCTTCACGGGACGATTCGACTGGCATGGCAGCTGCAGGCGATCGCAGCGGTCACACTTGGGCGCGCCGGGCAGCCGCTGGCACCTCTCCTTGAGGGCGTGGCAGCGGTCGCAAGAGCGCGGGAGCTGAGATTCGTGGAGCATGATGGTTCATGGCCGGTTGTTGGAAGACGTCTGGAGAGGAGGAAGATGGCAGCGTTCAGGACGAGGGGTGACGGCGGATGGATAAGGAATGATGAGGCGGAAGAGCACGGTAACTGAGGTTTGGATTGGATCTGGATTGGAACCTTGCGGGTTCCGTCCAGGTTGGATGGCGGGCCCGTCTCGGTCGATGATGAACGGAAGACGCTTCACCTAGGGCACGGCTGCTTCCACGAGCACTTGGGGGGCTTACAGTGGATGTTGGCTGCGGCCGCGGAGGTGCTGTGGCCAGCCTTGCCCAAACCCACCTGGGCAGCCCGGGCGGCGACAGAACCTAGGCTTCGATCACTATCGGGTCCCCACGGGGCGCGGAGCGACCCGCTGTGGCATAGCCCACACGCCACTGAAAATCCCGTCGATGGCGTGCCGCTCACCGGCCACCAACTCGCATCCTCCCGTCACCACCTCGACGGCTCACCTCGCATCACGACGGCATTCAATGGTTACATCTAGTGTAGCACAACGCTTCGCACCGCCGATGGCGCTGTCAATGCAACCTACCAAAAACGCTATTACGAAGTAATACGCACGCTCCACGAGAACCAAGGCGGACTCCACCGCGGGAAAGATTTTGCTCGGCTGTTACCTTCCAGCCGGGATCCGCAGTTGCTGCGACTCATCAACGCACCAAGTTTACTTTGCCTTCCCGTTCACGCACGCGTCCACGAGCTTGGCCACCTCGAAGCACTCCTCGTCCCGCATCGTCGACGTGAAGACCTGGATCGAGCACGGCGCCCCGCGGATCCGCTCCGGGCGATCTGCCATGGATGAAACCCCGTCAGTCAGTCAGTCAGTCAGTCAGGCAATGGCAGGGAGGGAGGGGGCCTGAGAGATCATGGGAGGGAAGGGAAATAATAATCGGTTCGGGGCACAACGGGAAACACAACTCACACTGCGGCCCGCTCTGCCCGCTCGCCAGCTCAAACGCCTCTCCCGCCGTCGACTCGTCCGCCTTTGCAAACGGTATCACGCACGCCGGGTACTGCAGTGGCCCTCGATCAGCATCGCCGCCCGACGTCCCACGCATCGGCTGAGGAAAAGAAGGGGGGAACCAAACTCACGTCCAGCACGTTGAGCAGCATCGTGTACGGCGGGATGCCAAACTCGTCGTGCTCCACGGCCGTGTTCTGCGCCGCCGGCGCCACCACGCCGTCGAGCCGCCCGCGCTCGACCCAGACTCGCCTCCACCGGTCCTCGATCTCCTGCCGCTTCACGTTGAGCGCCGCCAGCCGCTTCAGCCCGCCGTTGCTGTCGTCGCCGCTGCTGGGCGGCAGGTCCGCCACGAAGCCCATGTCCACGCCGCGCAGCCGCTCCAGCGTGCACACGCGCGACGGGATCGCCGGCTCGCCCGACGCATCCACCGCCCGCGACGGCGCGTCGTCGAGCGAGAAGCACTGCCACGCGACCTGCCCCGCCCGCGCCGTCTGGCACTCCTCCGCCGTGAGCCGCACCACCTCGTGGCCTGCCGCCTCGAGGAGACGCACCGCCTCGGCGAGGGCCTTGCGCACGGGAGGGTGCAGGGGGTAGGTTGGGTCCTCGGCCAGGAGGCCTAGGCGGAGCTTGCGTCCTGCAATATCTTGCGAGACGTCCCGCCATGGCACGTCGATTGCCGTTGCGTCGTGGAGCCAGGGGCGGGCGTCGATGACCGTCTTGAGGAAGATGCCCATGCTGTCCATGTCGTTGGCCAGCGGGCCCGCGCACGCCACGATGTGCTTGAGGCCGGCGGTAACGCATCGCGCCTGTCCGCCGTAGGGGATGCGCCCTGTCGTGGGCCGGAAGCCGTACGTGCCGCAGCACAACGCCGGGATGCGAACAGAACCTGGGTCTCGTCGTCAGCCGTCTCAGCTCTTCCATCTCTGGGGAATGAAGACTCATACCGCCTACGTCAGTCCCAACGCCGAGAGGGGACCCGCGCATCGCAACCAGCGCACCCTCGCCGCCACTCGATCCTCCCGCCCCGAGGCTCGTATTCAAGGGGTTCAGCGTCCGTCCAAACACGTTGTTCTGCGAGTCGCATGTCTTTACTCCCTCCCCGTCAGCGAGCCGCCATCGCAAAAACACCCGAGACAGGTGGGCGCGACTCACCATCATGGTCTGCGGCACGTTCGTCTTGCAGTACAGCACCGCCCCCAGACCAAGCAGCATCTCCACCAGCGCCGAGTTGGCCTCGCTCGTCCGGTCCAGGAACCCCACGATGCCAATCGTCGCCTGTGACCCGGCCACCTGGAACGAGTCCTTGATGCTGATGGGCAGGCCGTGCAGCGGGCCAGCCAGCTGCCCACCCTCGCGCATGGCGTCGAGCTCGCGCGCCCGCTTCTCTGCGTCGGCAAAGTACATCTCGGTGAGGCAGTTGGTCTGCGCTCATGTGTCAGCCATCATCTCCTACACCTCGTCTACCCCTATTCGCTTCTATGGGGCTCCACGCCGGATAAGTAGCCGGCAATGGTTCGCAGGGACGTACAACTTGCTGCGCGACGGCCGCCCGCTTGCTAAACGCAGCCGTCACCTCCACCGCCGTCATCTCCCCGCCCGCCAGCCCTGCGAGTAGGCCCCTGACGTCGTACCCCTCCGTGATGTGCAGCTCGCGCTCGCTCAGGATGCCGCTCCGGCGCGGCACGTCCAGGACATTGTTGGCGTTGCTCTCCAGCGGCATCTGCAGTGATGCGAACACCTCGTCGCTCAGTCGCCACGCCGCTGGGATCGCCGCATCGCGCTGCTTCCGCTTGGCCGCGCCGCGTGCCTGCCAGTCGGAGGGCTCCTGCGCCGAGGCCGTCGACGACGTCGTTGTCGCTGGAACAGTCATGGCTTGTTTCGCGTTCGTATATTCGTAGCCTTGTCGTGATGTCGTAGTATCGTCGTGATGTCGTCGCGATGCAACACTTCCCAAAAGATAGACTAACACCGGGACGACCGCGATCCTTTTATACAGCAGCCATCCACCACCACCACCCGTCTCTTCGCTTGTACCTCTCCTGCTGTACAAAGTACCCGTTTCTGTATCACATCACATCACAGCACATCACAGCACATCACATTACATTACCGATATTATTACCCCTCACGCCAGTTCGTACAAAACACGTCAATCAACCCTCCGCCGCCCCCATGACCCAATCCCCCCCGGACCGCCAAGTCCAATGCTATACGTACCTACATCACCTCCAAACCTTCCCTTCCCTCCCATCCTCGCGTACGCGCAGGAGACAGTAGCCCAGAAGCCACGCTATCCACCGGCAACTTCCCGGCGCCTCGGCACACACACGCATCTCTTCAACCCACTTCCTCTCGCCCTCCGCTTGTCCGTCCTTCCCCTTGCCTCGCTCTGCCCTGTCCGGATCCCCAGGACCCCATTGGCCGCGGCACTCACATGCCATGCCATGTATTTGAGAAGTGCGCAGAGCCGCCCACCATCACCCCGCGCCTCCCCCTCCACCCTATACGCGTATACATTATACCTAGTTGACTAGCCAAAACGTGCTTACCCCGTAGACCGGCCACGTTAGTATGCCGGGGCTTTGAAGAAGAGGTGGGTGTCTGTCCCCTACCCCGCCGTCACTAAGCTTAGATGGCCGTTGAAGGTCTGGAGACGGGTTCAGGGGTCGGGCGGTGCGTGGCGTAAACGTTGCGGCGCGGGATGCGGGGAACCCTCCGCCTATCCCCCGGCGGGTTTGGGCAGATGCCAAGTCCGGCCACTTCCAGGTTGCTGGGATGATTGCATCACCATGGTAGCCACTTCGGGGCCGTACCAAATTTGCAATGGAAGTACCTATCTAGAGTTGCGACTACCTCTATCCGCTTCTATTCCTATGCTATCATACTAGCCAAGACGCTTAACTCAAAATCTGTTCCGCTGCCTCGCTTCCCCGCGTTGCTTGAGCTCACGCGTCTTCGCTCTAGCCCTTGGACTTTTTCTTCTTCTTCTTTTTGGACTTCTTCTTGGGCTGGTTCTCTTCTTCTTCCGAGACTTCGTCAACGTCAACGGTGTGAGAGCCTTTGTCACTAGTCGAAACACGGCCAGGCGCACGACGGCCACCAGCTGAAGCGGTCTTGCCAGCCACGGTGGTCTGCTCCTCGTCGCTACCCACATCATCAGCGAAATCCACGGTGTGACTGGAGTTTTCCGTGGCCCCCTTGGCTCTCGTGCCAAGATTCAGGTTGCCCATGCCTTCCTCCACGCGCCGGTTCGTGACGTCTTCGCCACTGCCACCACCGGCGGCTTTCAAGCCGCGGACCGTCTCCTCAAGCTCTCGGGTATACTGTTCCGGAGACCTCTCCAGAGCAAAGTGCATCCACGTATACCAGTCATTTTCGGGGAGATCTTGTCCCGAAAGTGTCCATTCGATCCAGCGAAGGGTGAGGCCAGTAGCGTCAATACCCCAGCTCATGTAGCGGTTGAACTCGAGGAGGGACGGCCTGGCGTTTGAGCTGTGTACCAGCCGCAATGGCCAGCGAGACACCACCTTGTGCTTGTCGCGGGCACGCAACCCCAAGAACCCAGCCTGAAACACGCTCTGGTGTTCCCTGATTGGGTTGCCCAGCGGCATCAGCGACCGCAAGGCCCAGCGCGCGGGGGAGGAAAAGTATTTGGCCGCGAAGCGATCCCAGTTTCGCCACATCACAAGGCCCAGTTCGCGCCGGATGTACTGGGGGTCGTGCTGGGATACATCAGCTGGCCGCAGTGGAGCGTATACGTCAAGAACGGTCTTCGTCTCCCTGCTCATCAACTCTGTCTCTTTGGCCAGGTCCTTGGCCACCGACGGGTCGCTGTGATACACTGTGCTGCCTGTATGCACCAGCAGCGCTGCGGCTGGGTTCTCGTCCTGGTGCGCCAAGACGCGCGAAAATGCAGTGAGTGAGAGAAGCGGGTGGAAATCCCACACGTCTCCGATACTGATCCGGTCGAATGGAAATTCCGAAAGATCATCAGCGTCCTACCCGACGAATGGCTTCGGGAGCGAGGTCATGAGGTCGACGTCCACGACGAGTGTCTTCAGCCTGAGCTGACACTGGACAAGCAAGTCACGCAGGTAGTAAAACAGCTTGCCGTAGACGTCGCCGGTGGCCGGGGAGTCGGCATTGTCGAGGAACTCCATGGGCCACTCTCCCATAGGTTCCTGGGTCGCGCCAGGAGGAAACGTGTCATGCTCGTGCAAGAACAATCTTTTCCCGTTGGATTAGTCACGTTCTCGGGGGTGTGCATTGGGACGCTTACGGGTTGACAGTGTCGAACTCATCTCGCGGATGTCCGTACGGCAAGAGGCAGCCATCGTACTGCCATTTCTTGAGAGTCATCAGCCTCGCGCTGGTCATCCTCGCTTTGTACACGGCCGAGGAGTTCGAATGCTTCCGGACGTCCAAGAAGCGAATGATTGTGGCCTTGTCCGCCGGGAGAGTTCCAGGCTCCTTGAGTCGCTTCCGAATTTCCCACCACTGCGCCTGAGTGAAAATTGCCAGCATCACGAAGCCTCCCCGCGGGATTAGAGGGTCAAGGAGTCTGTAGTGGTAGAGTTGCTCATTGTCGGAGTACCCCTCCATTCTGTTTCTTCTTTCAATACCTTGTACCACAGCCTCGATATTCGGGCCCACGACGTCGGTTATGTGTTCCCATATCGCCCGGGACACGCGGCTGGAGTACCACATGTGGATGAAAGCCTCTGCGTTGAGAACCGGGTCATGCTTCCGGTCCGTGAGCAGAAGGAGCCCCATGAATGCCCGCATGCCATGAGGAAAGCTGCATTCATTGATAACCACTCGGAGCAGTGGATCGGCCTCCTTGGGCAACTTGACGATGGAGTAAATAAGGTGACGGAAGCTACTGACTGCGTGGATGGTCAACATTCGGCACCGACAAGCATGATTGGATCACATACAGCCGGTGAGCAGCAGACGCAGTTCGCCTTGGTATCCAATGCCTTCGTTTTTCTCGATGTTGATGATGTCAGTGGCCGGTTCCATGCCCCAAAAGCTCGTTTTGTTCACGTTGCTTTCCGTGACAGGAGGGCCTCGCTCGGCCGGCAGGTCGGCAAGGCATTCCCGTTTGTGAAATTGCCAGTCGCGATTGCGACAGGCGGGTTCGCAGTACTTTAAGCCGTCGTCAGTATCACGGCCGCACATAATGGAAAAAGGACAGGTATGCCGTACTGCCACGACGGAACATTTGGAGCACGGGATGCGCGGAATTCCATCGCAAGGCTGGCCGCCCTGTCGAGCCGCGCATCTCGGTTTCAGGATGGGGCGATGGCGAAAGTCGGTCATCACGTCGACCTAGAAGATGGGATGAAGCCGCCCGAGGCGATAAAGATCAAGTAGTGTCGACGCGCGTCTTGAGGATGAGGAAGGATAGCAGCCGAGGTGGAGGATGAAGCAAAACGAGTGCGCTTCCTGGGCCTGCGGAGTGTAGAAGGGAAGTTGAGCAATGTAGCAGAGGGCCAGTCAGTGAATGACTGGCTGGAGGTGCCTGCCCTGACATTGACCTACCCTCAGGGCCGCTCTTGCTCGCCAACCTATGGCAAGGCAGCTGGTGACAGCTGGCCAGCGGACCCCGTCAGGCGACCGCCCTTCTGCAGCTCCTCAGCCAACCCTCGGCCCCGTCCGCCAGGCTCAAATACCGTAGGTACGTTAAATGTTCACCACATACACAAGCCCAGCGGCCACTAAGCGGGTGCACGGCTGACCACCCAAGCCACCTCGACAGCGCATTCACACTTCAAAGGCATGGCAACTGCGTGTGTTCCTCTATCAGATTAACATTAGCCGTCCCAAGCAGGGTCAGTGGCAGTTGAGCGCCGCGAAGCCGTCCGTCCACCGCAGCCCGCCCATCACCACCACCATGACAGCAAACGCCGCCACCACGCTTGCCGTCCCATACACGTATGCGTTCCTCCTCCGCAGACTGCTCAGCTCGGCTACCCACGTCGACACCGTCGTCAGACAGCCGCAGAAGCCGTCCTCGACGCCCTGCAGCACCTGGCACCCGACAAGCCCGCCGACAGGGACATTGGCAAGGTCCCAGGCCATGCCCAGCACCGCCGTGCCGAAGACGTTTGCGGTGAAGGTCCCCAGCGGGAAGCACGCGAACCGTCCGTTGAGCCACAGCGAGAGGTAAAAGCGCAGCAGGCAGCCCAGCGGCGCGAAGACGAGCGCAAAGGTCGCCCGCCCGCGCCAGTTGTCGTGAGGCGGGAATATGGACAGCAGCACGGCGCCGAGCCAGCACCCCCAGCCGAGGAACACGGCCAGCGGATCGAAGATGCGGCGCGTGACTGGGAACGGTATCGACGGGATGAAGCGCTCTGACGCGATGGCGATGTGTGCTCCGACAAAAAGGCCACCCAGCGAGAGGCAGACCGTTGTGATTATGACGGCTAGCATCGCCATGAAGGAGTACCCGCCGTTACGACTCACAGCCTGCGTGCCGAATCCAGGCGCCACCATGTCGTTGGACATGGCCAGGAACACGTCGCGAATAAAAGTCGAAAAGCTCGTGAAGCTGCCGCAGAAGCCCGTAGCCAGGCCTATGTAGAGGGGGATCGTCTTCTTTGTGGCAAGATGCGCCTTCTTTGCCGCCGCAAGATCCACCACGGCATCCTTTGCGACACCATTGGCACCCCCCGATCCGCCCGATGCGCCGGCACTCTCCTCGTCTTCGCGTTTTGCCCGCTCGAGCACCTGATCATACGCCGGGGTGCCCCATTCGTAGCGGAACAGCATGCGGTCCTCGCCAAGGAAGCCCATGATGAGGCTGCCGCCAAAGTTGGCCCAGATGGTGGTGAAGATGACGGGCGTGTCGGGGTAGTGCGTCAGGGCGGTGAGGCCGACTCGCGCGAGGGTGCCGAGCAGAGAGAAGAAGACGAGGTATGAGAGGGTATATAGCTGGGTCGCGAGCGAGGATATACGTCTTCGTTTCCGGTTCTTTTCGTCGGGCAGCTCGGGCGGCGAAGTACCCTCGTGTTGCCTGCGGGAAGAGTGGCTCCGGCGATACTCTTGGTCGCGACTGCGCGTCTCTTCCAGGCTGTGATGTCGGTATATGGGTCCGTCGGTGACATTCTGCACGGGCGACGCAGCGGCGAGCTCGTCGAGGTTGGCCCAACAGTCGGGCGCCGTGTAGCGGTCCTCGTCGACGACGCTGGCCCGCCGCTTCAGCCGGCGGCTGCTGGCCGAGCTGGTCTTGCGTGCGAGTTGGCGGTCGGAGCTGCGCCGTCGAGCTGGCGGCGAATTCGCGTCATCGCCTTCGCACTCGTGGCACTCCTCCGAGGTGATCCGCCTCATGTACCCGGACTCGGGGTCGGCCTCGGGCACGGCGGTATGGACGTCGTCGACATTGCGGTAGCAGCCGGGCGCGTCGTAGGCGACCGACTCGCGGACGGGCCGAAGGCGGGTCGCGGAGGCGTCGCGCGGGGGCTCGCTCGCGGAGGGAGAGGCGCGCGCGCTCATCTTGGATGATGTCGTGCCGGGCGGCGACGGGGAGTCATGTTGAGGCAAGGTGTTTGTGGCCAGGCGAGATCGATTGGATTTTATTTCCTGGCGGGAGGGATGATGTCGATGGGTCCGGGTATGCGGCTCGCGGGCGTTTGTGGTGCCGTCACCGGAGCCCACCGGCCGGCCCACCATTTGCCGAGTGCCCGCCCTATTATGGGCTGGGCTGCTGGTGGCCATCGGCGACGGTTCCGGCACACACGCGGGCGCCCAGTGGAGGCCAGTGTCGAGTTCCAGGTTGGTGGCTGAGAGCGCCCACCTCACTGACGGGGGCCCTGGGGCGGGGCTGCTGCAGGTGCAGGCATCGCTATCTGCATCCTCTATCCATATCAGCAGCGTCTGAATCAGGAGGGAAAGACTGGAGTCGCCTCCGATAAATTTGTGCGTACGTAGTGGGCAGGAAATTTACGCCCTCTGAAGCATCTTAGTCGGAGGTGAGTCGTTTGCTCACGATGGCGCCCGGCACTGGAGGGCGAGGCGGCGGTCAGCTGGCTGCTCTGCCCGGAGACGGGATGCCCGTCCAACCGGTACAGTAAGCCCCTGCAACCCCCAACCCGTCCTGCCGTCTGTCTCCCTTCCCGGGGGGGCCTTGCACCGATCCACCACGACTGCCCCTCCCCCGCCCCGCACTGGCCACCTCCATGCACACTGAGCTCCATGCCCGTCCACGATACCACCCGGAGGCACGGCCGCCTCCAATCCAATCCAATCGCGATCAGTCAATCAGCTCCTCCAGCCGCTCACCGACGCGCCAGCAGCCCGGTACTCATAACGCCTCCCGCTCCCCTCCTCCTCTCTCCCTTCTCTCTTCCCTTTCCCTCTCCTCGGCCACGCCGCCCCATCACACCGTGATGCACTGATGCCCATTGCTCGAGCCTGTCCCCCGCCGCCTCACTTATAGCTTGCCACTTTCAAACAAACCACTGGCCGCCCCCGCCCGCTCCTCAACAGTCAACACCACGTCACTATCCCAACGAACACCACAATAGCAATACCAGTAGCAACTACCAGTCAAGCAGTCACGATGGCCAATCTCCCACCCAATGTTCACGTCTCGACTCACCCCTGCTTGCAGGCCAAGCTGGGCCAGCTGCGCTCCCGCTCCGCCGACTCCAAGGCCGTCCAGGCGCTCGTCCACGAGATTGCCCTCATCGTTGCCTGCGAGGCGCTGGCCAAGAACCTCACGGCGGCGCCGGGCCCGAGCGTACGTACACGGCCTCTCGTCCTCCCCATCCGAGCTCTCGCTTCCTTACGAGACCTGTTTTCTTTCTGAGAAAGAGAGAGAGGGACCGCTGCGCTCCACCGCCGGGCATAGCCTCGTTGTGAAGGAATAGATGGCCAGGCGAGAAGCTCCCGCTGACATGAAATCGACGTCTTGTAGGACCAAACGCCCCTCGGCTTCACTTACACCACCACGACCACCAACCCCGAGACAATGTGCATCGTGCCCATTCTCCGCTCCGGCCTCGCCATGGTAGACGGTGCGTGTCCCGTCCGCAGAGGAACCCCCCTGGCACCCTCACATATCCCCTTTCACTCCTCCACTGGGCACAGCAGAGCGAAACAAAACAAAGCAAAGCAAAGCAAACAACTCCGCTCACTCACTCATCCGCTCGCCTCACTGCCATCACTCACTTACTCACTCGCTCACTAACTCACCTCCCACCTCACAGCCGTCCAGACCATGCTCCCCACCTCCGTCCCCGTCCACCACCTCGGCATGTACCGCGAGCAAACCACCCTCGACCCCGTCGAGTACTACAACAACCTCCCCAGCCGCACCTCGGCGACCCCCACCGCCGCCCAGTCCTCCGAGCCGCCCGCCTCCCTCGCCGTCATCGTCGACCCCATCATCGCCACGGGCGGCACCTGCGCCGCCGCCATCCAGACCCTCCGCGAGTGGGGCGCCCGCCGCGTCCTCGTCCTATCTGTCCTCGGCGCCGAGGACGGCGTGCGCAAGGCCGCCGGCGAGTGGCCCGACGGCACCGAGCTGTGGCTCGCTGGCTTGGATGGCAAGCTCACGGACCAGGGCATGCTGGAGCCGGGGCTGGGCGACATTGGCGATAGGTTGTATTTGACCATGGGCAAGTGAGGGGCGTGTAAGCGTGTTTTCAAGTTGGCGTTGACTGACGGAGATGGCATGTCGGATGTGCGGTCTTGATGAGGGAAACGCGCTTGCTATATCGCATAGTAAACAGTAATCCTACAAGAGTTCAGGCTCCAACATCACTGCACCGTGTACTGCTCCTCGTCCAGCCTCGTCTTCTCCGTCCAGCTCTCTTGCACCCACGCACCCTTCACCACCCGGGGTATCTTTCGTCGCCCGCTCACCTCCTTGCGCACCTGATCCGCCACGTCGCCCACCTCCATTGCATCGTCCCCCACAACGACTACATGCGTCACCGCCTCATCCAGTTCATTTTCCACGCGACCACCAGCGTACTTGGCATAGCGCGCCAGCTTGCCCAGCAGTCGCTCGCTCGTCCCCTCCACGGGCCTAAAGTGCACGACGCACCCCTGGAACATGAACCTGCGCATCTCGCCCAGGCCCTTCTGGCGCTCCTCCAGCTCCCGCAGGAAGGCCGGCGCATCAAAAGCGTCCAAGCTCTCGAGCTTGGGCATGTCGGCCATGATCTCGCGCAGTTCCTCGACGGACACGTCTCTTGCGTAGCTATCCCCGTACTGGTCCGTGTTGTGCATTGCCGCGGCCCTCGTTTCCTCCGTCGCATGGAACAAGTGGCTTTCCTCGTACGGAAGCAAGTACGCGGCACCGTCGTCCTGTTCCAGGCAGTCTTTTATCCAGCGAGGCCGAATAATGTCCACGCTGCCATCCTTGATGAGACTGGCTGCCTTGACGACCTTCTTGTCCGCAATGTAGACCATGTCTTTGCCCGCGCGCTGTGACACGGCGCCTCCGTTTTCCTTGACAATGGTTTCGAGCTGCGTCTTGGTCTTCTTGTACGGCTTGAGTGACTCGGACAAGACGCAAAACTGCAAGCCCTCAAAGACGCGCGACCTTTCACCCTCAAACGCCACCGGCGCCGCGTCCTCGCCCGCAATGACAATCTCGCGCTTCACGCGCTTAGGGTTCCTCCTCTTCCTGTCCTCGACCGTCATGGCCTTCTCCTTGGACTCCTCGTCGACCCTCTTCTTGAGCTCCTGGAACTCCTCGACATTGAGCGCCGAGTCCCAGCTGCGGTCGAGCCGTAGCCTGCGGAACCGCGGGAAGCGCAGCGTGATGCCCCGAGCGAAACTATCGGACGGTCCCACGCTGGCGGCCTTGACGGACACGACGACGGAGTCTTTGGGCCGGATCCACATGTCAGGCCGCTCCAGCTGCTTGGCCTCGCCGCCACCGAGCTCGATGTACTCGGACGGCGGGTTCTTTGCATCCCACTCGATCCATTTACCCTCGGTGTGGTGCCTGATCTCCGCGTAGTCCTCGCCGCGGAACCCGCCGCCGACCTTGAAGAAGCTGAAACATTTTTCGGGATTGGCGCCTGCCTGGATGTGGTTCTGCGTGACGCGGAGCCCGCACAGAAAGCTCGACAACATTCCGCCGCGGCGACCTGAGCCGTAGTAGCCGCCGATGATGAGACAGTCGAGTGACTCTCCAAACTCGGACATGTATTCGGGCTTGACCTTGAGCCAGTCGTCGTTGCGGCTGTTGAGACGGTACATAGACCGCGGGTTCTTGAGCACGAGACCTTCGGAGGCGTTGGCGACGACTTCTCGCAAGAGGGGCTCGATGGCGTCGGCTGATGTTGCCGGCGTGTACGAGTGGATCTCGAGACGCCGGTGGACGGGATTGACGGCCTTTTCGAGGGCGCGTCGACGGTCGCGCAGCGTGTACTGCGTAAGCTGCTTGTCGTTGAGGTACAGAATGTCAAAGACGCGAAACAGCGGACGGTGGCCTGCAGCGTCCGAGTTGGACTTGTTCTGCTGCTCAGAGAGAGCGGCTGTCTTGAGGGTTCCAAACGGCACGATCTTGTCGATTCCCATATCCCAGGTGATCATTTCGCCGTCGAGAATGAGATTGCGTACGCCCGACGCAAATGCATTCTTCAGATGCCTGGTCAGCGCCGAGTTCCCATCCATGAAGCCGTTGCCGTAGAGGTAGCTGTAGTCTTTGGCCTTTCTCGACCAGAAGCAGAACCGCATCCCGCCAGGATGATCCGGATCCTCAATCATGTGCATCTGCATACGCTCGCCATCCAGCTTTTCCTCGATCCAAAACTCGGGGTCCTCTTCAGTGACGCGCAGCAGCTCAATCATGCGCTGGAACGACGCCGGCATCTGGAACTGGGCGAGCTGCGGCTGGAAGCACTGCATCAGGGAAATGCCGGCCTCCTCCTGCTCGAGGCGCACCGCCGGATCGTATAGCTCCCAGCACACCCGGCGCAGGCTCGAGGACACGCTGAAGAGGGCCTCGCCGTCCGGGTGCCACAGGTAGAGAAACGTCTTTTCCGTGGCGCCCACCTTCATCTGCTTGAGGATGATGCGAATCAGCCACATCATCTCCTCGGCGTTCATGCGGTTGTAGAACGTCTCAAAGATGCGCAGGTTCTCGGCCTCGCCTGATGACGCCGCCAGCCTGTCGAGCTGCTCGTTGACCTCGGCAATGGTCATGTCGCCGACGTCGGTCCGCATCGGGCGCTTCGAGATGACCTCGAAGCAGCGGCCGGCAAAGTCGCCCGCGAGACGCGCGGCCATGGTCTGTCCGGGGATCTTCCAGTGTAGAAGATTGTAGCCGTCCTCGGAGTTTTTGTCAATCTTCATGAGCTTGACGAGGAGCTTGCCGATGGCGCTCTCCTTGAGACCGTAGACGCCGCGATCGCGGTCCTTGTCTGGCAGGATGAGGCGCAGCGCAGGGTAGAAGTCGTCGCCCACGTCCTTGCGCCATCTTGTGATGAACCGTTCTATGATGTGCCTGCGCTGCTCTTGGGGGGACAGACTGTGGGCGCCGTGAGGGCCCTTTTTGCGAGCCGGGCCACCGGCCGGCTGCTTCTTGTTCTCGTTGAGCGGGTTGAAAAGCTCTAAGAAGAGATCGTGAAATGCCAGCGTCTTGGAGTGGTTCCTCGGGCGGTTGGGATACCTAAAATTTCAATAAGAGATCGATTCGCCTTGCGTGAACGGCGACATACTTGTCCTCGAGCTCCTCCTTGGTCATGTCGGAGGCGCCATACTGAATCTCCTCTTCACGCTGGGCGTCGGTGTCCTGGGTTTGGCTCGCGCGACTCATGCTGCTGGATTCAGAGGCGCCGACTCCGATTTCCGATTTTCTTGATGAGTTCGGTCGAAAGAAGGAGAGGAGTCGAGGGCCGCGACTACATGGCGCTGAAGCTCATTAATAGCTGCCATGGGTGAATGGCGCTGGAGCTGGCCAAGTGATGTGACGATTGGTTGACGATTCTCCACCAGGAGCTGCTGCCTGTGGCGGCGACCACCACCAGGATCCCGTCGTGGATGACATAATGGCGACCCGCAGACTTCCACACCCACCTGGAAGCAGAGTGCCCGCCAGCTGTTCGCCTCCCATCCTTCCTACCTACACAAGGCAGGCTGCAGCTCCAATCCTCAAACGGCTTTCCATCCATCCCAGCCACCATGCCTGACAGCAAGAATGCCCGAGCTAGACGATATAACGTACCCAACCCTCCAGCTAGATGACCACCTCCTCGACGAAAAGCTCCCCTCCGCGAGACCCATCCTCACCATCAACCCCGACCAGCCCCCAGCACACGCCACCCTCGGCGCGCTCGACATCCTCCCCCTCGAGCTCCTCGACCACGTCCTCGCACAGCTCGACCTCTGCACCGTCATCTCCTTCCGCCACATAAACCGACGCGCCGCCCAGCTCGTCGAGTTCTCGCCCACGTACCGCGCCATCAGCCGCCACGCCTCCAACGCCCTCTGCGCCGCGCTCAACATTGGCTGCGCGCAATGGGTCACCTGCGGCGCGCTATACGGCGCGCTGTGTACGTGGAAGTGTGAGTCCTGTGGCGACTTTGCGGGCTACATCTATCTCGTCGCTTGCGCGCGGGTGTGCTTCCTGTGCTTCACGTCAAGGAGGCAGTATCTGCCGCTGCGACCGAGCCACGCGCGGCGCAAGTTTGGCCTGAGCGGCCAGATTGTCAATGCGTTGCCGCACGTTCGTGCTCTGCCGGGGGTCTACACGCCGAGGGAGAAGAAGCTACATCGCGTCGTCCTCGTCGACTATGCGTCCGCGCGGCACGCCGGGATCGCGCACCACGGCTCAGAGGCTGCCATGAACCGCTACATGGAAGCTACTCGCGTCGCGCAAGTCCAAGCCTACAATGCAAAAGGCACTGCGTCCGGTCGGTCTGCATCATCTGCTGCCTGCCACACACATCCACCAAAATTGGAAGACCCGCCTGACGACGGTCCGTGGAACCCATTTCGATTCGCAGCCGTTTGTAGAGTTCCGTGGTTGAACAGCGAGACGCAGCAAGTCGAATCGGGCTTCCACTGCCTGGGGTGCAAGTACGAGATTGACCTGCCCCTCAACTTTCGTCGAGAGTTTACAAGGGCCTCGTTTGGGGAGCACCTTGAAGAATGTGGCCCGATCGTGGACGGGAAGCACTGTCCAGGTAGCTAGCAGCTTCGCCCGACTATAAGCCATGAAACCGTGAACCGAAGCATCTATTCGCCCGCAGTGGCAGGAAGTGGTGCAGCAGACTGGCTGTGCGCTGTTTGTGGCCATGCTAATGCATCGTATCAAAACCAATGGCTGTCCGGAGACCGATGAGCGCCTACACTTCTCGTCCTTGGGTCGTAATGCCGGGCACAGGAGCAACATGAGGCAAGACGCCGACGGCGTACAACTGACAAACAAGGTCTATCCTTGTACCAAATCTATACCGGCCATAAAGTCCCGGCACATGTTCCCGTTCCAAGCAATCCCATTCCGTATTTACGAGCCATTGGAGCCAGCCAGAGCGCCCATGTCTATGCCCTGGTATCCTGTATCCGCCGCTGCCGCCTCCACCCCCTCGACTCCCGTTGGATACACGAGCTCCAACCTCGTTCCGCTTACTGCGCGCGAGTAATCATGTCGTCGCGCGAGGGTCCGGTGCCGATCCAGCTAATCTTGACCTGCGCTCCATGTCAGCAAAAGTTGCCATCGAAATAGCTCACGTGGCTGCCACTTACACCAGTGTACTGTTCGATGAACTCGATGTACTCGCGAGCCTGCTTAGGCAGGTCGTACTGCAGTCGGTCCGTCAGTCTCTACTTCAGCAGCTCTGTCTGTTTTGTCAAGGGCACGTACGTAGGTCTTGGCGTGGGTCGTGGGCTTTTGCCAGCCCTCAAATTCCTTGTACACGACCTCGCACTTCTCGAGGAAGGCCAGGTCGGCGGGGAAGTAGTCGAGCTCCTCGCCCTCGGGGGACTTGTAGGCGACAGCCACCTTGAGGACAGGGAATGTGTCCAGCACATCGAGCTTCGTCAGGTTGAGGGCCGTGTAGTGGTTGATGGAGACCGAGTACTTGAGGACGACGAGGTCGAGCCAGCCGCAGCGGCGCTTGCGGCCGGTGCTGACACCCCACTCGCGGCCAATCTCCTGCAGCTTGGTGCCGGCCTCGCCGAGGTCCTCGGTCTTGAAGATGCCCTCGCCGACGCGCGTGGTGTAGGCCTTGACGACGCCGATGACGCGGTCGATCTTGGTGGGGTTGAGGGCCAGGCCGGTGACGACGCCGCCGAGACCGGTGTTGCTGCTGGTGACGTAGGGGTAGGTGCCGTAGTCAATGTCCAGCATGAGGGCGTTGGCACCCTCGATGAGGATCTTCTCATTGTTGTCCTGGGCCTGCTTCATGAACTGGACGGCGTCGATGCAGTAGGGCGCAAGCTTCTGGCGGTACTCCTTGAAGCGCGCAATCTCGTCCTCGACGTCGTACTTGAGCAGGTCGCCGAAGCGCTTCTTGTATCCGCTGGCGAGCTGGCGCAGCTTGCGCTCGAAGGTGGCCTCGTCGAAGATTTCGTGGACGCGGACACCACTGCGGGCGGCCTTGGTGCTGTACGAGGGGCCAATGCCGCGGCCGGTGGTGCCAATCTTGCGCGCGCCGAGCTGTCGCGTGTCAGCGGGATCCCGTGGTGGCGAGCACTCTGCTCACCTCGACTTCCTCGAGGCCGTCGACGGCGGCGTGGAGGTCAAAGTTGACCTGGCAGCGGTCGGAGACCAGGATGCGGTTGTCGGTCTTGAGGCCCTTCTCTTCCAACTCGGCAAGCTCCTTGAAGAAGCTGGGGACGTGGAAGACGACGCCGGAGCCGATCAGGTTGACGCAGTTGGGGTTGACCAGGCCGGACGGAAGAAGGTGGAAGCTGACGGGTCAGTGTCGGGGCGGCGGAGCGGGTTGGGTCGGATCGCGCGCATACCTGTAAGAGACTCCATTCGCCCTGCATCGCCGTCAGTCTTTGTCGTCGCAAGGGGGGTGTCGCAGCAGCGTCGCAAACATACACAATGGAGTGTCCAGCGTTGTGGCCGCCCTGTCCGTCGGTCTCAGCAGCAATCGCAGGATCGGGGTAGACGTCTCAGCTTACAGCGGCTCTGGCGCAAAGGCGCACCTCGGGGCAGAGGATGTCGGTGAGCTTGCCCTTGCCCTCGTCTCCTGCGCGTGGCGGTCAGTTCGGGATGCCCGTCGGGATGCCCCTCGCAATGCCCCGCGACGTGCCGAATGCAGAGTCGCATTGCGCGGCGCGGGCGCGGCGGGGCAGGCACGGCGGTCACTCACCCCACTGGGAGCCCAGAATGATGGTGGCCATGATTAGGATGCGAAGCAGAGGTACAATTGACCCGAGAGTCAACTGAGAGGTTCAGTGAACAAGACCAAAAGTCGTTGTTGAAGCGCGAAAAACTTCCAAGCCCCGCGACAGTCCGGTTGCGTGAGCGGGATAATATGGGCGAAAATGTCTGGTGGGGGGGTGTGGTGGGGTCCATCCAATGCCATCAGAGCCAACGGGCGGTGGCATGGATGGCGGCGCATGGTTCCATGCCGACTGTGCCGTCCGTGAGTCCGCCCGCCGATTCGGACGTGGGAATCCGCAGGTGTGTTTGTTCCTGGCTGGCGGGGCACTGCACGCACTGATTGCCCTGGACAGGTCAACGAATTGGATGGATTGCCGGAGACGGGAGTGAGACGGGATTGACGGCTCTTCGGAGGGCTTCACCTCAAAGGACGTGAGACGCGCTGAGCCGGCCTGTGGCTACAGCGCGAGTGACCGCTGAAATTTCACCAGGGCACCTGCAGTCGCCCGTGTGAGTCAACCTACCCGCCCATGGTGTCCGGGCAGCTGAGCAATTGGAAGGCTGCTGACGCCATCGCAGCCCATGCACCTTCCCGTGCTTTTTTTTAGAGTATTGCTATTTGTAAGGCTACGTTCTGCTATTTGCAAGGCAACCCTACCGTCTGCCCTACTCTCCCTGGCGCTAGCCCGCGCTACCTAATTTTAGTGTATTTATATAGGTCGGGCAAGAAGCGTCGCGATATCTTAATTGCATTAAGTAGTTATAACGTAGTAGCCGCGCCGTAGCGCTAGTAGGGCTTAAATCGCTTAAAAAACGCATTTCCGTAGTTTCCCTATAATATTATTATATTTAGATATATATTATTTCGTTCTAGATCCCTTTACTAGGCCGGCTAGCGTACTTATAACTATACCCTTATTACTACTAACTATATCTACCGCCCTTAACCTCGTCTACCCTAGCTATAGCGCTAGTAAGGCTTAAATCGCCTAAAAAACGTATTTCCGAGGTTTCTTTATAATATTATAATATTAAAGGTATATTCTTTTACTTTAAGGTCTATATATTAAGTCCCTTAACTATATTAAGCTCTAAGTATAATTAAGGTTATAGTTATATAGCTAGGATAACCTCGTTTTATAAGGCTAAGGTAGATATAGCCTATAATATTATTAAGGTAGCCTATAATACTATTATTATAGTTTATAATACTATTAATATAATTCGTAATATTATAGACTAGCTATAAGCTATAGCGTTATTATAAGCCTAGCTATAGCTACCTTATAATCCCCTTATAGTCTATAACCCCTTTAAGGCTAGCTATAATACCTATAAGCTCTTTAAAGCTAGCTATAATGCCTATAATGCCTATAATAGCTATAAGAGCTTATCTTTAAGCTCGAACTATAAGCGGTTATAATAAATATTTAAGTTTAAGGGTTAAGTCTCTTAGCTTAAAGTCTAATTAAGTTAATAGCCTTAAGCCTTACCCTTACCTCTACCTTAAGTCTCTTACGAGCCCTATATATATATTTACCTTAAGGCTTAGCTTTATTATATAAAATCGGCTTTAACGTTATTATTATTAATATCGTTATTAACGTTATTATTAGCGATTTTAAGGTATTAAGGGATCTTAAGCTTCTTATTAATAGCATTAAGGTATAGCTAGCTATAGCTATTAATTATAATAATAAGATTATAGATATTAAAGTAGCTACTTTTATAGTCTTATTAATAGTTAGTAAATAAGCCTAAAAGTAAAGTATTTAATAATAATATAAAGAGAGTATTTAATAATAATATAAAGAGATAAATTAAAGGCTTTTTAAGCTATTAATAAATAGTAATTTAATAGCATTAAAGTAGTTAGTCTTTAATAAGGTAGGTAAAGATAGTATAACTATAAGGTAGGCTATATTAATGCTTAAAGTTACTTATATAAGCCTTTAATAGCTAAGGCTTTTATTAATTAAGTATCGTAATAAAGGTAAAGTAATATTACTTAACGAGAAGGTTAATAGCGAGATAAATAAGCTATTAATTTAATTTACTTAGCTAAGCCTATTAAGTATATTAAAGCTATTACTTTTAAAGCTATCGAGTAGCCTCTTAAGTATATAAGCGAGCCTTATTTTCGATTATAGTCTATAGCGCTTTATAAAGGTAATAAAGGTTTAATATACTTATTACGAGATAAGATTTAATATTTATATAAGTAATTTTAATTAAGCTATTAACCCTTTAATCGAAGTTATAATAATAGTTAATATAGTACTTTACTTATTACTTATACTATAGTATATATTAATCTTATAAGTATTAAAGGATATACCCTTAGCGGTAGCTAAAGGTCTAGATAAGGTATTTCTATAAGTCTTTAAAGGTATTATAATCGGTAATATAAACGATAGCTTAAAAAGCCTTAAATATACCCTTATAGCTATATTCTTCGTTATTTAAGCTTAAGATACCCTCTTCTACCTCTTATTATACGCGCTTATAGTTTATAAGGTCGAAGTCGAGCTTAGGGTCTAATAGCTCTATAAATAGAGTATTATTATTATTATTAATAGCGTTATTAAAGTTATTATCGCTACTTTCTTTATCCTTCTAACGAGAGTTAATTTTAGCCTAAGCGTTAGCTATAAGATAGTATATATATAGCTATTATTATATATTAAGAAAGACTTTTATAAATACTATTCGAAAAGCTTATTTTTTATCGATTATTATAACTTTTAAGGTAATAATAGTAAGGCTTTTATAAAGCTTATTAAGCCTCTTATAAAGCTATTAAAAATAATATTCTTTTTTACTATTAATAAGGCTAAAGGCGAAATTTATAATAGTCTTTTAGTCTATAATGCCTATAGCTTAAAAGAATAGTATTTTAAAGTAGTTAGTATAATAAGTATTATCGAGGCTAAGAACTTCTAGGAACTTCTTCTATATCTTATAATATTAAAGGTAAGTCTAGAAGATAGCCTTAAGGTAGCCTTTATTATTAAGAAGCTTATTAACCTTAATCTTAGCCTCTTCGAGCTCTTTAATAAAAGCTTAAATAAGTATTAAGCTATTAAGGCACTCTTTCTTAATAATCTATCTATCGTTATAGATATTTTTATTATAAAAGAACTTATAATCTAGGTTAGCATTATAGATAATATTTATTATCTTATAAGCTTATATATTAATCTTAACTATAAGCTCCCTCTTTTTCTTTTATTAAGTTACTATATAATAGTAAAAGAGGCTATAAGTTAATAGATCGATAGATTTATTATAATTATATTAATTATAACCTTTAGGGACCTTATATTTTTACTTCTAGCTAGAAGACTTAATCGTTAAGGCTATAATAGCGAAAGGGCAATCGATCTTTTATATTAAGGGCTTCTATAGGCTAGTACTCATTAAGGTATACTTAAGGCTTTAATTATAGACGAACCGGATCTATATTAATTATATAACGCTATTAACTTTATGTCTTATACCTATAGAGCTCTTAACGAATAAGGTATTATTAATAAGGTATTAGTCTCGAAGGAAAGTAAAGAAGGTATCGTAAGTCTCGAACTCTAATAAAGGCAATAATAGCGGAATTAGATCGCTAACGTTATAGTTACGTATAACGATAGATATAATAAAAGAGATACCTTTATCGATAGGCTCTTCTATATTTAATAATAGGCTAAGATCTATACTTTTATAGGCCTATAGCGGCTCTAATCGGGCTATAAAATAGCGTTAAACTAGTAATATTTATAATAGTATTAAAAGGCCTTATAGCCTACGGTAGCCTCGTAGCTACGAGGTAGCTACGAGGCTACGGCCTATAGGCCCGCCGGGCGCTAGGCACTAGCATACTAATTTAGTATAGCGGCCTAGGCGGTACGGGATTAGTCAAAAATTTCACTTAGTAGGGCGGGCAGTAGGGTTGCCTTGCAAATAGCAGAACGTAGCCTTGCAAATAGCATTACTCTTTTTTTATCGGCAGTCGCTCCCACGATTCGCTGCCCCTCGCGGGCCCAGCCGGAAGGCGCCATTTGTTGGCCGTCCGTGCCTGCCCTGTCATGCTTGGCTTGGCTTGCTTGGCCACCCACTGGCAGCCATCCGTCCCACCAGCCCCGACTGCGGCCCCCCGTCCCCGTCCTGCCGTCGAGTCACAACCTACGACGTGCAAACGGCGATGTCCACCTCACCCGACTGTGCGTGCCGTGCCGTCTTTTCGCTCTTCTCTCACCGCAGGCGCTTCGACGCCTTCGATTGGATGGCACGCCGGGTCAGCCTGCGTTCGGGTCTCGGCTTCATGTCCGTGTGCTTCCCGGCCCGTAGCTGCCGTGCAGCTGGACGCACCTTGCTGGCAGCGTGCCCCGACGGCGTCGCAGGTCTGCTGCTCAGGGCCTATCCCGACACATGACAGCCGTGACTGGAAGCAACGACAGCATGCCCACCGCTGCCAGTATCATCCGCCCGCGCTCTGGGCGTGGTCTCCGCAACTCGGCTGAGCTGTTGCAAGCCCCGTTCAAGCGAGCGCGGCGCGTTTGGCGGATGCCCAACACACGACCATTGAACACGTCTGTCCATATCCATCCGAGTTGAAGCGCAACTCCGACTAAAAGGCCGAACCTACGTTGGCTGTTGCGGACAAAGGCCGTGTTCTGTGCTCTTTTCATGCTGCATCACATCTACCCCGTCTGAACAGACCTCCTCGACTGGGACAATGGGCACTTCGCACCGATTGGACATGGACCATGAAAGACGTCGCCTTGCCGCATATAAGCTCGCTCTTCCCATAATACTCGGGTGACTCCTGACGTAGACCCAAACTATTGTCTTCGCATCCACGTGCAACAAACATTTCTGCCAACGCAGGATTTCCAGAGACTCAGGCTGCCTCCTTTCGCCGCCGCTAGCGTCACGATGAGGCGAGGGTCCTCTTTCCAGTCTCGGCCGCCCATCGGGGGCCTGTCCCTTGCCTTTGAGGTGCACTTTATGGTGGCTCAAAGTCTCGACGAACCGGCCAGAAACCCCCAACCGCAAACCCGTCAGGAGAAGTGGACTTGCCCGAAAGGCTCGCAGGACCCCTGCGGCGATATCATGCGCCGCTGCATGGCCGTCCTCAGCGCGAATGGCTGCGATTCTAGGATCGTACGCAGACATGCCGCGGACATGGAGAAAGTCTGGGAGACTGAATTCGCCGCGACGTGGCTCCTGAAGCCCTCTTCCCGTCCGAAGCCAAGTGACTATGCCCCAGCCGGCTACAAGTGGCATGGATTCAAGCTGCGCACTCCATTCTTCTATCGGGCTGAAGCACTCTCCCGGCGACCCTTGTTCATGCGGTGCCTCGCAGGACTCCAGGATGCTGTCCTTCTGCACCTGAACTCGTCATGCCAGCTCAACGTCTCTGTGGCGTCCTACCAGCACTTGGGACACCTCACTGAGGCAAAGAAGCTTACAACCCTCGTGTGGCTTCTAGAAAAGCAGTTCCTCCTCATCCTCTGCCCTAGGGTGCCACTGCTTACCGGCCGATCTATGCTTACTACGGATCACAGCAGGCTGGCCAAAGGCAGCAGGTCTCCCGTCCAGAGGCAGGCGCCGGTCTCCATTCGACACGACGCTCCACGATTCCGCGACAGTGCGCTCGACGCCCAAATGCAGCGCCTGTGGGCTTGCAGTAGCCTCAAGGAGCTTGAAGAACTGCTCTGCAGGGCCGACAACGGAGAGCCGCTGGCCTTCTCAATAGTCCAAGACGAACTCCCCTCCAACCCCAACCGGTCCTCCGGGACCTGGAAGGCCGTGTTCCGGTACGCAGTCTGGCATCCGCACAAGGGTGTCGACGTGACAGAGGCCTGGTTGCGCTTGCTCTCGGCCTTTCTCGCCGCAGCGCAGGCCCAGGGCCGCTATTTTAACGAGTTTGCGACGCAGACGGAGGAGATGACTACTTGGCTTGATCAGGCCCACTCGACAGAGGATGAGCGCCTGCCAGCCTTGCTCCAGAGATTTGGCTTGAGAAACGACGAGCAGGTGTGGCAGGCTGCCAGAAGGTTGTACGCTGGCTCAGTAGTTGAGAGGGCACCGAGGTGTAGGCATCGCCTCAGATCGCTCAGCATCTTCCCAAAAAGCAAGCGTTAGGGATCAAATACCTGTTTGGGAGGGGATGGACGTCGGAGAGGAAGAAGAATATTGGGGGCGGCTAATTCATAACCAAGCGTGAGGCTCTTAAGGTTGTTTTGATGCTGTCATGAGTTGTACCTCTAGTTCCCATGCCACTGCCCTCTGGGTCGGTTGAGGGGCCCATGCTTTCTCATTGTGCTTTACGGTGACATGACTTATGTTCAAAACTTTGGAATTTCACAAAGCAACACAACGATTGTCAATGTTGCAGCGTGAATTCGTGGGTGTTGAGCTACACGTATCGGGGTCGCCCGAGGTACAGGGTAGTCCGCACAGTCTGGTGGTTTTCCATCCGCTCTACGAAGTATTAAGCGCAGCTGTCGTCTAAGCCAAGCGGAAAGTGCAAGCGTAATTACTGTGGAACACGCATTCTCTAGGAGGCCGTGTGTTTAGCCTAATTGAACAGATGTTGGGCCGTCTTTACATTGTATGTATGGGAGAGTCGACGCCCCATGAGCCTCAGAGAGTCACAGGTCACTCGCCAGCGCGAGGATGAGCCGAAGCAGGGGTTTTTGATCAGTGACGGACGGTATGACGCGTAAACATTCCGGCAAACCCGGAACGGAAGTGATTCTCCGCGGCAGAGCCGCGCCGAACGAACGTGGATCGTGGCCCGTCCCCATGAACAGCCGCGAGAACATGTCCCTGTTTTTCCAACACAAGGGTCGAGAGCATCGCAGACAACATGAAGCATCCCGTCACATTTTATTTATCCAGCAACGCATTGGCACATGCCATTGAGCTGCGAGCGATTGCGAAAGTGCCTCTATGTGAATTCCCATTGTGTACCTGCACGTGAAAATCGCGCCCTGAGGCAAACGATGCCCCTTGCAGAGCTGCTCCGAACTTTTTTCCCCGATCGAGGCAAATGTCTGGTCGCAGCAGTCACTGCAACGGCGATCATCTGGTCGTCCGAAGTGACGATCCTCGCTTAAGCACGCGTGCCTTGCGTGCGCACATACATGCTGCGCACGTCAACCGCAAAGGCCTTGGTTCGACTCGAGCAGGGCAATTGGCCCACGCCGCTTAAAAAGGCAGCCGGTCAGCATCAACACCACGCGCAGCACTCACTGCGCTGCGTTCCTCGTCTAAGTAGGCCCGATAGAACAGAGCCCGCACAGGGGAGAAGTTATACCAGAACCTGGGGCTTAGTCTCTTGGGCTAGCAGACTACCGATTTGCTTAATGACGGTCGCGTCTCTTGGCCTGGCTTCCATGCCGGACCGACGAGAATTGCTGCAGGTGGGCTTGGAGAAGGCCCGATACCCAGGTCCACCTCTCCACACTGACGGCTCCCCAAGACCTGGGGCAGCCACGGCGGCTCGGCGCGGGGCCCCTCATTGCTTACACGATGGCATCAGGGCAGAGGCTTCCCGCTGGGTTTGACGGGGAATTGCCAAGAGTGGCAGTCGCGGGGTGTCGTAGTAGTGTATAAATGAAGGCTTCGATCCGCGGGAAGAACGGAGGAGCGCAACCTAGGTTCGCATTTGGTGTCGCTGAGCTCCGGTACTCCGTCATTCTCCAACAACCATCATGTTGAGGGCACTGGTGAGCAGTCTTGCGGCGATCGCCGCGTTGCAGGATGCCGTGGTGGCGTCGCCATCAGTGCACCGCCGCAACCGCTGCACCGAGCTCGAGGACTTCATCAAGAAGCAGAACAAGGTTTCCATCGATGGCGTCCTTGCAAACATCGGGCCCGATGGATCAAAGGCCAAGGGCGCTTCCCCGGGCGTTGTTGTCGCCAGCCCGTCCCGGTCTGACCCCGACTGTAAGTCCTTCCTGACGGTAGTAGTCGGTCCTGCGTGGCTTTGCTAACATCGATAGACTGGTACACATGGAGCCGAGACGCCGCTCTGACGTTCAAGGTCCTTATCGAGCGCTTCATCCACGGCGACAAGTCGCTCAAATCCAAGATTGACGACTACGTCTCCGCCCAAGCCGAGCTGCAAGGTCTCACAAACCCCTCCGGAGGCCCAGACTCGGGCGGCCTCGGTGAGCCCAAGTTCAACGTCAATCTGACAGCGTTCACCGGCTCGTGGGGCCGCCCGCAGCGCGACGGTCCGGCCTTGCGCGCCACGGCGCTCATCCTGTATGCCAACTGGCTGGTCGGCAACGGTGCTCGAGGCCAGGCAGCGGACAAGGTGTGGCCAGTCATCGCCAAGGACCTCGACTATACGACGCGTTTCTGGAACCGGACGGGCTATGATCTGTGGGAGGAGATCAATGGGTCTTCGTTCTTCACGCTGTCGGCGTCGCATCGCGCGCTGGTCGAAGGCACCGCCCTGGCGAAGACGCTGGGCAAGACGTGCAATGACTGTGCTGCGTCGGCGCCCAAGGTGCTGTGCTTCATGCAGAGCTTCTGGGTTGGTGGGTACATCGACTCCAACATCAATGTCAATGATGGGCGTACTGGCAAGGACGTTAACTCCATCATCTCATCCATCCACACGTTCGACCCGGAGGCGGACTGCACCGACGCCACGTTCCAGCCGTGCTCCGCGAGGGCACTCGCAAACCACAAGGCGGTGACGGACTCGTTCCGAACCATTTATGCGGTCAACAAGGGTATCCCGCAGGGCAAGGCCGTCGCCGTGGGCAGATACGCCGAGGACGTGTACTACAATGGCAACCCGTGGTACCTGGCCACCAACGCCGCCGCCGAGCAGCTTTACGCGGCGCTTTACCAATGGAATCGCATCGGGTCCGTCTCCGTCACGGACGTGTCGCTGCCCTTCTTCAAGGATCTCATCCCCGACATCAAGACTGGCAAGTATGGCAAGAACAGCAAGGAGTTCAAGTCGATTGTCAAGGCCGTCAAGCTCTACGGCGACGACTTCCTCGCCGTGGGCAAGAAGTACACGCCGGCAGATGGGTCATTGTCGGAGCAGTTTGACAGGAACTCGGGAGCGCCGGAGTCGGCCGTTGACTTGACCTGGTCCTATGCCTCCTTCATCAGCGCGACTGAACGTCGCGCGGGCATCATGTCGCGGCCCTGGGGTGAGCGCGGAGCCAACAGCGTTCCGGCAGTATGCGAGCCCGCCCCTTCGTGCGACTCAGAGGTCACCTTCAACGTGCGTGTCACGACAGTTCCCGGTGAGGATGTTTTTGTGGTCGGCGGCATCACCGAGCTCAGCAACTGGTCTCCGGCCAACGGCATCCCGCTGGACGCGTCAAAGTACACGCCTAGTGATCCTCTCTGGACGGTCAAGGTCAAGATCCCGTCCGAGACGAGCTTCGAGTACAAGTACATCAAGAAGAACCGCAACGGCGACGTGACGTGGGAGAGCGACCCAAATCGGAGTGGAAAGACGGGCAAGGAGTGTAATGCGTCGGAGACGATCAACGATCAGTGGAGGTGAGAGCAATGGCATGCTCCCGGCATCACAGGGCCTGCACCCATTGTCGCGTTGAGGAAATAGGCGAATTGGGGAACGCGTTATTCCTGATGTCTGACCAACCTCGTAGTAACTAGTAATAAGCTTAGGCACGAGTGCAGTGCAATACATGAATGAACAATGACCCTCTCACTAAGCGAGAGTAAAGGAACTATGCCTCACTGTTTGCCTCCATTGACGTGCAGACAGCCACATCCTGAAAAACTCATGCTTTGAGATCAATGGCTTCATGTACGTTATGAGGGGTTCGGTCGCCATGCAACTTGCACGTTGAGATCGCTCTGGGTGAACAGGCCCGCGTTGAACGACTTCCAAGGATTCGTCGGATCTACCAGCGTAAAGTCAAATCGCCGGAAAAGCTGCGCCATTCCATCAGCATCGCCATCAAGCCAGGAGTGACGATGCACTTACCTCGACAAAGACTTTGTTGAGCTCAATCATGGCAATGTTCTTGCCAAGACACTCCCACCTGCTGCCACCAGCAAAGGCCATCATGACGGTCTGTTCCATTTGCTTCGTCTTGTGGGAACCCAGCCAGCGGTCTGGGCGGAAAACATCTGCATCCTCTCCGAAGACGTCCCTGTTGCGCATTATGGTCCACGGCGACCACGCCACGTTGGTGCCGGCTGGAATGGTGACGCCGCACACGATCTGGTCCGTCTTGCAAACTTTGGGATACAGCGCGGCCGCGGGCGGCCAGAGCCGCAGTCCCTCGAGGATAACGGCCTGCAGGTATTCGAAAGCCTGGGCCTCTGCGTGGGTGATTGGCGATGAGATGCGCCCTTCCTTTGCTGCTGCGTCGATCTCGTTCTGAAGCCGAACATAGACATGCGGCGACGTGATGATGAACAAGATGGTCGACCGGATAGCTGTAGCAGTTGTGTCCGAGCCGGCAATCATCTGGACCAAGGCCTCGCACTCAGTTTCCTTCTGGCTGAGGCCGTGCGCCACCAGAGACCCCAACATGTCCCGTTTCACAACAGGCTTATTGCCGAAACGCTGCGCAACGACATCTTCGGCGAAGCGAATGATGTCACCTATGCCGCCCATGTCCTTGACGCTGGGCACGAACCAGCGAAGATACGGCGACTGTATCGTGGAGATGACTCCCGGTATCAGCGTGGTGGAGACGAGGATATAGACGGTCTTGCCGGCCATTTCGATGTAGCCAAACTTGTCTTGGTTGAGCTCCATGTACCCAAACGTCTTTCCAAAGGCGAGCGAAGAGATGACGTCGAGCGAGAAATACTGGATTTTCTCGGCCAGGTCGATGACACCGGCGTCCCTGCTGTTGGAGAGCTGGTTGCCAATCAGGGTGATTAGGTTCTTGACCTGCTCGTCGATGAGCTGGTGAACATCGTCCACGTCTTTACCTCCATATCCGGGCGATATCTTGTTACGGATCGCGTTGTGCAGAGTGTCGTCAATCGTGGAAAACGAGCTGTCCCTGTAGGGATCGATGCGCATGCCACGATACCACCACGACCTCGTCCATGGCGAGCGCACTGCCCAAATACGTCGCAGCTCGGAGGGATCACCACATACAACCCAGTTAGGTGCGATTCTCGCAATAGGCCCTGCCGTAGGGACAAGTCAGCCCCGAGACTCCCGCGTCGCTTCCTCGATGGCGCTCGGCGGGGGAGGGAAAGGCGTCGGCCTGCCATGCTACTGTTGCCTATAAGGTATGGCATGTTGTTCGTGCGAATGCTTACCATGTGTCTTGATCAGATCGTGTAGAATGAGGTGCATCCGCCCATTTAGCTGGTTGAAGACCATCCACAAATTGGTCCAAGCTGCCCACCGCGGACCAGATATGTGCCGAAGACGCAAGAAAGAGCTGACTGCCTGAGCCACAAACAAGGCGCCCGCCGCGCTCAGGGCTACTAAGAGCCACGACATCGCGCCGAGCGGACGACGGAACTGGTCAGAGTCGGCGGAATCGTCGAATCTTGGTGGCCGTTGAGCGTGTCGGCTGCGATCCGGAGATCCAGCAGTCCAGCGTTTCCACTCTGGCAGGATTTCAATTTATCAGGGGGCCATGTTGCCAACTCGTCGGGGACATGTGCGCGCGAGCACCGCCTCCAGGCCCTGTCCTGGGATGTCCCTGCACGGCTGTTTGACACTCTTCCCGCTTCCGCGGCGACCCAGTATTGGCCGCCTGCAGCACTCTAGCCGCGGTGAGGCTAGCGCTCAGGTCTTTCAGGGTTTGTTCCGCTCGTTGAATCCAGCGCAAAATGACTGGTCGCATATTGCCAGTGGGACGCGGGCAGGGGGGGAGCGGAGTTGGGCACGGAACGGTCCGCTGATTGCACCTGTCATGCCCCCGCGGAATTTACTTATTTCAGAGTGTTTGCCGCCCTCTGCTCAGGCGGAAGATCTGGGTCCAACAAGACTTCTTCTGCAGCCAGTGTTTGGTCGATGCTCAGAGACGTTGCTCCTCCTCATCCGTAGCTGGTGCGGCCGCGTCGACGAGGGAGCCGTCTTTTCCTGCTCGTGGGAGGCCGTGGTCACAGAATGCAGCTCACCGACGCTCTGGGTCTCAGACTTGCTGCTGGGTCGGACGCTCTGCGGAGAGACATGCTGTAAGCCAATAAACTCGAACCTTTTCTACGAATCTGGTAATCTGGGATACAATCTCGCGATTCACAACAGCCGCCTCGCCGAACTTCTACATGGATGCAACACTGTGGGAGCCAGCCCAGCGCTCTGCGACTCCACTAAAGCCCCCGGCAACCTCGACCGCCCGCTAGTACAGCACCTTGGTCATTCGCTGCTGGTACTGGAGCGCGGTGATCTCATCATATGCCGCGGGCCTCTTCTCCGTGACGAAGTGAGGCAGCGGGCCAGCCGATGTATCGCGATGCGCCTTGAAAAAGAAAATGCCAGAGTAGCGCTCGGGGCAAAAACCTTCCGTGCGTCCCTTCATTGTCGGCGGCACCGAGACTTGGTGAACGCCAGCCTTGATGACGTTGTTTGTCCAGCGCTGGAAGGTGTCGCTGATGTTCACAACCATTTCCGTGGGACCATCAGGATTGCCAGGCAACACAGGTGCGAAGGTGCCGGGCTGGGACCGATCCTCCAGCTCCAAGCCGCCGACAGTGTCCTGGAACAGAAGCGTGATGATGCCAAAGTCTGTGTGCGGCCAGGTTCGCTTGACCTTGCCCTCGGCCAATTGACGCAGGTCGGTCGGCGGGTAATGGTTGAGACGTAGCTCGCTTGACGCCGGCTGGCACCTTTGCACAAGCGTGTCAGCTGGCAGGTCGGTGCCAACCTCGATGGCTCTCATGATGTCAAGGCAGATATCTTGGAATTGCGTATAGCAACCCTCCATAAGCTTCTGGAAGCCTGGCAGCTCTTTCTCCGAAGGCCACTTATTGGGGAACTCCTTGTCGCCTGGTGGACCGGCATCAAAGTGCTCCTACGAGTAACCAGTCAGTTACGCCGGAACAATATACGGTGCACGTGAAGTAGAGGAGACTTACGCGGGCGTCGGTCAATTCATCCCACGACTTTTGGCCGTTAAGATTCTCCGGCCTCAGCTTGGACGTCTGTTCCGCGCCAACCCAGCTAAATCCGCGTTGCGGGTTCGGACCGCGAGGGTTGGAAATCTTCATTTTCACGTCTGTTGAGAGCGCGAAAAAGTCGACAGCCTTTTATTGTCAGCATCACAACATTTGGCTGGCTCCCCATCAGGTGGCCAGTGGTGGCACTCACAGCCTTCATGTATGCCTTGACGACGTCCTCGGGCAGGCCATGGTTGGTAAGTTTGACAAAGCCATGGTTCTTGAAACTTGATACCAGAGCTCTGGCGGTATTCTTCCTTTCTTGCAAAGAGCCTTGGGTAAACAAGGAAAAGTCGAGCGTTGGCAAATCCATGGCTGTGAACACCAGACGCGGTCTAATAGCGATAACTAAAGACTGCTATACAACGAGCAGGCTATGAGACTCTCTACAGTATTAAAAGCCAGCAAAAGGCAACGAAGAAGTGATGCGCAGAGAATGCAACCGCAGGCACTTGAAGACAAGGTGTATTGTATCCACTGGATGTAATGGTGGCCTAGTGTAACCCCAACCTGACTGCACGTTACGGATTTCCTTAAAAACTCCTGTTACATCAATTGCGCACGCAGCAAATAAGTCCACAGGAACGGCAGCAGGCTGGTCGACAGTCAAGGGCCAAGTGAGACAAGTAGCAAATTATCCACAATGCGCGCTATCTGTAGTTGCTGGGCAATTATCGCCAGCAGTAAGCTTAGGTCATTCAATTCGTCCCGGTCGTAATGACAGTAATAACGTTACTAGTCTCCGCACACACGCCAACGCGTGTCGAATATGGAGCCGAGGGCACTAAGTAGTTGGATCCTGACTTATGAAAGAATGGCAAGTGAGTGGAATACTTGCGCTTCTCGTCTACCGCCTCGATCCTATAGAGCTGCCTCGAGGCAGATCGCATGCTCGAACGGAAACCCTGACAGGCTACGTTGCGCCTATTTCGAATTTTTGTACTTGATGTAGAATCCGTAGGTTTCGCCCGCGTCCCAGTGCTGGCAGTTTTTGGGGTCGCCAAAGACTCTTGAGGCGCGGACTAGGAATTTGTCGCATATTTTCCGCTGTCGAGCCGCCCAGCCCACAGCCAAAAGAGCAAGCCTCAGGATTTATAGTACTGGGCTTCTCCAAGGAACATGTCAGGCTGGCCGATTGTCTTCATATTGCTGCAGCCGATTGGGTCATCGATTGCGAGGCCCTTTGGTGGACAGGTGGTCAGGGGCACAATGTCGACACGGATGATGCGGCTTCCCAGCCCCAGGTTAGTAAAGCCCAAGGGCAAGACGTCCGTGACGTTAAATCTTCCCGGCGCCGGAAGAGTAAAGGTGCTCTTCGGTGGCCGGGGCTGATCAAAGATGTCGCTGTCGGAGAGTATTACCTTGTCTGAGCGCACGATGGTTTTGTTGTGCGGGGAGCCTGCGAGGCCTTGGTACGGCAATGACAGGGATGAACCGTCTCTACCATTGACAATTATGTAGCCGGACCAAAGTGCGCAGCGCTCCAAGTCGACATTCGTCGGCTGTTTCGCAGAGACTGAGACCGTCTTGCGGCGACCCGGTGCGAGGGCTACCTGTTCTTCGGAGAAGCCAAGCGTGGCCGCTGCGTCGACAAAATCCCACCGAAGCGACATGGGGAGATGCCACACTGGATCATCCCTACGTGGGAAGACGTACACGGTGCTTGCAGGGACATGAGAAATGCGATATGATACGTCGAGCTTGCCGTAATTGGAGAGAGTGAACGTGAGCTGTGGCTGGAGATGGTCTGAATCGTTGAAGGACAGGCTCGAAGGTTCAAGCATGTTGGTCGCGTAGGCGGTATTGTATGCTTGTACAAGCCCGGCACCCTGGTGCGGCGCTGGAGCCAGCCCTTTGAAGAATCGGAACCCGTCATTCCGTAGCTGTGGGACAGCGTGCGCCGCAAGGAGGTTTGTGAGGGACCTTGGGTCGAGCTTGCCGCGTACCTCGAAAATGAGGGCAATTATCGCAGCCATGAGCGGTGTCGCCTGGGATGTGCCAGACATGACTTCGATGGTACCCTTCGCAATCGAGTGTGTAGACAGAATGTTGCCACCAGGTGCGCCGAACTGTGGTTTGAAGTCCATCCCAAAAGTCGGGCCAAAGGAACTGAAAGGGCTGACAGCGCCACCGCCTCGGATGTCTGGGTATGTCTTGGGATATCTGGTCGTGTTCGCCGGGTTCAATTGATGTTGGCGACATTCACGGTGATGACACTCCCTGCCTTCAATGCCTTGACCCATGCTTCGCCAGTTTCTGGCTCAACCATTCCTGCTGAGACAATGCGAACATGAGGCAAAGGTCTGTCAGCGACGGAGACCGTGGAAGCCCCCGGAACGTCATTGTAGAACATGATGTGGTTGGCGCCCTTCTGGCCAGCATATCTCGCCTGCAGATATGGCAAGCATGTGCCCATGCGAATAAGCACAATCTTGTTTCCCAAGTTAGGCGTACTATCCGGTAGCGGCTTGCACGCATCGTTGGTGATGCTGGTGTTGAGGCTGGTCGCGTAGATCGGCAACGTCACGTTCCAGTTGGCTCGAGTGGCTGGCACGAATCCAAATTCGCGCCACTCCCCGCCGTGGGTAGAGTAATGCGACGTGTAGAGCATGACTGATGCGTTAACGGCTTCGAAAGAGGACACAGACGTTACGCCGTTGCCGTCTGCTGGCCCCCCGGGGGAGAAGAAGCCAAAAGCACCCGAGTTCCCGGCGGCGAAAGTGCATACAACTCCGCGATCCACGACCCGGGATAAGATGGTTTCCAAGGCACTCTCGGTCCAACCGCCGTGAGAGCCGAGGGACCCAGTGATGATGTCTGCGCCGTCCTCAAAGGCCATGTTGACTGCTGAGATGAGCACCTCGTCACTAACACCGGGTCCGCAGCCAAAGACACGATACATGCCGAGGTCGGCACCAGGGGCGGCACCGTTGAAGCCCCAGGGGTTATCTCGAGCAGCAATAATACCGGCAACATGCGTACCATGGCCATGGCAGTCAATCGGGTCTTTGTCGGGGGCCGGGCGGCGTGTAGGATCTAGGCTGCTTGGGTCGTACCTGTCTCCAACAAGGTCATATCCGAATGAAATAGGGCACCCTTTGCCAAAGCAGCCACCCAATGCAGGATTGGTGTAGTCAACCTTAGCAGTTAGATGCCGCACAAGATCCAGAGTAAACAATGAAGTCACTCACGCCGGTGTCAAGGATTGCAACCTTCACGCCTTTGCCTGTGATGCCTTTGGCATGTAACTTGTCGACCTGAGTCATAACATGCGGCGAGAATGGGGCCATCTCTGTGGTGTTGGCATGAGTACCAAGTGTCCGTATATTCTCTAGGGCCCCAATTACGTTTGTATTCTGCTCATGCTCGGGTAAGTGGTGTATTCGAACGGGCCATACGTTCTTGATGCTCGACAGACTGCCAAGCTGGGTTGCTTTGATGAGTGCACTTGTAGTATCATGTAACTGTACCGAACCGCCCTTGAACAGCGTATAGTCGAAATTCATCCGAATAACCCGCGTAGAGCCCATCTCGTCCGATAAGCTAGAAACATCCTGGTAGCGTATTAGCCCGTATACTGGAGGTTTGTGACGCACCTCTTGATGTACTTACATGGCCATTCTCAGGTTCAAATATGTATGCTCCTGGGACATATTGTAGTCCAGGGAGTGCCGCGAACGCACCACGCGTAAGGTATGTGCACGCAAGGAACAATGCCCATGACGTCGTTGGCGCCATTGAACTTGGAGGCCTAATCACCCTGCGAACTCGAACAATTTCTCGGTACTTGTTCACGGCACCAGGAGCAGATGTCGAATACTGAGCTTTGTTTTGACTGGTCTCTTTGGCCCTGAAATACCTGTACACATATTATCTGTCCAAAGATGAGACCAGACGGAAGATAGGATTCTTATACGGAACAGGACCTGTCAATCACTGACAGGGCACGCGGAATCCTACACACCAACTCGGTGCCTGAGTTGAAAGGGGGATGAACGGCATGGATACATGGACTCACCTCCCATAGAGGGAAGGTGTTGTGGCGCTGGTCCTAACGACTTAACGGCATCAAGAGTTTGCGTGGCTTCCGTAGAGGCTAAGTCTTCTACTCATGCGCGATTCATATCGTGTAATTGGGCAAGTTGTATCAGCAGTCGTACACGGCACGGGCTCAATTGAGGCTGCGTCGTCAAACATCATGTATCTGCCGAGTAGATACCGCTTTGTGCTATTAGTAATTGGATGATGATATGATAGGTAGAGACTCCTTGCCTGCTCCCGACCTACCACGACGTTTGATCAAATGGATGTGGCGTAGTCAACCCTGCGTTGAATCCCTTCTCGAGCCTTAAACTGGGCTTGCGCGACTTGGGCCAGTATCATGTACACAACTCATAGAATCCTTCGAGCAAGCAGCTGCCATTTTGGGGAGCTTTGTTGGTTCTGTGAGGGCAGGGTTTGAAGCGCGTGTATACCGCGCCCACCATCACCTGCACGTGTACATGCACTGGCCACTACTGATCTAAGACTTGGAAAGGTTTCTTGCCGGGTACCTGTACGCCTGAATAGGCTGTATGGATGCACAAGATACCTGTAATGCCCGAAAAGATGCGAGTCGGCGAAATGTAACGAATATTTTCGCCCTAACACATGTATTGGTGTTGAGGTTGTGCCCGAAGCACTCCAGCGTGATATCAAGCTTGGGCTTGGACGTAACCAGAAGGACCTACTACCACCTGGACTTTGCTGTACTGTAAAAAGTACACCTGGGCATAACAACCTCACTTGGCGGTGCCTGCCAGCACATCCCACTCATGTTCCTTGCAACGTTCCGTTTCCCGTAGGACAAACAATATGGCATCCATTTCTCATCAGCTTTCGCCAGCTCCATCCTGTACTGTCACGGCAATCTGCCGGGGTGCCAAACTAGCGAGACCTTTGTTCTTGTCGATGTCATTTCCAAAAATGGCTGTTGGCGCAGCATCCGTCGAGGGGATGGGGTTGTAGGCAACATCCCCCGCACCGTTGCTGCGGACGCCATTACCAGTGGTGTACTCAGGCATCGTGGACTCGACAGCTTGTCCGTGGACAGTGTACCCGGTGTCACCAGCATCCACGAAGGCATCAATACCTGCGCCGTGGCGTGGGTACTCCTTCATGAGCCGCTTGTGCGCCTCCAGCGCCGCCAACATCTCTTTCTGCGAGACGTCATTGAGGAAGGTACACTCGCCCATTGGGCTGATCGGCACAGCCGCACGGAGCTTGCCATCTCTTGTCCGCAAAATTGCGGCGGTGGCCTTCTCAAGAAGGGGGCCATCGAATTGGTCGTGGTCCATTGACAAACCGGCGCGGGAGAAAAGTCGAAGCAGCCGCTGGTGATCCTCCGCCGTCAGAAGCCCTCTCAAGTAGGACAGTGTCGCCGAATACGCCATGTCGATGGAGATGGCATGGCCGTGACGAAGTGGCGGGTTAGGGACAAGCTCATGAAGAGGAGACCACCTGTAATAAAACATGTAAGCCAAAACTAGAAATCACATACGCCAAGAACGAAGGACGTACGTGTGGCCATATGCAATGACTCTATCCAGCATGATCTCATGCAAGTTGGGAGTTTCGAGCTTGAGCATCTCCAAGATGCCAGCCCTGCAGATCTTGTCTGCCGCCTCGCGGAGGGCCTTGGATGACGCGTCGGACCGGCCGAACGCGTTGCCAATGAGATCCTCGCAATGTTCATCAAGCAGGTCCAGCGTCTCCTTGTGCGCGCAGGACGAGATCTTGATGAGTTCCGCGAATCCGTTGCGGATCTGAGCAGTCGGGAGTGTTCGCAGGAACGTAAAGTCCAGGAAGGTATGCATGGGGGCATGGTAGGCTCCCAGGCGGTTCTTGTACTGGCCATAATTGACGGCCACTTTGATGGACACCGACGCGTCAATGAGTCCAATGACAGTAGTCGGGACACGGATGTAGTTTGTGTTTCGGCGATACGCGGCGCATGCGAAGCTGCGTATGGCGTGGTCAGTCGACGATCCGGGGACATGAATCAGTGAGCTTAGTTCTCACCCTGCTACGTCCGTGACCAGACCTCCTCCGACAACCAAGACCGGCTCCTTGCGGTAAACACCAAAGTCATTCATAGAATCGATGATGCTTAGCAGGGTGTCCATGCTCTTGGCTTTCTCGCCGATCATGGTTTTGTGTATAGTTAAGTCAATGTTGTGGCTCTTGAAGTACGCCTCAATCACCTCTCCATAAAGCGTGAAGATGTTGAGATCCATGACTGCAAGGCACCGCCCCCAGGTGCGATAGCACTTGGCAAGCTGCGGATTCGCCGTGTCAAAAACTCCATCAAGGAATGCAAAGTCATATTCAATCTTTTCGTAGCCACAAACGTTGAAGCCGTTTGCGACCTCGGTCACGGTTGCGTTCATGTCCGACATGGTGACGGAGCGGTGGACTCAAGAAAGACTGGGAAAGATCGATGAAATCAAGCTCGGGAGTGTAAAAGCCGGTACGGAGTTACTTCAACGTTCGCAATTGCATTGGGACGTTACAGGTTTTATTCCTTGAACCTGTGTCCGCGGGCCTGCGTGCAGACCGGTCGATAGGCGACAAGAGTTTTCCCCGCAAGAGGCCTAGGCAATGTGGCAGGCTAGGGGTTACGGTGTAGTCGTTGACGTCGACATTTGCAAGCGATAATTCGAGGATTGGTTTAAGCCGCATTGATCCGTTGCCTTTTGACCTAGACCATGTCGGTCAACAGTGAAACGTTGGAGCAGTGGATGACATTACGACTCAGGAAGCTCTACAGCAGCTGGTGTGGAGAATCGCTCCCGCCTTCTCCATATGTTAAGCCGCGACGGGACGCGAAATAGCACATCTTTCTCCTTTCAGATCTTTACAAAAGTAAACAGTTTAGAGTTGCGGGTAGTTCACCCCACCGCCTCGTTCACGGGCCGTTACAAGTGACTCATGATGTCTGGTCGGTGCGGAATCACTGGTCCGAGAATAGAGATTAAGAACGCATCAGCAGCGTGTGGTATGGGCGGAAAGCGTTGGGACAATAAGGTTGGCGGCTCTTCCATATGCAGGCACCCAGGCAAAAGAAATATCGTACAGAACGTGCTTGTCATCCATCGGTCACACCATCTGGGATGCTGGGGTCCGGCCACGTACCTAAACGCCTCGTCTGGCCGATGAGACAACCCGCGCCAATCGCAAGGGTCACAAGCACAAATCCGATCAGAAACATCGCAATCTCAGACGGGAGAAAATTGCCGTGGCCCTCTGGCCGGCTGTAGGGCGATGCAACGGCTCGAGGATGGCTCCCCGGCAACCGTGTAAACGGCAGGCCGTGAGGGGATATGCGCGTCATCGATATGCAACACCCCAACCAAGCCTCGAGACCAACGCCGATGCTCCGATGAATTGCACATGCTCCATGAAGAACCAGATTTGTTGCTGAGGGGAATATCCTTTCTTTAGACGGCATTTGGAGTCGCAACAGTTATCGTTGATACATTCAGCCGGCAAGATGGCCACGTTTGACTCGAAGCAGGCGTACGCTCCCCAGGAGGAAGTCTTCTTTGATGACGGGCGAGAAATTGAACTCCTCCATTATGTCTATGGCCGACCAGACATCAACCTTCTCCGCGGTTCACCAGTCAACGTTTTGAGAGCAATCGACGAATTCGGAAGAACGCGCAAGTATCTCATGAACGTTGGTGAAGCCAAGGGAGCTATAGTTACCGAGTTGATAGCCGAAGTACGACCTCGCACAATGGTAAATGAGCCTTTCCGATCCTCACTGCACAACTGCCATCTGTCCATCAATTCACATCATAGCATAGATTGAGTTGGGAGGGTATGTTGGCTACTCTGCGATACTTTTTGGCGATGCCGTGCGACGTGCTGGAGGTCAGCAATACATCTGTCTCGAAAGAAACCCAGAATTCGCGGCCGTGGCCAGCAGCTTGATCGAGCTTGCCGGTCTCCGGGACATTGTCCGTGTCGTTGTCGGCACTAGTGACGGCTCCCTCCGGCGATTACATGCCGAGGGCGAACTGACTACGATTGACATTCTGTTCCTGGATCACTACAAGCCCGCTTACACGCCCGATCTGAAACTGTGCGAGCAGCTGTCGTTAGTGCGCCCAGGTACCGTGCTGGCTGCGGATAATGTCATCAAGCCAGGGAACCCGCCGTACCTGAGCTATGTCAGGAGTACGGTAGACGAAAAACGGCAGGGGGCAGAAAAGGCGGACGACGCTGATGCATTTGATGAGAAGTGCTCGAAACAGTACGAGAAACGACAGGGAGCCGAGCATCTGAGTCACGGTCTCCGGGGCGATCCAGACTTGGTATATCAGAGCGAACTCATCAACAGCTTCGAGCCTACAGGCGTTCCCGTAAGTACCCTGCAGCATGCACTTGGCTGATGCTTACAAGTCAATCAGGACGGAATTGAGATCACCAGATGTATCGGTAGGGAATCTTGAGGCGAACGGGCCAGGACTAGGATCATAGCTTCAACACGCCAAAGTCTGTAGATATGTAGATGACCATACCACTACATCGTGGAAATAACTGCTACACGTATGGAGCCTGTAAATTGTGAACAAAATTATTTGTGTTTATGTTCGGCTTCTTACCGGTCGTCGCGTCATGCCGACTGGAGGAAATCGATGACGTCCTCCACACAGGGCGGTGTGAACGTTCTGGCCCAGCCGCTTCTGCTTCTGTAACGGGTACTTTTAGTCGCCCAGAGCTTTGGCAATGCGAAGATTCCTGGAGCACTTCTGGTGCCTTCTGAGTGCTAAAATGGGTGGCTCCAGTGGCCATTTCCTCAAGAACCTTGTGCTGCTCTGTCTGAGCCTGGTCTTTCTGCCCCTCAGCACGGTAATCATTCCGACACTTTCAGTACTTCACATTTTTGCGACCGGCCGCCGACACCATGGACGAACCAACGACGCAAAACGCAGAACCATTCTCGTGAACGGCATTGGCATGGCCAAAGGCCTCACAATCGCTCGTCTGCTCCATCGCGAGGGCCATAGAGTGATAGGTGCAGATTGCAACTACTTGTCCCCAGGACGGGTGTCTAGAGCATTAGATGCGTTCTACATCTTGCCCCGACCGAGCCAGCCACACGTCAAGCAACACCATGCTGAGAAAGACTTTGCCGGAGACCGCTACGTCAAACGACTTGCGCAAATAGTCAAAGAGGAAGGCGTGGATCTATGGATATCCGTGTCTGATGTGGCGGCCGCAATGCGCGATGCCCAGGCTAAAGAGTACATGGAGCGCAACACCAAAGCCAAGGCAGTCCAACTGTGTGGCGAGGACATTGCGGTGCTGGACAGCAAGACACTGTTCATAGAGCTTGCTCGCTCTCTGGGCCTCCTTGTGCCTGATACTCAAACGGTCACCGACAAGGCCTCCCTCGTGGAGTTCTTGTCGGCGCGAGGAGGCTTGTCGCTTCACCCAGGTGGCGCACAATACGTCGTCAAACCGGAGGGCGTCAATGATATCGCGCGCTTCAAGAAGCCCATTCTGCCTCTTAAAACTGTCGAGGAGACAGTCGCACGAATAGATTCTATTCCGTTTGGGCCCGGTGCGGAGTTCATCGTGCAGGAGTTCATTCGAGGCGATGAGTATTGCACGCACGCGTTGGTGGTGCGCGGCCGCGTGCGTGCCTTTGTCGCGTGCCCGTCATCCGAGGTCTTGATGCACTATGTCGCCTTGCCCGAACCTACAGAATCCGAGCTGAGCAGGAAGATGCTTAAATTCACGGAGACGATGGCGGCGTCGGGGGGCGACACTTGGACCGGGCATGTGAGCTTCGACTTCCTCGTCAAGCGAGGCGACAGTGACAGAAAGCAAAGCGACACCGTCAATATCTATCCCATCGAATGCAACCCCAGGGTGCACACGGCAGTGGTTTTACTGGGCGGCATGTCAGAAATGGCTAATGAGTACCTGGCGGTCCTCAATCCGACGGCACCAGCAGCAACGCCGCCCCTCTATGCCCGGCGGAAGGAGAAGTTTTACTGGATTGGCCAGGATCTTGTCGAACAGGCTGTTATCCCGGCTTTCAATGCAGCACGAGGTACGATGGGACTTGGCGCCTTCCGGCAATTGTTACAACGCTTCATCCGCCGCATATGCACTTGGAAAGACGGAACTTTCGAAGCCTGGGATCCTTGGCCGTGGTGGTGGATGCACCACATCTACTGGCCAGTGCAATTCATCAAGTACATGGCCAAGGGTCGCTGGTCGAAGATCAACGTCAGCACTGGGAAGGTGTTCGAAGCTGGATTTTGACAATTGGATAGGATCCCGGCGCAGGAACGGAAGATGTCTGTTCGCTATCGAGAAAGGCCAGACAGTGCCTGCCAGCAGCGATCCATGGCAAGAAATTCAGAGAACTGTAACTAGTATATCAAGTGCAGGCTATATATGCCAATTGGTACCACAACTCATGACTTTCTCCGTCATCGCTGCGACCATATATCCATCCAGTCATGCCTACATGTAAAGCCATTGAGGGTGTATCAAGTGCATGGTTCTTTTGCTCGAGTAATAGCAGACCTTGCGCCAGGAATGTCGATGTCGGCCGTCTTCGCCTCAACCTGAATCAATGCTGGCAGACCTGAAAGGGTCACGGCCGTCTCGAATCCTTGTCTTGCGACCGACACCTGGGAAGAAAGATCGCCCTCTGTTGAACCGGCAAAGACTTGCCAGGTCTTGTGCTCAGTGGCGCCGTTCCAACTCATGTACACCTGTGTCTCATTGCTCTTAATGCAAGCATAGACGCTGGGAGACGTTTTTGGCCGACCGATCCACGGAAAGCGATATGACCGGTAGGAGAATACTGTCCCGTCCTTGTGTCCAAACACTGCAGACATGGCCACGGAACCATCCGGGGTAAATTCTTTGATCTTCGCCGTCGACCCATATCCCAGGATGACGTTACCGTTGTCAAGAAACTGCGTGTTTCCTTGGGACTTGGCGTAGACGCGGTCAGTCGGATCAACCAGCTCTCGGTCCAGAGTCGCCGTCCACGTCTTTGTGTCTAGCGTCACGAATATGCCCGTAGTCTCGTTGACACCTGACTTCACGGCAGAGTTGTCGTTGTTGAACAGGCTGAGCTGCATGAAGTCCTCTCCGACATGACGGACTCGAGCATCGTGCTGGTACCGAAACGATATATCCGAAGCCAGTTTGAAGTCGCCGCCGTTCTCTCCCTGCGTACGGGTAAGCATTGGCACCAGGCTAACAGTGAAACCTGTGTCGCACCTGAAATGTCCACTCAACCGTGCCGTTGGGGGTGAGGCGGAATATCGAGCAGAAAAATCTCGATGAAATGATGTACGATCCATCGTCAAGCTTGTCAACGGAGTTGAGATGAAAGTAGTCATAAGGTAGAGTCTTGTTCTTGCCGAAATCCTCGAGGGGGTGAAATTGGATGGCGTCGTCAATGGGTATTTGATCCGTGTGATCCAGGGCGCTCCATCGATACAACACAGTGTTGGTTTTGATGTCCATTTCGTAAAAGAGGGAGTTAGTGACCCAACCATTCCTCGGTCCTCCGTATGGCGAGAGGTCGTGCTCTGTAACGTTGTAGACCGTCACGAGCATAGTGCCGTCTCGCGTAATGCGCGATTCGTGAAAGTCAAGGTATGAGAAGAGCATCCCCGAATCCAGCCCTCCGCTAGGTATGATGTTTTCCTGTGCAGTTGTCAAAGACACATTATATATGTTTTCGTACGATTCGTCGTATATCCGAACAATTCCAACACCGAATCCCCAAGGCTCGCCCAGCGCCAGTCCCTGCCAATGCGTCAAGACTGGACTATCCTCAAAGGTTTGCACCCGGAAATCGGCAAAGCCGTTGCGTTCAGACTGCCAAACAAGCTCATTATCGTCAGACATGATAAACAGGCTGTAGTTGTGCACTTCTGGTCCATTTTGGTTGAAGATGAGGTATCCAGGCGACGTGTTGCCGTGTTTGTTTATCCGCAGCGATGGCGGCTGTGCCGGACTGGATTTAAATGTCTGCCATGGCCAATCGCCACTCGGATGTCCTGTGGATGCTGCAACTCGAGAAGTGAGAAGGGCGGTAAGGAGGATCTTGCCCAATACCATTGTCGACGACATGCTTACAGGTGGTATCCTCGCGCGTACCAGAGTCGTCTGTACTTATTTTCCGACTGACTCTCTCTGAGCGCCCAGGACAAGATGGATCATTAGATATACTAACTGTTTCACCGACTCGAATCTTGTGCTCACGAAACGGATCGTCATTAACGTTCCACTTCCATCCGAAAACCTCTCATGGCCAAGGCCTATGATGATAATGCTACTGCTTCGTCTTGCGGGGATATTGACACTCTTGGCAACACTTCTATCCGGGATCAGATCAGATAAGATTTGATGTGGATGATCTTTACGTACGAAGAGGAGACCACAAGTGACGTAGTCACGAGATGCCCAGCGTGAAATGCTAGATGAGCCGCATCCAGGTCGGCAACGCGTACATACAGCCGGTCCACATGGAGGAGCGCCTTGGCAGTAGTACTTGTTTTACAACACTTTCGGCCCCCGGCGTGGCGTCCTATAGCAGGCGCTCAGCCTCAGAGAGCTATATAGTCGGCTGTTCTGCGATTATTTGACCCCGGTTAGCCATGCTCTTGGCATGCGCCCATCCAGTCTCCACGCCGAGCGGTGTATCGTCACCGTCTGCTTCGCTACAAGGGACGCGGTTACCGCCGCTCGAAGAAACTCCGTCACCGCTCCGTCAAACATCAGATCAGATAACTGTGAGCCAAGACCGTTCCACAGCAGGATCCTTGTTCTCACCGTCTTGCATGAATATGCAAGGCATCCGAACTTGAACCCCCCAAATTCTCGGCTCATCCAGCTTCCGCTTCGGCAAAGTACCGGGGACAAAGCGGTGACCGTGCGAGCGGGTCATTGCCCGACCTGGGTACGAGAACTTGGCCAGTGTGCTATAGAATGCATCCGTCAAAGGATGTATTCTGGTGTTACGGTAGCATGAGAGTGGTATGCGAAACTGTAACCCACGTCGGACGAGGCTCGGCTAGACCGAGGATCTCAGCAACACAAGCTAAATGGGAGGACTCACGGTGGCAGTGAACCACCAACAGATCCGCTCATACGCACTAGCCCTTGTCCACCAATCCCGAGGGTCCTACGGGGCTTGTATGTCAAGGTACAGCGCAGGCAAGTCAAGGCTCGGCATAAGGGAGATGGCCAACGCGGCACTTGGAGCCGGCTGTGTTGCATGTGAGGTTCGTGGGGCCTCTCCTCAAAGCGTGCTTCGGCATCCTGCAAGGCGTCACTGATGATCTTGTCATGCCGGCGTTTCTGTGCTGACGCCCCTACAGTGTCGGCGTTGCATGGGGTCACTAGGCAGCCACCTAAAAGGCCAATACGAAGTACGGCGCCACAGGTGCCGCGTCATTGTCAAGGCTCCAACTTAAAACCCCAAACTGCACTGTCGTCAAAGTTGGAGACAGCGCCAGCATCCACGACACGTTTACACAGAGCTCACGGGCACTTCTACCAGGAGCAACCTCTTCGCCAAACGGCCTGACAAGTCATTGCTCCGCCAACCACCTCGGGTCGCGCCCACAAGACCTTGCATGAAAACAGAAGCCCGTCTATAAGCGAAGCCTTGCCGTTGTCATGCCCCCATCGACTCCGTACGATGCCCAGAGAGGCGACGAGGAGCATGTCTTGGACCTTGGCGGCGGCCGGCAGGTTGCTTTCGCCCACAATGGCCCACCGGCGTCGCGGACGGTCGTCCTTTTCTTCAGCGGTTTAATGAGCGTTGGCACTGCTCGGGATGTTCCGGAGCCATGCCGCGATCTCGGCGTGCACTGGATATCGCCAACGCTCCCTGGAATGGGCAGGTCTAGCGCTCGAGCGCCGGGAGAATCGTACCACACTGCACTGGCACGCGACATGACGGCTCTGCTGGCCCACTTGTACCCTAAGGGCGACTTCGACACCCTGTACGTCGCGGGCGGTTCGTACGGAACCGTCCAGGCGCAGATGCTATTCGGGGCCCCTTACGACGCTTTTCCCGCTGGCCGAAAGATTGCAGGCTGCATGCTCCTCGCGGGCTTCTCACCGTTCAAGTACCATGCCGGCCATGCAAAGTCGCTCAATTGGCAGACCTGGGTCTCCGTCGGCCCGCCGTCGCAGCTCGTCCCCTTCCATCTTCTGCAGCGTCTGACCAGCAGCTTCCTTGCCGCCAAGTTCAGGACCTTGGATGGCGCCAAAGACTTTCTTAATCAGACCCTCTTTGCGCGGATGCAACCGGATGAGCGCGCGACTTTTGCTACCTGGTTGAACAGGAAAGGCCTGACGGAGGAGAAATTCATCACGAGGCTCGCCAAGGGAGCTGTCAATTGCTGCCAGACCTGGGACGGATTCATTGAGGTGTCGGACGTGATCCACTCCGACTGGGGATTCAATCCCGCGACGCTGGATGCTGATCATGCGTCGAAGCCAGTTCTCGTCGTCGGCTCAGAAGAAGACCACGTAGGCGGAAGCACGAACGACTGGTTGGCTGCCAACTACAAGAACGCGACGCTGAAAATGATTCCCGGGGGGCACATCTCGTCCCTGTTCTACATGGACGAAATTTGGCAAGCCATGATTGAGTGTACGTACCACACTTTGAACCATCTGCAAACCAGCAAAGTTACTCACACAAAGCAGTGTCAAGGGAAGCGACAAAGTAGAGATTGTGTGAAGCCATGACTACGCGCCAAGGCGTCTTTGTACCTGTCGATGTATCGGACGCCCGTGGCCCAACACCAGATGTCGAACCCACTAGTCGACGACATGGACGACCGTTCACATCTTCCGCGGCCTCACATAGGCAAATATGATTCATCGGCATTCGTGTCCGCCCTCTTGTTGGGGAGGTACGACTCGTCAGCGCTCTTCTCCGTCCTCTTGTTCGGAAGATACGATTCGTCGGCGCTCTTCTCTGTGCGCTTCATCGGGAGATACGATTCATCGGCGCTCGTATCCGCGCGAGCCTTCATTGGCAAGTAGGACTCATCCGCGCTGGTACTCTCTGCCAGCATAGTCAATGTCAGTCCGCAAGTTGTCGTCATTGGAGGATACTGTTGCTGGACAACGCACCCAGGCGATTTGGCTGGCTCGCAGGCAGCGCCGTTACACACGCGGCCAGCGAGAGGACCATAATAGAGAACTTCATCGTGTCTGGGTCAAGCTTGGTGAAACCGGTGTTCAATTCAATAGCTGCGGCAACTTTGGCGAGCAAGCCTCTCAATAAATGTTTGGATGGTTTGTCTCCCGAACTCGGTTGTGTCACCAGACCACTTCAGTCCTCTTATCTTTGGGCCCTTCAGTCAGCCGGAGCAAATGGCGCGCGGCACCAGGAACCTTTGAGAGGGAATTGCATCCTGGGCATGCAGGTAAAGCGCTGCATTTGGCAGGTCACTGCCTGTTCAACCAGTTTCCGTGGACTCATTGGCTTGTGCGAATGTAAGCGACGTTCTAGCACCGGACTATGCTGGGTGGCGGTGAAGTAACAAGGGTGTTATGATTCTCGCACGTTTGAGTCTATGTCCTAAGCTTAATTAGACCACCCCGCGGCTGACAGACGTCTTTCGCCGCTGATCCGAACCCCAGGAGGCGAGGCGATTGGTTCGAACAGCTCCCGTGAGGCACTTCGAACTCTGACAGCGACATTGTCCATCTCCCACGCATCGGAAGGCCCGGAGACGATCGACTGAACTATTGCTGTTTACCCTTGGAGAGAGAAAGATCCCGCAGCTGTACTCCCGGTAAACTAAGAACGCCAAGGAAGCCATCGCAAGTCAACTTGCGTTTACCTTCCCAGCTGGGACAGGAGGGTGGGCATGCTGACGGGATACCTAGAACGGAAAGGATGATGCTCAGCTCACATACACATGTCGCCCTTTCATCAAGGACTAAGGGAAATCATACTGCTCAAGCTGGGTACCGATGCATGGTTTAGAGCATTTTAATCACGTATAATGCCACGTAACGTCCGCCACCTCGTAGCCGGGTCACAAGATCTTACCGACTGCAACGGTCAACTTGACCGCCCTTAAGCGCCGCCTCGCCCTCCCCCAGCCTGCTTCTCCGTTCATTGATTGCCAAGGCGACTTGGGAGATCAAAATGCCGTCTGGAGAGAAAGCCTACACTCCACTGTACTCCGACAACAGATCATCTTCTAGCTTGGACGACCTTCAGCATGATGCTGAGCCTCCAACAAGCCTGACGCGTAGAGCTGGACCATGGATCCTCCACCTTGTCCTTATCTTAGCATACTCGACGATATTTGCGCTGTCGACAGTCCGTCTTCGTACGACTGCTTCGGTATTTGACTTGGTAGACTGTAAGCCCCTCCTGAGGTACGCTTAGAAATGCGGTCAGCTAAATAAAGACTTCAGCACCGGCGAATACTGTTGGAGACGAGACACACCTGGAGATCTTTCCAATTCAGGGACCGCCGCATGGCATTTACACAGGCGAGCCTAGGCCAGAGGTCGACGAAGCCTGGAGGGACTTGCTTCAATGTAAGACTCTATTCGCGATTAAGGTGCACGACGAGGTTCTCACAACGACAGACAACAACATTCGTGTGTCAGATGCTTGGGTTCACCGCTGGGGGCGAGAGCATGAGGCAGTCAAACTCCCTGACGGCGGTTATCTGGGAATGCTGAGCGTGTTCCATGAGCTCCATTGCATCGTACGTCGAGCCAACCTGACTTTCATCACGGTCTGCTAACGGCGCCCAGAAACGCTTATATCAGAGCCTGTCACCAGATTATTACTTTCCTAACGCTACGAAGAGGGAATTGGCGGTCAATCGAGAGCACAACCGTATGTTGATTGGCATGGTGACAGGTCTGAGCTAACCCATCACAGAACATTGCCTGGAGGTCCTTCGTATGGGCGCGACGTGTCGAGGAGATCCGTCCATTATCACGCACATGTGGACGGACATAAATGCACTACCAATCGTCAACCAGACAGCGCCGCACCAGTGTGTGGACTTTAAGAAAGTAATGGAGTACTCACAGCAGAAATCAGTTGATGTTTACCAAGAGAACTACATTGTCCATCCAAAATTTGGTGAGTCTGTTCCCTGGTGCGCTCTGAACTTGGCCCCAGTCAGGCCGCTAACTTGCGACAGGCGCGTCGTTCCCGCATGGCCACAGCATTAAGCCTTTCAAGGAGCAAGAGGACATGCATGAATAGGCTCATTTCCGGTTGCGAAAAAAGTGAAAGCCAATAGAAAATGTCACATTGGACCTCAGATTGTCCCTTCACCCTACTGCTCGGCCTGTCTTCGCATTCTGCTCTTCCGAGCTCGAACGCCAAGTCACTCTTTCATTGCAAGCGCCTGGTACACACCCGCCTCAATTCCGACCCAAAGACCCAAGGCCTTGGGGTCGGCAAATGGCAAAATCTGCGTGCAGACCATACCCGCGACGCCATGCTCACGATCCACCCACCAGAAAAGATTCGGGAGTCCAGCCCACCACCCGGTCCCGGCGGAGCGGCCCGTAGCACCACCTGTAAGCATGAAAGAGAGACCAAACCCCTGCGACGAGTTCCCCTCTGTTGGATACAAGTCCGGAATGGGATTTGTTAGGTCTGGTTTTGCACTGGGAATGCCCTGGCGGCCAAACTGCGGAAAGTCGGGGATGGAGTTGCGAAACATCTCGTCCACTGTGGACTTGCGGAGGAGCTGGGCACCTGTGGTAGGACAGATGCCGTCGTTCAGAAGCACGCAAAGGACGCCTGGCGTAATGCAACGTTAGCAGTCTCTGTACTCAAGGGATGGCAGAGCAAACTTTTGCATCTATGATCTTACGACAGAACTCCTGCGGCTTCGCAAACATGCCTGCCCCACCGCTGTGAAAGAGGGCCTCCCGTTGCTCTTTGGTCAGGGCCACAAGCGGTCGCCGGTACACATGGTCGCGAGTCGAATATGTCCCGTCATGCGAGCGTTGATGCATATACACAAGCACCGCCTTCATCTTCGAGGTCGGGAACATGTTCATGTTTTCCAAGCCCAGAGGTTCGCATATGTTGGCCAGGATGTAGTCGTTGAGCTTGCTTCCCGTGGCTCTCTCCAATGCAACACCCGCCCAGTCCATGTTTACCTATAAATGTAAGCCGTAGTCCTACATCTATATGCCCTAAAGGTCTTGAGCTTACCCCATACTCCCAGCCCTCCCCTGGTTGGAACAGCAACGGTACGTCCAATTCCGAAAAGTCGCATGCAAACTCGTCAATGCCCATCGGAAGGCTCCAATCTCGCAATTCTTCGTTGAAAATAGAATATCCAAATCCAGCCGTGTGTGTAAGCAGCATGCGGAGCGTGATGCCTTTCCGTTTTGGTTCGAGGTCGCCATTGCGGCCAAGCACCATGAGGCTCTTCAGCTCGGGACAAAGGTCTTCGAGCTGGTCACTGGCATCTAATTTCAAGACGCCCCTTTCGACCTGTTGCAGGCAGGCAATAGCGGTGAGCAGTTTCGTACACGAAGCGATCCAGTAGACATGTTCCAGTGTCATATCTTCGTCAATGGAACCGCCTCGTTTGCCGACCGAGTGGGCGAAAAGCTCGGAGCCATCTCTGTTGACGACTACCACTGTCGCCCCAGGGATACCATCTGGCCCGGCGACAGCGTTTCGCATGACAGATCGAAGCTGGTCGGTGGCATTCTTGGAAAACGTCATGATGGCTATACCTCCGGTAGTTCTATACCTCGATTGACACAGGACTTGTAATGCGGTGCATTCATGAGTGCCAGCCTTGACATGAATGGCGAAAGCGTTGATTCGAAAGCGACCACCGCCTTTATTTTATGCACCCACATCTGTTTCTATGGGAAGTTCCTGGCTTTACAACATATAGCGTACCACGGGCGAACCAGAAGCATCTTGAGGCGTGTGGTTGCACGACCTCATGCTGCCAGCCAAGCCCCGCGCCTCCAGGTGACGGATCAATCTCGAACCGGCACCGCAAACCTAATATTACTTCAGGAATGGGCTCCAATGGCTATGCAATGGCAACAGATGTCGCATAGGAGTTTTGATTAGTGAAATGTTTCAAATCTTATCTTGCTTCACCTGTTATCTGCAGCTGTCTGTGCTACTTTCTTGCATGTACCGCTGCCAGATCACCTGCTGACCATCTGTCGCGACTCGCGAGGCTGGCCCGACCCCTTCGCAGGAATCGTCCGCCTACTGCGCAAGCTCATTCTCTGCTACCCATCATGTTGTACAGCATGAGCTGAACCTTGGTACGGCATGAATTGGACTCATTCGACCCTAAGAGGGAAACACTTGCAGACTGCATGCAACAGGTACAGAGCCGATCGCCACAACGGTCTGGCCGCAGGTCCTGGGACCCCGCCGACGGGAAAAGATAGAACGCCATGCAGCATTTGGCCACACGGGAACCCTGTCCCTCGGGCCCCCTCACAGATGGCTGTCCTGATATGGGGATGCCACAAGGGGGGCCGCTGTCAGCGAACAGTCTCCTAGACGCGGGGTCAGGCGGCACTGGGGGCGCTGGGCAATCTGGAGCCGTGACATCCTCGTAAAGTTTGCGGTCCTACGTCACAACTCACAACCCACCCGCATCACCACTACCGCCAGGGTCCAGCTAGCGGTGGCAATGCTCACCTCTCCCCCTCGGGACAGAAGGCGCTGACTCAGTACGTGCCAGAGTGAGCCATACCTCGTGTGAGTCACCGATCAGCAGTCCTTTGGCTCTGGCCGTGCTGGTGGGCCAATGGTGGCTTTCTTGCGCTTTAGCCCAAGGGATCCAGCGTACAGACTGCTGGGCAAGTGAGCCCATGTGGGTAACGAAACTTGGCACCAAGCAATTTCCAGGCGAATACCCGGATTCAGGCGGATTAAGGTGCCGTGTTCCAATGGAAGAAATCAGTACATTAGCTGGCGCATCGCGTCAAAGCAAAATGCTGGTCAAACAGTGTCCATAATCACCGACTGGTGCTAAGCCGCTCACAGCAATATTAAACGTTCCTCCAATTGGATTGCGAGCGTGTATATGATTATTGCTCAGCAACAAGTCTCACGTACCGCGTTGACGATGGAGACGCCGATCGCTGCCTTCCACTGCAGGCTTTGCGACATTCCGCTGGCAACGTCTGCTGAGTTTCGCCAGCACGCGAAAAGCGAGTCGCAGTACGTAAAGAGGCATGGCTCATCTATCTTTGACTGACATTATGTCACAGTGTCTACAAACTACAGTGTCGCGTGGCGACTCCAGGAACAGCCGTCTTGCCGCCTAGAGACCGTAGTGCCCGGGCGCACGGCGTTGTCGACGCCGAGGAACCATCTTCGCCCGAGGACGAATCTGATGAAGATCAGGCTGCGAGTGATGGGGGTGATACGGAAGACGAAGGCTCAGCGCCACCGTTTGATCCGCAGCAATGCCTGTTCTGTGGAGATGAGAGCGACGCATTCGACAGCAACGTCGCCCACATGAATTCCGTGCATAGCTTCATCGTCCCGTATCAGGATTGCCTAGCCGTCGATCTAGAAACGTTGATCTGGTATCTACATCTCGTCATTTATGGATACCGCGAATGCATATTGTGTTCAACACGCCGCAGCACCATCGAGGGCATTCAGCAGCACATGACTGCGAAGGGTCACTGCCGATTCGACATCTCTGCAGGTACGGAAGATTTCTACGAGCTCCCGGAGTCGCAATATGAGAATTTAGCGGGACGCGCGCGGCCAGACGAAGCGTCCCTACGGCTGCCATCGGGCAAGCTGCTCAGTCACAGAACGTTGCGCGAGGCGCCAGTCCGGTCGCGGCCTGCCCAACAAGCACCATCCGACAGGCCAGGAAATGCACAGATTGGCTCGGTGCAGTCAAGAAGAATAGGCCAGGAAATCGCTACCAGAGACGGTTCAGACTCGGCCATCCTCGCCGCCCGGCTTTCACAGTTGAGTGTGCGAGACCAAAACACTCTGGCCCTCCTGCCCAGCCATGAGATCCGGTCAGTACTGGCGACGAAGAGGAAGCAGCTAGACCAGGCAAGAAGAGATGAAACAAAGGCTAGAAGAAGGGTGGAGAGACTCGGCAACAAGACACTGATGAAGCATTTCAAGCCTGACGTGCCAGGAAGGTCAAACGGCTAGGCGGGGTTAGGAATGGCGAAATGAGAAGTGGTCATGCCACAGCATTACGAGGAAGGATACTTCTTTTTAATGTTTATGTGCATACAATCGCCTACGCACTAGCCTAAGCAGTACTGGCGGAAATGGTTGCCTTGACGTCTTCCCCAAATACACCGTGATATCCATGCTCCTCGAGGTAGCGCCTGAAGCGAACGTCTTCGCTCTCAAGATCTTGTTCCTTGTCCGGAATGAGGAACCATGAGATGACACCGCCGGTTAGTGCAAAGGCAGCGCCAATCAGGAACACACCCTGGACACCTTTCTCGTCGTCGTGGAAAGAGTTCTGGATCGGGTTGAAAACTTGTGTTCCAATAGCAGCGCCTGCCTTGCCCACAGCCGCAGCGAGTCCGACGAAGTGGCCGCGCACCGGGGTGGGGAAAGACTCGGCAGCGCAGAGGAAGGTTGCGACCTATGAAGGCGTGTTAGTCAATTGGTTGTCGTGTCCAAGCAGCAGGTATGGCGACTTACACCAGGGCCCATCTCGCCGAGCGTATTGAAGATGCCATACAGCACAACGAAGAGGGGAAAGACGGTGAGAATGGGCTTCAGCGCTCCGCCGATTATGAAGGCGAGAAGCGACCACAGAACAAAGCCCAGGGTCATGGTCTGCTTGCGGCCGATTCGATCCATGAGAAACCCGCCAATGATGGTGCCTGGTAGGAGGAAGCAGTTGAGTACTGTGCCGTAGCCAATGGTCTGGAGTAGCGTGCCGTCTGGGTTCAGCGTGTCGAGGATCGTGGACCCGAAGATTCCGAAAGGATAAGTCTGTACCAGGTTCGTAAGCTGCTCAGCGACGGGTACTCTTCAAGTCTATCAGGGTAGCCTTACCACAAAGTCGTACATGAACCACGCCAGAGAGGTGCCTAGCATCGGCTTCCAATAGCGTCGGAGGACAAGAAGATACGGGATCTGCTTCTTCATGGCATGCTTGTGGTATTGGGTCGAGTTTACGAGTCGCAGGCGGAAGAATAGCAGGACAACCGGCAGCGTGATGCCAATGCCGAAGTTGACACGCCAAAGACCGTCACTCAGATGGTTGTGGTAAGCCACGAGGACGATGATTGCGACGATACCGGCAACAACGAATCCGAGATCAATCGCAAAGTCAGTAGCGACGGCTGTGAGTATCCCTCGGCGGCGTCGAATAGGGACATTCTCATCGCTGGCTTCGGTCGTGCTTGTTGCGCAGGTAGGGTACTCGCCTGTCATCTGTCAGCCACTCTTGTCGCAAGCCCGACGTTGTGGAAGTCTCAGTTACCTCCTGCGCCGAATCCTGCGACGCCACGTCCAATTATGAGCATCCAAAACATGCCCGTGTTAGTTGTTCCGTGTGAAGCAGTTGCAAGGATGATGCCCAAAACCAGGAAGATGGTGGCCCAGAGGATGCCGCTCCGACGACCAAGCTTGTCAATTGCCCAGCCAAAGAAGAGCATGCCAAACACCTCGCCAATGAGAAACGCGTTGGACACGCTTGTCTTGATGGACGAGGTATAGTCATCGGGATACAGTCGTGACAACACCGGGTTCATGAATCCGACAATCGCAGCGTTGTATCCGTCTGAGAAAAGTGCCATGCCACCCACCATGACCATGGTGATGGACGACGCCCAGTTAACCTGGGGTGGGGTGGTCTCAACAACGACATCAGACGAGTCCTTGACGGCACCGTCGTCGCGAGAGCCGTCGATCTCATCCACGACCATCTTGTTGTTGGACTCTGTAATGGCCATGATGGGAATTGCTGACCCAGACGGTGAGACTGCGCAGGGCTGAATGGGGAGGTTGAGTACGCAACATTCAGGACGACCGCAATGCTCTTTTCTATACCCAGGCCCTCACCCAGTTGCGTATCCGCGTCGCCGGAGGCGAGCCTGGAATGCGCGAGCGCATGCCCACGTGCGCCGACGCGGCACGTCAAAGCCAAGGCTGGAGCAGAGGCTGTTAGAGCAGATCATTGCCGTTGCACCCGTGTCAAATGTTTGCAGGCTTCTCATGGCAAGCATGCAATCGTTTACGGCCGGTCCCGTACAGATTCCATCAAGAAAGTCCAAGTCTCCCCTGCCGTCCTGGTCGCGAAGGGTGCCGGTGTCCCGTCGGAACCCGCACACGTGGGCCCGTCCGGAGCTGTGATTTACGGGAGGCTTGCGGAGGCGGGCCCGCTGAGGGGCCGGGCTCCGTTGCGCCGCAGGACGGTGACAGTTGAACCAGTGTGTCAATGCGTGGCGGCAAGCCAGGGGTGCTCCCAGGAACAGCAACCGGTCGCGCGTCGCAGGGGTCCACATCGATGTCCAGAATCCAGATGCAGCGATCCGGGCTTGGGCGCTCATCGAGGGCTGATGTAACATGTCGGGCGGCGGCGAACTTGTACGAAGTACATCTCATCGGCAAGATGTGCGGCACTGAAGCCGTCGGATTAGAGCCGTCGGTCCGGATTACATGCTTATTAAAACCCGGTCGCCTCAACTTGCATCTTGTCAAATCAACGAGTGCGTACTTGTCTCGTGTTCCAATAGTCGCACAGGGTCCTGCTTTGCTCACTCACATCGAGCTCCTGCTCACATCGACACCTCCCTTGCCGCTACAATGGTCACCTCGGAGCAGAGTGCCTTCTTCCAGAAGAATGGCTATCTCATTGTCCGTGACTTCCTCTCGCCAGAGGAGGTAAAGAATCTGCAAGCCTGGGCTCAGCAGGTTCATGATTACACGCCTACCGAGGAGTCTGACTTTATGCCGTATGAAGTACGTTGCCAGCTCGCGTGCCTTCGCACAATTCAAGTGTACGCACTCACTGACCCCGGCCGCAGGAGGTCAACGACAGGGGTGAACGCGTGTTGTGCCGCACAGAGAACTTTGTCGACGGCCATACGGGCTTCAACCACCTGCTCAGAGGAGAGAAGCTTCTCGGGCTGCTGAATGACCTTGCTGGAGAGCCCATGCTCTTGTTCAAGGAGAAGATCAACTACAAGTTGTCAGGAAGCGGTATGTTTCCTCTTCTGTGTGTACGACCGCGGGGTATCTGACACCAGCAGGCGGCTTTGCCCCTCACATTGACGCCGTCGCCTACACACACATCAAGGATGTCAAGCATCTGACGATCCTCCTGAGCGTGGACCCGTCCAATCTCCGGAATGGCGGCCTCGAGGTCGTCGATGGCAGCCACGAGATGCAAGTTCCCATCAACAAGACTACCAACTGCATCGAGCAGGGCTGGGTAGATTCGCAGGCATGGGCGCCTGTCGAGCTGGAAGCAGGTAAGCTTGGCCTTTCTTCGCAAGATGGCGATGTAATCGTTAACAACCATCGTACAGGCCAATTGCTCATCTTCACGTCGTATCTTGCGCACCGCAGTGGGCCGAACACGAGCAGCGCCGACCGCAAAGCTATCTACGCCACGTACAACTGCGCCAGCGAGGGCGACTTGCACAAGGGCTACTACGAGGACAGAAAGAAGGAGTGGCCGGCCACTCACATGCGCAAAAAGGGAGAGTCTTACGAGAAGGGTGCATTCACGTACGGCTTCGGGTCGCCAATGCTAAGTGTCGAGGCGGGTCATCAAGTTGCATTCTAGATAGTTTGTGTAGTCGAGGTAGCTGGAGATAGTGAAGGTACACAACAGCAATAATAAGCCTGCCGCTGAGCCGCCAGTGCTCACCACCAGCTGCTCAATTCCGAGGTGTGTGACAGGACCAGTCGGTCCATCGATCTGCACGCAATCTACCAGAAGAGGCAAGACGCGAAAGTCCCGGTCTTCGCACCGGCGTCATGCTGCTGCAGAGCTGCAGGCGAGGGCGACAAGTGGCCCAGCCTGGTAACGCCGCTGCACCTCCCCTTGTCTCGTGGCTTGCCGTGCCGCCCCGCACGAGGGTCGAGGCCAAGAAACTCGGGCTTCGCACCGACGTTACCAGAACCAGACTCTGTGCAGCCCAATCGTGAGTCCATTCCTGGCCATCGCGTTTCCGACTCTTTCCTTCGGAGCAGTTATGGTCTCGTACTAATGGAACTTGTCTCCACGCGAAGGTTGCTTCGCTTGTCTGATCATCCCTAGTTTATTTTGGGTCGCCGGAGCCTGGTTGGGCTTTTCACGAACGGCGTGCCCACGTGCGAAGATGGCAGCGCCCCCTGTGGGACGGATGGCACTACTTCAGAGCTTCTTGCGAGACCCGACATGACAATGCGACGGTCCAACGGTTAAACGGCCAAAGCAGTACGTGACATGGACTTTGCGACTTCATCAATACTTTTTTGAGCAGCCTTGTTTGACGCGTCGTCCAGTACGCAGATGCGACGGCCACGTGCGCGAGTAGGCCCACGCGATCGAAGAGACCAAGCTTGTCAATTCTAATATTCCACGTTTCTTGCATCTCTGCGATCGGAAAGCACATGAAGGTCAATGTCAACATCTGTCAACATGGGCGTCCCCTCATCACTGTCTCCGGCCTCTGTTGCCGAGTACATTATAGGTGTCCTCGAAGCCTCGGAAAATACCCCATATATCGGCGAACCCATTTCCCAGCTGCAACACTCCCTCCAGGCGGCCAACCAAGCCGCGGTCGCCTCGCCGCCTGTCGATGAGGCAACCCAAGTTGCGGCCCTACTCCACGATATTGGACAGTTTGCACCCGCGAAGGACCTGTGGTCCCTGACCGGCGGTCGAGCGCAGAATCTTGGCGGGCAGTCAACAACTAGCAGCGTCGGCAGAGTCGGTCACGAGACACTCGGGGCCAAGTTCCTGCTGGCGCTAGGCTTCGAGCCAAAGGTGGCTCGGCTGGTCGAGTCGCACGTTGCTGCGAAGCGATACCTTTGCGCGGTGGACGATGAGTACTACAGCAAGCTGTCGGACGCGAGCAAGAAGAGCTTGGCCTATCAAGGTGGTCCCATGAGCGGATCGGAGAGGGACGAGTTCGGATCTGGTGCCTGGTGCCGTGAAATGTGCCAGCTTCGCGTGTGGGATGACGAAGCCAAGGTCGAAGGGTTGGGAGTACGGAGTTTGGAGAGCTGGAGGTCAGCCATCGAGAGACAGGTCACAGCGAGTTTGTCGGTGGAAGCAGTTTAGAAGTTGAGTTGCTGAATCACAGCCTAAGTATTGAAGCAATCAAGCACGCTCGCGCACGTACATGTAATGCCCTCTTTATGCTCCCGGGTATGGTACATCGTATGAAAAGCCATTGCGCCAGACCTTATACCTCATGACTCGTTCGTGTCGTTCATTCGTCATGCATCGTTACACAGTGGCCACCTATTTATTTCGCTTCTTCTCCAAATGCCTGTCGATGCTAAAGAGGGCCGTCGCGCCAATGAGTGCGAGCGCAATGCCTTCACCCCAGTCGAAGCCTCCACTCTCTTTCTCCTTGCTCTTCCGATGGCTACGATGGTGAGGATCGGCCCGGGAGGGTCGCGGATCCGGTGGTGCCATCCGACCGACAAAGGTGTCAGGGTTGTTACTGATCGAGTTGTAACGAGGGCTGTCGCGATGACCATGGTCCCCAGACTTTCGGTCGCTGGAGGGCATTTTGACGGCAGGATATTGGTTGTCGCAAGTGAGGAAGGGTCTTGAGATCTGGAATCGACCTGGGTGGCACGGATGGGCTATCAAGTCGGGTAGACAGGGTGAAATTAGACTTGTCGCAGGCTGGTAGTTGAAGCCGAAACAGCATCGCCAAGTTCCTTGGCGCGTGGGTCAAGTCGATCAGTTGTGTGCCAAAACGCTTCTCACCCAGACACCGATCAGATTGGGGGCGGCGACCGTTTAAAGTACTTGCCACTAGATCGAGGTCAAGGTGAGTAGGCAATCACGATCATTCTCTGCCTGTAGTGGTGACAGCATCGAAAAGAACGGCAATGTGATGTGTCTCATATTTCGTGGTGGGCGGTATGATGTCACGGCATGACGCTTGTTGTCTCTCAGATTCCCTGTTTGTCAAGGGTGCTGAATTGCCCGCCCAACCCCGGGTCGCAGGGGTGTGATGCGGGGGAGAAGCCAGCCTTCGGGGAAGTCCACTGAAAACTTCAGAGATCGTTCAATAGATCTTTGGCCTGGGCAGCGTGTACTTCACCCACCAGGCGTCTGGTGAATCCAATGATCAGCCATGCACATCAGGTTCCTATCTCTCTAGAAGAACTAGAGCGTCGCTATCTCCTCGTTCTAGTTGCATTTCCAGGTGGCAACCAAGCAACTGGAGACCCGCCTGCACGGGTTATTTTGGCGGGCCAACGAGCTGGAGGGCGCGGGGGTGGCAGACAAAAATATCACGAACAGCCTGTAACGTCGGATGATACCCTATACCAGGCTCTTGTGTTGTCTATTCAGGCAACCTGACGCTGAAGCCAGCCATTTCCAAATGAACCAAAGGCGTTGTTGTACGCAGTGTAGAGACAGTGATTTACATAATGTGAGCCTTGTTTGCTGCCAGGTTTGCGCGGTCCATCTCCAACACGAACATGCGTCCCCGGTCGGAGTGGTTGCTCTCACAAAAAGCCGGTACAGCGGACCCATTGCTCCAGTCCGGGCGCACGACCTTGACACTGCATGCACTCTTCCCTCTTTACCATGAGCACGGTCTGTTCCTAGGCTAACACACCACAGCTGGCAGTTCTAATAGGCGTGAGTTTCCATGCGACAAAAGCAAGGCGTTCACGTTGAAGTGCTCCCGCGCTTCAAAGTATAGTTGACCCAAGAGGAGTGATCGGATTTTTTTTGGATGAGGCCACCAGCGATCTCAACCAGCTACTTGATGCCAGCAGTGCGCCCGAGCTAACAGCAAAACAAAGAGAACGCGTGCCAACATAAAGGACGCTTCATTTACACTAGAAGTGCGATCATAGAGTGACTAAACGAAGAGTCCCATTTCTATCCATATCGCGGCGTGTCTCGAAGTTCGCCAATGGACAGTAAGCGCTTGCGATTGCGCAGTGGCTCAATGTCGCACAGAGGATATTAAGCAGGACACAAACAGCAATCTGGCCGCAGTGCAACTTGACCATTACTCGCCAGATGTCTATCGCACCGCTGGCGATTCAATGTCACACGAAGGATGGAACCGTTTTGCAGGAGGTCTTGCGCTTCCAGCCTCGGCCTCCACCAGCAGGCTGCCACTTCGTCACATCAATTGGAGCTGCCATAGTAGATTAGTGGTCCCTCGCAGGCCACATACTGGTCCATTGCAACGCGAAACACGCACCCTTCGGTCGCGACAGCCCCCGTGTTGCTGCAGACGACTGTGACAGGCGACAGGCTCCGCATATGTAAAGGAAATGACTACCGACCCTTAGTGTCCATGTCCAACGGGCTGGATCTACCGGCAGTTAGTTATAATAGAGTTTTAGTTTGGAAGCTCATCAAACGGTCAAACATCTCGTCGTAAACGCAGCTTCATCTGTGTAACTGACAGCACGCTACTCACCATGGGAGACAACGTTCAGTCCGACACCACTGCGGCGCAGGCCGGAATCACCGACGCCCCCACCGCCCCGACATCCGCCCCTGTGTCCCTGAAAGAGCGACTGGAGAAGCTTATCGAGAGCTCTCAACAGCTCATTAAGCGTATGGATGAGAACAACATCCCTGATCCCACTTTTGCACCGGAGTGTCAAGAGGACTATTCAAAGCTTCCTCCCGAGACCATAACTGAGCGATTTGCTCTGCTGGACCTTCTCAATGATGTGACGTTCCTTGTGCACGGAGCTTCCCAGAGCATCACAGATGTCGCCCAAAACGTGCGTTCACAATGGAAACAAAGGGCTCCCTCGTTAGCTGATGGTGAGATTTTGTAGGCCATGGCGGACTCGGCCACTCTCAACATCCTCAATTACTTCAACTTCTGGGATGCGATCCCGCTGGACGGTGATGCCTCTTTTGCCGAGATTGCCAAGGCAGTCCGCCTTCCGCAGGAGGCGGTTGAGGCTATCCTCCCCTATGCCTTTAGCAACCGCATCTTTGAGCCGGTGACAATTGGAGACCCCAACTCACGCATCCGCCACACGTCGCGGTCCGCTGCGATGATCAAGGATCCCACTCTGCGGATCATCGTCAACCTCACCATCGACGGCCTCGCAGGGCCACTTTCGATCCTGAACCGCGCGCTTGAGAAGAACTTCCTCGGCAAGGAAAAGCTCACCAATGAGATTAGCGAGACGCCATTCGGCATGCTCTATAACAAGGGCGGTCCGCTCGGTGAGTACAAGGACTACTATGACTGGCTTGACCGGGATGGCGAGGGTGAGCGAAAGGGATGGCGACAGAGAGATATGGTCGAGTCGTTGCGCTTGGCCAAGGAGAAAATGGGCGCAGAAAGTGCGCTTCTCGAGGCCCTTGACTGGGCCGGAGCTGGCAAAGCCACCGTCGTTGATGTAAGTTGTTCGGCTCTGACATGTGCAATCAAGCGGCTAATGTTTGACCAGCTTGGTGGCTCTGGCGGTCACGACGACGTGCCTCTTGCCGAAAAATTCCCCGATCTCAAGATCATCGTCCAGGATCTGCCTAGTTGCCAACCGAAATTTGACGACGGCTACATCTCCGACGAGCTCAAGAAGCGAGTGTCCTTCCTCGCTCATGACTTCTTCACCCCTCAGCCCGTTCAGGCCGACATCTACCTCTTCAAGTGGGTCTTTTACGACTGGTCCAACAAGGACATCGTCAAGATCATCAAGGCGCTCGTGCCTGCTCTCCGGCCGGGGGCTCGTGTCCTCGTCCTGGATCTGATGGTGGACGTCGGGCCCGAGGCTGCCGCGGTGATGCCGCGCTCGCTTCTGAAATACAGCAATGTGATTAGTCTCAAGACGCTCTCGCTGTTTGGACATACCAAGCAGGCGGCGAAGAAGATGACGGATCTCTTCAAGGCAGCGGATGATCGGTTTGAGATTGTTCGCGACGAAGTTGCCGGTACATTCATGACGTTCGAGGCTGTTTGGCGTGGCTAGGCTGCGATAGTCGCTACTAAAGCTTGCTTGAACTATTACATGTAGTATTGAAATGAAATGATCAGGAGACTTCGTGTTTGCATGTGGTCTGGTGACCAATGCCAACTAAAGAAATTAGCATGAGAAGTGCATCGTGACGCGCTTGTACGCGGCGGAGATGAGCAGAAAGTATATTATACATATTTCATGATAAACTCCTCTATATATTGTACAATGTGTGTGTGTGTGTGTGTGAGAGAGAGAGATCCAGGTGGAGGAGCACTGACTTGGTGAGTGGTTGGTACGGGCCATCACGACTGGATGAGAGCTAACCCTCTCACATGGACGTGGAAGGAGTGTAAATGGCTTGAGATGCACTCTCTTTGCCATTAATTAGAGTCTGGAGACGAGAGTGACGCTTGGTTCGTCGACAGCAGGTACAATTCTTTGAAGATGGATGTTGGCCGCTGCAGAAGTTCCCGTGGCTGATCGTATTCGACAAGACGACCAGCATCCAAGACTGCTACACGATCGTAGTCAAGGATCGCGTCGAGTTTATGCGCGATGGCAAGGACTGTCCAGTCCTTGAACCATGTGCTCACAATCTCGTCGATCAGTGTTGTGGTTGCCTCATCCAAACTGCAAGCCGATTAGCTTCGGGCTACATTGCAAGGTTGAGAGGAAACGACTGTACCTGCTGGTTGCTTCATCAAGCAATAGTACCCGACTTTCGTCTCTCCGAAGCATTGCTCGCGCAAGCACCATTAGCTGGGCCTGTCCTTGGGACAGGAATTTGTCGTCAATGACCATGTCAAGGCCGCCACGAGTTGCAATCTTCTCCCACAAGCCAACTCGCTTCAGTACGTCGATGATCTGCTCATCACGCGAGTCAGGAGGGTCTGTACTCCCAAGCGTCTCTTTGTTGTGATACGGGTCAGCATTGAGTCGCACGGTGCCGTCGAGAATGTAGGCCTCTTGTGGTACTGCAACGATCTGCGACCGTAGGTATTCCCTCGGCAAGGTCGCCAGATCCACGCTGTCAATGGTGATTGAACCAGAGTCTTGAGCGATCAGTCCGAGAAGGCTAAGGAATAGCGATGACTTGCCACTGTAGGTTGCGTATCAGTATTTGGAGACTACCACAACACATGCGTTGCATACCTCCCCGTTCTCCCACAGATTGCCACTTTTTGCCCTGGTTCAATGATCATCGTGATGTTGTGCAATACTCGTCCAGAAGACCTATCGTGTGAGGTTAGACACGAGTCCATCCGGATATTTCTGGCTTTGACAGCATTGACTTACGGATATGACGCCGTGACGTTATCGAGCTCTATGCGCCCTTGGCTGGGCCACCGTTCTCCGACAGTCTCTGGAGTGGGCTGCACCAGCCGCGCGTCCAGGCCAGCCTTTGCTAGGCCGTCCCTGGCCTCGTCGTCCTCACTTCGAACTTGCATCGAAAAGCTTCGAATTCGGGCTACCGCTCCCAATGCGATCTCGAGCGTCACCCAACTCGTGATTGTTGCCTGCATCGTTGCACTGAATGCCAGAATGTTGCTCAAGGCAATGCCAACGTACCCTGGCCCAATCGCCTCGCGTAGGGTGGTCGTGAGCACAATAAGGATGACGGCGAGCATCATGATGACCATGTTGACAGCGAAGGTGATCCATCTCTGCACGCAAAATAGGAGGTAGCTGGGCTTCTGTGACGTATCTAGGATTCGCATTGCCTTTTCTGTAGACTGAGTTTCCCATCGGAAGGCCCGGATGGTAACGACACCAGAAATGGTCTCCATGAGTTGTGTGTATAGCGGTGCCTTGTATTCGATGTCGAGAAGTCGAAGCTGTCGCGCGGTGCGGAGGTAAAAGTGCTGAATGGCGTACAGCACTGCGAGCAGAAATGGCAGCAGAGCCGCCATATATCTGGAGGAAACGCAGACCAAAATGAACTGAGCGATGCCGAACGACAGTGCTACATCAATTAGCAGTTAGAAAGTGATCAGTGGAGGGTTGTCATGTTGCTGGCGGCTTACCCATAACGACTCCCAGTGCGGCAGACGGGAGTTCCATGTCAATGAGCTGCAGGTCCTGGCTGAACCGATTTACGGTGATGCCAGTGTCGGTTGTTGAATGGAACATCATAGGCGCCCGGGATACCGTTTCAACGAGAAGGTTGTGGAAGTACAGCCCAGACCGGTTAATCGTGATGATGAAGAGCTGCCATGTTCCGATGAGGCACGCTGCAACGGCGCCAACTCCTAGCACTGCATAAACACCGAGCCATTTGCCCAGGTCCGAGTTTGGGTTCTTCTCGTTTGCTTCGGCCCACCACTTGAGCCATACGCCTGCAAATTGTTAGCTTCGAACCCTCTGTCATACTGCACTGGCGGACCTACTGGGGAAAGAGTCGCAGAAGGCGTAGACACAGATCGCAATAACAAATATTGTGATGGTGAGCCAGCCAGCAGACTTGACATAAAACTTGTAGACGGCCGAGTCACCCATTTGCCTCGCAGTGTCGGCCTGGGATTCGACGGCCTGCAGTACCTCCTGTACGGCGGCATTGTTGTCCGCACCGTGGTTGGTCTGCGACCGCCGCAGCTTCTCGGGTGCGCTTTCGGAGTATTCGCCATGCTCGTGATTGAGTTCGTCTTTGCCTGGCTTTTCTTGCTGCGCGTCCAGATCCCGGTCGGCCCATCCCAGTTCAGCGACCTGCTTGAGGTCCCCTGGTGTGCCTGTGTGCTGCACTTGGCCGTGTTGATTGAGTAACACGATCTTGTCGGCAAAGGGGACGCGGCGCACTGGAGCAGAAATCAGGTCAGCCAGACAGAAAGACAAGGAGTAGTCCGGAACGTTAACGTACCATCCGACGAGGCGAGAACGACTGTCATGTTCGCCTTGCGAAGAATTCCCGAATTGCCCAGTAAGTTCTCGAACACGACGTCTTCAGTGTTTGCATCCAGGCCGCTGAAAACGTCATCTAGAATGACCAGCGCGCGCCGGGCATACACAGCTCGCGCGATGGACTAGGTTGGGAGGTCAGCCACATCCACAGCCAGTGCTCCCATGTCTTCGCGGACTTACCAATCGCTGCTTCTGGCCACCGCTCATCGAGATTCCCTTGGAACCTACAGGCGTCCTGTCACCCCGTGGCCAAATTTGCATGTCTCGTTGGAGCTCGCAGGCGCTAACCACGACGCGGTACCAGTCCTCGTCGTGATCTGCTTTCTCGGAACTGTCCGCATCGGACGTGTCGGTAGCTGATCTGCCACGTATAATGTCTCGTACAGTTTCATTCGGCAACCAGGGATTCTGGTCGCAGTATGTGACGGCTCCCGAGTACTTGGCCTCAATTACGCCATCAAACGACGAGAGTTCGCCTAGGAGTGCTTTCAGCAGCGTAGATTTGCCGCATCCGACAGGACCGAGGATTAGTGTCAGTGCGCCGCGGGGTATGTCCAGGCGAGGGGATATGTCGATGACTGGGGCGTCGCGAGAGTCCCCGTTCGCGTCAGGCGTAGTGTCGGCCAAGTGTCCCTCATCGCTTCCTGTGACCAGAGTGATTCCGGTTCCAGGAGCAGGAGTTTCACTCCGCCATGAGAATTTCCCTGAGATAGAGATCATAGTGTCGCCATCAGCAGTCGCTTGTTTATCGGACAGCGTTTGCTGGGAACCGTTGTTGCTTTCAGGACTGGTGCCGGTGGTCGTCGACCGAGGATCATGTCGCTCTTCTGCATTGAGATGATCTTGAATGCGCTGGAAAGATGCGATAGATCCGGAAATTTGTGGAAGCGCTTGCACAATCTTGGCCAGAGGGCTATTGAGAAGCACAATGATCGAGAAAGCCGTAAAGACCTTGGCTATTGTCAATGTTGAGCCGCCATGGGCAGCTATCCCAGCGAAAACGGCAAAGGTAAGGAGAGGGCCTAGGATGGGCGTGCATATTGCTATTGATGTCGTTTAGCCAGGTCAAGAGGGACGGATAGAAAGTGGCATACACAATATGAGTGACAGTCCGAGGAGGTACCGAAACTTCTCGGATACAACCAATTCCTGCTTTCGCAATTTTTGGATGACGGAAAAGGCAACGTCAGTCAGACCAGAGATCTTGAGCCACTTGATGCTGGCGAGCGCTTTTGATGTCTCTATCACACGGACTTGCGATGCTTGTATCCACGCAGCCAGATGTGTGCCAGTTGGCCTCGCGAGGAAAACTGTACCGACCATGACGACTGAATTGCGACACATATCAGCAGATGCCCTTGTCACGAGGAGGGAATCACGTCGAATGACCGACCTATCGCGAAACCAACACTCATCACGCAGGCAGCACCCAGCTGTCGCTCCAGCAAGTAAATGGCTAGGCCAATCTCGACCAAGTTGCTCCAAGTTTCGTGTATTTGGACCAGGCCGGAGGTTATCGTCTCGATATCGGTGCTTACAAGCGTGAGTGCGGCGGTGGGATGAAATGTCGCAGAGGAACATGAGTCAAGTATCAGGGACTTCTCGTAGACCAGTGGTATGATGCTCCCGCGCATCATCGTTGCAGCACGGTAGTTGCGCCATTCGTACTGGCCAACAGAGACCTACGGCAATCGCAATTATTAGACATTGAACGTGGCCAACGGCGGAAGGCTGTCAAGGTGGACCATACCGCGATGCCAGAGTATACAAGGATATACGCGCCTATCAGGCCATATCCGTTGTTATTATATGGCTGCGTTTGCGGGGTTGCGGCAAGCTCGATTGCAGCCGTAATCAGAAAAGGCTGAGCGTATGTGAAACCAATCTGGAAGAGACGGGGGACAACAGGCATGAACATCGCCTTGGAGAATGTCTTGAGCCAAGTGGCAAAGAGAACATTCGGTGCCGCCTTATCGGGTACTTTCGACGATTGGAAGAGAATGTCAGCACAGACCTTTGGAGCTGATCTGTCGGTTGTGTGAAGCATATACCTTTCCTCCAGGCATCTGACATCTTCTTTGCCAGCCCTGTCGAGCGCAGCTCATCATCTAGTGGGTAAAGATCACCAATCTCAAGAATCTTGCGATAGCCGGTGAAGAAGAGTGTGCTAAGCCAGTAAAAGACGCCTAGATTGTACGGGCCTCCAACACTTTCCGGTGCAGCGTTGTCGTACTTGGCGAGCAAAAGTGAGCGCTTTTCAGTGGACTCGAGCAGTAGCATGACGACTCGTAGCGCCAAGCTCGAGGCGAAGACCGGTGGTATGGCGCTGTGAGTGGCATCTTCGAGCATGAAAAGGGTTCGCGTCCGGGCGATGTCGAATAGGACGGATAAGCCCAGGTAGAAGCTAAGGACCGATGACGGGCGCAACGATAAGCGATGCTCGATGGTTGACAGCAGGACGTAAACAAGCGACAGCACGAATGTGAGGACGGCGCTGGGGGTTGACGCGCGCGTCTGCGTGATGGTGGAGTTGCGCGCCCAAAGGCCGACCAGAGCAGCGCTGAGTGTAATAAAACATATCGACGAGATCTATTCGGAAGGTCGCAAGATGTTAGCCGACGCGTGGGTAATGAGCGTTTTGCCCATCCGAGACAGCATACGGCAAGATGAAGGGGGTGACGCCATACCTTCTTGAACCAGTCGAGGGCACTGGCTCGCACTTTTGGGGGCTCTCTCGCCAGCCGTATTATGGGAATGGGCGCGACAACGATGACGAGAACGGATGGGAGAATCGAAAGGATTGTCTCTTCAAAGAGGAGTGTGAAGTCGAAGCCGCCACGACAAGTCGCACCGGCCCAGGGCCCAAACGAGTCGTCTGAACATGCCGCCTCTGCCGACATTGTCGGACTCTACACAGAGCCACACAAAATGAGACGGAATACAGGAGACAGACCTCACCGATGCTGTCTGCAGTATGGGCGCCTGTGACGGAGATTTCCGAGTTCGTGAATTCGTGGCCAAAGCCGAAGAAAGGGACTCGTTATCGTGATCCTGGATCGCAAGCTCGACAGAGTAGCAAAAACAGGCAGCGCACGTGTCAACGAACCGACAGGAGCAGATTCAACGGCCAGGCCGATGTCATCGCAGGAGCCTCTCGTCCAGGGACCGTTCCGCACTCAAGCTGTCATCCCTGCCCAGTCATGTGTTGCACCGAACCTTGCAGCGCTCGATTCCGCGGCATCGCGCCGCGCCGGCGCCGTCGAGCTCCTGGCCGACGTAGGATTTGTCGAGGGGATCTACATGCATCGTTCGTACCGGTACTTTCTTGGCGATACTCTGTCCGCATACCGAACTTCAGGTGTTCGGACGCGTACCCAGCTCGCCCGTACAGTCCCCGCAGAGAGACACTCAGCCATGTAGAGTACATGAGAGGCTAGTGGGCCCCTGTGCCGGATCGCGCGTCACCAGATTAGGAAATAAGAGGTATTAGTACAGCGCTTGCCGCTAGAAGCAGAGCCGATGTGTATTGTGCACGCCTGCAGCACGCCCAGCGTTTGTTGATGCTTGCCGGCAGGGAACGGCCAGATGTCGGGGAGGCCGGTGATATGAGTGCACCTTCGTCAAGCCAGGGGTCGAAGCCCATGTTTTCCCCTCGGGCATTTTGTAGAACATTGAGCGAACAGGGAGCGAGCCCTTGAACCTGGGCCAAGTCCGACTTGCAGATGCGCGTGGATGCGGCGAGGCGGGCGCAGGGGGCCGTGCATTTATCACTGTCACCCAACCAGCCCACCCATCCATCACCACCAACACCGCCGGATTCAAGTTAATTCTGGACATTTCGGCTCAGCGTGCAGAATCAAGAGGCGAGTCATTGCCAGCCGGCGGTTACCGAGTTAGCCTGCGTCACCCCCTTTGCCACCGTCTGATCTCTCGTTCCCATTCGAAGCACTTGCAGGTCAGCGTCGCTTGTCCCTAGACCAGTGGAGATAGGGGAGCTGGAACTGCTCAATCTCAGTCCACGACAGAACGACAGCTGCGCTTGATGTTCACGGGCCAAGGCTCTAGCTGTACGACGCATGGCTCCATAGCCATTCCGGAAATGCAGATTGCAAGATTTTCGGTAGAACAGCTGGTTGCGACCGTTCCACCACACCGATGCGCTCGTGGGCTTGGCTGGCCCCTCTGTAAAGCGCACACAGCCCTCCACGGTATTGCAGGTGACCAAACGCCAATGTTCATGAGCAATACCCCAGACATCCTCCAGGTGCGCATCTCACACGAGCACTGGCATTGTCGACCCCTTTGCTTGAGATGTTGAGCATCTCTCCGATGAGTTTGCCAAAAGTTGCCAGACAGCAGGCAAGACTGTGTAGCAAACAGACAGTCACCTGTTGTTAGCCCCCTGGCAGGCCTCACACAGCGACTGTGTCTCCCACGTAAGCAACTGTAGGCCTGGCCCTGCTAACAGTACTTACTCAGAGATGGCCATTGCCAACCAGAGCCATCAAGTGGTGGATGGAATAATTTGACGTATGGTTACTGTAATGATCGGAAGCTGGGTCCAGTCTTCGTGGTAAATGGTCGGATTGAGTCTGGCATATCAACGGATGTGAAATGCGCTGCGACTAATTGGCCTGAACCCGTGAATTTTTGTTCTCGAGCATCTTCATCGTCCATAGTAGCGCGGCTCAACAACATGCCGTCCATCCACGCCAGCACATCCGAGCTGTTCACGCACCTAACAGTCAGCAATATTTGCGTAGCCGCTGGTTGCGCCTTTGCTCTGGTACGCACTCAGTTTCAGAGCTCCAATTGTCGAAACCACGCTGATCTAGCCCACAGTCGCTCCTGTATCTTTACGTTCGCGCCCTGTATCTGGTCTTTTTCCACCCACTTAGCCGCATCCCGGGCCCCAAGTATGCCGCCTGTAGCAGACTTCCGTATGTGCGCAATCAGTTGCGCGGCGACCTCGTGAAGTGGCTTCATTCCCTGCACCAGCAGTACGGCGATGTTGTGCGCATTGCCCCAGATGAGGTGTCATTCATCTCCAATGTTTGGCAGGATGTATACGCTGCGCACAATGGCGAAAAGGCCACCAAGGGAACCTACCTGAAGGACCGACGGTGGTTTGCGGCGCCGTACAACAACACATGGTCCATCCTTCAAGCAGACGCTGAGGCTCACCCGCGCATGCGCAAAATGATTGCGCCAGCCTTCTCCGACAAGGTGCTGCGTGAGCAGGAGGCAATGATCCAGGAGTATGTGGAACTGTTCGTGCTTCGGCTCCATGAGCAGACGGAGAACGACTCGAAAGGTGATGTCGACATGGTGAAGTGGTTCAACTTCTTCACTTTCGAGTAAGTCCGCGTCACGGAGCATGAGCAAAGCGAGCTGCCGATCGCTAATCCGTCGCAGCATCATCGCCGACATGACATTTGGTGAGTCGTTCAACTGCCTTCGGGACAGCGACTACCACCCTTGGGTCCGAATGCTCTTCAAGTCTGTCCGGGCCATTTCTCTTAACAGCGCCATCCGTCGATACCCATTCTTTCAGGCAATTGTGAAGCGTCTGGCACCGAAGAACTTGCTCGAGCAGCGCCGGCAGTTTAACCAGTTCGTCTTCGACCGAGTAGGCGAACGTCTCGCCTCTGAGTCGTCGCATCCCGACCTCATGTCCCACATCAAGAAGTTCAAGGACGAGCCAAAGGGAATGAACCGTGACGAGATTGACAGCAACGCCAACATCCTGCTTGTAGCGGGTAGCGAGACAACTGCTACGCTGCTGTCCGGGTGCACCTACATGCTTTTGTCGAACCCGGAAAAGCTCGCGAAGCTCACGAAGGAGGTCCGTGGCACGTTCAACCACCCGTCTGAGGTCACCATCAAGGCGGTTAGCAACATGCCCTACCTCCACGCCGCCCTTTCCGAGGCGCTGCGCATTTACCCCCCGAGTCCTGCGGGGTTCATGCGCATCGTGCCAGGCAACGGAGACATGATTGGAGGCCACTGGATACCCGGAGGAGTATGTGAATAGTGGCTTTCGTCTCGTTGTGCGTTCACTAACCCGACTATAGACATCCGTTTCGGTCTCCCAGTGGCCGGCAAATCACTCTGATAGCAACTTCACGATGCCCAACTCATTTGTGCCCGAGCGCTTTCTTGGTGACCCGCGATTCGAGAAGGACAATACTTCGGTCCTGAACCCATTCTCCGCGGGTCCTCGTAACTGCCTCGGCAAATCGTACGTTTCCGTTTGTATGATCCATGCCTGAAGTTCACAGCTGACGTATCTTAGTCTTGCCAATGTGGAGATGCGCTTGATCATGGCGAGACTGCTCCTAGACTTTGACCTCGAGCTGATTGACCCCGAACAAGACTGGCTTGACCAGAAGTCCTTCACTCTGTGGGAGAAGCTTCCTCTGATGGTTCGCCTCAAGCCAGTTCGCAGGTATACTGCACCGGCATGATGCATCGATCCAATCCGCAAGCAGCAGCTCTCCGAGGGGACGATCGCACCCACGGCCAATTGATCAGAATCCCCACATGCACGGGGCTCTCTAGATACGCTATATCAGAGTTACTGCTGCCTTCAGGCCGCGAAATGGCCCAATAAAAGTCTTCAAATTTATCATAATTGTACGATACTATGGTTAACCCGCTGTTCAAGAGGAATAGGCCTGCTCTAGGCGCAAGTCCGCGTCTGCCCATCCGCCCACGGTAGTCATGCCTTTTAGTCTGTGCGATTCGATTTCCTCCCACGTCCAAGTGTCCTTAGCATCATGCTTCCCGTTTTCGGTAGCACCGTGGCCGTTGGCCTGAAGCGAGTCCAGGCTCTTGCTATTTCCTGTGCTCTCTGGCCGGGGAGGGATCCAGCCAGACTCTGTGAGAAACTGTTCGGGTCGCACTGTAATTCGCCCCTTCTTGACAATGTACTTTGAGAGGCTGGAAGCAAATAGCTGTTCCTTGCCCTTACCTCCCTTCCTGCTCACGAACCAGGAACCAATGTACAGCCAGCGCGAGTCCCAGCCAAGAATTCGGGACTCCACGTCGTATCGCGCCAACACCTTCATCTCGCGTTTGAAGGACGTACAAGTGGCACCCAGTGCAAGTGCTGGTCGTCCCTTGACTCGCTCGCGCTTCATTTCTCCGTCGCGGCCTTTATACTCGACGTGCATCCGATCGAGAGGCCAGGCGGGCGCCATGATGCGGCCCACCAGCTTGATACGTGAGATATCCAGGTCGGTGAAGTAGGTCGAGTTGGACTTGTGCATGTTGAAGTCAATCTCGGCGGGAGAGACATGCGAAGATATTATCTCTGGCTGGAAGAGTGGGTGGTGGTCAATTGTGTCGGTCGCACCAGTCTTGGGCGTCTTGGGCACCCTCCGCTGTGCATTTTCGGCTGTCGGCGATGCAACTGTTTGTCGTAGCTGGCCATTGAATGAGGATTTCATGTGGTACAGGGCTCGTATCGTCCATATACCCGGAAAAGACTTGAGATTGATGATGGCGAGAAGGAGAATGACCCCCCACCAAGAGAACACGAAGCCATGAACTTGCGCAATCAAGCCTCCGGGCCACTGCGGCCGATCCATTGTAACTGTAGATGAGTGCACTTGCGAAGTCGTGTCATGCGATGGGAGGCGAGCCCGTTCAGGTCTACTGTAGGCGCGTATGCGGATCAATGATCGTAGGCTCGTGGTGGAATGCTGATTGCAGGTTGAAGCAACATCGACTGATTGCACATCATTTGGTAGAGCACGTGCAAAACGGCGCGTGCCAATTACCGCGAATACTGACTTGACGCCATTGGGCAAAGACATTCGTTGCCCGTTGACCAACTCGATCATCAATCCAGTAGTGAATGGCTTACGTGGGGACCTTAGTGGCCAGCTCTCATACAACTGCCTGGAGGGCTATTCCGTCGTGCGCATGTTTGTTGCCCGCTAGCCTTCCCTTCAATTGTCCCTGTGGTCGCCAACCTTGCGCTGATTCACAAGCTGGCTTATACCTATACACGGAGCCTGGTCTGAATGGATGGACGACAGCAAATCGGTTTAATCCATAATCTTCAATAGCAATGATGTCTCAATGGTCAGCATCGTCAGCGGACTGAGCGGTGTATGTCAACCGTGTCAGCACGGCCGGCATGGTCAGCAGAGTCAGCCAGGTGCAGGCTAAATTGAGCCCTTTGTCTCAGGATCACTGTAGTTGAGCAGCGCAGAGCCGGAATCGCCCGTGCCGTGACTGGCGCAGCGCCAAAATACCTGCTCATTTGGACATACCCTAAATCTCGGCGTGTTCGTTCCTTCACCTTCATGCCCATATTCGCCGTGGAAGCTCTTGATCACATTAGTCAGAACGCTCTGTTACTATGCGTCTGTCCGTAGGTAGTTCAATACAGGTCGGGGATTTGCCAGCCAGAGTACAGTTTGGTGTCTGAATGAACCATACGCAAGTCGAATTCGAAATCATGCTTCGACAGAAGCCACCGGAGGTTAAGATGGTGGATGTACTGCTTAAATGTCATTCGCAAAGAAACAGAGCCTTTTAAGCGAGGAGGATCTCGCTGGTTCATTGGACATGGGACAGTCACCTATTATCACGTTTCGTGCTCTACTCCGTCGGCGCCGACGGTGCTTGACTATCCAGGCACAGCCTTAGCGCACCCACGCCTCAACACTGTCAGGGGGCACAGTGGCGGCACTCCTCGTTGAGGAGCTCTGCATTGGCTATTTTCCCAGGCAATTAACGAAAGTTTGGGTAAAGTGCCAAAGTTCTGAGAAGCCAACTGGCCAATCGAACGAACGCTGACAACTACACTGGACCGGCAGCATCGGGGTCACGGAACTCATCCCGTTCAAGTGCCATAAACAGCTGATGTCGCATCAGAATTAAACACCACATCGCGACTTCCAAATCTGGCTTCTGAGTGTTCCATATCAAGAGCCATATGATGCCAACCTCCTTGGAACAGGCTGCAGCCCTCATCGGCGGAGTCGGGACGCACCTCTTGTACTTCAAGCATGGGGAGAGGCACGCCTACCCCTGGCGATATGTAGCCTTACTTCTGGCTGGATCGCTTTCTCTCTGGGCCTTCAAGTGGTCACGAGAGGGAACCACCACATCGATTTTGGCCGTCACTTCGAGCACGTCGGTGCTCCTCTTCCTATACCTCGGAGGGCTCGCCGGCAGTGTCCTTCTTTACCGACTATTCTTCAACCCCTTGAATCGGTTTCCAGGACCCTTCGCTGCGAGATTATCCAAGCTATACTTCGTATATCTGAGTTCCGACCTTCGCGGACACCGGAAGCTGCATGAATTACATCAAAAGTATGGCCGGTATGTTCGCGTTGGACCCAACGACCTGTCCGTTGTCGACCCAGACGGCATGAAGATCGTTCTCGGAGCCAATTCGAAATGCACCAAATCAGCCTGGTACGGCCAGGATATGCCGTATATCTCCACAAACACAACGCGGGACCGGGCTGCCCACGACAGGAGACGTCGCATTCTCGCACCGGCATTTAGCGACAAGGCCCTGCGAGGTTACGCTTCACGTCTACAAAAGTTTCACGACCTGCTCACGTCCCAGATCGATGCCTCGGCAGGAAAACCGATGAATGTCACAAAGTGGTTCGGGTATTGGGGTATGGACATGATGTGCGACATTGTGTTCAATGGATCGTTCAACATGCTCGCAAGTGGCGAGACGCACTGGGCGCTTCAGGTGGTCGGTGACGGTCTGCATCTCCAAGGCTTCGCCCTGCCGCCGTGGCTGTATCGGGTATTTGCGACGATGCCCAAGTCCAGCTCTGGCAGTCGCGGCTTGGCAGCCTTTGCGGCGACGCAGCTGGAGAACCGCATGCAACAGCAGGGCAAGACGGCTCACGCAGACATGATGCAGCCCCTGATCGAGCACTACGACCGCCTGAGCACGGACACGAAGCGGGCGATACTGCCGCTGCTTCAAGGCGACTCTCGGATGTTGATTGTTGCAGGCAGCGATACGACATCGACGACGTTGGTTCACATGTTTTATCGCTTCTGCAAGGAGTCAGGCCTCGTTGATAGAGTGCGGGAGGAGGTGGAGCCGCTTGTATCGGACCCGAACCTGATCTCGTACTCAGACATCCGCCAGGCCCAGCTGCTCCATGCGTGCATCAATGAGACTCTGCGGTTGCATTATCCTGGGCCGTCTGGCTTCTTCAGGAAGACGCCCCCCGAGGGAATCCACATTGGTGAGCAGCACGTTCCAGGGGACACCATAATCCAGATGCCGCCCTACGTCATGGGCCTAGGTATGTGACTCCATCCATTGTATGTTTCGTTTCACCTCTGACGGGCAGTTACAGACGAGGAGGTGTACGAACGATGCAGCGAATTTGTGCCCGAAAGATGGTACTCGAAGCCCGAAATGATCAAGCACAAGGACGCATTCTTGCCGTTCCTGGCCGGATCAGAGTCCTGCATAGGCAAGAATTTGGCATACATTCAGCTGGCGGTGGTTGCGTCCCAGATCATCCTCCAATTCGATGTGGCGTTTGCGCCAGGCGAGGACGGGAACAAGCTGGTGCGGGAGTCAAAGGACCTCGGTATGCTGCATCCGGAGGATCTGCACGTGGTATTCACTCGTCGGGGTAAGACGCATTCGTGAATGAAGGCCTCGGAAAGATCTGTCGATGCGGCGTCGCTTCGCGCCACAAAAAAAGTAGTACTCGCTACTCGTATATAGTGCTCTACGCTGAACAACAGAAAATGCGAGTTCCAATGAAGCTCGTCGATACTCCCCGCCTTTATGTCGTTTTATCCCAAGCGCCTCTCTAAGCATGTCCAGGAATGTATCACGCTGGCTGTTCTAACACCCTGCCTATGCTTAACTGCCGTAGGCGATCTCCATACAGCTACCAATCAACGCCGTCATCTGCGGCTTTCGAACTTGGTCGGAGCAGCAAAGAAGCAACATAATGGCGAGTGAAGTATAACAGCGTTGCCTTTGGTTCGCACTCTGGTCGGAACCCACGAGCGACTCGGTCAACGCCCACATTTTAGGGACCTAAGTAGCCTCGATCAATACCACGGCCATTCATGTGTAGCGAGCAGGGCTGGTCTCGTACCTTATCCTGAAACAGTTTCGTCAAAGGGCGGAACGCCTTCGATAACGAGGCATTGTCCAGCCCCTCTGTCTCGGTGGGCAGCTTCTCAATCTCAACCAAGACGTCTGCGCACGCAGCCCGCGATGCGGCGCATTCAGCTCTCTCGGCACGAGCAATAGTCTCCGCAGACTTAATGATCTCGTATTGGTAGCCATGCGCCTCCCATTGTGACCAATCCTTTGCGTTCGTACGTAGTTTGGCCAATAAAACGGGCAGCTCGCTGTGCCTGCTGTTGCGCTGATCCCGTGATATATCGGAATCGTGGTCAAAGTCTGCGGTATAGTACTGTCCCATAGCTTCATCGAAGCTTCCAAGGCCCAGACTTTCCATGCATTGACGAAGATGCTCAAATCTCTCCTCCAATGGCCTGTCTTTCAACGCTGGGTCCACGGTAATGTTGTTGTGGTTTCGCCTAGGCGTGCTGCTGGAAACGCTCCCTGAACTGGCTGGGCTAGGGGCTCCAATGGAGCCACCGTCTGAGGATCGCTCTGCTGTGGTTGTTGGAATATCCATGGTCCCATCTGGTGTCGGAATATGACTATGTTCCTGTACTCCCGGTCGAACTAAATAAGACGGATCAGATGACATTTGATACGACCCGTCCGACGCTGCACCGTTCTCGTTGCTGCTTTGCCTGCCTGCACCAAGGCCAGTGAAACCTGCGAATGGCAATGTCAGTCTTATTCGAGCCCTTCAGTCACTTGCAGTAGTAGTCCACGCGGGAGCTGCTCACCAGTCAAGCCTTGTTGGTTCAAAGTCTCCCGATACATGCCACTGGCGACATTCGACCAGCCCCAGTCCGGGCTAAGGCTGTATGGTTGGGACAAAGGCGGAGAGGCGAAGCCAGGAAAGGGTGCAAAGGCAACCTGCGGGTGCATCTGCGATCGCGGGTGGCCTTGTTGCGTCAAGCATTGGGGCTGTATCGCCGAGCTTCCCGGCTGCAGCATTGCTCCCATGTCACTGGGTCGCGCATCCCCATCCGTCATTTCCATATCCAAAACGTAACTGCTGCTGCTGCTGCCACCCTTGTCGTTGCTCTTATCGCTGCTGTTGCTGGTACTTTGGTCTCTGCTGGTCGAGGTGCTGTTGGAATGGCTGGGTCCAGTTGAACTGTCCTTGTCTCTCCCGGGGCTCCTGCGGTTGTCTCCGGCATTGCTCTGGATGGCAACATTGCTGCCATTCCCGCTAGCGTCGCCGTCTTTGTTCCCTTCCGCCTCCTGCTCACGACGTCTGTATTCGCTGACTTCTTTCTCAAGTTCTTCTACCCTTTGTTTTATCCGGTTGCCTGGCGTCTATGTGAGTATCGTTGCAGTGGGCAGCTGTTGTTGGCCACAACTTACGGTATGTGCGTTGCGCAACTCGATTCTGTATCCTCTTCTTCTGGCTGCGGTCGGTTACCAACGTCCAATCTTCTTTGGTCATTGTGAAAGCAGCCGGCCTGAGTAAGAACAGCCTGACGACTAATTTTGGCAGACAGAGTTACGTTGCGTCGTGGCATATAAGGTGGCAGACATCCGACATCATAAGGGCAGCCGCTGACATATCTTTCGTTATGTATGCAGGGACGCAGGCAGGAGACTGAGCTCGCGAAACAACTATCCTGGTCAGGGATGCGCTGGGAACGGCGGGGATTGGCGGCCAGACGGGCTTGGCCTTTTACTGCGTGCACCCCAGGTCAAAAGGTGCCAGCCTATAGTTATAGTAGGCTGCAATCCTGAAGGATGCCGATACGACGCAGCCTGGTTCGCTGTCAGCGAAGGGTCAGCAACGCTGCGCGTCCAGCGCAATGGTATGCTGAAGCCGCCCGTCATGAGCGCAAAGATGTGCTGGCTCACTCGCTAAGGCCTACCAATACCGACCAAGGCAGCATGGTCTCGTTGCATCAATTCGAACCGTGCGCGGGCAGCAATGACGACACCAGATCTGGAGTTGTCAGCGCGGCATTGCCGCCTGAACTTGTCGAAACCCGGACTTACAGACATGCAACAGATCTCGATGCCGAAGTGCGTGCCGGTAGCTCCGACGCCACCCTGGAGCATCCATGAAATTGAGAGGCAAGATGCGAGGACCTAGACTGGGTTGCGGGATGCCTTAGGTGCGACCCTACCCAAATTCTCACACGCATCCTGACGCTCGGTCAGCGATGCTGCGGCAGGATACAAGCACTCGTAACTCGCGCATCCGCGCCAATTGGTATCGGTACATCATTTGGGCCGAGTCGACGCAGCGCGAGCAGTGGGGTTACATCGTGGAGGAAACATCATCGCAAGTCTACCTGCCGCGCGCCATGGTGCGGACGGCGAAGGAAGGGTTCCAAGAATGGCCAAGCCTCTCACACATAGGATCCGGGTGCTGCTAAAGGACGGCTCCCCTGGCTCGTCTGCGTAACACAACGAGCTAGTTTCTAGAATCAGGAGCAGTCGATCATCCAGGACCCTGGCTGGACCACCCCCAACGACATGGAGACTTCGTGCGCCAATCCCCTGGTGCTGTGTTGCTTGACGGGTCGCTTGGCGAAGATAAAGTTGCGATCCGGGCGCAGACGTTGACGCGCGTAGTGACACTTCCCTGGTGAACCAACAGACATAGAGTCTGCTTTTGGACAGGTGAACCTCGCACGCCGGATCTGTAGCCGCCTGGCACAAAAGTGACGCTGATCGAGGGGTAGAAGAAGTGCCGCTGACCCGATATGAGTCGGCCTGGCTCCCACTCCCATAATTTGCTTCGCACTATGACGGCTGCTCGCCCACCTCCGGTCCCGACACGAGCGCGGTCAAATTCCGATGACTCGCGATTGAGAAGTCGACAGGACACACTGATTGTGAGATTTGGTACCGAGAGGGCCGTAGCGTGCCGTGAACTGCTTCACTCCGTGCATACACATGAGAAATCTCGCACCTTTTGGCTGCTGTGTCACGTCGCACGGCTCGACGACCGTTGACACCTGGAATCGGCAGTGGGGGTCTCCCATCTTGGCCTTGCTCATGCCGGCCTGGCCGTGTCATAGACATGTTGAGAAGTCCCTAACCGCCGCACATCTCAGACGGATAACGCAAATTGCCACGCCTCCACGCATCCCGCCTCTTGGTCTGCATGAGCTGAAGCCAAGGAAGTACGCAACCAGATCTCTCTTGGGCAGGTCGGGTCAGTGTCGAGCGACTCAGTCCCGATAACTCACCTGCGCACGATGGCGGATGGAGGCGATCCACAGTGAGAATTTAGCTTGCCGTGGGATGCCTCATTGCCGGGCATGGGGGCGTCTGCGCGCAACCGTCGCGGTCCACGGAGCCTTTTGCTAAGCATGCGCAAGGCGCCATCACATCCTCCAAGGATGCACGCCTTTGAGGACATTGCCATGATGACAATTGGTGGGAAAGGTCCGAGGCGCAGGGCCATGTGAGGTGGCGCCCGCACCAGCCGCCCGTGCCGGACCTGTCCGCGCCGCAGCGCTGCCACTTGGTTCGTAGCGTGAATCCCACCCAGCCAGGGTCGGCATCAGTGGGGACGGCTCCGCGGGCGGCTCGCGGAGAGATGCCGGGGGCTTCCTGCCTGTCAAGGGGAGGGTCAAGCTTCGAGCCCCTGTCTGCTAACCGTCCGGTCTCAGCGCTAACGCTCCTCCCCGGCCCAGAAAATGCCCAGCCTTACGGCGGTCTTGGTGCCCAGTAGTCAGACCGTCCGTCTTACTTGGCGGGATCGCTTGGGGTAGTCCAGAGGAGAAAAGGCTCTGCCATGACAAGATTCCCGCCTCGATGCTTGCTGCGGCGACAGGACTTGGCTTCCCGCGTCACTTCCGTGTGGCTATGTGCGGGCTCGCCCTATGCCTCTAACGATGCAGCTCAAGTAGCTGCAGACGACGAGTCTCTTGAGCAATTTGGCGAACCGCGCAAGCGAGCCGTACCGTGATGGTACGGGCGCGATCTAGGCCCCAGACGCATCGACGACACAGGAGCTCTCGGCCCGGACGGATCGTGTGTCTCGTTCCTGGCCACGGGGAGACTGCAGATCTCATCCCACTCGGAATCAAGCCACGTTAAAGGCGGAAAGACGGTTTCCGTGATACAGGATGGATGGCGGCACCGGCACATGCACGGGTGCCGATTGGCCTATGGGTGTGTCGGCTCAGCTCGCGGCTGGCAATTGTGAGGCATCCAATGGCCCTGGATCTCCGCCACTGACGCGTATCTGGCTGCATTACTGTCTGGCGCCGGCAGCGGGATGGGCTGGTGCAGCAGTCCTCCTGCAGAGACATTAGCACACTAGCACTCACGCACTGCAGAAGGTTAGCCACCGGCTTAGTGCTCGTACTTGTTCCATGTTCTCGCAGCCGATGTGGCAACGAGCATGACGAATGCCACCAGCATGTCTTCATGGCCGTACATTAGCTCGCAGGCGGCTGGCGTCTCGTCTACATCGATGAACCATGCGTGGATAGACTCGGCCGAGTCAACGACGTACCATGCAAATGAAGGTTTCGATAACTCGCAGAATCCGGGGGCGAGTCAAGCGCGATACGGGACCGCCGCCGCTTGAGACTACGGGGTGTTCATGTACTAACGTTACAGTCCGCAAATAGTACCTCAGATGCACCACTGTCAAGGCGAGCCTCATGTACTCGACCTTCTGACTAGTCACTACGCAATGATGCCAAGTGGGCATCGTGCCGTGGCTCTGGCTGTATTCAGCAATTCGTCTAACTATACGGTCGAGTGGGGGCCGCCTGCTAGTCGACGGACGGTGAAGGCCGTCTGCCGGCTGATCTTCACGGCCTCCATCGCACGTCTTAAATGCCTAGTCCGCAGCGGTTCACCATAAACAGACGCGATCATACGTAGACGCCCCCCGACACCATTCTCCAAAGGTTCCACGCGCGTGTTTCGTACACCTTGCAGCACGCCACGTGAGAGCTCGGTAGGTCACTGCGGCCTTTGCCACTGAAAGTGCTCCCTTCTCCCGCGGATCGTTGATCTGCGTTTGGGTCTCATATTTTCGGTCAACGTTGATGAGCTCTGGGACGTTGAGCTCTGCAACGCTGCAAAGCCAAGAATACCGATGAGACTGGACCCTGCGCCGACTTGAACCCTGAATGCTACTTTGTTTTGCGCGGCCCCAGCCCGAAAATATGTTGACGTGATCATCATTTCCTTAAATGTTCACTCACACACGAGGTGGACGGCTGCCATACCTCGCTCCACGTGGGCTTGTTTGACCAAGTGTTGTCGTGCTCTCACTCGTTCCGCCATAGTGGTCGCTGGATCAGGTGAGGCGAAACGGCGACAGGAGGACGAAGAATCTTTGGTCCTCTCAACGTGCAAGGTGCAATTCCATTGCATTTCATGACGTGTATTAAAGTAATTTCAGTAGCAAAGTATAGTAAAATTGCAAGCGAGGATGGCCTTGTATCTATTTCTCATGATCGCTTGACCAAGGCCGTCCTGATGTAGTCACCCAAACTCATGATTGATGTGCTCTGCACAATGGTCATCACTGTCGTGTCCACGCCAAATCTCTGCCGAATCCAGTTTCGCAATTCCATCGCAACCAAGGAATCCAGCCCTGCATGTTCCGGGGAGTCTTCCACTTTGATGCTACCTTCTTCTTTGATCAAGAAGTTGGCCAAAGCAGACGCAATGGCCGTCGCAATGATCACAGTGCTCTCTTCGTCTTGAAGGACAGATGGGTCGGAAGCAGCCGACTTCAACAGCGTCGTGATGTCGTCAAGCTCCGCAGTTGCCGAGGATGCGGAGTCTTTTCCGCCATTAATATTGTGGTAGATGCTCATGCGGATGTCGTTCTTCCAGACAACACGGTTGTTGGGGGAGGCAATAGGTACGCTTGTGACCAACCCGAGCAGAATTTGCCCAGGGCTGTCAAAGCAACCATCAGAGACTTGGGCTCGAGAAGGTTTCGATCGCTGGATTGCCAGGTTCGTGGCGTCAAGAAGATCCTGCTCTTTCAGGATGCGCATACCGGACTTTTGGAAGAGACCCAGAATATCCTTGTTCTTCGAAACGAATCCCACCTCACCCATAACGCCGATGTCGATGACAGATGCCGCCAATCCCTTGTGATGACGGTATTGGACGAATGCGTCCAAGAAGGTGTTTGCTGCGGCATAGTTCGCCTGGCCCCATTGACCAACAATGCCGCTGTACGAGGAGCATAAGATGAAGAAGTCCAGCTCAGAGGTGATTGCTTCGTGCAGGTTCCACGTGCCCTGGACCTTGGGCGCAACGGCGGTTGTCCAGTCGGCAAAAGTCATGTCAGACAGCGAAATGTCTCGCAAGACCATGCTAAGGTTCATGACGCCGGCGATCGGCTTCGAAGCACCGTCCACGGCCCGCTTGACATCGTCTGGGCAGCTCACACTGCCCGCGACGAGCTGAACTTCACAGCCCTGGGCGGCAAGCTCCTCTACGAAGCTTGCCAATTGCGGGCCCTGTCGGGCAGACCGAGAGAGGAAGATAAGATGGCGGGCGCCATTCTCAGCCATCCAAGTCGCAATGGCCCGACCGAGTCCGCCCAAACCGCCAACGAGCAGATAGCTCCGGTCGTGGCGAAGACTAGGCGATGGGCGCTCTTTGGTTGACTCCAGAGAGCCAGAGTCCTGCGGCATCTTCACGATGATCTTACCGATGTGACGCCCACCCTGCATGAATCGGAACGCGTCCTGGACCTGTTCGGCGTCCCACACCCTTGCAATGACACCGGGCTTGATCGATCCCGCCTGCATCCACTTGATGCAACGCTCCAGGAGCCTGTGCAAGGTCAGCGACATGTGACACAGTGTCGAACCGAAAGTAAGAGTAAACTTGAACATACCTTGCAACTTGCTCGGGGCGGACCTGCGAAACCTGCCATAGATCAAGGCCGACAAATGTGCGGTTGGCTTCAAATGCCTCCATGGAAAGTTTAGCTCTGCGGCGGAAGTCCCGCTTGCCAATCTCGATCATGGTGCCAAACTCCGCGACACATCGCCATGATGCGTGGAGGAGTTCTCCGGAGAGGGAGTTAAGCACGACGTCAACGCCTCGATTGTCCGTCACCGCCATTACGTCGCGCAGGAAAGACGTATCGCGAGAATTGAAGATACGATGACGCGGGATATTGTGGTTGTCCATGAGATAGCGGACCTTGTCTTCATTGCCCACCGTGCAGTATACCTATTCATGAAGTTGTTAGATCCTCATCGCCGCATTCATTGCGGGTGATCCTTACCTCGCCACCAAGCATTTGCGCGATCTGAATGGCAGCAAGTCCCACGCCGCCACAGGCTGAATGAATGAGGATTGTCTAAACGTATATGAGTTAGCGCGATCACACGACGGCACGCGTATCAAGGCACGACGAACCTGTCCTGGCTGGAGATTGGCCTTGTCCACGAGAGCCATTGCAGCTGTGGCATAGACACAGGGCAGTGCCGCGCCTTGCTCAAATGTCAGGCCATCGTCGAGCTTCACGCAGAGCGTTTGCGAAAGTGTTATGTGGGTGGTGAAGCAGCCGCTCGACATGTACATGACGCGGTCGCCGACCTGGAGCTTTTCGACTCCGGGGCCAACCTCTGTCACCACGCCCGAGCCTTCCAGGCCGATCTCGCGAGTGCTATTGTCCAGAACACCAAGCGCGATGAGAACATCCTATACTGGTAAGCATTCCCTCGATGTCGCCAGCTTGTGGAGCTCTTACTCTGAAGTTTAATCCAATTGCCCTTGTTTGGACGGTCACCTGTCCGTGCTCGAGAGGTGCACGTTCGGATTGGCTCCAGCCCATAGTGTGCAGCAACCCTGGGGTCTTGACGCTGAGATGTTTCTCCGTAGGGCGAGAATCGTCGCCGTTGGTTCGCTCAAAGGCAGCTGCCATGGTTTGCCAATGCATTCTTGGGACCAAAATCTGGCCATCGACGACAGCATACTCCCAGTCAGGGTCCATTGACTCTGCATCCAACTGTGGGCTGTGGCGTCTCATGAGAATATCTACGAGGCATTTCGAAGCAGCCAAGTGATTAGTCTTGTCATCAATCTCGACGGTGAACAGCTTGACGGAGAGCTCGCTGCGAGCTGTTCGGGTGAGGCCCAGGCTCATCGCAGTCCTGGGATCTGTGCAGGCAACTTGCGCAGAGCGAGTCGCCCATATGACCTTGGCATCCAGGTCTAGCGCCTGCAATTGCGCCACGAGTGTCTTGAACGAGGGCTCGGTCAGATCATGGACAGTTGAAGCCTGAAGATCGAGCAAGCTGACGACATCGTGGCTCGGCAACGGCTGGCCAAATGTGACCACGTCAACCGCGACCCCTAAGTCCTCGAGCACACGCTTTGCTTCCGCTACGTATGCCCCATCCATACTGTGCGAAAGTAGCGAGACCGCCAAGGGCTTCGATGTCTCGCAAGCTGGAGAGGCGATGATTCCTGCGCTCTGTTGGTAAGGAGTGATACCGTCAATCACCATGGCCTCTGGTTCGGCGAATCCGGCTGCCACCATTTCCTTGGCCCATCTGTCGGCGGAGATGTAGGGCTCATCGGGACGATTGTCGCCGTCGCCCAGCCACCAGCCGGGTAGGAAACCCTGTTCTAAGTAAGCACCACACTATTGAATTGACGGAGGAAAGAATCGTACCATGACATAGTTGACGTATTTTGCATCTGGTATTCGGTCAGCGACGACTACAGCCTTGTGGGAAACATGGGTGGAATGGCATACCGGGGCAAAGTTCCTGCAAAAAGAGCTTGCCACCAGGGCTCAGCAGTCTTCGCAGGTGGGACAGGGACACATTCAGGTTGGGGGTAGCGTGAATGACCTGTTCGTAGTGTCAATCGGCGATAAGGGTGCGCGCAGAACATTGGCGCGACTCACATTCGAGCCAATGATCAAATCGTAGCTCCCCTCCAGGTATCCTTGCTCTGATGGGTCCTGCGAAATGTCGAGGGTGGCATATTGCAGGCCTTCCACTCCAGAGAAGCGCTCCTTTGCCGACGCCATGAAGCCAGCGGAGATGTCAGTATAGGTGTAAGTGCTGTACAGTCTCTCGCCAGTGGATGATGTGAGCGCCTTGAGAACCTTGACAGTCGTGCCACCGGTGCCTGCGCCGACTTCTAGGATTCTTAGTCTTGGGTTCGTATGCCCCAGCACGCGGAGAGCAGTGGCATAATTGAGTTCGTCGCCAACAGCATAGAACTCCGTAAGAACATCGTCCTTCATTAGCACATGCAACGGATGGGTCTCGCCGCTGAAGATAGACTCGGCGGTTTGAAACAGCCGGTGAATGGCGATGCAGAAAGCCGGATATTGCGACTTTTCGCCGTCTGCGGCAATCTCTGCAATCCTTCCAAGCCGTTGAGCTTTGGTGAGTTCCAACAGCCCACGATCATTGGCAACAAACAGGTTGCGCCCAGAACGGTACTTGTCCACTTGACCCTGCATCCATGAAAAGAACTTGCGCAGATGCGGCTGGGTCTCGCCGGTCAACTTTATCGTCTCCAAGTGATCAATTGCGCAAAGAAGCATCATCTCTTCGAAAAGAGGCCACTCCCGTGGGATGTGCGTCCGAGGGTGTAAGTAGTCCGCCAACGACACGAAGTGAGCATGAGGCCTCCACTCGAAGCGAGTGATCAAAGGCAGGCTTTCATCTTCGTCATCACTTCTCGTCAACGCAGATGCTTTGAATCCCTTTAGAGAGAGCTGCAATTCGCCGGCCTGTTCAGCGACGAGGTCGCCGACGAATGAGCCGCGCTCCAGAGTGTGGATGGTTGCCCCGACTCGCAGATCATGTGCAGTGGGACGCACAATGATCTCTTCGATGAAGGTCGGAACAGCAATGTTCTTGCAGTTTCGACCCAGTCCACCGTATGCTGAAACGGTAAACAACTGAAAGCATTGGTCCATGACAGCAGGATGCATTGCGAACTTCCCAGCCTGCGACAGCGACGGCACAGATGCTGCCGCGCGATTGTCTCCCGGCGCCGCAGTAATGCTGCCCAGGCCACGAAACAAGCCTGTGTAGTTGAATCCAACGCGATTGAGTATGTTGTACCACTCATTCGCATCGACGGTTCTAGCATAACCTTTCGGCGACTGAACGCTGAGTTGGGCTGCCTTGTCGACAGAAGCTCTCGCTTCTCCAACACAGTGCTTCACCCATTTCGTTCCGTCGTAGGAGCTAATGCTGAACGTATACCATGACGCTTCATCGGACGAATCTGTCGCAACTGGAGATAGGCTTGTTACAATCTCTACCGTCTTGCCGTGTTCTAGAACCAGGCCGGCTTTGATGCTGACATTCTTGAGGCTGTATGCCAACTCCTCGTGCAGCTGTCGAATGGCTTCTCCAACCATGGAGATGTAGCCCGCACCGGGAAAGACGACTTGGCCACCAACCTCATGGCCAGACAGCCAAGATACGTCTTCGAGGGCAAGCTTAGTTCGCCAGCATGGCTCGTTGGAAATCTCGGTGACGCGAGATCCAAGCAACTCGTGAGGGGCGTGCTCCCTGAACCTCCACTCTCGCGTCATGCGGGACTCGGCCCAGTGGCTATTGTCCCGCTTCCACGGGTAACGAGGCAGGTTTGCAACATGACGGCCGCTCGGCAATAATACATGGGAGAAGTCGACGTTGACATCCTGCTGGAACAGCTTGCCAGCAAGTTGAAGAAGGCTCTCGTCGCAGCCCTTGTCGCGTTGCAGCGTGCCGACGTGAACGTCTGCCGAACGTCCCATGTCTCTCAGTATTTGGCCAATGGGGCCTTTCAGGGCTGGATGAGGCCCGATCTCGATGAGCACGAGGCGGCCCTCGTACGCGGTCATGGCGGACCGCAATGCAGTGTTGAACAAGACCGGACTCTCCATGTTCCTGCGCCAATACGCAGGCCCCAGGCATCCATCGCCGCTCAACCTCTTACCAGTAACAGACGAGTAAAACGGGATTAAGGGTGAAGTACTGCTGACGAACGGCTGCAAGTGCTCCTCATACAGAGGTCCGTACTCGAGCATGTGGTCTGTGATCCTGGTCAGCGACACTCCTGGGGGAGCATTGAGGGGCAGTGTTCTCACGGGAGTGGAAAGCCTTCTCAACACGCAAGAAGCGGGCCAGAACACCTTCTCGCTGCGTCTTCACGTTCTGAACCACTTTCTCAACTTGCTCAGAATCGCCGGAAATGGTGACACTGCACTGGCTGTTCTCACAGGCAACCACAACACCAGGCTCCATGTAGGGAGCCATTTCGTGGGCTCCTAGGCCAATCGCCGCCATTGAGCCACGCTTCTCAGCTGTGCCACTAGTGCTGGTGGTGCCGCGGAAAGTTGCGGCGGCCATTGCGGCTTTAGCGGTGATAGAGCCACTGGCGTACGCCGCGGCCATTTCGCCCGAAGAATGGCCAAGCACCAGATCTGGCTTGATGCCCCACGACTTCAACACGTCAATGAGACCAATTTGTACGGCGATGGACAGAGGATGGCCGAACTCTGCCTTTTGGACGCGACTATCCCCAGCCGTTTTGCGCAATTCACTCTCGATGGTCCAAGGCGGTGGGCTGGGTAATCCGGCCAGGAATGCGTCCAGGCCGCGGATTGTCGCCTGGAATACAGGGTTGGTGTCAATGAGCTCTGCGCCCATCTCTGGCCACTGCGCGCCTTGGCCAGTGAATACCCAAGCGATGCGAGCTGGCGTCTTTACTGTCTCTAGCTGCGACAGCTCAATGGATGACTTGTTTCCGGCGATTGCAAAGGCACGATGAGGCTTGTGATCTCGTCGAAGAGCCAAGGTGTAAGCCACATCTTTGAGGGAGATATGACTTGTGGGAAGGAATTCCTGGTACGTCTTGACCGTGTCTTTCAGTGCTGGTTCGCTGGTAGCCGAGAAAAGAAGTAGGTGCGGACGCTCTGGAAACTCGACGTCGTCGCCACTATATCCATTCCTTCGTCCAACCGTGTGAGAAGTCTGGTCGCCGTTGCTTGGAGTTGAGCGAGACTGAGGTGTATCATTGCTCTCTAGCTTGGCATCGCTGGCTTTGGACTCGGCAGATCCATCGACGTCCTGGTGGCCATTACTGTGGACGCCGTCGCTGTTCGCGAATTCGTCCACGGTACTGGACTCACTACTGCCGACGTCTTCAAAGCCATCACTGTCCGTTGGCGTCATGTCGCCGGCCGGAGACGAGGAGGTGGTTGAGCCATTGGACAAGCCCCGGTCGTGGTTTTGGTACTCCCGTAATGATTCAACAATTACCTAGGATAATGAGTACATGCTACATCGGTTTAAGTTGTCGCAGGTACAAAGACTTACATGAGCATTTACGCCGCCGATTCCGAACGAGTTGACGCTCACTCGCTCAGCGCGAGCGTCTGGCCATTCTTCAGTTTTAACCGGGACGCGGAGTTTACACTTCGAGAAGGGGACTGCCGTCTGGTTAACCTTAATTCCATGGGCAGAATGGCTTTCATTTCCTGCGCTTACTGGCTGGGTTGGGTGACTCGAAGAAAATATTTGGTGGTATTTGGCGGTGTTCAATCGCTAGGATTGCCTTAATCAGACTGGTGAGGCCCGCGGCTCCTTCTGAATGCCCGACGTTGGGCTTGACCTGTTCACGAGGATTAGGAAACGGCTAGGGAAGGGAGGCTGCCCGGCGGTACGACTTACAGAAGTGATGTAAATCCCTTTATCCCCAAAACAATTGGCGACAGCAGTGGCTTCCAGCGGGTCGCCGACACTGGTACCGGTACCGTGACACTCCACCATGGCTGTCCGGGACATGTCTTGGATGCCCGCCTGCTCATATGCACGGCGGATTAGCGCCTCCTGCGCTGTCGGACTGGGCGTCAGCATCGCCTGCGTGCGGCCGTCGCAGTTTACGCTGGTTCCGCGGATGATCGCGCGGATCGAATCCCCATCCTCAATGGCCTGGCTTAGTCGCTTGATGTAGATGGCGTTCACGGCCTCGCCACGTCCATATCCATCGGCAGTGGCATCAAACGTTTTGCAGATGCCTGAGGGGGAGAGTACGCCCTGGTCGCTAAGCGCGAGCGTCATGGTTGGTGAAAATATTAACCCTGTACCGCAAACGAGCGAACCGTCGCAGTCGCCTTTTCGAATTGCTTCGCAAGCCATGTCTAAACACACCAGGGATGACGAACAACCGGTCTTAACGGTCATGCTGCCCTATGTTAGTGATGTCCCATTTCCACGCATTCTAGCAGTGCGCCTTCTCACCTGGGGCCGTGTAGGTCGAACTCATACGAGATTCGATTTCCAAGAACAAAATCGTCGTATCCTGTAACCCGATAGCCGCCCTTGTGTAAGGTTTCCTTGGCGTTGAGGTCCTGCCAATCGTCGCCAAATACACCGACATAACAGCCGGTATTGCTACCTCTCCATGATGTCGCACCTGCATCTTCCATGCATTCGTATGCAACCTCGAGCAGCTGCCGTTGCTGTGGGTCGAGGCGCTCCAGTTCCGCTTTGGATAATGAAAAGAAGGACGTGTCGAATTGGGCAATATCAACATCTTGCAGAAAGTAGCCCTTGTTCATGCGGAACGTTGAGGGTTTGCCAGATGGGTCGTGGAAGCCATTGACGTTATATCGATCTTGAGGCACGTCGCACAGTCCGTTTCGCTTCTCAACGAGCAACTGCCAGAACTCTTCGCCGTTACGCACGTTGCCTGGGAGTCGCATGGCCATGCCGACTACCGCAATGGGCTCCGCCATTTTGTTCTCTTTGCTAGAATAAGCGTAGGAGAAGTCTGTGGCCGCCGTGCCATCGCCGCGATTTCCCCCACTCGCGACGCCTGGCATGGCCAGCAGCTGCTCCTGTGGCTCTTCCGTCAAGCTGGGCATCGTAGACACCTTCTGTTGATAGAACGCCGAGGGTCAATGATGATCCAGCGATTTGCTCTTTGTGTAGTGTTGGACGGGCTTTTTTTACTTTGGGTATGGCAAGTCGCTGATAGGGAAAGGATGGCGGCCTTGCACCCCAAGTTGCTTTGTTCTCCCACAGTATATTCTGTTACAGAGTGTTTTGTTGCCGAGGTTGTCCAAATGTCGTCCGTATAGGTGCCACAATTGCACTTGTTTACCAGGGCCTTTGGACACTAGCTGCCCAGTGTCCGTGATTCCCTTCGTTCTTCATACTACTTCATTGTCAGCACTCAGACTAACTCGACGATTTGACTGAAGCATTTGCCCCCCTGCAATATCGCACCAAGCGCATGTGGTCTGCGCCTAGTCTACAGCATTGCGGCAACAACTACTGCTACCTCCGGATGCTAGCCTCGTCAGCGGCCCTCACACAAGCTGTTATCGTTCACTGCACCAGCAGCCAACCGAAATCTGTGAACAACATGAGTAAGGCGCGGCGCAACAGACTTAGTCCCGTTGTGCCGTGGATCCTGCGTTGCTCACTCGCCAGGTGAGCACTAGCGACCTGACTCAGAACTCTTAGCCCTTTTGGGACTGCCGGACGATTCACATTCGCCAGGTAGAAGATGACGCGAGTGCCTCCAACGGTCACTATTGGCTAACTAATGGCATACATGGATCTTACATTCTCAGAATGCCGGTCATGTACTTCATGTTTGTTGTGACTAACAGCTATAGTAGTTACGGGACCCACTAGTTCATGGTCACTGCTACTGTCATGATGATTGCCTCTTGCCCATTGTCAAACATCTGGGATAGGCGTAAGTGCAGTCGTCCCTTCAGTTGCGCTGTACCGCCACTCCGTGCGAAATTCCTAAGGCTTGAGGCGCGGGCTGAACCTCAAGACCGGGCCTTCCTTCCATGCCGTCAAGTGGTCCTTTAGGGCGTATTCAGTTGAACTGTAGTCTCCTTCAGCCCAATCGCTCTTGTAATCCGCCCGCCGCATGTCATATTCCCACAGTAGTCGTGCGAAGACGATCATCATTTGCGCAATTGCCAGTGGCTTGCCGACGCAGCTGCGTGGTCCGACTGAGAAGGGCATGTACGGCGACCGCGGTGCCTCAGACCTCGATCCTTTTGCGTCTAGAGGTCGATACCACCTCTCCGGGTCGTAGGTAAACGGCTTCGTGTAGTATGCCGCGCTGTGGTGAATGCTGTAAATTCCCACGGCAACCTCGCAGTGGCCCGGAACGTAAGTTCCGTCAATTAGAGTGCCTCCCTGCTCGACCTCTCGCCAAAGAGCACTGCCGCCGGGAGGCGACAGCCGCAGAGCTTCATCGATGCAGGCGCGCAAGAAAGCGCAGGAGTTAAGCTTTGGTCCGAGACAGATCTCGTCCACGGAACAGAACGTGCTCCGGACCTCTTCAGCGACCCTGCGGTAGCAATTCGAGGAACCTGTTATGTAATGCGAAACTGCAGCCATACTGGTAGACGAAGTGTCCGCACCTGCATGCATGTAACGTCAGTGTTCAATGTCCTTGCCATGTTTGTAGGGAAAAGGAAACTCACCAGCAACGATGAACGTTGCTGTTTCGGTACTCAGCTCGGCAATACTAAGCTCTTTACCAGAATCGGGATCTTTGCAATCTTGGAGGAACGAGAAGATGTCCTTGGACGTGGCTTTCGACGCAGCGAGGCGCTTGGCCATCACCATGCGAATGAACTTGACAAACTTGTACTTCGCGACGTAGGCTGTGGGGAACAACTTCTTGTCTAGAGACCTGACACTGAGCTCGGGCGCCTGCAAAAGCACACCAAGGCGTACGTTGGAGTCCTCGATGGCTTTGAGAGCAAACCGATACTCTGGTTTCTCCATTGTGTTGAAGTCGGTATCGAAGGAGACAGCCGTCATGATGTCAAAAGCCAGATTGTTGACTACTCCATGTCAGCCATATTGTCAATGTTTCAAGGCCCTTGCTTCTTCGCGGAGTCTTACAGGCCTTGCTCATGTCGACAGGTCCAGACCATTCGCCAGGTTGAATGGGGGTTGGCGAGCCATCTGGCGCCTTTCGCAGAAGCTCGCAGAACTTCACGACGCGGGCTTGTATCTTGGGTTCGAATAGGCGCAGGCTACTTTCGGAGAAAGCTTGGCTGATGACTCGTCGTCGCCGACCATGTTGGCTTTTGTCTCTCAGGGTCAATAAGTTCGCCGCTTGCTTAGACAGGACTTCATAGTTCTTGAACTTGGTGACCTTCGCATGGTGACCATATATATCTACGTCACATCGCCGTCAGTGTCCCATGTCTTCGGGGTGTTTCGCTGTTCTCGTACCTCTCAAAGCACCGGCGGTGTTAATAATGAGGCGATTGGGTGCGTATCGAAGGTGGTCACCTGTCGTCTATGGTGAGCCTCTTTCAGCGGCATATGCGTGGCGGGAGTTCGAACCATATTTTTGGTGACACCGATATATGTCAATATGGATGTCGCCTTTCCAGGCATGGTAGGCAGAGTATAGATTCGTTACTTTGGCTAGAGCCGGACCCGGATACTTTGCCAGGGGATGGAAGAGAAGTCGGTAAACACAAACGCTCACAATCTAGCATCATTTCAGCGACGATCTAGCCGTAGCGGTGGCGCACTTACAGCAATCACACCAGCCGTGGCAAGCGCAAATGCGATGAATCCGACTCGCGACATGGCTGCTGCCAGAGCTCCGATCTTGGGGGTCGGCGAATCCATTGTCACGATGTTTCCGGTGATGGCTTCACTTCGCCGATGTTGTCTTTTGCAGTCCGTCCGTGGCAAGTAGCAAATGTACGGTTCAGAGATTGCGACGACTTGCTTAGATCTTTGGTCAGCACATCCATGCAGTCGACTACTGGCCGCCTACGCCATGGTACGCACTTCCGGCTACTGCCCGTAGCGCCATGTCCTTTACCGCATGGCGCAGTCAGCCTGCGATCACGCGAACAGTACAACACTGGGCCTTCAAGACCGGTGCTATTTTCAAGCTAGTTAGGGAGTGCTTAGCGCCAGACAGCGGCCGTTGATCTGCAATACTGGGTGCTGCCCATCCCCCGGGGGGTCGTGTCAAGTTCTCCAATGTTGGCCAACATGAACACTGAGATCGGTCCCCAGAACGCTCGCGTGGTCGCCAATTGCGATAGCCCACCGGACGCGCATCGAGCAGAAGAGCTCGCATGAACGCTGCCTCTAGATTCCAGGCACCGCACGCAGAATAGCCTGCATCAGCATCATCCGTCCATCGATCAATACGATTTCTTGAGTTGGCACATTGAGTTAAGGGCAGCAGACCCCGGCGAGGTGGGGGCCGAACTGTGCGTCATTGGGGCTTCCGGTGCTTAGGGCTTCCAGCCTGAAGAACTCTGGCTTACTGTCGCAACCATGCGTCCACCAGAACTATGTCCTCAGAGGGGCGCCGTCGTGCTGGCTCTGTGCTACCTGCGCAACCATGCAGGAACCCTGACCACTGCGTCATGTCAGGGATGAAGTCGCGGACTGCTTTATCACCTAATTACAGGCCCCGCGATGCCATACTGAGTAAACGGGTCGGTAGAACCTGTCGGCTGCGACGCACATGTGACTGTACTGGCTGCCTGCCCCTGCCGATGGCCATTCACGCGCGAAGTCTGGCTTCCGCCCATTGATCCTAACCCGAGGCCGCTGCGACGCGTTGCCCATGGCGAGTCGCGTCTCCCAGGAATCGTCCCTCTCCATCTAGATGGTTGGCCTCTGTACATACACTTCGTCTCGTTTCCCCAGACACCATTTGCAAAGCGCACACTGGCGATGAGAACACTAAGCTCACTGCGAGGCGTCCACGCGGCCACGCGCTCGTACAGCGTCGCCAACGGCCTGGGACCTGCTGGGCGTCTATCCTGTCGACTCGGCTTGACACCGAATACTCATAATGCGCTGAGAAATACGCGCCCTTGCCTGCCGCAATCGGCCATCAGGCATTTCACCAGCACCTCTCCGTCCGGCCCAGCGACCGCCAAAGTGATAGCTGAAGGAACTACCCAGGAGAGACATGATGAGAAAAACCCACCGGGAGACGACGGCACCAAACCGACCGGCGGAAAGAAGGCGCGTCCCGCGATCAAGATTAAGTGGTACTGGAAGGGCTTAATTCTTCTGGTCGAGCTCTGCATCGGCGACTACCTGCTCGACAGGTATGTATTTGGCGGCGTGATGCTGCGTACGACAATTGCCTACGCGGTGCTCGCCCGTGTCGGCCTCGACTATAAGCTTCACTACGGCAAGGACTGTTGGCTGGCTCGACATCCCGAAGAGGATCTTCATCATCGCAATGCGCAGCGCGTATGCACCATGCTGAAGTGGAACGGCGGCCTGTATCTCAAGGCTGGCCAAGCCGTCGCCATGCAGGGCAGCGTGCTTCCCGAGGAGTACCAGCGCATGTTTGGTGAAATGTTCGACGACGCGCCGCACAGCTCATGGTCCGACGTCGAGAAAGTTATAAAGCAGGACTTTGGCGGTCGCAGCATCGAGGACGTCTTTGGTGTCGCTCCATCCGATCAGCAGGGAGACTCTCAATTTGTCTTCGAACGTGAGCCGCGAGCCTCAGCTTCCATCGCTCAGGTGCACTACGCACGGCTACCAGACGGCCGCGGCTTGGCAGTCAAGGTCCAGCGGCGCGAGATCTCCAAGCAGGTGTCCTGGGACCTCTGGTCCATGAAGCTCATGACCGAGTACACGGCATGGGTGACTGGTCTACCTATGGGTGGCATGGGCCAGTTTGTCGCAGACCGGGTCATGCAAGAGACGGATTTTGAGCACGAGGCGAGCAACTCCGAGAAGATGGCAGATCTGATCGCGACAGATTCTTCACTGCGCGACCGTGTCTACATACCCAAGGTTTATCGCGAGTTCACCTCGAAGCGAGTCCTCACGACGGAATGGGTGGATGCAGTGCAGCTTTGGGATCGAGATGCCATCACCGGTCAAGTCGCCCCAAGTCGCTCCGCAACATCCGACAAACCCGGTCTCGGCCTCCGTCTGGATGATGTGATGAGGACTGTTGTGGAATTGTTCTCCGCGCAGATGTTCTCATGGGGATTTGTCCACTGCGATCCGCATCCCGGCAACATCCTCGTGCGCCAGAACCCCAAGCGCCCCGACAGCGCGCAGGTTGTGCTCCTCGATCACGGTCTCTACATCACCATGTCGGATAAGCTGCGCAGACAATATGCACGATTCTGGAAAGCACTCGTGACGAACGACGATGCTTCACTGCAGAGGGTGTCCCGCGAATGGGGGATGAAAAGCGCTGATGCGTGGGCCGATGCGTCGCTTATGCGGCCATACAAAAACCCGTCCAGCTCCGACGATGAGAGTGGCGAGTCGTGGCAGAGGACGAAAGAGACTCCGGAGGAGCGCAAGCAGCGCATGATCGATGAAGCGGCGGCCTATCTGGGCGACGAGGGTCTGTTCCCGCGTGAGCTGCTGTTCCTGGAGCGCAATATCACTATCGTGCAGGGAAACAACAGGTTCTTGGGTTCCCCCGTCAACCGCATCAAGCTCATTGGATCATGCGCGCTCAAGGCCATCAGAGATGACGGTCAGGGCAAAGAAAGTATCCGAGAAAGGATTTCGACCCGCGTAGCACTTTTGTCTCTTGATCTTGCGTTCTGGTGGAGCGCCATGAAACAGTACTTTGGGTATGGAGAGGGCCTAGAGCAGGAGCTGAAGGAGGCAGAGGACCGCCAGCTCCGTGAAACCAAGGACGCCGTGGCAGAGTTATTTGGGATCACGGTAAATTAGAGTTGCTGTTAGACTGAGTTTTCACTCAATACATCTGTTTTGTCCTTTCTCCATCCATCTATGCTGGCCCACACCCTCAAACAAAGCAGGTCCTCAACTGAAGCAGCCCTCAAGCTCCAGGCTAATGCTAGGATGAGCCTCTACATTGTGTAGACCGTCAAGTGTATCTTGCGATTCGGCAAAGCCTCAATTTCCTTTTCCATCTAGTTAACTTCCTGCACTGTCTGCTCTCCTCGTGTATGTCCGTTTAACGTGGTCTTCTTGACCTGTCTCATTTCGTCGTCCACCGCCTTGCGCTTCCTCAAGCTAACTGGATCTTGGACCTTGACGCACCATCCAAACTCGTCTTCTATTTTGCCTTTGTAAATATCGTGCAGAAGTGTCGACAACTGTTTCGCGCAAGGGCCCATGGTCTCTGCGGCGCTTTGGTAGAGGAATTTGTCCGATGTACTCTTCCTCGTAATGGACTTGATAGACACAAGAGTGACCGCCGTCCCGCAAGCCATTACTTCAGAAAAGCACGACAGCTCCTCATATTTGACCTTCTCCCGTTAGCTCATGGCGTACAGTACGAGGCGGTACTAACAGATCTTTTCTCAACGGTCCAGCCTAGAGACTTCGCCAGCTGCTGAACGCTGTCGCAGGTGACGCTGCTCACAACGTTCGTCGTGTCGGGCACTACGAGCGTAATGTCCTCGCCATCGACGTGTGCCCCAACGAAGGCCGACGTCGAAAACTCTTCAATCTCGGTCCTTGTTTGACTGTCGAGATGCAGAGTAATATCGTAGCCATCCTGCTTCGCTTGTTGACTCCATCGAATGACAGGCGAGTAGTTTCCGCCAACCTTGCCCGATCCGGTACCACGGGGTGCCGCCCTGTCAAAGTCCTCCAGGATGAGTGCATCCAGTGGCTCGGAACCATGGAATGCCCCTGCAGTGGTCACAAAGACACAGAACAGGTACTCGTTGGGCGGCTCAAGCCGAAGCCATGCACCCATCCCAAAGACCACTGGTCTGATGTACAGCATTCCCTGGGCATCATGCGGAGGAACAATATCGGCGTTCATGCCAACCGCCGAGTTAACGCAGCTCAAAAAGAGCTCCTCTGGAACCGGTGGTATTGAGACCAATGACGACGAGTGAATGAGACGGCGCGCATGGTAGTCTGGTCTCACGACATGTATTTCGCCATCCGGTGCTCGGAACGCTGGACGTGTTAGCGAGGTCAAGTGACTCCGAAGCGGATCATACCTTTCAAGCCCTCATATGCCTCCTGCCCTGAGTCAAGTTAGCAGCACTCGATCCAGGGTGTATTAAGGCCGGCTTTCGTACCATAGTGGAACACGGGCGACAACCCATGCACTCGCAAGTACGGATCGTGGACAAATTCAGGCTCAGACCATTTGCCTGTCTCGCGCGTCCAACGGCATTCAACATGGCCGTGGACATGTGTTTCTGCTGATGTTTTGCCCCAGTCTGTGTTCCAAAGTCCTGTCAGCCACCTTTAGTCGAGCATCGCGTAGCTCACATACCAAGCCCGGTTCGAGGCGGTGGTGGGAAAGCCATGTTCCTCCAAGCAATCAAATAGTGAAAGGCGGACGTGTACGTGAAACGTCAAGTAGCTTTACAGTCCAGAAAGGGTCTCTCTGAGGTCGTTGCGAAGCGTAAATTTGTCGAACTCGCCAATTGATCTGCTTGCGCACGACCTATTGTTACACTGCAGGATGCCCTATAGCACGGACGAAGGTGCACCTCAATGCTTGATTTCGTCACAGTCCGACGCGGATGCACGGAATATCTACCGAGCATGCAAAGAGCCGGGTAAGTTGGGGGCCGAGAGGGAGTTTCCGCTGCTCGCTGTGCCACAGACTGCTGCCGTGGTGGAAACCCGGGCTCACAGCTGTCTTCGCACCCGTGCACCCCACACTCTGTGCTGGAAGGAATGGGTAATGTCATCATGCAGCGTGCAGTGAGGTGTACAGGTGCATAGTGGACGTGTTGAGTAAGCCAGTTGTGCTTACAACCTTTGGCGAATAACTTGCTCCAAGACCACTGTTTCGCGCCACGGGGGACGCGCTTTGGCGGGTGAGCAGCCTGAAGGATCCTGCGGGACCTCCCCACCTCCGCAAGCTATGTGCCAGTGAGCTCACATTGGCAACTGAACTAGGCTTGGCTCACCGTAGTGCTGACTTCAGGAGCCGGCCCTATGCCACCCAAAGCCGAAGCACCTTTCCGATCGACAGCGCCTCATCTTGCTTACATGTATGTATTTCAGATTCCAAGACCCCGCGATCCGATATTGCTGACTGTTTCTCAATGCACTGTTGGCGGCAGGTCATTTCGCAAGATATGTTCTCGATGTTATAGCAACCACCCTTTTGCATCCAAACAATGGCTCCCGCATCCTCAAACCCTGGACCGTACTCACTTCCGGACAAAGACGAGGTGCAATTGTCCGCCGAAGACGACTGGACCAGAGTCAAGGATAGGAAAGAGAAGAAGCGAATACAGAACCGTGTGGCTCAACGGTCATATCGTAGGTCGACCCTGTTGCCGACCGAATCAATTCATGGTACTGATGCGGATCGCAGGGAGTCGCATGAAAGCGCGACTTGGGGAGCTCCAGTCACGGCTGCAGGCTCACGAGGAGCAAAAGGCCAAAGAAGAAGCGGAACGTTGTGATCCATCACCACCGTCTCCTCCATCATCATCTGCGACAGGCCTGCACCTTCACACGACGCCCCCGTCAGGGAACAATGCTGGCGCAAACGACACTGAGCCGAGCTCCATCAACTCCGCGTCGCCACCAACACCGCCTGATGTTGTCGGCGACCTGGATCCCAGCCAACACGCTAAAGCTATAGACCAATTCTCGCACCAAATGGACATGGCTGGAAATGACGACAGTCAGTGGTTTCTAGACTCGACCTCGCTCTTGCAGCACGGGGACACATCGTCTTACATTCAGCCATCCGTCCCAACGCCTCCAGTGTCTCTTAGCCAGTGCCCGCCAATGCCCGCGTACATGCCCGAAGGACCTAGGAATCCCAATGATGGGCCGGCAAGCTTATCACAGTCAATCCTCCAAGATTGCCTCCGCTTCCAGATCCAGCTGTTGGCCAAGATTAACAACCCGTCTGAAGCAACGTCGACGACACACAAAGAGGAGGGTTCGGCTGCTAAATCGCCGGGAGCACTTCAACAGTCACACTGGTCTTCGTGTGCAACAAACCCCGCCGCGGCGGCACAAAACATGATGCCTAGCACGAACATGGCGAGAGGCAATTCCTTCAGCGTGTCGCCAGCGGACTTCCATAACCTGGATGATATGATGGAGTTGACATCCACCGGCGATCTCCCCAATGCAACGTGGAGGCCAAGCCAGCAATTCTCCGGCCCAGAGACTACTCCACGGTCGCACAACGCCGAAAACCCAACACAACAACAATCGCCGATCAACGACGACACGCCGTCAACCACTCAGCATGGCGCGGTGCCTGATTGCTACAACGCCTTTGTCGCAAAGTCCTCCGCACAAGCATCAAGTCTGGGCATGGAGGAGCGCCTTGAGGCAGCGATTGAAGGGTTGGAGGCCCTCGGATTCACCAGCGTCGACTCTTTTGCCGAAGCGTACTACAGCTCCAGTTTTGACGAGTCATCGCACTTGGCTGCAGAGCAGTCCATGAGCAGAAAACGCCGATTGCCGAGGATGCTTTCACAAATACTGGACTCAGCTCAGTCATGGGATCCATGGGACCGTAGAGGCCTCAATGAAGAGGTCCTCAGGACAGCAGAATCACTTCTGGTGGCCGAGGGAAAGAGCATGGATGAAAAGTCTCTAGAAGCAAGTATTAGCGGCTTGATGCAAGCTACAGAAGGTTCGAGCAAGCCGACACCGCCGCAGCAAAATGTCACAGGGATGAAAAAGGTCCTGCAAAATGAGGTACGGAGAACGGCGGCTACAAAACTTGACTTTGTGCTAACGAATGACTACAGCTGCCCAACCTGTGGCCGGTGATGATGGCTCTCGCTGGTGGAAACCGTGCTTCCAGGCAGCGCGACCGATCTAACATGGTCCTCGCCGCCATCCTAATCCTGCACTGCTCGAGCAAAATGACGAAGCAAAAGCTACTAGAATTTTTGGATGTCTGTTTGTAAAGGGTATTGTGGGCTTAGACTATGACCCTGCCGTATGCTACGATGATAAAACGAGCGATGATTTACGAGGGGCCTGCAAGGACAAGTATTGCTACAATACTGGAACAGAATAGACGGCATTTTCCGGATGGTCAAATACAGAACCTTCGGAGTAAAACCGCGAAATTACTCGCCAGTCGCCTGTGGGTGAATAGTCATACGAAAAATGGTCGCCACATTCAGACGCAATCTCCATGTGTGAGGTGGTCCATCAGGAAACTGAAGCGGCTTGTGAATACTTTGGAAGGGTCCACCGACCTACCAAGTGGCAAGCGACTCGCTGAAGCCCAGCCCCAGGGGCTGGCTGGTGCCACACCGCCGCTGCCTCTCGGCACAGGCCCCCTGTGAGGCGCCGCTGTCACTTGACGGTCCGCTGTCGTTTCATCACTGATCGCGCAATTGAAGTGTAACTAATCACTCATCTAGAAGGGGATCATTCTTGCATAGTGTGCATGCGCCATCCATGGGTCAACGTCAGGAGCCCAGATGAGAAATGCACATTACCTGATCTGCTTGATCAGGGAACCCATTGATACTTCTACCCTGGTACAATTGCTGGCTTACTCGAATTTACTGACATCGGCTTACTGCGTTCACAGTCTCACCACATCCAGTATTGCCAATTTAGGAAATCGTCTTGCACCTTATTGGCGGAAAGTCGTATTACTCAGGCCCCACAATAGCAGAAGACTGCTGTGGGATTCCCTCCAGGACGGTGGGCGTCTGCCCCATTAGCGATTGGTTCCATGCTGATGGTAGTGGCATACCACGCACAAATTAGCCTGCAGGTGGGCAACGAGCTGGCGTCAGACCTTACCGTCCGTCAACTTGCACTTCTCTGGCCGTCTCTATGTCGGCTACGTTTGACTGTGTCAAAGGTCTCTGGGAACTTGTGAGTTCGTAGCCTAGGCGGAGGAGCACTGCAATGGGGGCCTTCAGTGGGCGTGATCAACGCAACTGCACCTGTCAGCAAACGGCAGGGGCAGTCTATTGCGATACAGCAGACCGTAGCTGACTGTGTGTCGTGCATCCTGAGCACAGCGTGCCTCCCAGCCATGCGATCCGTGCCTGTCTCTCTACAGCTGCCATAACCATGACCAATTGAGTCGTGGCGTGGTGCCCTCGTGTCTTGGAGCGTATACAGCTGTTCTTTGGCCTGCCCTGCTGAGGCCGTTTAGTGACTGGAGTGTGCTGGAACTGACCCGGATACCTTGACGCCATACACAACGACCAGACCAGGTTGATCGCACCCGCAGATAGACAATTTTCTCGTGCTCTGGACTCGGTGCATTGTTGTCTGCGGACGACTTTCAGCAATCATGTCTCCGACTGCGATTCGAGACGTGAGCAGCCGGTCGAGCGACAATACGCCCTCTGATGCCCAGTCGACGGGATCGCCCGTCTCTACCACGTTATCAACAGATCAGTTTCTCAGCGATGCAGAGTCACAAGGATCATTCCCACCGATTGCCATCGTTGGGATAGGTCTGCGGCTACCTGGAGGAGTTAACACGACGGAAGCGTTCTGGAGCTCAATACTCAACAAGCAGTCCTTTCGGAGTGAGGTCCCTCGCAGTCGGTATAACGTCGACGCATTCCACAGCACAAGTGGTCGACCCGGAACAGTCAAGAGTCGCCATGGCTACTTCCTTGAAGACGATATCTCGAGCATGGATGCAGCATTCTTCTCCATGAGCAAGGCCGAGGTCGAGCGACTCGACCCGCAACAACGGCTGCTCTTGGAAGTTGTGTGGGAATGCATGGAGAGCGCGGGTCAACGAGACTGGCGTGGCCGCAACATTGGCTGTTATGTGGGCGTCTTTGGTGAAGACTGGCTTGATCTCAACGCCAAAGACCCTCAGCACACCGGCATGTACCGCATCACGGGCACAGCCGACTTTGCGCTAGCCAATCGTGTGTCCTACGAATTCGACATGAAAGGCCCCAGTATGACTATTGAGACGGGCTGTTCTTCGTCGTTAGTTGGACTGCATGAGGCGTGTGCCGCCATACACGCCGGTGCTTGCGAGTCTGCAGTTGTTGCTGGAACGAATCTTCTCCTGTCGCCTACCATGACGCTGGCTCTGAGCGAGCAGGGTGTGTTGTCACCAAGCGGCATGTGCCAGTCCTTCGATGCGAAAGCAGACGGTTATGTCCGCGGTGAGGCAGTAAATGCCGTGTTTGTCAAGAAGCTCGAGGACGCCGTTCGTGACGGCGACCCCATCCGCGCCATCATCAGGGGCACAGCGACGAATTTTGATGGCAAGACTGCCGGTATCTCTAATCCGAGCTCAGATAGCCACGAAGCTCTGATTAGACAGGCGTATGCGGCAGCCGGGATAGACGACTTCACATCTACCGCATTCGTCGAATGCCACGGGACAGGCACTCCTACAGGCGACCCGATAGAGACTACGGCAGTGGGCAGAGTATTTGGCGAAAAGGGTGTTTACATCGGCTCGGTATGTCGAAAATCGTCACTTGGCCGTCCACTCAAGGTATACTGATGTATTGCCCCTCGTCCAGGTCAAACCCAATGTCGGTCACTCAGAGGGTGCCTCGGGTTTGACCAGCCTGATCAAGACAGTGCTGGCACTCGAACACTCTACAATCCCTCCACAAGCCAATTTCGCAGATCCTAATCCCAAAAGTGAGTTTGCTTCCAATAAGGCACATGATGCAGCGACTCATTCGCATTTTTACAGTCCCCTGGGAAGAGTCCAATCTCCGAGTCTCAACAAAACCATTGCCTTGGCCCAGTGGGCACATACAGCGAGCCGCCGTCAATAACTTCGGAATCGGAGGTGCAAACGCGCTCGTAAGTTTTCACTGCTCCTCATTCACGAATTCGCTCCGCTAAAACGCTCAAAGGTTGTTGTAGACTCAGCAATGCCCCTCGAATTGCACCGACCGTCTCTTCCACCTGCCGTTATTGATGGCCCATCCCTCCGCCCACGGCACCACTTACTCCCCATCTCGGGGCATCACCCAGACTCAATAAAAGAACTTATGACAAATATCTCAGCCTACGCGAAAAAGCACCCGTTGCGACTGGGAGATTTAGCACACACTTTGGGGGCTCGGCGAAAAGCCCACCTGTACCGCTCGCATGCCGTGGTTACAGGCGGAGACGACTTAGACATCCAGTTCTCTCCAATTACCAAGGCAAGGCCCGGCAGCTCTACGGTCAATTTCCTGTTCACTGGACAGGGAGCCCAATGGGCCGGGATGGCGTTAGAGCTGCTTCACGATTTTCCCGATTTTCTCGCGTCCATCCGGGCAATGGACAAAGCCCTGCAGTCCCTCCCGCACCCGCCAAACTGGACAATGGAGGAAGAGCTCCAGCGCCCGAAGGAGCTGAACAGAATAAACGAGCCTGAATTCTCGCAGCCGATATGTACTGCACTTCAGGTCGGCCTCGTCAATCTGTTGTATACGGTAGGGATAAGGCCTGCCGCGGTAGTTGGCCATTCCAGTGGCGAGATTGCAGCAGCCTACGCCGCCGGTGCCTTGAGCCAGGATGCAGCCATTACTGTGGCATATTATCGTGGCCAGGTGACCAAGAAGCAAACAAGAAGAGGGGGTATGGCTGCTGTGGGACTTGGAAGCGAAGAAGTGGCACAGTTCTTGAAGGCGACAGAGCACACCGCAGGAATCGTTGGAGTGGCCTGCGTGAACAGCCCGAACAGCGTTACACTATCTGGAGACGACGAGGCACTCGATGCTGCAATCGGTCGCATCAAATCCGCCATGCCAGACTGCTTTGTCAGACGCCTCAAAGTCGACAAAGCGTATCACTCTCATCACATGGAAGAGATTGGCGACATCTACGAAATGCTCATTGCCCCATACGTCTCAACCAAGGAACTGAGGATCCCCCTCTTCTCGAGCGTGACGTCCAAGCGCATCATCAGCTCCGAGCATCTCGGAGCACCATATTGGCGAAGCAATTTAGAACGACCAGTCCTGTTCTCTTCCGCAGTACGTTCTATGCTTCAAACTGAGAATCGTGCAGCCTCTGCGCAGGTTCTGCTCGAGGTCGGCCCACATTCAGCACTAGCAGGCCCTGTAAGAGACATCATCAAATCGCTGAGCTCTGAGGCCGTCGGGGCAGCACCACCTTATGTATCATCACTCATTCGGAATCATGATTCGACTCGGGCTTTTACAGCTGCGCTGGGACAATTATATCAAGCTTCAGCGCCTGTTGACCTGTCCGCGGCGTCCCGTCTCCACTGTCAGGATGAGACGGCGTGTCCGCCTGCGGTCTTAACCGACCTTCCGCCATACCCATGGCGCCATGATGCAAAATACTGGAGTGAAAGCCGCATCGCCCACTCTTGGAGGCAGCGCAAGTTTCCGCCTCATGAACTACTGGGCGTGCGGACGATGGACGCGGATGACCTCGAACCAGCGTGGCGGAACATGCTTCGTCTCGATGATGCGGCCTGGATCCGCGACCATAAGATCCACGACGATGTCGTCTTCCCGGCTGCCGGCTACGTCTCTATGATAGGCGAAGCAATCCGACAAATCAATTCAGATGATATCCCAATTGCGGATTTTTCTCTCAAGCAGGTCGACATCAGGACAGCCCTGGTACTACGAGAAGACGAGACAAAGGAATTGGTGACGCGCATGAGAAAAGTGCGCTTGACAACCTCACTCGAGTCAAGCGCTTGGTTCGAATTCTGCATCTCTTCCTTCAACGGCGAAACATGGGTGAAGCATTGTACAGGCCAAGCTCGCGCCAGCTCTGACGCTGTGATTCAAGGGGAGCCAGAACTGGGAGAAGACCATCCCCGACCGGTGTCATCTCCTGCGGCCTGGTATAGAACCATGAAAGCAGTCGGCCTAAACTATGGCCCGCAGTTCCAGGGTCTGACCAACATTTCTGCCGCATCAGCCACGATGACCAAGGACGAAGACCGAAAAGCTGCCGCTACGATCCGTGATCGAAGCCATGACGAGCAGGACAGGATGGCGGAGACCAAGTATCAGATCCACCCGACCACAATCGATTACTGTCTGCAAACATTTATGGTGGCTGTTGCCTCTGGTTTGTCGCGAGAGCTCAACAACCTTCGCATGCCGACGTACATTGATCAGCTCTATATCCGTCGTGGTGCCACAAGTATGCGCGTCGGCGTCTCCGTTGGCACCAGCCAGGGTGGGCTTGTTCGGGGCACCGCCACGGCCGTTTCAGACGGTCAGGTAGTCCTCTGGATGCGCGGTGTAGAATTGAGCTCCCTTGGCGACACCAATACGCCTACAGAAGGCGGTTCAAGTCCCGACGATGGTGTTGCGGCTGCCCAGCTGGTCTGGAAGCCGGACCTGGACTTCGCCGACCCCAGTACACTGATCGAGTCGCACGGGCGCGTCCGGGACGCATGCGTGAAGGTAGAGCGACTGTCCCTTTTATGCTCCCTCGAGACCCTCCGCAGAGTACGGGACCTACCGGTCGGGACTTCCCTGAGCCACCTGGAGAAATTTCGCACCTGGTTAGTGGCTCAGCGACAGCGAGCTGTCGACGGCACATATGACCATGTCCCAGACGCACCGACACTTGCATCCTTGGGCCCGGAGCACCTTGGCGCCGAAATGCTAGCGGCGCAGGTGGCCGTAGATGGGACCTCCGGTTCTGAGGTCGGCAAAGTCATGGTCCGCTCGGTCGAGTTTGCCGAGGCAATCTTCAGAGGCGAGATCGACTCCATCGAGGTCCTGATCCAACAGTCCGGCCTAGAGAATGTCTACATTTACATGCAGAGCTTGTGCGAGTATGAGAGATACTTCGAGCTTCTAGGGCATTCGAATCCGTGTCTGCGTATCCTTGAGATTGGTGCAGGAACAGGTGGCACCACCGAGGGTGTCCTCAAGGGCTTGACGCGACCTGACAGCAATGGACAGCCGCTTCGCCGTTACTCACAATACGACTACACGGATGTGTCAGTCGGTTTCTTTGGCAATGCGCAGCAGAGGTTCAAGGACTATGAGAACATCCAATATCGTGTCCTGGATATCACCCGTGAGCCCGAGGCCCAGGGCTTCGAAGAGGGATCATATGACCTCGTGCTGGCCTCAAATGTAAGCCCAACAGCTGATTGCACATGTTGCGTAATGGACTGCTAACACCTCGAAAGGTCCTTCATGCGACGCCTAGCCTCCAAGAAACGCTTTCCAATGTTCGCCGATTGCTCAAACCAGGTGGTAAGCTTTTCCTTCAGGAGCTCAGTCCTGTGTATCGAGCGATCAATTACATCATGGTATGCCATTCGTCCCCATTAGTCGCCCAGTATAAAATAGCTGACTGATACTCGTTAAGGGTTTCCTGCCGGGCTGGTGGCTTGGAGATATGGACGGGCGCCCAACTGAGCCGTACGTAGTACCATCACGATGGGACTCTGAACTGCGAAAAACTGGGTTCTCAGGAGTGGACTCGGCCATCTTCGACGATGAGGCGCCATATCATCTGAATGCCAACATCATCGCGACGGCAGTTTTGGAGTCGCCATCACAAGGTACCGCACCAAATGGACATGTTAGCATCCTTTGCACTACTAGAGACAGCTCCATCGCCACGCAGCTACACAACACCCTCGCGGACCAAGGCCATGATGTCACTTTCACATCGCTCAATGATGGACCCCCGGAGAATGGTTGCATCATTTCACTGCTGGATCTTGAAGAGCCCTTCTTCTACCGCATGACGTCCGAGAAGCTGAGCAAACTTCAGTCGTATCTCGGTGGCATTGCCCCTTCATCGGCGCTCTTGTGGGTAACCGGACTAGGGCAAGTGGGATGCAAAGATCCCGTGTATGCGTCCACGCTGGGAGCGGCGAGGACCATCCGCTCAGAGCTCGCCATCGACTTCGCGACATTGGAGCTGGATCTGAGCCGATTGCCACTTCGACTCTATGTTGACACGATTATTGGCGTGTGTGGGAAGATCGAGCGAACTTGCCACCTCAAAGGCTCCGGCGAGCTTGACCCGGACTGGGAGTTTGCATCGGTCGACGGTGAGGTGCTGATCCCTCGATACAATTGGATTGGCATCGACCAAGATGTGCAATACATCCCAGGTGGCAGCGAAGCCCCGGCAGACACTTCGGGCGATGAAGAAGCTCTTCAACTCAGCGTTGGTCGCCCGGGTCAGCTCCAAAGCCTGACGTGGGTTGCTGGTGAGGCATTACCACCACTGGGCCCGGACCAGATCGAAATCGAGCCACGCGCAGTCGGCTTGAACTTCAAGGACGTCCTTGTAGCCATGGGCATTGTGCAAGGACTAAAGCCTGGTCTGGGCCTGGAATGTGCGGGCATCATTCGTCGCGTCGGCTCTGAGGTGCAGGACCTGAAGGTTGGAGATCGCGTGGTAGCTTTCGATCACGGCTTCTTCGCGAGCCGAACTATTACATCGTCAAAGCTCGCGGCCAAAATCCCAGATGCCCTCACTTTTGAGGAGGCCGCCACCATGCCTTGCGTTTACTCTACCGCCATGCACGCCTTGGTTCAAGTCGGTGGTCTGCAATCGGGCCAGGTACGTGCCACTCTTTTAAAGACCCCGAACTCACTCATGCTTGGCCAAATGGTGGCTAACACCCAGGCTTACAGTCTGTACTGATACATTCCGCATGTGGCGGCGTGGGAATTGCCGCGATTAACATCTGCAGAATGAAAGGCGCCGAGGTTTGTATCACGAGAGCGCATGCCAATCGCACTGCAAATGACTGACGCAACTACAGATCTTCGCTACGGTTGGCAACCCCGAAAAGGCGTACTTCCTGATGAAAGAGTTCGGCATCAGGCAGGATCATATCTTCCATTCTCGCGACGGTTCCTTCTACACGGATCTTATGGAGGTCACCCAGGGTCGCGGTGTCGACCTGGTCCTGAACTCACTCTCTGGCGAGCTTCTCCATACGTCGTGGAAATGCGTCGCCGAGTTCGGCAAGATGCTTGAGATTGGCAAGCGTGACTTTGTCGGCCGTGGCCAGCTGGCGATGGACACGTTTGAAGCCAATAGGATGTTTGTGGGTGTCGACATGAGCCAAATGGCCATTGGAAGACCAGACATGTTCAAAAGGTACGGTCGCGAGGCTCCGCGTTGAATCCATGGTTTTTGCTAACACAATAAAGGGTTCTCGGAGACTGCATGCGCTGCTTTTCTCAGGGACTGATTGATCCTATCCGCCCCATCAAGAGCTTCCCAGCGTCCCAAGTCGTGGATGCTTTCCGTTACATGCAGAAAGGCCAACACATTGGCAAGATCGTCGTCACTATGCCCGGGGAAGGCCACGCCTCGTCTGCCTCCAATTTAGAGATTGTCCGCCGCGCGAAGTCGGCTCACTTCAGGCCAGATGCATCCTATCTCCTGGTGGGCGGCCTGGGAGGTCTTGGCCGGGCTGTCTCTACGTGGATGATCGAGAACGGCGCCCGCAGCCTCGTGTACTTGTCGCGCTCTGGTGGCGAATCCCTGCAGGACAAGGCGTTCGTCAGAGAGCTGTCCGCTCAAGGTTGTACAGCACAAGTCTTCAAGGGAGATGCGGCCTGTCAACAAGACGTGGAGAAGGCCATTCGCGACGCCGACCGGCCCATCGCCGGCGTTCTGCTGATGTCAATGGTCCTGCAGGTACGCGCTTCTGATCCATCCGCATCATGGCAAAGCTGACACTCTGTACTAGGATCGGGCTTTCCTCAAGCTGACGCTAAATGATTGGCATGCAGCTGTTGCTCCAAAGGTTAACGCTGCTTGGGCGGTACACAACGCCCTTGAGAGCACCCAAACCAATCTCGACTTCATGGTCCTCTTCAGCTCCTTGTCTGCCGTGATGGGACAGATAGGCCAAGCGAATTACGCCTCAGGAAACACATTTCTCGCTGCGTTTGCGCAATACCGACACGCTCTAAGCTTGCCCGCTTCGGTGCTGGACATTGGTGTTATGGAAGACGTGGGCTATGTCTCCGAAAACCAAGGAATCCTCGAGCAATTCCGCAGTCTCGGCTACTACACGCTGAAGGAGCAAGGGCTTTTAGACGCTCTCACTTTCAGCATCAAGAATCAAGAACCCCGGACTGTGGACACCTCACAGCTACTCAACTCAGCAGAGATTGTCATCGGCTTGCGGAGCTTACAGCCGGTTTCCGACCCGACGACGCGAGTCCTGTGGAAGCGAGACAGGCGAATGGCGCTTGCGCATCTCAAACGTGCAAGCTCATCTGCAGGAGACACAGCGACAGCGGCATCAGGCAGCCAGGATCTTGCAGTGTTCGTCAGCAAGGTGGCAGATCAGCCTCATCTCATCGAGCAAGAAGAGACTCAGGAGTTCCTGACAAAGCAGATCGGCGCGCGTCTTTATGCCTTCATGTTCCAACCTGAGGAGGATCTCGACGTGAATCTGAGCTTGACTGCTCTGGGTATTGACTCGCTTGTGGCAATTGAGATTCGAAACTGGTGGCGCCAGACGTTTGGACTGGAGCTGTCGGTCCTAGAGATCATGAGTGCTTCCAGCATCAAGGCTCTAGGCAAACTGGCCATAGATGGCCTGAGAAAGGAACATCGCCGTGACACTGGGAGTTGAATACACGGACGCGTCACCCGTTCATGACAGTTTTACAAACGCAGTTTGTTGTCGCGCGGCGCGATACACATGTTCATCGCTCTTTTACTAGCCAAGCGGATTGCAGTCATCAATGATGCCGCGGGGTGCAGAACGCTTTCGCGAGACTTGGACGGGAAGTGTGTACATATAGAGCCAGATATCGATCACGAATGCAATTAACACAGAACGAAGGCGCATAGACGTGTATACCATGATGAGAACGTGAATTTTTTTTATGCCCAGTAATAACTTTCAGTCATCATCTTCGTCATCAGAACTGAGATCAAATACCTCCATCTTCTCCGGTCGCTTCACACCGTTGACATGGACTTTATGCACGCCATTCGCGGCCTTCTCTCGGGCCTGCCGGCGAGCCTCCGCGTCAGTCCTAGCTTTCTCTTTCAGGGTCTTTCTCTGCATTTTTCCGCTTGCAGTTTTTGGCAGGCTATCCAAGAACTCGATACCTCCGTCTAAGTGCTTGTGCCGCGCAAATTGCCCTTCGACGTACTGGCTCAGCTCTTTGCGCAGCACTTGCTCGTCGAGTTCCGCACCGCTGGCTCGTACTATATACGCCTTCGGAAGCTCACCAGCTCGGTCATCGGGCACCGGAATAACAGCTACTTCAGCCACCGCTGGATGAAGTATGAGGTGGGATTCCAGCTCGGCTGGTGCAACTTGTAGGCCCTGCAAATGGTAAGGTTGGTGTCTCGATGTGTCCAACAGCAAAACTTACCCTGACTTTGATCAATTCCTTCACACGATCAACGACGAACACATGTTCATGTCCCTTCTCACTTTGGCGAATCTCCACCAGGTCACCGGTTCGCAACCACCCTCCGTCCATCATGGCTTCCGAAGTGGCCGACTCGTCATTGTAGTAGCCAATTACCACAGAAGGAGAACGGAGGACCAGTTCACCCGGGGTGTTGTGAGACTCCACATCTTTGCCTTCGCCGTCAATCAACCTGGCCTCGTATCCCGGGTACAAATGGCCGCATGATCCGTCCATGGAATCTTCGACGTTTCCAAAGCACACCACGCCAGTTGTTTCGGTCATGCCGTAGCCTTGGATAATTTTGCATGCTGGAAGTAGCTCGCCAAATGTAGCCATGACATCCTTCGATATCCCGGACGCGCCAACAGCCGCGACGCTGACACTGCTGAGGTCGTAAGATTCCACTATGCGGGGAGCTTTCGTGATTGCCACCAACATGGGAGGCACCTATGGTCGGTCAGACATCCGAGCAGATGCACATATGGAGCGATGGACTCACCAGCCACAATCTCTTGATTCCATTGGTCTGGATGGCAAGTAGCGTTTGCTCTAGTTCGAATCCCTGGAGAACAACGACACCGTCCCCGCGCCAAATACTTGCTTGCGATACAACTACAAGGGAGTATATGTGACTTTGAGGGAGAACGCCAAGGCAAAGCTCTGGCTCGTCAGACTGATATGTGCTTTCATAGGTCACAATCTGCATTATGTTCGCAATGGCGTTGCGATGGGAGATCATGACGCTTTTCTGGAGCATATATGAGCAACTGGCTTTCTCGTGAGCGATGATGGCGGAACGAACCGGTAACCCAGATGTGCCACTTGAGGAGCAAAGAAACGCTGTCTGCCTTGCGCCTTGTCCCGGCTGCCAGATAAGGTCCGGCAGGCTTGGCAACTTTCGACCATGATCGATAAGAGCATCAATTGACCAAATGTCGTCGGGTGACGACAGTCCGCGTCTGCTTAGTTCGGGAGTTTCGAGTAGGAAAATCCGACTCCGCGGGATGGTGCAAATTTCTGCCGCTTTCAGGGCCAGGTCAAGATGTGACAGGCATGTTACCAGAGCTTTGGATTTTGTCTTTTTCAACTGATTGGCAAGCTCGTTCACCGACAGAAGTGAGCTAATGGGGACCGACACTCCATTGAGGCGATGCGTAGCCCAAGAGACGGTGAGCGCATCAATCTACATGTTTGTAAGTCATTTTGTCACACTCAATTATTGATGGTCCTGGTTGCAGCCTACGGAATTGAGACTGTATATAGCGACAGCCTTATCAAGCACATCGCCTTCATTCACCTCCCATTGCAGCTCAGAAGCAAGTCCGCGAGCCAAGAGCTCGATGCGCCGCACGACATCCACGGCAGAATGCGACGCGCCCGTCACACCACAGATGAAAGGCGGCTTGGACTCCTCGACCGCATGACGACGCCCAAATTTGGTTCGGCTCTCTTGGCCGAAGAGGAACTCGTGTACCGGCACATCGTCAGGTGGTGAGAATGGCAGTGGCGGAATGTACGAAGGCGATGTGAACGGCATCTTTGCGCAAATGAAGTCGAGTTCTCTTGAAGATGGGAGATCACAGGAGCGTATCACCATTGTCTTCACGATTGAGCCACTACATGCAAACTGCCGTCGCAGGTTCATTAAGGTATGAATGTGCTGAGGCCTAGGGTCGGGTAAACTGCTGACTGGGGCTGGGCGGACGCATGAGAGCGTTTCTTGCCTTGTCATGTTGTCCCTCTTCCTGAACACGCTGATTAATACATGTCAATGGCGGTCCAAGGTGATAAGCTTCCGAGTCGCCTGCTCAGTCATGTGGTCGGAACTGATGTGGCTGAGCAATAACCGCTCGCCTCCATGTAGCTACTGTTGGCGAAAGACGCGTTTTGGGGGCAGGAGCCACTCTGCTTCTCTGCTGGTGCAACCTCTGGGTACCAGTATGACCTCGACGCTGATTTGACACAGACTTTGCCAGCGATGGCCCCCAAGTGGGTCGGAACTGACTGTCTCGCCCGCTGAATCAAACTGCCGTCGGCAATAAGCTGTGTTGCGGGCCTTCACTGATCCTATTGGATCCTGACCCTGGCCTCGCTGAGCTGGGGACCGCTGTGGACAACACACGTGGACGGCATGGACGGTCAGGGAGATGTCGCGTCACTGACGCGCAAAACCAGCTTCCAGGCGCAAGACGCGAGTTCCAGACCAAAGTTGAAGCTCAGCTCGTCGCGTCGCGAATCGAGGCTGTTAGCATTTATAGCATGCCTGCTTACTAAAACTAACAAGTGCCCGTGGCTCTTGAGAGGCGTCGCTACCCTAGACCATTACGAAATGTCCCGTGAACGGCCTCCGAAGGGGCATGAACATGGTAACAAGCTTCATGAAGTATGAATTAGATACTGTATACTCTGATGATGATCTGACGCGTAAATTGCCGCGGCTGCGGGGCTTTGAGAGCAACCGTGCTGCCACAAGATAAACGGATTGATGGTGGCTGCATGGGGCCAGCACGCAAGTCAGGCTCCTCTTCGTGTTCACCAGGGATTTCAAGAAACAAATGTTCGCAATACGCCATTAAATCCATCTCGAGTACGTCCCGAATCAGCGTAGCTGCATGGGCCGCCAGAGGGATCATTAAGCTTAGGTGGAAGTTGGACTCAACGGTGCACACCAGACGGTCCGTGAGAACTTCGTGACAGACGCGTGGGGATTGGCCAGCACGCTTAATGAATGGAAGCAGCTTCTGTGGTTGAATGAAATGGCATGAGATTCTCGCCTATTGCTCACGAAGCTATGAAGACCCGGGAAAATACAAAGATGGCAAGATTCGTGATCATTGCGCAGGCTGCTTCTGGGTATCCGATCCCTTCCACAAATTCCAAGCCCACTTGCACCACATCCACGTCTCCATCGTCCCGAAAATGCAGAGTATGATAATGATGGCAGTCTTGACCCCTTTGCTGGCGCCGAGACCGTTGAGGCTGAAGGAAGGCAGCTCAGGGTTGCCGCCTTCAGTTTGTCGGCCCTGTGCAGGTTGCGCCTGGTGATGGTCCTGTTTGCTCTGGAGAAGCACGGAGGTGGAGAAGAGTCTTGGGGCTGTGTGGGGACGGGGTTGGGCAGCCGCCAGCCGCTGTGTGTTCAGGTGGAAAGCTGCGCGTACAATTGATGGCTGAAGGCGTGGCCCTGCCACGGCCACGCGACCCGCGTTCGTAATGGCGGCGCTCATTGTGTGACGCCTGGATGAAGCGACAGGCGGAGTTCGAGTAGTGTCTGTTGTTGGAACCAATAACGGCGTCTCAAGGCGACGAGCGTTATTTGTGAGGCATTCCCCAGTGCCCAGTCAGCTTTTGGTCTCTGCGAGGTGATGTACGTGGGCGCCGATTGCCCACGCAGATGCAACGTCAGCTTGGATCGCGCCAACCAGGCCGCGTCTTCCTCAAGCAGGTCTGGGCTGGGAGAGGCGCGTCAGCTCCTCCAGCAGGCTTGGGTCTGGCAGTCAAGCTCCGACCTGAGGCTCGCGCAAATGCTTGGACACAGGATTGCGTTCCTATCGACCACACTGCAAATAGCCAGAGCCACTTGGCCCACTGGTGTTGCCACGAGGAGACGTTCGCTCTGCTTTGCGCTACGGGTAGTGCCACAGTGTGGTAAAGCCAAGTTTACATCCGCAGCCATGGTGAGCGCTCCAGCACGAAGCGCACCAGCTCACCACTGCCGTGTGTCTTCGAGTCTTGAAGAAGACGCTGACGGACTTGTTACAGACCGGAACAAAGCTAGTTTACCAGGTCGACGAGACGCTACGGTCTTACTCGACCCGCGTCGCATCCGCGCAGCTTCTTTCGACGCTGGCCCTTGAGGATCGCGCGCTCTTCAAATCTTCTGCCGAAGATGATGTCGTCGTCATCACCAAGGAGACCATCTTCTATGCACAGGGCGGTGGGCAGCCCTTTGATACTGGCTCCATGACCAGCATGTCAGCCAATTTCCAGGTCTCGGCCGTGCGCAACTCCGTCGTGTCACCAGGCGCGGTGCTGCACTTGGGCCGGTATCTCGAAGGCGCCTTCACCCAGGGTGATGCAGTCGAGCAGAAGGTTGACACGAAACGTCGCGATGACAATTCACGTCTGCATACAGGCGGGCATGTTGTCGCCCTCGCCGTGCGCAAGCACCTTCTCAACGGCGCCGTAGATGACGTCTCTCACAAGGATCTCGTTGAACTTGGCGCTTCTCATTACCCCGACTCGGCGTATGTCAACTTTCAGGGTACCATCGAAGCAGCGCACAAGGACGCTATCCAGACCCAAGTCGACGCCTTCGTAGATGCCGCGCTGCCGGTCAAGGTCTACTTTTGGAGTGAAGAGGAATTGCGGGCTCGCTGCGCCGCTGTGCCCGACGCTGTCGCCATACAAGATAGGGACGGCGGGCTGACGAGGGCGGTGGATATCGAGGGTGCTGGGGCATATCCTTGCGGCGGAACACACGTCAAAGATACTAGTCTTGTCGGGAAAGTGAAGGTCAGGAAAATATCGAGGTCCAAGGGCTGCAGCAGGGTATCATACACGGTCGAGCATCCATAGCGGGAGAAGCAATAATGATGAACATGATGATTGAACACTCTGCGGGTCTTCTTATGTACAGCGACTGACAGATCAACTCATACGTCCTTCGGGGTGCTTCACTATTATCGGGACTGCCAGCGTGTTTGTGCTGCCCCAGTGCACGCTGATGTCGAGTTCCAGCGGACGAGTACCCTGACGCTCCTTCTGGGATTCTGACAGTAATAGAGCTGTGCACCCGCCCAGCTTTCAGTGGTTGTGCCCCTCCAGAGTCCACTGCCCACGGATGCGACGAGCGTTGTTCAATCCATATCTCTCGAGTCGCGTTATTGCACGATAGAGAGTGCATATTTTCCCTACAACCTACACGTTTTGAAAGGATACCGAAATGACAAAAGATCTACTCGACGTCTCGGTTGATAAGGCTGTCGACAGCCCAGCTCCCAAAGGCGCCGAGGCCAAGGTGCATCACCACAAGAATGGCAAGAAAGTCTTCCACAACCCTTGGCCGAGCTGGCATGACCTTGACCCAGAGGCCGTCAAAGCCCATTTGAAGCAGTAAGTTTTGTGCCGCTGAGCCTTTTAAATATTCAAGTTGCACGTGGACTGACAAGCGCGCGAAGACGCAAGTGGATGAGCACATGGACGCAGTACGTCGCCCTTTCTCATATTTATCTCCTGGACACAGCGTGCTGATGGGATGTCGGAAAAGCCCCTCGACAGCGGAAGCCAAGGTATGAACGCTGAGCCGGGTACACCAGAGAGCTACAACGTCAACCCCGCCGACGCACCGGAACTGACTTTATTGCGAAGATTCCCTTCCAGACTCCGACCTTGTCTCGTGAACGTTTCAGCAACGGCACATCTGATGTGCGGGCCACTTGGTTGGGCCATGCCTGCTACTTTGTCGAGTTCCCAAGTGGCCTGCGCGTCCTCTTTGACCCGGTCATGACGGACCGGTGCTCCCCCTCACAGTGGTTTGGCCCTCGCCGGTTTACACAATTGCCGTGCGCGGTCAAGGATATACCCTTTCTCGATGCCGTCGTGATCTCCCACAACCACTACGACCATGTGAGCTAATACTGCGCCGTCATGCCGCGTACCTGCTGACATTTTCCCTCAGCTCAGCCATCCTACGGTGGTAGAGATTGCCAAACTGCATCCTAAAGCCCATTTCTTTGTTCCCTTGGGGAATGAAAGCTGGTTTCACGCATCTGGAATCACCGACGTTACGGAGCTGGACTGGTGGGAGGGTGCCGACCTCACATTGAGCTCTCCAGGTCAGTCTGATCGCAAGATTGAGCCCATTCGCGCACGCATTACTTGCCTCCCGGCTCAGCATACGACCGGTCGCGCCCCATGGGGAACTGACAAGACCCTTTGGGCGTCGTGGTCAGTTGCCTCGCCACCGCCGGACCAGTCAGGCACCGGGAATACCGTAGCGTCCGTTTTCTTCGGCGGCGACACTGGATACCGTGCGGTACCAACCCTTGACGCGCAGGATGACGACTGGGACGAGAAGTACGCGGACCTCCCTGTCTGTCCTGCTTTCGAGCAAATTGGAGAGCTTTACGGCCCCTTCACTCTCGGCTTGCTGCCAATCGGTGCTTATGAGCCACGGGCACTCATGGCCCCCATACACGCAAATCCTCGCGACGCCGTTGAGATATTCATCGATACTCAGTGCAAGCGAGCGCTCGCGATGCACTGGGGCACGTGGGTCTTGGGAGACGAGGATGTCAGAGAGCCACCGCAGAGACTGGAAGAGGCGTTGGCTTTTAAAGGCCTCGCCAGAAAAGGTGTGTTCGATGTTTGCGGTCTTGGCGAGGTCATACGTATCCCACTATAAGGCACCACCTCATTTCCTTCCGTGTAGTATATCCTGGTCTAGGCAAAAACCTGCTCAAGTCTGGACGTTGGTCCGCGATGTGATTGGAATTGCGACAAGCTGGCTAGTTTCCTGCGCAGACTAGACCATGGGTCTAGTAGCACTCGATCTCGTCGGAGGCTCTCCAGTATTTGCACCTTCTGCCAACGTCTTTTGCTGAAGTGCACTAGATACATATTGTCAGTGCCAAGTAGATCGTGATTAAAGTGTTGCCCGTTACGCCAGGGGATCAAGATGCCACGCACTGCACCTACCTTGCTGCTTGGCATACAGACAACAGACATTTCCCGGTATATAACCTGTCTCCTCCCCTTTGCGAAGTACACAACTGGATTCTTTAGGTGACAAAGCTGAGTCCGCGTGCTACATCTCTGTTCCAAAATCACCACCGGTTACCATCATGCCAGGCAGCAGACCGGAGGGACATTGATCAACGGGGAGCCAATATATGGGTACGCACCCCTTCTAAAACAATGTCGTCGTCTAAGTCGCAGTGGTACGACCATGCGAGTTTGCCAAAAATGAAAGTTAGTAGGAAGCTGCCAGCTCTCATCCTCACGAGTTCAGATCTTGAGAGTACATGTATTAGATACAAGGACCAGGGCGTTCGCAGCCAGCGACATCACTTTCGTCTTTATAATTATTATCCATCTCATACAAGACCCCAAGAGCATGGGCATGTGTAAAGAAATGTCATCGCAGTGGTGTATTTACGTCACTGCCGGTGCGTGCGTATCGAAGCTCAGGCCAAGCTGTGCTGATGGGGAGCAAAGGCCCGCCGTAGTCTGCCCTCCCAATTATTCCTCATATCTCTCGTTGCGAAACCATTACCGACAAATTAGGGATGCCAAGCATTCTGGATGCGCCATTTACGCCCTTCGATACTGCATTGGAAGCGTTCTGTGGAAACAGCTCATTCTCAATGCAATACCGTACACATCTGGACCTCTGCGGCGGTGGCAGTAGGACAAACAGTAATTCGGGCCTCAAGACGATCAAACGAAGTCGCTGCAGACATCTGAAACCAGCTTGCAGTACTTGTGACACAACATTGATGGCAGCGACACGCTGAGAAGGAGAAGACAACGACGCGTCTCAATCAGCCTGACCCTGGCCTTGGCGGCATCGCGAATGCATCATTGTGTCACTTCGAGAGGGTAAAGGCGGTCATGACCTCTGAAATGGGGATCAGAAACGGCCAGAGAATTGATGCAACCGTTTGGCTATCGCTTCTTTCTCAATGTATTTGCATTTCGGCGCGGTTGCAAAATCTGGCATCTGGGCTGGAGAGCCACTGTTAGTGTCCGCATGATGTAAGACGTAGCTGCGACAGCACTTTGTCACGAGAACGCGTTGCCTTGAGAATTAAATTCACATTTCGGTGAGTGAGAGCGCGTAACTATTCCAGCCAGATCAGATCAGGGCATCTTTATCGTCGACCTGATTGTCTAAAAGGCAAAGTTGGAAGCGAAACAAACCTGATCCAGAAGGCTGCCTAGGTGATCTCAAGATGGCGCCAACAGACAGAAATCCAGTTCAGGTCCAGTATTATGCCAAAGGCAAGAAAACAACGGAGAGCTCAGGGCCAGCACCGGCACCCTTGATTCTCATCCACGATGGCGGCGGCACGACATTTGCATACTTCACAATCGGCCGTCTCGAGCGCGATGTCTGGGCCATACATAGCCCGACCTTCACGTCGGCACAGCCATGGGAGGGCGGCATGGATGGCATGGCGAAGCATTACATTGAGCTGATTGAGAAAGTCGCGGGGATCAAGGGCAAAATATTGCTTGGAGGTGAAGTTGCCTCGCTCATCGTGTGCTGTTCGTGGGCTGACTTGAATCATAGGATGGTCACTCGGCGGCTACGTTGCTCTAACCATGGCACACATGATTGCTTCATCACCAGCTTCCTTCGAGATCTCCATTGATGGCATACTCATGATGGATTCGCCGTGGCTTGTTGCAGGCCGGGATCTGCCAATTGGCACACCGCAGCCCGCCTTAATCGGCATTCCGGACTTGGTTCGCAAATCCCTGGACAATTGCGAGCGCATGCTATACCACTGGGAACTACCACAATGGGGACGGTCCTCTGGGAAGGCCTTCAAATTCTCCGCTGGCAATGAGAAATTCGAGACCCAGCCAGGGACGGTTTTGTATCGGTCCTTGAAAGGCGACTGGCGGGCAGTCGAGCGCACGGTGTCCCACGAACTTACAGAGCAGCAAGCGCTACAGACGCCACCATCAGGTCCGCCGCCCGCGGTTATGTTGCGGTCGGTCATACCAGCACCAACAAAGGGAAGCTCAGGAAAGCCGTGTCGTGTTGACCAATTCAGAGATGAGCTGCTGTTGGGATGGGACGGCAAGTACAATACGGACATGATTCACGCGGTATTGGAGGCAAGGTCGCATCACTACGACATGTTCAACCAGCTCTATGTTGATGAGGTGACGGAAACGATCAAGGAAGCGATCCAGATTATTGAAACGGTCCTCCCGAATGAATGAAGCGACAGTTTCAGTCCATTAAAGAAGCGGCGATGGGCTGCGAGGACTGGACTGCATGGAGGCTTCGCCACTGTTGCTAGTATTGATCTGAACATGGGCCACGTGCAGTGCCGTAGCCAATAATCGCTCATCTTCAATATATACATGCTTTGTGATGACTTCCGGCCCCTAACTAAGAACAGGATTGATCTATTGTGTATAGTGCTGCTTTGGCGTTCTTCTGACCCAGATAAATCAGGACCACAGAATGATGGCAGGTCCTTCAGGCGCCGTTGGTGGGAGGTAACCGATGAACGAGCTGAAAGTGTACCTGGAAACCTTTTCTGGGTTCTCGATAGCCAAAACTTCGTGAAAGTTCCTGTTCTTGTCAACTGAGAGTCTATCTCGATCGTGAAGGCTCATAACTGACCTTGGATTGAAGAGCGCAATCTGGCCGACGATTGGCGCGATTTTCTTAGACTCGCACCCATCGATAACGTCGCGGCTATAGCCGTAACTCTTGGTGACATCCCGATACTTGTCGTCATCTTCTTTGCCCTTCCAAAAACGGTTGTAGACGACGCTTTCGCCTCCTCGAACTTCCTTGAGGAGGATGTTCCAGGTAAGTTGAGCCTTGATCGCACCAATCTCCCATCCGGGCCCGTCAAATGGACCGTAATCTGCGTGAATAAGAGCCGAGCTGTTGATCAGTCTCAAAAGGCCAGCAAAATACGATTTCCCATCCTCCTGCGCGAGGCGAACAGGCAAACCTGGTGGCACGATCGACTGAAGGAGAGCTTTGACCCGGCCGACAACGTCCACTCCGGCCTCTTCCATGAATCGCTTTTGCAACGACCTTGCCTTATCTACATTTGAAAAGTAGTTTGTCTTGCCTGAGGGGTGGACGTTAATACATCTATTCGACTCTCTGCGATGGAGAAGCTGATGGGTCACCTACTTGCTTGGTTCTCAAACTGCGTGATTCCAACGCATCCTATCGGAGGGAAAACTTTCTCTCCATAGTAATCCTTGACGAAAAAGATTAGCCCCAAGCACTTGCAATCACCCGACTCTGCGTTGGGGTAGGCGAAGTACAATGTCATGTGTCTCGATAATTTGAACCATGCGGTCGCACTCCGCCGCCGACAAGACGTCATTCACGGCAAGGCTGGACAGCTGGTTGTTAAAAAGCTCGAAGAGCGTCTCAGCTGTCACAGCCTCGTTTCCAGTCGCGACCCATTGTGCGCGTGAAGAAGGTCTGGACAGATGATCTCCTCGTTGCTTCAGCGGCGGTGGTAAAGGGACATCTCGCCTGTCAGTAAGGCGGGTTTCAAGGGCTTCCCTGGTAGCTCGAGTAGAATGATACGAGGCGCAACAGCAACGCCTGGCTATTGGTGTTACAGCACGGTGCCGGATGGCAGCGCGCACAACCGTTCGTAAAGACATGGCGAGAAACCCGCGTGGATGGTCCACAAGGAGGTTCAATGCGTCCACATGGATTGATCAAGGTGTACAGCTACAGAAAAAAGTGCCTCATATCGGGTGCTACAACACCAAATGTTACGCCCGGATGCCCTTTTGAGCAGTGAACCTCATCAAGGCGGCCAATTACTCAGGGCGTTAGCGCTTCAGTTCCACGACGGTTGACAAGCCACTCTCGGATGATGGGGTCAGTGAAAAGCTATCAGCCTGGTTGCCCACAAGTTTATTACTGTCATAGGAGCCCGGAGAATACAGCATGCCTTCTTCTCCGGGCACGAATTGGCTCTCCAGCTGTCTCCAGGTGGTTAACCCCATGTTATGCGATTGGTGTATATGTAGCAGGCGGCCCCCGAGGTTTCCGATACCACCGAAGATAACCTAAGGTATGGTGCGCACGGTACACATTCCACCCGAGGCTAATCCTCCGGCTCTGGAAGAGGCTCATCATATGGCTTTCACGGGGTTCGGGGCACCAGTAGTGCTGAGCACGCGGGTGACCTGCAGCTCCAAAGCAGAATCATTCTCGGCATCAGGGATCGGTACGCGAGACAGGACAGACAGGGGTTTCAGTGCTTGGGGTGAAACAAGTGAATGTGCCATCGGCACATTGCACTCATTGATGCCTTCTAAAGCGTTTGTGGGCGGACCTTGTACATCAACCCAGTGACAGTAATCCCACATCAACGCAGTGATGATGGGACTGGGGAGCTTGGCCGCTCGGCCCCCACATTTGACTTTCCCTGGTCCGTCAAACTTAGGCAGCAAGTGCCAGCTGTAGTCCAGCTGACACTTATTCATACGAGTGGTCTTTATTACAACCCGATTGCGATTAGAACCTGGTTAGAGGGCCGCCAGATCGATTGGCAGGGTATGGACGCTTCGCTACAGAAGTGCCCATAATGATGGCATATGCAACAATGGTACAGAGAAAGTGTCTCTGCCTAGCGAGGTGACTGTGTTGCCGTATATCTCTATTGCTTGTGGTGTTTGCATGCTGCGGCTTCAGACCATATTGCCCTCCCAAGTTCTGTGTCGGATGCTATCCCTGCGTACTCGCTTCATACCATTCTGCCATTGACCCGTGCCCCCTTCGAGCCAATCGGTGACCTTTGCCCGAGTGTGAGCTTTGCGATGCATATCATTCTCACCGGAACCGGGCTGGTCGGCGCCATCGCGCTGGATGCCATGTTGCAAGAGAGCTCCATCGACAAGATCACCATCATCAGCCGCAAGCCTGTCCCCCAGGCTGAGGGACAGAGCAAGGTCGAGGTCATTATCCAGGAAGACCTTTCTACGTACAGCGATGAGACGCTTGCGAAGCTCAAGGGCGCGCACGGCTGCATTTGGACCGCCGGCCCTCCGTTGATGGCCGTAACACGACAGTGAGCTACCTCGCGGAGAGCAGCCATGATCATGATGTCATGCAATGAAGTGCTGATTTCTCTTCTTTTGTGTAGAGAGTATGAGTACGGCCACATCGATTTGCCCGTCAAAGCGGCAAAGGCCTTTGCCGCGCTCAACGACAAGTTCAATTTTGTTTATGTCTCACGTATGTTCGCGTCAGGACAGGATCACTTGGAGATGCTAACGAGGCGAATGTTGTAGACGACGGATGCCACGATACACGCGCAGTCTACATTTTTGATGTGAAGGCCAGAGCAGAAGAGAAGCTTTTCCAGCTTCACCACGATCCGAGCAAGCGTTTGGAGATCAAGACCAAGGGCGGAATTGAAGAACAGGAATCGCTGTCCTCCTTCGTCCTCTACTGCATACGCCCCGCACTTATTGACTACAGCACTCACGACGCCATTAAGCCCTGGCTCAAGCCCCTGCCACTGGCCAAAAAGTGGACCAACGGCGTGATTTTGCCCTTGTACAGGTTTCTTGGTTTAACCAGCATCATGGGAACATCACAGGAACTAGGCCAGGCAATGAAGGACCTTGTTATTTCCGACGGGCGAGACGTGGACGTTGCAGGGGCATCGCCCGAAGGCAGATGCTTGGGCGCTGTGGGGATGCGGAATTGGACGCAGGCCAGGAACGAGAGCCCGGAGGATACTGTCGCTGTCTAAGCCAGATGTCATAGTTGCATTATTACAAACTGTGACCTAGCGCACCTTCATGTGTCCCTGCTTTTGTTAAAGATGAGATTATACAGATACCTGGCGAGCCACTTGCGCGTGAAAATACCGCCCACATAAAAATGCACATTGTGTTTCAGTAATGACTTGTAAGCTAGAGCTGCAATAAACACTGGGGGCTGTGTCAGTGGAGGATTGGAGTGCTTGTCGGGCCTCAGAAGCTAACGACCGGAACCGTTAGTTGACTGACTCTGTCAAACCCGTACCCCCCGTGGCGGCACATGAGTAATGTGCCGATTCAGCCAGCGCTGCTACCTGAGCTCAACCACCCAAACCGCTGCATTACTCATGCAGTCACGCAGCGCTAGGGCAAACTCAGAGGATGACGCTGCCCACATGAAGAGCGATTCGATTCGACTCACTACCATGTTGTGAGGAGCTCCCTGAGGAAGTGGACGGCTTGTGCGACTCGTCAGCTGTGTGATTGAATACTTGTTCACTCAGCATGGCTCGCCCACGTGGTGGCCATGCGTCCCATCAAGTAGATTTGTTACCCGCCTCAATGTCCAGGACGTTATGTTGAGCTGCTGACGAATTAGTGCTGCTAAACCCTTGCGGTCACACCGCGACATGCCTTCACGTAGTGTGTGTCAACAGCTACTAGACGTCAGCCTCGTAGTGATCAATGATGGAGACGGCTCATTGCTCAGTTGTGGACGCTTTAGCTCATGAAGCACCATTTGCAGTCCTGGAAGCACATCCTCCAGGTGCACACAGCCCACAGAATAGCCCCAAAAGAAGACTAAGCTAGTTGGCCGTTGCTGCTGGCAGGCAGCGCTGTGAGAAGTGATACACCCCAGTCTCCAGCGGTAAGGCTTGGGTCTGACTAGGCGCTGAAGCCCCTACAACGAGCCAGCATTTCGCGGTTTGGAGCTTCGACGGCGCAACAGTACACCGCCAGCTTCAGACTCGGGCTTCACAGTTGGGTCCACGCCAACCGTGTTGCAACAGTCCCCGGATTTGCATGCTATCTGCATCCTTAGCGTAGAAGCTCGGCCAGAAGCAACCGACTGCCTTTTGCGCGCAAAGACCGCGATACAGTGCAATACCCTTGGTACTTCCCAAGACGTCATTCCAAGCTCTTTGCCAACACACCTGAATCGCTATCCTTGCTTGGTGGATCCGAGCTTCGAGCCAGCTTCAAGTCGCAGGCTTCAGCGGACCGTTCTTGATCACGGATATACTTGCAAGCAAGGCAACTTGGTTTACTTTGCAGACTCGACGCAATAGAGAACCAATACATGCGTGAAGCGAAAAGCTCAGTGACTGAGTCGTCGGCATAGCTCTCCACGCACAAAGACGACACAGAGAAAGCTCGAAACGAACGACTATACGCAACGGTCGATATCATGGAGTCGACGAATAACTGGGCTACCCAGGCCGAGTCACACCTCCTCCTCGACCAGGCTGTGGCTCAGGCTAAGGTGCTGAACATCACGAAGCCCAACGAGCAAGAGGGAGAAGCGCCCTGGGCCATTGTCATCTCTCGCACCAATGTCGACAACCAACATGAAGGCCCTGAGCCGGACTCCGTGCTTGTCCGGCGGCTCCGCAAGTCTCTCGTTCAATACATGAAGAAGTTGTACAACAGCAATACTAGACTGGAGCAAAAACTTAATATTCCGAAGAAATGGATCGTCCTCGATAAGTTGCCGATATTGAGGGCCACTGGACTCGTCGATGTCGCAAAGTTGAGAAAGTTGGTGCTGCATGGAGAGGAGGAAAGCACCAGCGGGTCCGAGTCAGACCTGGGGAAGATGGAAATGCCGAGAACTCGACTGGATCTGATCGTTGGCGCCATGGCCGAGGTGTTGGGTCGCGATATTTCCGAAGTTGATGTCGGCAAGTCCTTTGTTCGACAAGGTGGCGATTCCATTAGTGCCATCGAGCTCATGGCGCGATGCTCCGAGTTGGACGAGACGCTGCGTCTTCGTGTTCCCGATATCCTCCTCGCCGAGAGCCTCGAGCAGCTTGCACAACTTCAGCCATCCGCAGAGGTTGATGCCGGAAAAGCGACTCCGGAAACGAAGACGACGACCTCGACAATCCAAGAAAACCCGTTCCCACTCCTTGAGCTTTCAGAGTCCGAGCTGTTTAGATTCAAGGAGACGACAGCAGCTCGCATTATCGCTAGCAGCAGCAGCAGCGACATTGGTCTGGAGACCGCGTACCCGTGCACTCCGGTCCAGGAAGGCATATTGCTAGCGGCCATTCGCTTTCCGGAGAGCTACCGAATTGAGCGAATCTTCGAGGTTGCCAAGGGCACGATGACCGATTCGATTGACCTTGAACTGTTTGAACAGGCATGGCGCGATGTTGTCGCGCGCCATGGGGCCTTGCGCACTGTGTTTGCCCCGAGCGTGCGCGACGGGGCAGGCTTTGATCAGATTGTCCTCGTGGGCGTCGAGTGTGACATCCGGCGCCTGAAGGTGTCGCCAAAAGACGGCGGCCTGGCTGTTAAGCTGCTTGAGCAGCAGAAGGCGGCCACATTCTCGGAACTTCGCCCTGCGCATCGGATAACCACTTGCTCGACCATCGAAGGAAGCGTGTATTGCAAGATCGAAATTCATCACTCCATCGTGGATGGCTTATCTGCTGGATTGCTGTTGAAGGAACTGAGGAAAGCGTACTCCAGACGATGCAGCGGCACTTTGGCCGCGGATTCGGAGTCGTATCACCTCGGCCGCTATATCGCGCAAATCAAGGGTCACTCGCAGAAAGAACCTCTGGAGTATTGGACTCGGACACTGGATGGTCTCGATCCATGCCACTTTCCATCCCTTGTAACCTCGGACGCCCCAATGACCAGGGAAAACCGGACCGTCCAGGTCAACGTTTCCTCGTCGCAAGCGCAAAGGTTCTGCAAAACCCTTGGCATCACTATTCCCATTCTTTTACAAGCTGCATGGGCAACGGTGCTGAGAGGATACACACAAACCGATGATGTGTGCTTTGGCTTCCTCGCGTCGGGTCGCGACGAGCCAGTCCCTGGTTTGCAGAACATGATAGGGACCTTCATTCACCTGCTTACTTGCCGAGTACGATTCGGTTCCACTGATGCGGTGACCTTGACTGGGCTGTTGCATTACCTACAAAGACAGTCGGGCGCTGCGATCATCAATCAGTACTGCAGCTTGGCGAGCATCCAGAACTCACTACAACTTGGCGGACGATCACTCTTCAACACTCTCTTATCTGTCGTCTACTCCTCCCAAGACCAGGCCGGCACGAGCGATGATGCCGTATACTTCAAGAATGCCTCGACAATTGCGTCTAGCGAGGTATGCTTGCCGAAATAACGGATCAATTCAGTTTCCTGACTAAAGTCTCCTGGCAGTACGATCTTACCTTGACCGCTGACCTGACCCCCGATACGCTCTCTCTTTCCTTCACATATAAAACGACCGCGCTATCTGGAGATAACGCGGCAAGCCTGGCCGACTCGTTCACCCAGATACTTCAGACTATTATGAGCCAGCCTGAGGCCCAGACATCGAACATCCCAACAATCGGCCCGAAGGACCTTGACCGCGTCATGGCAGCTCAGGCAGACCTCAGCCCAGCTACGGAAGCATGCACACACTGGCTCATTGCCCACCAGGTCCAAAGCCAGCCAAACGGGAGTGCTGTGGCATCCTGGGACAAGAACTTCACTTATTCTGAGTTGAATGAGCTTTCATCCAAACTCGCCAGTCGGTTACGGAGGGCGGGTGTCCGCCCCGACGACCTCGTCCCAATTTGCTTTCCCAAGTGTGCCTGGGCCGTCGTTGCCATTGTTGCCGTGCAGCAGGCTGGGGCCGGCTTCGTTCCACTGGACCCGACGGCGCCCCCAGCCCGCCTCCAGGGAATCCTGGAGGATACCAAGGCGACTGTGATGCTCGCGTCAACAGAGTGCCGAGACGCCGCCGAGCAGCTTACTGGAATAGAGACACTCGTGTTCGTGGATGAACAGTCTGTTCGTTCATTAGAACGAGATGAAGCCGCTCTTCAAGATCAACATCCTCGGGACGCCGTGCAGCCCCACCACGCAAGCTTTGCTATCTTCACTTCAGGTAGTACCGGCAAGCCCAAGGGCATGGTCATTTCCCATGGTAGCTTCTGCACTACTGGTGTCGCAACGGCGCCTAAGATGGAGATTGGGCCAGGGACTCGCGTCTTCCAGTTCTCAGCCTTCACATTCGACGTGGGTATCTTCGACGTCCTCATTACCCTGATGCATGGAGGTTGTATTTGCATCCCAGACGAGCAGCAACGAGTCAGCGACCTGGCTGGGAGCATCAGAAAGCTCCAGGCCGAAGTCATGTACTTGACACCTACTGTCGCGGGACTGTTGAACCCCGATGATGTGCCCAGCGTCCGGCAACTGGTGCTCATGGGCGAGGCGATCACTAACAAAACGGCGGACAAGTGGAGAGGAAAGGTGGTCCTCCACGGTGCATACGGACCCTCTGAGGCTTCTGCGGCGGCGTGGAACACTGAGCTCGGTAAGTTTGGAGCTTCCACGGCTAACCTTGGTAGACCACTCGCAACCATTTTCTGGGTTGTTGACCCCAGCAACATCAAGCGACTCGTTCCAGTTGGATGCATTGGAGAGCTGCTCGTAGAAGGGCCCATGCTGGCTCGTGGGTACCTCGAAGGGGTCGACAAGAAAGCGGCTGCCAACTGGCTGGAGGACGTGGACTGGCTGCCACCAGTGCAGCAAAGTGGCTGGCAACAACCAAAGCGACGACTGTACCGAACCGGCGACTTGGTGCGTCAGAATGGCGATGGGACTTTTACATTTATCGGCCGAAAAGATACCCAGATCAAACTGCACGGACAGAGAGTTGAGATTGGCGAAATTGAGGCTCGCGTCCACCAGGCGATGCCGAACACGACAAACGCTATGGTTGACGTTGTGCGTGGAGATAACAATGAGCCCAAGTATCTTGCGGTTTTCATGTGGGATGCACTTGCGAATAACAATGAGGAGGTCCACCTGGCGAAGGTAGTATCACCGGAAAGGCAACGGCTGGTGTCCGAGACACACGAGGCTCTCGCCAGAGTCTTGCCTCGGTACATGATGCCGTCAAGTTACTTCATTCTGGACGGTACCCCTCCGCGGACGACGTCTGGGAAGGTCAATCGGCGCCACCTCGTATCTCTCGTCAAGAACATTGGCGCGGAAGAAAGATTGAGGTTTGCTCCCGAGGGTCAACAAGTCGTAGGGACTGATGAGCCGACGACTCCGCTGGAGATTGAACTGAGGACGATCTGGGCCGCCGCCCTCGGGCTTGGCAATCTGACGATAATCGGCCGCCACACCGACTTCTTTGCGCTTGGTGGCGATTCCATTGGCGCGATGAAGCTCGTCAACCTAGCGACTCGCCGGGGACTCGTGCTGAATGTTGCCACGGTCTTCAAGGCACCCCAACTTAAAGCTATGGCCGCTGCGACCCTCAGTGATGGGAAGGTGGCCGTGGACGCAAGACCATTTCAACTGCTCGTGGACGAAACGGACATTGATGCCATGAAGCAGGAGGTAGCTGGCATGTGCGACATGGAATCGTACAGCGACATTGTCGATGTTTACCCCTGCACGACCATGCAAATTGGGCTCATGGCCTTGTCGTACAAGCAACCTACATCCTATACGGGTCGCATCGTCTTCTCGCTGCCGTCCGACATTGACCTGTCGCGGTTCAAGCAAACCTGGCGCGATGTTATGCTGCGAAACGCCATGCTGCGTACACGCATCGTTGACGCGCAAACAGCTGGCATGGTCCAGGTTGTGTTGAGGGCTGAGACAATGCCCTGGATGGAATCTGACGACTTGGACGACTACTTGCGTCGCGACGTCGCGATACCGATGACGACTGGGAAGCCTCTTTCCAGATATGCAATCATTCGCCCCGAAAATGGCCGGAACTTGTCATTCGTGTGGACAGCGCACCACGCGATGTACGATGGGCCATCTCTGCGTCTCGTGGCCCACGAGGTTAACGAGCTCTACAAGAGCGGCACGTCGGGTCTCGAAGAGCCAATCCCGTTCACGCGCTTCATCCAGCACACCCAATCTATTGCCGACGGGGATGCGGCTTCCTTTTGGCACGCTCAGCTCGAAGGCTCCTGTCGACCTTCCTTTCCACCGGCTGCCAAGAACTCGGACTATGTGCGCACAGATGGCTACGTCACCCATGCAATGCCCCTTCCTCGCTGCGCGAACTCGCACATCACGACTACAACCCTGCTCCGCGCCGCTTGGGCCATTGTTCAGGGCAAGTACTCGAGGACAGATGATGTCCTCTATGGCGCCGTCGTCACGGGTCGCGGTATTAGCGTTCCGGGTATTGAATCGATCGTTGGCCCGACGGTCAATACCGTCCCAATCCGTGTCAAGCTTGACGCTTCCCAGATGGTTCACGAGTACCTCCGAAAACTTCAAGAAGCGACTACAGAAATGCTGGCATATGAACAATATGGACTTCAGAATATTGCTCGACTTGAAGATGGAGCAGAGAACGTGTCGAGCATGCAAACTCTTTTGGTACTCCAAGCGCCTCAAGAGGCAACCACATTGCCGGCTGGGACCACGGAGCTGCTTGATCTGACCAATGCCGCCATGCACGGAGCCAACTTTCACACGCACGCATTCATTTTGGAAGGCATCATTGACGAGCCGGGGAAGTCCCTCACCGTCAACGTTAACTTCGATGCCAACATGCTCCCTGAGGCGACAGTTCAAAACATCTGCCGCCAGCTTGCTCATGTCATGGACATGTTGACTCGTGCCGAAGGCACAACTGCCTTGGGCAGCATTGTGCTGGCATCTGATGCCGCGCTTCAGGCCCATGTAACGGAAGTGAATAAGAAGCGACCAACCTGGGTTTCGGAATGTGCGCACGACATCATTTCGCGCCGGGCTTTGGAGAGGCCGTCGGCGCCCGCGCTGATCTCCATGACACAAACATTCACCTATCGCGAGCTCGACGAGCTGTCCACGAAATTGGCATGGCGTTTGGTCTCTCTCGGGATAGAGATCGACTCGTTCGTGCCTTGCTGCTTCGAGAAAGGCCCCCTGTACGCTGTGGCACAGATTGCCATTCTCAAGGCTGGCGCCGCGTTCGTTCCTCTCGAGCACTCCCATCCCGAACAGCGACGTGCCCAGATTGTGCAACAGCTTGGCGCGAAGTTCATGCTCGTCACACCCTACACTGTCACAAAGATGTCCGAGACCACTACTAGCATCGTGGGTTCTGTCATCGAAGTAACACAGGAGTTTTTGCTCTCTCTCCCTTTGCCCGTCGGCTCAACAACGACGCTTGCGGGTCGGGCCAGTCCTCGCACCGCTGCATACTGTCTTTTTACCTCCGGCACGACAGGCACACCGAAAGGTGTCATCATTGAACACGAAGCCCTTTCCTCCACTTGCATCAACCAGGGAACTCTTTTGGAGTTTGGAACGCACACCCGCGCTCTTCAGTTTTCCTCTCATGGTTTCGACGCCAATATGATTGAGACCATTTGCACTCTCATGTTCGGCGGCTGCGTTTGTATCCCCACAGAGCATGAGCGCATGAACAACGTGCCAAAGTCAATTCGCGACATGGAGGTCAACTTCGCAGGTTTCACGCCGTCTTTCGCACTCCTCATTCAGCCAGACGAGGTGCCTACCTTGAAGACGCTCATTGTCGGAGGCGAGGCCATCACGAAAAAGTGTGTAGAGCAATGGTGGGGTCACGTCAAGTTGTTCAACGGATACGGCCCTACTGAATGCGCGGTCATCATATCCAGCCATAGAATACGATCCATACAGGACGCGGTAGACAGCGTGCTCGGCTACAACACCAGCAGCGTTGGATGGCTTGTGGAGGCCGATGGTAAGACGCTCACCCCACCAGGCTGCGTCGGCGAGATCTACGCTCAAGGCCCCTCTCTCGCACGGGGATATCTTTGCGATGCCGATAAGACTGCAAAGGCGTTTATCGAAGACGCATCTTTCCTGGTCAAATACGATAGCGGCAAGGATAATACAGGCTTCGCGAAACGAGCATACCGCACCGGCGACTTGGCAAGAAGAATGCCTGACGGCAACCTACAGTATGTGGGCAGAGTCAATGACCAGCAAGCCAAGCTCAATGGTCAGCGCCTTGAGCTGGGCGAAATCCAGCACCAAGTGAAGGCAATGGCAAGCCTGAAAAGCTCAACAACAAGCCAGACGGCCGTCGTCGTTGTTCCTCAGGGTGGATCCAGCGGTTCAAATGCCGCACTGCCTAGAGACGTCCTCGTTGCCTTCATTCGCGAAGCTAGAGCATCGGGCGACTCGTCTACGGCCGTGCACGTTCTTCCGTCGAGTCCGGAGTTCGGAGCACGCGTGTCTGATCTCGCAAGCGACTTGCTCACGGCGCTTCCTCAATACATGATTCCGTCCTTGTACATTCCTCTTCGCAACTTCCCTCTCACACTCTCGGACAAGGTCGACAACAAGAAGCTCGTCGAACTGGTCAGCACAATGTCCGAGTCTTATATAGGGACGTACTCACTCCAGGGACATGAAGCCGCAGCAGCGCTCTCAACCGAGCGTAAACGAGCGGCGTCCAGCCCAATGGAACTCGAGCTTCGCGACATTTGGGCTACAATCCTTGGTAGATCACCCGACTCAATTATGGCGGAGGACAATTTCCTCAGATTAGGTGGCGACTCCATTGCTGCCATGCGGCTTGTTTCGGCAGCTCGCCGCAAGCACATCACCTTGACCGTTGCCGATATCTTCCGCGACCCGAGACTCAGCCAGCATGCGATTATGGCTGTACGCGAGTCACAGGACCACCAAGAAATACCAGCGTTTTCGCTTCTGCCTGCAGATACCACCATGGATTCACTAGCCTCGGCCCTTGCGCAGCAATGCGAGGATTTCATCGACATGTCCCAAGTGGAGGACGCCTACCCCTGCACTGCCCTCCAAGAGGCAGTCATGGCAAGCTCTGTGAAGCAGAAAGGAAGCTATATTGCTCGAAATGTTCTTCGAGTCCCTCCGTCACTGGACATCGACAGACTCTGCGAAGCGTGGAGCTCCGTCGTTCAAACTCACGGTATCCTTCGCACACGAATCGTGCAAGTTGCATCATCTGCCATCCAGGTCGTACTCAAGGAGAGTTTTGCGTGGCAAGATGACGAGAACATCGATCTCGAAACTTACATTTCAGAGGACAGTCGCGGGCTGATTGGATATGGAACACCTCTTATGAGATTCGCCGTCGTCGGTTCGGCCTTGGGTGCCGACAGAACAAGACACCTCGTCTTGACTATGCATCACGCTATCTACGACGGATGGAGTCTTCCCGCCATACTGGGAGACGTTCAAAAGGCATATAGTGGGATGACAGTGAGCAAGGGCCTCCCCTACGCGGCCTTCGTCAACTATCTCTCAGATGCGAATGGCGCCTCATCCGACGTGTACTGGAAGTCCGAGACCGACAGCACCAAGGTCACCGACTTCCCCAGACTTGGCTCGGGTAGCAGATCTGCGAAGACAGGCCAGGGCCACAACTTGAGCGCTGATTCATCTATCGACTTCAAGTTCCCTCTGATTCGCGTCAAGGAGTCAGACATCACCACTGCCACTATCCTTCGGGCGGCATGGGCATTTGTGCTTTCCCGGTACACAGATTCAGACGATGTCATTTTCGGTTCGACATTGTCCGGGCGCAACGCGGCGCTGGGTGGCATTGATGGCATGATTGGGCCTACTATCGCAACGGTGCCTGTTCGCGTGCACATTGATCGAGCCCAGTCTCAGCACCAGTTCCTGAGCAACGTGCAACAACAAGGAGCGAACATGATCCAATACGAACAAAAGGGGCTGCAGAACATTGCACGAATCAGTCCCGATGCTCGAGAAGCAACAAGATTTCGAACCCTGATGGTGATTCAGACAGTGGGCAACAGCGCCGACCTGCTCGGCATGACGAATGTCACTCAAGCGCTCAACGAAGGATTCTACACTCATCCATTCATTCTAGAGTGCGTACCCCAGCCACAAGACAACAGCGTGCAGATAACTGCTCGGTACAGTGCTGCCTATATCTCCGAAGATGAGGTCCGTACTGTTCTGCATCAGTTTGAGCAGGTCGTCAGCCAGCTTGGCAGCGCTGTCGAGCTCCCCGACCACACAGTGGACAACATCAACATGACGAGCTCCTATGACTTGAGCAGGATCCAAACTCTCAACTCCGAACTGCCTGTCACCCAAAATGGACTTGTCCATGACTTGATCGCCAGTCAAGCCAAGAGCCGCGGGTCAGCGGAAGCCATCTGTGCTTGGGATGGGTCATTTACCTACGCCCAGATTGACGACGCCTCAACTCGCCTTGCTCACCATCTTCTGTCACTCGGCGTCGGCGTCGGCCCAGACACGTTTGTCCCGTTTTGCATCGAAAAGTCCGCCTGGGCCATCATTTCAATGGTTGCCATAATGAAAGCAGGCGCTGCATTTGTTCCTCTCGACCCATCACATCCCGTTGATCGGCGGCGAACCGTCTGTCAGCTGGCAAGAGCACGACTTCTTCTCGTCTCTCCGTCCACCAGCGAGGCCTGTCAAGGGATCGCGGAACAATCCATTACAGTCTGTGAGGCTCTTGTCGACAAGTTGCCTGAATCGCAGCCATTGCTCCCGTCCATGACCAAGCCAATGAATGCCGTGTATGCCATGTTCACGTCCGGGAGCACTGGTGTTCCAAAGGGTGTTGTCATCGAGCATCGCAGTCTCGCAACCGCTGCGCCTGCGTTTGCAAAGTCTTTGTACTTGAACTCGTCCTCGAGGGTCATGCAGTTCTGCTCTTATGTTTTCGATGCGTCACTCATCGAAACGCTTGTAACCTTGACGCAGGGCGGCTGTGTTTGCGTCCCGTCGGACTCTTCGCGAGTCAACGATCTCGCCAACGCGATGAATGAAATGAACGTCAACTGGACTCTCCTAACGCCCTCGGTTGGCCGCCTCATCACCCCCAAGCTTGTACCAGGTTTGAAGACGGTGGTACTTGGCGGCGAACCAGTTCGCACCGACAACGTCGAGACGTGGCATGACGGCGGCGATGGTCCCGACAAGGCGAAGCTCATTTTGGCCTACGGGCCGACAGAGACTTGCATCGTTTGTTCCTCGTATACGGTAAAAGATCACGGCGACTCCCCCATGATCATCGGCCAGGCTATCGGCACAACATTCTGGATCGCTGACGTAAATGACCACGACCGCTTGACACCCTGGGGTTGCGTGGGCGAGCTGCTTATTCAAGGCCCTCTTCTGGCTCGCCATTACCTTGGAGATCCGGCCAAGACTTCGGCATCCTTTATTGAGGGACCCGTGTGGCTTCCCGATCAAGGCCCCGGCGTGTCACGACGGGTGTACAAGACTGGCGACCTGGTCCGCTATAATTCTGACGGCCTGCTCGAGTGTCTTGGTCGCAAGGACACGCAGGTCAAATTACGAGGCCTACGCATTGAGCTGAATGAGGTTGAGCATCAGCTTCGCACCCAATGTGCCGAGGCTGACCAGGTCGTCGCCGACGTTGTCTCCATGAGCGATGATCCAAAGGACTCGCTTCTCGTTGCATTCATCGGCCTCAAAGACACCTCACTGTTGCTGAAAGATACGCAAGTGAGCCAGGCTCTCCAGATCCATGGTCAGTCGGCACTTCTGTCAATCACCACAGACATCCGCACGAACTTTGTTGCACTTGTCGAGGCCCTCGGGCAGAAGTTGCCTCGATATATGATCCCAACATTGTTCATGCCATTCAAGCAAATCCCCAGAGTTCCTTCCGGAAAGACCGACCGAGCCCTGCTGCGGAAGGTCACCAAAGAGCTGGACGAGGTCGCGTTTGCCTTGCACTCTCTCGCTGTGGCGGACAGAGAGAAGCGTGAACCTTCCACCCCAACGGAGCGCGAACTGCACTTGCTGTGGGCCGATGTCTTGGGCGTGGCAGCGGACAGAATCGGTGCCGATGACAGCTTCCTGCAACTCGGTGGTGACTCTGTCGCCGCAATGAGGCTCATCAGTGCCGCCCGCGGCAGAGGTCTGGAGCTATCGGTCGCTATGGTGTTCGACACACCACAGTTGTCTTTGATGGCTGCGTCCCTCGACAAGCTTGCCGGACATGGTGAGCAAGCCTCTGCCGGCGACGTCGGCCACGCAGAGCCGCTATCATTACTCAATTCATCCATTCCGACCGCTGTCCTCCTTGCGGAGGCAAAGAAAGCATGCCACCTGGATGAGACTGCAACAATCGAAGATGCATACCCTTGTACGCCACTGCAAGAGGGTCTCATGGCGCTCACAGAAAAGCAGCACGGAGCATATGTGATGCAAACCGTCTTTAGGCTCCCAGGGACGATTGACCTCGAAAGGTTCAAGCAAGCTTTTGAGGTAGTCGAAGCTTCTGCAGAGGCGCTTCGAACTCGGCTTGTTTCTCTGGGAGAGCAGGACTTTGTCCAAGTCGTCGTGTCTCAATCTCAGCCGTGGCATCACGGCACTGACATCGCGTCCTACCTGCGGCAGGACAAACACGAGCCTATGAGCTTTGGAGACCCCCTGTGCCGCTTTGCTCTGGTAGAAGATAAGACTTCTGGACATACCTACTTTGTCTGGACAATGCATCATGCCATTTACGATGGATGGTCGATGCGACTGATGCTCGTGGCCTTCCACAGAGCATACAACAGCAATATCACATCCCCGCAGGATCTCATTCAGAGACAAGAGATGGTTCCATATTCTTCATTCATCCGATACACTCAGTCCCTTAGATCTGATGAATCTGAAAGCTGGTGGGCATCCCACTTGGACAACGCCGCCGCCACGCCGTTTCCACGCACCAGCCAGGGTAGGAGCCGGTCAGGCCAGGGCGAGAACTGGAGGCAATCACTGAGCTTTGCGACGAGCGGATCTTTCAAGTCGCTGGGTGTCACCAAGGCGGCTCTTGTGCGCGCTGCCTGGGCGCTCGTCATCGCCAGACATGCGGACTCAGATGACGTGGTTTTCGGCAGCACGGTGTCGGGACGTACTGCTCCTGTCCAGGGCCTGGAGCATATCATCGGTCCAGCCATCGCCACTGTTCCGGTCCGCATCAAAATTGACCAGACCCGCCCCATTGGCGACTTCCTTCGAGAAGTTCAAAGTCAAACGAACGCCATGATCCCTTATGAGCAGGTCGGCCTCCAGAACATCGCCAAGATTAGCCCGGCAGCCCGCGACGCCTGCAACTTCCAGTCGCTGTTCGTCGTGCACCCTCCTAGGCTTACGAAACTGCAAGGCGACGACCTTGGTGATTCGTTGCTCGATATCCAGCCAACCTCGGATTCACTGTCCGTCGACGGCGGCCAGTTTTTCACGAATCCGCTCGTGTTTCAGTGCCACCTTGGGGATGGCGATGAGGTTGACGTCACAATCACATACGACACAGGACTTCTCTCAGAGTCAGAGGCTGCCAACATGGGTTTGCAATTCGAGAGCGTCGTTCAGCAGCTTGCAGGAACTGGGACCTCACTCAAGTCCTGTCTCCCAAAGGTGGTTGGGGATGTCAACCCGCTTTCTGCTCACGACTTTGAGCAGATGGCTTCATGGAATAGCAGCGCCATGCCTGAGATCGTGGACTCTTGCATTCACACGCTGTTTGAACGGCAAGTTGCTTTGCGGCCCGATGCGACCGCTGTCTCAGCGTGGGACGGCGTTCTCACATATGCGGAGCTCGACAAGGCGGCCAACCGCGTAGCCCATCATCTTACTACGACGCACAAGATCGAACCCGGCACCCTCATTCCGATCTGCTTCGAGAAGTCTGTTTGGGTCATGGTGGCAATGATGGGAATCAACAAGGCCGGAGGCGCGTGGGTAACTTTGGATCCATCGCACCCCGAGAAACGGCACAGAGCAATTCTTGCACAGACACAGTCACCAGTCGTATTGACGTCGTCTCACCATCTCAAATACATCTCAGCACTACATTCCAACGCCATAGAGCTGTCGTTGGATCTGGACCAGACCCTGCTTCGCGACGGTACGACTGGGTCCACGGCACCCAAGACTGCGGTTACAGCGGATCACCCAGTATATGTTCTGTTCACGTCAGGATCGACAGGCGTTCCAAAGGGAATGATCATGCGCCATGGTGGTGTGAGTACTGCCATGGTGGCGATCGCAAAAAGACTGGGCATGACGCCGACGGTGCGAATTCTACAGTTTGCTGCGTACGTCTTCGACCTTTGCATTGGAGAAACTCTGCTTCCGCTTGTCTCCGGAGCTTGCATCTGCATCCCGTCCGAAGATACCCGCAAAGATAATCTTGCGCAATTCATCGCGGAGCAGCGCATAAACTGGATGTTCCAGACTCCGAGTTTCGCTCGCGTCATTTCTCCAGACGACGTGCCTAATGTTGAACTCCTCCTTCTTGCAGGTGAGCCAGTCACGAAGGATCTGCTCGAAACTTGGGTCGGTCGCGTTCGGTTATTCAATGGTTGGGGCCCTTCCGAGACGTGCTTGTTTAGCAGCCTGAAGGAGTTCACCCCATCCGAGCAGAAGCCTTCACCTCTTAACATCGGCAGCCCGATCGGTGGCCGGTGCTGGATCGTTAATGCGAGCGATCCCATGCGCTTGGCACCGATTGGTTGCGTTGGAGAGGTCATGATTCATGGTCCTACAATCACAAAGGGCTACCTCGACGATCCAGTGAAGACTGCTGCTGCGGTCATCACAGAGCTTCCAAGCTGGGCTCCGACAGAATCCGTCCATGACAAGCGATTCTTCAAAAGTGGCGACTTGGCTTACTACAACCCCGATGGAACGATGGAATTCGTCAGTCGCAAAGACACACAGGTCAAGATTCGCGGCTTTAGGATCGAGCTCAGTGAGATTGAGCATCACATCCGCACGAAGCTGCCAGCAGCCAGCGAGCTTGCCGTATCAGTGTTCAAGCAGCCTGGAAAGGCAGCCGCGCTCGCCGTGTACTTCAGTGTTTCTGGACAGACCTACACGGTGGCATCACGAGATGAGGACGTGAGCGGTTTGGCTGACAAGATCCTGCTCCCCATGACGACCGAGATCAGGCAGCTCATCAGTGGTATCATAAGCGCCCTCTCAATCACGCTACCGCCGTACATGGTTCCCACCATCTTCGTACCCATGAGCCAAATGGTTACCGTCACTGCCACCAAACTCGATCGGACCACACTTGCGAATTTGTCCACGGTCATCACCGGAGACAAGCTTGCAGCCTACAGTTTGCAGGACATCGACAACGGCCATAAAGTAGCACCGGAGACGGTCACGGAGACGGCCCTGCAACGCCTGTGGGCAACTGTGCTTGACCTCGACAGTGCCGCCGCGATTGGCCGCGACGATAGCTTTCTCAGGCTAGGTGGTGACTCGATTGCTGCAATCAGGCTTGTCACATTGGCAAGAAAAGAGGGTATTTTGCTGAGCGTTCGGGACATTTTCCAGGACCCGAGGCTACACAGTGTTGCCGCCAAAGCCGATGCCTTGTCCAAGTCTAGCTCCGGCGCATTCCTGAGTGCAGCGATTCCGGCCTTCAGCCTCATCCCAAGCGAAACTCGGGATGCTCTGTTACAGAGTGCGACACAAGTAATGGGCGTCAATGGTAACATAATCGAGGACGCATACCCATGCACTCCTCTCCAGGAGGGCCTCATGGCCCTGGCCCAGAAGAAGACACAGTCCTACACGACCCGCAACGTCCTCAAATTGCCCACGCACTTTGACGTTCCGCGATTCCAGCGGGCATGGGAGATGACCGTCGGCAAATGTGACACTTTGCGCACTCGCATAGTTGTCTGCCGCGGGGAGCTTTTGCAGGTCGTGTTGCGTGAGCCTGTCACTTGGCTCGCACAGCCTGAACCGGCGACAGGTCAGACGCAACTGGAGGCATTCGTCGAGCGAGAGAAGAACGAACCGATTACACACGGCAGGCCACTTTCTAGACAAGGAATCGTGAGAGACGGAAACAGCACATTCTTCGTCTGGACCGTTCACCATTCTGTCTACGACGGCTGGTGTTTGCCACACATCTTCAACATGCTCGTCCGCTTTTACCAGGATGAAGCTACTGATCTTCTCCATGAAGAACAACGACTCTTCAAGAAGTACGTTCAATTCACGCTGGAAGCCAGCCAGGAGGATCTTCGGGACTTCTGGAAGCGAGAGCTTGATCTTGGCAGACGCAGGCTTGAGCACTTCCCGAGCTCGAACAGAGTCGACAGCTCCTTCACGAATCGGCATGAGGTGATGGAGCAGAGCATCCCTTCGCCCAGCAAGGGAGTGTCTGACGTGACAACCTCCACTCTCCTTCGTGCTGCGTGGGCCTTGGTACTCTGCCAGTGGTCCCAGTCGCGAGATGTTGTGTTTGGCACAGTGGTTTCCGGGCGTAACGCCCCTGTTGCTGGCATCGACTCACTGCTTGGACCAACCCTGGCCACCCTTCCGATCACGATGCATGTTCCTGAAAATGACAATGGCGCGACAATCGCCTCATTTCTCCGTCAAGTCCAAGCCCAGTCAAACGCAATGATTGCGTACGAGCACTTTGGCGTCCAGAATATCGCCAGGCTAAGCGCTGCTGCCGCCAACGCGTGCGACTTCCAGAACCTCCTCGTCATTCAGCCAGCACATCAATTCGACAATGCTTTGGGAATCGAAGTGGTCCACACCATAGAGGATCACGGCGGCTATCATGTGTATCCTCTCGTCATGGAATGTCTTCTCCACGACGATGCGACCATTACCCTGCAGACAACCTTCGACCCATCGGTGATTTCGAGTTTCCACGCGGGCGCCATTGTCAAGCAGTTCAGCACTGTCATTTCCCAGCTCTCACAGAAAGACGATTCGCTGCCACTCGATAGAGTGTCGTTGTTCACAACTGAGGACTTTGCGCAGATTGAAACCTGGGCAGACACTTCCGATGCAGGCATGCAAGTTTGCGACACCACTGTCGCGGCCGAGTTCACCAGAGTGGCTTCGACCAACCCAGCAGCTGAAGCCGTCTTCTCGATCTCCAACATCAACGATGCATCTACCAAGAGCTCCTGGACATATAAAGACCTTGATGAGACTTCAAACCGGCTTGCGCAATACATGACTTCTGTTGCGAACATAGGACCCGGCAGCAAGGTTCCGCTCTGCTTCGAACACACAGCGTGGTACATTGTCGCCATGCTTGCTGTGCTAAAGTCTGGCGCTGCCTTCGTGCCCCTTGACCCCAAGCATCCCAAGGAGCGCATGCTGGATGTCGTTGAGCAACTGGGCACATCCGTGATCTTGTGTTCGCCCTCGACCAGCGAGACAGCTAGTCAATTGGCAACCACTGTGTTTACGGTGCCGACAGTCCTGGAGGAATGGCAGGACTCTCGTTCGACTTCCACTGACTTGGCTCAGCGCGCGTCTCCCAGTGATCTGGCCTATATCCTGTTTACCTCTGGTAGCACAGGCAAGCCTAAAGGTGTTACGGTCTCGCATCGTGCCTTGTGCACTGCGATGAAACAGCATCGCCAGCCATTGGGCTACGACATCGAAGGCACACAAACCCGCGCATTGCAATTCGCGTCTCATGTCTTCGATGCGAGCATTTCGGAGATCATTGCGACTTTGTTTGTCGGCGGCGCTGTCTGCATTCCCACCGAGACGCAGCGAATGGACCCAAGCCTTCTCGGAGATTTCATCAATACAGCTTCAGCCAATTGGGCCCTCCTCACACCTCTTGTGGCTCAGCTACTGTCGCCGCAACACGCTCGCTCTTTACGAACCCTCGTCATTGGTGGTGATGCTTTGACTGGCAAGGTCGCTGCTCCTTGGCTCGACGCTGGTGTGAGGGTCGTCAACGCGTATGGCCCAACCGAAGCCTGTGTGCTCATCAGTGCCAACATCGTCCAAGATGCGAGAACCGCATCTAGTATCGGTCGTGGTGTCGGCTTCCGCACTTGGGTCGTTGACCGAGACGATCATACCAAGCTGGCTCCGGTAGGCCAGGTCGGAGAGTTGCTCAGCCAAGGACCTTCGCTTGCCGACGGCTATCTCAATGACGTCGACAAGACCAACGCTGCATTCGTACTGGCGCCAGCCTGGGCTCTTCGAGGGAACACCGCACACATTGGGGGTAGAGTGTATCGTACCGGCGACCTTGTCCGGTACATCAACCCCTACGGTGAACTCCAGTACGTTGGCCGCCGGGACACGCAAGTCAAGCTGAACGGACAGCGCATCGAGCTTGGCGACATCGAAGAACACATGCGAGCTTGCCTTCCTGAACTGTCGCACATTGTTGTGGAGATCATTGGAGGTACGCGAGAGCTGGAAGGAGGCAACGACATGCTCGCTGCCTTCTTCTGCTCTGATGACACACAAGTCCCTGTCGGCTCGGATGAGTCCGACATCCTCACCACACTCACACCGGAGGATCGCAAGATGATGTCAGTGGCCATAGCTCATATGGAGCAAAGGCTTCCGTCTTACATGATCCCGTCACTATACATCCCTCTTCGCGTCCTGCCGACGACGTCCAGCGCCAAAGCGGACAGAAAATTATTACACCGCCACATTTCTGGTCGAACGGCACTGGAGATTCGCGAGGCTTACAGCCTTGGGTCAAACGACCTAGAGATGCGGGAACCCCAGACAGAGATGGAACGCCTGCTACAGCAGCTCTGGGCAGAGATCTTACGTCTGCCATCGGACTCAATTGGCCTGGACACCCATTTTATCCGTGCCGGCGGCGATTCTGTCACTGCGATGCGCTTGGTGGGCACTGCGCAGCAGCGTGGCATTTCGCTGAGTGTTGTTGCAATTTTTGAGAATCCCACGCTGCAAGCCATGGCACAGGCGGCCAAGGTTGTCACCGAGCATGACCTGCACGATGTCCCGCCATTCAGCCTGCTGCCATCTGCTCTTCGCGACGTGGACATGTTGCGTCAAGATGCTTCTCGCGCGTGCTCCACAGAGCCAGAGCAGGTTTTGGATGTCTATCCAGCCACAGCCCTTCAGGAAGGTATCATGAGTCTGTCACAACAAGGCGACGGTGCATATGTCGCACGCAACATCTTCCGCCTTCCACCAACCATGGATGTCGACAGACTCAAGAGGGCCTGCGAAGACACTTACACCAGGCACGAGATCCTGAGAACGCGAATTGTCATGTTACGCGACCAGACCCTGCAAGTTGTCATTGACGATGAGTTGAGGTGGCGTAATGACACAGTGCTAAAGTCGTACGTTGCTCATTGCAAGGCAGAGCTTATGGGTTACGGCGCGCCTCTGTCTCGCTTCGGTATCGTGTCGACTTCAACAAAGGAGACTTGGTTCATACTAACCCTCCATCATGCCATTTATGATGGATGGAGTTCCAAGTTGCTGATCGATGCCGTCATGTCGGCATACGAGGTCGGTCCGCACCACCAGATTCATGGCTCCTCAGCCCCATTCAACCGCTTCATTAAATATCTGGTCGAAGACTGCGACGAATCCGCATCCGCCGACTTCTGGCGTGATCAAAGCGCTGGGTTCGAGCCATTCACGTTTCCTCAAGGCCCCCGTCAGACCCCTTCCGCCACGCAATGGGCAAGACTTCGACACGAACTGCCGTTGTCAAGCCACACCATTGTCGATGTGACAACGAATGCCCTGCTACGGACGGCCTGGGCATTGACTCTTTCCGCCCATGCTGATACATCGGATGTCGCCTTCGGCGCTACCATCTCAGGCCGCAATGTTCCCGTCCCCAGGGTTGAGATGATGGTTGGTCCAACGTTTGCGACGGTGCCAGTTCGTGTTAGCATGCAAGGTGCTACGTCCATTCAGAAGCTGCTCTCCGACGTTCAAAAGTCATCCATCGACATGGTTCCACACCAACAGTTCGGTCTTCTAAAGATTCGCGATATTTGCCCAGACGCCCAGAATCTATGCCGATTCAAGACGTTGCTGGTGGTACAGTCGAGTGATCAGGAATCTCTCCGTGGATCCGATGGAGGCGATTTCGGGCAGGTGCTGAATGTGGCAGCCGACGAACATGGGCATGACAACATTTTCCGTTCGTACGCCATCACTCTGGAGTGTTCTATGCACAAAGACCGAATCATTGTCGACGCACACTATGACACCAACACCATCGCGCCAGAGATGATGGTCATGGTCCTCAATCACTTCCGCCGTGCCTTTGTCAATCTCTCAGACGGCCAAGTGGACACGGCCATGACTATCCGACAGTCTCTCGACCTCTTCGGCGGCGAAGACAAGCGCGTCATAGACAAATGGGCGGCACAGACCACGGCCCCTCCCAAGCAGATTGACGCATGCCTCCACGACTTGTTCCGTCGTCAAGTCCTCTCTCGTCCCGACGAGGAGGCGGTACACGCTTGGGACATGTCCGCCACATACGCGGAGCTCGACGATATGTCGAGCCTACTGGCTCACCACCTCGTTTCTCAGGAAGGCCATTCCGCGGGTGAGAGTCTTATTCCATTCTGCATGGAAAAATCAGGCCTGGCACTGGTGGTAATGCTTGCCATCATGAAAGCAGGCTGCGGCTACGTCCCTCTAGATCCCAGTCACCCCATCGACCGCCGGGCCCAGATCGTTAGCGACACAGGAACTTCAATTGTTTTTGTAACTCCGGAGACATTGCGAGACTTCTCTGGTGCGGCAACTTCAGAGATAAGCGAGAGGGATGTGAAGTTCATCGTCGTGTCGCACGACTTCATCAAGAAGCTCCAGCGTGGCAGCCCAGCGGCATTGCCTTCCACTGATCCATCGTCCACGGCTTACACACTGTTCACGTCTGGCAGCACCGGAAAGCCAAAGGGCGTGGTTATGTCCCACCGGGCGGCTTGCTCTGCGATCACCGCTCAGGCCCGCGCATTCTTGATGACACCGTCCACGAGAGCCATCAACTTCGCCGCATTTGTGTTTGACGCATCCGTGCTCGAAATCTTCGGTACATGGATTGCCGGCGGGTGTGTTGCGGTGCCCTCTGACTCAATTCGTCTCAATGGTCTTGTGGCGCGCTTCATGACCGAGTCTCAAACGGACTGGGCTCTGTTTACACCAACATTTGCCACGACCTTGACCCCCAAGGATGTCCCAACACTCAGGGTTCTGGTCTTGGGTGGTGAAGCTATCCGCAAGGAGAACGTGGAGACGTGGCTGTCGAAGGTAGCGCTCTTTAATGCCTATGGTCCAACTGAGGCATGTGTGGCCACGGTCCATCATCGGATCATGTCGCCCACGGACACAGGAGTTATCGGCAAGTCAGTTGGATGCCGTGTATGGGTGACGAAGGTGGACGAGATCAACACCCTGGCACCAGTAGGTTGCGCCGGTGAGCTTGTTATCGAGGGCCCCGGCCTCGCGACCGGCTATCTCCACGATCAGGTCAAGACCGACGAGGCATTCGTTCAGCCATCGTGGCTCACCCATCAGGGCTGCCATGCGCGAGCCTACCGAACTGGCGATATTGTGCGGTATACAGCGCACGGAGATCTGGAATACCTGGGCCGTCGCGACAGTCAGATCAAACTCCGCGGTCAACGTCTCGAGGCCGGAGAGATTGAGTACCAGATCAAGGTTGCGCTTGCGGCGGCCCGTATTTCAGGTGGCCCAGGGAACAACAAGGTCACTCAAGCGCAGGTTGCAGTGACTGTACTAAAGGATATCTTGGCTCCTGGCGTCTCGGAACTCATTGCCTTCATATGCTTCAACCCTATCTCTCACGACGAGGGACCAAGCCAAGAGCCTCTGCTGGCCCCAATGAACGAATCGCTTCGCCACACAGTCGAGAAGCTGATCAAAGAAGTGGCTCTTGAGCTCCCCGAGTACATGGTTCCGACGTTATTCGTACCCGTCGCCAGGCTGCCGCTAAGCACAGCGGGCAAGGCGGACACTCGTCGCCTCAATTGTTCGGTACAAGAGCTTCCACGAGACGAGTTGCTCCACTACTTCATCAGCACCATCACGGGTGGGACTCAAGCTAAAGAGCCACCCGAAACTGATATGGAAGTGACACTTCAGTCGCTGTGGTCTTCGGTTTTGGGCATCTCCGAGCAGGCTATCGGTCGCAATGATCGCTTCCTCAATGTCGGTGGTGACTCCGTTTCCGCCATCCGTCTCGCCACGGCGGCGAGGGACGCAGGATTGGACCTGAGCGTTTCGACAATCTTTCAGCATCCTCAGCTCAAGGACATGGCTCATGAATGCACCATGGCGCAGGAAGAGGGAAGCAAGGTGCAGTTCACGAGCGTTGAGCCCTTCTCTCTCCTGACCAATGTCACCTCTATGGACATAGTCGTGGACTTGGCTCACAGAATCTTCCGACCTTCCATTCAAGATCCTGCGCAGATTGTCGATGCCTTCCCCTGCACCTCGCTGCAAGAGGGCATGATGGCTTTGACAGACAAGGAGCCAGGAACCTACGTCGCGCGCCTGCCATTCCGAATTGGCAAGCACGTTGACATGGCCCAGTTCCGTGCTGCATGGGAGACCGTTGTTGCGGCGACGCCAATCCTACGCACGCGCATTGTCTCCCTAGCCAACGGTCGGGCAATCCAGGTCGTTCTCGACGAGCCTGCGTCATGGAGAGTGATAGAGGATGCTGGTGCTGGCATGGACCTCAACAGCCAGCTAGCAAACTACCTCGAGCAGGACAAGAACGACCATATGCGCTATGGCACCCCCCTCTCTAGATACGCTGTGCTAACATCGGCTGAGAGTGAGGAGCGGCTGTTCGTGTGGACGGTTCATCACGCCGTCTATGATGGATGGTCCCTTGACCTCATCCGTGGCAAATTTATGCAAGCATACAACGGGGTCAACAGCGCACAAATTGCCCGGCCAAGCGTTTCGTACGCCAACTTTGTGGCCCACGCTGAGACTGTACGCGAGCGCGGCGCAGAGTATTGGCGCCATGCCCTGAAGGGAGCCCGACCAGTCAACTTTCCCCGCCACAACCGCACCCGTGCCAACAACGCCAGGGCCGATCGCACCGACGCGTCTCTCAAGTCTCAATTCGAAGTGGACGCATTCAAATCCCGCCATGTCCGCCATGGAGAAGAGACGATCGCGACGAAGGCGTCGCTCATGCGTGCCGCCTGGGCCCTTGTTGTCTCCGCCCATGCTGACGGTGATGGCGTCGGCGGCGAGCAGGACGTCGTGTTCGGCACCACAGTGTCAGGGCGCAATGCCCCCGTTCCAGGCATCGAGGGTATCGTCGGCCCTGCAGTCACGACTGTCCCTCTTCGCGTTCGTGTTGATCCGACTGTGACTGTGGCGACGTACCTCAAAGAGATCCAGTCGCAGAGCAATGACCTGATCATGTACGAGCAATTCGGCCTACAAAACATTGCGAAGCTTGGAGAAGATGCGAAGCAGGCTAGCGAATTCCGCACGCTACTTGTCGTTCACCCACCGAAGCTGGCCACGGATGGGAGTGCCACAAATAACTCTGACGAGCCGATACTGAGCTCGCACCTTCAAGATGACGAAGACGACGCCGAGAAGACGTTTTTCACTTATCCACTGGTGTTCCAGTGCCATTTGCCTGAGGACGGTGGCCGAATCGACATTACGGTCACCTTCGCTTCATCCGTCGTATCCCGTCGCCAGGTCGAGCAGATTCTGGGCCACTTCAAACAGGCGGTCAATCTGCTCGCCGAAGCCTCAACCGTCGTGAAGTCACCAAGCTCGACGAACAGCGACCTCACCTTGCTGTCGCAGCTAGACCTCGTTGGTTCAGAAGATATCGACCAATTCACTCTCTGGAACCAGGAAGATGAGCCGGTCATTCAGTCTGCCTGCATCCACGACTTGGTGGAGCAGCAAGCTCATTTGCGCACAGATGCACCGGCCATCAACGCCTGGGATGGACAGCTCACGTACCGAGAACTCAACCAGGCCGCAAATCGAATCGCGCACAAGCTGTACTACGAGCACAATGTCCGGCCAGAGACTTTAGTTCATGTTTGCTTCGAAAAGTCAGTCTGGTACTTCGTGTCTATACTCGCCATCAACAAAGCTGGCGGCGCATGGGTTCCTCTAGATCCCTCTCATCCCACGACACGTCACCAGCAAGTTGTTCGCCAAACAAAAGCCAAGCTGGTGCTTACCTCCCGGCGGAACAAGAGTCTTATGGACGGTCTGATTGATACTGTCCTTGAAGTGACTCCAGAACTTGATGGGCAGCTCATTGCCGATGAGAAATCGAGCGCTCCAGCACTGCGCAGCGGCGCTGGACCCCCAGCCGAAGTCAAGCCTCAAAACACAGTCTACGTCCTGTTCACTTCCGGCAGTACTGGCATCCCCAAGGGTTTTGTGATGGAACATGGCGCAGTAGCCACTAGTCAAAGGGCCATTGCCAAGCGGTTGAAGATGACGCCTCATGTCAAGATTTTGCAATTCGCCGCCTTCGTCTTTGATCTCTGCATCGGAGAGATCATTGCGCCACTCATCACTGGAGCCTGCATCTATGTTCCGTCGGAACATGACAGGATGAACCGTCTCCCCGAGTATATCAAGGACATGGGCATCAATTGGGCCTTTTTGACCCCTGCCTTTGTGCGAACAATCCTCCCCGAGCAGGTTCCCAGTTTGGATCTCGTGCTTCTGGCTGGCGAGGCGGTCGGGCGCGATATCCTGGACACCTGGTTCGGGAAAGTTCGACTGATCAACGGCTGGGGCCCAGCCGAGACTTGTGTCTTCAGCACCCTCCAGGAGTGGACGTCTCTGGAGGAGTCTTCAATCACGGTGGGTAAGCCTGTCGGTGGTTATTGTTGGATCGTGGATGCAGCGAACCCACATCGGCGCGTTCCTGCCGGCTGTGTTGGCGAAATCGTCATTCAAGGACCGACAATTACAAGGGAGTACCTTGCCAATCCCACGATGACAGATGCCACGGTCATCGCCGGCGATGAACTGCCCTCGTGGGCACCAAGGCGGACTGACCCTCACTGGAACCGCTTCTACAAGTCGGGAGACCTTGGCTTCTATAATCCAGACGGCACGATCGAGTTCTGTGCTCGCAAAGACACCCAAGTCAAGATTCGTGGCCTGAGAGTCGAGCTGGGCGAAGTTGAGCATCACGTCCGAAGCAGTCTCGAGGACGCACCGCAGGTCGTCGTCATTCTCCTGAAAGGTGAGGCCGGCAACGCTGCATCGTCCAGTGCCAAGCTCGTTGCCTTTTTCTGTTTCTCCCAGGACTCCAAGACTGCCGGCGTTGATCTCGACTCCGACCTTGCGACAGTTGCGGAAGACATGCTTCTGCCTGTCAGTGAGGATCTCCGTGCTCGCCTGGTCTCTATGACTGGCCAACTCAGCGTGTCTCTTCCACGATACATGGTCCCGACCCTCTTCATTCCGTGTGGATACATGCCGTTCATCACGTCGACAAAGATTGACCGCAACAAGTTGCGCGATATCGCCGCTCAGATGTCGGCCGAGAAGACCATGGCATATTCCTTCGTCGATAGTGTCAAGCGCGCACCTGAAACAAAGATGGAGACTCTGCTCCAAAAGATTTGGGCAGAGATCCTCAACATTCCAACTTCGGCCATCGGGCGGGACGACAGTTTCATCGCGCTCGGCGGTGACTCAATTGCCGCTATTCGGCTCACCACTATTGCAAGAGATTACGGTGTCGAGGTGACCGTTGGCAATGTCTTCAACGACCCAAGGCTGCTGAAGGTGGCTGAGGTCGCGATCGACTTGCGGAGTGAGGACGACTCTGCACCAGCATGGGAACACTTGGCACCCGAGCCATGGACTCTACTACCTAGGGATATTGGTCAAGACGACATCGACCAGGTCGCTCGGGCGCAAATCAATCTCCCCCACGCAGCCATGCCTGTGGACGCATATCCCTGCACAGCACTCCAAGAGGGCTTGATGGCACTTTCGGTCAAACAGCCCGGATCATACATCGCTCGTTTTTCGTATCAACTGCGAAGTGATGTGAGTGTTGCTGCCTTTAAGCAGGCCTGGAATGAAGTGGTACAAGCCTGCAGCAACCTGCGTACGAGAATTATCCGACTTCCCCAAGGCGGCAGCGTTCAGGTCGTTCTTCAGAGCGGTGCGGCGTGGGAATCTACGGCTGGCATGACCCTTCAGGCATACATCAGCTCATCGAGAGCCACCACCATGACTTACGGCTCACCGCTGAGTCGTTATGCGCTCATTGAGGGGGCTGAAAACTATTTTGTGTGGGAAATTCACCACGCCGTGTATGATGGCTGGAGCATGAACCTGATGATGGACTCGCTACACCGAAACTATGGTCAGTCTGTCGGTCCAGTCGATCCAGCGTCTCCCACACCCTCTTTGGTCCCCTATGCTGGTTTCATCCAGTACACTTTGCAATTGGATCAAGACGCTGCTGCGCAGTACTGGCGGTCGCAGCTCAACAGGGCAACCAAGGCCTCCTTCCCGCCACAAACCCGTCGGTCGCCAGAGTCGACAACACATACTGTCGTGCGGAACATTGCTTTCTCCCATCCCAAGAATGTCGGGGTAGTAAGGGCAACCATAGTCCGCGCCGCTTGGGCTCTTGTTCTCGCAGCCTATGCGGACAACGCATCCGACATTTGCTTCGGAGCCACCGTCTCAGGAAGACAGGCTCCTGTACCGGGGATTGAGAAGATCGCCGGGCCGCTCATCGCAACCGTCCCCATCCGCGTCCGTCTCGACCGCCGCCAGCCTGTGGCAGACTACTTGATGTCCATTCAACGGCAGGCTACAGATATGGTCAATCACGAGCAGTATGGCCTGCAGCGGATCGCACGCCTTAGCCCCGGCGCAAAGGCGGCCACGGAATTTTCGACGCTGTTGGTCATCCAGCCCAGGCATATTGTGTCTGCAGACAAGACAAGCGACTCGGACAACAAGGTCATGAAGCTTGTCAACAGCGACGAGGACGCGGTTGATGGTGTTTCGACCATTGACAATTACTTTACCTATCCTCTCGTTGTCCAAGGCCATCTGTCAGACACGGACGTCCAATTGCATCTCATTTACGACTCTGGGTATCTTGACGAGGCCGAAATGACAATTCTCGCGGGGCAGCTCGAGAACGTTGTACATCAACTTGTGCAATTCTCTTCTGGGGACCAGACGCTTGCCGAAGTCACTCTGGCAGGGCCTACCGACATCCAGAAGGCCTTGCAATGGAGCAGCAGCGACTTGGGGGCCACCCGTCTGGACGTGAATGGAGTCGCCACTCCAACATTCCAGAGCCACGTCGAGCACCAGGGCATCCTTCGGCCCAACTCCCCGGCCGTGCAGTCTCCAGATGGGACGTTGACCTACGGCCAGCTCAACTCGCTGTCACAAGCACTGGCAGGTCATCTCAAACGCAACGGCCTAGTACAGCAAGGAGACTTTGTGCCCCTGTGCTTGGATCGCACTTTCTGGATACCAGTTGCCATGCTCGCGATCCATTCCGTTGGAGCTGCCTTTGTTCTCTTCGACTTGGACGCGCAAAGCTCAGATGCAAAGAGGGTCTTCAGGGATGTTGGCGCTCGCTCCATCCTATGCCTGCGCAACCATGTCCCGGCCGAACTTACACTCCTCGGACTCAACGTTGTCGAACTCTCCGGTGAGATTCTCCACCGGGGTCAAGGCAATCTTGATGCTCCGGTCAACGCCAACAGCGTGTCGCACGTACTCTACCCTGCTTCCGAGGGTGGCCAACCTTCAAAGGGGTTGGTCATGGAGCACTTGCCGACTTGTGCAGCGCAATTGCAGCTTCGTGACAGCCTGGGTCTCACGTCACAGGATCGCGTTGCCAACCTGGCAGCAACCAACTCGGAGATCTTTGTCTCCGAGATCATGACAACTTTGATGTCTGGAGCGACGCTGTGCATGCCTCCGACATCTACTGCTCTGGCCAATCAGGGCCTTCTGCAATACCTCAATCAGGCAGATATCAACTGGGCAATACTCTCCTCGGTCCAAGCATCGGCATTGCAACCGAGCGATCTGCCAAAGCTTCGCGGCCTCGTGATCCGATCGCCAGCATCGTTGACCAGCCTCAAGAACTGGGCCAAGGCATCTGACAGCCACCGCATCCTGAACGCCTTGTCTACGCCTGAGTCGGGTTTTGCTACACTGCACGAAGTGAGGCCGGAGATTGACGGAACAGCCCTCGGTCGCCCTCTTGGACTTACAAGGTGTTGGCTTGTCGATCCCGTGAACAAGCAACGTCTTGCACCAATTGGATGTGTTGGCGAGCTCGTAATCCAGAGCCCTACACTTGCCAAGGAGTACCTGAACAGTCCAGACGAAACATTAAAGGCCTTCGTTCCCACGCCTCTCGATGTCAGTGCCGATGATCAGACAGCCCAGCGCCTCCCCTCAGACCATGGGTGCTTCCGAACGGGCTATTACGCCAAATACAGGCCAGATGGAACCATCATCTTGGTGGGCCAGGTCAAGCTCGGCAATTCCGAGCACCGCATTATGGAAGAAGCACCGGAAGGAGTCGCAGAGGCAATCGTCACTCGGGGCAGGACGGGCGAGCTCACAGCGTTCCTAGCACTTGATGACAATGCCATCACCGAGACACCATCTTCAGACAGCGCCACTTTCTTCGTGGAAATGTCGACCTTGAGCGATAGCTTGGGCTCAAAGCTTGTCGAGTTCGTCGGCGACTTGGAAACTGTTCTGCCAGGCCATATGCTGCCTCGCGATTTCGTCTTGGTACGATCGAGCGGCATCCCTCTCCTGGCGTCGACTGGATCGCCCTGCCGGTCTCAATTGCTTCAGGCAATGGATTCGCTCACGGACAAGCAGCTTCTAGCTGTGAGCGTATCAAAGACTTTGCACAGTCACGATCACTCGGAGGCGTTGTCCAACTTGGAGGCACAATTGGCGGAAATCTGGGCCCAAGTGCTTGGTCTCGCCAAGTTTGAGCAGATTGGACGGCAGGACAATTTCTTCAAGATTGGCGGCGACTCCATCAGCGCCATCGACCTCGTCTCCAAGGCGCGACAGCAAGGCATCAGCCTGACCGTCGCTGAGATTTTCGCCAACCCAAGGCTCTCCGAAATGACGAGCGTAGCAGCATTCGACAACGACGTTGAGATCGAGCCCGTCGTTTCCCACGTCTCCGCGTTTAGTCTGCTCTCATCACCTGAGGGCCTCGAGGCAGCCAAGGCTGTAGTCATTGCAGAAGCATCAAAGCAGTGCAAGGTCAGCAGCGCGGAGATTGAGGATGCATTCCCCTGCTCCTCGCTTCAAGAAGGCATGCTGGCGTTGGCAGAAAAGCAGAGAGGCTCATACATGGGCCGTTTCGTCATCAGGCTACCTCAGGGAATGGATGTTGAGCGGTTCACGTCCGCAATGGCCGTCATGGTCGAGCAGTGTCCCAACTTACGCACCAGGATCATCATGTCCGCAAGCCAGGGTCGCCAGATTCAGGTCATCCTCAACAACCCCATCAGCTGGGAACAAGCCCCCTCAGACAATTCACTCGCCGAGTGCCTTGCTGCGCCCGTCTCTCACGCTGCCTACGGAGGTCCGTTGTCCACTTACAAGATGGTCCACGACGAGGCTTCTTGCCAGACGTGCATCATTTGGGAGATTCACCACTCGATCTACGACGGCTGGACATTGAGCCACATGATCCAAGTCCTTCATCGAGCCTATGATGGGCAGTCTCCGGCCTCCCCTCGCGCACCAATTTCGTTCTCCAAGTACGTCGAGCACGCCCTGTTGACGGGCGACGAGGAGATCCGATCCTTCTGGCAGTCGCAATTGAGTGACGCCAACACGGCCAAGTTCCCGGACACCACGCAAGCCTCGCCTGCGGATGTACGATCCGACGGAGTCATGACATACTCTCTGCGGGTGCCAGAGGAGCATCGGTCCTCCGGCATTACCACAGCCAATCTGCTCCGGGCTTCATGGGCCCTTGTGTTGGATCGTTACCTGAATAGCGACAACGACAGCACCGACAACGTCGTCTTTGGAGCTACAGTTTCAGGTCGCGACGCCTCAATCCCTGGCATCTTGGGCATCCTGGGCCCGACGATTGCCACCGTTCCCGTCTGCGTCCGCTTTGGTGACCGCCGCGCAACCACTGTAGGCGACTATCTGGTCGCGGTGCAGGACCGGACGAATGCGATTGTGCCGTACGAGCACATCGGCCTGCACAACATCTCGCGCGTCATCGGCAACTCAGACGCTACCGCATTCCACAACCTCCTGATCATCCAACCCCGAATGGGGCCCCAGCCAGGTGGTTCCGATGGCGAAGCCGAGAACCAACGGGAAATTGACATCGTGGACAAGACCATGGATGACAACGAGAGCTACTACACCTACCCGCTTGTCTTCCAGTGTGTCCTTGGCGACAATGGAGATGTTGCCGTGACCGCCACTTACGACAGCCGCTCCATTTCGCAGGCGCAGATGCAAGTCCTCTGCAGACAGTTTGAGACTGTCGTTCGTCAACTTGGCGACCATTCTACAGCAACGCGCGCGCTCAGCGAAGTCGACCTCTTCACCCCTGAGGACTTTCAGATTATCCAATCCTGGAATCGGGAGCCTGACCGGCCATTCGGTGTGGACGAGGGTGGTGAGGACAGCTGCCTCCACCACGGCGTCGAGCGATGGGCCTCCAGTGAACCAAACCGCCCGGCCGTCGTGTCAACTGCTCACGGCACACTCTCCTATGCGGATCTCGATCGCATGTCGGACCAACTTGCTCAGCACTTGCGGACGCAGTTCGGTATTCTGCCGGATACGCGAGTGCCTGTCTGCATGGAAAAGACACCTCTCGCCATTGTCACTATCCTAGCCATCATGAAGGCCGGCGCCACATTTGTTCCTCTCGAGCCATCTCATCCCGTCGAACGCCGGCGAGCCATTGTTAGCCAAGTCGGCGCACGTCTACTTCTCATTTCTCCCGCACTGGCCGAGGAGTGTCGAGGCATGACAGACACCGTGATCGAAGTTGAACCTGCCATGTTTTCCGCCAGCAACAGTGCCCAGACACTCCCACCCGTCTCTCCGCAGGGTACCGCGTACATCTTGTACACTTCGGGCTCTACTGGCACGCCCAAGGGCATTGTTGTGCCACATGCTGCAGCGTGCACCAGTGTTCAAGGATCCGCTTCCTCGGAGGGCTACAACCTGAATCCCTCGAGCAGAGTGCTTCAATTCTCAAGCTTTGTGTTCGATGTCAGCATCGCCGAGATTTTCGGCGCCTTCATGTTTGGCAGCACTCTCATCATGCCATCCAGTTCGGAGCGGCTGTCAGACATATCCGCCTTCATCCAGGTCAACAACGTCAACACCGCCATGTTCACGACCTCGTTCGCCAAGACTCTCGAGCCAGACAACGTTTCCTCGCTGTCAACTCTCGTCCTTGTCGGCGAACCCCCGACTCGAGAGAGCCTTACCAAATGGGTTGGCCGTGTGGACAGATTGGTCAACGCCTATGGTCCATCCGAGACTGTCATGTTCTGTGGAACGCACGTCTTTACTTCCGAGACGGAGATGCCCTCAACCGTCGGCAGGGGTGTCCCTCACGTCGGCATCATCTGCTGGATCACCGAGATCGACAACCCACAGCGCCTGGCACCCCTTGGCTGCATCGGTGAGATCGTTGTCCACTCGGGTTCGCTGGCGAGTGGCTACTTGAACGACGAATCCAGGACAAACGCCACGTTCTTCCACGGCGTGCCCTGGCTCGCACCCACAAAGAAAGACAAGCGCCATGACAGCTATACGTGGTACAAGACGGGCGATCTGGGGCGCTACAACCTCGAGACCGGCATGATCGAGTATCTCGGGCGCCGCGACACACAAGTCAAGCTGCGCGGCCAGCGACTGGAAACGGCAGAGTCGGAGCATCACGTCAAGCGCCTTCTTCCTGATGTGGAGCATGCTGCCGTCGATGTCCTCAAACGTGATGGGAGAGAAATGCTTGCTGCGTTCGTTGGCTTTGCCCCTCACAGCTCCCATGCCATGGGCGGTGAGGAACAGGAACCTACTTTCGCTCCCATTACCGACTCCCTCCAAAGCGCCTTTGTCGCTCTCACCGAGGGGCTCAAGCAGGTCCTCCCCATTTACATGGTTCCGACGCTTTTTGTTCCAGTCACGCGCATGCCATTCAACAATTCTCTGAAGCTTGATCGTCGCAAGCTGCAACAGATGGTAGAACAGGTGTCTACCCAGGAGCTACTCTCATTCTCCGTCGCTGCTGGCCAAGGCAGCAACGGCGTCAAAACTCCTCCAGCAACCCCGACAGAGTGTGCACTCCAAGCAATCTGGGCAAAGGTACTTGGCGTTGATGCGCAAATCATTGGCAGAGAAGACACATTCAATCGGCATGGCGGCGACTCGATTGCGACGATCCAGCTTGTATCTGTCGCCAATCAACAGGGTGTCAACTTAACCGCAGCCGAGGTCTTCCAGCACCCTCGTCTTCAGGAAATGGCAGCTTGCATTGATGCGAAGAGTGAAGTGCCCGTCTCGGCGGATGAGGACTTGGAGCCATTTGGTCTGTTGTCTGGCCTTTCTGCCCGCACCACCGTCATCCAAGAGGCCGCACGACAGTGTGAGACGCCGGAATCCAGCATTTCTGATGCATTCCCTTGCACGCCACTCCAGCAAGGCCTCATCGCACTTGCTCAGAAGCAGCCCGGTTCCTATGTGGCCCGGTTTGCTTTGCACCTTCCTACACATGTTGATATGGGCCGGTTCCGTCTTGCCATGGAGCGCATGTACCAGGAGTGCAGCAATCTGCGCACCCGAATCATCCTGCAAGACGACGAGCTCATCCAGGTCATATTAGACGAGGACTTGCCTTGGATGGAAATACGCAGTATAGAACCGACATTGGAAGGTGCACTCGAGAGCCGCACTGATCTTCAGTGGTCTGCCGGCTTTGGGCAGCGTCTGTGCCGCTTCGTCCTCGTTCACGACGGCTCTGGCTCCATCCATCTAGTCTGGGACATTCATCACTCCATATATGATGGCTGGTCAATCGGCCTCATGCTGGACATTGCCCAGAAGCTATACAACGAAGACAATACTGTGACGAAGCCGGTTTCGTTCTCGCAGTACGTCAAGTATGTCACAGCGGCATCGGCAGAGTCAGGCTCCATGTCGTCGAAGCAATACTGGCAATCTCGCTTTGCCAATGTCAACATTAGCCACTTCCCGAAAGCATCAAGTGACAACGATATGGAATCCCCCGACGAAGGTGCGAAAACGGATGCCACAATGAAGCACGAGCTTTCTTGGTCGGCACAACACTCTCTCCCGAATGGTGTCACCTTGCCTACAATTCTCCGCTCGGCCTGGGCACTCGTCTTGTCGCGATACATTGACAGCAATGATGTCGTGTTCGGCAACACTGTGACTGGACGCAATGCATCGGTTCCGGGCATCGTCAACGTCGTCGGTCCGACCATTGGCACTTTGCCAATTCGAGTGCGAATCCACGACAACGAGCACGCAGACGCCAGTGTCCATCAATTCCTGCAAAGAATGCAGCAAGAGTCCAACGACATGGTTCCTTTCGAACATGTCGGTCTACAAAGCATCGCCCAAATGGGCAAAGAGTTGCGCGAGGCCTGCGATTTCCAGAACCTGCTCGTCATCCAGCCCGGTGCCCGTCGCAGTACACCGGAAGCAGCATTCACTTCTGACGAGATGAACTTCTTCGACATTGAAGACTTGACGTCCTCTCCGAGCAGCAACTCGCAGCGGTACCACGTGTATCCGCTGGTCTTCCAGTGCATCATCGAGTCATCGGTCTCAGTTCGACTCCTGGCAACCTACGACACGAGGTCGCTGCCCATGGCGACAATGGAGGCCATCTGCCACCACTTCTCACAGGCGGCTACGCAACTGGTTGAGGCAGCCTCGTCCACCCACACTGTTCCGCTCTCATCGATCACCCTGACCTCGGAGTATGACATTGAGAAGGTTCTCGGCTGGACAAGTGATCCTTCAAGCACCATGCAGCCATGGGACTCATGCGTTCATGACCTTGTATCCCAGCAAGCGAGAATCGGCTCGCTCGAAAAGGAGGCTATCTATGCATGGGACGGCACCATGACATACGCAGAACTGGATCAAGTCTCCAGCCAACTTGCCGTGCACCTCCGCCAACTTGGAGTCGGCCCCGAGGATTTCGTGCCGATCTGCTACGAGAAGAGCATGTGGACTATTGTCGCCATGCTTGGCATCATGAAGGCAGGCGGTGCGTTCGTGCCCCTTGATCCAGCCCACCCACCCGCTCGACGAGAGGCTCTAGTCAAGGACATTGGTGGCGTGCAAGTCATCCTTGCATCACCATCCACTGCAACATCGTGCGCCAAGCTAGATGCCGAGGTTGTCGTGCTCTCACCGGCCCTTATTTCGCAGCTACCTAGTCTCTCTACGACGGAAGACGCGTTCGCCGTGAATCCACGGAGCGCAGCATACGCCATCTTTACTTCCGGCTCGACTGGCAAGCCCAAGTGCGTCATCATGGAGCACCTCTCTCTGTGCTCCAGCATTCGTGGCCACGCGGCCGAAATTGGCCTCAATGCTGAGTCTCGAGTACTTCAATTCTCCAACTACGTGTTTGACGTTAGCTTGGGAGAGATCCTCAGCACTCTCGTCTTCGGCGGCACTGTGTGCGTTCCGTCTGACACACAGCGCCTTGCAGGTGGCGAGCTTCCCTCATTCATTGCGCAAAGTCGCGCAAATGTCGCTATGCTTACGCCCTCGGTTGTGAGCACAATCAGCCCCAGCGAGGTTCCCACGCTCAAGACACTTGTCCTCGGAGGCGAGGCGCCGACGCGCGACAATCTGCAAACCTGGGGCGGCCATGTCAGATTGGTCAATGGCTACGGTCCCGCGGAGGCTTGCATCTATTGCAGTGCCTTCGAGATCCCCAGCTCAACGGCTTATCCCAATGTTGTGGGCCGCGGTTCAAACTTCAAGCTCTGGGTCGTGGACGTGAATGAGCCGTCACGCCTCGCCCCCATCGGCTGCACCGGCGAGATTCTTCTTGAGGGCCCGGGCTTGGCCAGAGGATACATGAACAACAAGGAAGCAACATCGAGAGCATTCATTGAGCTTGAGAGAGCCGACTGGTTTGATCAGGAGCCGCGACAAGCCAAACGGCGCTTCTACAAGACAGGTGACTTGGCTCGATACACTACAGAAGGAACAGTACAGTACCTAGGCCGCAAGGACACGCAGGTCAAACTCCACGGACAGCGAATCGAACTTGGCGAGATCGAACACCAAGTCAAAACGACGGCATCCTCACGCGGTCTTGTGGAGCACGTTGTCGTCGACATCGTCCAGAAAGAAAGCCAGGCTGCACTGGTCGCCATCGTGAGCCTCGCGGCTGTTGCCAATGGTCTGAGCGCCTCAGCCCCCGTCATGATGATGATGATGACGGACGCCCTCCGCGCCAAGTTCTCCAGCCTCGCCGCTGATGTTGGTCTCGTGTTGCCCCATTACATGGTGCCTCAATACTTCATACTGGCTTCGCACCTGCCAGCAACAGCATCGGGCAAGATCGATCGCACTACACTACGGGGACATATCAACGAGCTATCCAGTTCGGACTTGAGGGCGTACTACGTCGAGCCCAGCGGGGATGCCTCAACACACGTTGGCAACTCGGTGGCGCCCAAAGCGCCATCCAGCGACCTGGAACGTGGGTTGCAGCAGCTATGGGCCCGTGTGCTCAATCTGAGCACTGATGTCATTGGGGTCGACGACAACTTCTACCGCCTCGGCGGCGACTCCATTCGAGTGATTACCATGGCCAAACGTGTCAAGGAAGAGTTTGGGGTGTCGCTCGGTCTGGGACAAATTAGCGGGAAAGCCACGACGATCTCGAAGCTGGCCATCGACATTGAGGCAGCTCGCGCAGCGAGTGACTCAACTCTGACAGCCGTCGCAAAGCCAGACGGCAATGCACACATCGACCTGCAGAGCGAGATCGCAAGGTTTACAGCAACGCTCACCGACGGCACCACGCAGTCGCCCCGACAGTCAATGGTCTCCGTCCCGACAAGGGCCACTGTGTTCCTGACGGGCGCGACAGGCTTCCTGGGCACCGAAATCCTAAGGCAGCTTCTGCTGTCGCCGGCCGTGGCTCGCGCCATTGCGTTGGTACGTTCCCGGTCGAAGCAAGACGGTGTCGAGCGTATTGAGAAGACAGCCACCGCGATAGGCTGGTGGTCGAGTATCGATGCTGTCGAGAAGGAGAAGCTCGAGGTATGGACTGGGGATCTGTCAACTCCTCGACTCGGACTCGGTTCAGACCAGTGGGGGCAGCTCGTCGGCAGCGTTGACGCAATCATCCACAACGGCGCGGTCGTCAATTGGCAAGCCGACTTCGAGACGCTGCGCGCCGCCAACGTGTCGTCTACTGCCGACCTCTTGTCTACCATCACGGCACGCAACAGCCGTAGCAAACTCGTTTACGTGTCTGGCGGTATCAAACTGGTGGATACACAGAAGAACCAGTCCGAAGTCGCTGCTGAGCTGTCCCGAGGAGGAACAGGTTACATGCAGACCAAGTTCTTGGCCGAGAGCCTTGTGAACAACACAGCGGCGCATCTTGCAGGTCGGACATCGCCGTCCAACGGCCAGCAAAACCGCGTCTCCATCGTCAAGCCGGGCGTCATCCTGGGTGCAGGTGTGGAAGGCGCTGCCAACGTCGACGACTACCTTTGGCGCGTGGTGGCATCAGCCGCCGCTGTCAACGCGTACCCGTCAGAGCCGGAAGATCATTGGCTCTACCTGGACGATGCTGCGTCCGTTGCGAGGTCCGTCATCGATCAGCTACGCTTCGAGGCGCCTGTGCCGAGCGGTGTGACATCGTTTGTTGACCTGCAGCGCGGCATGACTGTTTCGGCGTTCTGGGGCCTTGTCGACAAGGAGCTCGCTGCCACTGCTGGTGCAAGACACCCTGGAGGTCTCAGCTCGCTGTCTTGGGACGACTGGACCCGCGTCGCTCTGGCGCAGATGGAAAGCGTGGGCGAGAGCCACCCGTTGTGGCCCGTCCAGCATTTCCTCGGCAGGCTTGGGACGGGGCTCAGTCCCGTGAAGCAGGCAACGGAGCAGTCGGTCTCGAGGACCGATAGGGAATTGGAAAAGGTGGTGGAGAGGAACGTGCGATACTTGGTTAGGCAAGGGTTGATAGGCGATGGAGAGGGCCGGAGCAACGGCGGCGCGTTTCGACGGACTGGCTTGAACCAGAAGCTGGGGGAGTAGCGACGAGCCGCCTCACGGGAAGCGTGAACAACGGCCCCCCACTTCGGCAACCGGTTCTGCACCACGGCCTGACAACACACATGGATGCACGGAGATGAGACAGCACGCTCTCAGCCGCTCACGCTGCCCATGTAATTGGGCCCGATTCATCCGGAGGACATGCGCAAATTTCTTTTGTTCGTACATAGTTTGTTTTAGCTTTTACCCTTTTACTTGAATATCCGCAATGACTGCGTTCATGACAATGTATCCGTCCCATTCCAGTTCGTGCGTGCTCGATGTCGTTGATGCCTGATAAGGGCGTCCGGTCTCTACATGCGAGGTTCGAGCTTGAACCGTTGAGCGAGCTTCGGTGACATACTGTAGTTGCGAATGACGTACAATCTGTGAGACGGCACCGGCGGCTTGTGCTCAAAAACGGAATGTGCTGTTCGCTGAAGCCACCAATGGCCCTCAGGGTGGTTGCGCGTCTTACATGGAATCGCACTGCAAGCCGCCTGGTTCTGACGGTGGCGGCCGATGGCGCGACGGGAATTATTACAACGCAAGCGATGCTGCAACCCCCACGGCCGAACTGCTTAATCCCGGATGCCATGGATCTACTCAATTCTCCATCTATCAACGTCTCGAATTTAGTTCCACGAGTCGTCTCATGGCATGTCGAGACCGGCACAGGGTCCAGGGTAGGCATGATCGTGACCGGCTTCTTGCACGCCTCATCCGTGTCTCAGCTGGAGGACAGACAATGCGGCCGCGCAATCGCCAAGACCGTTTTTATTCAGCTCCGCTGATGAATGTGAAGAACGCGACGTGCCGGCCGCAGCAAGTGCCTCAAACAGAGTTCCCCTGAATTGATGGTTCTGACCGTGCCGCGTTGAAGCTTTGCAGGGGATAAGCACATGGCACCGGTGTTGTCCGCGGGGCACCCGCGGGCTCATTATGAGTCGAAAAGACTACAGTCAGCCAGTTGCATTTGTCAACGCCAAGCAAATCCTTGGTGCGCAGGTACAAGCTCCTCGTCGCGGAGACTTTCCGTGCCCCCAGCCAGCGGTCGGAGATACTGCAATTCGCCCAGCGCATTGCGTCAGTCCGCACCTCCTGACAAATGACGGGCAGAAACTAACTCTCGCAAACTCCCCGCGGAAGCAGCAGCCGAAAGGGGGCTTGGGCGGTTTTTGAGCTGAGCCGCAGCAGGGACAGTCATTTAGTCATAACTCCGTGGCGAACACGTCCCGGCCGAGTCATGACGTAGCGCAACGCACCAGCTGCGGCCGGACCCGTTGAAAAAAAAACAAAGCTCTTATCGCGGGCCCCGGAAACATTTCAACGAAGCAGCAAGCAGCATTCCTCGACAGTGGACCGGCAAGTGCCTGATCTGCCATTATTAATCACGGAGTCGTGGGTAAAAGGCCCCAGCGCTCTGCGATACGAGCCTTTGCGAGCCCAGGAACAGGACCCTCCCACCTGCGCCAGGAGGCAATGTCAAAATAAAGTCCGCCGCAGGAAGAGCCCCAGGCGTCGGAGATACGTATCTAATCTCCATCATAGTGATTCCATTGCGCCGGGGAGGTCCCTGGTGGGCCTTTGTTGCCGCCGGTGCCGTCACGGCAGTCAGAAAATGGCCATGTTGCTTCCGATGCGTCCAAAGAAGGCGTCTGACTTCCGCAAGGGACCAATGTTTCGTGCTCCGCAGCCCGTCACAACGTGAACTTCCAGCGTTTCCTTTAAAGCCGTAGCTGCTGCGCTTGCTTGCCGGTAGGCACTGGTGGTCTAGCTCTACCAGTCTTGTATCATCCGTCACCGAACAGGCTCTCGAGACCGTCGCAATGGCGTCGACGGGCAACTCGACAAACCTGCCTGTGACTGGGAACGACCCGAACGACGGATATTGGGGTGACACGCACGAAGATGGCCCCGTAGACGAGCAAGAAGCAAGACACGAGTTTGACGAGCTCCAGCGGGAGCTGACGAGACGGAGTACGACTCGGCCTGAGAGCAGAAGAAAATCGACGAGAGGGCAGGGCCATGGCGCTGGGGCGGACGAAGCAGATATCGAAAAGGGGCGAAGCGCTGGAGCTGATGATGGGGCAGAAAGCTCCAGGACACTCCGGGACGATGACTTTCACCTCGAGCGCTTCATGCGCGATGGCCACCTCGAGAAGCGAGATCCGAGTACTGGCGAGTCAACCAAGAAGGTCGGTGTTGTATTCAAAAACCTCACGGTGAAGGGTGTTGGGAGCAGCGTGGCCACCGTTCGCACCCTCCCGCAGGCAATCGTTGGCACCTTTGGCCCGGATCTCGCCAGGTTCCTCTCGGCCTGGGTGCCACTCTTCCGGATGACGAACAACAGCCCGACTCGAGACTTGATTCGCGATTTCACAGGAGTGATCCGGCCGGGAGAGATGATGCTCGTGCTTGGACGACCCGGTGCCGGCTGCAGCACGTTTCTCAGAGCCATCGCCAACGATCGCGGCTCGTTCCTGGGAGTCGACGGCGAGGTGCTGTACGGCGGAATTCCAGCCAACAAGATGGACAAGAGGTTCCGCGGCGAGGTCGTGTACAACGCCGAGGACGACCGCCATCTCCCCGCCCTCACCGTGGGCCAGACGCTCGACTTTGCCCTCTCCACCAAGACGAAGAAGCGGGAGCGCGGGAACATTGACCTGATTGTCAACTCGTTCCTCAAGATGTTCGCGATGCCGCACACCAAAAACACACAGGTCGGCGACGAATACACCCGCGGCGTCTCTGGAGGCGAACGCAAGCGTGTTAGTATCGCTGAGACGCTGGCGACGAAGAGCACCGTGACGTGTTGGGACAACTCGACCCGTGGCCTTGACGCCTCGACGGCCCTCGATTACGCTAAGTCGCTTCGCATCATGACTGATGTGTCCGACCGCACGACCCTGACGACGCTGTACCAGGCCGGTGAAGGCATCTATGACCTGATGGACAAGGTCCTTGTCATCGATGAGGGCCGCATGCTGTACCAGGGACCGGCGACTAAGGCAAAGCAGTATTTCGTCGACCTCGGCTTCTACTGCCCTCCGCGACAGACAACGGCCGACTTCCTCACCTCAGTCTGCGACGTCAACGCCCGCCAGTTCCGCGATGGCTACGAGGCCAAGTGCCCGAAGACCCCCGAGGAACTCGAGAAGGCGTTCCGACAGAGCGCCGCCTACCAGGCAGTGTTGGACGACGTCCAGGACTTCGAGCAGCATCTCAGCCATACCGGACATGCCGACGCGCAGACTTTCCGAGAGTCGGTTCACGACTCCAAGTCCAGGACTGTTATGAGCGGATCGAACTACACCGTCTCCTTCTGGAAGCAGGTCCTCCAGTGTACCCGGCGTGAGTTCTGGCTCATCTGGGGCGATAAGACATCTCTCTACACCAAATTCTTCATCATCATTAGCAACGGTCTGATCGTGGGCTCCCTCTTCTATAACACCCCGAGCAACACCCAAGGCGCATTCTTGCGCGGGGGTGTAGCGTTCTTCTCCATCCTGTTCCTCGGATGGCTGCAATTGTCCGAGCTGGCCAAGGCCGTTTCGGGACGTTCAGTCATCTTGCGACACAAGGAATACGCTTTCTATCGACCCTCGGCAGTCAACTTGGCTCGCGTGTTGGCAGACTTCCCCATGCTTCTCGCCCAGGTCATCATCTTCGGTCTGATCATGTACTTCATGACCAACCTTGACGTGGAGGCGGGCAAGTTCTTCATCTACATGCTGTTTGTCTACGTCATCACCATCTGCGTCACGGCTCTGTACCGAATGTTTGCGGCCTTGTCCCCGACCATGGACGACGCCATCCGCTTCTCCGGTATCGCGCTCAATCTCTTGATCCTTTACACGGGCTACACCATTGCGAAGCCAGTGCTCCTTGATCAAAAGATTTGGTTCGGCTGGATCTACTACATCAATCCAATCAGCTACGCCTTTGAAGCTGTCTTGACCAACGAATTCTCCGGCCGCGACATGCAATGCGCCCCCAGCCAGCTCGTTCCCCAGATTCCCGGTATTGACCCTCAATATCAAGGATGCGCGATTGCCGGATCGCAGCCTGGAAACCCCACGGTCCCGGGTGCACGATACATCAGCGAGCAGTTCAACTACAGCCGGTCGAACCTGTGGCGAAACTTTGGTGTTGTCATTGCATTCGCGGTTCTGTACATCCTGATCACGGTTGGCGCCACTGAGGTGCTGTCATTTGCCAGCTCCGGGGCTGGCGCGCTCGTGTTCAAGTCCTCGAAGAAGACCAAGGCGCGTCAGGGTAAGGCCGACGTGGAGGAAGCAGGTCGTCGAGCCTCGGATGCCGCAATTGAACGGCAGCGAACGCCGGACGAGGTGTTGGAGCAGTTCGCGAGAAGCGAGCAGATCTTCACTTGGGAGAACCTCAACTACACTGTGCCGACGGCGCAGGGGCCGAAGAAGCTCCTCAATGACGTCCACGGTTACGCCAAGCCTGGGGTGTTGGTCGCCCTGATGGGAGCCAGTGGTGCAGGCAAGACAACCCTCCTGAACACATTGTCGCAGCGCCAGTCAGTGGGTGTTGTGGAAGGCCAGATGCTGGTCGACGGCAAAGGACTCCAGCCAGATTTCCAGCGCAGAACTGGCTTTGTCGAGCAGATGGATCTGCACGAGGGCAGTGCGACGGTGCGAGAGGCTCTCGAGTTCTCTGCGCTCCTCAGGCAAGGGCGAGAAGTGCCCCGCGAAGAGAAGCTGGAGTACGTCGACAAGGTCATCGACCTCCTGGAGCTTGGAGACATCGCCGACGCCATTGTTGGCTCTCTGGGCGTCGAGCCTAAGAAGAGACTGACGATCGGCGTGGAACTCGCCGCGAAGCCGTCGCTCCTGCTGTTCCTTGACGAGCCAACAAGTGGCCTCGATTCGCAATCCGCCTACTCGATTGTCCGATTCCTGCGGAAGCTATGCGCGGCCGGCCAAGCGATTGTCTGCACGATCCACCAGCCTTCGTCCGAGCTGATCGAGCTTTTCGACCACATCCTGGCGCTGAACCCCGGCGGCAACACCTTCTACTTCGGGCCTGTGGGACAGAACGGTCGCGCAGTCGTCGACTACTTCGCGGCTCGCGGCGCAAAGTGCCCCGAAGGCAAGAACGTCGCCGAGTTCCTCATCGAGACGTCTGCCTCGGCGCGCGAGCACTGGAATGAGCAGTGGCGCATCTCTGACGAGAACAAAGCCCTCCACCAGGAGATTCAGCGCATCAAGAGCGAGCGCAGTGCGGTCCCCGAAAACAAGGACGTTCTGCAGCACGAGTTCGCCGCTCCGGTGTCCCAGCAGATTCTGCTTCTGACGAAGCGCATGTTCCTCAATCAGTGGAGAGCCCCGAGCTACATCTACGGCAAGCTATTTACAGCCATCATCGTCGGCATCTTCAATGGCTTCACCTTCTGGAAGCTTGGCGATACTGTCAACGACATGCAGAGCCGGATGTTCACATCGTTCCTCATCTTGCTCATTCCGCCGACCGTTCTCAACGCCATTTTGCCGAAGTTCTACATGGATAGGGCGATCTGGGAGGCTAGAGAAGGTCCCAGCCGTCTCTATGGCTGGGTGGCATTCTGCACGGCGTCCGTCGTCTCGGAAATTCCTGGCTCATTCATCGCGGGTGTGCTGTACTGGGTACTCTGGTATTGGCCTACTGGCCTTCCGACCGACTCGTCGACCTCTGGTTACGTGTTCCTGATGACGATGCTCTTCTTCCTGTTCCAGTCCAGCTGGGGACAGTGGATCTGCGCCTGGGCCCCAAGTTTCACCGTCATCAGCAACGTGCTGCCCTTCTTCCTGGTCATGTTCTCGTTGTTCAATGGCGTTGTTGTTCCGTACGCGCAGCTCAACGTCTTCTGGAAGTACTGGGTACGTGCAATGCCCATCCCTATTCTGACGAAATACTGACTCATGGCGCAGCTCTACTACATCAACCCCAGTACGTACTGGATCAGTGGTGTTTTGGCAGCCACTCTTCCCCATCAAGTGGTTCGGTGTGCGCAGAACGAAGCCGCGCACTTCAATATTCCCTCGGGCCAGACATGCATGGAGTTTGCGCAAAGTTTCGTCGAGAAGGCAGGCGCCGGCTACTTGGTCGACCCAGATGCGACGGGATCCTGCAGCTACTGCCCGTACGCCAACGGCACGGAGTACTTGGACGCCTTGAGCATCAAGGCTAGCCAGAAGTGGCGCGACTTTGGCATCTTCCTTGCCTTCTGTGTGTCGAATTGGGCGTAAGTTCCATTATACCCCAAACAGCATGTTTCGAGCAAATGCTAATTGTTGAGCGCAGGCTGGTCTACTTTTTCATCTACACCGTCCGCGTGCGAAAGTGGTCATTTGGGTTTGGGCTTTTGTTCAAATATCTTTAGAGTGCGAGCGGCTGCGATTTGAGGAACAAGCGCAGCGCATATTTGCCTGTCGTGTCAGAGCACGGACAAACGACTCCCAGTCGTGCACATCTACCCTTGTAGTGGCGTCAGTTAGGCGTAAACCATAGAACAAAAGAGCGATAGATATGGGCAAGACGGAGACGGAGGCACTTGACTACCGGCGCGGGATCTTCTCGATTCGTGCTGGCCATCTCCAAATGCGACTCGTTGCCTGTCCTTGCCACCACCGAGGTGTTGGCTTCCCGTTGCATGTGTGCTCCATCGATCCACCACAGCCCAGCGATCTCGGCTTCATCCCCGCATCTTCGCCATGCCACCCTTACCCATGGGTGCGTCCAATCGCGACTCTGGCCACACCAACCCGCACTTCCCCGCACGAGGATTGCAGACTAATGCGCCTTAGCTTCTGCACGATGGCGTCGTGGCTCAAGGAACCGAGCTGCCTCCAAATGCCCCAAGGCTGGGTGAGAGTTCAAGCCTCGGCAGAGCTTGTGCTGCGTGCTTAAGCTTTGCGATTCACGTGGATGAGATTTGAACATATGTATTTGCATGGGTGTAATCGGGAGCGCCTACATACCTTCATTCTGCATGCACAACTGACTCTAGTCACCATTGGCGAAGATGCAGCATCAAAATAAGATCCAGAAGCGACATTCGCTCATCGGCCACCGCCTGTCGTGGACCGGTCCACCCCCGAAGGCGATGGGCCCGAGGACCGCGCCCGGATATCTGGGCAATTTGACGGACGCGCAAGAAGCAAAGCTGCGCGCCCTATGGGCCATTGGCATCAAATTCGTCGAAATTTGCGAGGCCGACGCGGAGTCCAACGATGCAAAGTCACTCGAAGAGAAGTATGTGCCTCTAGCCAAGAAGTCCTCGTCCTTGCCAAAGGGAGAGGGCAAGCCCAGCGCGACCCATCAAAAGTATCCAGGACTGGTCAAGGAGCTGCTGTCGCTGCTGCCCACCGATGAGAAGGACATACAAAAGCTGGCCAGACAGGCCGTCGATGCCCTGGACCACTGGACACCGGAAATGTACCACCTCATCGTCATGCGCATGGTCAAATGCGAGCATCCGGATGCTTTGGGTCTTCGTTTCCTCCGCGCCTGCAACTGGGACCTTATCCAGGCGACCAAGATGATGGGCAAGGCCATATACTGGAGGGCAATGGAGGCCGCCGTGGACGACGACATCATGAAGCGAGGCGAGGCGGGTGCCGCAGAAGACGAGAAGAACGGCTTCGGGCTCGCCAGAACCATCAGCACGGACTTCATGAACCAAATCAGAAGCGGCAAGGCATTCATTCACGGCACGGACAAAGTGGGACGGCCCATCAGCTACATTCGACTGCGAAAACACAAGGCGTCCGATCAGTGCTACCAAAGCCTCGAGAGATACACAGTATACCTCCTGGAGCTGGCCCGCTTGTCCCTACGAGCGCCGATTGAAACGGGCGTAAGTCGAGACTATAAATAAGTACGCCGAGTATGGAGTCACTGCTAATTATCCTGGCAGACAATCCTGATTGACATGAGTGGGTTCGTCACTTCGAACATCGACCTCTCTCCTCTCAAATTCATCATCAACTGCGTTCAAGCAAATTACCCAGAATCGCTTGGGCTTCTTCTCATACACAATGCCCCCATAGGGTTCAAAAGTAAGTCGCATGCGACCGCCTGTGAGCATCACTTCGGCCGGTTTACTGATACCGTCTCTCGCAGCACTATGGAAGATGGTCCGCTTCTGGTTGGACCCGGCAGTAGCTTCGAAAGTTCGGTTCACTCGGGGCAAGCGTGGCCTGCTGAAGTACATCGCACCTGATCAGCTGCTTAAGGAACTGGGTGGGAACGAGGACTGGGAGTACGAGTACGAGGAGCCGCAACCTGACGAGAACATCAAGATGCAAGACACAGACACGCGCGATCGATTGCTTAAGGAACGACAGGTCCTTGCACAGAGGTTCGAAGACCTGACGCAAGAATGGGTGATGAGCGCCCAACACAGCGACAGGTCCAGGGAAATTTGCGGAAGACGAGACGCCCTGGCCGACAAGTTGACTGCGAATTACTGGGCACTAGACCCGTACATCCGGGCGCGATCAATCTACGACCGACATGGGTACTTTCGAGGAGCGGCTGGAGCAGAATGGTACGCCAGAACCAAGCAAACTGCACCGGCAGTCGCCACAGCGCCGGTTACGAATAACAAGACGCCCGGAGACGAGTCCCCTGTGTTAGGCAGGTCATCAACATCGGACGGCATGTCGACATTACGCAAAGCTTCGCTTTCCGATGGAATGTCGACCTTGGGAAGGGCGTCAACGTTCGATGACACACCGACGTTGGATAGATCGTCGACCTCGGAAGACGAGGTTTTCTTCCTGGACGAGGTGCCCAGGGTGGAGATTGAGAAAGTGCCCGATTTTGCCAGCGTACATGTAACCTTCGACCGCGTTAGTATTATTGGAGGCGATGACTCTTCATATTACAGCGATGTCGATAGGGCTGAACCGTCAAGGTTATGGGGGTAGAATACTTGTTTTGCCCACTCTCAAAGCATACTTTAGCCCCATTCTTTGCGAATGTTCTGCCTGGTGACATGAACCAAGCTGAAAACCGCCAGGAAGTGGCCTCCCCGATGAGGTGGCGCATTGATACAGCATCTCTTTTGGGCAGCGAAGCCACATTGCTAGCGGCCTACTTCGGAATACTCATGCCAACAAGGTGTGGCTATGCCTTCGCTTTTAGGATCTCTTTAGGATTGTTTGGATGTGGTGGCTGATGCCCCCTTCTTGAACGAGGATACACCGTGACGCTGTTATGTCCACAACGGGAAACCAACGCTATCCAACATTGGCCTGTGTTCGCAAAAATAGGTTATGTCAGACGCCACTGCTCAGCTGTTGCTAGATATCCGACGCCATGCCGAACCGGCAGCACATATGCTGGGCTGTGTGCTAGGTGCGGCTGAGATCCTCACTTGTTGACGTTGGCCGGTCCCGAGGCTGCCGAGCCACGGCACTCAGGAATCGAGTACCGAGACCACCGGGACTAATGGGGAAAATCGCACGGGAGTGGCGTCACACATGTATGGCAGCAGAGGCTGGGTGCGGCGCAGATCGAGGGCGGCGGCGCAGGCTGAGGCGGCGTCAGATATTTGACGCTTTTAGAAACTCGTGGTGGTAGCCTGACAGATGACCGGGAAGGCTTGGTGATGGAGGTACAGCGCATCTTGTCCTACGACATTTGCACCGTAGACGAGCGCGCGAGGTCCCTGATCCTCCTCGCAAGTATAAATCATCGTTGTTTCCCCCGACTTCTATCCATCAATCCCAGACCACACCAGCAAGCACCACAAGTCGACGGCATAGCACAAGCACTGCTCTTCCAAGTCCTTCAAGATCGTTAGGCCCTATCCCCTTCAGCTTCCCAAGCAACATTAAGAGCCAGCCAGTACTCCGATACTTTGAGACCTTAAGAACGTTCAAAATGAAGTCCTCCACCATTGCTATCCTCGCCGCCGCTGCCACTGGCACCATCGCAGCCCCCAGCAAGATTTATGCGCGAAACGGTACTACCACGACATCAAACTTCATTCTGCCGAACGCAATGGCAGTCCACAGCATTAACAGCAACGCCAACACCCCCTCTACGCAAATCCAGACTATCCGCCTGGGCGGCGTGGAGACTTCAACGCTCGTGTCGTTTGTGATCCCGTCAACGGCAACCGGCACGTGCAAAACACATATTTCCGCCGGTCGGCTGGGCAGCGGAGACAAGGTCCAGGGCTCGCAGATCGTGGACATCTTCAGCACGCTGCTCACCGACATCAACACCACTCCGTCGGGCAATCAGCGCAACCTTGGGCTCGGTCGTCTGCGCTTCAACGGTGCGACCAACGAGTTTGACTTTGACGCGCGCGATGTCCAGCCGACTATCCAGACGTTTCCCTGCCCCGCTGGCAAGACGCTTCAGTGGGAGATTGTGGCCGTTGGTGAGAGTGACGAGGTTATCATCGGACAGGACTTCACCTCCAGCGGCTCTGGTGTCCCCAACGGCATCTCTATCGAGTTCTAGCCACTGTTGGTCGTGGGTGGATTCTATTTGCTTTTGACATGCATTCACTCGACTGCAAAGCGCATTAATGCTGTTGCGATGGGAGGTACTTGGCAGCTAGAGACTTGTTTTGACCTGATACAATTGGTTTCTTGTTTCTAGATCATTGTTTATATATATCATTTTCTCCTGCTCTACCACATGTACCTTGAAACAGCTTCAGTGGTTCCAACGAGACCGCGGCGGAAGCTCTGCCTATTCGTCATCGTCCACCCCTACCGCCGTCTTCACCTCCCTCAGTGAGGGGAGGTTAATATCGTGAAGCCCCAGCGTTGCCCTCCCGTACAATCCGCTCTCATCCCTGACGACACGCCTCTTATCATGGCTGCCCAGAACTTTGCCCAGCAGCTCGGCTGTCAAGCCCTGCTCCAGGAAGCGCTTCACAGCCACAGTCGTCACATCGTAGATGTCTCTATCGCCAGATCTGAAGTCATCGAGCGCTCGGTGCGCTCTCAACGATGTGTCGTTTGGGTTGTCGATGAAGGCAGCAACTTGTATGGAGAACTCCTTAGCTCTACCCACCACATCTCGCATCTCACTCTTGATGGCATCCACCTCTGATCGTTGCAGCTCAGATGCAGTCAGAACCAAGACGCTTGTCGGCGCCGTCAGCTCCGAACTTTCCAGGCTCTTAATTTTGCATATCGCCTGCCGCAGGGTGAAGGCCAGGCTGTTGAGGAGTCTGGGCTGCTGCTTCGACTTGCTGAGAGCCTCCTTGGTGTGCGCGAGTAGGGCGTCCGACTCCATTCCGCGAGCATGCCATCCCTCCCAGGCCTGCAGCTTCATCTCCCGCACATGGGCCAAAAGCTTGAGGAATTTCTCAGGCGTGTTCTCGTTGGCAGTCATCCAATCCTTGAGGCCAAAGTGGCGGCTGTATGTCGGAAAATTGTCGACATATCGTTGTGCCTCGTACCAGTCATTGCGGACGAATAATCCGTCGAGGTATTCCTCCCTGCTTCGAATCTCCTGCGGCAGCTTGCGCGTGTTTCTGTGGTTCGTGAAGAAGATGGTGGCGTCTACATCCAGCGACCGAAAGATGAGTACCAAACAGCAGGCAAATAGTTTGATGGCATCTTTCGTTTGTCGTCCCACTCGGAAATTGTCGTCAATGTACAAGTAGACGTGTCGGGAGGGTAATGATCGCAGCAGGCCCTGCTCATGCGCGAGCTTCACGGCGGAGAGAAAGATTTGCGACCAGCGCGTGTCCTGTTCGGTGTAAGGAGGAGGCTCATCGGAGGTCAAGATTGAGCGAGGAGCGAATATGTTGATGCCATTTTGGGATGATTGACTCGGCGACGGGCCGTGGGGTTTCTGCGAGAAGTCGACAGGTCGCGCCGCATCCACAGTGTCATCCGCCGCCCGCTTGGCACCAGAGTCGCAGCTGAGAACGTTTCCCATGAGTTGAGATGCAGAAAGCTGGCAACCACAGGTCGAATTTGGAAGAAAGTATCAGATAAGATGGTGAGTGTTGAAAGCGCTTGCCTGTGACGATCTCACAATGAGCTATCAGAAAGTCGTTGAAAGGAGGCAGCCGGACTGTCTGCCTTGCCCTGACAGGGGTGCTGTAAGACAGCCCGTGGGTCGGCCAGTTGTTGGTCCGGCTGCAAGCAAACACTGGTCGGCTGCGCCGTTCACACGTCGGCGCCGTGGAATGAAATCGGCACTCGACATCAATTGAGTGTGCTCGCCTTGTCACTCGACGATCGCGCGGCGCCCTGTATGTGCCCGTGCATAGACAAACAGCACAGAGGATAACCCTATTCAGGTTGACTCGACATTGCCCGAGACCCGAGGCTGCATCCCCTGCGTTACAAGCCACATTTGGTATCCGCTGTCATTCGGATCACTATGTGTCTCTGTGGAAGTCGTGAAATCGGCCACCGCAAGAATGAGAGGAGACTATCTCATGGAGAAGTCAGTCTTGGCAACCAACAGTCTCGTAGGCCACAGCTGACAGTGCGGCCAGTCATTGTAACCAGCCCCCTCAACCAGCTTGTGGGCGTGATTCAATGCCCATCTGCCGGGGGTGAGACCCCTGTGCCCCGCTACGCAGTGCCCAGATTTTTGCAGTCCCTGGGATTCCTGCGTGTTGAAGCTCACTAGCTTCGCGCACTATCGGGTTACATGGGCGCTCGCCGACGGTTTCAACGTCGCTCATGACACGAAAAGGCTACGGTGCTAAATTGGCGACGGCTCATCACTCTTCGAAGCTCGAGTTCTTCTTTTGGTTGTTGTATTTATTTACACGAGAACTTTATCCTCGCTTGGCCACATCCTCCAGGATAACACTGGCAGCCAGCTTGCCGAGGTTGTTCGACGCCAATGGCGAGTCGCCTGTCAGGACGTACCTGTCCCGGTGCGTCTCGCCGGTGATGCCCGCATTCAGGGGGGTGACGCCAAGCTTGCGAAGGCTCTCACCAACCAACCACTCCATCTGACCCGGAATATATCCAATGTCCACGTTGGCGCCCTTGTCCAATGAGTCGGGGAAGACCACGATCTTGTAGCCGTCGTAGATGTACTTGCTGCCCTCGGGCTTGCCAACGTTGGCAGCAAGCATGCATGACGGGCCGTGACAAAGGGTGATGAGATATCGCTGGTTCGCATCGGCCCAGCGGAGGACGTTGCCAACGGTTTCCGAGAAAGGAACATCTGTCAGGACACCATGGCCACCTGGGATGAAGACGCCGATATAGGGGGTCTCCTTCGTGAATCCCTTGCCCCAAACTTCCTCAAGGTTGAGCGGCTTGCGAAGCTGGTCCTTGTACTTGTCGAAGAACTTCTTGACGGCTTCGTCCTCCTTGGGGAACGCCCACATCTCGAACTTAATCGGGCGGCCTCCGATCGTCGCCACGTCAAAGTCGAAGCCGGCGGCATCGAGATGCATCATGGGCAGAAGAAGTTCCACAGGGTGGTTACCCGTTGAGAAGAACTTGCCATCCGCCATCCGCAGGTAGCGCTCTCCGGTACCGACCAGGAGGACCTTCCACTTGCCGCCTTTGTAGGCATTGGGGTAATCCGCACCGCCAAAGTCCGTCTTCGGGGCAGTGTACTGGGTGAGGGAGAATGGCGACGGGAACCAAGCGTCAAACTCGGCCGGGTCGGCTTTCGGGGCGCGGTCGGATGAGTTCGCCATGATTGCTTCTGCGCAGTGGTTGCTTGTACTTGGGAATGGTAAAAGTCAGAGTGGTTGTAGAACAAAGACCCTTGCCAACCTCATGCGGTAGATGCCATTATATAGTGTCAGTCGTCGCCTGGCAGATCCACATTGACCGATGAACCCGGATGACGAGGCGCGTTTATGCTTTTGATCCAGTTGGCGTTAGGCTACGGGATAGGAACCACTAATGCATTAAACATTGTTGTGGATGGCGGCGGTGCCATTTCTTTGGCTCAGTCCCTCCAACTGGTCCTGTCGTGCGAAATCCGAGGGGAATGCTGCCAAGTTGAGACATTGAGTTTACAGCCATGCGTTAGCTAGCTCCGCCATCGGTTTGCAACGTGCGGCTCTGAAGCTCACAGCCAGGGTGCTTCCCCAGCCCTATCGCCGAGGCCCTCTCTCGGAGTTAGCGCGTGCTGAAACCTGACACTGACATTGGTTCCTCCCACAAGGTTCGCAGGTTTATTAACGGCTTCCACCAAGTCGTCGGCTTACTCACGGTTTTGTCATGTGCCACTGACGCTCCAAGAAAGCTTATTTCATGCTGGTCCCCTGCCGCCATACTGCCTAGCTCAGGAGCCATTGCCGGGGTCCACTCACAGCATGGAGCTGCCTACCAAATGCGCATATTCAGCATCCACGCAAGCCACGATAAAGCACCTCTTCCTAAAAGGGTAGTACTACAAAACCGCCGGGTCCAGTAATGTCAAGCCAGGCATCTGACCCCACGAGAACGATGAACAGGCTGTGTTGAATATGAAGCTATCGTTTCACACGATCAGTGGCTGCGGGTTGGGGGGGGGGNAGCTGCGCTAGTGCAGCCGTCACGACAATTTCCAGGCAAAAAACGGGCCTGCAACCAAGCAACAATACTTGGAAGTTGGTTGAATTAAGAGTTTGAAACTCAGATGACATATTGCCGTCGATCGAATGCCCAGACGCTTGGTGCCTCAAACCAAACTACCAATTTCAACTGGTCGAAGTATATCCTTTTCGCTGTACTATTGCATGTCATCAATCAACCATGAAGCTACTGAAAAGTCCTCAAACAAACTTCAGGCGGCTCCCGGATATACCAATGTAATGGGGCCAATACATGTAAAAATTCGCCACGGGTATTTCCCCCAAATGCAATGTTCGATGTAGGGTGAATCGATCTACTTCATTAAGGGCTCACGAGGCGGGTCAAGGACGTTACTATCTGCATAATCGTCGCGCTACAGCAAACAAATCTGTACACCAAGTCTATCGGAAGATAGGGTCAAGTAGGGAATCCTTCCTATTCGAGACCTCAAGCTTCATGTTGTTTCGGCTATCGGCCCGCATAGCACTATTGGTGTTTATCAGTGGTGAGCTGCGGCCCGGTACCGTCCTGTTTTTGACGGTTACTGTTTACCCAATAAGAGAGTGCAGTAAACTGCGGGCTTTCCAAAGTCAACATCTAAAAGAGTGCTGCCGAAAAGGCGGTAAGTTGCTGTACCAATTGCTCAGCTTTATCTGTCAAATGACGCGCAAGCTTGTGCATGTACGGCTGACATGTAGGTCCGTGCGATGGATGCACCGCCAACAGATACATTGAGTCCTGTCATACAAGTACAGTAATTGGGCACCGCGATGAACGACTGAGATGTATGAGATCTATGGATATATGTACGGGCAGTATATGTATGCGCGTACAGTGTCCACAGAACTGTATGGCTGACAATTTCCTCGTCTCGAACCCTGCACCGGGATTAATCCAATAGCATCCTCCTGGCACACATGGTGCTTATATTGTTGGCTGCAAACACGTGATCGTGCAGTGAGAGGAAAGGAATACGGGTAGAACCATGCCTTTTGCAAAAGAAAAGGAAGGGCGGACTCCTCATAACACCAGTTGGATTGCGAGCTCCCGAGGAAAATGCTAGGCTGGGTATAGTCTTGTAGTGCAGATGGTAGAATTCCTATAGCCAAGTCTGGACATGTGCGCCTCATCAAATTGGTCGCGTACATCACCATTTTTGCTAACGTATACATACGTAGACTGCTTCCAGAGCCGGTGCCCCCACCAAAGCCATTGTACGAGATCTATCGACCGCAGTCGCCCGAGAAGCAATATCCGCAGTCCTCGTTCCAACTCATCTTACTCATATCAATGCCACCGCTGCCATCTGCTTTTTTGGCACAGCACTTCCCACCGGACGACATGCTAGTGAAGACTCAGCGACGATTCAGCAAGTTTCTCCGTTACGGACATGCGCAATGCACGCCCAAGATAGGAGACAGGGTTGGACATCAGTGTACCAGTGTGGCCATGATTGTTGCTTTCGTAGCTTTTTGCCTGAACAAATGTTGGAAGAAGGGCGACCAGAATCGCAACTTTCAGCCGGAAAGACATCGTCACCGGGGGTCACGCCGGAGCCGTCCTCCAGTTGGGGCATGGCAAACGCCAAGGCCACTAGGAAGCTTGCATGTGCGAAGGAGGCAACAGTAGTAGCTAGCTTCATCTTAAAGGTTGGAAATGTGTAGCTGATGGAGAAATCTCCTGCCTCGATTCCCCCTTGACGTAGCGACCGCCTTTTCTCGAACACGATTCTACTCAGAACCCAGACTTGCGATCTGCGCTCCAAGTTAATTTGAGTCGGGAAGTGCCGTAAATCTGTGCTTGTGCCCCACGGCTGCGGGCGGATGCCAAACCTGGGGACGTGCGAACATGTACCAACTCCAAGACATGCTGCGTCCGTGGAGCAGAAACATCCTTCCCGTGGCCGCTGCCCGCAGTTTGCCGGTAGGCTCTTTGGCTCTATAGATCTTCACGAACGCGATGAGATGTGCCATTGTATGAGAAGCCATTATCCTAGGTCTAGATCGCGACTTCATTCGTCCAGCATCTTCACACTGTCAATTGTGATACATCAAAAACGAGGCACCTCGTCTCCGAAAAGTGGTTGGCCAACGAGGCATGGATCTGCATTGCCTGAGACGGTAGTTCGCGAGGCGGTGGATAAATGATGCTATACTGTACCTTAGGCTGGGTGTCAGAAGTACAGCACAGGACTGCACCCGCGTAGTCTGTTTTTACCGCCCGTTTCGTTCGCCAAACAGTTGACGTCGGAGTAAGCAAGTCAGTCTACTCTACTATTGTGTTGCCGCAAATTCTCCCCGCAAGTTGACACAAGCTATAGCTCATCCACCGTTAGACGAGTTTCCGGCTGTCAAGTCCCTGCTGAACGAAATGACGTTAAAAATTGGGAGTTGCTTGTTTGTTTGACACAAAGCCTACTGCCAAAGCTTACTCTGTGACTGTGTTGCCAAGATCGAGGATGCCAGTCCTGTAATGCATCCTTGCGACGATCCCGGTCTCCGGATCAAAGAATCGAACGAAACCTTCGTACAACAACAAATCCATCCCGCACTCGCATCCCAAATCACCGTCATTTGCCCCATTGTTCAAAGCAACCAAGGCAAGAAGTAAGGCTTCCTCAATGTCGTCATCTGCCCCATCATCCATAAGCCTTGCAAGGAGCCTCCATGCGTCATGACCTTCGCATTGGGTGCTGGAACAGCTGCAGCCCCAATACAACTGTCGAACCTTCGCTTTGACCTTGCTGTATAACATTCCATAGGAACTGAGCTCATTGCTTGATCTAACCATACCCGGCCGAACTATCTTCGAAATCTGTTCCAACTCAGGCGGCGTGTTTGGCTCCGCGTGCTGAATGTTGATCGCATCGTACCTGGCCAGCCTTGGAACGTTATATCTCCAGAACACCAGGTAGAATGCGTTTGTGCCAACAATGCTGTCGGCCAGATCGTAGTCAGAGCTATCCATAGCCCATTGCAGGACGTCGAGGATGCACGCCGCAGCATCCACCACCTGTTGATCACTTGTGAGACTTCTCACAAGGTTGTTGGTCTCTCCACACAAGATGTCTCTTTCGTAATCAAGGATGTCATTGAGTGCGCACATAGCCCAAGCCGCCACGATGCCTCGCGCCATATGCAGCTCGTCCCCAACTGTATGGTAAGCGATGAATCCACCCGCCCTGTCTCGAAGCAATCGATCCATTCGTGCGGGGGTGTCCGCTTGATCCGGGACATACTTTTTCGGCTTCAAGTTTCGGACACGCTGCAATTCCGTCTTGATCAATTCCGCAGCGTCACCATTCATAACCTCTACACATCGTTGGGTGACGTCGAGAGGCACGTTGAGCCACAGCCATTCGGCAGCCTGCATCCAACTCGCTTGCCAATCGCGGTATGCTGCTCTCGTAGTACCGTAGTCGATCGCTGTGGACATATTAGCAAGCAGGAGTTCCAAATGGTAGGCAGGTCTCCATCTACTGTCCCTGGACACAAAGCAAGACCAGCCACTCCAACCAAACCAAACTTCCAAATCACCTCTTCGCCACACCCCACCAGGCTCGGAGTCGTATCGGTCATTGTAGTTTCCAATCTTTCGGGCCCCAGAGTCACGTTTGAGCACAGTGCCATTCTCAGTTACGCCCGTCCATCCGCCGGAACCCTTTCCCAGGTGCTTTGCCCTCGCCATGTCGGGGTCTCGCCCGTCCGTCACTCCCTCTCCATCTCTATGCGCTGTTGCCTTGTTCACCATCTCGCGGACCTGATCCAGCATGTTTGGGTCAAGTATTCCGGTCGAGTCGACGTGTCCAACCTCTGGTTGAATAGCGGTTGTGGACAGCACGTGTTCCGCCCACAGTCGTCTCAGGTCCGGCAACTTCCTCTTTACCACCTCGGCAGCGCCACAACTTGGAATTGGCTGCACATCGGTTATTGTGTTACCGTTGAAGAAAACCCATCCTCCATATACGCAATGAAGGCCTTTGGATGCAGCAGACCGGCTTCTTCGGCTCCAGAACCCTCCGCACGCCTCTGATCCGACATGTCCGGGGCAGGTGATGTAATGAACTGTAGTCCCGATCTTGGCCGTGATTGAGGCTGTCCAAGATGGTGGCGCGTTCTCCTCAGCCCTCAATGGACCCCATTTCTCCACTCGTCGAGGCAACCACTGCTCGCATAGCTCTGTTCGTATTTTCGCAATCATTTCCGTCATGTCCGCTCCTGGAGAGGGCGAATGGCCTGTGGCAATCGGCTTTCTATGGGGTTCCATGGCGATGGGTTGACGGAGATGGGTGATACAAAAGCCTTGGAAGTGAATCGTTCCTTGACTCGAGAAAATAATCTTGCCTTGCCTGTGCGATTGCAAGACTTTGACACATGCCAGACATTGAGGGACGTTGAGGCATACGAAGCGGGTCATTCCCCATCAGATCTTGGGATTTAAGTACTGAGCTACGATCTATCCTTGCAGCAAAAAGGCCATGGAGTGTGACACAGTCATATCAGTAGCGGGGCTTACCACTCTTCGTAATATCATACTCTAAAGACGGGAAACGTGGGCTCTTCAGAATCCACTCGAACCATGCGGACAGCAAAACGCACGCGTAATATCGATAAAGAGGCGACTGCAGCGCCAGGATCAGGCCCCGAGCAAGGTGATACGCAGACCCTCCGATGCTGCATGCCCTTTTGTACTTACGAAATATCGTGAGGTATAACTCTGGTTCCACCTGAATCGTCGGCGCTGATAACCACCCGAAATAGCCGGTCTCCGATGGTACATATGCCACCAAAACAAGGACGTGATGGTGTAGATGCAGAGACGTGCAGCGGAACTCTCATCCCCGATGCGCTCCGTACGACAAGATGCCAGTTCTGACTGCTGCAAGCCTTCCGGGGCCACGATTCATGCAAATGATCGTCAGCGTGCTCGAAATGAACATGTGCAGTAGTCTCTCAATGCAATTGACGAGTGTGTGGGCTGTATTGGGCTGAAATTTGGCAAAACCAGGAAGGCGAGGCCCGTCCCATGAAGCGTACCAGGTCATCATGTGCCGAGTGCTGGTGTATTCTACGCGAGAGGCGTACGATTTCAAGGAAAACCCACGCAGGATAAAGCTCAATCAAGGTGAATGTAAGATCTTCATCGGTGGGGAGATCGCGAAGTCGTGCCCTGGCCAAAACGATATTGAGACTGGGAACATGAATGTCTTGTTGAGCCCAGGGCAAATAGGCTCCGAGGCTATGCTGAAAGGGCGTGAAGCTTGCCCCAACTACGCTTCAGCGAGGGCTGCTGTTAGTATTCCACGCTCATCGCAGCGTGAACCCCTCCGTCGTCCCCTCAAACGCGCTCACCCCCCCAAACATCCTCCTCGCATCCCCATAGTACCTAATCCTATACCTCCCGGGCTCCAAGTCCGTCCCGCCCGTCTCCCACGTCGCATCCACCTCGCTGTACCCCAGCACGAGGCTCGTCCTCCGCCACGAGTACAGCAGGAACCAATCCGCGTCGTCCAGCACGCGCGTCCACCGCCCCGGAAACACCTCCCTCTCCAGCGCAAGGTACGTCTCCTCGAGGCGGAGGTTGTTGCGCGGGTTGGCGCCCTGGAACGTCGCGCGGACGACATCCCCGCGTTTGTACGCCGGGCGCGGCTGGCGGATGACGTGTCCGAATGGCCGTGACGAGGGGGTGCGGTCGTAAAAGACACCGGGGAAGAGCGAGATTGAAGAGTTGGTGTGGTTCGGGGCCTTGGGGCGGCGCGTCATGGCCATGGGGTTGGCCTTGCTCGTGAGGTAGTGCATGTTGCTCGTCGTGAGGTTTATAAACGCCGGGAGCTGGTTGGGCCCAAACATGGTGGACGAGCCCTCATATCGCTGCGCCGTGTACTCCTCCGGCGTCGTGACGTAGTGCGCGTACGTATTCGCCGGGCCGACGACCAGCGGGATGGGCGATTCCGTGGCCATCAACCGTCTCGCCTCCTGCGCGATCGCCGCCTTCCAGCGACGCCCCGCCATTGTCGTAATCTCGCTCGGGCTCACAGCAATAAACATCTGTCCGATGCGCAGCATCTGCATGTCCACGAGGTTCGGTTCCCATGCGTACGGGAACGTGACGCCGCCCGCATCCAGGAGGACTGGCTTCGCGCCGTGACACCTTCTCTGTTCGGCAGACGGGGACTTGAGGATCTTGAATAGCGCGCTCCAAAGGCTTCTCAGGGGGTGGTTGAGCCAGGCGCGGGGCCCCATCGAGGGAGCCGTGGTCGTGCCCTGAACGAAGCCGCCGAGCCCGTCGCCGTCGGTGGTGCCGGCGGCGGTGGAGTACCCTAGGCCGGCCGCACACGTAGAGGCCTCGGTGCCGTTGGGGAGATGGAACTTCCAGTAGGTCATGTCCTGGAAAAAGTGGAAAGCCTTGATGCTTCCCGTGATCGGCGTGGTGGAATGGTCCATGGCGTCCTAATGACCAGGTCAATAACACGCCCAGCAATGACGTAGAGGAGGCGCCTCACATAGACCTCCCTTGCCCCGTCAAACTGCCGTCGCCCAATCTCATAGCAACTCTTGACACCGTTATCCAGTGCCCGGAACTCAGGGCCCCGGCCCTTACACGCATCGGTTCGTCCGCTGGGGCAGGAGCTCATGTCAAAACTGCACATCACACCCGAGCCATCCTCACACCAGGCTCCGAGAGTGTTTGGCGACACGTCTCCTGCATTAGCCTGGCTGAAGCCGGCAACGAAGTCGTCTGCTGCTGAATCGTCCGCCTCCATGGCTTTCTCGAACATCCAGGCGGCGACCCCCTTGTTGTCGCCAGCTACATGGGTGTTATTGTTATAGAGTGACGTGCCGTGAACGGCAAACCACGTAAAGATGCCGATTGCACGGTCGTCAGAGCTGCGCTGGAGACGGAGCACCGTCATGGTAGTGTCAACGGACGAGGGGTACCGTGCGCGCTCATCTTCCGGGTTGTGCAAGTAAGCGTGGAGTGACCGATTGATGGAGGCATTTCGTATCTCGGTCGTCCCCACGTCAAGATATCCCTGCCACGTATCAGCGCTGCAACCCTTGTGGCATTCTGGCCGGTTTGTAAGAGGCGATCGGGAGATGATTCACCTCCTGAAGGCTGTCATGAGCTCGCTTAATCGACAACGCGGCGCCATCCACAATGGCCTGGTAACTCTGGCGATCAAACCCCAGAGTCGGCGTCTGAAGCAAAAAGTAATTGAACCAGGCACCGGGACCGGCATGAGAATGCGTCGCCGTCAAGGCCACATTGTTGTGGTTATACACGGAGTACTCGTCTCCAAACGACGCCAGGGCCTCGAACAAGCCATATCGCACGGCCGTATCACCAGCCAGATCATCGAGAACGAGGTAGACCACCCGATCCTGCGGGTTCTCGATATCGGCAACGACAAAGGCGCGGCTGTACAGCCTCTGGCGGAGCCCCGTCCCACCCTGCTCGAACTTGCCGTACCCAGCGAGCGCAATCTCAACGATGGGACCCGTAATGTCAGCCTTGCCGACGCCGACGAGGTATCTATCCCCACGGGGGGCAACTCTCTCGAAGAATCTCGGCTCGTTCCTGCATGTGGCGGTTGCGGATGTTTGCCCTGTGGTGGTGGTGGTGGTGCACGTCTGGCCGTGTGCTCCCGCGATGGCGAGGCTCGCTAGGAGGTTAGCCACGTGCAGCCAACATGCCACAGAGCCAAGCATGTTGGAGTGCTCGCTCAACCGGTTCCGTCAAAGGCGAGTTGCTGTTAGCGTTGTTCTCGAAGAAGAACGCGCCCCGCTACCCGATCAGTTACGAGTTTTAACAGCCGTGCACTGCCTCCGGTGTCACCTCCAAGACAAGAATTGACAGGAGCGGCAACAATGAGGTGCTTCGTCGCCTCATTGAGTAGATAGGGAGAGGGCCTGGAACCGTGTCGAGATGGCACGTCGTTACAGTTTGCTCCATCAGGTACGTTCAGTGCCGAGGCTGGAGGCTTTTGGGGGCGCAGCCCAGCGCGTCGGAGTGCATCGTTTGCCCGTGACGGCGGCGATCAACCCTGCTTTTTTGTGCGATGTGGGCTGAGCTCAATGACCGGACCCAAGTCGCACTCGTACGGCCACCTGGGCTAGACCGAATCTGGGGGCCTCGCTTGCATGGCCTGGCGCGCGCCGGAAGGATCCCGCTTCGTCTGGGATGAAAGCGAGCGCGGCTCGCGGTCTGCGGCATGTCGGTTAACCGGAGACCAATGGGCAGGCAACGGATTGCTTAGCGTCATGTGTGTTCATCGCAAGTCGTCGCCATGTTTCGAACCCAGTTTTCTGGTTCGGGATGTTGCCCGACCGGGGCAGCTGTCGCGTCCATCACGATCTAGGAAGCAGCATTCAGCGGACGGCTAGCTCAGGCACAGCTCGCGCCCGCCAGAGGGTGCCAGGCTCTCAATTGTGCATACGCCACGACGAGCTATGGAACATGGGCTCCAGTTGAGCAAACCCAACCCCCCATGCTTGTCGTGACAGTTTGCCACGGCAGTCGTGGGGGGGTTGCATGGGGCTGGGGGAACGTGGAGACGGGATTCGTGCGGGGAAGCGGACCGGCTCCAGATCTGTCTTCAAAGCGGCCAACCTTTCGTCGTTGAAACGACGAAAATGCAGTCAAGTTTCGTAACACAAGAGGGGGAGCTCACTGGCTCCATGTGAAATATTGTAACATCCCCCTTGAGATTCATGAGCACTGAAGTTTGCCAGCCCCAGACGCCTCAATGTTGACAGCAGGGGACGAGATCAACGCCACCAATTGTAACGGAGGTACTTTGTTTGTCTTCGTGTTTGTGTTTGCGCGTCTCATGGACGTGACGCTCGCGCCACCAATACGAGGCGTGAAAGCAGGGCGCCCGGCCTGACGCATGAGAACGGGTCTGAGATTGACTTCCGGGGAGCATTGCTCGTGCTGTGCATTGTTCGGCTTGACCGAAACCTGTAGACCGTACCGTTCACGACTCCGGAGCACCTTGTACATCATCACAGTCGGAACATCATCTGTGATAGATACTTGTATAGTCGTATTTGACATTGATGAGCATCTTCTATGAGGCTGAACTGTAGTGAAGTCGACCTGGTATACGGATGCCGGTCCTTTTAGTGGTCTGCTAAATAGGCTGTCTTCCAGAGCGGGAACGGTGAGATGTCCCCTCGCACGTCAATGTACATACTCAAAACACACTTTCGCGCTACGTTCTAGCCATGCGCTGGTTGCGACGCCGCGACTTGGTCCTCCTGCGGCTGCTGAGGATGCGCTTGCGCTGAATGATGCGGACGAACCAGGCGTAAATCATTTCGCGCATGAGGATGAGTATCGTGGCGACGGCCGTCGGAACGGCAACGGCCCAGCTTTGGTTCACACGTTAGCGATCTGCAACACAAAGCACCGGAGACAGACTCGTCGAAGAGAGGACACTCACAAGTACCAGATGCCGTTCTGAATCTCGGGAAATTGATCCTCGGCAAAATTCTGGCCAAAGAAGCCAGTGATGAACGTCAAGGGCAGGAAGATGATGGTGACGGTGGTGAGCTGCTTCATCGACTCGTTCTGGGTGGCCGTGATGGTGTTGAAGATGAGGTTGATGAGGTTCTCGCTCGACTGCTTGAGCTGCTGCATGGCCTCGGTGATGATGACGCAGTGGTCGAGGACGTCGCCGAGGTAGGTGTGCGTCATGGGGGTGACGATGACACCCGAAGCAGGGTCCTCAAGGACGCGGGCCGCCTGCTCCTGCGTGAGCGGAGTGCGGTGGTCGCGCAGGACGTTGACGAGATTGTCGATGGGGCTGAAGCGCAGCATCTTGTTGATCTCGGCGATGCAAATGTACAGCGAGCGGCACTGCTTGATGGAGGGGGCGGTCAACACGTCGAGCTCGAGGTCACCGAGCATGTCCGTATATACAGCCGTCAGGGGCAGGGCGAGGTCAATGACAGCATCGATGATGGCCTGGACAAGCAGCGAGGCGTCGCACGACTCGCGCAGGATGGTGCCCGGGTTGCTGAGGCGGGTGACGATGGGGCGCTCCACGTCGCTGGCCGAGATCTCAAAGAAGGAAATGACGGTGTTGTCGTTTGTCAGGAAGATGGACACCTGCTCGGCGGCGACGGCCATGTTGTAGGGCGCGAGCGACGAGTTCTTCTCCATGAAGTCGGTGCGCGCCTCGTTGCCCGACGCGTGGTACTGGTGCAGGGAGCGCAGCATGGCCGTCTCCTCGAGGGTGGTGCCGTCGGAGAGGACGGGGCCCCCCTTGGCGCTGTTGAGGTGCTTCTCGAGGTCGGCGCGGAGCTTCTTGTCGCTAGGGCCCCAGAAGCGCAGCCAGCTGGGTATCCAGCGTGTGAAGATGCTGCCCCCTTGCGAGCCCGACGAGGAGCTCGACGAGGAGTCGTCGTTGTCCACCACATGAACCAGCTTCTGCAGCGTCATGATGATGAAGGCATGGTTGGGATACCAGTCGGCCTTTGTGCGGTTGCGTATGTTCATGATATCCTCGATCGCGAGCTTGTGCAAGCCCTTGTTGGTGCCCACGGCCTGGATCACGTCCCAGCTCAGGCCGTTGACGTTGATCCATCGGCACTTGGCCCACGGCTCCTTGGGCTCCGAGACGAAGCGCACGAAGCCGTCGTTGTCAAAGTGGCGCTTGAGCACGCGGTCACGGGAAAAGTCGACGACGGTGATTTCGCACGGGGCGCTCAGGGCGGGCATGGAGGCGTGGCCACCGTCGGGCAGCTGTGGGTCGAAGCCGGGCTCCGAGCCGGGCTGCCAGCCCGGGCGGGAGCCGTAGGGCGCCGGGTCGAAGTCATCGTGGTCGTCGAGCGTGGTGAGCGTCGCGGCGCGGGTGCTGCGACGACGGAGGACCGAGGGGGACGGCGGGCCGTGGGCGTCGTAGCTGGACGACGCGACGGGCCGAAGCGCGTCGAGGCCAGAGCTGGTTGTGTCGGTGTCGGAGCGGTGGCGCTTGCTGGCGGCGGTGTCGCCCGCGCGCGAGGGGAGCAGGGTCGAGGATCGAGTGTCGAGGGAGAGGTCGTAGTGCACGCGGTGCGGCTCCGAGCTGCTGAGCGGCCGCGGCGGCAGGGCGGCAGTGGATGAAGCTGTCGCGAAGTCGACGCCTCGACTGCCGGGCTGCAGTGGTGGAGTCGCAATTGCTGCTGCTGCTCCAGCGGGCACAGGCGGTGCCGAGAGGACGGCGGCTACCCGCGCTGGGCTGCTTGGCGGCGCGTCACCCACAGGCGCTGGAGCCGCTGCAGCCGCTGACGCTGTCGCTTCTTCCGCTGCCGCCACTGCTGCTCGTCCGCCATGTCCACGAGCATGCTCGCCCGTCTCGTCGTCCTTGTCCGCGGCCATTGCGGTTCGTGCTAGCAGAGCATGCTGAGGGAGACGACTGCGAAAGGTTGCTTTGAGGATGAAGTAGCGTCGCGTTTCATGTTTGCTGCCATGAGATTAATCGATTGACGGCGTCGCTAGCGTGCGCCAGTGCATGACGCAGGTGGCCCGCGCTGCAGCTCGCCCTGCTGCTCGCGGCAGAGACGTCACAGTGCTCTCATTTGCCGCTCGGTCAACAAGTCGGGAGTGAACCACACGGTAGGCGATCTATTGAAGCAACAGGTTGTCATCATCGCCAAAGTGTTGCAAATTTAGAAAACTATGTATATATGTATCAACTAGGCGCGTTCTGTTGACATGTGGCACGTCGACGTCATCTACGCTTCAACACGACGCCGCTGTAGTCACAAGTAGAACGCCCAACCAAGTAAACCAAGTCCAACGATGATCGATACCTTGGTGTGTAAGGACCGTCAATGCCGGATTCAGACGTCTTCCTCTTCGCTCCGCGAGTGGGTTGTTTGTCTTCAATGATTCCTGGTGTCTTATACTGACGCATGTGCACGTACGTCGCCACCCAACGGCTCCGCTAACAACAGCCCGCGTCGATGCACGTCATGCCAATCGCTGGAGCACCAGAACTCGACGGAACAAAGCCTATACTCTGGACTCAGTAAGGTCTCCACTGCATATGTCAGCCCGATAACTGCCCTCGGGGACCGACCTGCGTGCGATTCATGTTAAACTGGCGACAGCTCGTGGTTGTCGAACCGACCAGACCGCAAACGCCGCGGCCAAAGGGTTTGAGACTCTGTGCCATTACAATGCCTTAACAAGCTACGGCCAGAGGCACTTCTCCATACCATACTTCGTACGATAGCTTCGACTAAGCAAGAATAGCTTCTCACCTTGTTCATACCATGTATACAATGTGCGTCCAATCGTATTGCAAAGACAGACCCAAGTGCCAGCACAGCTTTCATGCAGTTCTGGCGTGATACCTTGTGCCAAGACCAAGACCTGCATTGCCAGCTACATGGCAGAACTCAAGTGGCTCCAGTAGTCACGCTGACCACATTTCCGCGTAAAACGACCTTGTGGCGACTGCGCACCTTCTCCACGTCTTTGACACGAGACACGCTATATCAGAGGTGCCCGTTGCTGGCAATAAAACGCCGGAAAGTTTCGTCCAGGCAGCTTCATGCGTGGCCGCGACGATTGCCCTCGGTATATGAGAGCCCCAGATCCGGTTTAGAGCTACCCTTTGTCATGTTCAAACCGCCCCCCGCGTTTTGTGAACTCGGCCCTTTGTAGTGCACGATGAAGGCGCTTGCTCTAGCTCTGAGTCTTTTCCCCGCCGTCTTTGCGGCCAGTCAGCCCTGCTCTGGCTCTTGGACGAGCCCCTGGTGCATCTGCCTCGATCATAACCGATGCACCGCCCTCGGTGGCACCGTCTACAAGGGCATCCCAGGTGACTGGCCGTGCCCCTCCGACGGAGCAAGCATCCAGGGCTGTCAGATGGTCCACCGCTGCCCAGGCCGAGATACAAACACGGCATGCACGTGGCGAAAGGACTGTGCAGCTACGATTCTGCCAGGTAAGAAGCACTGACCGACGCTATCATGTAATGTGGCGATTTGGCTAACAGTTTGGCTGCGTAGATCCAATCTGCCCCGGAGGCAAAGACTTTGTCTGCTGCCAAAACAAGTGAGAGGCGTCCAAAAGCACGGGACGAGTCGCAGAGCATGTATGCAACACGATGGCCGCTGTCGCAAGTTGACTGCAATGCTGTTAAAATGAGTGCCATGCCGTCCAAGTTTGCTTTGACGCGCACGTTGATTCGCGATCCCCTAGCAAACCAACCCATACCCAGCCATTAGTCGTACTATTGCCCAACTTAATATCTGTGCGCTCAGCCCTGCAGCACCAACTGCCGCCAGTTGGGCGATCCATCCAACGTATCGGCGCACATCGCCGACAGCGCGAATTTGAAGACCGACCTCATCTCGCCGTCGCTCGGTGTCATCTGGGCGAACAGTCCGTCGCTCCTGACAAGGAGCCTGAGCACCCAGTAGCGTGTCGAGACGCTCCCACTCTTCAAGTTTGATCGTCAGTGGGGAAATGTCGGCTTGCAGACGCCAGGTCCAGGTTCGTATTTCGTCTGAACCCGTCCGTCAACTGTCAGTTGCGGCCCCACACCGGACGCCAGCCGCAACTCGGGCGCCCAACAAGACGGCTTCACTTGTCAAGTTCCCGTGTTGTGCCAGTTGCAAATTCCAAATGGTTTTTAAGTCAGCAATTTCTACCCGTCCCGCCAGGCCAGTCGGATCTGATGCCATCAACCTACAAGGCATTAAATAAATTGCCGTCCGAGCACAAACTCGCAACGATACACTTGAACGGTTTGTAGCCCCTTCGGAGCCCACGCTTCGTGGGAGCGCCGAGTCATGCACCCCGCATGAGACTTTTACGAGTAAGACGGCACTTGCAAACTGGGATGCCCCTGTGCCAAATCCAAGCCAGCAGCCAGAGCCTCCTTCTTCTTGCTTACCACCCCATCCCCCTGAACCCTGCCCGCCAGCAGATCGCAGAAACTCGGACCCGTAGTGGCAGTTGCAAGTCCCGACGACATTGGCCTCGCGAGTGCGCCCCCTGTCTCGCAAGCGTCAACGCATCAGGAACAGGAACTCCGGGTCGCGCCCGCCCGAGTCGGCGCTCCTGCAAAACGCTCGTGCGGACGAACTAACGCATCTTTAAGCTGCTTTGGGCCCCTGGATGCAGCCACTTAGCTTGGTGTGGCTTTCGCTGGCGAATCTGAGACTTGCCGATTTCTGGACGTGATCGTTGCAGCTGAGGCATCACGGACCGCCGACGTGCACGCCACAGCCAACGGTCCCCCCGGCTTCAACCCCTGCCACTTGAAGGAACTGCACCCTCGCCGTAATTTTCACGTCGAGTATCTGCGCATGTGAGCGGCCATGGAGGACGCTCGCTGCCTACCTCGTCCTGCCTCATGGGCAACATGGACTCGCTCTTTCGAGAACCCCTGGTTGCCGGGGCCTGGACGCGGCGCACGCCACGCCCTGTGCAGATGGATTTAATGACATGCGGTCCCCTTGCCGTCGGTTTAAGCTTTCCAGGACTTGATCGATGATTCTCCATTTGCGTGCTTGAGGTCGTTGAAGCCGACTTCCGCCCACCATGGCTGCTCTCACGGGGGACCAGATCGCGGTCCTCAACATCATCCAACAGGTGGGCTCCTCGCTCTCTCTTGTGGGGTGCATCTTCATCATCGGCACCTTCTGCTTTTGCGATGCGTTCCACAAGTCCATCAACCGGCTCGTCTTTTACGCCTCCTTCGGAAACCTTGCGTCCAGTGTGGCATTCATGATGGCGGGCTTGCACATTGACCAGCCCTTGAGTGCAGCGTGCCAGGCGCAAGCCTTTCTTCTGGATGTGTAAGTACTGACCAGGGGCCTGGCTTCGGAGGCGTAACTTTAAACATATCCCATGCATTCAGCCGCTGACAGAAAAGGCAGCTTTGTGGCCGCTGATGCGTTCTGGACGCTGGCCATGGCCGTCAACGTATACCTCACATTCTACTTTCGATTCGACGCGCACGCTCTACGACGGATCGAGGTTCCGTACCTATTTCTCTGCTACGGGATACCCTTTGTTCCCGGGTTCATCTTCCTGTTCATCAAGAACTCGGAGGGCCAGCATGTGTACGGTGCCGCTGGCATGTGGTGCTGGATTACGCCCCAGTGGGATCCGTTGCGCATTGCCACCTTCTACGGGCCGGTTTGGTATGCAGCTCTGCAAATCTCCTCTTGGCCATTACGGCTTGACTAAACATTATACGTGGCAGGGTCGTTATCGCAATCACAATGGCCATTTACCTCCGGTCCGGGACCACCATATACAGGAAGCACCAACAACTGCGCAAGTTTCAAGGCTCAACCTCTGGCGGCATGTCCTCATCGACTCGCGGCAACACCGTCACCAACATGAGAACCACGGAGGTCGTTGTCACATCCGAGGTGGTGACCAAGTCGGAGACAATGGAGTTGCACACGATCGGCGGTCAGTCAACCGCCCATGCGACAACTGCCACCCCGAATGGCATCGAAGCGGGCACATCACAGCCACAAACCTCTACGCAAACAGGGACCAACGCAACTTCGGTGACCGCCGGCGGTGCTCCTCGTCCCTCGAACCGAATCCACCAAGAAATCAATAACGCGGCGTGGCAGTACACAAAGTGTGCGCTCCTCTTCTTCGTCGTGATCCTCATCACCTGGCTGCCTTCGAGCGCGAACCGCGTGTACTCGCACATTCACCCACGTGAAACAAGCGTCACACTGCAATTTATGAGCGCAACAGTGCTGCCATTGCAAGGCTTCTGGAACGCCGTCATCTACGCCGTTACATCATGGGCGGCATGCAGAAAGTTACTAGACAAGTGGAGAAACACGATCCTCAAAAAGCGAAATAGTACCGCTGCCGTCGGTGGGAGCGAAGGGCAGCGGTTAGGGGGGCCGGGCAAGCATCCGTGGACGCGGCAGGATGAGCCGCGCTCCCAACGGGGGTGGAGTGGGCGTCTGGGAACAGTGCTCAGCACCGGCAAAGAGGAGGACACGGAGAGTATGAGGGAGCTGGCCAAGACTGCACAGGGGTCTGATGACGGCCGGAGCGGCAGTTTAGCGCCTTCTCGCAGCGAAGTATAGTTATCCATATTAATCCCTCGTGTGTTCTTGACGACTGCGATTCGGGGGCGCTTTGCCGTTGCGAGTTGTGCCCTTGCAGGGATGTTGTAAATCACCTTCACGCTGTCGAGGCAAATCTGGCTCCTCTGGTGGAATCCGACATCTTTCAACGGCTGGTGCCTGAAATGTCGGCATCTGTTGAGGGATAGATCAAGGTTCAATTTGGTCAAGGCCGTCGTCTAACAGTTTCAGGCCATCATCATTCAGGCAGCTCGTGTGTCCTTCCCGAAACGGCTATTATCGACAGGGACGACTTTCTCGCTTTGTTGTTATGCCGTTGACTGGGAGGCTAACCCCCTGTTCTAACAGCATACAGGGTATTTGCACCTATATCCAGTCGGCTTGAAGCTGCCCGAACACTGCCGACGTGCAGCCCATGAGTGCCAGCTGATCTGGAGCCCAGCAGACAATCGGGCGCACCTGCATCATGCAGAACTCTGCTGTATTGCGCTGGGTCATCCGCTGTCTGTCGATGGCGTGGGCCCTTCCAGGGGCGAGATGGCGTTTGGAGCCAATCCCATACCAGATCGTCAAGGGTTATTTCGATCCTGGGGTGAATGATGGCTCATAAAAAGCAGGAGTGTTGGCCGGGCCTCTGTTGGTCACGATAGATGCGCCAATCTAGCGAGAGACATATAACTCGGCCCCAGAGGATGAAAGGATCCCAAACTAGACTTTATTGTGCCCTTCGCGAAGTCGTAGGAACCCATGGATTTTTGTGAGAGCCATACGGCCGTCAGAGGGGTCCGTATGCACCCGGTTACATGTTCTCCATGATCCATTCATCATTGGCCAGTGCCTTGGCCGATGAGCGCTTCGAAGGTTCCCATTGGAGCATCTTGCGCATCATGGCGAGGAACTTCACTCGACTTTGGTGTTCCCCTTCCAGGCTTGTCTCTCTGTCCTCAAGCGGAATGCTGTCCAAAAGTGGAATGTCTGCACGAAAATCTCCTGCAAGTCACGCAAGGCCTCGTCAGCCAGGATCAAAAGCTCTCACAGTCCAAACAAAAAGTGAGCACGTCTGAGCCTACCTTGATCTGCAAAGAACTTATGGCTCGACCTCCCCGAATCGAGAAGCGCCTGCGGAGGAAGTCCGAGCAGAGCGATTATCTCGGCAAGATGCGCTCGGCTGCGATACCTTTGGTGCTCAGGGTCGTGCCCCGTAAACAGGTGGCCACCCTCAAATAGATCCCAAATCTAAGAAAAGCAATGGGGACGCAGATCAGCACTAGATCTGCGAAGTTTGTGTCGAGCTGGTCCTTACCACACAGCCTGCGTTCCATATATCAACCTGATACGACCATGGTGCTTCTAGTATGACCTCGGGTGCTCTGTAAATGTCGGGCTGTATGTCCTCCAGATGCTCCGTGTCCCCGGAAACAGCCGACCCGAAATCACAAAGGACCGGTGCGCCCCAATCCTTTGGCATCCGCAGCTGGCGTGACAGATAGATGGCTCTGTCGCCGACTAATTTTCTCGGAGAGGGGTCGAGCTGCTCTTCCTCCTCGAAGGCGGTAAAGACCGAATCGTCCTGGATGCCGAACATAATATTGTCGGCTTTTATATCTACTCCGTCACATCTCAGCACCGTTCTGGGCGAGCTATCTCCACTCAGTTCAGTTCCCGAAGACGCACCTGTGTGGATTATTCTGCATTCCGTATGCAGAAAGTCCAAGGCCAAAAAGAGGCGGCGGAGGACGAACGCCAGGACCGGCACGGGTAGTCTCCTCACTGGGTTTCGGTGTAGGAAAGTCAGAGCGCTTTCCCATAGCGGAGCATGCACAAGGCATTGGTGGGATCCGTCTGGTCCAGCAACAGCAACAGAGCCCAGGAGTTCCCGGACGGTACCACGTCCGGGATGCTTTGCCGAACACCTGGAAATGCGCTTGTACATTGCGAGCTCATTGTCCAGCTGCGACCCCATAGACTTTGAGTTTACGAAAAGCTTCAGTGCCACATGCCGCCGGCCACTGCACCACCTGTAAGTAGAGCGTCTTCGCCAGGGGACACCGCAGCACATCTTACGCGAGATCCCGCGCCAACCAGACCGTCGAGCTGGCTCCAAAGCCCAGCTTGCCAACAATCTGGTAGCGATCACTGAGAACTTGGCCAATGCGGACCGGGTAGTAGCGCGACGCAATGTAGTCGGGGAGGAGCTCCTCTTCTATTTTCTCATGCACTGGGACTCGCGGGAAATTGGAGTTGGAAAAAGTGAGGGGCTTCCACGCTCGGCCAGCCCAGGGCATTCGCCGAAGTATTGACGCCATACGAAAAGTGGCCCCCAGCGACGGAAAGTGAAGGAAGATGAAGTCGTGAACCGGCACGCGTGCTGTGTGATTTGATGCAAGCCAAAACATGGTCGCGTTAGGGAACTCTGGATGGACAGCGCGGGCTCCAGGCTCACCAGAACCCCACTTTATCTGACACCAACCACCTCTGCCGCCGCACTTGTTAGTCGTGTCATGGTATGATTGAACGCTAAAGACGGCATGCGACGGTAGCTGGCCAAGGAACATGTTTCTTAGGGTTATCTTAGAATCTCTCTTGTGCAGACACCACTATGTGTGTCCCTATTTGCCCTGCAGCTACAAGTCCTGCTCGCCTTAAAAGAAGACGGTCTTTCGACGAAGTCTTTCGCCGTATTTGTAGAAGAGGATTGGAGCAGGGACAAAGGCCAGAGCCAGAAACCCAAGCAGCGTATTGCCCCATCCATAGCCAAGCGTTTCATACATTTTTGGCGCGGCCAGTGGCAGAAACGTTCCAGACACATAACGCAGTAGCAAACTGGCGCTGAGGGCAGACGCCGCCGCCTCGGAGCCGAAGAGGTCCACAATGTAGAGTTGTGCGGGCATCTGCATTGCAATCTTTAGCGTGTATAGGCGACCAACGTCTGGTGACCAATGGAACTTACAACCACGAAAAACGCTCCGAAGCCGATGAATGTAGTGGCAATCACGGGGACAATCCAGTGAACTGTATAGTGGACTGTCCAGCCGTACATGAACATGCCCAGCGAGACAAAGGGACTGAGAATGATCATGAGCACCAATCGATGCTCAGGCTGTGGTCGTGGCAAGCCACTGGCCTTGAGAACAGCTGCCTGGACTCGCATGTTCAACGCGCCAAATAGAAGCACGTCGAACAGCAGTGCGATCCCAAGCCCCAAGTATACCAAGCCGGACGTGGAGGTGGTGAAGCCATATTTCCCCTCGAAGACAGGGCTAAACGTGGTGAACAGTATATATAGCAACCCAAACACCAGCGCCACGTATAGAGAAATGACGAGGAGGATTGGCGAGCGAAGCAATAGCGTGATGGGGCGAACTAACGCCTGCGTAAGGATCCTGCTGGCTGTATCGGTGCTGGCGAGCTTGGACACGAAGTCTTGGTTCCCGGTAGAGGCACGGAGATATTGAGCTTTTCGCTCCAGAAGGACCTTGGGATGCGTCTCACGCATGATGGCAGCGGCGGCAGTTGCAAGGGCACCGCCAACAATGGCAAGCAGCCAAAACGTCCAGCGCCAACCAATCGCCTCGGCGACGAAACCCCCGATGAGCGGGCCGAGGACCTAAGCAAGTCAACATGTATGTTACATTGAGTCCAGGGGCATCTCGTGCGCACCGGTCCAGTTAGCGGCCCTAGACTGAACAGCGTCATGGCCGAAGCGCGCTGTTTCAGAGAAGTCAAGTCGGCAATCTTTCCGCCACCGAGCGCCAAGGGCGTGCCGCCTGCACAGCCGGAAATGAAGCGAAATACCATGAACTGGGAGATGGTTTTGCTCAGAGCGTTGCCAGGTAAGCCCAACCATGCGCAGCTCATACGTAGCAGAACCACTCATAACCAAAACGGAGTCGCCCACGGGTGCACCGCCTGCCGAAGGCTCGCCAGAAGACCAATTTGCAATCTGCCCTGTGGCGACAGAACCGCGATCGGTCAACAGATATAAATCGTCCGCTCGAAACGACATATGGGATGGTGAAGAGCCCCGACGTCTGGATGCACTCGCCCGTGGCTATGCGCCAGATCCGAATCGTCTTGTCGCTGGAGCCCGATGCCACGAGTTCAGAGTCGTGTGAGAATGCTACTGACGTGACCGGCCGGTCGTGGCCAGGCCACGGGAACCCCGCAACGGATTCGCAGGCGCCTAGTGGCACAACCTTCTGCTCAGTGTTTTTCGCGACCGAGGTATGCAGCTCCGGAGGCTTCTAACGGTGCTCCTCTCAACTCCTGCCCAGTACCATGTCTCCCAACAGCATCGCCGACAACGCCGCCTGTATCGCAAACGCCAAACGACAGCAACGTGTCGGGCGACATCGAGTGCTCCCCGTGTCCGATCGACCCTGCCATCACGACCGGCCAAAGTGAGACACAACACAGTAGGCAAGGGCCTCAAAATCTTCGTCGCGATGACGCCGGAAAGCTCTCTATAAAGTACCCTGCCCGCGACATTGACGAATTTCATTCTCTCTTTTTTCGTTCGTTTCGTGTGGTTCACAATTGCTGGTCACGGTCGTACGAACGGCGTGCCGGCCGCCTTGACTTGGCCGCCGCCTCTACTCTGGCTGCAAAGTGCGGCTCGATGGGAGACGCTTTCCAAGACTCATGTCAAGTTGATGGCGGGCTGCGACAAGAAAGCCGCGTGCAACTGTACATGCCGCGGACGGGTGCTAGGCTCAGCAAAAGAGTGTGTAGTCCTCCCGGCCTAAGCTTCAAGAGGATCCCTGGCCTTCACAGGGCCAGGCTGGTTCGGCGCTCGTATTGACGCTTGTGCACATTACGCAAACTTTGAGATGGTTCAATTCTTCGGCTCTCTGCCAATTTGGTGTGCTAAACATGACATCCTTGATGTTAAGTCGCCGCCATTTTCGTCGTGAGCAAGATTTCCACGACATGCGTCCAGCAAAGCGGCACTGCTCGCCATGGGAAATGTCCTGCGAATCGAGTTGGCGCCTCTTGGTGTCGACGTCATCACCGTCATGTCTGGAGGGGTCGCTTCTGCCGCGTCGCAGACGGCTCAGCGCCGAGGACCCAACGTCCCCGACCATAGTCTCTATCGCCAGCTGGCACAGTCGATCGAAGCCAATGAAGCTGGAAGGGGCATTAAAAGCACTGAGCCCGCAGAATACTCCAAGCAAGTAGCAGATGATCTGCTTGGCAAGCGACCGCGGCTACTCATTTGGAGGGGAGCGTTCGCGTGGCTCGCTTGGGTATTCACATGGCTTGGTTGGGTGGGGATTCTGGACGGAGGGCACGCAAAGAAGGCTCTCCTGAACAAGGTACAGCGACCTCGATTATTATCCTCAGGTAGATGAAGAGATACGCCAAACAGCCGTTCGAGGGTTCTCCTTATCGAGATGTGGCGGCACTGGGACAAAATGCACATGCAATAGGTCAAACATTTTCGTTCCAGTACCAGCAGTCTATGTATACCCCGGCCGGACGAGCGTGACACATGGCCATGGACCGGAGAATACACGTTGGCACCAAGTCCTCGCATCTAGGCATACTGGACACACATGGCCTTCCCCTTGCCCTTCGACATGCCCTTGTCAATCTGGGCCAGTCTCTCGGCCACCTTGGTGCTGAAGCCCACAATGTCCTCATGCGGCATGGCTCGGCGCGCCTTGGCCGCCTTGACCACGTTGTTGGAGTCCCTGATGCCCTTGGCGCTGAGGACGAGGCCGAAGATGAAGATGGGCGCTGCCTTGGGGTTATCCACGACACTGTAGATCCCCAGGCCTGTGTTGCCCAGCTCTCCGATCGTGACGAGGGCCCGGCCGAGCGTAGCCAGTCCAAGAGTGCCGATGGCCTCGCCGAGAGCCGGCACAACGAACAGGATGGCGGACAGCAGGTTGACAATCAGCGTCTTCTTCTCGGCCTCCTCAATCTTCTTGGCCATCTCCACCACCGTGTCCATGTAGTCGAGGCCCTCGCGAATCATGTAGATGGGCATGGCCACGGCGTCGATGAGGTCCGCCGCGTCGCCTTTGTACATGCCAGACTTGACCTCTAGGGCCAGGCTCGCCAAGTCCGAGACAAGGCCCGACGACTTGTCAAGAGCCTTTTTGACCGTGTCCTTGGGGTTCGTGACGTCGTCCTCGCTGACCCTGCTGTCTACCTTTGGGGCTCCAGTCCAGTACCCCTTGCCCATGCAGTCCTTCTTGATGTTGCGTCTAGCGAGGTCTCGGCTTATGAGGTCATCACCGTCGTCGCCTAGAGTTGAGTTGTCGTGGTCGCGCTTGCTGTAGTGGCAGTTGGTGTTGGTCACGAAACCGTAGATGTACTCTCCCGTGTCACTAAGCTCCATCTTCTTCTTCGGAATGCCGACTTCTGCCTCGATCTCGGCCCAGAAGTCGTCTTCCTTGCCGTCCTTTAGCGTCCATGTGATGTCTCTGTACTTTGCGGGACCCATGCCGGCCTTGGAATAGTCGGGAGGGCACTCTTCAATGGTCGAGTGAATCAGGCGGAGGGCGTCGTCGTTTCCGCTCTGAATTTTGCACTCGCCCGGCGGAAGGCACTGTGTACACGAGTAGTCGGGGATGCTGTCACAGCCCAGGCAACACGTAACCACTTCGCTGATGTTGCAGTTGAACCACTCCTTGCCGTGATCAAACATAAAGTCGGATGCGGCCTTGTAGGAGCCTTTGGCAATGTAAGTGCCGTAGATGCTAAAGTATTCGTCGTATCCGTCGTCCATGATTTTGTCGTAGCGCGAGAGGTCGCCGGCCAGCTCCCTCCCCAGGATGTCGAGCAGATACTGCGGGGCACACCAATAGTCGACGTTGTCCTCGTCCTTGATCAGATCGTCGATGGTGTCGTAGTGGCCGTCACAGGCAGGGAGAACGTCGTCATCGCTGTCGTCGACGTCTATCGGGTCGCCGGTTGACACAAAGTCCTCGAGATCTATCGCCCACTCGATGGTACCCCCAAAGTTGGTACCCTTGGCAAAGTCGACTCTGTCATCTCGAACGTTGTTGTCCATCCAGGCGACCCATTCCGTCTCTGCCAAATGTCAGGTCCTACACTCGGGGCGGCGATGCGACATGGGACGTGGTCTTACCGTCATATACGAGATAGTTTGACCTGGTGTCCTTGTCATACCACGAGTCCACGTTCTTGTTCGTCTGGATAATGTCCTTGATTTCGGCATTCGAGATGTAGCCGCTAGTGTTAGTACATGGCCCTTTCTTCGCCGGAGAGTCTTTATCGCCGAGATACGTGCACATAGGGCCCGTGCACCCTTTCTCGGCCATCTTGAACGAGCGGCCGTACGACGAGACACCAAGAAGGATCTTGCTGGTTGGTACGCCAGCCTTGGTAATCATGGCGAGCGCATTTTCGGTCTCGGTCCAGTTGACGTGAGACCGGAGACAGTTTCCGGCAGGGCACCCAGGAGCCGAATGCGGGTTTCCAGAGTCCCACTGTCCGTGCAAGTCGTAGGTCATGTAGACGATATAGTCCAAGAGGGGCTCCATGCGGTCAATAGGGAAGCCTTTCAAGTACCAAAACGAGGCGGGCGCGGCGATTGACAGTGTCTTGCCGGCGGGGAGAAGCTTCCGAACCTCGGTTAACAAGGCGAGATAGTTGGAGCCGTCCGCCTTGTCGCCCGGAGGGACACCAGGGATATCTGTGGCAGTTAGCACAAGTGAAAGGTCTGTGTGTTTGGCTCAGGGGCCAAGTGTACCTGGTGCGCCGGGATACTCCCAGTCAAAGTCGATGCCGTCAAGATCATTGTTAATGGCAAAGTCCACCACCTTTTCGGCAAAGGCCTTTCGGTTTTCGGGCTTCACAACGTCGCGGAAGATTTGGTACGACCTTCCTTCGGTGGAAAATGCCCAGCCACCAAACGCAACAATCTTCCTCGGGGTCCCATCGCCGACGAGCTTGAGGAAATGGCCCCATTGCTTCCCAGTCTTTTCTGGGATCACGACGTCAAAGTCCTTGGAAATCTCGGCAAAGGAAAAGTGCACGTCTGTGTAGTGGCGCTTGTGGTTCTTGACCTTGGAAATGTCCATGTGCAGACAGTTGCGGTCGTAGTTCCAGGCCTCAAAGTAGCCGAGCGTGCGGAACTCCTTTGGCGATTTGTCCTTGTTGACAATGTCCATGCCGCAGTTTTGGATACAACCGTTGTGTAAGCCCGAGGTTCCCGGTGCACCGGTTTCCGACTTCTTCTCGAGACAAAACTCGTCCGTGGTGCCGCACTGGCCCCAGACGTTGCAGCACACCTTGAGAGGGCAGGGATTGAGGTCCGAGAGCGTCTGGTCTCCTCGAGGGGGTTTTGTTCCGGGCTTCGTAGGTCCGCATACAGCGTTATCGACTGCGGCCGGCAGAGGAGGTTTTCCCTTGCTGAGGCAGATGGCAATACCAAGACCAAGAGGGTTGCAGCCGGTCCAACCCCATGTGTTGCGGTTCATCTGCATGAGCTGCCCGTCGTTGAGCGTGTACTTGGCGGACAGGCCATCGCAGGTGTCGAGAGGCTTGACTTCGTAAGAGTGACAGGTACCATCCGCGTTGGGATCAGGCCGGAAATCGGGCACTGTGCCCGGACCGCAGCAGACGGGTTGCTGAGCCCTCAGCTTATTGCAGTGATCCTTTCCCGGGTTGTACTCTGTGTACTTGGCCGGGGTGATGCCGCAACGAGCAGCCAGCTTGGGGCAAGAGTCGTTTTGCTCAACGAGGATGTACCTGCACTCCGAGTCGCGGACGCGAATGCTCGTGGTGTTTGGCTTTGCAAAGTGGTAGAACTTGAGATTCAGATCTTTCACGGGGGTGGTCTTGCTAGCTCCGGTCGGGCATTTGGCTTTGCTCCAGCTGATCAAAGCACCCTGGAGAAACTGAAAGTCACCGTCGGTGGACAGGATGGCGCCGGTAGTGACACCGCCAGTGATTTCGCTGCCAGTCTCGCCACAGTGCTGAACGGCCAGACGATCGGCAACTCCATTTCCTTTGGCCTCTGACGACAACTTGTCCAAGAGGCTCTTTGCACTGGGCCCGTGCTCGACGCGGGCGCCGCCGTAGTACGCCGCCATGGTGCCGTTGAGGATGCCGAAGATGGCGGTCGGTTGCTTATCATCTTTTCCGGCTGTAATCCACCCGTTGATCTTGCTGAGGATGTCCAGGCCATCTGCAGCAGCCTTGGAGCCGGATTGTCGAGTGGTGCCCCAAGAGGCGACTTGGACCGACGAGCCATCCTTGACGGCGTCAGGAGCAAAGGCCAGCGCGCCTCTCTTGGCAATTCTGCTGGGATCCGGTTTCGTCTCTGGTGCGTCCTGGATGATGGAATTGAGCATGTTCTCGGAGTCACCCGCAGTACAGGCTCTGACACGAGTAGACTGGCCGGCCTTGACTGGGGCAGACAGCGAGACTTGAAACAGAACTGGCTCGCTGCAGACCTTGAGACGCTCGACAGAGCTGTACAAGGTCCATTTTGCCGGGTTTTGAGCGCCTTCGCACGACACCGGACACGGTTTCAGCTGCGAGTAGTACTCCTCTCGGGCGTAGGCGTGCTGGACGAATAAAGCCGTCACCAACGAGAGGGCAGGTAGCATGGTTGCGTTTTGCTCATGCCGCGGCAAGAGTAAATTGAAACAAAGGAGTGGACAACGTATCGAAACTGTAAAGTATGCGCAACCGTTGGATCACGGTCGTGCTGCAGGACAAGTAGCACTCAAATAAAGGGCCGAGAGGCTGTGAAACGGACGAGCCGACGAATGTTTAGCACAACGAACAATCCCTGTCTACCCTCCAAGTCCATGAGCCCACCCATTGCCTCGCGAGGCATGAGAGGGTGATGGTGGTGATGGCGCCAAGATGCGTCCACGGCTACTCGTACGTGACATGGAGTTGAAGGCTGTCCGCGCCGTTTCTGAGAAAGTATTTGGTACTTGCAACAGCGAGACACTAGCCACGAGACAAGTCCAATTTGATTAACGCAATCCTCCTTCTCTGCTTACATGGTGCTTGGCACTTGTCCTGCAGGGCTGTGAATGGCTTTCCAACCCCACAATAGTGCAAGGGGTATCGTCAGGAGTTCGCCGGCCGGCCATATTTTCTCCATCCCACGAACCCACAACCCGTCCAGAACGGGCCCCCACTTGGGCACTAATCGAAGCCGAGAGTCCGGGCCTCTGTGGAAGCAAATGCCCGAGATTCGCAGGTCTCGACGGTCCAAGTGCTAGCCCGTGGCGCGATGCTTGCCGACGCGGTCAAGGGTTATGTTGCTGTCGTGTGGTTGGGGCGGAGTTTTTGATCCATAAGCCTTCCGTGGCACGAAGCAACACCCGAGCCCCTAGGTTCTTACTCTTTGTCCTGTGCTCTTTTCCATCTCTCGTATATCAACGCCCAGGTCCCTTGCGCATTAATCGCAGGAACAAAGTCAGTGCCGTTGCCCAGCTTTTGTGTCCGATGTTTAAGGGCCCGGTGGTTTGTGTCTGGCTCGAGAGAACATTGAACAGAAAGGCCTAGTGCAAAGACGCCAAGAATCTGGGCCCTAGCTCGACCAGGATCAAGAACTTGTAAGAATTGCCTGCCGATGACGGCCAGCCGCCGCCGTACGTATTCCCGCGGAATACCCTTTCATACACAGCTCCGAGACAAACTAAGTCCAACCTATGCTCTGCACGCGGGGGCAATACGCATGGGTAAGAATCCCACAGGAAGCTCCGATCCTGCCAGAGCTCCCCAGATAATTTCTTCTCACCCTGTACCATGGCATGTCGCTGGCTTTGCGGATTAGCCGTCCACTCATTGCCCGGTCCAGCCCGCTCTCCCCGGTGCCCTGGATCGTCACATGAGATCCTGCAGCGGCCCGATTGGGAGTATGATCCGGTACTGGGTTGCAGTATTCTGGGAAATCTTGGCGACGCGATATTTCTTGCGCCTTTACGTTTGGCCGGCTACTGTCGTTGAAACGTTGCTACGTAGGACAATGCCGCATCCGAGATGGTCAATGAGCAGACCTCTTTCCTCGGCAAAGGACCCATCCCATTGTCGGGTAAGAAGATGAAGTAATGCGATGGTAGCCTTGGCATCCAGTACTCCAGCTGATGCACCAGTTCATGTTGGTAGTGAAGGCACCGGGCCCGGGCATGAAGTTGGCCGCCCCGGCTGGGCAAGCTAGGGCCCATGGCATGCGACGTAAAACTTCCAGTCATCCTCTCTTGTGAGATGCGGCTTTGATGGGCTTCAAAAGAAGACGAACAGCCCCCGGCCCCCCCAAGAGCCTCCTTCCACAGCTTCAGACCACATCTCGCGTCGATCTTCAAGATGCACGGCCTTGTTCGTTCTCTCCTCGCGGCCTCCGTCGCCACTGCCGCTGTGGTCAACAACCTCAACCCTGGTGCGGCAGGCAGCATTGGCCGCCGTGGCGCCGATCCCAAGTTTAGCTATGACCCCAGCACTTCCGCGTGGTGCACCTGGTGGTGGGACAACGAGGACGGCAGCGTAAGCTGCAAGGACATTCCCAACTACTGGGCCATCACGGAGGCGCAGTGGAAGCGATGGGTAAGTCGGCGAAGTGAGTCGTGAGACCGCCCCCAGTAGTAACCAGCTTGGATCCAGAATCCCGTCATTGCCGAGTCTTGCGACAACTACAAGACTGAGCAGTCGTACTGCGTGGAGGCCGATGAGCCTGGCCCCATCACCAGCAATCCTGGGACAACGACTACCACGACCACGGCGAACCAAACGCCTACCACTACAACGAGCCAACCTGCCACCACCACAACGCCGAGCAATGGCATCACGACGCCTTCGCCGTACATGCCCGGGAGCTCGGAGAACTGCGACGCCTTCTACAAGGTCCAGAAGGGCGATCTCTGCGAGCCCATCGCAAAGAAGTTTGGCATCTCGCCCGCCGACTTTTACGAGTGGAACCCAGCAGTCGGCGGTAGAGACTGCACCGGCCTCTGGCTCGACACATACGTCTGTGTTTCCATCATCGGCAAGGAGCCACAACCGCCCACCACCACCACTACGAAGCCCGGCAAGTAAGTGTCCCCATGCAGCCCCCCAGCGCGAGCTCGTCGAGGCCCTAACGCCGAGTGTGCAGCGGCATCTCGACGCCCACCCCGTACATGGATGGGTCTGTCGACAACTGTGACGCCTTTTACAAAGTCAAGTCCGGCGACCTTTGCGAGCCCATCGCCAAGTCCCACGGCGCCTCCCTGGAGCAGTTCCTCAAGTGGAACCCCAAGGTTGGCGGCAGGGACTGCACCGGCCTCCAGCTGGACACGTACGTGTGCGTGTCCATCATCGGCGTCGACCCCACGCAGGGCAACGGCATCGCGACTCCGACGCCCACCCAGCCGGGCCTGGTGGGCAACTGCGATGCCTTTTACATGACCAAGAAGGGCGATACTTGCCAGTCCATCATTAACAAACACGGCATCTCCTTGGCCCAGTTCACCACGTGGAACCCCCAGCTCGGCAAAGACTGTTCCGGGCTATGGCTCGACACGTACTTTTGCGTCAGCATTATCGGCGTCGAGCCGACGCCCACCAAGCCCGGGAACGGAGTCGTGACGCCCACGCCGACCCAGGATGGCATGACCAAGTCGTGCAAGAAGTTCCACTACGTCGAGCCCAATCAAAACTGCGACACCATCACCAAGAAGTACAACATCCCGAAAGACAAGTTTATCAGCTGGAACCCGGCGGTGAAGAAGGACTGCACTGGCCTCTGGGGCAAGACGTACTGTTGCGTCGCTGTACTTTAGTCGCCGTACTTTAGATACGTCTAGACGATAGTTTCTCGTGCATAGTTGATACAAAGTACTTCGTACAACGGTAGAGAAGCGAACCTGGTCCTACGGAGTAGCAGTGTTTGCTTTCTGTGAACGGCCAGCTTCTCTGGCGTGTTAGCTGCTTTCACGTGGTGTCGGCTTTGTTCTTCGCGGTCTCGATTCCCGTGCAGTCCCATTCCCCGCCGTGGTCGTAATGGTCCATGCCCCTCAGGGACACAGCACTTGCGTAGACACCACGTTCGAGCTGGGTCCCTGTCCGCTCAACCCATTTGATCTGACGTTCTGGCACCACCAAAACGCAGCCAAAGTTGATGCCGAATATCCGGGTCGACCTTCTGGAAGAAGGCAAGTGTAGCCGTTTACTGCCAAGCGTGCAGCAGTCTTGATCCTTCAACATCATCCGCGCGCCTAGAACATTGAGGCCCCATCTACAACAAGTCGCGGAGCTAGGGGCTTCTGCAGGTACTATCATCAAAATCCTTTGCAAGATGCAAAGGATCCTGTACCCGAGACCCGAGTGGCCAACACCATGCATAACAGCATTGAATGCCGACTGGTCGGAGGGAAACGGCCGCGGTGTCCCCGGCCCCGTGTCGAGCTTGGGATTGAAGAACTGGTTCATGAACCAGGGTCCTGTTGCTAGCGTCTTGGATGCCCATCGCTTGCCTTTCTTGGTTGCAATGCCAAGACATAAGCTTAAACGTGGGTAGGAGAAAAGAGAGGTTGTGAGGGCCTGGGACTGCATCGAGCCTTGTCCTTGCGCTGGAAATGTCCGACACTTGGGCTCGACGGCCGGATCACCGAGATGGTGGCTTGTCTCTGGGTGCGATCACCGATCCTGTTTGGTCTGGTCATAGGCTCGGTAATGTGTTGCACGCATACGACCTTGGCCCTCGCATCGGGTCACAGTCGTCGAGACCACAGATGCATCTGCACCGGCATCTGCACCGCGCATCTTAAGGGTCATCATTGACGTGAAGCTCGCTCGGCAGGATCTCGCAAGTTGTGCAACAGTAGGGGCACATCCATCACATGAACGCCGAAAACGGTGCTAAGAAGGTAAAAGCAGAGTCTAGGCAGTCAGCAATACATTTTGCCTGGATGCACGGCGTAGACCGCCTGGTGGCGATGGTGTCGAGCGTGGTGCTCTTCCGGGTTGCCTTAAAGGGGATCCCTGAAAGTCAACTGTCATGGGGGAGGCCGTCGAGACAACCCCAGCTCGCCCGGGAATGCCAGGTTCATTGAAGGATGAACCAAACTGCTACGTATCATCGGTGTTCCCGTTATGCATCTCGGGCTATCGGCGCCGACCGCCAGACAGCTACGCAAGAACGGTTTTGTTTCCATGAGCCGAAATGAGAGGGATACTGTGAAGGCCGTCTTCTTCCGGCCCCGAACATTGAACAACCAGCCCCGAGATTGATCAAGATCGGGTGGCATGGGTCGTTGGGGGCAGCCGCGGATCCACCGTAACCCACAATGCCGTGAAGTATCAGCTACATGGCCACGGTCGGGGCATGGGTGGTGGCTACTGATCCCTGGATGAACCTCAGGAGCATTCATCCTGCTCGGGTCATGTCTGCCAAGCGGTGTGGTGAAATTGTTGTCCCTTGCTCAACAGGTTTCGTGCTGTCAGTCATAGTCGACGGTCCCAGACTCCCAACAAGCAGACGATGGAGTGATGAGTTGCCAACAGCTTGCACGTACACCACACGACCCTCGCTGTCAGAGCTTGCACTTACACGATTGTGTATGACCTTCAACTCTGGCACCTGAACTCGTCGTTCAACTACCTGTCTCACGGCAGCACGCCTTGTAGGTCATGGTTCTCCGTCAAAGTCGACTTCACGTATCAGCTAACAGAGTCATGCACGGAGACAGCCATTCCCAATGAAGTTCACCTCGCTGTTGCCGGTGCTGGCGGCCCTCGTGGCCCCAGTAGTCGTCTGCGCCGACGACACGTCGGATCCCGTCGCCCCCTTCGAGATGCTGTACTACTGGACCGTCTACGATCTCGACGTCGCCGTCTGGGGCGTGCACAACGGCTACATTGCCACCAACTGCCTCGGGAGCGGCAAGGGCAAGCGCTGCAACTTCAACGAATTCGTCAACTTCATCGTCCTCGGGGACGCCAGCGACAAGCCGTCGTACTACGACATGTCGTCCGACTACGCCATGGCGCCGGGCGACGTCATGGTCATTGTCGGCACGCTCGAGGACAAGCTGAAGACGCCCGCCGCCGCGTTCGACAGGCTCGTGCGCGGCCGGCGCTCCGCCGTGGGCGTGTGGAACGACCTGGGCTTCGCCGTGGACAAGGGCTCCGTCGAGGGCGCGGCAAAGGACATTGGCGTCGACCGCCTGCTCAAGAACGCCCGCACGGTCCTGGGCGCCGTGTCCGAGGTGCGCGCGTCGATCCTCCACTCCAACATCCGGGCGCAGCTCGTGGCCCGCGTCAAGGACGTCGTGTGGCAGACGGTCCAGCGAGAGTCCGCGTTCGTCGGCAAGCCATGGCAGGAGATTGAGTGGGAGAAGACGGTAGAAAAGTATCCCGACATGAAGGACCCCAATAGCAGGCTGTTCAAGGAGGTGACGGAGGCCCTGGACAAGTTCTACCAAGACAAGACGAACGCCAAGGACTTGACCATTAAGCAGAAGGTGGAGAGGAGCATTGCGAGCTGCTTTAAGTGAGCACTGCTGTGCGCGTTTCTAACAGACTTGTGTGTATGTGTAACGGCTAAAACGAGTATATGCGAAGCCGCAAGGGCCTAGTTCAAGTTGTGAGGGTTCATGTTCACTCCTGTTCGGACACGCAGCAAGTCCACTCACAATGGCCACTATCCGAGTTCCCCTGTGCCGTGATCGCGATATCCAAAGCCGGCACCACCATGCAATCATCCGCCGCCGCCGCCGCCGTCTCCGCCGCCCCCTCCTCCTCCTCCTCCTCCTCCTCCGCCCCCATCACCCCCGCAGCCCCCATCGCCACCACCGTGATGCCCCCCACCATCACCGCCATAGGACCCTCCCCGCCGGAATACCACCCGTTGCTCGAGCCTGGATTTTTCCGAATCTTCTTGTGCTCTGTGGCTAGCGCGGGCCGGGGATGGTCCATCCACCCATATTCGACGGGGGCTAGTCTCGACTTTCGCCGGGGCCAGCATATTGCAGCTGTTGTCTGGTGTCTCTTCTCACGGCCAATAACGGCAAATCAACGCTCGAAAGACTTCTTAACGCATGACTGGATCAAGCCAGCCGGAGCTGCCGAGAGACATATACTTAAAAAGCGGCAGCCAACAATTCACCTGTCAGCATTAGCGTTAGGCCGTCGGATTGAGTACCAGTACGTCGCACTCCGCTGCACCTCCGCGGTTTAACGCTACATTCCTATTGCACCTGCTCATCGCGCCGCTTGAGGAACTGGCCATGAAGTTGCATCTTGAATGTTACGTTTGATTTTTGTACGTATGGTAGAACTTCAACACCAACAGCCTAAAGCATTAATCTTTTGTTTTTCGGAGCAGGTCATCCAGCTTCTGCTGTCCCTTTTCTTCGTTGGTAACCTTGACCTTTTCGCTAGCAAGAACTGGTGGCAATTCCAGGACACGCCTCTTTGCGTCTTCGAGAAGATCGATCTCGCGATCTCGCTGCCCTTTAACGGTTGGCACCGACCAACTGTTGGATTCTGCTCCCTTGTGGCATAGCTTGTACTTTGAGCCCTTTAAAATCGTCTCGTATGTGTTTGCGTCCGTTTTCTTGACGTACTGTCATTCGAGGCGCAAAGTTAGTATTTTTCGTACATAGTGCTATTGCGGGTGAGAACAATACTTGATGTTCTACAATTAGCCAGTGGTACTCAGTTCCTACAGGTGCGCCGCTACCCGTTGGAGCTTTTCTAGCCCTTCTTTTTTTTGTGTTGAAGTCAATCTTCCACAGGTCAGGCTCCTGTTTGACTTCATGCCAGACACCAGGGTCGTAATTCCATGTGTGAGATCCACCGACTGCCATGCCTGAGTAGTATTGGCCCTTGTACGTCTTCAAAGCATTGTACTTTTCATGTGTGCTTGCGCGACGAGCTTCAAGATCCTCCGTCTCCGCGTCGTTATCGGACGGCGGGACTGCATCATCAAGGGCAGCCAGATCGGCCTCGATGTGTGCCCTCTTTGCTCTCAGAGCACTGTCGCCCGCATCGTGCGACGACTCCTGGCCGTTACTGCCGTGTACCAATAGTTCCTCATCCGAGACCGGCGCCTGTTTTCGCTTCATGTTTGAACCCGGCATTGCTGGTCTCAACATGTGTTGTCAGACCCGACAATGCGCGCGATAAAGATAAATCGACTGCCGACGATTTGAGTAAACAGAGAGTTAAGTTCCGATATCCGTAGGAAGTTGTCCGAGATTTTGATGCGTAGACATCGTCGCCCACTTTTCCGTGCGGCGTCGTTACTCTCATGTAGGACGCGCGACGACATCATTCTGACACAAGCTGCTTCCCAACGCTCCGCAGACGCTGGCTCCCGTACACTCCGTCAAGAAGTCTCTGAACGGCAATCTCGACCGTATCTCGCTCAAAGTTTCGAAAATCAAGTTCGCTGCCGATTGGCCTGTTCAACGATGCGGTGTTTGTCTAACTTTTAGAGGCCTTGGACGTGCCGTCCGAGTGCGGCAGCATGCGCGCGAGCGACTCGGACCTGCGCTACGTCGGCGGCGACCACTGGGCCGCCATCTTGGACAGCATCACCGACCTCAGGGACCACCTCGACCGAGACGAGCAGTTTCGGCTAGTCGGCGATGGCAGCGACACAGCGCAGAACGAGGCGAGCGTCGGGGAGAGCGCCAATGGATTACCGAGGTGGCGGTCGCCTCACGCCATGCTCCTGTACGGTGCCTCGCGGCCAACTTCGCGAGCTGATGTCCTCGCGGCTCTGCCACCCAAGGTCGTTGTAGACCGCTACGTTGCGCGGTACTTTAACAGCTTGGAGCTGGCATCGTGTTTGTCGCCGGGATATCCCCACGCCTTCGAGGCTGGCCGCTGACTGGTGATATATCGGCACTGAGCAGGTATCGTCCACGGCCCGACGTTCCTTAAAGAGGTATGCCACACTTTCTGCCTTTTCTCTATCGTGGCTCTCTCGAGTCTGACCATGACCGCGCAGTATGAAGCATTCTGGGCCAACCCGTCGTCTGTCCCGATTATGTGGATCGGCCTGCTCTTCAGCATCATCGGCCTCGCGGTCGTCACCTCGGATACAACAGATAACAGCACAAACAACAGCATCAACAGCGGTGACATAGAACAGCAAGCCCTCCGGTTCGACCTCTACCGCGAAAAGACCGTGCAATGCCTCATCAGCGGCGAGTACACCAACGCCGGGCCCCACGCCCTCGAGACAATCCTCCACTACCTACACATTGAGTTTGCCGCCCGCGCCGACGCCGACCGCGACGCATGGCTGCTGCTCGCCCTGGCCGTCAACCTCGCCCTGCGCGCGGGCTACCACCGCGACCCGGACCACTTCCCCGGCATGCGCATGTCGGCCCTGCAGCGCGAGATGCGCCGCCGGGTCTGGGCCACGGTCCTGCAGGCCGATGTGCTCATCTCGACGCAGATGGGCATGCCGCGCATGGTCGCGGACAGCAAGTGGGATGCGGCCGAGCCGGAGAACTACAACGACGCGGATCTGGAGCCGGATGCGATGGAACTGCCGCCCCCAAGGCCCGAGACGGAATTCACTACATCGCTAGGTATTATTGCCCGCAGGAGGATGTTATTAGCGGTGGGCACCATTTCGGATATCATGTCTGCGACCGCGTCATGTAGCTACGCCGACGTGATGAACGCAGACAGCCTCTTACACGACGCCGCAGCCAGCATCCCACCACCGCTGAAACCAAAATCCCTAGCAGCAAGCATCACAGACTCTCCACATATCATCACCGGCCGGCTCTTCATCAGCCACGTCTTCCACAAGGGGCAAATCATGCTCCACCGACGCTTCCTACACGCGCAGTCGCCCGCTTCCGAGCGAGACGCCTTCGCCTACTCGCGCAAAGCCTGCCTCGAGGCCTCCCTCGAGACCTTGCAGATCCAGCACATCCTCGACGAGGAAACACGCCCGGGAGGCCAGCTGCACAGCATGCGCTGGCGGCTGAGCTCCATCATGAACCACCAGTTCCTCACGGCCACGATGATACTGTGCTCGCTACTGCACCGAGGGCGGGCGATGCAGCGGACGGATGAGATCGTGCCGGCGCTGCACAGGGCGAGGGCGACATGGACGAGGGGTAGCGTGCGGTCTCGCGAGGCGAAGCGTGCTGCGGAGACGGTCAATTTCGTCCTGGCCCGGGCCGTGGGATCTGGGAACGGTCTTGACGCTGGAAAGGGTGTTGACACCGGCACACTCGTCGACGGGACGGATCAGAGCACGATGTCGACCCTTTTCGAGGACATGGGCGAGTACGACACCGGCCCGTGGTTCGACAGGCAGGACATGGATCTCATGCTCCAGGAGGAGGATTTTGGTCTCTTTCAACGTAAGTTTCACACACGATCCACGGCAGGCGCCAAAGAGACTTTGGCCTTGCGGTTGACTACTCCTGAGCACGACGCTAACTTGTGACACAGCCAACGGCTTCATCATGCCGACACTTTTGAAGGCACCATCAACCCCCGACCAAACGAACAAGGCCACCCGCTTTCCTATAAGCAGTCTCGACTCGGCCTTGGGATCTGCGGACGAAGTATCGACACACAGGCTTGAAACGGCATTATAGAACAGTGGCATTCACGTGTACAGGCTTGTTAAGGAATCGTGTTGGAATCCATCCAGGCCTCATGTTCAAGTGGTGAGTTGCCATTAAATTGCTCTGTATACCAGCTGCAGTCAACCCTCTACATCATGGTAGACTATACGCATGTATCTCTACGTAAACGTCAAACGCGCAACGGCGCCTATGCCGCCAACACCGGCTCATGCTCCGCTCTTCTCTGCACTCTTCAACTCCCCCATCCCCCTCAGCACCCTCGCCCTCTCCCTCACCAACTCCCTAAACGCCCCTCCCAGCACCTCCACCACAACGCTCACATCCGGCGCCTCGACGCCAGCCCCTCCCCCGCTGGTCGTAGCCGACGCGGGCGCCGCCCCCTCGCCCTCCCTTGCTGGCGCCACCTTGCCACCACCCACGCCCGTCTTGCCCATCGCTACCGTGTGCTTCACGTCCCTGCCCTTGCGGAACGCACCGCCCCGCGGCACCGCGGGTGTGATGAGCGTCTCGTCGAGGAGGGACTGCCAGCGCGCGAGGTACACGCCCGGGCCCTCGGTCAAGACCCCGACCGTCGGTGAAGATGCCGAGGATGAGGTCGAGGTGGAGGAGTTGGAGGAGTTGGAGTTGGCGGCTGTGGTGACGAGGAACTGCAGCCGCGCAGAGGAGAGGTCGTTGAGCGTAGACAGGTACGTCGCATGCGCGTCCACGGCCTGCAGGATACGCTTCTTTGTGTCCTCGTCCTCCAAGCCAGCAAACATGCTCCCCAGCCGCTCCCCCACGCTCCCCTTCCAGTCTCCATCGTCCTTGCGGAACTTCCTCGCCGCGGCGTTCGTCCACACCCTCAAGTCCGCCCACACATCATCGCAGCGCGCCGCCACGGCGCTCATGCAGCGATACAAGAGCCCCTTGTTACGACGCAGCAGCTCGACATACTCGTCCACGCCAGCGAGGCTTTCAACCCCGCCGGCATTCTTCTTGGGCTTGCTCGCGCGGATAAAGTCGTCGATGAAGCCCTGCGCCCCGTCCAGGTGCTCCTTGATGTCGACGCGCGCGTGCACGCTGCGGATCATGGGGTCATACGCCGCCACCAGGTCCTTGATGGCCTGCGTAAACAGGTCGGGCGTCTGCCTGCACAGCGCAGCGGCGATGGCGTCGCGGTCGCGCACCGACAGCAGCGCAGAGTAGTACTCAAGGCAGCGCGCGTGGTGCTCCTCGGTGAGCCCCTCCGCGCGCGCCGGGTCGTCCGAGGCGCAGAGGATAGCCACGACGATGGACTGGTCATTCGCGCGGCTCGCACGACGGACAAGCTCGTGCTCCTCCCTCGGCGCGGCGACGTGCTCGCGGATGACGCGCAGCACCTCCTCCGACGGCGGCGCCTTGTCCTTTTCGATCTTGTCGGCGACCTTGCGGAACTCGCCCGCGTCCCAGCCCAGGACGAGGGAGACGATGCGCTGCAGCAGGTTCATGCCGTCGTCGGCGCTCTGCGTGATGCCGAACCAGTTGGTGACGCTCGTGACGCTCAGCTTGGCGAGCAGCAGGCGCATCATGCCGTTGATCATGGTGGCGGCGTTGCCGACGCGCAGCGTCTGCTTGATGAGCTTGTAGGGGATGAGCGAGTGCACGTTTTCGAGCAGCTTGAGGAGGTACTGGCCCTCGGGCGAGCCGATGAAGACGCGGTGCGCAAAGGCGGCGAGGCTGGCACGTCAGTTCCCATTCAGCAACAAGAAGAAGGGGTATGGTAGCGTCGACATACTGTATCAGCGTGTACTCGGCTGCGGTCTTGACGGCCGGCGAGTGGCTCTCAAAGTCGTCCGTCTTGGCAATGTGATCAAACAGCTCGTCGACCAAGTCCCCATAGACGAGCTGCTGCACCACGTCGTCCCACGCCCTCGCCAAGTCCTCCGGCTTGTTCACGTCGTATGATCCTTTGTCGTGCTTGTCCTTGCCACCCTTGACCTTGCTGTGCTTGTCCTCGCCGCCCTCGTCCCTGCCCGCAGCAGACGACGGCGCCCTCTCCACGCCGCTCAGCGCCCCCCGCCCCAGCATCTCAATCACGGCACTCGCCCCCGTCGCCAGCATCTTCCGCGTCCCCAGCGCGCCCTTGTCGTAGCTCTCCGACAGGTCCGCGGCGCCCATGCGCGCCAGGATGCCCTGCACGCGCACGCTCCAGAACCCGCGCGGCAGGTCCCTCAGCCAGGGTAGCGGCAGCAGGAAACCCGTCAGCAGGGCCTGCAGCATCGGGGTGCCGCTGTCTGCGTCGTCGTTGTCGTCATCCCCTTCGCCCTCTGTGCTCCCGTTGCCACCCTTCCTGCCCTGGACGCTCCCCTTCTCCGATGACGCCGCGTCTTGCTGGTCCGCCGCCGGCACGGGCGTCCTGGATCGGGGCGTCCCCGGCGCCGAGTTTAGGGGCGTTGTCGTCGCGCTGCGCAGCCAGCCGGATAGGCCTCCTCCGCCTGTGGGCTGCGGCTGCTGCACCACCAGACTCGGGGCCGCCGTCCTTGAAAACGGGTACCCATAGTCTGTCACGGCGTCTGGTGTCTTGAACGCCTCAATCTCCGTGTATGTCTCTCTGTGCGACAAGATGTCGAACAGCGCGTGGACCTGCTCGTCCGTGAGGGTCATCGCCTCCGCGCCCGCCGATGGCGCTGATGATGATGTGCATGGTGGCGCCGGTGCGCTTCCAGCTGGTGACGCTTCTTCTGCCGGCTTGGTGGACGCTGCCCGTCCCGCCGCCGGCGATGCTTCCTCCGCCGACGCGGCACCGCCTTCACGGGCGGCCATTATCGTGAAAGTGTCAATATCGCGGGCATCAACGAATCGAGTAAAAAATCGGGCATTCGCAGAGACAAGAACGATGAGAGGGATTCGTGGATATTGAATGCCACCATGGCGTGGCGAGTGGAGGAGCGCGGGACAGACCCTCCTTGTTCTTTGTTCCTGGCGAGTGACGTCGGCCCGCCACACACGCAGGCACACGCAATGCAGGGCAGCGCCTCTTAGTCACCGGCCAAACCTGACCACACGTTCACTCACGCGTGGCTCACAGCATCAGAGAACGCATCTCATCTCATATCATTTATTTCATATTTCGTCATGTCCCGTAAGGATACCGTCTATCGGAGACTGTGCTTCACGACGCTGAGCCATCAATTCGCTTCGGAGGCCTCCTGCAAATCCATAGAATGACGGACACGCACTCTCAGGCGTGGAGCTTTCCACTTATACGCTTCACTCAGCCACAACGGCAGACAGATGCCAATAGCAATGACTTCGTATTCATAAACTAAACCTAACGGGACATAGGAAATTTTGGCGGTCCGAACCGTGTCCATTACTTCTCCCTCTTCTGGTATCACTGTAACGCAACTTCAACCATCCTCTTCGTTTCATCCGCGACTCAATGGGTATAACATCCGCACCCCGCCGCTCCCCTGCCGGGTGTGGCTCCTCACAAACAACATCGACTCGTCACCGCGCTTCTAGCGTGCGCCGAGCCCGTGGCTGTTGATGTTAGTCCCGTCCGCCGAGATGGGCTTGCCGCCGTGCAGGTTCACCGTCGCCGTGTTGCCGTTGGTGCCCCCGTTCGTCACGCCGCCGAGGCCCGAGATGCCGTTGGTGACGCCGCCATACCCAGTCTTGGCCCCGTTGGTGGCTCCGTTGGTGGCTCCCAGGGGAATTCCAGTCGCGGCTCCCGTCGTGGGAGGCACGCTGGTCCCGGCAAGGCCGGCGCCAGCAACACCACCCGCCGCACCGGCACCGGCAGCGCCGGCAACGCCCGAGGGGCCCGCAGAGTGCGCCTTGTTCTCAATGTGCGGCGCCGACGGGATGTCGGTGCTCTTCTTAGCGCTGCCAATCGAGAAGACGGGGCTCTCCCACTTGTCGCCCTTGCGCGCCAGCTCCTTGTACTCCGTCGCCTTGGAGCTCACGCCGCCGGGCAGCTTGACGTTGGGCAGGATGCTGTCTTCCATCGTCATGGCCACATTGACCTTCTTGTCGTCCGCCACCTCCTTGGTCTTTTGCTTGCCGTCCAGGTAGCGCTTCTGGGCCGCCTGGTAGTAGCGAGTGTAAAAGTTGGCCTTCTTCTCGGCCTCGTTGTCTCCCTCCTTGGCCGCGCGGTCCGCCTCCAGCTTGATCTGGTACAGCTCCTGGTCGGCCTTGTTGCACTGGTCCTTGATGGCCTTCTCCACCGCCTTCTGGATGGGCTTGCGAAGCACCTTGAGAACGAGCGGCTTGACGAGGCCAAAGAGCAGCTTGTGACTCGACTTCTTGACCTTGATGTTGAGTCCCTTGAAGTCGACATCAACCTTGTCCACCTTGAAGTAGTTCTGGCGGTCCGTCTTGTGCGCAGTCGACACCTTCATGCGGAACGAGAAGCCGTTGCCAGGCAGCAGGATGTCGGCGATGCCAGTGTCCGAGATGGCAGGGAAGCCCCTCTTGCGCTTGACGTGGAAGCTGACGTCGCGCAGGTCCATCTGGATGCCCGCCACCTTGACATCCATAGTGTTGTGGTGCTTGTTGGCAATCTTCTTGCGGCCCATGCGGAAGTAGTGCTCGCTCGCCACCTCGAAAACGTTGGGCATGAAGTTGTCGCTCTCCAGCACCAGGTTCTCAATGACCACGTCGAACTGCGGGTCCACATACTCGATGCGCGGGATCGGAATGTAGTTGATGTTGGCCAGCACGGCGGGCAGAATCACCTCGGTCAAGTCCTTGATCAGGTGAGGCTTGAACGTCGACTTGCCACTGGCGTCGTGGCCCAGGTGGTTGAAGAGCTTCTGCACGGCGTCGCCAAAGGCCTTGTTGTGAGGGTCCTTTTCGAATTGGTCGGCGAGGAACTTGGTCTCATCAATGACGCGATCCGTGTGGCCGCGGTACTTGTCGCGGAGCAGGTATCGGCCGTGCTCGTAGAGGCGGTCCCACTCTTTGGTCGACGACTCATCCAGGATGTAGCCCTGCTCGAGGAGGCAGCGGCGGATGTAGTTGTCCATGTTCTTGAACCAGCCGCGCAGCTCCTGGTCCTTGTCTGCGTCCTTGTAAATCTGGCTGATGGACGCCCACAGGTCCGAGGTCGAGGTGCCGTTGGCGAAGCGCTCGATGAGGGTGCGAAGGTCGTCCTCGGCAGCCTTGAGGCCGGTGCGGGCCTGCTTGGCAGAGCCGGCAGAACCCTCGCCGAGGGTGCGGCCGTGCTGTCCGTAAGACTCAGCAAGTCGCAGCAGAGTCTGGATGGCCGACGAGTAGTCGGGGTGCTGCTGGCACTCGAGGATCATCTTCTTGAGGCGGAAGATGATCTGATCCTTGCGCTCCTCGGGCAGCTTCTTGTTGAAGTACTCCTTGGCGCGGCGGCGGTATTCCTCGTTGCGCTGCTTGATCTTGTCCTGGGTCTCCTGGTCGACGTTCTGGTCGATCTTGCCCTTGGCGGCCGTGATGGCGGCATTCTGTCCCGCGATCTTGTCCACCGGCTGATCCCGAGCGGCGACAGCACCAGCAGGAGTGTTCTGAGGCACGGCAGCGTTGGCGCCAGCGTTGGCCACGTCCTTGGCATCTTCCTTGGCGTTTCCGCCATAGATGCCCTTGGCCTGCTTCCTGAGGTTCTCCTTGGACAGATCCGGAGCCTCGTGCCAGGTGTTGTCGGCGGCGGGCTTGTCAATCTGCGACAGCTTCTCCTCGTCGGGGCGCACACGATCGGCGGCACTGGTAGCGGCGTCTCCGATCATGTCGCGGAAGAGGACCGTAGAGTCGCTGACTGCATGATGTTAGCTGCTTTTCCCAGCATCGGCTGGCTCTCAGGAGGGCTTACGAAGCTTGCGGAACTGGCCATTGGTGATGAGCAGAGTACCCAGGGTTCTCAGGCCCTGGAGCGCCTCGTCGCCATCTCGCTTGGCCGTGTCCTTGCTAATCGGCGCATTGGGGCCCTGTACGCTCTTGGTGTCGTACTGCCACGTCTGCCAGATGAAGTCCTGGATCAGGTTGCCCTGGTTCTTGGAGAGAAGCAGCTTCTTGGCGAGCTCGACAACGTCGCGCGTGTCCTTGACGAGCGTCTTGCCGTCGTCGGAGAGCTGATCCGACGGGCGAGAGAGCGCGCGGGACTGAAGGAAGCTGTTGAGGGCGACATCGATTTGGTCGTTCTGCAAAGCTGTCAGCCTCTGAGGCACGGGGTGTGAGTCCACGCGCAAAACGTACCGAGGGGACCTTGCCCTGAGAAAAGGCGCTGACGATTCCGTAGATTTGGAGCTTGCGGTTGATATCCGCCTCCTTCTGCTTGATGTCGGTGGGCTTGTTGACGGTGGCAGCCATCTTGTCTGACGTCTTTTCCTTTCTTTTTTTCGGTGGTATTAATGCTCAATTACGAGATCCGTCAGGTTTGGTGAGCAATTGGCCCTGGACGGCGGTGACTGGCGCAGCGATCGGACACGTCGTGAGTTGAGGGTGAGGGTGAGGGCGTAGAGACGAGTGGCAAGCTCCGTCTCTGGGGTATCACAAGGAGGTTGAGTTTGGACGGTATTACGATTGGGGGGTATAATTGGAAGGCAAGGCAAGTAGAGGAAGGTTCAGGGAGGAGAGAGAGAAGGCGAGGGCGCGCGCGAGCAGAGGGAAGGGGTTTATAGGCATGCGAGACCCCCTGGAGCTGGAGGAGCAGGGCGGCGGCGGCGCGGCACTCAGGCAGGCAGGCAGTTGACGGTGCAAGACCCTGCCCATGCCCAGGCTGGCTGCAACCGGGAAGGCACGACGAGCGAGTGAGACGCTGTACCCGCCAAAGCTACCAGCAAAGCTTGATTGACAAGGGAGTGACGTTGGGCGAGGGCGGCGTGTACGTCATCGGCCAGGTAACCGGAAGGGGGGGGTGTGAGGAGATGGGCGTCCTGACGAGACGACGGACGCCTGGGATGAAGGGGAGGGTCTCAGTCGGCGGCCTGCTTTGCTTCGAGGACTGGAGAAAGGGCGGCGGCGGCAACAGCACCTCTCTCCGTGACCGCTCCGGTTACCCTGGCGGAAGCTCGACATGACGCCGCAGGTGAAGCGTCGGGAGCTCGAACGATGGAAGGCATACAGCAAGTCAGGTACACTCGTACAGCTGAACGCGCGAGACGGCGCAGAGCGAAACGCAAGGGCAGGCAGGGCACCTCGACCGGCGCAATTCGTGGCGCGTCGAGCACACCACCAGCGGCCGTTGCCCTCGATGCATCAGCACGCGAGGCGTGGTGGGAGATGCGGACAGGGGTGGAGATCGGTGATCTGCGAGGCGGACGATGGGCCGGCAATGGCAAGCTACGCCAGCTTGCTTGGCTCGCTGCGTAGGTACGCCCACTTTGCAACAGCGCTTGGCTTGGTGCCGCGATGGTGCCCTTGGTGCCCTTCCAGGTTGGTGCCCCAGCGATGCCCAGGCTGGCTGCCCTGCTGGGTACCTAGGTGCTGGTCGGGGGGGACCCAGCCGGATCGGGTGGCCGAGAGCCACTGCTGATCCGCTGCGCGCTGCCTTGCGTTGCGTTGCGTTCAAGGTTGCGTTCAACGACGGCGGAAGGCGCAGCAAAACGGTAGCGGCGGTGGTGGAGGTGGTGCTAGCAGAGACTTGGGGTGGTGAGTCTCGACTTTAGGTGAGCACATGGCGCTGGCGCCTGTCATGGCAACGGGGAATTGGCTCCATTGTCTCAGAGCGTCGATGGTTCGGCCGTCGTCTCCTTCGTCCTCGTGGAGCGGCGGCCGGTGGCTTGCCTTGCTTTTCGCTGGAGCAGCCTGCGGCTGGACCCCACGACGGCATTCAAGCGAGGCCGCTTGGCGCCTCGATGCAAGCCTGAGCGCACGAGCACCTGGGCAAGCAGCAGCAATTGGCATGGCAGCCAGCACAGCCCAATTGGCGTCGCGTTGCGTCCGACGAGGGCCATCGGCACACGCCGAGAACAGTGGGCGACATGTCTGTCTGGCCTGTCAAGCCTGTCTCACCATCACTTCCAGCGCCCGGATGCGTGCTCGGCACCCCATTGACCGGGAGATCAGACGGCACTGGAATGACGGGAGCGAAGCTGCTTGCCAGGCATTTGGCGGGCCCCTGGGAGCCCAGTGAGGTGGACCGCCCGACGGCAAGCTGCGGGAGTGTCGAAGGGGCCGTGAGGGCTTCTTCCAATTGCTGGCTTGCTGGCTCTCGGCGAGGGCGATGCGGCAATGTGGAGAGGCCCCGGTTCGGGAGGCATTGGGCCCCATCAATGTTTCTCTCCCAGCAAGTGCCATATTGAATCACAATGAGCAGACGGCCCGGCTCGACTTTCCGACCCTCGCTCGACTCGACTCGACTCGCCACGGGATGCGCTATGAAGGCGCAGTGTGTAATTACGTGCGCGTGCGCGTGTGCGTGTGCGTGTGAATGCGCGTGAAATGCCGTCGCTCTTTCCTCACAGCGCGCAATGGCATCGTCACTGGCCAGTCGGCGCGCGATGCATCGGTCGCACCTGCCTTGCTGATCGCATCGCGGCGCAAACTTTCCGTCATCGACATCTGGCAGTCATGACGTCAAGGCGGCGCATTGTCCAGCGCCAGCGGGCAGGAGCTTCCCAGCCAATTCCCACCTCAGCTCGAGCTCCCCCTGTCACCACCACCACCACCACCACCACCACCAGCGCCGCCCCAACTCCAGCCCAAGTGCCCTCGACCACGCTGCCACGCTTGCCCTGGTCTGGCTGGTGGCCAGTGGGACCTCAGAGTTCACAACCATCGACCATCCGTGAACAAACAAGACAGGGCAGCGCGCGCCTGCAGTGGAGAGAGCGTGGAGTCCCTGGCCTGTCCAGACCGTCGGCTGCTGCTCCTCCCGTGTCGATTGGCACCTGCAATCGCTAGTGGCAGCTTCCCAGGTTCCCTGTTCTGCTGGCCGGTGGGGCGCTGCCGGGGTACGGACAGCGCCTGCTACCCCAAACCTGGCTTTTTGGCGGTGGCGCCGGCACCTTCAATCGCGGGCAAGACGGCAAAACGCCGCCACTGCTTCTCCAACGTCTCGTACGACCGGTGGTTCGAGCCGATTGCCATCGCGATGTCGTGGCAGTGCAATTCATCCGTCCAAACGCATACCTGGATGGCAAGGCAAAATTCACATGCCCGCACTCCCTCTTGGTCGGCTCTCAGAGGGTCCGCCAGCTGCTTGATGTTACGCCCACACCTTCTTCACCTGCACTGCACGTCCGTGTGTGGCACTGTCTTCTCACTCGATGCGCTCCGGCTCCAAAGTCTCCCGCTGAGCCCATGTGCCCTGAGCAAGATCTGGCTTGTTTCGCCTGTACGATGCAGCCAGCAGTCGGGTTTCATCAACCTCTTCAGGCAACGTCCCTCCAACGGCTTCAACTCAATTGCGTCGATGCCCGCTCTGCGCGTGGCCCGTCCCATGGCACCCATGGCACGTTTGCCTGTCCTGGACGCGGGACACGAAGCATGCGGCCATCAATTGACGAGCGGATGAGGGCCGGGCCCGAGCAGCACGCGAGCAAAAAGGCGACGCAGGCACCAGGAGCGCGAGCCCAGCGCCGGCCACCGCGCACCGGGCGCAATCCTCCGCGGCACATGCCATCGTTGCATCATCGTTTATACCTGCGGCACCTCTGGGCGCCTTGCAACTCTAAAAGCTGGGGCGGGTCTGGGCTTGCCGACTCGCAGATGCTGCTGGCGCCATTGTTCACCCTGGGCCGCGCACTTTCTCTGATGCAGATATTGCACGACTTGGCGGACTTTGTGCCGCTCTATGGAAAAAAGTCATCAAGAGAGTCAACTGCCTTGGCCGCAAGACTCGCGTGTCGCACATTGAAACGTGGTTTTGCCGTCCCATGCTGCGGCACAGGGCACCGCGAGAGAAATTCTTGGGTATGGGGATCGCCCACGTAGCACTGCACTTATGCATGGAATCGTCATCGCTCAAGGTTCACAACTCATCCACACTCCAATATCGGCCACGCGACTTCAGCTCAGCTCGTCTTGCACTACCGATGAGCGCCGGTTCCATCGCTGCCCGTTGCCGCGAGCCGGCGAGGCGCGCAATTGGCCCGTCGTGCTTCTCACATCCACGACTTCGCGAGCTTCTAACCTGGGCTATAGGGTAGGTAGCCCGATATCGCCGAGCCAAGGGATTAATTCCCAAGCCTTCTACGAGTCTCGCCGTTTTGACATGTCACCTCGGTTCAAGAGGCTTTCCCAAGATAATTTGATGTTTTGAAAGATTTTTGTGAGCTCAGGGGAACCGAACAGGGGGTCAAATACCATGACCTTGAACATTGACCACGAAAGTGTCTGTCACAGCCATCACTCTCGTACGAGACCATTGTCGCCCACATAGCTTGTTCGCAACCATCGACGCTGCGGGCATGTAGACGAAGGAGAAGCCAAGCTAGGCATCAGGCATTATGCTCACCAGAAGAAAGGTAGAAGCTATGACTTCCTTCCGGTGGCAAGTCAGAATAAGCCATGCCAATGGTGCATGTAGGCTGAAGTCGATTTGAAGGACACATCAACGCTGAGCGTAATAACTCCTGCAGAAAATCTGCTGCCCGCGGCAAAGCACGTACTCGCTCTCATGGAAAGTCTGCTGCCTGAAGCACCGCGTCTCCGAACTAGACGCCGTCGCGGCCCCGGCCGTGAGATCCCACACTCGTGTGCGAGTGCGTTCCATTCAGCTACATACTGGACATTTCCGGGCTCAAGCACGGCACGTATCACGACGAGGATCACGAGCACGATAGCCCATGGCGTTGCGATACACTCAGTCAGGGTTTGTCAGTCATGATGGATGTGATTCATCCCGACGAAGCGGGGATTCTCGTAAAACGTGCAAAAACACAATGCCCCTCTCCAAACGCCTTATATGCCATGACACCCCGCGCAACGCCTATGACGACCGTGATACCAGGTCGTTGAATATGTTGGCCTTGACCTCGCCGGCGACCAGGCCCGCCCTTTCCTTGGCGGCAATCAGGCTGCTATCCTGCGTCAGCTTGTCGAGGGCCTTGTCGGCGGCCTTGGCGCTGGTGGTGGAGGCGCCGCCGCCGGTGAAGGCATGCAGCAGGGTGTGCTGGGAGCCGCGAGAGCGCGTCAAGGCTGCCGTCGTCTCCTTAATCTTGAAGCTCAAATCGAGCATCTGGTTGCTCCCAAAGTCGCGGTTGGTGAGCAGCGGGCTCTGGCTCAGCGTCTGGACCCAGTACTTGTGCCACATGAGCTCCAGCAGGTGCGTGTCGAGCGTGCTCTTGAAGTGCGACACCTCGAGGCTGTAGTAGCGATTGGCGTGGGCGCCGAACTCGGCTGCCTTGGCCAGGGGCACCGCGCCGGCACCATCGCCGCCGCCGCCTGAAGACGCGGGCTTATAGTCCTGCGGGTAGGTGCGGAACGCGCCGATGTCGACCTTGCCCGAGTTGATGGTGCGGTGCGGATCGATGACGACGGCTAGGAAGGGGTCGGTGAACTGCTGCTGCATGGCCTCGGTGTCGACGTCGATGCCGCTGAGCCAGCAGCCGTAGCCGGGATGGCTGTGGTACCAGCCGACGACGTTTTCCTGGCGGCCCTGGGCGCGGCACAGCTCGAGGTACTGGGCCATGTACTCGTTGGCATCGCTCTGGGCGTTGACGCGCGTCTCGGTACCCTCGACGGGCAGGCGGAAGGCGTCGGTGACGACAAACGTCTCGTCCGTCACGTAGCCCTGCATGAGGCCCATGATCTCGAGTTCGCCGCCGGAGCGCGCGTGCATGGTCATCTTGATGAGGGCGACGGCGCTTATGCGCACGTGCTTGAAGTAGTTTGGGTCCCTGGCCCACGGCTTGGTGGCGTCGGCGGCCTTTTGCAGGCCAGCGTCGTAGTTGTAGAGGGCATCGCGCTTGGGGTCGACGAGCTTGACGTTGTTGTCGAGCTCTGCGGGCAAGTCAGCTTTTCATGTTTCGTTCTTGTCGTCCGGGGGGACGGCTACGCACCCCAAGCCTTGAGCGCGGATTTTTCCATCCTGACGGCGCTGGCGGGCAGCGAGCGGCGGGTGCGGATGGCCGTCGTGAGGTGGATGTGGGAGGGAGTCGTTGATGATGGAGCTCGGGCGAGCTCGAGATGCCCCGCTCCAGTGGGCGTTTGGCGCGGTTGGTGATCATTATCGATAACGCACGCCGCTATGGTGACGTTTTGTTAGTGGGTACCCAAGTTGATACTCGTCCTTCAAGTGCCCCGCTAGAGGTCACGGAGGAAGGCGCTCACTTGCATGTCAGGCAGGAGGCATTGAACCACCAAAGGGAGCCCAACTTACTCTCTTGCATACACTATGGCCCCCTATTGTACTTCTTCAGTGATGTGCTTGCTTGCTTGCTCTATCATGTCTGGTGTTGTTGCAGAGATGACCTGCATATCGCCGTCGCGGGATTCTGCAGTCCGCTGCCGTGCAGGCATCGGGTCAGCCCAGGGGCAGGCGCTTGCAGGGGTCTGCGTCAACCTACCGACGAGGCGACACAGCCTGGAGCCCTGGTGATGCCTTCAGCTCTCAACCTCCAAAGCATCCGCTGTGCGACGAGACACGGACAGGCGGCGTCGTCGGCGTGCTCCCATGTCGTGGTCCCGGGAAGACGACTACGCTGCCTTCAAGGCGGCAGCCAGCTCGTACAACTCGCCCAACCCTCGGCCGTGGTCGTTGCTCGTTTGGGACGTCGCTCATGGTAAGCGATTGACCCTCGATTTGGAGGCTTCGCGAGCGCTGGCTAACCGAGATAGCGAATCCTGAAGGCAACTGGCATGTAGAGCCGAGCTCAGACTGCCTTCGCAGCGAGGCAACGCTTCGCATAGTGTAGGACAGGATTCTCACCTCCAGCTTCATGGGCGCCTGACTGACTCTTTCAGCTTCGCGCCTCTGCACGGTGGGCAGCGCGAATGGATATCCGACTTTGTGGAACTCTTCCGAGTTCTCAATGTCCCCAGCGACTTCACCACGGAGCGCACCCAGTCCGTATGCCACAGCTTCGCCAGTCGCACGGATCGCCATGGCACCTGTTCGTGGTTCCATTTCCTCTTCAAGAACATCACAATCAGACACGAGCCCGGAAAGATGCCCGAGGTTGACTTGCGCATCCCGGGCCGCTGGCAGCAGGGAGGCGCCAGCCTACCCCAGGCAGACTATAGTTGGCTTGTCGCCAGCTTCTTCATGCGCGTTCACACGCACGGGGCAGTGACACTCGTCTGCTTTGGTGCCCCGCCGCGAGTACGCAGGCGGTTCGAAGAGTTCGTCGACAGCTGTGGCTGGGACGACGTCCAGACGAACCCATACGTGCTCTTTGATGTCCTGCTAGAGGGTCTCTATTTTGAAGTGGACAAGATGGTGTGGAACATGAACACCATTTTCGGGCCCCTCGAACATGTAGGCTGGTATCATTTCCATGAGGACCGGAATATGCTGACCAGGCAGTCCATTCTCGAGCTCGCACATACCAAAGACTACGGACAGCTCAACTCGCGGCTCTCCTTTGCCGCTCTTCACAACTGTGCTAAGCACATCACATACCTCGGCGAAGGACTCGATGCCGCCCTGCTGCTCCTCGACTCTGCCCTGGCGCATGCCAGGGACTTTGGCAGGAGCGAAAACACGCGGGGTCTGGCAGCCAACGCCGGGAGACCCCGCGCGGAACTCGTCACCCGGCTGGTCAGGGAGCGCTTGAGCTACCGAAAGTCCCTCTTCCGGTCGACGCAGCTTCGCCTCTCCAGCCTCCACAAGCGCATCGACAACAGCATAGCCCTGGCCTTTAACGTGGTCACGCAAAAGGACTCGATGGTGGTGACGCGCGACTCGAGCGTCATGAAGATGATTGCCGCCATCACCATGGTCTTCCTGCCCACCACGGGCGTCGCCACCGTCGTGGGCTCGCAGTTGCTCGTCTCGGAGTGGCAAAAGGAGAGCCAGTCGTGGAACGTCATGGCCACGCCGCTCTTCTGGACGACTTGGTGGATCACTATCCCCTTGACGGTTTGCGTGCTCGCCGTGGCCTTTGTGTGGCAGTGGTGGTCTCACAGCGAGCGCGCGCAGGACCAGACGCGCAAGATCCTGAGGAAGCCAGCCAACCTGTTTGCCAGAGGAAAGACTGCATCAACTGGATAGTTGCTAGCAGTCCTGTCGAGTATTTGCAAGCAACACTGTTTACCAACGATTCACCGTCACTCCAACCTGGTTCAACCTAGCGGACAGGAGCGATGCGCTTCAACTCATGTCTGGACGTGTATTGTTCTACATCCGCACATATGCCCTCTGGTGGATATGGTCTCCAAAGAACCTACTCCTCGTTTGCAGCGCCTTCCCCTCGGCTCCCGACCAGACGCCCGTGTAGTTGCCGCTCGTGGGCTTGCACTCGTCCTGCTCCGCCACGACACACACTTCGACCCGCCGCTGTATTTGAGGCTCGCTCTCAGCGGCAGCAACTACCTCCACCTCAGTCTCAACCTTTTCGCTCACGTCGATGACATAGACTGTGCCGACGCATGTGTTTTGGCTCTCGTCGTCGGTACCGGCCGCCCAGGATGCGTCTTTTCCGGAGACTTGCCTTTGCAGCGCCCATTGCTTGTGCGTGTTCTGCTGGTGCTGGGGGTTCAGGGGTATGAAGACGAGTTGGATCAGTGTCGGGAGAATGCAGGCGAGGTTGACAGTCAACAGCGCGATGAATTCCTCCCGCAGCGCCCACCGTCGCGACAGCTCCACGTCGTGGTGAGACTGGGCCACGATCCGTCAGCGGTTTAGCTACAAGCAAAGAGCGATCAACGTACCGAAACTGCCACGGCTCGCAACGAGGCGGCGGCTGCAGCTACCAGCCCGCAGGCCATGAGCGTCGCCGTCAACGCACGCTGCCACGCCGGGAGCACCGTCTTTGCAAGCATCGGCACCGGCAGGGCCGCCAGGTACACATATGCTGCCAGTCCGAAGCCTGCATACATCCACACGAGTGCTGGCGAGCTGGCCGGCCGGCACACGGGCTCTGGAGCGGATGGCTCGACTTGCCACATGCGCGGGAGCGGCCGGCAGCTGAGCAAGAGGTTTAGGGTCGCGGCGAGAAAGGTACCGGCCAGGGCGCCGAGGCCGATGAATGCGGGGATGCGATATCCGCGGTGATGGTGGTTGGCGAGGCGCAGGAACAGAGTGCAGATGGCGGCCTTGAGCGTCCATGTGACGAGGGAGTAAGTGATCCAGCTGGCGAGGTACAGCTTGGACCCCAAGACTCTATGACGATGGTCAGCATGTCGTCCACTACCGTCAGGCGGATATCGTACCTGGCGCTGCTCTCCCCGGGCGCTTGTGCAGCACCGCTCTCGGGCATGAAGCTATTGGTCAAGCCATGAGCCACGCTCTCACCCACATACGCGAGTGTCGTGTCAGCGATATATAGCACCTGTCATCCAGTGTCAGTCTTCGAATAGCCGCTCTTCGTCCCAGGTCTCAGGTCTCAAGGGCTTCCGTGCAGAATTTCACATACCGAAGCCACCACTACCAGCCAGTCGTCCACTAACAAGCCTTTCCATCCACGGCCCTCAGCAGCCAAGACGCGGACGCCCACTCGCAGCGCCGTGCCCGCCAGGCTCACACCCAGCAAGGCGAACGCTTCCGCGGCAAATCCCGAGGCGGCGCTCATGACACAACGCGCATCCGCCAGCTGCCACTCTTGGCCGGGAAAGGCGAGGAACGTAGTTCACAGCGCGATGGATGAAGAAGCGACACGCAATCGATTGAGCAAGACAAGCTGGTTCGCGAACCGGGCAGATTCGAATTCTGCGTGTGAAGACGTTGAATGCTGTCGTAACCCGCTCGAAAGGCCGTTCTGTGGGAATTCTGTGCTCCCTCGAGCTTGGGTGGTGGTGATGGCGCCACGATCTTGGCCGCTTTAAGAGGGAAACGGAAGCGGGCTGCCGCAGACAAGCAGACACAGCAGACAGACTTGGATGGAGTTCGACAGAGAGAGATGGACAGGATCAGGATGCGAGGGAGTGAAATAAGATCGATCCGTCGACAGGCAAGGAGACTATCGAATCGCAGGCGGGAGCGCGAAGCCTCGTTAAGAAGGCACCCAGCCAGGCGGAACACACCAACCGCCACCGGCTCTCGCTCCCCCTCCCCCGGTCCCGTCCCCGTCCTCCTCCTTCACCGAGCCACCACCACCGGTGGCGCCGCCCTCGGCTCATGTCGCGCATCCATCCATCCATCCATCCTTTTTTTTGCACCACCTAATTAACTGCTTCCCATGGATCCCCTCGTCAATCCTCCCTCCCCCCAGTCTTCTCTCCCTCCTTTGGCCCTCCCCACACCCGCCCGTCCGTCTGTGGTGGATGGGTGGGTGAGTGGGCGTTGTATTTCTGAGGTTTTTGAAGTTGACAAGTGACGGGCAGAAGAAAGCATACCCATTGCGCCCAGGCTTCTTCTGCTTCTAGGGTGAGAGGAAAGAACCCCAACAGCACACAAGGCGCACGGCACATGGAGGCACGGACATTTTTCACTGCGGGCCTTTCTTTCAAGGGAAAAAAAGGGAGAGGCTCTTTTTTTTTGTTTTGTTTTTGTTTTCTTTGCCCTGGCATCGTATGGGAGGAACTCATTAACTGCTTCGCAGCAGCAGCAGCAATAGCAGCAGCAGTGGTAGTGGTAGTGGTAGTAGCAGAAGCAATGGCCGAGCAGAGAGCCCAATGTGTCTCACTCAGTCACCAGCAAGCAGCCCCATGGCGACGATCTACGCTGCAGGCGCTGAGGCCTTAAAACCACCGAGGAAAACCAACCAGCGGGACGGTCTGCAGTACCTGAACTTCGTGCTGCTCTCCCGCGTCCACAGAGCGAGCGCGCATCAGCCGTGCCGGTGGCGCCCGGGAGTCGGGACTGAGACGCCACTGTCCACCACCACCAGCTGGCCGGGGGCGGGAGGGGGGCAGACACACCTTTCTTGCGCGACTCAGTTCACTGCCGCTTCGCCTGTGTGCTGTCGCTACCTGGTGCGCGGCGGCGGGGGTGGGCCGGCTTGACGAGACTTGCCCGTTGCGTTTTAATGCGGCGAGCGATTCAGGTGCGGGTTGACGACACAGACCTGGGGGCGGGCGGGCGGGCGGCGCGCGGGCAGGGAAGCGAAGCGAAGCGAAGCGAGGAAGGGAGAACAGTGGAGAGGAGAGGAGAGGAGAGGAGAGGGGAGGGGAGAGAGAACATGATCAGAGTGAGTTTAATTCAACTGTATTCATGAGCGAGAGCACATTTGCAGCTAGGCACGGGGATCGTTGCGTTGTCTTACACCTAAAACCCCAGCGGACCGCGGCTCACCTTTCACTTCCACTCTCCTCAGTCCCCTGTGTCGCAAGAGCAAGAAAAAGCAACGCGTCCTCGAGACACCACATGTCCAGCAAACGTGGCCCGCCCGCCGATCACTCAAAGTCGAGGCCCCGAGTCCCAACTTTCGTAGTACGTAAACCCCTTCGCCCAAACGCAATGCCTGGCGTGCGAGGCCGACGAAGAGCCGGGTCGAGTGCTCCGTAGTTCGCACAGCACGATTCGCTAAAACCGCCCACGAGGAACGACGGCGTCGCCCCCCGGGATCGGATCTCGCGCGGCTCCCCCCATATTCCCTGTTTTTGAGGCACCGCCCAAACCTGGGGGAGGGAGGCTCGAATCCGCTGGATCGGTCCGTCTGGCCCGACAGGGCAAAGGGCCAGCCACCGCGCCCCCGTCTCCAGGCTCCACCGACGAGAGCCGGCCGACGGGGCTCGGGGGCCGCTGCTGTTGGTGCTGCTGGTTCTGCTGGAGCGACGAGGCGCGATCATGCGATCCCGCCCCATCCAGGCGGCAAGGCGGGTTGGCTGGCTGGCTGGCTGGCCTGGCGGGACTGGGGCTGGCTTGCTTTTTTAGCGCTCGGGTCTCGACTGTTTGGCTTTGGGGCGCCGCCGCCTTGCCGCAGCCTTCGCCTCCCCCCATTATTCGTGAGCGTCTTTGTCTGTTGGGCGTGGCTTGGTTGTGGGCGGCACCCAGAGAAAAAGCCGGGGAAGGGGCAACGACAACGGCCCCTTGCGTCGAGTGTTGTGCAGTGGCAGTGCCAAGCCAGCATCGCTCGCATCCAAAGGGATGGGCCCAATGCTTGGGAGGAGCGAATGATGTCCACGGAATGACACCGAGGCCGACGACGTGGACGTTGCCCAGGCTTCTGACGAACGCACACACGACGAGAGACATGGCCCAGCCGGTCGCGCTGCAAGCTTCGGCGTCCCCTCCACAGTAGACGTCTACCGCTTCAGAGTCTTCTGCTTCTCCGCGTCCGTCGCCACGTGCCGACCCTCAATCAGCAGGCCCTTCTTGCGCCGGACGCCGTCCATGTAGCGCTTGGCCACGTTCTCGCGGTCCGCCAGCTCGCCCAGGTCCTCGAGGTCGTCCTCGGTGAAGGGCACCCAGAACGGGTCCTCGTCCAGGATCTCGAAGCCCGCAAAGATGAGCTGCGGCTGTGCCGCGCCACTCGTCCGCTTGCGCATCTCGTCCGCGAACCCGAAGCTCTCGGCCACGGGCAGCAGCGCCTGGATTGTGAAGAACGGCGTTCCCTCTTTCATGATCTCCGCCACCACCCGCCCTCGCCGCCGCGTAAGCACGTCGTATACCCGCCCCAGCACCTCGGTCGACGCCTGGATCTCCACCGTGTACATGGCCAGCATGAGGCGCGGCGACCAGTCCAGGAACCCAGCGCGCACGCAAGACTGCACAGATTTGATGACTTCGCCCGTCAGCCGCCCAAGCTTGTCTCGCGCCGACGAGTCGTCCTCAGACAGGTTCAGCGCGACCTCCTCGACGAAAATAGCAATCCCTTGCATGGGCTCGTGGCAGAGCGGGCCCTGCGCCGTTGCCAGTTGGAAGGCGTAGGTGATCTTGTCGGCCAGATGGCAGGGGTGCAGTGACTCTCCCGCGCGTGGGGCCGTGGTGTCGATCGTCTTAGTGCCAAACACCAGGTCCAGTACGCCATCCTTGGTCGCGTCGATGAGCAGGTTGGGGCCTGTTCGCCGGGGGCCAAATGCAGCAATACGGTCAATCCGGTTCTTCCAAATCTCCCGTCCCTTGCCAGCCTCGAGCTGTTGTCGCAGCTGCTGCTTCAGCTCCTCGGCCGACAGCGTGGTGCTGGCAGTGACAGTTGTGTCCGCCACCACGTCCGTGTCGGCTTCTCCCCCTTGCTCCTGCTCCTCGTCTGTGGAGCGCCTCTCAGCGTATAGCCGCTTGATCGAGTCGCCGTTCTTGAGGAGAAAGTCGGTGACGTTGGCGGGCAGGGGCCTGACCTGAATCCTCAGGGTCACCTGCTTTGAGCTCGTCGTGCCTACAACCACGCCGCGGCCCAGGTCCTTATTCACCGGCGGCCGCATTTCCTCCGCACGCACAATCGTCTCTCGGTAGGGCACGATCGGGGCACCGGCCTGGATGTCGCAGTGGGCGAAGCGCTCCTTGAGGTCCAACAAACATCGTTCGAGGTGTAGTTCGCCGGCGGTGAGGAGGACGTGCTCGCCGCTGGAGAACTGCTCGTACTCGGCACAGGGGTCGCTCTGAACCAAAAGGTGTAGGCCGTGAATCATCTTGTCTAGATCTGCTGGGTTAACAGGCTCGAGCGCAACCCGCACGATGGGCTGGCCGGTCATGCTCACGCCCGCCAGGTTCACGGCGCCGTCGATCCGGCTGCACAGAGTGCCCGACTTGAGAATCTTGCCCTCCAGGCCGCCGATGCCGAAGACGACGCCGGCCGGAACGGAGTCGAGCGCCTCCAAATTCCGCCCCATGAGCATGTAAAGAGCCGTGACTTTGACCTCTTGCGGCTTCGGGTCTGCGTTGGGTTCCGCTGGCGACCACTTGGGCGGAATAACATGGAGCGTGTCCCCGACTGACAGTGTGCCCGAGTAGATTCTGGCAAAGCCGATGAGATGTTCCGGGTCGACCTTCTTCTCCTCCGTGTCCTGCGTGGCGTCGTTTATGTTGGCGGAGCTGAGCGCGTCGGTCAGGCTGTCAATCCCATTTGTCTCCCGGGCGGCTTGTGCGCGAGCGGCCTCGGCGCGCTTCTGTCTTGCCAGCTCTCGCGCCTCCTCGCCCGTCATCTGCCCGGTTGTCTTTCTCCGGTTCTCGGGAAGCTCGCTCTCTGGAATGGACACCATCTTGCTGACATATGCCACCACGGGGTCGGACTTGCTGTGCTTGAATGAAACCATGGCATCCTTGATGGCTGGGTCAATGGCTTCGGAGCCTGGCGAGTCCTCCAGCAGCTCCGGCAACCGCTCGGCCTGCGCAGCGGGCGGGGAGGGCAAGGACTCGATGACGGAAACCAGCAGCGCCGTCGACAGCGGGAGCCAAGACGCAAAGACGGTAGTGAGAAGCAGGCGCGGATCCCTGGCCCTGATGATATGTGGTGGGATGGTGAGGCCCAAAGACTTTGTGACCTTTTCCAGCAGTGCGGGGTCGCCTTTGCCGCTGTCACCGCCGCAGGTAGCCTGGTAGACGGTCCACACGGGCTCGAGAACCAGCTGCACGAACATGGGCTTGAGGTTGCGGCCCTTGAGATGCTTGGGCCCCAGCACCTTTTTCGTCTTGGGGTCAAGATAGAAGCTGCCCCACAGCACCTTTTCCATGACGCCTCGCTTGATGCCGAGCTTCTTCTCGTACAGGCTCGCAAACTGACGGCACGTAAAGGCCCAGCCATCGATGGCGCTGCTGAAGATGACGTTGTTCCTCTCGGGCGCAAAGTAAATGTCCTCGTCGTCGCGCTCCTCGAACTGCAGCTCGCCGGCGTCGTCGACCAGGTCGTCGGCGGACGCCTTGGCGGCGGCGGCGGCGGTGACACGCTCCTCCATCTTCTCTCTCCAGTTGAGGTCCTCCTCCATCCGCTCGCCCTGGAAGAAGCTGCCAAGGACGGCGTTGACCTGCTCTAGGAGCTTGCTGAGGTGCACGTAGGCCTCGGAAGGTGTCATCTTGAGCTCGGTCACGAGGCGGTCAATCTTGTTGATGACGAGCAGCGGCTTGAGCTTCTCGATCCACGACTGCCGCAGCACAGTGACGGTCTGGCTGCAGACTCCTTCTACCGCGTCTACCAGCACGACCGCTCCGTCGCACAGTCTCGAGGCGGTAGACACCTCGCTGCTGAAATCGATGTGGCCGGGCGAGTCGATGAGGTTAATGAGGTACTCCTTGGGTTCCGGGGTGGCGTCCGGGGCGGATCTGCGGAGCATGGAAAAGTAGAGCGAGATGGCCGAGGACTCCATGGTGATGCCTCGGGTCTGCTCGTCGGGGCGGGAGTCCAGGTACCGAATCTTGCCGGCCAGCTTGGGCGAGATGATGCCGTTGGTGGCAAGCAGGGCGTCGGTGAGTGACGTTTTGCCATGGTCGACATGGGCGAGGATACAGATCTGGACGAGTTAGAGAGCCTGGCCTGAAGGACAAGTGAAGGGCAGGGGGGGTCGGGCTCACGTTTCGTATGTCGTTGGACTGCCGCTGGAGACTCGCCAGCTTCTCGGGGTTAACGACAGGCATGGTGATTCTTGGCAGCTCCGGCAGCAGAGCAGCAGAATGTGTTTGGAAGATGTCTTCGAGGTCACCGAGACATGGGATGAAGCTCCCTTGAAAATGGGGAAATCGGTGAGGATGTTGAGGGGGCTGCTTTGAGGTACACTATATGGCCGAGCTTGCGATGTTTTAGCGGCGGTTCGGACGGGTAAGTTTGCCTGGCTTGGTCATCACCAGCGCCTCCCGGCTTGCTTGGCCTTCGTGTTTGGCCGCCAGGAAACTGTGCTCGCTCCACCGCAGATACAGCTCGACGGAGGACGGTGACTCAGGGCGTCAGGATTGCTCAGAATGATTGAAAGATGTTTGGTCCAATCACGGCACCCATTCGACCTGATGCCGCCTCGCCTCGCAGCTCGGTCGCTCACGCTCTTGGTCCTTGGAGAGTCGAGTGCCCCGCTTTGCGCCCGCGACCGCCGTGCCCCGCCATCGCGGCCGCCCGATACGTGCATCTTTATGCATCTAGCCTCTCCGGCCGTCGCGTTAGCCGCATATCCGCACCACAAGCCCTAACAGCCACGCAAGGCACGAAAATTCGGCGAGGCACCGCATCACGCCCCTCAGCAAGAAGCGCAAAATTTCGGTCGCTGCTGCCCCTCCGCTCCGCACCCGCGCCTCGACCACGACCGACGAGACCGAGGACGAGGACGACCACGATCGACCGAGCCACCACCACACACCGCCAGCACGCAATCATGGCGACGTACCAAAACGGCGTGGCCCCGGCCCGCGCCGTCGCCGACGACAGCGATGTCGAGGAGGAGGTCCTCGTTGCCGAGTACAAGGAGCACGTCCAGTACGAGGACGGCGAGGAGCTGAGCCAGACCAACTCCTTGACCATGGCCCAGCAGACCGACGACATCCAGGCGCGCCTCGTCCAGGCCGCCCAGCCCCTCGACTTCTCCGCGCCCCTCGAGGTCAAGTTCCAGAGCTACGACTCGTACTGCAGCTTGTTCCACTTTATCCTCAACTCCGAGGGCCCCGTCGATCTTGATCCTCCCTCGGTACGTGACAGTCCTGGGCCGCGGGGATACCACTTGCTCCTGGCCGGCTTTCCCCTTGGCAGACTTGCCAGACATGGCAGATCATGAGCTAACCGAGTTCCCTAGCACTTCTGGGCGTGGGACGTCATCGATGAGTTCATCTACCAGTTCAACTCGTTCAGCTCCTACCGGTCGCGCATCGCCCGGCAGGCGTCCAACGAGGAGGAGATCCAGATCCTCAAGGAGAACCCCAACACTTGGGGCTGCTACAGCGTCCTCAACGTGCTGTACTCGCTCATCCAGCGGTCGCAGATCACCGAGCAGCTGGCTGCCATGCGCCGCAACGAGGACCCCGCGGCCGTCGCCGGCGACTACGGCTCCAAGCCCCTGTACCGCATGCTCGGCTACTTCTCCATCATCGGCCTGCTGCGGGTGCACTGCCTGCTCGGCGACTTCAGCCTCGCCCTCAAGACGCTCGACGACATCGAGCTCAACAAGAAGGGCATGCTCGCGCGTGTCATGGCTGCCCACTTCACCACCTACTACTACCTGGGCTTCTCCTACATGATGATGCACCGCTACGCCGACGCCATCAAGATGTTCAGCCACATCCTCATCTACATCTCGCGCACCAAGACGTACCAGAAGAACCCCCAGTACGATTCCATCACCAAGAAGAACGAGCAGATGTACGCCCTCATCGCCATCTGCGTTGCCTTCCAGCCCACCCGTCTCGACGACACCATCCACAGCGCGCTCCGCGAGAAGTACGGCGACCAGCTGCTTAAGCTGCAGCGCGGCGGCCCCGAGTCGCTGCCCATCTTCGAGGAGCTCTTCCGCACCGCCTGCCCCAAGTTCATCTCCCCCGTGCCTCCGGACTTTGAGAACCCCGAGTCCAACATCGACCCCGTCGAGCACCACCTGGCCGTCTTCATGGACGAGGTCAAGACCAACATGTGGAGCCCCACTATCAAGTCGTACCTGCGCCTGTACACCACCATGGACCTCAACAAGCTGGCCGGCTTCCTCGAGGTCAAGCCCGACGAGCTGCGCTCCTGGCTGCTCGTCACCAAGCAGCGCACCAAGCAGCTGCGGTACCAGGACCAGGGCTTGCTCGAGGGCGAGCTGGTCAACGTCAGCGACCTCGACTACGCTCTGCAGGGTGTAAGTAACCATAATATGAGACTCTATGCCTTCGAGGCGCTAACATGTGGACAGGACTTGATTCACATCTCCGAGGCCAAGGTCGGCCGCAAGCTCGTCGACTGGTACCTCCGCAACCTCTCCCGCACTTACAACTAAGCAGTGGTGGGGAGGACCACTGGCATCTCTATCGATCCGCCGCACGCTGGGCTCGTCGTCAACGACAGCGCCAAGACGGCAGACGGGGCGCCCCAGCGGGCAGATACGTATGTGCAAGCCGATATATGGGCTGCATGGCACTGGCGTCACGGAGTTGGGGACATGTTGCTTGTATGTACCGAGGGAGAACATGGGAGGACCCTCGAGCGGTTCGGGCCCCGCAGGAACCGAGCGCCCCGCGCATCGCAGACCCCGGACAGGACGGGCGTCTGGCAAGGCGGCGCGCCCTGAGGGAGCGCCGTAATTTTAAGCATAAAGATAAGATTTTCCCCGGGGGGTGGGAGGCGGCGACGAGCCGCCGCCGCAACCCCACGGGCGATAGTTCAAGTAGATCCAAAAAATATGGAAACCTGCGAACTGGTCCCACGGCGGCGAGCGTGTCTGGCACCGACAGGAGGCCAGGCGGCGTTCGTGTCGGTGTGTGACTGTGGGTGAGTGACTGTCATACTGTGACGAGGGAGCGGCTGCCGCTTGCCCCAGCTGCCCGGGTCCGCGGGCGGCTGAGACACTTGGCGCGGGCGTCTTGCGCATCTGGAACCAACAAAGCACTCTTTTTGGGTGGGTTACTCACGTCCCCATGTCCGTCTGGGCGCCGCCGCGGATCAGCTCGCGCGCCGCCTCGACTTGGCAGCTGGGCTTGTCACGATGCCAAGGGGTCGGGGAGACGCGCAGTGCTCGATCTCGGACTGACCGACGGGGTTGAATCGCTTGGCATCGGGGGAGTGGATGGCAATCCGTTTGGAGTGCACAATGGGTGTGGCCTCGTGACCTGTCTCCCTGGCTTGGTGTTGCCCTCCTTGGCTTTATGGTTATTCTTGTTCCTTGCCCCGAGGATAGGATGGAGCGTGATCAGACCAGGACTGTTGTGAAGGGGGGTGGGAGGACTGACACGTTTGTACTACAATTTACTCGTACTCGGACGCTGCGTGTTGCGAAACGACGGTCAGGGGGACTTTGTCGTCGTCGTCATCTTCGTATCGTCGTTGTCGAGGCCTGGGTATGTATCATATGCGCAAGTCGAAAAATGACACGACAAAGTTGTCGATATGGCACATGCGCATGCCAAAAAAAGATGCGAGGCATCACTAACAACCGCGGAGACCGGGGGCGTGAGATGTTTGATTCCAAGCCCGTCGGCACGCGCGCTTCTCGGTTGGTACTCTTTTGGCAGTCCGGGGCGCCATCCATCCACTCACTGCAGGCTGCCGGGGGGCCGGCGGAGCGGTTTCGTTTTCCGCAGCTGGCTGCTGCTGCTGCTCGTGAATAAGGTCCGTTGCACAGAGCGTCGCAAGGCAGAGAAAAATTAAGGCCGCATGACGGTCGAAGCCACTTACGTATTTTGTACTGCACGCACTCGTCCAACATCAAACCACACCCCGGTAGATATTGTACGTGTCCTGATGTACAGTTCTGTACTGTACTGATCCTTGGCGCAGGATAGTAGAGCAAAAGTCGAGGGCAGAGAGACAACGCATTGTCCCCACGGGCATGCCCCGAGGAAGGAGGCTGGCGGGCGGGCGAGTGTGGGGAGACGGGGAGCGCACAGCATGCACCCGGGCGGCTGTGTGCTGGTCCCATGGGGCGAGCGTGGGGGGCCAAGAGAGCGCCACGGGAGCCTCTGAGATGAGTTGTGAATGAGTTTTGCAAAGGGCAGGTACTATAGCATCATGTTTGTATTCTTGTCCTGTCTCCTCGCTGGCGGAGCTAGCATTCGGGAACTGAAGAGCCATGAGACTCAAGTAGACAGGCATGCCTTGTGGACAGAACGAACGGCATAGGGGAACTTCTCTGTATGAAGAATCCAAGTTGACACGCTGTCAACGGTCATCAGCCGCGGACCGAGGGGATACCTGACTCCGGGAATACGGACCTGCCAACCCGGCGGCACGGCCGATGTGACACTCGCCCTCACGGGGTAAGGTATAGCGGTGACATTTTTAGTCCAGATACTGTATGTATCCAACTACTGCCTTGCGTGTACTGTACGCTGCTGCATCGTTGCGGACATGTACCGTACAGTACCACCCAGCAGTGCTCACGAGTGCTCAACTCCTCGCCCAAGATCTAGCACCCAACTCTGCGTGCACGTTCCACCATGGCAGCAAGCGGTGAAGGTCCTGGGCGACCGCCTTGGCGCCCCTACCTACCTACCTACATGATTAGGGTCCGCACGCGCGCACAAGACCCTCCGTCTAACAATATCCCATCCTCCCCACCCCCTTTTCCCCCTCGGGGCCTCACGCAGCGGGCGGCGGCGGTCTGCTGCTGGGATGGAAGCCCGCGTCAGGGTTGGAGCCGCGGGAGCGGTTTGCGCGCCGTGCGCCGTGCGCCAAAGGGCAGTGTGTCGATCAACGCGCGAGTGCGGGCTGGTCCCTGCGCTCTTCGAGGTGTATGTACTACGTACGTACGCTTGCCTGTGGTTACTCTATGCACAAGCTGGGGTGGAAAGTCGGAGCTCCAGTTACGGGGGCGGGGGCGGCTGTGAGATAAGGTCGGTTAAGGGCATGGGTGCGGATGGATCATGGATGGATGGAGGGGCTTGCTACGGCGGCGAATGTGGCGCGAGTGTGTTGTGCAGGATTATGGGATGTGGTATGCATCCCTGAAGGGCCAGCCGTCCGGCGCAGACGCTGTGCGACGCGAGCGTAAGGCCAGGCGGACGACGGCGACACAGCGGGGGAGGAAGACATAATACACAGCTGGACAAGGCAGCGCCTACAAAGTGTGCAGAGCTGCGAAAATCACGCTGGCAGCCCCCGGCCGTCCGTCTGGGCTTGACGCGTAACTACCTACACGTATAACCCACATGCAATTGTCACGGGCCGGGCTCGGCGTCGGGGCGGTGCGTCGACGCTGACAGTCGCAAGTCCGCAACTCGCGGAGCAAAGGTGAGAAGCCCCGCCGCGGGGTGGGCGATGGAGGGGGGAAAAGCGAACGGGAGCTCGGGACCGGGGGAGGGGGGAAGAGACCGGAGGACGGAGGGGCGGCCTTGGGGCGGGTTAGCAGCAGTTAATTACCTTGGGTTGGGTGGGTAGGTAGGGGGGCGAGACGGTATTAATTCAGGTCGAGCCGGGCCGAAGCGATCGTCAGATATGGCCGTCGGCAGATCCAACGAGGCAGGCGGGCCATGCGGGCGGGCGCGTGGGGGATGGGGGATGGGGGATGCAGCCGGCATGGACGGAGAAAGACAGACACGCACACACGCATTGCGTAGATGCCGTATGTATTCATTTATTGTACTGCATGCGCCATGGACTCGGGAAGAGGTATTCATTTATTGTACTGCATGCGCCATGGACTGGGGAAGAGGGAAAAGGGGGGTGGGCTGTTGCGTAATAGCAAGTCATAACAGAACAGGACAGCAGTGAGAGTGTGTAGGTGTGTATGTACTACAAGGGATCCTTTGTCTGCTCAGACCTGTGGCGGCGCCCGTGGACGAGATTGGGGAATGCCGAGAGGGCTGACAGGCAGGCGGCCGGCCGCCGAGCCCGCCGAGAAACCTGAAGCGTCTCGGCGTCCGAGAAAGGATGGCACGAGAGGGCGAGCGAGCCGATGATTGCTGCTTGGCTGGACAGGCAGGATGCATGGCTGGGTGGGAAGGGATCCTGGTCGGACATGGGCGTGGCATTGGGGGGGGGAACACATCGGGCGGGCGTGGCACATGGCAGCAGCAGCAGCAGGACGGAGATGGGAGGGGAGAGATGGGAGGGGAGGGGGAAGCATGGCACGGACGGGATGCATGGCGTCGACACAAGCTTACTTTTTAACCTTGGAGCCGGAATACTACAGTACGTCCGTATGTACGTACGTATGTGCAAAAAAACAAACAACAGCGCCGAGTCTCAGCCCCCAGATCCGTCCAAGATGCCCAACTAACTCGGCAGTCCGTATTGCGCTACAACACTCCGCGTAGTTACCCCCTTGCGATAGCCGGAACTCGGGGGGCAATGCACAAGTCCCTGGGGTGCACGGCACGGGCTATGTCACTCCTTTCGGTAACTTAGTTATCCTGGTACCATGACATGGACCATGGGGCTTTTTGTCCAAGACTAGCCCGGGATGCTTGGTGGTTGTGCTGGGCCATGACGATGATGCGCGGCGGAGGGGGGGAACTGGAGCGGCATGGCCAAGCATCCGTCGTCGGCACGGCGGAGTGGCGTGTCGGCCTCTGTCCGGCATCAGAGGGCGGCCGCGGCTGCAGCCCGTCGTCTTGGCACGCGTTGCAGCTGAAAGGCGCGCGCGCGCGCGCTCGCTCGCTTGGGGTCGTCCATGTCTGGCCCGTCCTTCCATCCGTCATCATCGTCCTGATCCTGGGCGATCCATCCACCCATCCCCCAGCAGATGCCCCCATGTGGAATCCATCTGACTGTGCTACTCAGTACACGGGACAGGGTTGAAAGTCTTCAGCGCGCGGCACAGCGGTGGGAGGGAGGGAGGGATCGAGGGGCTGCTTGACGGACTAACTAGTTGGTACGTACGGAGTAGTATGATGAATCAATATCTGGTTTTCCGTTTGAGATTTGATGGATGCCGTCCCATGTCGTCGTCCCCCGCGCGCATGGCATCGCATCCCACATGCTGCTGCTTGGCTTCCGCACCGCGCACAGACTCTCCATCTGTCTGTCGGGCTGTCTGTCGTCTTGGCCTCTCCCCGTCACATCACCTCACGTCACGGCTCCCTCACATATAGACACTCACACTCACACACACACACGCCGCGCCGCGCCGTTGGGCTCCCCCCCACCGGGTCAGGACCAGCAGCCGCCGCAGACGTATGTGTGTGGTGCGTGCGTGCGTGCGTGCCTGTGTCCAGTCCCTCCTCCAACCCAAACCCAAAACCCCCCCGCGCCAGGTTTTTGTCCACCCCCCTCCCACAGCAGCACGTTAGATGTTGGAGAAGAAAGAGAGCGAGCGAGAGAGCGAGCCAGAGCCCGCCACCGGCCGCAAGAATAAATAGCAATAAATATAACCTTGTTTCGGCTCCATCTTTCCCCCCTTCTTGCCCTGCCCGCCCCTGCCTGCCCTGCAGAAACACGCCCAACGGCAAAACACCGTCCACTGTTCCGTCCGTCTGTCCTCCCTCGGTGGAGAGTACAGAGGCTGAGAAGAGAGTGCCCGGTATAACCCCACTGGCACCAGCCCACACGAGTCGGGCGACGACGATACTCTGTGCATACCACGTACATACCGCCATAGAGAGAGAGACAAGAGACGGAGAGATAGAGCGCAAGCAGTGAACCGAGCACGAGAACAAGACAAGCAAAAGATCTCGGCCAAGCCCCAACCCCCAAACCCGCTCGCGACAAGAAACCCTGAAGAGATGCGAGCCCCTGCTCCTCACCGCCGTAGCACAGTATCGTCACCACCGTCTCCCGCGCGCCGCATCGTCGTCGCATCGCAGCAGCAGCAGCAGCAGAAGCACGACGCGCAGCCGCCCCGTCTCGTCGCCTCGCGTGCCTGACACCGTTGACAGCCGAGGGGCAACAACGACAACAACAAGGCAGACATCACACCACCACCCGCTTCGCTTCGCGTACTGCAGGATACGACTCCGTGCACTGCCCGTCGACTCACCCGAGGGCTTTGCTTGTTCACCGTCGGACACCGTCTCATCTACACGTCCCGCTCCCGACGCGACCTGCTGCAGCTGTTTTTCGCGTGGCACAAGGCGCGGCAGTTACCCATCTAGTACACGCCGTGCTCACCATACTCATACACCTGCCGAGCCGCATCTCATCCCATCTCATCTCATCGTATCGTATCCCGCGTCGCATCTCATCTCCCGTTCTTGAACGCGCGCCGAGACACGATCCCTCCGACGGCGTCGAGCTTCATTCGGTAGCGCGAATCGGCACAGCCTTCCCCCCCTCCCCCTTCGGGCAATTTCCCCCATCTGTTCTTCTCTTCTTCCTCGGCAACAACCGAGTAAATAAGAAAGAAATAACACAGGACTTGTCCGTCGGGTCCGGCGTCCCATCAGGTGACTCCCCTCCCCGCATCAGGTGACTGGCTGGGGAAACGAGACGACCAGGCTGCGCACGCACCGCAGCGGCAAAAGCGGTGGCCGCAGCAGCAGCAGCAGCAGCAGCAGCTCACTCACCATCGCGCATCGTATCCGGTGCGACGGTCAAGCGATCCCGTGTAAGCCCACACCACACGAATACCTACATACGCTTGACAAAACACCACTACCGCTTTGGAAACCCCCCCTTGCTGGCCCGCGCATCGGCAAGCAGAAAAGCAGCCCGTCAGCAGTATTACTACTAGCCGGTAATACCGACTACCAACCACCGACACCGACTACTGAGCGGACATCGGCCCATTATCACAAGCCCATCAGCAGGGAGGGAGAAGAGCTGCCCCGGAGTGCTTCCGCTTGCGTTCTGCGACCGCGATTGCGTGCGTCATCCCCGCCGCCGCGCGCCTGCAATCTGTAAGGTTGGCCGGCTGCCGCGAACCGGTCAACAGGTATCCCATCCCCGGCCAGCGAATCGACGGGGACGGTCCGTACCCGTGGGCCGCCCAAGGGGGAGAAGGGCCCTGTCAGCAGCAGCAGCAGCAGGACCAGCATCAAAACCCAGCAAGCGAGAGAAGAAGAGAAAGAAAAGGGAGAGAGAGACCGGGACTGCCGTGAAATCACCCCCTCGACCCCGAGTCAAAGAAGGACAATTTCTGCCCGTGTCCACCCCGGCACACCCACCGATAGTCAAATCCTCGGGCTGGGTTCCATCCTTCTGGAGTGTGTGTGACGACTGCGTGGCCCTTGCTGCCCGTCGAGCATCATCATCACCCGTCATCAGCGTCAACGTCATTGCAGGCCGCACGGAGCAGGCACCACCCCAAACGACGGACGGCGGATATCATTATTATTATTATCATCACCTTGCCCGGCTGCCCACCGGCGGTTATTGCTGGCGCGTACGTACGCAAGTGCAGCAACGCACAGGACTCCATAGGGCACCGGCATTTACACTACACGCCGCGTGACGCCTCACCTTATTTCCATTACAGTGCAGCGGCAGCGGCAGCGGCAGCGACAGCGACAGCGACAGCAGCAGCGCAGCAGCAGCGCAGCAGCAGCGCAGCAGCACTACCGGTGCGCCGCCATCCGCCATCAACCACCACCACACCCCAGCGAGAGAACCTTGAACCTAACAGGGGACCCCCCCAGTCCGTGCTGCGTGCTGCGGACCTCCACCACAAACCCAAGGTACGGCAAGCCCCCACCGCGAGCCCGACGCCTGCAGGGTGTGTGGCGACCTTCTGGCGCCGCCCAGTGCCTGTGGCTCCCCGTCAGGTCAGATCAGCCCAAAACTCACCCCGTCAATTTTCAAGGTTGGCAATTTAGGTGCGCCCGGGGTGGTCCAAGCTCCCCTCCCTTGTGCCCCGGCCCGCTACCTTAGCCCATCCATAGCGCCAGCAGCAGCGAGCTGTCTGTCCGCTGCCCCGCCCCCCTTCTCCGCCGCCACACCTTCTTCCATCGCCGCGGTTGCTGTGCTTTGCTGTGCTGTGCTGCGCTGCGCGGGTGTGCTGTGCGGTGTGAGCTGCCCGTGATCCCATCCCCGGGATCACCTCAGCTGCGTCACCTCACCTCAGGTACCGGTACTGGCGCCTCGTACCAGCCCGGTACCCTCACTTCACACGGCGCACTCACTTGGGTTGGCTTACAGTGGTGAACAGTGAACACGGCCACCGAGGACCACTGGACCTCACCCAGAGCCCGGCACTGCAGCACTGTACACTGATTTGACTGCGCTGCACCTCACACACCTCACGGACCACCCGACCTACCTATTCTCTGGGCACCTGCACTGGGCTCTGCGCGCAGCAGCAACCACCTCGCGCGCTCCACTGGGCTGCAGCCTGCGCCTGGCACCTGCAACAGCGGTACCAGCCCGGGACCTGTGCGCGGCGCCTGTGTGTGCCCGCCTTCCACTGCTGGCCACCACCACCACCCCCCCGGCCTGGACTTTAAGGTACCTGTTTCTGGACTCCCGCTGCATGACGGGACCCTGGACCTCGCCTTACCTCGCCTTGCCTTGCCTTGCCATACCTCAAGCCTTGCCTTGCCTTCCAGGTTGTTTGCTTGCTGTGCCTCGCCGTTCCCGTTCGAGCTCAAGCTTCGTTCCTGCAACCACGCAGAACCTCCTGCGCATCGCATCGCATCATCGCATACACCGCCGCTGCCGACTTTTGTTGGAGCTCGAGCGGTTCTCCTTCCTCCTCTTCCTTCTTCTCCCACTTCTCTTCTGCACCTGTCCTTGTTATCTCGCCTTTTTCTCTTCCCCTGCCGCCCGCTGCAGGCACACCTACCTACCGATCTACCTACCTATCTCGCCTTGACGACACAGCTCGAAGCTGCCTGAAGAAGCGCCAGAGGGTTCGATCTCGATACCTCCTTCCGTTCTCGCCGTCGGTTTCGACTACCACCACGGCCGATACCACCACCGCGGGCCTCCAGCATTGCCACTACCACCTTCATAATCATCGGCGGCTCCATCATCATCTTCACAGTCGTCGTTGTCGTCGCCGCCCTGTTCGAAAACAGCAAGCACCCTCCGTTTTACATCATCTACGACCTGCCCGCCTGCCGGCTTGCAGCTTCTTCTCCCCGCCGCGCGCTCACCACTTGCCGCCTCTCGCGCAACCCCATCGCCTGACCCGGTCGCCATCGCCATCGTCATCGCCGTCGACGTCGTTCTCGATCTGGTCGTCCTTGCACGGCTCCAACCCGCCCTCTCGCCCGTCGTCGAAACGCTGTCCCGCCAAGACGGCGCGCGGCAGTCCCGTCCCGCCTGCACGCCCGTTTGAGTGCCGTGCCTGCGCCTGCGCCTTGCCGCCGCGTGGCCGTTTGTGCGCCCGTTTGTGTGGCCCGAGCCGGCATCTTTTTGCCGATCTGTGACACGGCAAGATCTCTTTGTCTTGGACTCACCCTGCGACCTGAGTCGCTCGCCTCGCCCGCCACCCACCCTGCGCCCCCAGGTGAGACCGGAGCCAGCCCGAGCATTCGTTCATTGGACCGGTCCCTGCTGTCCCTGCGAGATTGCGGCAGCGGCCATATCAACCATATCGACCACATCGACCACGACGGCCGGCCCTCAGGCCAGCGCCCACCCGGACGTCGCCGCCGTGGCTCACCAGTCGGACCCCCCCTTTCCTCCTCCCCTCCGTCCTCCCCTCCGCCAGCGCAAGCGCTCCCTATTCTCGGCCTTTTCCTGCCACGGGGCCAAGGCTTTCGCGTGCATAACCGATGCCTCCGGCGGCGACCACGCCGACGGCCGCGTTAGGCGCATCCCCCATGGCAGCCGCGAGCCGAGGCCAAGCAGGAGCAGCGTCAGCAAGCCTGCCGCCCTGCGGCCAACCGTGGACTCACCCCCGCTGGTGAGCGAAGACTCGGATGTCTCGCCCATGACGGCTGCCCCAGAGGCGACGCACAAGAAGCCCGGCAGCAGCAGCAGCGATAGTGACAGCACCAACGCCTCCTCCAGCGGCACCGAAGGTTCCAACGACGTCGCCGGCAGCCTCGAGGCCAGCGGCGCCAAGAGCACCACCGGCCCTGATGGCACCAACGGCAACGACGTCGCCGCTGGCGACTACTTCTTCCCGCCAGCGTCACCGGCGGCCGAGACCAAGGACCAAGCCCGGGCGGATCGGCCCGCTGACAGCGGCGTCAGCATGTCTGCTGGCCTCTCCGGACAGCCGCCCGTCCCGGCCGCCAATGAGCTGGAGCGGCGGGCGTCGGTCGCCACGACGGCATCGACGCAGCCGCGCAAGCTCAGCATCACCTTCCAGGACCAGCTGCCGAGGCGTGACTCGTCCGGGTCGGCAAGCATCGCGGGCTCCAACCGCTCGTCCAACGGCGGCTCCAACGAATCCTCCAACGGCTCGTCCAACGAGGGCTCGGACCGCGGCGCTCCCAGGAAACAGTCGGTGTCGTCCATCAGCCTCCGAAGCCTCTCCAGCCAGTCCCTGGCGTCAGCCGAGCCACGCAAGTCGAGCGTCTCGTTCCAGGATGTGCTGCCGAGGCCCGATTATGCGACGGTCGACGATCTCGTCAACGCGTGGAGCCGGAAGCGATCGATTTCGTCCATCAGCTTCCGACAGCTGCGAGCCTCGTCGCCCATGGACAGGGCGCTGTCACCGGCAAGCGAGTCGCGCTCTCGAGCGCCGTCGCCACCTCACCAAAGGTAAGCATCTTGATTTTTCATTCAGTGTCCATCCCGTCGAGTTGCTGCCGGCTCGTCGAGCGTCGTCGAGTGACGTCGCATCGGCGAGTCTAACAAAGAAGGAGAGACACCCATGAAGAATGGATGGGTTGAGACATGACACCACCCTCGGGTTGCGCGAGGGCGCCTTGTTATAAGTGACTGGCCCCTCGTCGCCCGTGTTATGCACTGCACACCAGCTCGGCACCCAGTTCCGGGACGGGCCCTCCCTTTTGCGCCCATCATGCCCCAGAACAGACGCCTGGTCGTCGCTGCGGTCCCCACGTCGGCGGCTCTCGGGTGGAGCGGCACGCTGCGCTGTGCCCGGCTTTGGGGTCCATGGCATGGAGCCACCCGACCCTTGGTGCGATGGCTGCTAGCCCGCCCGCCCTGATGAGCCCGCCTGCCGGTCCTGTGCTGGCGAGATCCGGGCGAGTTTAGAGTTATTCCGCCAGCGCTGGCCGGGTGACCGGGATTGCTCGTTGATGGGCAGGCGGCGCCGGCGTGTCGCGCGCATCATGGTGCGGTGCCCGTCGGCGGCGTGGCCCAGTGGATGCGGTCGCGCACGGCGGTGGCGGCGGCAGAGGAGACACTGGCGCGCCTGTTGTCCCCGGCCGAAGCTTCCCTTGCCATGTGCTCTCTGCCTTGCCGGGCCCCGAGGGTGAGCGAGCGAGGGGGAACTGGGTCACGGCGGCGTGCATGTGCGCGCGGCTGGAATGATGCTGGCGTGCTTGGCCGGCTTTCCCTCCCGAGACCATCGTGTCCCTCCAATTCATCCAGCGAGACGCAGCCCCACTGGCCGGAGGCACCACTTGCGGGCAACTGCCAGGCCGGCTGTGGAAGCTTGTCACATTGATTGCCTGAAGGCGGCTAGCCAGCCCGACCTGCCTGCCTTGGATGCTTGGGTACCCCGCTGGAATTAACCTCTCACCTCGCCTACCCCGCTGCCCACCCGCCCGCGAGCCTCCTCGAGGCTCCCACTGCTCGCCCGTCGCGCTGCCTTGCGCTTGGCCGCGAGTAAGGCGCTGCTTCAAGCTTGGGTTCAATGGTGCGGTCACGGATGGCCTGTCTGGTGGCTCCTGGCGCCGCGCGGTCGGGCGCGGGGGTCAAGCGCTGGTCGCTGGTCGCTGGTCGCTGCTCCCGGGCGCAGCCAGTCGCTCGCCCGCTCGCTCGCCCGGGCGGGCACCTCCAGTCTTACCGTGCTACTGGCCTCGCTAGTTCGTTCCCGGCGGGCTGGGCTGGGCTCCGCTGGGCTGCTCCTCCTTCCCCAAGTTGAGGCTATGCAGGGCAGTGGCCACCCCGAGGCCGCCAGTGCCGCCAGCGCGGCCAGCGCCGCGGCGGGCGTCATGTCATCTTCCCCTCCCGCTCGTCGCCGCCCGCACATGCGCCTCGCACCTCAGTTGTCTCATCTACTACTATCCATCATCCAATCCCCCTCCCCCTCTCCATCTCTGCAACCCTTATCCCCGCGGCGCCGCTCGCCTTCTCTATCTCGCACCCTGCCTTTCATTGCCCGCCTGTGCTGCGACCGCCGCCCGTCATGGCGCCGCTAACCGAGACACCGCACGACAGGTTCCAGCGGCACGTCGGCTTCGACAACGTGCCCAATGGCGAGGCCACCAAGAACAACACGCTGTCGCTGACGCTCAACGTCAAGCACAAGGGCTACCAGGCCCGCCGCCGGTCACGAACCTTCATGGTCGGCGTCGACGAGCACTCGTACTCCGACTATGCAATCCAGTGGCTGCTCGACGAGCTGGTCGACGACGGCGACGAAATTGTCTGCGTGCGAGTCATCGAGAAGGAGATTCGCTACAATGACAAGCAGTACCAGGACGACGCGAGGCACATCATGGACGCCATTCTCGCAAAGAATGGTGCCAATCGCGCCATCAGCTTCGTCCTCGAGTACGCCGTCGGCAAGCTGCACGCGACGTTTCAAAAGCTGGTGCGCACTCCCCTCCCTCTCTAGCATTGGCTTTCTTGTACACCCGCTGACCAGAGCCCGTCCCCCCGACAGATTCAAATGTACCAACCCGCCATGCTCATCGTGGGCACTAAGGGCCGGTCGCTCGGTGGCATCCAGGGGCTGGTTAACGCCCGCAACTCGTTCTCCAAGTACTGCCTGCAGTACTCTCCCGTGCCCGTCGTGGTCGTGCGGCCGACGGAGCAGCGCATCAAGAAGAAGGTGAAGCGCGCAAACGACTCGACCCGCCAGACGTATGTGGGCATGCTGGCCAAGACGCACGGCCGCCACGAGGCCGACAGCGAGGCCAGCAGCACCTACGAGCTCGAGGTCCAGAACACGCCCGACGAAGAGGCCCACCAGGTCGCCAAGGTGCTCGGCCTGCCCGCTAAGTTCGACCCGACCATTAAGCCTCTCCCGTCGAGCCAGCTGCGCCCGCGCTCCAGGCCGACCAGCCCGCACCCGGGCGCCGACGTACCCACGCGTCTAGTGGACGCATCGCCCTCCAGCGAACGCGGCGACAGCGACGAAGACGAAGACGACGAGGAGTGCGACTTCGACGTTATCGACGGCCAGCAGGCGCTCACCCAGCAGCAGAAGCTGGAGCAGCTGCACAAGATGGAGGTGGGAGAGGCAGCCGCTCTGAAGATGGGCGTCGACGACGATACGGACGAGTCGGACGAGAAGTCAGACACGGCGCAGGAAGCCAAGGCCGCTTCATAGAAGAAGAAGACGGGCCGGGAAGAGGGGCCCGGCGCCGCACCGGGTTCCGGCGTTACGGTACACCACGACGGCAATGTGCCTGAGCCATGTCCACTCCACGAAACAGGTCCGACAGCCGCTACAGAGGAGTATGATGTATTCGCCGTCTAGCAGACGTTTGACGGGCAGGCGGGGCACGGCAGCAGTGTCCAGCCAGCGCCGAAACCGCCAACGAGGGGGCGGCTGCTCTCGTTGATTCCGGAGCAGGCGGAAGGCGCCCACGACGCGCATGGGAAAGCGAGCTCTCGACTCGCAGCACAAGCTACTTTGGGACAGGCATGCGATGGTTCCGTGGATGAGAGCAAGGCGTCATTGCACCCGACGGAGGTGAGAAACAGGTCGGCGTCTCCCACGGCCTCGTACTGCAGTAGCAGGACCCGCTTGCGCAGGGAGTATCGACGCAACTACAACCTAGAACGAAGAACCCGCAGGGGAACGTTGGAGAACCGGAACGGGCGCCTTCACAGCCGCCACAGGCGGAGGCCCACGCGAGACAGGCGCCGCGAACGCGCCCTGTACTGGAACCGCGTGGCGTTTTTGCGAAAGAGCCACGCCGTTCGCCATCGCATCGCGAAGCAATATTGCCTGGAGTTTGCCCAGGACCTGGCGGCGGAAAGGATTGCCGTGCGAGATTTTGCCTCGCCGGCGGAGAGGAGTGCCGCTCGAAGCCATGCCTTGCCAGTTGGCGACGGAGCTTTGCCGGCGGAGAGCAGTGCCGCTCGCGATACCTCGCCTGTGAAAGACAGAGCTTTGCCGGCGGAGAACAGAACCGCTCGCGATACTGCCTCGCCAACCCAGGATGTGGCGGCACAGAGGGGAGCAGGAGCAGCCCCAAAGGTAGACCTTGCGACCCGTCTTGCTGTCGCGGCACAGCGGGAGGCAGGATCAGCGCCCAAGGCAAACCTTGCGACCCGTCTTGCTGCCGCGGCTCGGTGTGAAGCAGGAGCAGTGCCCAAGACAAACCTCGCGACCCGTCTTGCTGCCGCGTTCGGCCTCGACGCCAGAGCGGCCCCCGTCGACGACACACATGGCAGGCGCGACGAAGTGGAGGATGCCGCAGGGACGGCAGGCAAGAAGACGGTAGAGCCTTTGGAGGCCGAGGCACAGGACGAGCGCCGCGACCTATGGAGCCTTTTGCGCGTGTTGGGATCTTGGTTCGGGTGTTGCCATAGACGGGGCAAGCGGGAGGACTAAGACTGAGAGAGAGAATGAGCAGCGAGCGCGCCAGACAGGCTTAGGCGTCATTGTGTAGCTGCACATCTCAATACAACCCAGCGTTGTGCTTGACCGATCCCGCCGTTGCTTTGATGCCGTGTTAGTCGTCGTCGTGGGGTGCATCATGGGCCAGCGGCGGCGAGACGCAGGCGTAGCGTCGCATGCCGCCGTCGTATTCGCTGCATGGCGCCGGCCGGCGCGGTCGATACGAGACGCTGCGATGCTTGCCAGCACGCGCGCGGAGGGGGAGGGAGCGCGCCCGTTGGCGGAATGGTCATGCCACGAGCGCGTCCAGGGGTCGGCTTCGATGTCGTCGCAACGCCTCGTCACCGGCGAGCAGCGGGATTCGTGGATCTGCGGACGCCTGCAGCTCGGTGCAGGGCTGGAAGTTCGTGATGACACATGCAAAGTGCCGGTGTGAAGGGCGAGGTACTACCTTAGGTATATTTGATGTACCTCGTACCAGGTAATTATCAGGCACCAGACCGTGGGGATTTGTGCCGCACGCACAACCTTGGAAGCAACCTTGGGAAGCTGAGGCAAGGTGGTGGCCTGCCGCGGGCTGCCGCAATGGATTGGAATGGACACTGCGTTGGACTGTGCGGCAGCCTCAGGGACGGCATTCATGAGCGCTGCCACCCCTCCGTGGAAGTTAGGCGGGTACCTGCAAAGTACCGCCGTCCATGCTGTAGGGGTGGCGTCCCAGTGGTTCGCTTCCACCAAGCCCTCCAGCTGGAGGTTCTGCGGAGTGCTGCCCCTCCCGTCCACCGTGGTGGGTGTTGGGTGGCTGCCAGGGACCCGCTGCTGACGACAGACCGACTGGGGGTCTTCGTGGGAACGGCAGTGAACCTCGTCTGATTGATTCCAACGACAGCCCGCCCTTGCTGCTCGCTTCTTACACGTTACACGTAACCTTGCGATTTTACTTTTGCCCATACTTTGGCCCCTCGACGCATAAACATCTACGGTCGTCGCATGCCGACAGAAACGAAAGACGCCTATTGTTCAGCGACTGCGGCACACGCAAAGGGAGCAGAAACACCAGATCCAGCAGGAGCAGGAGCAGCATGACACCGCGATAGCGAGGAAGCCCCCGCGTGCGAGCGAGCGAGCAAGCGAGCAAAGTGACACGAAGCAAAGGCGGCTCGCCTCGCCTACCGCGGCGAGCGACGACCTCTTACGTTACACATACCGTACCTACCTACGTACCTCGCACGAATTACTCGACGACATAGTTTCGAGTCAGCCGATTGTCAGCACATCACCGCTTCCTCCCACGACACCTTGACCCCACGAAACGAGACCAGCGATAACTGCCATGTGGCCTTTCACGTCGTCGTGCCTCGCCACGGCCGACGCCTGCTCGGCGCCCTCGCGCCGCGCCGTGACACTCTCGACGGTGGTGTCGCTGGCCCCATTCGCGTGCTGCTTCGCGCTGGTGGCGATACTGGCGGCGCGACACGTCTTCCCGCGGCTGGGCGCCGGCCACGACGCCTTCCGCGACGGTGAGGACCACGTCCTCCCTGCGCACGCACCCGCGTCACTGCGCCAGGCCCACGCCGAGCACGGCCGCAAGAGCTGGGCCAGAAGGGGCGCCGCCTGGGCGTTTGGCGCGACGGTCGGGCTGGCGGCCGCGCTGGGCATGCTGATACTCGCCGAGATTGCGACAGCAGGCGCTGGCGCCTCGAATGGGGGCGGAGGCGTGCACGGCAGGGAGCTGGCAAAGGGCGAGGCCGTCGTGGTGCCTGCGCTGCTGGCCATGCTGGTGGCGGTGGTGCCGTGGATGGAGTGTCGCGCGCTGGTGAGCGGCATGGGCTGGAGCTTCCAGCGGACGAGCAAGGGCAGGGTCCCGAAGGTCGCGTGGGCGCTGCAGGCACTTCTGTTTGGCGGCTGGCTGTTTGCCTTTTGGTCCGTCGGCAGGGTCGTCCCCGAGTCTGCCGTCCGGCAGCAGCCGGTCAAGTCGCTTGCCAGGTCGACCATTGGCCGGATGCTGGGGCGCAAGGGTGATGACGATGAGGTCGGGTTTGTGGAGATGCTGACGCGGGCGTGCCTCGAGCGCGTAGGGGTGGTGGGCATCGCGCTCATGGCGCTGCTGGCGGGCTTTGCCTCCGTGTCGGCCCCGTGGCACACCTTCATCGACACGCCGGGGCGCAGAGGGCGGCCCGTGACCGAGGCCGATGTCAACCGCAAGCAGGCCGGGCTGGATGCAACGAGCGAGATGCTCCTTACGAAGCGGCACCGGCTGCAGCAGCTGGAGCGCCGCGCCGCCGAGACGGCAGGCGCCACGTCGTCGACGTCGACATCATCGGGCGGGCTGGTCGGCAAGGTCATGGGCGGCATCAGCATGATGCGCGGAGTCGTGTCGGCGGAAGAGTCCGAGATGCGCCAGCTGCGCGTCGAGATTGCCGGGCTCGAAGACATGGAGGCGAACCTGGCATCTAACGTGGAGGTCATCAAGGGCCACCGTGCGGCGGCACAGCGGGCGTCTACCGTCCTGGGCCGGCTGACGCTTATTCCAGCGTACATCTTCAGCGTGTACTGCGTGTACCGCGTGCTGGCGACGTGCCTGACGACGGCACGGCGGGCTTCTTCATCATGGTGGTCGGCCGGCTCTCTCTCCTCCTCGGCCGGCCACAACGCCGGGGACTATCTGGACCCTGCGAGCGGCGGCAGCAGCTTCTCGAGCAGCGACCCGGTGAGCCGGTTCCTGGGCCTGCTGGCACGGCACTGGGACCCGCAGCTGGACCAGCTGGCGTGGGCACGGGCGGCGAGCTTCGCCCTGAGCGGCTTCATGCTGGTGGCGTCGGCGCGGAGCGCGGCGCAGACGTTCCACCTCCTGGCGCGGTGGATGCCCGCGGCGGTGCTGCGCCAGGCGCGCGCGCACCTGGCGCTGGCGACGGGCGAGGTGGCGGGCGCGTACGTGGTGTCGGCGGGCTGGCTGCTGAGGGGCCAGCTGCCGCGCGAGGCGGGCGGGCGGGGGCTCGAGGGCATGCTCGGGGGCGGCGCCGCCTCGGTGCAGTCTGCGGGCGGCGGTGGTGGTGGTGGTGCAGGCGGAGGGCAGCACGGTCGGCAGCCGTCGCTGCGGCCGGGCTTCGTGGACGGCTGGTTCGAGGGCTGGTTCCTGCTGGGCGCGGGGGCGACGCTGCTGGGCGTGTGGGTGGCGAGGAGGGTGAGGGGGGGTGGTAGTGGTCCAGGGGGGTTGGGAGGCGAGGAGGACGAGTGGGATGACTATGGGGGGGAGGAGATGGCGAAGCGGAGTGATTGAGGGTTTGGTGGTGGTGAGGGGATGAGGAGTTGACTTGTTGAGGCAATGATGATTGTGATGTTTGGCGTGTGTGTTCTTGTGCTTGTGCTTGTGCCTGCTTCAGTATGGTGTTGGCGTTGGCGTTGAGATGACATCTCTGAGAGGGATGAAGGTGGCCCTTGATGATCGTCTCGACGATGGTCTTGACGGTGGTTAGGTGTCTGGGCTGGCTCCTCTACACAGACACTGACATGTTCTTGGTATATATTCATATGTGCTTCTACCATACAGGCTCATCCATCTGTCTCTTGTTTCCACCTCTCCTTTTGTGTTCCAAAATCTTGCCGTTGTTCGTCCACCCCGGCTTCTTCTCCTGCTTCTGCTCATCTGCCTCGCTCTCTGCCTCTGCCCATCGACCCTGCTCTCTACTTCTGCTCCCCCGCCTCGTCCAGCAGCGCCCGCCTCGCCGCGAACCCAGCCAGTATCCCCCTCCACACCCCCTCGCTCGTGTACTCCATCCGCCGGCCCCGCGCGTCCGCCCCGCGCCGGACCTCTTCCTCGGTGAGCCAGGCCCATTCCTCGTGCTCGCGGGGGTCCATGACGATTGTGGGCGGCGACGGCCCGGCCTCCTCGTTGGCAACTGCTGGCGCTGGTGTCGCTGCTGCTGCTGCCGCCGCCGCCGCCGCAGGGGCGACGTCGCGGTCGGGTATGCGCCCGCGCGAGGGGATGCGCGCCACGTCCTCCCGCACGTCCACCAGCAGGCTCACCTTGCCCCACCGGCGGCCCGTCTCCCAGAACGTGACGGTTAGGGCCTCGTCGTGGGGTTCTTGGCGGGCGTGTTCCTCTTCCGGGGCGATGCCGAGGCCCGGCGGCGACGACAGCCGCTCGTCCCCGTTCCCATTCCCATCCTCGCACCCAATCCCATTGCCATTCCCAGCCTCATCCTCATGCCCCAACGAAGAAGAAGCAGCAGCAGCAACCCCAGCCGTGGCAGGAGGAGGGTTGGCAGGAAGAGGCGCCGGCACCATGCCCAGCGGGCAGTGGAAGCGCGCCACGCGCAGGCCCGTCTCCTCGCGCAGCTCGCGCGCCGCGGCGTGCAGGACGGAGGCGTCGCGCGCGGTGGAGACGCTGCCGCCGGGGATCTCCCACTTGAGGGGGTAGGAGTCTGATGCGGCGCGGCGGATGAGGAGGGTTTGGAGGGGCGGTGCTTGCTGCTGTTGCTCTTGCTGCTGCTGCTGCTGCTGCTGCTGCTCCTCTTCTTGTTCTTGGTGGTGTTGACACTGCTGCTCCCGGTCCTCGCCACCGCCCCGACGAAACACCATGCACGCAGCCATCAGCCGATGGATGTGCGGCCGTGCGGCCAGGAACTCACTCGGCGAGAGCGAGAGGCTCGCGGGGAGGCCCTCCGCGACGGTGAAGCCCGTGGCCGTCGCCATCGTGGACGTCGTCGTCGGTTCACCCATGGCTGCTTGCTGCTCGCTGCCCCCGTCTCGTCGCCCTCTGCCTGCTGGTGGAAACGCGACGCGCTACACTCTCGTGCACCACGCTTGTAAAGAAAACGATGAACGCTCTGAGATAATACGATGAGAGGAGAGAGACGAAACGCCCGAGAGACAGAGGCAGGGGACGCGCTAGGTATGCTGTGTCGTGCTGGGTTGTAAAGGGCGTGGGCACAGCACCTGCGGGGCGGGCGAGGCGTGTCGTCGTCGGTTTGGGGCGGGCCGAGCCCGGGGTTTCGGAGTGGAGTCGTCCGGCGGCCCGGGCGTTGAGGTGAACGACGTCAGGCCATGGTCCGCCGAATGATCTGAACCACGAGGAGACTGCAGGGCTCACTAGGGCAAGGATTTGCGTTTCGGTTGCCAGTGGCAGGGCTGGGCTGCCTATGCCAGGGGGTAGCATCACAAGCTTACGCATCGCAACCTAGCACATCGGCACACATACATGCCCGACAAGTACACCGCACAGCAGCGTCCATAGAATGAAACAAATCAGTTGACAGTTCTCAAATAGAACAAACCCATCATGAGTCCGCGCCACATCAGTTAAAGAGTCCGTACGTAAAGCCCCATTATCATCCCGCGCGCCGGCCCGCCTGCTCCCACTCCCGCCGCGCAACATGATCCCTTGCCGTCCGTCCACCGCCTGCCTGCCGCCGCTGCTGCGCTCAAACACAAGCAGCGCCCACGTCTGCATCCTGTCCCGTAGTCTCCGTCGTCGTGTGTCGTGGGAGGGGAGAGAGAAGCGTCGCCTGGCCTGTACGGCATCTTGTTCAACAAACTCGAGACGCCCGTGCCCGGCTGTGCTGGAGTACGGTGTGTCCGAGGACACCTCGTGGCTGGGCTGCTGCTGGAGGAAAGGCGGGCGGGCATCTTGCGACGGCATCTATAGTCGTAAACCGAAATAAGACGAACGGGGACTAAATGTACAATCTCTTTTCCGTTGCTTTTAAATGCTCAAGACGCCAAGGGACGGCCCTGTCGTCCCTTCTTGTTCGGTACTGTCGTCCATCCATCCTCGTCCGTCGGAGGAGCCGCCTCCGCGTCGGGCGAAGCGGCCGCCGAGCCGTTGGCGCGCGGGCTGCGTGCGTCTCCGCGTCCTCCGCGAGGGGCGCCGCCGCCGCGGCCGCCAAGGGGTCCGCTGGGCGGTCCGCGGCGCTGCTCGTTGGATGCCGATCGCCAGTTGCCAGCCTCCTGAGCTCTCGACTTGACGTTGGACACGACCTCCTTGGGCTCGCGCGGTTCGCGGGTCCGGATCGGGACCTTGGCCTCGCCCGACGCTCCGTTCTGGGTCTCGGCCGCCTCGGCCGCCTCCTCCTCCTTGCTCTCGGTGGCAGGCTGCTCCTCGCCCTCCTTGGGGGCCTCCTCGGCGGCGTCACCTTCCTCGGCCTCGGCCTTGGCCGCAGCGGCCTGCTTGGCCTGGCGACGCTCCTCCTTGGCCTTCTCGTCGGCCTCGCGCTTCTCTCGCAGCGCCTGCTGTCGCTTCTCCTCAATCTCCTTTTCGCGAGTAGCCGTGTCGATGGGACGGGCAGCGCCAAAGGGGCTGGCCTTGGAGTCGCCGGACGGAGTGGCGACGGCGTCCGTGGCTTCGGAGACGGTTCTCTTCTGCAGGTTCAGGCGGGGGCGACCGGCCGGGGCCGCGGGGGTCGCATTGGACAGGGCGGGCGAAGGAGGAGCCTCGCTGCCGTCGCGGGAGGTACCCTCGGGCTTGGAGGCGTCCGGACGCATGCGGTCGCGCCACTGGTGATCCTTCTCGGCGGCCGTCACAACACGCTCGCGCTGCTCGGGCAGGTCGCGGCGGGGAGGACGAGAGCCTTCCTGGCGGCCCTCGCCCCAAGCGCCGGCACCGCCGCGGGGGCCGCGGTGCGAACCGCCGCGCTCGCCGAGACCGTCAGGGCCGACGCTCGAGTCGCGGGGCGCAGGAGCATCCTGCGCAATAGGGGCGAGCGGACCTCTGCGCTCCCAGTTCAGTTCGCGGGCGGCCGGGCGCTCGGGACGGCCCTCGAAGGCGGGGTCGCGGGGGCGACGCTCGCCAAAGTCAGACATCTGGCGACCGCCACCGCCGCTGCGGCCGGGAAGGTCGGGAAGGGGACCCTTGCGAGTCCAGTCGCTGAGGTCGCGCATGGACTCTCCGCCGCGGCTATCACCGCCACGAGCTGCAAAGCGGGTCAGTCAGGCACCATCATAGATAAAGTCCAATGTGGAAACGTACGAGGATCGGCGACCTTGATCTTGATCATTCGTCCCTGGAACGATTCTCCGTCGAGGTCCAGGGCCTTCTTGAGGCCATCGGCGTTGGCAAACTCGACATATCCGAAGCCCTTGGGGCGCATGAGCTCGCGGTCCTCGATGATGCGGACGCTGACGACCTCGCAGCCCTCGAAGAACTCGCCAACGGCATCGTTCGTAGCATCGTAGGACAAGTTGCCGAGATGGGCGGTAAAAGGAGGCTTATCCGGAAACCGGGCCGGGGACCTCTCGCGAACGGAATAGCCTTGGCCGGGGTCAGCAAACGTCGACACGTCGACAGCGGCACGGAGGCGTGCTGCTCACCTCGGTCCTGCCAAGACGACAAGCCACTTCCACCACCAGGGCGAAACCGGTCGCTGGGGGGGAGCGGCTGGGTGCCTGAAGGGGTCAGCAAGGCGTCGACGATGCTGCGTCATCGATATCTGCACATACCGGTAGCCACTGTGCAGCGTTAGTGACGCGTCAACGATGGGAGGACGGGACGGACTCACCATAGGTTTCTTCAACCTCGTCGGCCCAAGAGCCTCCTCCAAATCCTGCAAAGGGTCAGCGGGGCACGCTCAACGACGAGGGGCCGACGTCGGGCGCGACATATCGCGGGCCGGGTGAGGGGTGAGGGCGACGACGCGGAGGCGGGGCGCAAGGTGGCCTCATGGCGGGGGAGAGACGGACCTGAATCAGTCAGAAAGTCCCCCAGGGACATCTTCTGCTGTTCCTTCTTCTTGGGAGCTGGCGAGGAGGCGCGTTAGCGATGGCGTCGGGGTCGGGATCGGGGCATCGCGGGGGGCAGCGAGCGGTGCGCGGCGGCCAACGTACCCATGATTGCGGCTTGGCTCGGCGACTACGCGCAACAGGCACGGTGCGCGTAGACGGACGCGGCGTGGAGAGGCTCGGGCCTCGTGAGCGTGATGAAATCGGGAGATCGGACGGCGGTGGTGAGGCCGACGATGTTTTGTTTGTTTCCGTGGGACCCCGACGAGCGTTGCCGGTGTCTGGGGTTGACGAGTCGAAATTTGCTCGCCGTGGAAAAAAAGATGGAGGCGCTGGTGATTGTGAGGGTTCATGTTGCCTCTCAATTTTCACCCGCCCAGGGAGTGGGAGCCGCTAGTCTGCTTCGGGCATGGCCGTCCCTGGTCCGCCTCCAGACCCAGCCAGAGCGCGGGCGCTTATAGGCTGGATGGCCGCCAAACGGTACGTACCGCGCGAGGTCCCAGGTCGCCGGTCGCCATTGTGCGCGCGCCCCGTCGCCCGTCCAGGGCTCGCAGCGCTGTGCTGGCGCCTGACTTCAGCGACAGCGTCCACTGTGGCCTGCTGCTGTGCCCACTGTCAGGCGAGGAGCCGTGGTGGAGCTGGGTGCGCCTCATCCATCCAACCACTGATTTGATCTGTCGGTCCCATCAACCTCATCTCATCATCGTGAACCTGTTTGCGGGCTTGCCAGGCGACAAAGGCCCGCGTCATAGCAGCAAGTCCCTTGTATCAGATTTCCCGGCCCATATCTGCGCAGTCACGAACAAAGGCCTCGTTCCCTTGTACACGGCCACGACAACAGCCACGACGCCATGGGCAGCGGCCCGCAGGATGAGCCTCAGCCCGGCCCGTCGGCCGTGCGCACGAGGCAGAGGCCCGGCGTGCTGCCCCGAGAGGTGATGGAACTGCTCGTGCCGCCCGTCAAGGTGGGCGCCTGGACCGGTACGCTCGCCCTCTCTCCCGAAAGAGTCTGCCTGCTAACCCTTGACCTCCGCAGGTGCCGCCGGAGTCTTGGCCGGCGTGGGAGGGGCAATTGCAAGAGACACAAACCCCTTTGCCAGCGGCGTCTTGTCGGGTGTCCAGTGGTTTACGCTAGGAACGAGCTACTGGTGTATGTGCCGCTCCCCGTCTGCCAGACAGAGCTCTGCTAACCTGCAACAGTTACGAGGACAGTGGCCATACGTGCGCTCGGCGGGGACGAGCATGTTGGACCCGGTGACAGGGTCAAGGCGAGCACCGTTGCTGGTTCTGCCACCGGCGCTGTGGCCGGGCTGATGCGTGAGTTCCTCGGCTGTTGGTGACGAGCAGGAGTCTTGACTGACATGATCCAGGCGGGCCGCCCAAGATCTTGCCGGCGATGGTACTATGGGGGCTCGTCGGAGCTGGCGGGCAACTCGTCGCCAACCGCATGGCTGCAAAGGAGTCGAAGCCGCTGGACGACACAGGCGGCTGGTCATGGAGCCCGCTCAAGAGGCTGACGGACGAGCAGTACATTGACATGATGGGCGAGAAGATACTCAAGGTCGAGGTGGACATTGCCCTCATCGACGACCGCATTGCCGAGCTTCGGGCACAGGACGCCGAGAGCAAAGGGGGCGAAGGACGGGCATAGCGGCATAGGAGTATGACAGCCGAGTGTAGGATATTGGTGTTCGATACGTGTACATACTACAGCATAGGACATGGCGCATGTGGGGAAAACGGCGTATTGTGCAAGAAGGAATAATACCCAATGTTGTCTGCATCGCAAAGTGGCCGCGTGGCGTCGACGTGAGTCGCACGCGTTGTGAAACTGTTGAACTAAAGTTGGGCTGAGCGCCAAGCAGCCTCGATTCCAATGCAGCATTTGGCGCCACACCATTGAGACGACATGTTGATGACAAGTGAGCAGATCCAACATGACAGCCACAGCCCATTGGACGCATCCTGCGTATTATGAGCACTCCAAATTTCCGGTCGAGCGAAGCGAAAACGTCGGGAACGGAAGTCGTCTGCGGCTGCTTTGTACAGGGTAGACGCGGCGCTGGTGATGCAATCACGCAGCGTCCCCCCGCGCTTTCGGCGGAGCGCACGGCGCAGGTTGCGACCATTCCGCGGGCCGGACGGAAATGGGCGTTCGCATACGCGCATAATACGATACGATAGGGCGCGGCCGGGGGGTTTATCAACGGCCTGCCTGGCACGATTCTGCAGCGGCTGCTGACGCGGGACTGGGGCTCCCGCCGCTGCTCCTCGTATGTACGAAGTACGGAGCACTAAAATGTACTCGATGGGTTCACTTGATGGCCCATACCGACTGCTACTGCGCCTGCCCTGCCCTGCCCCAGAGGCCTCCGTGGCAGGACAATGGAGCGTGGTCTGATTTGATAGCCTCCTCGCGTCCGCTGGAGCCCCGCGTGCCTGCGCGAAAGGAAACAATTGCGACTCTGCGTTGGGCGGGGACACAATATTGATCCCTCCATGGACTCGACTTGGGTTGGATGGAGCGCTGTAATCTGTACATGACTGCACTGCAGCACAAAGAGCCGGCAACAAAGCAGCAGCGCCGGCCAGGCTGGCATCGCTGGCCGTCCACCCAACACCGGGCGGGCGCACGTGTCACAACAACAAATCACGATGATGGAATGTTTAATTGTTGCCATTTTAGCGGCTCTGCGATAAGCGCCGGTGGGTTGGGTTGGCAAGGTTGGGTTGGGTCGGGGGGGTGGTGGTGGTTCGCGCACGGGAGAGCGGCATTGAATGGATTCGACGGCGCTGCTGGAGGTGCAGGCGGTGCTTTGGTGCGCGCCCCCCGTGGCCCCGTGGCGGGCTTGCAGACCGGTGCTAACGACGTCCGCGGGTGTGAGCGGTACGCGGTCCCAAGGGCGTTGCTTGCGGGACGTTTCAAGTACCTGCCACTATCTACCTCCCCCCCATGCCGCCGCCGCACCTAGCGCATCAATGCCCCCAACCCAGCCGTGCCCACCCCACCATTCCCTCCCCAGCGGTCCACGGGTGCCACCCAGCAAGCAGCTCCGGGCCTGGAACCCGCTGTCTGGGCTGCCCGAGGTGGACAGGCTGGGGTTGGCCTGGCTGTCCCCAGTCTCCAGGGCTGACGCACCTGCAGCTCCTCGCCATGCTCGCTCGCTCGTCAATCTTCTCCAACCCCAACGCTGACGGCACACTCGACGCCGACCTTGGACCGCCCGCTGCCAATCCGTCGCCGAGAGCACCGACACCCTCACGCGACCCCGTGCTCCGTCCGCTCCTCTGCCCGCCCGTCCTGCGAACCGCACGGCATCCGTCCTGCTGCCCTTCGAGCTCGGACGCACAGCAGCTCCTGACGTCAGGGCAAAGGGAGTCCGCCCGCCCGCCCGTCCGGCCCGGCCTTCCTCGACGACCCGCCGCCATCCGCCGCTCGACTTCCGCTAGGCGAACCGTGCCGCCGCCCGTTGCCCGCCGACATACTCGTACATATCTGCCGGAAGCCACGGACTCGTGTCCTGGCGAGCTGGATCGCGCCCTGGCACGTTTTGTTGCGCCTCGAGTCGACGACCCCGGCCTCCTCCCACACCATCTCGCTTCCCCGACCCAGCATCTGAATTCCTCAGTCGACGCGGCCATGGAGGGCCTCGCCTCGAACCGTTTCTGACTCCCCAGGCCATGACCCGACTGCTGGAAGCTACATGTATGCCTGTTCCTCCCCTCTGAGGCGACGACGTCGTCGTCTCCGCCAGCCCGCCCGCCATGTGCTTCTTCCCCCTTGCTGACGCTCCCAAGCTTCGTCCGCAGTGACATAGCTCTGGTCGGCCGCCCATTGGGGTCCACGCGACCATGGCCCTCTTCAACCCGACCTTTGTGCTCGGCCTCTTCGTCATCGCGTACCTCTCGTCGTTTGTCCTGTTCGCCCTCGTCAGGATCACCACCGGCGTCTCCATCCAGCGCATCGGCTACTTCTCCCTCCGCCGACTCGCCTACACCCCGCGCGACGGCTTCAAGATCGAGATTCGCGGGCTCGGCCTCAACATCCACCGCCCCACGTTTGCGCAGCCGACCTGGATAAGCCTCGTGCTCGAAGAGCTCGTCGTCACGCTCGACATCCGCGAGCTTGATGGCCGCAAGGCTACTGAAGCCAAGGAGGGCGACGAGCTCGACGCAAACGATGGCGACTCCGATGAGTCGGTGCCGCTGCACAGAACCCGGTCTGCGCGCCGCAAGGCCCAGGCCGCCTCGCGCAGCGAGACATGGAAGAAGCTCACAAGGTTCAAGGAGAGGATAAAGAAGCTGCACAGAAACATAAAATGGCTGCGCATGGTGGACGTGGTCGCCACCAACTCGACCATCAACGTCGTCGACGTCGGCAATGTTCAGGTCGGGAGCCTCACCATTGCCGTCGACACGCGGCGCAAAATGGTCGACCGCGCGCGGTTCTTCCTCCAACGGTCCCAGTCCACCAAAAGGGACCACCGCCAGGCCGAGTGGATATTCACGGTGCGCAGCGTCCTCTTCACTGCCAACGGTAGCGAGTCGCTCGAGGTCCTCGACCACGCCCTGCTCAACATCCACGGCTACCTTTACGAGACGAGAGACGGCCTGCGGGAAACCACCATCGCGCTCAAGCTCGGCAGGGTCCACGTCCCCTACGACGACATTGTGCTCTGCGCTGCGCGGTTCAAGGATCTGCGCAGGGAGTCGTCGGTCCCGGAGACTGACGAGCCCATGGACATATTCCTCGACCAGGTCATCCAGGAGATTGACGAGCCGGGGAGCACGTCCAACGATGACCTGATGCGGGCCGTGTCCGACTCCAAGGAGTTCTCCAGCTCCATCCTCCGCGGCATCAAGGAGGTCCAGTTCGCGGTGAGCTTCGTCGGCCTGTCCAAGAAGATCACCACGGTGAAGCCCGCCGCGAGCCCCATGCTGCTCAACGTGTCCATGAAGGAGGTGGGCATAGACCTCCACCGCCTGGACCCCAAGTCTCCGGCGCACCGCATGTACTTTTCTCCCAAGGACATCGCCCACGAAGCTCTCGCCGCTGCCCTGTCCATCTCCGTGAGCCTGGACGACGGCCACGGCAAGCCGGAGCGGTTGCTGTACATACCCATGGCGACTACCACCGCTCGCACCACGCTGCCGTCCAAGACGGTCGAGCTGGCGCAGAGCGAGAGCATCGAGGCCAAAAACGCAAACATACTCTTCGCTAATTCCGTCGTCACGTCGCCATCCATCGACCTCGATCCGTGCCACCTCCCCCTTCTCATCGCGCTCATGCAACCCAAGCCCAAGCCGCCAAAGCCCGAGCACCAGAGAACCAGCCATCTCATCTCGCGCTTGCTCCCCAAAGCCAACATCAAGTTCTCCATGCACGAACCCGTTGTCCGCATCAAACTCAACCCACTGCAGGAAACCGAGGACTCGGACGACTTTGACCTCATCATTTCCTCAATCTCGTCCATATCGCTTGACGTCGAGTCATCCCACTCACCGATCGAGGACCTGCACTATTTCTTGGATGGGGCGATGCGCTTGCAATCTCACCAACTATACTACCAGACATGCTCCGGAGACCGGTTCAACCTCATCACGACCGACTCTCTCGACCTCAAAGCCCATCTCGGCGCGAAGCCCGACGTTGCTGTAGATGTCACGGGCAACATCCAGTCCTGTGCCATCAGCCTGGTGAGGCCGGAAATCACCGATGGCTTGCGACAAATCGTGCGGCAGCTGCGCATCGACGTCGAGCCGGTGAAGCGAGCCAAGTCCAAGACGCCGAAGCACCAGAATTTCCTGCGCTCTATGCCGGACTGGCTCATCCGATATCACTTTGAGGCCTCCGACTTCAACATCGAAGTTGCAGGCGTGGACGAAGACATCTCAGACGACACAAGAGGCGTGTCATTACATCTCGACACTTTCTCTGCCGAGTATCGAGCGCACAGGCTCGATGGGTTGCACCGACGGATGACCAGGAGGCGAACGCACAGCAGGTCCCTTACGCAGTCCGACTCAGACCTCACTCCATCCCCTGCGTCGCCACGGGCCAGGAGGAAACCGCAGAATGTCGGCGACGGACGCCGCCTTGCTATACATGCCCGAGGCATGGAGGCGCAGATCGTGGAGGCGGCCGATAGGCTGGAGGCCGAGCCGTTTGTCAACATTCCTCGCCTCGAGCTCGCCTTCTCTGCGTCGAGTGACAACCACGGACCCATGTTCCACATCCAGTCATCCATTCGCACAGTCATGCTGCAGTACTCGCTCTACCGGCACTACTCGGTAGGCGTGGCGACTATGACGCTGAGGAGGGCTTTCATGAGGACTGGCAGAGACGTTGCCCGACCTCGCCAAGAGGGCATGTATCTCAGCCCGGACAGAGTGCCCTCAACCCCTGGTTTCGCCGACACGGTGTCTACCGTCACTCCGGAGCTCGTCACCGTGGACATCAAGGCTGCTCTTGTGCAGATAAAGACCGACCTGCCCCACGACCCACTGGTGATGGCTCACATCTATGGCCTAGAGTTTGGCCGTCATCGATGGTCGACGCCGTTCCTATCTTCGAAGCTCGTCCGACTCTATGTCGAGCCGCCGCGAATGCGCAACGTTTGGGCCAAGATGATTAGCATCAAGAATGGGCGAGTCGACCTGCGCGAGTCCAAGCACAAGTCACCTTTCGGCGGTGTCGTCGAGGAGAAGATGGTCGACGTAGTGACTGAGGCCATCCGCTTCTCCGTCCCGCATGAAGTCATTGTCGCTCGCATTACCGACAACTTCATCAACGTCTTCAAATCCGTCAAGCAGCTGCATCATCGCTTCAAGACGGGCACCAACGAGTACATATTGGACAAGAAGCCAGAAGACCCTAAGAAGGTCCCCAAGGTGTCTATTCGCACTCGAAACTTCCTCTTTGAGATGGAGGACGGCGCCTTCGAGTGGAAACTGGGTATCATCTACCGGACAGGACGCATCGAGCAAATACAGCGGATAGCGCGAGAAGAAGCGTTCCGCGTCAAGTCGAAGAGGGTCCGCGAAGAAGGCAGGAAGGGCGGAAGCAAGATTCGATCTCGATCTGCCTTTGCCCGAGGCCGAACAGAAAACTCCTCAGCTTCTTGGTTCCGGAGTCGCAGCATGGGCGATCAGGAAAAGAGGGGTAATGGCCCTGGCCGAAACACCATGCCCCGATACGATCCCGAAGGGGAGAGCCTCGGCATCAATGGCAACGCCAAGGTTTCGGAAGACGAAGCGCGATCTCACTTGGACTTTTTCAACGCGCAGTCTTGGAGAAAGCGCATCGACAGCGCGTACCAAGTGTCCCAGGCAGGCATGAGGGAGCTGCGGGGCGCGTTTTGGGGTCCTGACGAACTGCCAGACGATATCGAGGAGACGGAGAACATCCTCGAGATGCCCCAGCGACCGGCACTCATGGCAGGCATGATCTCCGACTTGCACGTCGTCATCGACAAGCCGACGTTTGCCATGCAGGACCTGCCAGACTTTCTTCACAGGGTTGGCAAAGGCATGCCGCGGGACATGAAATACAGCCTCCTCGTTCCGATGCATGTGTCCGTCAACATGGGCGAGACGAGGATAACCCTGCGCGACTATCCCCTCCCCTTCCTGCATATACCGGGCCTGAGGACCGGGCAGTCGTCCCGGACGCAAGCGGTCCAGCTCAAGGGCAACTTTGTCATTGCCGAGGAGTTTAGGGGCCTCGAGTCGACGCGCCGCGTCCGAGTTACGGTGGTTCCGCCTCGCCACACTGACCCTGCGTCGTCCAACGAGGGCAGCTTTGCCATCGAGGTCCGGCGAACGATTGGGCCGGTCAAGTCCTTTTCCGAAGTCTACATGGACATCAATACTGCCTTGCCCACCCGCATCACTTGGGGTCCGTGCTATCAGCCTGCTGTGCAAGACATGATGATGGTAGTCGAATCTTTCACCAAGCCGCAGGTCGATCCGTCGGAGAGGGTCGGCTTCTGGGACAAACTGCGGCTCAATACGCACTCGCGCGTCCACGTCGCCTGGAAAGGAGATGGCGACATGCACCTGGCTCTCAAGGGCACTCGCGACCCGTACCAAGTCACGGGCAATGGTGCTGGTTTCCTAATGTGCTGGCGCAATGATGTGCGCTGGAATATCAACGCCGAGGACGACCCAAAGCGCTTCATGACCGTCGACAGTGGCGAGTACATTCTGGCAATCCCCGACTTCAGCCACCTGGTGCGTGAGGCGGCACGGCGCCGCGACACGCCCGACGGACCCCTCGTCGAGGACGAGCTGAAGGCGGGCGCAATATTCAAAAAGGTCGTCATGAAGCTCTCCGGCAAGGTTCAGTGGATGGCAGGGTTGGTGTTTGAGCGAGCCATCGAGGACGGCAAGCGAAGCTTCGACTTCAAGCCGCACTACGACGTCGTGCTGAAGAACCCGATCTTTGCGAAGCCGACCGAAGACGGCCTGCCCTATGATGCCATGCGGGGGTTCAGGAGTCGCCACATCCACCTGTCTATCGCGATCTGGGCACCCGTGGACCGCGACTGGAGGTCGCAGAACCCCGAGCCATCCAGAAGCTACAACACGGTGCACCTGACGCCGCGTTTCTTCACGCACTTCTTCCAGTGGTGGGGGCTGTTCAGCCAACCCATGTCGCTGCCCATCCGCCAAGGCAACTTGTTCCCTGGCCGAGAGAAGAACAGCAAAAAGTTTGGACGGCACCTGGCGACGCTCAAGTACAACCTCTTGCTGGCGCCCCTCTTCCTCGCGCACATATACAAGCACAAAGACGCAGAGGACTACTCGGAGAACGCCGTCTCTGCCACAGGCCTCAAGGTCCGTCTCGACAGCTTCAAACTCGATCTACACCAGCGCCGAGAAGAGTTCAACACGCTTGGGAAGGGCAAGAATACGCAGAGCAGGACGTCGGGCATCAAGATCCACGCGGCGCAGCTCGACCTTGCGAGGGCGGATATTCGTGCCGTCTCGGCTAGCCTCAAGGGCACCACGACTGAAGCCATCAAGAAAGGAGACATCTCGTCGCTCATCATCGATCAAGACGACAAACCCGACCTGAACAGGTTTACGATTCCGGACAATGACTTTAGCTGGATCGACATGGACGACTTTGTCGAGCTGGACTGGATCCTGCCAACGGAGCCTCATCCTGCGACCATGATCCTGCCGCTGGCGTACGCTCCGCGACTGACGTACTTTCGCCAGACGGACATTGGCGGCAACATCGCCGGGGACGCCACGCGAACCAGCCCGTTCGGCAACGAGCCAACGCACTTTTGCATCATGACGCAAGACGACAACCCGAAGCGCGTGCAGGCGCAGCTGATCCAGGAGCGGCTCGACCAGCTCGAGGTGCAAATGTCGACTCACACTCGCAACGTCGGCGAGGCAGAGCTCAAGATGGTGCAGACCAACACGTCCACGGATCCGGAGACCATGGCGGATATCGAGGCACTGCGGAAGCACGCCTTTGTCCTCAAAGACAAGAAGGTGTTTCTCGAGAATATGCTTGAGCAGATGCAGGCGAAGCCCTTTGCCAATATACCGGCCTTCAACGGCAATGGGCGTGACGATGGGTCGGACTCGTCGAGCGAGAGCGAAAATGTCCTGGACATACCCACGGCGGCGGAGTTTGAGAGCGACTTCAAGAACCGCTTCGTCGTCCACAACCTGCAGCTCAAGTGGAACAACCTGCTGCGCAACATTGTGCTCCGCTACTTCCACCAGAACAGCCAGAGGAGAGGGTTCGTCTACTACCTGTCACGCCCGGCCATCAAGTTCATCTTGGACATTGTGGAGGAACAGAACCGGGCCCGTGCCAACAAGCCCGCCCCGGCACAGTCAACAACGGGCGCATCCTCGTCTCCTGATCCAAGCGCGAACGAAAAGGACAGCGGGCATGATCTTGAGGATTGCATTAAGAACATCCTGGGTGAAGGGCGCAGATATACGTGCGCGAGCTTCGCGACCAACGGAGACGGGACCTGTCAGGCCATTGAGGACCTGGAGAGCGGCATATCCAAAGAGTTCAGCCCGCAACGCGGTTACCACGTGCGTCTGATAGCGCCGCAAATCCAGCTGCAGAGCGACAAGAATAAGAAGCACGTCGTCTTGGTCACGGCCAAGGGCATGGAGCTCAAGGTGCTCGAGGTCTTGGACAAGAACAGAATCTCGGACAACGTCAGCGGCCTCGTGCAGCGGCGTTTCCTCGTCAACATGGACAGCACGCAGTTCTTCGTCACGCACCAGAAATGGTTCTCCACGAACCTTGTGTCCATGTACGCAGGCAGCAAGTACGGGGCGCCCGGTGCGTCTTCTTGGCCGCCGTGGGTGCCGATGGAGATCATGTTCAACTTTACCGCAGATCCGTTTGGCTTCAAGCGCGTCGTGGAGAAGACGTCGGCCATGCTCCGATACGACAAGTTCAACAACCTGCGCCTCAAGTACAACGACGAGGTCAACACTGACGGAGGAGACGAGGAGACGGAGCAGGAGAACACGATTGCCGAGTCCCGCGTCGACAATCTCTGGGTCGAGTTCCCGCAGGCCCGGGCCCTCTGCAACTCGTCGCAGTACTACGCCATGTATGTCATCGTGCTGGACCTTCTCATGTACAGCGAGCCGCTCGAGAAGAATCGCAGCGAGAGACTGGAGAAGATCATGCTGGCTTCCGACTTTAGCGACCTCAGCAGCGCGCCGAAGATTGTGCAGAAGCTCCAGGAGCGGATCCGACAGCTCGAGGAGATCAAGAACCACTTCCAGATGTACTCGCACTACCTCGACAAGAGGGGCTGGGAGGACCGCCTGTCACTGGAGCGGGACCTGGCTGCCTGTGAAGACGAGCTGTTCTTCATGATGAAGGCCATCACCACGTCTCAACGCAAGTACGATATGACGAGCGACACCAACGCTCTCCTCAAGTGGAGCATTTCGGCTCGCGACATCGTCTGGCATCTCATGCTGGACTCGGGAGAGCCGCTCGTGGAGCTCCAGCTCAAGGACGTTGAGTACGACCGTACCGACAACTCGGATCTTTCGCACGCCAACCTGATCCGTGTCGGCAAGGTTCTCGGTCTGAATCTGCTCCCAGACGCTACATACCCGCAGATCATCACCCCATATTACGGCGATGAGAAGACGCACTCCATGCTTGGCAAGGACTCGGACATGATTCGCGTCTACTGGTACATGCTGGAAGCGATTGCTGGTATCCCCGTTATGGATCGCTTCGAGGTTGAGCTGTTCCCGATGAAGATTCAACTGGAGCGTGAGGCGGGCAAACGCCTGTTTGAGTACATATTCCCCGGCATGGACGGGGACAGGTCGTCAACCAAGACGCAGTCGCCGTACATTGTCAAACAGGACATGAGCTTCGATGACGAGGAAGACGACGAGTCCCCACAAGACTCGAGCACAAGGCTGGGTACGCCATCGATGGACAAGGACTCGTCCGGCTTCTCTACGAGGGCCGGGTCTCTGGAGCTTCGCCTGCGGCCGACCTTGCAGTCCAACGCCACCCAGGAACGCAGTCCGAAAAAGGCCCTCAGCGTCAACAGCGGCGAGGGCCACACGTTCCGGCTGTTCCGCGGCGGCACCGGCAGGGGCATGCTGTCGAAAAAGGCATCACACGACTCGCTGCGTAGCGGAAGCACGCCACGCCCGGGTACCATTCCACGGTCGTCGACGGGGTTTTCGTCCAAGGACAGCCGCGACTCGGCGGAGAAGAAGAGCTCGCGCTTCGGGCTGCGCGGCAAGGCGTCTGCCGACGACAAGGAGCCGTCGGACGACCTCACCAAGATGATTACGCGCGCCAGCAACTACATGACGTTTGCGCACATCAAGATGCCCTCGGTCGTGCTCTGCCTGAGCTACAAGGGCAAGGAGCAACGCAACTTTGAGGACGTGCACGACTTTGTGTTTAGGCTGCCGACGATTGAGTGGCAGAACAAGACGTGGTCCAACCTGGATCTCGCGCTCGCGCTCAAAAAGGCCGTCGTCAAGGCGCTCATCTCGCACACGGGAGCCATCATCGGGAACAAGTTCTCGAAGCACCGGCCCAACGCCGAGCAGCGCAACAGGCTTAGGGAGCTGGCGAACGGCTCTGTCATGATGTCGTCGATGAGCGCATCGCAGTACGCGGGGAGCATCAACGACAGCGGCGACGACTCGTCCAGCATGTACGGCACGTCGCCGATTGATTACTCGCGGTCGCCGCCGCGGTCGACGCGTGGCAGCACGCACAGCAGCATTCCCGCGCCGCGATCGGCGAGTAGGAGTAGCAGCATCGCGAGTGGGCGGTCTCATCGCTCGGGATTCAACGGCCCCAGCATCCCGGCGTCGCTGACCATGACCCCGCCGACACCAGTCGACGGCCGGCCCGAGAACGGGCTCGGCATCGATCTGCTGCGCCCGTCGTCGAGCGGCGGGCTCATGTCGTCTCACCGCCGGGCCCTGCGGAACGTCAGCGGCGGGGACAACAGACCGGCCACGAGCGCCAGCAACCTCGACTCGGGCGACCGTCGGCGGACGACGGGCAGCGGGCTGCGGGACCGGATCAGCGCGTTCACGCACCGCATGAGCAGCCAGCGCGAGAACAGCAGCGGCGCGACGGGAGAGGAAGAGGCGGATGCGGGCGACGACGAGGCCCGCGAGGGAACCAAGCTGCGCGGCAAGAGGCTCAGCTGGGCAGCCGGGCGAACCAAGACGGGTTGAGCCCAGGTTGACGAGTCACATATATATAATGCGAGCGGTATTTATTCATGGGGGGTTTGGCTTAGCTACTGGTAATTCGGGGGCACGTTGCATAGAGAGGACGGCGGCGGTACGTTGCTTGATGGTTGAAGAGAAGCCATCCGCTGGGGCAAAAAACGGGACGGTGTTGGCGGCTTGATTGAAACCTTTTTCTTCTTTCTTCTCCCCATTTCCATGTTGGTCTTGTGGATAGCAGCACACGGCGCGGTCTACTGGCAGGAAAGAGAGGGGCTGTACATGGAATCAGTCATGGTGAAGACGCAGCAGAAGCAAAAAAAGGGTGAAAGGGAAGTTGGTTGACTCTCGCGATGAGACTCATGACCGGCGATGAGAAGTAGTCGGGTTTTTGAGTTGGTAGCTTGGTTATTAGTTGCTGCTGTAGCTGAATGGATGAAGACGGAGGTGTCTACCCTTTACTGCCTTGACTTTGCTGGTGTTTAATTGGCATGTTGATCTATGTTGATTTATGTCGCCTTGTGACGATATGCTGTGGCCGTCGACAGGTACTAAGGTAGTGCTGGATTTGTTGACGTAGTAGACGGTAGAGTGCAGGGTAAATGGATGGTATCGAGGGGAACCTGAACGTTGCTCGGCCAAGCTTAAAACGCTGGCCTGCGCCCTTGAGACTGGTACGGGTCATTTCAGCTTCTTGGTCATTGATAGGCCGTGATGATAGAGATCGCAGCGGCAGGGATCACAACGGCAGAGATCACAGCGACAGAGATCATAGCGTCAATAGGGAGCCAAGCAACGCCTAGGGAACGTATCATCATCTGGGATCCCATTGCAGACAGGAGATAAGTAGACCTAAGGGTAAGGGACGATGCAGGTCCACGAGCGAGCGTTGCCCATGGTGCTGCCGTTTGCGTGGGCCTTGGGTGCGGCCCGGGTACCGGACTGGATGGAAGGACATGTTTCTACCGTGGACTGAGGGGGACGTGTTCAGGGGCTGCCACGGTTGAGCCAGCGCAGGTCAGTAATTCTCTACTTGGAAATGCTCAGGCGTTGCCCCGGCACGTGCCTTCCTTGTCGCTCTCGTTCTTTCCGTTTGCTTGTTCATGTCGCGACCACGTCTCTTCCTTCCATCACCAACCCAAACCGCCTACCGTTTCTGTTTCTGCACCCGTACCCGTCCCAATAATCGCCATGCTCCCCGCTGCGCTGGTCAGCGTGTATCGACAGTACAAGGACGACACGGACGCGGTCGCCTCGTGGCTTGCCTCCACGGCTGACGCAGCGGGCTGCCCTGATGAGCTGCTCCCCGAAGGCGTCAGACTCCAGAGACAGATGCAACAGCAAAACCAGCAGCAACAGCAGCCGAAGACGAAGAATAAGCCGGTAACGTGCAGGGGGAAGGGCAAGCCAAGGAGGAAGACCAAGGCGAGAGCAGCTCCGGAAACAACCACCACCGCTGTCGACGCCGGCAGCAACAACCGACACACCATCCGCATCAAGGCCTTCGTCCCGCTTGCAGAGCACATTGTCTCTTCCGGGGCTGTTGCGTCGGTGCCGGCCAGGGTCTGGGCCGTGCTGAAGCGCGTCATCAGGGCGCGGGCGGCGTTTGGAAGCAAGCTAACGAGACATGGCGAGGAGCTGTCCCCGGACGCGCAGCGTACGCACGAGTTTTTCGTGGATGTGCTCTGCCGAGTTCGCGACGTGCTTGACCCGCTGGTTCCGGCGGCACCAGCGGACGACCATCAGAGTCACGACAAGGAGGGCACCAACGAGTATGCCAGCAACAGGTTCGCCGGCCTCAAGGTGTACGAGCCGTCGGATGAGTTCTTGAATACACCGGTACCTCCTCGGTCGGACAAGGAAGCCGTCAACAACACGAAATATGAGGTCGAGGACCCGACGTCGTGGCAGGATGCCCTGTTTGCGTATGCCATGCTTGTCCAGGATGTCAGCAAGATTCGCGCTCAAATCGTCGGCATCTGGGCTCAGTCCAAGGCCAAGTTCGATCCCATGGCCGCTGCCATTGCCACCGACACCGCCATAGACTTCGCCCGTGGAGTCATGGCCGATGTGCTGCCGCTGCTGGACGCGCATGGCGGCCTCTTGCACGTAGCGCGTCAATACTACCTCGCCACATGCCTCGCAGAAGGCTACGACCCAGAGGACCTCAAGTGCTCTGCGAAGGACCCTATAAATTTCGACACGTTGGGCGTTGCGGAGGTGTGCTTTTGCACGGCCATTCTCCACGTCAGCGCCATCCACAAACTCAGCCAGTCTGACGAACTCTTGACCTCAAGTCGGACCGCCTTCGATTTTGACAAGCCGTCGCGAGAACGGGCCACCATGAGCAATGAGGACAAGTTTCTGGAGGACTTTTATCTTGTGAGGGATCATTACTGCGAGGCGCTGGCTGTGTTGCGCGGTGTGCCCTCATACCCCGTCCGCGACGAGTTCATTCGCAGCGTGGGTGAGATGGAGAAGACGGGCTCCGCGACGTTCCGCGCGGCCTTTGCGGCTCAAGTCTTCCTTGACATATACCATTGTCTGCGCTCTGAGGCTGTCGATGTTTTCAACCATTTGATACGGCAGATGGTCCACATGGCGACCCAGCTGGAGCTTCATTTCGACTTCCATCACGGCGCGGACATCAGACGTGGCTCCGCACGCGCCACCAGCGATGAGGCCCTTCGAAACATACTCGAACAGATCAAGTGGCTATGGAAGGACCCCGTGTTGGAGTTCAAGAAGGAGGCATACCGAGGGCAAAACGTGCAACGGCTGACCTGGCTGCAGCCTCACAAGATGCTCCAGCGTTCCCCCGTCTTGAGCGGCCTGATGCTCTATCACATCAGGACAAGACTGTACAGAGCAAGCTTCGACATGATCAACGCATGGGAGTCCATAATCCAGGCGACCCATCTCTATAACGCACTCAGGCGGGAACGCCTAATTGGAGTCTGGGCCGACTTGGAGGCAGCCGGGGCGAGGATCAATATTTTGGACTGCTTCGTCGGCCGGGCACCCACTTGCCCAGTTGGCTATCTACGGCGCTGGATTATGCAGATGGGCATTTCGCTAACCACCATAAAGGACCCCATTCGACTCAGAGGCTGGATGCTTATGCCGAAGAAATCTCGAGCTGGCAGCCGGGGCATCAAGACCCGAGTCCCCGTCTCGTCCATGTTCGAAGGGCGGTATTTGAGAAACGTCGAAGCGCTGGACTGGACGCTCGGGCAAATCGAGGACATAATCGCGCGCACTAGTTATACCATGACTGACGAGCCGCGGCGACCTGGTAATCCCGGATACGATTTCCTTCAAGTATACGACTTCAGGCCTGGACCAGGGGAAGACCTCGACCAACACCTGCAGACCATGCTTCAAAGCCTGGGCCACAAAAATGCAGCCGGCGAGGTCAAAGTCACTCCGGAGCAGCTCGTGCTGTCTCTCGCTCGCTCGCTGCAGACGGAGGCATGGGACCTGGCCTTCCCGTATCTGCAGGCACATCGTCGCTGTTGGACGTTTCTGCGAGCGGTCAATCTTTCCCGCCTCCCGCTGCTGCATCTTGCTGGCCCCGTGCCACAGTACTTGACGCGCGAAGACGGAATGGCGTGGATTGTGGGATGGATTCTCTGCGGCGGGACCACTGCGAGGAGGGTTTTGGGCCTGGAGCACGGGCTGTACCTCACCGCCGCGAACACCATCAACGACCTTGTCGCGGCGGGCAAGGGCTCCATTCTGGTGAGCTTCATGAATGCGCACATGGGGATCGTTAGTAGGATACTTGTACACGAACACCTGACAGGAGGGGTCATTGATGGAGGAGAGACTGCATGGATGGGATTAGTGCCTCGCTGAGTCGTGGACTCGTTGAGGAGGAACCCGGCTACTCGCCCTGGGGACACCTGGTCCAGCTCGACATGGATATACGATGGGGGGTGGACTCCGCCTAGGGAATGGCTCTCTGGTGGTGTCCTGACAAGGCCCATCTAACGATGATGTACGTTGAGCATGGGCTGAGGTGGCTTTGAGCCGGGGTGGCAGCCATTGGTGTACCCAAAGATCATTTCTTGGGTTATGTGGCTCTGTGGCCAGGAACACTGGATGTAAAACTCCACAGTCAGAGTAGCCGATGTAGTTCACGAAAGGATCAAAAGCTGGATAGAGTATAACAAAGGGTTTCTGAGGAGCCAAGAGTGAGTGACGCAAGAATTCAGGGTCATCAACAGGCATGGAAAGGCCGGTGGGCATGAAGGTGAACCGCGGGGATGAATATCAAGAACAGACACCGCTGCATATTACAGGCTCACAGGTTCGCTCACAGCCCTGGCCACCAAAAAGCCCCCCAGGCGAAGCTCTCTCCTCTGTTCTGCTTCCACGTCGTTCTTCCTCAAGCCATCATTGGAAAGGAAAAGCCTGGCGAACCCGACGTTGACCCGCCCGGTGCTCAAACGCGGGCACCCGCCGCCAGCTGCCCGCCAGGTGGGCTACGGGCGGGCATTCACTGCTCGAAGCTGACCTCTCCTCTATTGTGCAGACCGGCACCTGCTCGGATCAAACAAACACCTTCAACTCTTCCTTTTTTGCTGCCTCACTGTGCAGCCGCCTCCGCCACCCGAAACCCTGGAAATCAAATTCAACACGCAACGACACAACCGCAATCGAAATGTCGCGCCTGCGCATCATATGGCTCATCATGGCCGTCGTGGCGAGCCTCACCACCGTCCTCGGTCTCGAGCAGTGTGCCGTGAGTACCTCTAGCCTGCCCAGCCCACCATCCCTTTGCTTTCAGGAAGCTAACATTTTCGATGGACAAACTAGGAAGACTGCTTCTCCTCCTTCGGCAGCTCTGGCAGCAGCGAGGGCAACTGCAACGCAACCGACACGGCGTGCCAGTGCCGCGACAAGAACTTCAACGACTTCATGCCGTGCTGCCTGTTTGACGCGTGCTCGAGCAGCGAACTCCAAGTGGTGCCCGCCAAAGTCAAAAAGGCGTGCGAACAGGCGAGCGTGCACCTCGATGTGACGGACACGGACTGGGAGTGCATGCCGAGACTCGATGAGCCGACCACGAGCGTGCCTCAGATCCCGAGTTTGGTGCTGCCCACGAGGAGCATTCTCACACCCGCGGAGTCGACCATCGCTAGCTCGACGGCTACTATGTCTATGACGACGACCACGACAGCGGAGGCGGCGTCGACAACCGAGCGAACAGTCACAAGGGCTTCTATTTCCTCAAAGACCGACTCCGTGTCAATGACTGTGTCGATGACTGAAAGTGCATCCCCTACGTCGACAACCGAAGGCGACCAGACTCGGGGTGGCCCTTCTCCGCTCACTGTCGGGCTCGGCGTGGGCTTGGGTGTCGGCGTTCCCGTGCTCATCGCCGTGGCAGGCCTCGCGCACATCTTGCGCCTCATCAAACATCAGGGCCAAGATGGCCCTACCTCAGACACGCCGCTGTGTGGAACTGAGAAGGGTTACAATGAAGCTACTGCGACAAGGACGGACGCTACCTACGGCCCGGGAGAGCTGCTCGGCGATTCTACACACAAGCAGGAGCTTGCGGGTACGCCGCCAGTCATGTACGCGGAGCTCCCATGATCGATCATACGACGGAGTTGGTTCACAGTAGAGACTTCGCGGGCGATATCAAGGTTCTTGACCATTGTGCAGTTCAGATGGGCGATGAGTGTAGTCGGAGGCCGGCCAATGAGAGTTGCGGAACCCTGTGGTTAGCATTTTGCTTGCTGGTGCCATCGTTCGATAGCATCAGGAGAAGCGTTCACGGCTGGAATGCTACCGAGAAGGTCTCGCCTGGGCCGGCGTCATGGTAGTCGGCGCCTCGGGCGCAGTAGCTCACCAATACATCACATCTCAGTCCATTTAGCTGGCCTCCACCCCAGGGATATCGACAGTTGAGTAGCAGAGACGAGGGAGCTAGCGTCGTCTCGGTGGCGGGGGCGTGGTCACCTGGCCAGCACCTGACTCCGGCGATCCAGCCGTCCGATGAACTGTAAGCCGTATCGCAGGCGTCAAGAAACAACTCCGGATGCCATGAATGGCTGGCCATCTTCAGCGGGTGGGTGTTTGCCGTTCCCGTTCCGGTGAGGGCAAGCCGCGTCGACTCGCTCTCTTGCAGAATCGCTTCGGGCGGCGCCTCGGGCGGGGATATCGCGTACGTCCGGCTCGTGTCTTGGCCGCCGGGAGCTGAAGAAGGGGGTCGCGTGTGGTGGGGGTCGGATAATTCGAGACTCGAGATTGGACGAGGACAGCGATTGTTGAGTGTGTGTGTGATGCGCGAGGCGTGGTCGGCCTGGAGAACAAGATGCCCGCTTCACTCGAGTCGAATTGAAGAGGACGAGGGTCGATTTCCCGCAAAGACTGAATGGTGGCGGCTGGATGGCGATGAATAAACACAAGGGATCCCGCGCCGTTCAATGCTCCTTCCCTTGGAGGCATCGCCGGTGAAGCCTTCTGGAACGCACGCCTCGCCAGCGCTGTCCTCTCTGCACGGGTCTCTGCCGACGCCTGGCACTCGAGTGAGACGTGGGATCGCCTGGCAAAAACGCGGGGGAGGGGAAGGCGTCTGGCCTGTCCTGGCAAGCCCTTGCTCCAGCTGTGGCTGCCCGACATCCACACATCCATCCGCATCGCAGTTGCGACAGTGCCATGCTGCTTTGAGCCTGGCGGGCCTGCAGCCAGACGAGAGACCCTGCAGGGCCCGGTGGAGCCACTCCCGCCCCCGCGTCATCGCCCTCGGTCCTTGGAAGCGCGGAGGTGGACGGTGGGTATGACGGCATGCTGTGACCTGCCATGGAACGAACCCTCGCGACAAATGGCACGAGGGGGATAAGGATGCCAATGTGTTGCAATGGGCTCATGGCAATATGGCCTCGTACGGAGCACTTGGCGATGGGGCGCGAATGGGTGAAGACGGGACGGCGCAACGCCGCCCAGGCAGATCCCGTCGGCTGAACGACACGGCCGCTGTCATTGGCGACGCCCACAGCCAACGGGCTCGAGTTTGCCTGCAGCCGGACCAGAAGGGAAGTCGAGGATGAATCATCTGCGCCGTGGACAAGACGGCAAGCCGGTCCTGGCCGCGAACACACAGAACGCGCGAAGCAGAGCCCCCATCCTCAATGAGCCAGCGATCTCGATCAGGGCACCGACGGGGACGATCTCGACGCTCCGCCGCGGGTCGGTTATCGACTTGCCCTCGCTTCGAAGCTGTCGCCGTCGCTGCATTCCCAGCGTCATCACTCTCTGCACCATCGTGCCTTGGCTGGCCAAAGCCAAGCCGAGGCGGGCTAGGTTGCATCACGCACAAGCTGCAGGGCTAGCTCGCGGGCAAACTGTCCTGATCGACTGTCCTTCCGTTGCGTTCATGATGTAAAGAGCTGTTCATCCAGCTGGTGGGGGCAAGTCCCGTCGTCGCCGTCGAGGTCGTCAACGGCACAGTCTCAGCAGCAGTCGGACAGAAGGATGGCGCCACATGTGGGCGACGGCAGTGGCTAGACGGCGCCGCTCCATGCTGTGCGTGAACGCCAGAGGGTAGCGGTTGGTTTCATGTTCCGCTGCGAGGGACGCACCCGAGGCAGTCTCCCAAGGGCCGTGTAACGCCAGACGCCCCCCATGGACAGCCGCTCGTGACACATTGCGACACTGCAACTCTCCGACCTGATAACGCGGCAGCGCCCGCCGCATCGTGGAGCAGCCCAGCCCAAGTCAGCGCGCGTCAGCGACAGGCAGCCACTCACGCCGAGGCGACGAGTGCCGCCTTATCGCCCGGTACTTGGTCACGCGCACCGGTTGCGGGGAAGTGCGGGTATTGCATGCTACGGCGCGCAGCCAGCCAACCGTCGTCGATGCCACCGTGACATCGAGCCAGGGAACAACCTTAAGGGAAACGTCCTTTGGGTCGAGCTGGTCCTGCGCACGGGCATCTGGGCAAAGAAGCATAACTGGATTTAGCAGCGGTGACACGGCAGCCCGTGCCTATTGTTGCGCGACTATTCTTCTCCCACGCGTGCCACCTCGGTTGCTGCACAGATAAGACACACAGCGAAATGGCAGAGGCGCTGGGTCACGGACCAGCCAGAGACCAGGAAGGATGGCAACCTGAGAACTCCTCAGGACCGCGGGAAGGGGGGCAGGGTGCCACAGCCAAGAACCAGGAGACGATAACAGCGTGCCACCAGTGCGTGGGCTGGCCCAACGGGGAATAGGCCGGGAAGCCCAACCCCAGAGTTCCAGAAGTGCCCGACGATATGGCTCCGTTGCCGGCCGCCCGGATGGCTCGGCCTTGCTTTTTTGACACCTTTGAGTCCGACTGAGTCTGTGCTTGCTCCCAGGCGCTGCGCGCTTCCTTTTGAGGGCCCGGACTATTGGCCCGTCGCCAGCTGTGAGCACAACCGCGCTGCTGCGCTGGCCCGAATGGGGCAGCCCAGCAGCCCAGCAGACCGGCTGCCCAGCAAACGAGTCGTCGGGTCGGCGGCCCAACTCCAATGATGACGGGGCTCGACGGCGGGCGGGCTGACCTTGGGGGCTCGAGGGGGTCGGCCGTGAACGAAGGACGGGGCACCTTGGTCGCGCGCGAGTGCAAGCGAAGGGCCGTCGGCGAATGAGGGGCGGTTCGGTGGATGGGAAGGCTCCTTGGGGGTCAGCATCACCATCATCTGCTGCGTGTGTCCGTCTTTGTGTGTGTGTGACCAAAGCCTCTTATAATCGGGCCACCCCCCAAAGCCAGTCCGTTGCTTGGCTGAGCTGCGACTGCTGCCTTGATTCCGGAACGACGAGAAAGCTCAACGAGCGCCGAGTCGACGAACGCAAATATACGGCTTCGGAGCCAGACGTGCTGCTCGCGAGTCATCAGTGCTTGTCGTCTCGTCTCGCAACGGACAGACGAACAAACCCGTCCTGCTCCGCCTGCCGGCGTGTCCGCAAGTCGCCGCCCTCGCCGCCGGGTGCTGCGCCGCCACGCCCCAGCTGGGCTGTCTCGCATCTCATTCAGGCAAACACACCAGGCGCCACACCCCGGTCGCCGCCGCCGTAGGCTGCTGATAAGGCATCGCCCGCTATCGCTTCGTCGCTCTCACTCGCCCGTCTGCGGAAGGTCGGATGGTCCCAGCACACGAGCGGGACTCGTCGGTCTTTTGGCATCTTGGGTTGATCTTGTTGTTATCCTCGCCTTGACTCCGTCCCCCCCTTCCGTCCTTTATTCTTCTTCTTCTTCGTCCCTTCCCTCCCTTGACGACTGCCTCACTCGTTCCTTCCTCCACCGCGGTGCTGCTCGCCTGCGCTCCAGCACAGTGGTTGCGACTGCCGCTGCAAGGCACAGCCTGACCCGCCGCCGTTGGCGTCACCGCACCACCCAAGGCACATAGCCAGGGCAGGCGCCCACGCACGCCCGCCCACGCCCACGCCCACTCGCCCACCTGCACCTGCCGTCAGCAGCGCCGCCATTGCCTGGCTTGCCTGGCTGGCCTCCGCCGCGCCTGCCAGACAAGAGTCAATACTGCGCAGGGCCCTGCCAGTTTCGAGTTTAGAGGCTCAGGCCCGACCCTGTCAGGCCCGCCGGCCCTGAATTCGGGCAACTCTCATTAGTCTGGCTGGCCGCCTCCTGCCATCTTTGGGCCGCGTTACGTACGAAGTACACGAATCCACGAATCCACGAACCTGGGTTGACTCGACCGACACGCGAGCGTCAGGCACGGGCGACGGCAGCACCCCTTGGTACCTGAACTCTCGCCAGCGCTGCAGACGGGGAGGGTGACAACAAAAGTACGGCCCTTGGTACTTACTCTGTAGATACATGCCCCCGTCCGCCAGCAGCCCTGCTCTTCTGCCCCTGCGAGCCGGCAAGCAAGCCGCCGATCGGCGCCAAAAGTCCCAACCCGACGGTCCCCTGAATTCGATCCCCTACCGCCTACAGCCAGGTCTCGCCCAGCGGACCAGCATGCCCCCGCGCGGCTGCAGCAGTGACACGTACCTCTAGTACCTGCCCTGCACTACCAGCGGTGCTGGACCAGGAACTGTGTCAGTCAAAATGATGAGATCCCTCCTCTGGTCCAGTCTCCCGAGGCAGGGCATTCCATCCTCTCCCCCGACACATTCGCAACACGCCAGCAGCAAACCAGTCTCTTCCGACGACCCTGCTTCCTCTTCGCCTCGGAGCACCAGCCTCAGCAGCACCAGGAGCTCCAAAAAGCATGCACACGCGACCCACGCCGACAGCAGCGTCACCGTCACCGTCAAGCCCGTCCGCTGTGCGTCCTCGTCGACCCTCGGCTCCAGCTCCCTCTCTCCCTCGCCCTCGCCCTCCGTATCTTCCTCGCTCGCCTCCTCCGAGTTCGATGTCGCCATGGTCAAGCGCGGCAGAGCCAAGCGAGCGTCCGACAGTTTATCTCCGTCGAGTCCCCCCAGCACCACCACCAGCCTGTGCCGGCCGACGACCCCTACGAGTCCCGTCCAGATCCCCAAGCACGCCAACCGCGACTCGGCACATACCGTGAAGCGCCCTGCCGCGACGCATCACCGCCGCAGGCATCCGCGCCATCATGCCCACGACCCCGAATCATTATCGCCATCCCTCGCCGCACTGCTCGCCGTCACCGACATCCCGCGGCAGACACGCCGGCGGCGGAAGAGTGACAAGCCCTTGACCGTCGACGAGATCGTCGGCGACCAACATGTCTCGGAGAAGGAGCTCAGCCTGACCTTGAGCCGCGGGCCCATGGACGTGCTCCTCTCGCCACCTGACGACCTGGCCGACGACGACGCCAGTCTGACCGAGAGCAACGTCGGTTCCGCCCTCGCCAGGACCACGTCCATCGACTCCATCCCCTCACTCGGCGACTCCTTTGTCACGGACATGCTCTCGTCGGTCGATACGCCCCGCAGTCAGTGCTCGCAGAAGCGACGTCTCAGCCCCATGCGCAAGAGCCTCGAGCCCGTGCGCTCGCCCCCAGACGCCACCGAGGAACACCCGCTCGCCGGCGACGCGTTGGACCTCGAGGAATTGGATCTACAGGTGCTCGGGGAGTCGGTCGAGGGGGAATCTACCAAGCTGCAGTTCCTCGAGCCCTTTAAGCCACTGAGGTCCGTCTTCAAATCGAACCTGACGGCCTCATTGCGAGCGTTGCGGTCTGCCGCCAAGTCCTTCTCCAGCATCAACTTCCCCTCGATCCCGCCCGACGACTTTCTGACGCGGTCCATACTCACCATTGACCCCAACGTGCCCTATGCGGACGAACGCAGACCCCCCGTCACCGAAGAGATGCCTTCGGCGGAGCTGCGACGGTATCTGAACCCAACAACGAGCAGCCTCATCGACCCGCAACCCAAGCCGCGCCGGGCATTCTCCGCTTCGATCCAGATGCAGACTTACAAGGTGCAGCGCTCGCGCTCGCCGCACCCCTCCGTGCGCAGCCCTTACCCCTCGACGTCGCCGCAGTCCGCCAGTACCGGTCAGCAGACGCGCCCCCCGACCCCGGCGCCCGGCATGCGCCAGCGCGAGATGCGAGAGAACTCGGACTTTATCCGCATCGCCGTCATGGAGATGGCGATGCGTCGGAGCGGGAAGCTCGACAACCAGCGCCCCGGCCGGGCGCGATGGGCTCTCCCACCGCGACGACCGTCGGCGAAGCCTTACGAAGTTGCAACCAATGGGGTGCCGGTGCGTTGGACATCACTCAGCTACGATTGATGGGTCCAGCAGCCGGGCGACGCTGGAGTGGCGTGTCGCGCCAGCCACTGTTCCAGCTGGCGCACGAAAACTTGGCTTTGCTGCTGCATCGCATGGCGGCCCAGTCGCGAGGCCTCTTGTAGGTCGACTGGAAGCTGGACAGGGGAACCGGCAAGCCGCCGGTCCAGTGGAGATTTGCCACGAGCTACACGTCAGAAACCCACAGCCAGGACGGCACGTTGCAGTGGCTCCATGTTTACAGCCATGGTTGCACAAGTTGGCCGAGCCAATCGAGAGCGGCGCATCGAGTCGATTGAGTAACGCGACCCGCCCGTCGAAGAACTCTGGAAGCCCTGCCGAAGCCGCGGCCACAACAGCCGAGATGCAGCCCTGGCTAGCCATTGCGGGCTTTTTTGTCAACACCAGGTGCACCAAGTGAAGCGGCCGCGACCGGAGCCACGGCGCACACATTCGCTCATCGAGATACGAATTAGAAGGGAACGTCGTTTTCCGCGGATGAATGGGATTTGGCACTTGGGGCGGCCGATTGACACCTTGCAGCGCAGGACGATGCAGCCGTCAGCTAAGGCGCCCGATCGGGAAGGCAGACAACGGGCCCCCAAACTGTCGCCAGCTCTGTTGTGCCCGCCCGTTCCGGGGACCCTGTAACTGTCTCTGACTCACCCGAGACAGCAGGGGCCAATCTCTGAATTTGTTGACGGGGATTTCTGGCACGGAGGCGTCCCCGCTGGACCCTGAGTTGACGGCCGGGGAGAAAATTTGCTCGCCTCCACAGTCGACGCGGAATCTCCCGAGCAGAGTCAGGCACAGGGCCGCACGTCACCGCCTCCGTGGCGCGTTTTGGTCGGCCGAATGAGGCACGAAAGATTACAGTACAGTACAGTACACTGCACTGCAGTAGCAGTGCAAGCACACCACTGCGGATGACTTGCTTTTGGGTTTAGATGGTACAGCGGGAGCCTCACAGGACAGCGCGCCACGTCGGCGCCGACATTATTCTTTTTTACACAAGCATTGCGACGCGGGAATGGCTCGGAACATGGATTGTTAGCATATTGATCTTCACACGCACACAGCTAGCGGCCTGGCCCTTTTGTTTCTTGCAGGATACCAACCTCGGCCACGGCCACTATCAATACTTTTTGCTGATTGCACATTACACTTTCCTTTTTGGACGGTCAACGATTGGCATGTCTGGTGGCGTCTCATTGGTGACGGGTGTGGTCCCAGACGGGACGGGGTGCAGCGCGGATGCATGCCGATGCAGGGCTGCCCGACGATCTGGGCTGGTCGCGGTCTTGCATGAGGAGCGGGAGACGGGAAGACAGAGAAGAGATTGGGAATGTACGAGGGCGCGAGACGCGGCCGCGAGGCATGGGGCATAGAATGTGTACGTACGAGGTCCAAGTACGTTATCAGACGAGTACAGACAGACTTGAAGCGTCGCACAGGACTGTAGTTACTGGCGACGAAGCGGTTAAACAGACTGACTGATTTGCCAACTTGGGCACCCGTCCCCTTGGAGATTGGTGCAAACTGAACATAATGGTAGTGCCCGGGTGAACGTGCTCACCGCCCTGGCCGATCGACCGCTCCGCACTGAAAGATGAGCGGGCTTGCTCGCGGCTCCTCGCGACTAAACAGGGTGTCAAGGCCGCCCTCACTGCGTATAGGCAGATAGATAGATAAACTGATACGTAGATCAGATCAGAGCGAGCGGGTGAGCAAGCGAGCGAGCGCAAGCGTTGCATCCGCCAACGACGAACCGCACGCCGTGAATCAGCGGTTCGAGAGCGGTGGGAAGGTCGTTGTTGGGACTTGCCTGTTTGGGTAAATGCGGATTGCTGTGTTTCTGTTCCTTTGGCGGGGACGGACCCTGGAGACTCAGGGACGCGGAGATGGCGCGAGTGGCGCGAGGGGTGCGTAGGGGTATTAAGGGTAGGGGTAGGGGACCAGGGGTAAGGGTGACGATCAGGGTTCTGGAGTGGTGAACGGAGATTGACAATCTTTTTCCCCTGTTGGAAGGATTTTAACTGTGAGGGACGTGATGGTCGTTGGGCGTGGAGGAGGGGAGGGCGAGATGGAGATGGAGATGGTCTTTGGGTGTTCAATTGAGAGCACGGAGCCAACAGTTCGATATCCTGAGAATACATCCTATACTCCGTATACATATAGAGCCTCCGAGTGTATATGTTATGGGACGCCAGTCGACTATGTCATCGCCCACCAGCCAGGCCAGTGCAGATGCTTTCCGACACACAAAATGCTCATCCCCTACCTATCCTCCCTCCTCCTCCCTCCGGAGCACGTCCATCCGCTCTCGCAGCTCCGCCTGCTGCCTCTCGATGCTCTCCAGGTCCAGGATACGGCGCCTGCGCGCCTCGAGCTGCTCGTACTGGCTCTCGAGATGCTGCTGCGCGGCGCTTAATCTGCTTCCTGATGGCGAGGGCTGCTGTCGTGGCGGCTCGACGGACGGTGGCGGCGATAGCTCCGGGGACGAGACTGACTGCTGTCGGCCGCCCCTGTCGTCGCTGGCAGCAGATGGCTGCTGTTCGTACTTGAACCAGGGCATTTCAATGGAGGAGATGCGCTTGGCTGGTCCGAGTGCGAGGTCCAGCAACCCGGGGGTAGTGGTGCCTGTAGAGGTCTTGTCCGCGCCACCAGCCGGCGGTTGTGATGTTGGCGCCGTGGTTGTCGTGTCAGTGGCAGTGGACTGTGTGAGCGCGGCTGCGATGGTCGAGTTTCGGGTCTGATTCTCGGGCACGCTCATTTCGTATACTTCGCTGCGAGACTGAGCCGACAGGTAAGATAGGTAAGATAAGTGTTGTGTCGGTGTGTGCGGGTCGGAACGATCCGTCGATGGCCCCTGGCTGCCGTACCTGTAGTGAAGCGGCGTGGACATGGGAGGACTCCTGCCGGATAGCTCCTGTGCTTTCCCTCCCGGTCCATCTTCGACATGAACTGGCCCTTGAGCGCAACTGAGCGTGGGCTGGCTGTAGCCTGACTGGTAAGCGCCTTGCACCTTCAGGGCCTGGGTCCGCCGCCGCCGCCGCCTCCAGAACAGGATGGCCAGCGCCAGGGCGATGACGACCGCCGCCACGCAGCCCACGGCGATGCCTGCCTTTGCGCCGGAGCTGAGCTGAGGGCTGCCCTGTCCGTCCGGTGTTGTTATAGCTTCTGTCGGGGTGGCGGTGATGGCTGCGGCTGCAGTCGATGAAGGTGCTTGCGCGGTAGACGGGGCGGGTGTGGTCAATGATGCCGTCAGTGTTGATTCGTTGACTTGCGATGTGAGCTGCTGATAGAGATATCAATTGATGCGGAAGCAGAAGAAGAAACATACTCGTAGGAGTGTCGGACGAGGATAAAGTACCAGTCGAAGTGCGAGTCGAAGTTGTCTCCGTCAAGGGTAGTCGAGTATTGGCAAGTAGGGGAATGGGGCCCGCCGGGTCGTTCGACGACACATAGAGGAACGTTGGGCTTCTCACTAGACTTTTCAACTGCTCAAGACCGAAGAAATACGTCCCTGTGGGCACACCGACAAGTTGCACCTCGATGCTGGTGTTCTGCTCCGTGCCTGCCAGGGCTGCGACACCCCAATACCAGCGAGTAAGCGAGAACGTCATGATGCTACCATTGCCGGATCAAGGGCGTACGAACGATTAACTGCTTGGATAAAGTCCTCCGTAGTGTGAGGCGACCTCCACAATGCCAGGAGGCAGAGAGAATCGGACACATCGCAACCATCAAATCGCAAGGTGAACCACTGTCCTTCTGTGACATCCCACTTGGAATTGAGGAATTTTGCCGCAATAGCGGCGGGAGTCAGGGCTGACAAGAGGACCAATGAGTGGTAGTTCATGGTTCCGAAGACGGAGCAGGACACGGGGAACCCTGGTTTGTGAGGTGTCAGCAAAAGTATGTATATTCGCTGAACGTCTTGTATATTTTGTCAGGCTCAACAAATCCCAGCCTGCTTGGCAATTGCAGACACCGTCGGGTTGATCAGCGCGTTAGACGCTGAAGAGAAGAAGCGCCCCGGTTGTCTTGCCGTGAACACTACAAGGATGTTTGGAGGTGATATCGCTATGTTTTGGGCGGCTGGACGAAGAAGCTGGACGTCGAATTCGACGAGCGAAGAAATAGACCGCTTCCTTGCCGCTGTGGCCACCGGTAACGGGCCAAGGCTCGAATGTTTCCATTCGAAATCGACTTACCCGACGCTGGCGTACGCGTACGCTGTACGCGGGAACCGTGTGCGGACTTCGCGAACCCGACTCGAGCCACGACTCGGTGCCGTTGATGTGGCTGCCGAAGAGGAAGTAGGCTTGTACGTCAAGGAACCAGAGCTTCGGGGAGTTGGATTGACTCGGTGATATGAGGCTGAGGAGGTTGGTTTGCGGCAAGGGCAACCAACATCGCGGCGATTCCATCAGTCATGGCCAACTTGGAGAGCATCGGCCGACATCGATACCCCGCGGACGGCAGAGCTAACGGCAGCCTACTGTCAAGTTTGTGGCCTGCAGAACCAACTTCTCGTTGTGTTGTCTGCCTTAGTAACCAGCATGCGGATCCGAAGGGCTGCATCCAACTGCGGAGCTTCTCTGTGAATGACTTTCTGCCCAGTCTGTCACTGTGTAGCTCTGAAGCCGGGCTTCAACGATTAGGCGCTGTACAGTGCCATTGTTTCTGGACTTTACAACACAATCTCAGGCTAGACTGCGCGGGCTCAAACCATTCATATGAAGGCCTCTGATCCGTTACACGTATGTTCCTCCTTCCACCTGGGTCTGCTCCCTCTCTATTGTCGAGCGAATTATCACTGCCGCCGTGTGTTGAGGTAGTCGGCTGTGCTCTGCGCCGTGTCTTCTGATCTGGAAGCAAGTTCTGCTTCATCTTCCGCAGTGCGGAGCCTCGATGTGTTGGCCCCGTAAGACTCCGCGATAGTTGGTGTGCGATACTCGTGGACTGTCGGAGAGTCCGGACCCGCTAGCGTCGTATTGACACTTGCTGGAGACAAGTTTGGCAACACAAATTCGGCGGACATCATCCCGGGGCTTCGAGAAAGTTCGGAGACGGAACCCCCGTTAGAAGCGAGAGAGGAATATGTGTTTGTCGGACTTTTGAGCGCCCCATCCGACGGCGGTAACTCTGGGGTTCCCGTCGCAGTCAACGCGCCCAGGCCACGCTCATCGGCGCCCATTTCGTGCAATGTCCATTGAAAGGACCCGTGACCGGTAGGCTTCTCGTCATGATACAGCTCCGGGGCCTCAATCTTCGAGCAGCTGCCTTTCTGCTCCCAGCCTTCGGACGGTAGCTCGTAGTAAGTCTGACTGCCGAGCTCCACAATAGGCTGGCTGTCGAGCTCCTTGTTTTCGGCTGGCGACGCAGCACTTCTGTCCAGGGGCTGAAGGTGGTCGGGATCGCAGTTGCTTTCCCTGTGTCGAAGTCGTCTCCGCCGACGCCACCATAAGAAGAAGCCTGCTGGCGCGAGCAAAAACGCGGCCAAGCACCCGATGGCGATGCCCGCTTTGCTGCCGGAACTTAGTCGGCGCGAGACTTGCTTATCTGGGGTCACTGCCTCCGTAGCCGTTGCGGTGGCCGACGTGGAAGTGACCGGGGGCTGGGGTTGCGCAGACGAGGTGGACGGCGCAGTCGGTGTAGCAGTTTCTGCCAATGATGTCGTTTCGGGAGCTTGATTTGCGAGAGAATTAGCGAGCATGACCCAGAGTTTTCTGACCAAGTGTGGAAAACAAACCAATGGTTGTGGTCTCGGTCGAACTAGGAGGCGGAATTGTGCCTGTGTATATGGAAGCTGACGGAGGAATGCTCTTGTCCGAGTCGACAGACGACTTGTAGTAGAACCCGGGGCTGTAGTCAAGTGCGCCCTCTATATTGCCAAGGGCAAAGTAATAATAGCCTGAAGGTATCCCTTGCAGAATAAATGATATTGTACTATTCTTTTTCTTTCCCGCTTTTTCTTAGGCGCAACTCCCATGTAGGGGATGTTGTTAGCTGGCCTGGGACTTGGGAGATGTTGTGGGAAGCTCGGTAACGGACCGGTTATGGTTTGGAGCGTTTCGTGACCGGTCGTGGAGATCATGCGCTCTAGATAGATGGCGCAAGGGTCTTGATCACAGCCATCGTACTGCAACGTGAATGGCTGCCCTTCCTTCAGGTCATACTTTGAGTTGCGGAATCCCATTGAGGCCCCGACCACGGGACACAGGGCGGCAGCAGCGACTGCTATGACGCAGCGCTTCATCTTGTCAGTCAAGTGGAGTGGCACGTCGCAGTGCTTTCATGGTCCGCTGTCTCGGCACGCGGCACGTGAGTTGAGGCAAAGATGTGTGTATGTCTCGCGTCACTATGCCGAGCGCAAGGGAAGCTGTAAGTTTAAGTAATAAGGTTAGCTTTAATCTGGTCTCGTGGTTTAGATTGCGGATAATGGTGAAGGGGTCTTGGACCATCCCAGACTACCAACAGGCGTTGCTACGCACGTTCCCGAAGGTTGGAGGCTAGGGCAGACGGTCCCCTGGAACAACTTACCAAGTGGGTATTCGCCGCGCAAGGGTGGCAGATGATCGAAACAAGGAAGATACGAAAAACGGCAACAGGCTTGATGCAGAAGATGGTGTTATGGTTGATGTAAAATGCGAAGGAGAGAAGAGGCCGAACGACACCAGGAGGTTGGTGCGGCGCGGCTCAACAGCACTGGGCGAGGCACGAGCCCGTTGACGCGCCCCTCCCAACGCCGCGACCAACACCAATATACGTGCGTACCAACATCGTGTTCAGCAAATGCCCAATCACGGGTATGCCGGCGGAGCAACACCATCGTTTATTGGCAACAGCATTGTGAGACCCGCAGCACGGACCGAAAATAGCTCGACCGAGGAGGCGTCAGTGCTCTGCTCTGCTCTGCTAGCGCGGTTGCGGGCTTCCACATTACGGACTGGCTTCTACGTGTTATGGCTGCAGACTGAAGGGCTGTGCTCTGACCACGCCGTTGGTGGTGCTCGGTTTCATGGATCAAGGCACGTACGAAGTTGGTAGCTTCCAAAGTTCAACGTGCGGCGTGGGCTGCTACCGTACTCTGTGTATTTGTTCCTATATGGTACCGCTCTTTTCGAAGTGCCAGGCTTGCTTAGCTCACTAGGTGCCATATTTGTAATAAGTGTCCAGGTAGCGATACAAGATGTAGAAACCGGCGCTTTGTAATTTGCATCAGCATGTGCTCCGAATCTCTGGAGTTGTGGACGTACACAGCAAGAAACCCTGCAATGGCCACGTGCAGCCGCCGTGCAGTCTCTTGGTAGCGTTCGTGACGTGGTGCGGCACGAAGGCGTGTGCTGTTCGAAACCATGCTGGTCTTTCCGCGATGACGAAAATACTGTTCTAGTAGTTTATGCGGCACTCCCGATCGTACTTGAACCCTGGGGTTGCAGTTTCTTGGGGTTGACGTGGTTAAAAGTCAAGGTCACATGGGTTCTAGACGCGTGAAGAGGGGCGCAATGAAGTCCATATATACTCCCAAAGCACGAGTACGAGTACCACGAGAAAGTTCACCCGCCAATCCTCCCAGTCCATGCTTCCCGGACCGAAGTCCGCCAACGCCTCATGACCGTACATTATCGCGGGCAGTCGCTCTGTGTAATTTGACTCTAGCCAGGGTATGTTCGGCTCAAAGCATCGCTGGTGTGATTTCCGCATGGACTGCTGCAGTGGGATCCAGTTTGTGCTGAATTGTGGCCTAGAATGGGTGGGCTCATTTATACGACACAGGGCAGTTTAGTCCGGCCCGGATCGAGGCCCCTCAAGCCCAAGTGACTATATAACGGCTCAAGCTGGCAAGAGCGGTTTCCTCGATTCGTCATCCCAACCCCCAACAGATCTCCCCTTTCTCTGATCGGATTTTGCAAGACGTTCACAATGGTCAAGGTCGCCACTTTCACTGTAGCCACTCTGACTATCCTTATGCCCGCCGCCGTCGCATACAACTGTCAGAAGGGCTTGAACTACTGCGGGTACAACCTTTTGAACAGAGGTAGACACTTCGTGCCGGTCACTCCCGTTCCAGTCAGGGACGTGCCCTTTTACGCTGAAGCTGACGGGATACATGTATCTTCAAGGCAATTATTACAGCCAGATTTACCAAGCCCTCGTGACGAATTACCAGCCAACTGATGCGGTCCACGTTAACATGTCCTTCTTTCACTGCACGGGCGGTGAGAATGGCGAGACACAGTTCCTGTACTTCTGCCGGGGTGGGGTCTGCACCAACGGAGGCAGCGATCATAACGACACCTGCCCGCGACAGGTTCATGTGACGCCTGTCTGTGTAGGAACTCCTTCTTCAGTGGGCTGGTCGTTGTACTTAACCTGAGAGTTGCCGAATAACTGTCTCCATTCCACCCGCGCCTGTTCCCCTACGTGACGCAATGGCAAGACGAGAGGGCGTTTTGCCAGAGATTCTGCATCATTGATTCGTCTGTGATGACAATTTGCCGACATCTTATCAAATCGAGGAGAAACCTTTTTTGGGGGGCAGAACAAGCTGCCCCCCCTGCAGACTGAAGTCGTTGAAGTGCTGTAATAATGGAGATGTTCGGCTAATTTGGGGTTACATCGACCCAAATGTTGTCGATGCCTGCACCAAGTGCTGAAGCCAGGTAGAAATGGTTGGCGCTTAGCGTTGGGTACCTGGACAAAAAGCCCCAGCAAAAGGGCTGCCTGAACGCGCCATCAGGCGGCACGAGGGATCCGGCCACACATGTCAGCGAGAAGCCAACAATTCGGATGCCTGGCTCGATGTTGTTTGTGGGGTACGACATGAGACCAAATTCTGGATATTTGAAGGCAGTCTACTCCGTGAGCTCCGGTGTTGAAGGAGTCCTTCCTGGTGATCTCCTCGGACAAAGGCATATCGACGGTCACATACGCCACCGACGCCATGAGCGGCAACGAGCCACCGTTGCATTTCCTCTCCGCAGGTGAGCTGCAGCGGAAGCTAGAGGCTGGCGATACGACCAGCGTGAAGCTGGTGAGCCATTTCCTGGACCAGATTGAACGACATAATTGGCAGGGTCGGAAGCTCAATGCCGTTACTGCGACACTGCCGCGGGAGCTGGCCATGGCTCGGGCTACGGAGCTGGATGAAGAACGGCTCAATGGGAATGTGAGGGGACCGCTCCATGGCATCCCGATTATCATCAAGGTACGATTCATGGCGCCCACAAGATGTACCACACTGGAGAACTCCAACAGATTAGTAGCTCGTGCTCAATGCTGCAGAAGCTAAACGTTACAGGACACTGTTGTGACAGACGAGGCGCTGGGCATGCCGACGAGTGCGGGGACAGCCGTCTTGGCGATAATGAAGGCAAGAGAGAATGCAACCATCGTGGATAGAGTATGCGACCGGCGCCTATAAAGAGAGTGGTCGCGTTGACATCTTACACGCAGATGCGTGAGGCTGGCCTCATCATCCTTGGCAAGGGGAACATGACAGTGAGCAGACTCATCATTCCAACTTAAGCCAGAGGCTGACATACCTCGTTATAGGAGTTCTGTGGAATGAAGTAAGATCCCAAATAGCTACTGGTCGCAAATGATCTGCGGCTGAGTGCATGTAGGTCCAAGGACACGCCGGTTGGATGGAGCGCGTTTAAAGGTCAAACGCTCTCAGCGTACCGTCGCAAGGACCTGGCCGAGGAAGACCAGCCGGTATGATGAATCAACCGTCTAAGTCGAGGATCTCTTTGCTTAAGCCTGAACAGGTCTCGGGTGGCTCGTCTTCTGGGCCAGCGGCGAGCGTCTCCGCCGGTTTTGCGCCCCTGGGGATCGGCACGGAGACAACGGGCTCGACGGTGCTGCCGGCGAGCACTAACGGCATATACGCGCTTAAGTTGAGCTACGGCACGGTACCGACTCACGGAATCTTCAAGCTGAGCAGGAGTTTTGATTGCGTTGGGGTTATGGCCCGCGATCCGGTGGACCTTGCGCCTCTGGCGTCCGTTCTCCTGTCTGGCAGCGGCGATGATGGCCCACAAGCTGGAAATATGCAGGCAGACTCTAAGGGGTTTTCACTGCATCAAGGAGTGAGAGACGGGATTGAGAAGGGGTTTGAGGGTATGGGAATCGGGGTGATGGCTCCTGCGTGGGGAGTGCACGAGTCGATTCGCAAGGGCAAATGGGACCATCCTGATGTCGTGAGTGACGCCCTGCTTCTGACTGCGATTGAACTGACGACCACGCGCTAGATTGGCAAGTATGAGGGCGCGGTCGAGAAGATGAAGTCCCTCGGCGCGAAGACAGTATATCCCCTTCAGGTCCCAGAGGCAGACGACGTCTTGAAGTACAGAGACCAATCACTCGTTACTGCGGCGTGTAAGTACCAGCATATGGGCACCCGTGCACGACACATTACTGACAGACCAAAAGACCATGAGTTCCCGCACAACGTTGATGAGTTTATCGCGTGCTTTCATGGGAATGATGAGATCAGAAACCTTCAAGACATCGTTGGCTGGAACGAGAGGAACAGCGACATTGCCATGCCAGAGCGTAAGTCGCTTGCACACTTGCACATAAGGGATCTATCTAATCCTGCGCAGCACACACGGGCCAGACCGAGCTCATCGCAGCGCTCAATTCGACTCTCTCACCCGACGAGCATGCCGCCACCGTCGCCCACCTGCGTCGCGTGGCTGAGCAAGAGACCATGGGGAAGGCGATGCAAGACGCAGATGTGGACATTGTGCTATCTGCCTCGGACGCGCAGCTTGTTACCTTTGCTGCGTGCGCGGGGTGGCCGACGGCAGCAGTGCCGCTGGGGCGGTGGACGGCGCGGAACGGCCAGCCGTATGGCATGTTTGCGCTGGCCAGAGGCGGAAGAGAGGACGTGCTGCTGCGGTTCATGGTGGCCTGGAAGGGCAGCATCGGTGGCGTTGAGCGGCCTGACATGGATGGCTGGGAGTGAAACTGGCGCGCTGCATGCTCGCTGTTAGCCTGTGTGATCATTGCACTCGGTAGGGAGTACTGTACCGTAGTCCCGCGCTCTAGTATGTACAGCAGATGAAGCAGCGCCTCGCTTGGAGCAATGCGAGCGGCCAACTCCATCAACCGCGGTTGTCGGATGCAACATAAACGCCGCAAAACACCGTGCCACAGTAGACCAGCTCGATACTGCCTAGACGATTAAAGTAATTGCAGTCTGACCGCGCAAATGCCTCGGCTGTCTTAAGGGATTAGTCAGTGCGATCCTTCGCCAGAAAAGTTTAAAGGGCGATAAGCCACCGACCACAACATCGTCAACATTGAACACCGTCACCACCCTCATCATCACACCCTTCTCTCACTTGCGCCGCCATCCGCCAACGTCGCACAATGGGTACCATATCAGCGGTCGCCACGGCCTTGATGGCCATCCTGCACGTCTACATCCTCGTGCTCGAAATGTTCCTCTGGACCACCCCGCGCGGCCGGCGCGCATTCCGGCTCACTCCCGAGTTCGCGCAGCAGACACGCGCCTTGGCCGCCAACCAAGGCCTGTACAACGGCTTCCTGGCAGCGGGACTCGTCTGGGGCCTCACTCACCCGGTGGCGGAATTTTCGGCACAGATTCGACTCTTCTTTCTCGGTTGCGTCGTCGTCGCGGGGGCGTACGGCGGCGCGACGGCGTCACGCAAGATTTGGGTGGTGCAGATGGCCCCGGCGGTGGTATCTTTGGGGTTGGAGTTCCTGCAGGTATAGTCAAACGGTTGGAGAGCAACAGCAGGTGTTGGCTTCATGTTTGACATGGGAGCGACTGGAGCGGCCCGGCCCGTGTGCACCGATCCGCACATCAACTCGCTGACTGGCAATGGTTCAATGCACATCAAAACCCATCGCTGTCGCGAAACAAAATTGTGCCGGAGATGCGAGTAGCAAAGCCTGAAGACCAGACCACCAGAGGTTAAAAGCGGTGAATAGATGTCAGATTCGTGTGAACCTCCCAGTTGTATACCAGGGATTCTACTCTCAGAATTGAACGCATAGGTTGTGGAGACAGACGGTTTCTGTGCGACTGCTGTGCCTGTTCAGGTCAACATCGTCCCGTAGAACACATGATTCGAAGACTGTTCCGTTGGCCCAAACTGAACCACGGCCTGTGCTGTGAACAGATGCGACGATGCAAAGCGCACTGTCGCGAAGCTTTTGATTGTCCGCTTCACGCGCGCTAGTTCAGCCTTACTTCTCACACTTGCTTTGACGAGCTCAGAACAGTTCCTTTGAGGCTCCTCCAAAGTGCCGCCGGCGATGGGCGATGGCAGTGAACACATAAAGCTGGGTAGTGCCCAAGAATATATAATACAAGAACCGTTGGACTGGGCTGAGGCATCGCGTCAACACTCACTCGCAGTCACATCTTCAACAGCACAGTCACGCTCACGCCCGGTCACATCGCCTCCCGCACAGCAACCCCTACGCGTATTCGTGTCCTAGATCAACTCGCTAAACCAAGATGCGTCGATCAAGTACCAAAGGCAAGGGCAATTTCAAGTCAACGCCCTGCCTCATTGATCCCGAGAGGCGCGTGTGCGTCGTGCACGACATATGCCCCCGCCGGCCTGCCCCGAAACCCCGACCTAATCTCGTCCAGGGCAATACCAGCGACAAACCTCCGGCGGGGAAACAGATAAAGGACCGGTTCAAGGCTATCCGTCAAGCAGCTGCAGGAATCACCCATCGACAGCCAAAAGCCAGCGGCTCCGCGGAGCAGTCGGCTTCAAAATCTGCGACTAGAGTCGGCGGCGTAGAGCACGAAGGCGTGCACGTCCAGTCGCAGACGGCTACGACACAATGCTCTGACTGCAAGGACGGGAAGAAACCGGGCTGTGTGGTGTGCAATGACCCGCATAATACTGCCACTGGCACTCAGGCCTCACGCCGGGGGATCTCCACCCCCACGAGGCGCGGTACGCTGAAGCGCGAGGATGCGACTCTGGGCCAGTCACGTTAGTGGTTGGAAGAAGGAGGACGTGACAAGTATCAATAGAGAGGTTAGGTACTAGATTTAAGAACCAAATCATCTTGTTGGGACGTATCCTCCCTTCCACACCCATGCCGCTGTATTGTCCTGGCGGCAATAAGCCTACTGACGGTGCTTGCCAACCGGAGACCTGGGCAAAGTCAAAAAGGGCTGGGTAAGTCAAAGAATCGCGACTCCTTGACCCCTGGTCCCTCTTCCCTAAAGTAAGACTTGAAGCTGGCTGTGGTTAGCTGAAGTAGAGTGATTCATGCAAGCCGCTTCGTTACGGAACAAACCTCCAGCGCAAGTTGCCAAGTGCCATGTTTCGATAACAGTCAATGTATCTGAAGATCTCTTTGTCAATCATCTCCCCATGTGGCGGAGGACCTGCAAGTGCCAAACGCCACAACTCGTAGCACTTCTCGATCTTAGCCGCGATTTCGTTAACAGCGCCTTGCTCGGACAAGTTCTGGCGCTTGAGAGTATGAATGAGATTGATGCCGCCGCCTTGCTCCTACTGTACGTTAGGATTGACTCGAGAAACCTTGACTTTGGCAACATACCAAGTCCTTCGGCAAGGACAGAATGTCATTCGAGCTTGCTTATCAGTCACGTAAGTCCGCATGGGGGAGTGCAAGGGAAGGTATCGTCCTTACAGGATCATGAGATCCACGCTGATTCGCACACATTCTTGAATTGATGCATGTTCAAGAAAGGTTTGGCCGAGATAGATGTCGCAACAGTATCTGTATCCGCCAGTCAAATGTTTTAGAGAATTACTTTTTACCCATACACATATGTAGGCTGGTGTAGGCCGTGTGACTATAATTGTATGGAGCTCCGGTTTGCATGGGAGGGTTTGGGTGAATAGAGATATGCGTGTGGGTGAATAGTGGTTCTCGAAAAGAGACGCCAGCATGCCAGATCATTCGCATCTGGCCGGAGCCTCACACAACATGTCCCTTGTGGTCTCGGCTTCCGCGCCAGTGCGAGTCTGACGATAAGTAGGGGATAGGACCTATACCCTCATATTAGGTCAAATGGAGCACGTCGCTCATGATAAAGAGTCCCGGGGCGAGTTAATTTACGTGGCGCGAGGAGTCAAGAAAACTTGTTAGACTTGCACAAGGCCAGAAGAATCGACGGCTCGCTGCAGCGACAGCTAAAAAGCTGTCTAGGTGTCTAATCATGCATCGATGTGAAACTTGAATCGGCTCAGCGCTACGAAGGCACGTGTCGGAGGCCAAAGATGCGAACCGGGAACGCGCCTTGTTCTATTCGAGCAAGGCAGCGGCACAAGCCACCAGGTCACGGGAATGATGAGGTTCGCAGCATATCCAAGCATCATGAGAGGTTGTTTGCCGTCAATCCTGAAATCATACCGACGTAGTACGTGAGCAGTGGCGAAGAGTAAGATCTACGCGCAGCGCATGTATCTGCTCATCACTGATCAGTGTCGTTGCCGACTCGGCCAGGTTCCGGCCCCGCTCGACTACCTCCGTCAGGAGTCAAGGGCCTAGACACTCGCCTGCTGCAAAAACCCTCAGAGTCAGCGAGCAGCAGTCAAATTCCTGTGAGCAGATTCCTTGCGCCACATGTCAATCCGATCGCAATGAATAATCGCCAGTCGCATAGCCGGCAGCCGCCGCAGGTCTGCATCTTGGTCAGTTGCCCTTACAGCGGCGTAGCACCGCTCATGAGGCTCTTCACTGAGCACCCCGATTGCCACGTCACGAACAGCCTCGCCCTTGCAGACATCACAGGGCTGGACCGATCCATAGGAAACAGCGTTACCAGCCACCGCGTCTTCAGCGATTGTCTGGCAAGCCATGGACGATGGTTGATCAGCGACATTGAAGTAGGAGACGGTGAAGAGTGGTCGCATCAGGCGCACCTCGAAAATGTCACGACTCGGCCGGTCTTGGTGGTCCGCGATCCAATCCGTGTTCTCAAGTATTGGAAGGAGAATGCGCGGGGTAGCGCATACCAGCTCATCGGGCTCTTCAAAAACATGTTCCAGATGCTCGAGCAAGTGCCCGCCGATGCCAACACAATCATCCTCTATGAGAAACTGATCAGCTGTCCACGAAGAGAAGTTAGACGTATCTGCGCCAGATGGGGAATGCCGCTACCAGACCGTATACTCGACGATGTCGCGGATGCCTGGTCAGATGCTTGCAAAGGACGACTCCGACGCCATGGGCACCTTTCCAGCTTGTTTCAAAGCGAGGACGCACCACCGCCCAGTGCGCTGTGCAATGGCCCTCTCTCTAACTCTGAGAAAGACATGATTGAGGAACACTTGGGTCGATTGTATCTTCGCTCTTGGCAAAATGATGCTCAGGAACTACAGAAAATCCTCTTAGAGAAGACATGGATTGGGTTTGATCTCGACGATACATTGCACGAGTTCCGCCGGGCATCCTCGGCGGCCACCAGTAAGGTTCTCGCAGAGATTTCAGCAAAACATGGCGTGCCTATCGAAGCGCTGTCGAAGGAATACTCCAAAGTCCTTCGGGCAAAGACCGCCAATGCCTTTTCCGATGGGAAAACATCGTTTGACTATCGAAGGGAGCGATTCCGCTCTACGTTGGACGGCTTCGCCTTGCCGTACGACGAACCTTTCATGACCGAGCTCCTGGAGTGCTACGAGACTACCCTAGTGGCATCACTGGAGCTAAAGTGCGGCGCAGCTGGGCTGCTCTCCACGATCAAAAATATGGGCAAGAAGATTGTCGTTATTACAGAAGGCCCCCAGGATTCACAAGAGAGAACGATAGATGCTTTAGGCATAGGCGGCTACGTCGACTTTGTCGCTACTACAAATCGCTTTCGGGTCGCCAAGACAGACGGCCTCTTTGGCAAAGTACTTGCGCATTTGGGAATATCGTCCTCCGACGTGGCCTACGTTGGCGATAGTGAGCAACGGGACATGGTCCCGGCGATGGCTGCGGGTATTTTTTCCATTCACCTTGCCGAGGAGAAAGATGTGCTTCTCACGGCTTCTCCACCACGCATCAATACTCTACGAAAGCTTCAATACATCATTTCCTGATAACGGGAGACGCCGCTGATGCAAGCATCCATAGGCAGTGGTCGTGGGGACAATCGCTTGAGGTGCTGTAATTCTCTGTGGCGAAGCACATGTGCCTTGAGGTCCTTGCTTCGAGCAGAGACTTGGCTTGTAGTGTTCCTGGTGTCTTCCTGAATGTCAGAGACTAGTGTGCTCACGCCACACTCCATGTCGGGAAAGTTTGGGAATAGAAACGTTCACCACACTTACAAGGACCAGCCTGCTGCCGATTGCCTGAAATAGCTCAATGGTCCGTTTGTGAGGCGGTTAGGCGTTGCATTCTACCCCGCCTACTACATTTATGCTGCTGCCTAGCATCTCGCCCCCGTCCGCAGGACCTGCCACGGAGAACTTGGAATCAGCAACTCGACCTCTCGCCCAGCGCTCGACGATCAGTAGTCCGTCTGCTACCCTACAGCAATCCATTGCCTCAAAGGTTGCTCTCATGGACCCCAAACATGGACACACGCTATGCTACACCCTTCTTTGCCTCCAAATCGCGACTACCAGCCCCGCTTCCGTCACCACAGGACATTGAACGGTCGGGCGTCGTCCTGCAACAGTATACTGGCCGTCGGGTGATTCGCTTCAACGACCACTTTATCGTGAAATACGGGCTGAATGTGAGTCTCACAGAAGGCGAGAACATGCTCTTCGTGCGGCAAACACAATTAGTAGCTGTACCAGAGGTGTTTGCCTTGTTTTCCATTGCAGGCACAGACGGCCAGAATGTCAACTACATCATCATGGAGAATGTGGCAGGTGATGGGCTTGATGCCGTATGGCTCCGACTGGATCAGCCTGCGAAAGAAAGGGTGTCAGGCCAACTGCGCCTCCAGGTCGACGCTTTGAGGAGCATACCCGCACCGGGATACTTTGGCTGTATTGGACGAAGGCCGTTCGAAGAGTCCATGTTCTGGACCGCACCCGCGGACAGAGTTGATGACGGCGGCACTACAGCGGACCATTTGATACCGAGGCGCAGTTGAACAACGCCTTTGTGCAAAAGTATCTTTACAACAGCGGACTGCCTCACAAAGCCAAATATTATCGTCGCGTGCTGCCACTGGTCCTGCGGAATCATGGCGCAGTATTCACGCATGGCGACTTGCAGCGAAAGAATATGATATTGAAGGAGGGCGGGGAGATCGTGCTCATCGACTGGGAAACCGCGGGGTGGTATCCGGAGTATTGGGAGTACGCATTGGCCATGTTTGCGTGCGGCTCATGGGAGGACGATTGGCATGAGTATGTTGCCGGCATGCTGACGGAGTATCCGAACGAATACGCGTGGTTTGACATGCTTCGGAGAGAGCTGTGGTCTTGAGGACCGCACGACTAGACAGAGTTCGGTATTGAACCCTTGTTCAGACACTTGTGCCCGGGCTGAAGATAGAAGGACCTGTTTTCTCATGCATAGCTACTCGCAAAGGCAGGGGCTGTGCCGAAACTATGAAGCTCTTGGTGTGATGGGTCTTCGGAGTTGGGTAGAGCCACCCTCCCAGCTCCCAGCATCAGGAGCAAATAACATGACGGCAACTCGGCGCTCTTCGGTACCTGCGGCGGACTAAAGCTTCCCGGCGCCCAGTCTGGCGCATTCGATCTCGTTGGTGTTCCGAACTCGCCGGAATCCCCCACCTGGCCGCATAATGGGCCGCAGCTGTCACGGGCAAAAGACCAACAGCCGCGCCAACCCGTGCTGTCTGCAACACCAAAAAGACGAAGCCGACACTTGCTGGTCGGAACAACACGATGCCAAAAAGAAAAAGAAACATACAACAGCCGGTGTTCGCTGGTCGTCACCGACCCAACTACTGATCTGCCGCTCATAAGCTTGTCTATGGGAGAGCGGACGGGATCCCGAATTTTCTTATGGCTATGGTCGTATGTGCTTGATGTACGACGCAAATCGACTTATAGCCGAGCAGTCAATCTGGGGCAGGAACAGAAAAAAAAACATACAACAGCCGGTGTTCGCTGGTCGTCACCGACCCAACTACTAATCTGCCCCTTACCAGCTTAACTATGGGAGAGCGGACGGGATCCCGTGCTTTCTAGTAGGTATGGTCGTATGTGCTCGTAAGACGCGCAGTCATTATCTATAATCGATGAAGCTCAGAATACGCATTGAAGGCCCTGCAAACGCCAGCATATGTGGTGTTGGGGTGTCAATCCTGGGAACAGATCCTTCGTCTCCATTTCCCCTCATTTCCCCTTCGCTTTCAAGTCTCGTCTTGTACGCAGGGGATTCGGGTCATCATGGCTTTTCACAGCGCCCTCACACGCTTACCCTCCACGATTTTCGCTAGCTGGTATGGGATCACGCAACAGCCCGTGGGCAATGCAAACTCGTAATTCTGAGAGCGTCGTGTGCCATGGCGAGAATAGGCTTCCGCGCCATAGTAGCCTACGACCACTGACGAGGGGTCACTGGCGTTGACCTGCTGCGCGATAGTGGTGTCAGCAAGGTCCCACATCGCTACCATCTCGGAGGCGTATTCGAACAGCGGTTTTTTGGCATTGCCGCAACCGTTTCGGACAGGTGAAGTTGTAGACGATGGCTCGTGTTGGCCGCCTTGAGCCCATTCGGGCTAGGGCGTCATTGGCCCGGCTGGCAGGTGCTCGTGAAGATGTAAGCTCATGAATGCTCGTGCTTGCAACGGCCCTCGGCATAATCACGTTTGAGATTGTCGCGCACGAGTGACTTTCGAGCTTACAAAACACTGCATCTGTCCCTGCAGTATGCTCAACACGGTGCGCTCAGTGACAAGGCGATAAGGGGCCGCACGACGCGGGCAACAACTTTACCGGAATTCCCTATGTCCGCAATAGCTCCCAGGACGTGGTACGCACCCATGTCGCGTGCAATAAGTCGAGGCCATTTGTTTTGCTGGTGCTGTTTGAGCAGCTAAATATATTCCACCTGATGCAGCGCGCTCACCGGCAACATTTGCTGCCAGTTTCGCGACGAGCGGCAGGTGGTGTTGAAACAGCCAACAGACACTTTGGAAATGCCGGTCTTCCGGCATTAGCTTCTCGGTTGTTTCAAAGATGATGGCGGGTCGGTGCTTCGGTGGGGTGGGAGGTTGGATCTGGTGTTAACGCTGCCGCCTGAAACAACAGGCTTGGACCGCAATGGAAGCCCTCGAACTCTTACAAGGGCTCTCAGAACAGAAGGAGTTGCCGATCGCGGGGCGTAATTTGCATGTCAAGTGATTTCGATAAGTGGCCACCCTCTACCGGAACGCCGCAACATGACTCCTCGAGCCATTCCGACACCCGAACCATAAGCAGTAATGGACGAAAACCACTACTTACAAGGTACACAAGCAGTTTTCTTAGTGTATTCCTTTCGCTGCATCGTTACTTGTTTTTCGTTTCAACGGCCTAGTCGTCACCTGCATCAATGGACGCACACGAGGGCCCGGATACGCGCGACAGACTTTCCATGCGCAGATTCACGACCCTGGAAGGTTGGCGAGAAGTACGATCTGGACTGTACCTTGTCGCGGGCTCGACCATCTCCACCATAATTGCGAACCGAACGTACGACCCAGAGTGGCAGCTGCAAGACGACCGAGGAGCTCAGCCATCACTACGTCCGCTAGTACTCGAAGCCATAGGGCAACCCGTGAATATTGAACTTGGCCGCGACCGGCAACTACCGCCAGCAAAAAGATTATCCAACACAACAGAAGATCGCTCTGACTGCTCGACACAGCGGTCATCATTCAGCCTAGAGGAGAAGGAAAAGCTTTCTGCTACCGAGGCTAAAGTGGCATGCAGTGGATACTTGGAGCGTCCATTGCCCGAGACGCCCTTCCACAGTTTTACTAAGAAGGAGAAATGGCTTGTCATTGTCACGGTCGGAGTCGCTGGCCTTTTTTCCGGACTGTCCTCCAACATATACTTTCCCGCCCTGGACACAATTGCAAAGGTGAGTGCGGCATTGTTAACTCGTGGTAGTTGTGCTAACAAGGATCTCTAGGATCTCAGAGTTAGTCCCACTGCCGTGTCGCTGACTATCACGTCCTATCTCGTAATCCAAGGCATCTCTCCATTGATCTGGGGCCCGCTCTCAGATATCGTGGGTCGGCGGCCGATCTACATCTGCTCATTCTCGGTATATATTGCAGCCAACATTGTTCTTGCCCTGTCCCCGAATTTTCCAGTACTCCTAGTTTTCAGAGGTCTACAATCCGCGGGAAGTGCGTCGACTGTTAGTATCGGTAAGTGGATGATGTCCCTACTCTTCGTAGGCCACAGCCGTGATTCTGAAACCGCTCTGGTCAATAGGAAACGGCGTTATTCAGGATATTGCCACACCAATCGAGAGGGGCGCTTTTATTAGCTTCTACCAAGCAAGTACGTCAGTCCTATGGTTCGACCAAAGTTCGCATCAAGAAGATATTGGTACTAGCTGCAAGTCTCGCTAGTTCGAAATTTCAGCATTGCCATCGGTCCTGTCATTGGCGGCCTGCTTGCACAATATTTCGGTTTTCGGTATGTAATTGGCAATCTGGTTTAGAGCCACGAGTCTGACCCAAGATGTAGATCTATTTTCCTATTTTTGGTGACTATGTCGTCGATAGTTCTCGGTGTCATCATCGTCTTTCTTCCCGAAACGCTCCGCTCTGTTGCGGGAGATGGTTCCTGGTCCATGTCTGGAATCTACCAACCACTGGTCGGACGCTGGAAGACGAAGAATAGACAAAAGAGAGTGTCTCAGACACCGATCTCACGGCCCAGAGTTACTGTCATGAGCTTTCTAGGACCCCTGAAGCTGTTGACTGAGAAGGATATTCTCGCCAACTTGATCTTCGGAGGCACCGTATATACCGTCTGGAGCATGGTTGTTGCAAGTACGACAGAACTTTTCAAGCAGCGCTTCGGACTCGGAGACCTCACTCTCGGCCTAATATTTTTGCCAAATGGTACGTCTGTCATCTTCGAGTCTAGAGTCCGCGAGACCGCAGGTGAGAAACGGGACCAAGCTGACCCTCCCCTGGCAGGCTTTGGCACGATTCTAGGCTCAATGATAGCTGGAAAACTAATGACGCGCGACTTCTTGAACTTCGAGAAGGACTACTTGGCTAGAAACCCACTGGCACCGCCTCCGTCGAAAAACACCAAGGACTTACCTCTGGACTTCCCCATTGAGCATGCTCGCCTTCGCAACACCCCGTACATAACCGCCATTTTTGTCTTGGCCACCGGGATTTACGGCATCACCATTCTCCCTGCCGAACAATTGCCAGTAATTCTCAAATCGGGGTGGATCGCTGTTCCGCTCGTACTACAATTTGTCATCGCGGCGGCGTCGAATGCCATATTCGCCATTAACACGGCGCTGGTGGCGGATCTTTGTCCGGGCAAGGGTGCGAGTTCTACAGCAATCAACAACCTCGTCCGTTGCAGCATGGGAGCACTGGGAGTTGCCGTCGTCGACTCAATGATTGGATCATTTGGGACTGCGGCGACATTCCTGGGGCTCGGCCTGACGACCACAGCTATGACATCGTTACTGGCTGCGGAGTGGGCTTGGGGCATGAGATGGAGGAGTGAGAGGGTCCAAGTCGAGACAGCTATGGCTCAGCACTCAGCTGGTGGTGCTTGAGCAACCCCGGCTACAAGCTGTCATTGTGGCCGCACCCATGAAGGATGCGACCAAATGGTTTGAACCAGTCTTCTGTGGACCCGGTTAGGTTTTGCTGTTATGTTGTGGCTGTTTCAATTATGGCAGTGCCGAGTCACTGCCATCGCCATGAGGTCGGGACATGGCCATCCGTGGCCCCCTACAGGGCAGCCACTGGTGGAGCATGTGGGAGGGACTGCCGGCCGCCGCGATGCACACACGTTGAACATCAAACAGATTGCCCCGATATGAATAGCATGGTTATATAGGCCAATAAAACTACGAGGTCAGTTAGCGGTGTTGCAGATGTATTTCCTGTAACGGCTGTCGGCTGGCCTACCGACTGGCCGTCTTGTCTAAGGTACCGAGTCCGTGCCGGTCACCCGCAATGCAGGGATCGTGCACGGGTGCTTGTAATGCATGGAGAAACGCATGGCTTGGCAATGCGAAACCCCGAACCCCACCACTACACCCCCCGTTCCCAGCGTGCTTTTGACTCCTGAGCCCAGTGCGCCCGCACAAGAAAATGTCTAGTTGACTTCTTCAGTGTAATGCCCTTGCAGAACACGATATATTTAGAACCGTGGGAGCGCGGGGCGTCGCTAAACAGAGTGGCTGCAGCCGACTTCGTGCCTTGGGGTTATTTAAAGTCAAGCTTTAAGAAGTGACTAGGCGCCCGAACCATATCCGCCTTCGTCACTGCTACTGGCAACCTCTTGTTAATAACTTTCTGTAACCACAAGACTGGGCTGTACTTTCGAGCCTCTTTACCTGCCGTAAGACGATGTGTCCAGGATTATTTCGGCGCTACTTAGCATCGTCCGCACTACTGCTTGCGACTCTACTGCAGGTCACGGCCGCTCAAGATGACTCTTTAGCGAAATTTGGGGACACCATTCCGGTCTTTGGCAAGGTAAAGACAATTATTCCCCGTCTGAGACACTACCGAACAATCTTAACAAGAAGATAAAGATGGCGAGAACAGACCAGGACTTTGTCGACGGCCTAGCTCTGGACATTTTTTCGCCTTCCAACCGCACGTTGGTTGTCACCAACAACACGTCTCCCCTTCCTGGTACTTTTGTGACCGGCAGCTCCGGCGAAGGCTTCGTCAGTCTCTCCCAGTATAGCTGGATTGTCAAGTTCAATGAGACGGCCGATGACCTCATCGCCAAAATCGAGCTGCCATACGACCCGGCGCTGCTGAAGATGCACGGAGTAGATGTATCAAACACCTACGTCGGTACGCTTGCAAGGGACAGGAAGTCATGGGTCATATCTGAGTCGCAGAGAAACGTCCACGTGTAATGCTTGCTCCGTCACCCGAGCCGATACCACGCATCGCCGTAGCTTTGCTAATCATCGCAAGCAGTACGGAAAACAAAACGCGGATCATTAAGATGACATCCCTCGATGGCGAATACATGCTTCTGGGTCGAAAGTCTGAAGACATCGCCAACATCTTTGTCCAATACGGACAAGGGCCAACGCGGACGGTCAACGTCACCGCAGGCGCTGGAATCCAAGAAGCAGAATACATCGACGGGCTCCGCTTCTCTATCAAGTCGGCCAAACCGTTCATGATGAACGTGGATATTCCTTTCAAAGTAAATGAAACAGCACTGCCAGCAGGCACAATACCTCTAAGTACAGCGCTCTACGTACAGACACTACTTCCGGCATAATGTCTAACTTGCTGCCGCGATAGACTCGTTCACATGGGTTGTGAATACGACAGCGACTAGCGACACCGAGCTCGCCGCGGAAGTACGAGTTCCGTGTAAGTCCGTACCGTTCATAATATCCAGCGATACCGGTCTAACAAGGAACTTGCGATGAATTTTCGATCTAGTCAATAAAGATATCCTTGCGAAAAGGTTTCCCGGCAAACCGCATAAGCATCTTATGGTGGCACGGCGGAAACTCCAGGCGGGCCAGGCGGCGCCGTTTGACGTACTGACTAGTCAGGCGGTTCTCGAGCCAGAGCAGCGGATTAAAGTTGCAAATTTGAGCGATATTGACGGACAGTATATCCTTCTAGTAAGGAAAGGTAAAATGTAAGGAGCGGGCAAGAATTCTGGATACGACGGTCGCTACAATAACGCGGTGGACGATAACAGCTCCCTTTATGTTCACTATATGCTGTACAAAAAATAGCCTGGAAGGTACCATCTTGGCGTAGATACGAGAGCCGCTCAGCCAAGCAGCAGCGCCGGCAGTTGACCAGGCAGAGCCGTTTGGCCCGGCATTTAGCCGACGCTCCCGCGCCGCCGACCACCACCACCCGGGTTGAGCCACACCCGCTCCGTGAATGACGCGGCCCAATGGGATGTGGCTTGCCCTTTTTGTCCCAGGCGAGTGGCCGCACACGCGGGAAGCAGCGCCAGGGCTGCAGCAGCGTCAGCACGAGCCACGCGACGGACTCGCTGGGCTGCCAGTGGCTCCAGGCACTCGGGCACCCACTCCACTCACTCGCTCCAGTGGCGTGGGTGCAGCCTGGAGGCTTCTCACGCGACTTCTGCCGACTCGGGCTCCACCTCGCTGCACTGCAACTAGCGCCCTGCCTGCACTTTACTTGTTCATGCTTTGTTCCCGCCGCCTGGGCGCGCGCTGTTCCGGGTCAGTGAGGCTCTGCCAGCCTTGCACCCAAACATCACTCACGCATAGGCCTTCTCGTCCGAGTCGTCCCTCTCCTTGCATCCCCTCCTCCACCACCCACCAGCGGACGTCATATCGCATTTTTTTTCTCTCTTCCCTTTCATACTTTTCGTCTCGTCATTTCTTTGGGAGCCTCAGCATCGCCCAGCCCGGCGCATTATTAAAGGTAGCCTTCATTTTCCTGCGCATTCATCCTGAATCCCTCGACCACTCGAGACAGTCTTGCGACCCAGACGACAAACGGCGGCGCAGCCCCTCCGAGACGGACCCCTGACCTCGTGTCTCGCAATCCCCGAACAAACGGTCGTATCGCCGCCGCCGCCGCCGCCTCCTCCGCCGCAGTCGTCACCACCACCGTGCCCGCGCCTGCCAACAACGCACCCGCTCGGGCACCCGCTCCTCGCCATGCCTCTCCTCGGCAAGGGAAATAAGTTCAAGGTCAACCAGCCCAAGATCCGCATCGATAAGGTCGTCGTCGAGCGCCCTCCGCCGCCCAAGCCTAAGCAGCCCCGTCCCGCCGCCTCCTCCTCGTCTGCCCGGTCCTCCCCCGCCGCCGGCCACCGACCCTCGCCGAAACCCCCCTCTGCCGCCGCCCGGCATAAGAGCCACTCGCCGTACCCCTCATCCTCGGACGAGAAGCGCCTCGAGCGCAAGCGCAAGGCCGGACGCGATGGCGCCGCCCTGTCCCGACCCTCGCCCGCGAGCGACCGCGTAGCCTTCGACAAGGACAGCGACAACGAGGATGACGGGTGGATGAACCTCGACGGGCGCAAGCGGCAGCGCAGGGGCACCGTTGACGGGCGCTTTGTCGACCCGAACCGCAAGCTGCGCAATGCACGGGCCTTTGAGGGCCGCAACGACAAACTCAAGTTCATCCACGCTACCGAGGTGGCGTCACTCGAGTCCAAGTGTGTGCCCGTCATGGGCGCGCAGAAAGAAGACGTGGCAATAGAGCTGCAGTACCCGAGTCTGCAGCCGCGAGAAAGGTGCGCACGTGGACCGCCCTTTGTCTATATTATTGGCGACCTGATGCTAATCGTCGCAGATTCGAGCTGGTCTGGGGCAAGGACAAAATCGACGCCGTCGAGGCGAGCATACGCATAGTCCGCCACGTCGCCGAGACGTACCTGACTGACGAAGAAGCCGAACCCTTCACCAACCAGAACACGGGCCTGATTCGCCGGCTTGAGAAGGCATCGAACCGCAATATTCAGGATCTCGCTGGGTTCAAGTCGGCGCTACACGAGTACAACGAGACGCTCCTCGGCCTTGTCGAAGACGGCGTCATCGCCAAGAACCTCGACAACATGCACGAGATCCCGCGCAACCTCGTCGCCTTCATCCTCGACCAGGTGTACGACCGCACCGTCGCCCCCAAGGTCGAGCTCCTGTCCAAGTACGAGAACGGCACCGACTACGTGTACGGCGAGCTCCTGCATCCTTTCATCTCCAAGCTGCTCGTCGAGCAGACCAAGATGACGTCCGACCAGGTCTTCGTGGACCTGGGGTCCGGCGTGGGCAACGTCTGCCTGCAGGCGGCGCTGGAAATTGGATGCGAAAGCTGGGGCTGCGAGATGATGGAGAACGCCTGCAACCTGGCCGACGCGCAGGTCAAGGAGTTCACCTCGCGATGCATCCTCTGGGGCGTGCGTCCGGGCAAGGTTCACCTCGAGCGCGGCGACTTTCGCAAGAACGCCGTCATCCATGACGCGCTCAAGCGCGCTGACGTGGTGCTGGTGAACAACAAAGCTTTCACGTCGCAGCTCAACGACGACTTGGTGCGCATGTTCCTCGACCTGAAGCCCGGCTGCAAGATCATCTCCCTGCGCTCCTTTGTGGCCGAGTTCAAAAGCAGCCACAACGTCAACGACGTCGGGAGCACCATCCTCGATGTCGAAGAGTGTACGTACCCTGAGGGATACGTGAGCTGGACCAATGCTGGCGGCCCATACTTTATCTCAACACGCAAGTAACTACAGTGGCTATGTCAGCATCATTACGGGCCTAGGTCCTGCAGGATATGGGTTACATGAGTCACGGATAGCGAATAAGATACGCACATGAATTGCCAGCCATGCTGCTCGCCATCAATAGTCAGTGGTTGAATTTTTGTCAGTGATGCCATGTCGTGATCAGCGGGTCTTGTCGAAAAGTGGCTCGTTTGCCAGGTTCATGGCGTCGGCCTCCTGTGCCATGCGCTTCATCCACCTGTCGACAAGCTCCTTGTTTTCCTTTTTCGCCTTGTCGCGCTCTTTCTCGGCGATGGAGACTTGCAAGTTAAGCGTAATCATCTCGTCCTGCACTTGCTGCGTGTTGTTAGCAGGCAGCCCGCGGTTTGCCAGTGGAGTTCAACCATACCTCGAGCAGCTTCCTCTGTTCCCTGAGCTCGTGCTCCTGGTCCTTTAATCTCATCTTGAGGCTCGCGCGGTCGGCCGTCAGGTCTCGGACGGACCGCGTGTCCTCTTTCGTCTTGGACCGCAGCTTCGCGAGCTCCTCCTCGGCGGTACGCAGGCGGGTCTCTGCGACGCCCTTTGAACGAAGCGATTCGGCAAGGTCGAGCCGCAGCTGTGCAACGCCTGGGTCGTCTGATGGCGTCGAGTTGCCGACAGAAGCCTTTCGATTTGCGGCGCTGCTGGTCGTGGTGGCGTTTGTTATTTGCGATTCCAGCGCAGCTCTTTCGGCCTCGAGGGCGGCTATCCGATCTGCCATCTGCGAGCCTGTCTTTTGTCAACCACGACGACCAGACAAGGGAGGGAGGGGTATAGCGGGGGCGTACAGGCTTGGACGAGCTCCATGTTGACCGGACTCTTGATTTCCACATCCTGGAGAGATGAGAGGTATTCTTCCCTCCAGTTCGGCATGGCGGTTAGCTGGTGCTGGGAAATTGATGTGCTGTTGAGCTGCCGAAATGCACGATACCTGGCACGAGGCTATGGTGGATGTCGTTGATGTCGGAGACGGCCCGGGGGGGCTTGGGGGGTGGCGGGGCAGCGTGCCCCATCATGATGCAACAGGCACAGGGCACTCCGCAATTAGCCGACAAATAGCCCGTGCCTCCAGCGGCGGGCGTGACCTCACAGGCTCCCGTCCCACCAGGCAGACCCATTGGATGCATGGATGGCAGCTGCCTGAGCTCGGAGCTCCTCCACTGGCGCAGTCGCAGCTCACTCACTCACCCATCCCACCACATCCACGACGCGCAAGCTCAGCTCAGCGCTCACCCTCGGGCACCGCACGACGGTTTCCTCTCACCACGCTCATGAAACAATGATATGACGCAGACATGATGGATACCCTACACGCGCGCGCCGACTGGGAAAGCGTGGGGGACAGGTGGTTCCGCAAGACGCAGCAGTACACCGAGGTGTTCGACCAGGACCTGGACCTCGACAACTACATCGTCGCCGGCGCGCCGTACGCAGGTGCGCTGGCGCTGTGGCGCGACGAGACCAAGATACTGGCGCACCAGCCCGGTGTCTCCTCGAAGCCGTCGATAGACATCTACAGCCTCGCCGGCAAGAAGATTCGCAGCATCCCGTGGGACCGCGGCGCGATCAAGGGGCTGGGCTGGTCCGAGGACGAGTCGCTGCTGGTGGTCACCCCGGATGGCAATGTGCGATGCTACGACTTGCAAGGCGACTTTAGCAACTTCTCTCTGGGCCACGGCGCGGATAATTATGGCGTGGAGTCGTGTCGGTATGACGCTCGGGCTCCAAGCTGTACCTCGTGTACTCACCTTTTCAGGTTTTATAACAACGGCATGGTCGCACTGCTAGGAAACAATGCCTTCGTCACAGTCTCGTCCTATACCGAGCCTCGACCGAGACAGCTGGCCACGGCTCCCGAGGGCGAGATCCATTCCTGGGCCATCATCTCGCCGGACCACACCCTCTCGCGCTCTGTCGAGGTGCTGCTCAGCCTGGGGTCGACCGTCTACGTCCTGGACGCCGTGGACTGCGAGGACCGCATGATTGACTTTGGGCCGTTTAGCCACATCACCGTGTCCCCGGACGGGCGGTACGCGAACCTGTACGGCGTCAACGGCCAGGCTCGCGTCATCTCCAGTGACTTTCAAGACATACTCTTTGTCCACGACTCGGACTCGCAAACGCCCCCCAAGTATGTGGAGTGGTGTGGTAGTGATGCCCTTATCGCGTGGGAAGACGAAGTGCACATCATTGGCCCGGGGAACCAGTCTTCCTCGTACATCTATGACAGCACCCGTGTTCACGTTGTATCAGGTATGACTTCGGGCTGGCAGCTCATGCGGAAGCTTTGCAACTCCATGATACTGAATTGCTAATGTCTGGTCATAGAATACGACGGCGCTCGGTTGATCACAAACGATTATTGCGAGTTCCTCGAGCGGGTGCCGAGTGACACGCTCCAGGTGTTTGGGCATGCGTCGGAATCGTCGCCCGCGTCCATTCTTCTCGACGCCGTAGGCCAGCTAGAGATTGAGTCACCCAAAGCCGACGACTACATCCAACTCATCCGGCCGAACCTGACTGAGGCTGTCGACACCTGTGTCAATGCGGCGGGCCGCGAGTTTGACACGAAATGGCAGAAGCGGCTCCTCAAAGCGGCCTCTTTCGGCAAGTCGGTACTGGATATTTACAACAGTGACGACTTTGTCGACATGTGCGAGACCCTGCGAGTGCTGAATGCCGTCAGAGACCACGAGGTCGGCATGCCGCTATCGTTTGAGCAATACCACCGAGTAACACCGGAGAAGCTGATCCAGCGACTGCTCAACCGCCACGACTACCTGCTTGCTCTCAAGATAGCCGGCTACCTCAAGCTGCCCTCAGACCGCATATATGTGCACTGGGCGTGCAGCAAGGTGCGCATCGGTGGCGAAGATGATGACACGATTTGCCGCGTGGTGGTGGACAGACTGTCTGGAAAGCCAGGCATCTCGTTTGAGGAAATTGCCCGGGCCGCGTATCACGAGGGCCGGGGCCGCCTGGCCACGGAGCTGCTTAACCATGAACCTCGTGGCGGGAGGCAAGTGCCGTTGCTCCTCGACATGGAAGAAGACGAGCTTGCACTGGACAAGGCCATCGAGAGCGGAGACACAGACCTCATCCTGTATGTGCTGCTAAAGCTGAAGAAGAAGCTGCCACTGGCTGCTTTCTTCCGGGTCATCAACGCCAGGCCAACAGCCACAGCCATGGTCGAGGCGTCGGCTCTCCAAGAGGGAGACAATACCCTGCTCAAGGATCTTTACTACCAAGATGACCGGCGAGTGGATGGAGCTCTCGTCTTCATCCGAGAGTCGCTCAACCAGCCTGACGCGCGCACTGCCTCTGACAAACTGGCCCTGGCGGCAAAGCTGCTTGGCGATACCAAGGAGGCGAACCTGGAGCTACATGCGCTGAACCAGACGACAATGCTCCTACGACTACAAGCAGCATTCGATCGAGACTTGACAGACACGTTCAGTGGGCTGAGCGTTGATGAGACACTTTTCAAACTGATTCGGCTCGGGTACAACAGCCAGGCAAAGAAGATCCAGAACGACTTTAAAGTCCCGGAAAAGGTCGCCTGGTGGATCCGGTGAGTCCTGATGGCCCGTGTCGACGCATGCACATAGCTAACCAACCCAGATTACGCGCGCTGGTGGCGAAGCGAGAGTGGAACGAGATTGAGGAAATGTCCAAGCAGAGGAAAAGCCCCATCGGCTGGGAGGTGAGTGAAGATTACGTTCTGTTGTGGGAACTCTTGCTAACGCTTACTAGCCCTTTTTCAACCTCACGCTTCAAGCCGGGAACCCGCGCCTGGCGGCCGTATTCATACCCAAGTGCACGGGGCTGGAGCCCGGGGAGACCATCACCATGTACGAGAAGTGCGGCATGCGGGTGCGCGCGGCGGAAGAGGCGGTGCGGCTCAAGGACTACGCGGCGTGGCAGCGACTGCTCGAGGCGGCGGGACGGGGCTCGCAGGAGGGGCGGGAGATTGAGCGCCTGGGAGCGACGGTGTTTGCGAAGAAGTAGAGCATGGGAAATAGCCGTTGTATCAAGAGCAAAGGACGCAGTATGGAGTCGTCGTGCCGGATGAGACACGAACCTAGGGGGGCCGGGCCGGGCCGACACGGCAGCCATGTAACCCGGCGAACATGGCAGCGCATCGGCTCCGTGGACACACGGCGGGATCGCCTGCCTGCAGCAAGTCGCATAGCAACAACTTACCCTACCTTGCATATCCATCCACCGCAATTCCGTAAACATATGGCATGCGGTCTTTAGAGTCCGATCCTTATGGAGATGTCCAGATCCCCTCTTCCATGGCAACCCCGCCGGGTATAACCCACGGCGATTATTTACTCTGAAGGGTCTTGGTTCATGCCTCTGGTGCGCTGCGTCCATGGGACGTGAAAATACTGACAAGTGACAGGTCGGGGAACCAAATCCAGTTCCAGATCCATGCGTGCATGATGCTGGTGCTGGTGGTTGCGCTGCTGCACCAAGGCGTCCGGGAGTCCCCAGATGTGGAGAGAGGGCGGACGGACGACTTACACGCGCCGGAGTCTCCAGCATGGCGCGCAAGGGACTGGGGACTCGGGAGGCCAGGCGCTCACGTGTAGGTGCGGGTGCAGTGCGGGTGGTGGTGCGGGTGGCGCGCGTGCTGTCGACGCGGGGTCCAGCCAGGCCATCCCAGCCCCCCGGCCCTGGCGGGCCATGTGACGATGGGGTGTTCATCACGCAGGGCAGGGCGAAACGTGTTTGCGATTTGTGGGCAGGGGGAGGACGGGGGGAGGGGGTTGGCGATGGCAGGTGAGGTAAAGCGCAAAGCAGTTTGGGCAGTGGCCGAGCAGCAGGTGAAGATGGGGGTGAGCCTCGTCCAGGCAAGACAACGACAATCGTGTCAGATGGGCAAGAAAAGGGCTGAAGGGCAGGCAGATACAGGCGACGAGAGGGACTGGCCGGCTGCGTAGCTGCCTGGCTGCCTGCTGAAGAAGTCGACGGTATCCGCTCCAGGCTTCACAGCTCGATGACGAGGGTGGCGAGCAGGCAGTTCTCACTTCACGAGTCAGCATCTGCCTCTCTCCGCTTCAGCGCCCTTCAGCAGCATGCGTAGTTCAGCTCGCCGACGCAGCGAATCTCGCCCGGCCCGCCAAAGGCGTGTAAGTCCCCGTCCCGCCCTGCCAGCGCTTGGCGGTTGGCACCACACTTCGGAGCACCTCAGACGCTGCGCGATCACGGCAGCTGAATCACTGAAGCTAAAGAAGGGATCAAGAAGGAAAGGGTCCATGGATGCGCGGGTGCTAAATATACCAGCGGACGGTTCACCTGAGCGGGCCGAGCTTGGGGCACGCTGGTGTCGCACCTGGGCGGGCCGCTGGATGGACTTGGCGACTTGCTTACCGAGGTGAGGGAGGCAGTTGGGTGGCATACTGGTTCCCGTTTCCGCGCGGTAGGGCGGATGCGTGTCGGTCAGCGACGGGATGTTTTACAGAGGGAGCTGGAGGGTGCCGTAAGTGTGAAAGGTCTTGCCTTGCGGGTGGCACGCGGGGGGGCGATCCATGGATGGCAAGGCCGCTGATAGTTGAGGTGGCAGCTGGCATGGCGTGGTGGTCCCCAGGTAGAGCCTCCCGCTAACCCATTGCCCACCTAGCCTCCATGAAAGTCCAGCTTCTAGGTGAGCCCTCATCCCATCAGCAACGAACATTATTTGGAAGCTGGGGGAGAAGCACATCACCAACACGAGGGCGTGACGGCTACCATGCCGGAATATTCCCTCCAGCAAACATCGCCAGCACAAGGGCGTGACGGCTACCATGCCTAACGCCTCGTCAACGGAGGAAAAAAAAAAGCGCATGCGTGGCAAATAGCACGTCTGACCAAGCAACGTCGAAAAAGTGACAGGCACAGCGCTTTCCAACACTCCAAACGCTGCCGACGTTGATGATTTGGAAGACGACTGCCGAGATGCCGTCCAACCTCTCTCCCTCGACCCGTTTCGTACGAGTACGAAGTCACACTCAGACGCACGCGGCGGGCGACGGGCGAGACGGGAATCTCGACTCTGGCCGGGAACGAGCTAGCGCGGCCCCGCCAACCGCCGCCACGGCCCAACGCTTATCACGGTGGCGGACAGTGGGCGGGTGGAAGGGGAGCCAACAGCTGTTAGCGCGCGCATTCTTACTCTCCACTGCCCAGGCCTTCTGGCCGGTGGTGCTCAGCACCTAGGCATGTAGGGACAGCCCGAGCCCGAGCAGTGGGCTGGCCCGCCCGTCAGCAGCCATCGTGCCCGTCGTGCCAGGCCGCTTGCAATGGATGCTTCCACCACCACCACCACCACCACCACCAGCAAGGTGAGGCGGCGGCGCCCCGTGGCCCCGCCACCGCCGCCGCCGCCCTCGCCGCCGTGAGCATGCGGCTTCAGGTACGGGGGTGCTTTTCCCTCCTGCATGTCCGCACCCGAGACAAGTCTCTTTTTTTACACTTTTCAAGGTTCCGAGAGAATGGGATAAGGGGGCATTCTAAACTGTACTTCGTCCTCCGTACTCTATATTAAGCTTCGGCGCGAGAGCCAAGCTTGCGGGCTACCGACTAGCGGGTGCGAGCTGAACGACGGGCCCGAGGTCTCGGATGTCGCCATTTTCTTTTTTCCCTATGCACTTGCCTCCCTGCGCAGCCCATCGGCGGGTGCTGCTGCTGCTGCTGCTGCGTCCTGCGTCCTACGGAGTGCCGGCTGTGCGTTAACAGGTGCGTGTGCTGGCTGGCGTGTCGCGTTCGCATGAGTCGAGCACATGCCCATGTGCGTGTGTGTGTGTGAGTGTGCGTGCGTGCGTGCGTGCGGGGCGCCATGCGCATTGGATAGGTGCTCGCCGCAGATGATCAGGGCGCCCACCCACAGCACCGCTAGCACGCCCCCGGCACGCCCTCCAGCACGACGGGCGCTGCCCTGGCACCTGGGGCCGACAGTGGGCGTGTGCCGTCCCCAGGTCGGCGCCCTGGTGGGATCCGATCTTGAAGACGGGCCAGTGGTGCCTTTGCGTCTATGTAGTCTGTCCGGCGCAGCGAGGACCACCGCTTGGTTGACCCCCTACGCAATGGATGCTGTCTGGGCTAGGTAGTACCTCGTGTAGGCTACGCATTCCCTCTTGCGCACAGCTCCAACGTTGTTAGGCCTGTGCTTGAGCCGGCCGCCGTGGTGGCGGTAGTGGTTCTTAGAGGACGCCCTGCTGGCCGACTGCCGCCGCCTGGGCTGGGGGTGGGGGGGAGGCGTGTTGGTCGCCCCCGTCGCCGCACCTCGTGCCACGGCGAGCAGCATGGAAAGTGCAGACGGGAAGAGTCCCAGGCGGGCAGTGGCAGGCTGGCAGGCTGACTGGACTGGCTGCGGCGTCATGACGTTTGGCTCTGGCGATCGCCCGCGCCTGCGGAGTGGTGGGCCACAGCCCAGCTGGGCCCAGTCAGTTCATGACCTGACGGCGGCGCCTCTCTCTCCCCACGCGTGCAGTGTCGCAGACGGCGTCTCCGGCGCAGGTCTCTCTGCATGTTAGGTACTACAGGCGCTCAGATGGATGGCCACCCGTCCTCCGAAGAATAACGCGCGCGCGCGCGTGCACGCGGTGGGAGGGGACGACGCCGCCCGGAGATGAGGCATGCCCGGATGGGATTCTCGACGCTCACGTCAAATCTTTAGCGACGGCCGGCCGGCCCAGCCACCTAACCGTGCTGCTACTGTAGTACTAGCTAACCAACCCAACATGCGAACTGCGCATCGACTAATTAAGGTAGCGCGGCCGTCGGCAGAGGCCTGGGCCCTGGAGCGGCCGTCCTCCAACCCAAGAGGCAACCGGAGACAGGGGACTCCACCCCAGGGCGCGCGCGATGGGTGGTGCCCGTAGCGTGCTGGATCCCGTCTCTTTCCCAGCTGGAAGGCAGGCACTTCAGCGTGATAGCGTGTGCCCCGGGCGCGCCCCCGTAGGTTTAGCTAGCGGTGGCCCGGCGCCTGTCTTGGCCGCGCGCGTGCACGCCGGCGCTGTCCCGAGACCAGCTGGGCGGGCAGCATCTTGGTGCTGCCACCTGCGCTACAGCCCACGTCCAGGAGCCCGGAGGTACCTGCACGGGCAGGGCCACCTGCACCCAACGGGCGGTTTTCGAGGTGTCCCTCAGCCCAGTTTCGCTGAGCCCAGGCCAGCCGACCCCCCCCCGGCGCCCGCCCCTGGCCCTGCTGCTGCACCGCTGGACCGCCAGACAGACCTCTCGGAACGCAAGACGCCGCACTGGAGCCATTCGAGCCTTGCGCTGGTGCTCCGCTCACCTGGCCTGGAATCGTCAATGACGATACGACACCAGACCACCTTGTTTTTTCCCTTGCGCCGTCCCGTCGTCGTCGTCTTCTTCAAGAGTGGCCTGCGCTTCCACCATCCATCCCATCCGTTCACCCATGCCACAAAACCCTGGCCGCCCCGTCCCTCTGGCCCCCCTCGTCCTTCGAACCTTGAACTTCCCAGAAAGCCAAGCCAAGCCCGCCGCCCCTCCCCTCCCCTTCTGTCTCTTATACACATCTAGATGTGTATAAGAGACAGGCCCCCCGGTCCCCACAGGCGAACGTGTGCGTCAACCGGGCCGTTAGGTTGTTCGATCGTGCAACACCACCAGCAGGAGCACCAGCGGCGCCGCCAACGAAGAAGGGCCTCTCTCCCACTCACCGTCTGGCAGACTCTCCTCGTCCGCCTCTTCTTTCGCACTGTCGCCCCTCACGCATACAAACAAACATCCATCCATCCATCCATTCGGCGGCGTTGTCGTCGTCCCTGCGCCAGCGTCTTGTCCTCCGTCCGTCGCCAGTCGCTCCTCTCCCCCGTCTCGGTCGCGCGGCAGTTCGTGTGGTTGCGCTCGCGGGGGCTTGAAGCCGTCCATAGGTCTGCTCCGTCGTCCGGACCTGCTGTCGCGCCGCGTGCGTGCGTTGCGTTTCCTGTGCGTCCGGCGCCGTACGTTGCTGCGCTTGTAAGAGGGCAGAGAGGCAGACAGTGAGACCGGGCAAAACCGAGCGTCCTCCGTGCCTCGCCTCGCCTCGCCTCGCCGGCCCGATCGCTGCGACTCGAGTCGATTCAAGGTTCGGGTTGAGTCGAGTGGCAGACAGACACCGCCCTGCCGACTGAAACCAAACCCGCGAGCATCGGGCGCTTTGCTTCGTCGAACGAGTCGAGCCTCAGACACAGCACCCCTTTTTCGTCGCAGACGGTCGACCCTCGCCCGCCCTGGTTGGCATTTTCGCCTTCATTGCATTGCAGCGTTCGTCGGCATCATTGTCAATCGCCCACTCGCCTGCACTCGTCGCATCCCTGCGCTGGACAGGGCCAGTTCGACAGCGTCGCAGTTTCGGCGTCGATCGCAGCGCGCGACGAACGATCCATCAGTTTTTTTAAAACTCATCAACCCCCAGCCACCCCCCGAAGAAACCTTCTGCGATCCGTCTCCCGCGTCCGTCACCGCCGACATCGTCACCGATCCTCGGTCGAACCAACTCGCCTTGGTTGCTTCTGTTGCCGTTGCCGCCGCCGCCGCCAGTCTCCCCTTTCGTCGCGCCGCGCTGCTGCCGCCAGTGGGCCCCCCGCCAGTCGCCCGCTCAACCGCTACCTGGTGCAGTGGCGAGCCGTAATTACCGCCCAGCAGAAAGGCGAGGTAACAGACGTTTTACGAGCACCGCTCGTACGACACGCGCACAGGTGCCGCCGGCACGTCTTCTCACACACTCTCACACACCCTTGGGAGGCCCGGCAGAGACTAGAGCCAAAACATTGGACAAAAAAGGGCAATTGCGAGAGATCCCCTCGGCGCCCCAGACAGCCAGCATGTTTACGCAGCCAGTGTCTTCGCCTCCCCCCGGCCCGCAGACTGCCTCGCCCGTCTCGCCAGGGCGGCCCAGCAGACTGCGCGGCCTCAGCTACCTGCGCAACTACACGCACAACCACCTCCTGTCGCGTGACAGCAGCGGCTCCAACTCCAACTCGCACTCCAACTCGCACGCCGCCCCCGCAGGCGCTAGCAACACCTCGCATGCCCGCAGCGGCAGCGGCCACGGTCACGGTCACAGTCACGGTCACGGCACCGCCAGCGGCGCAAACCTCACCCGCTCCGTCAGCTACACGCCCTCCTCCACCACCACCCCCTCCTCGCACGCCGCCGCCGCCCTCAACCCGACTGCGCCTGCCGCCCAGAACCTCAACCGCCTAACCCTCGTCAGCTCAAACCCCGACACCTCGTCGGCCCACGCGAGGATCCCCTCGACGAACAGCCACCCCGAGTCCATCCCCGAGGCCACTGCCGCCGCCGCCGCCGCCGCCGCCCCAGCGACCCCGCACGCGGCCGACGACCCCCAGCCCGCCATGCCGCACAACGCGACCGCGACGTCGACTCCCGCGACGGGCGACGCCGCCGCCGCCGCGACCGCCTCCAATCCCGAGAGCACCCCGTCGATCCGCTTCTCCGCGTACTACGACCCGCGCTCCACCCGTCCCTCCCTCTCCTTCCCGCCCATCTCGAGGACCCTGCCCAACGGCACCGAGGTCATCCGCGTCGGTCGCTACTCGGAGCGCGACGGCCAAGCCGCCAACATGGCCGGCAACCAGCCCTCGGCGGCTCCCGTCGGCTTCAAGAGCAAGGTCGTCAGCCGGCGCCACTGCGAGTTCTGGTGCGAGGACGGCAAGTGGTACATCCGCGACGTGAAGAGCTCCTCGGGCACGTTCCTCAACCACATTCGCCTCAGCCCGCCGTCGCAGGAGAGCAAGGCGTACCCGGTCAACGACGGCGACATTGTCCAGCTCGGCATCGACTTCAAGGGCGGCGAGGAGATGATTTTCCGCTGCGTCAAGATGCGCCTCGAGCTCAACCGAGGCTGGCAGAACAAGCTCAACACGTTCAAGTGGGTGAACCGTGGGCTGTCTTGTATTGACTGTTTTCGCTAACGCACCACAGCGTTGCTGCGCATAAAAGGCTGCGCACAATGGCAACCGGCAACGGCGCCGCGTCCGTGTCGAGCTCGAACTCGCAGGACTGCTCCATCTGCCTCAACTCTATTGCTGTAAGCCGCATAGGACGAATCCTTACCTTAGATAAACCCTATCTGACCTCCGTCTCAGCCCTGTCAGTCGCTCTTTGTGGCTCCCTGCTCGCACACGTGGCATTTCAAATGCGTGCGATCACTGCTGTCGTCGCCGCAGTATCCCATTTTCGTCTGTCCGAACTGCCGTGCTGGTGCCGATCTGGAGGCCGATGTCGAGGAGCCCGACGAGGAGTGGCAGCAGCTCGAGGAGGGCGCGGACGACGAGGCGAAACCCCAAACTGCCAACGGCCAGCCGCCAGAGGCTGTGTTGCAACCCTCGCCTGTACCGGCGCCCGAGCCAGAGCCAGACGCCATGGATATCACCATGGATGTCACCGTCAATCCAAACGCATCGGACAGCCCTAGCGGGAGGTCAAACCTACCCCACGAGCCAACGGAGCCCGTACCCATTCGTAACCCGGCGTCTGGAGCCGGGCGCGTGAACCAACTACGGGAGAACCGCTCGCCGTCGCCGCACACCAACGGAGAGGGACCGATCACGCCGCGGAACAACGCCGGGCCCTGGGTGTTTGACGGCGGCGCGGGTCGGCGAGTGGCGGACCCAACAGCAGAGATGACGAGCCTCGACGCCGCGACAGAGATGGACCTGAGCGGAGGCGGCACGAGCGACGCATCGAGCCGCTGACGTGGTACACCAACGACGACAACGAAGAGGGGGGGAATGCAATCTTACATGGTTCCAAGGGACGGCATAGCGAGCAGACTGTAGATACCATAGAGCGGCGTTGGCCTTTTTGCTTCACAGGCCAGCGCGCGGGTGCACGGCGTTGGAGGGCATCATCGGGCGGGCTGGCGATTGATAATGAAGGCTGGCATGGGATGACTCGAGGGACCTTTGCAGCAGCAGCAGCAGCAGCAGCAGCATGGCAAGACAGTACCTAGGCATTGGCCCGCGTGGCGGTTTTGTCCGAACGGGCGCGCGGCGTGCGTACATATTTAATGAACACCGAGCTGGTGGAGAGGCGAGTGTAGATGACCCGCTCGCCTGTATTGCATAAACAAGCATCTCCATGGCATTGTGTTGGCTGACAAGCCCATGTGGTGCTGTGTGAAGTACATGGAGAGCCCTGCTTGATCTAGATGAGGCGGATGCCCTCGCGTGACGGCGGCAGGTGTTCAACATTGGCATTTCAAGCTCAACAGGCTCTACTGTACTCTGTGCTCAAGGGATTTTATAACCTTGGAAATGCCTTGTCTTTTGGCTGCACGACAAGGTCATGAGCCGCACTCTTCAGCGGGACCCGAAGATGCCATGGGCGGTGCAGCAGGGAGCGAGTCGACCGCCAGCCAATGGCTGCCTCGCCAGTTGTGGTGACGCCCGCTGCCTGGCCGAGCGCAGACGTCCAGCTCCACCGTCGGGTCGGACCTCCGGGCTCGGAATGATCCGACATATCGCCGAAGCCAGGCGCAGCGCAGTGCAGTGGCGGGCGCTCCACCCAAATTTTGGCGCCAAGTTCAACGGCCGTCATCGCCGCCGCCGTCGCCGTTCGTAACCTCGTCCCCCGGTTCATCCACCACCAGCAACAGTCCGTCGCAACAGCACCACACAGCCATGTTGCGACAATTAACTACGCGGCTACAGCAGCCCCGCGCGGCGGCGTCCTCGTGCGCGAGGCTGCTGCGGCCCAAGAGCGGGCTGAGCGTCCCGACGCGGTCCATGGCGACTGTCTCCGTCGAGGGCATCCCCAAGGTGAGCAGCAGGATCAGACTCTACCGTCCCTCCCTCCGTGAATGTCGTCGCGCAAACGCTGACTCGTGGTCGGTGGTATGTAGGAACCGACCGAGCTCGACCAAATCACAACGCTGCCCAACGGCCTCCGCGTCGCCTCCGAAGCCCTCCCGGGCTCCTTCTCGGGCGTCGGCGTCTACGTCGAGGCCGGCTCGCGCTTCGAAAACGCCAGCCTGCGCGGCGTGTCGCACATCATGGACCGGCTGGCCTTCAAGTCGACGTCGCAGCACTCGGCCGACGAGATGCTCGAAAAGGTCGAGGCCCTGGGCGGCAACATCCAGTGCGCCTCGTCGCGAGAGTCCATGATGTACCAGGCCGCTACCTTCAACAGCGCCGTGCCCCAGACGGTCGAGCTGCTCGCCGAGACGATCCGCGACGCCAAGCTCACCGACGCCGAGGTCGCGGAGCAGATCGAGACGGCGCGCTACGAGATTGCCGAGATTTGGGGCAAGCCCGAGCTGATACTGCCGGAGCTGGTGCACACGGCGGCGTTCAAGGATAACACGCTGGGGAACCCGCTGCTGTGCCCCGAGGACCGCCTCGGCGCCATCGACAAGGCCACCGTGACGACGTATCGGGACCTGTTTTACCGGCCGGAGAGGATGGTGCTGGCGTTTGCGGGCGTGGATCACGGCGCGGCGGTGACGCTCGCGAAGCAGTTCTTCGGAGACATGAAGGCGAGCCCGCTGCCCGCCCTGTCAAGGACCGGCTCGGAGACCAGCATGTCTGCGGCATCTGACAGCGAGGCGTCCGCGTCCACCAGCTCCTCTGCGTCCTCGTCCCCCTCCGCCTCGCCCCAGCAGCGCTCCTCCAAGCTCATCACCAAGATCCCTTTCTTCAAGAACATCTCCACCTCTGCGCCGCGCAACGCCGCCGTCGTCGACACGCCCACGTCAGACATCCTGGACGCGCCGCAGCCGGCGCACTACACGGGCGGCTTCCTGTCGCTGCCGCCGCAGCCGCCGTCGCTCACCGGCACCAACTTCACGCACATCCACCTCGCGTTCGAGGGCCTGCCCGTGGGCTCCGACGACATCTACGCGCTGGCGACGCTGCAGACGCTGCTCGGCGGCGGCGGGTCCTTCTCCGCTGGCGGGCCCGGCAAGGGCATGTACTCGCGCCTGTACACCAACGTGCTCAACCAGCACGGCTGGGTCGAGTCGTGCGTCGCCTTCAACCACTCGTACACGGACTCGGGACTCTTCGGCATCTCGGCCTCGTGTCTCCCCGGCCACACCCAGCACATGCTCGACGTCATGTGCCAGGAGCTGCGCGCCCTGACGCTCGAGACGGGCTTCTCGCGCCTGCAGGACGGCGAGGTGGCCCGCGCCAAGAACCAGCTGCGCAGCAGCCTGCTCATGAACCTCGAGAGCCGCATGGTCGAGCTCGAGGACCTGGGCCGCAGCGTCCAGGTCCACGGCAAGAAGGTGCCCGTGCGGGACATGTGCGCCCGCATCGAGGCCCTCACCGTCGCGGACCTGCGCCGCGTCGCGTCCGCCGTCGTGGGCGGCCGCGTCGCCAACCCGGGCGGCGGCAGCGGGGCGCCCACCGTCGTCGTGCAGGAGGCGCAGGCGTACGGCCTGACGAGCCACGGCATGACCTGGGACCAGATCCAGGACCGCATCGACGGGTGGAAGCTCGGCCGCCACTGAGGGCGAGTCTCTCAGTCTGACCAGCCGCAATGCCTCTTCTATCTAGCAGAGCGGCAGGACGTGTTTCTGGCATATCAGCGCGGGGCGTCCCATCGACGACGGTTGACAACGACAAAGGCGCAAACGGGCCTGTATAGACGCATGGGAAAGGGTGCGGAGCGGAGCGGAATTGCGCGGCCGTGAAACGAGCCGCTTGTATCATAGATGTAAAACGTGTACGGAATCCGACACCAGAACAGTGGGAGGGGGTGAAAAGGGCGAGCATTATTTCATCTCCATCACAAAGGCACGCATGCATATGACATGGAGCGAAGAGGCGGCGAGAACAAGAGAAAAATGTGTGTGCGGGAAGCAGGCAGGGGGCATTGTTGGCGCCGTCGGCGGGAGGGGGCTCATTCTCGAGGACGGACAGAGTGTGCTTGTCCGTTTGCGTTAATGTATGCACATATATGTACTCTTGCATGTAGTATTGCTATCTACCACGACCACTACTACTCATCATATGCACCTGTGCATCTACACACCCCTGACACGTCGGTAATATAGCAACAGAGGCATCGGGGACCTTTGGGAAGGGGCTGTAATAACCATGGCATTTGCCTGGGCCAGGTGTATATATTGCTCTAAGGTATTTCTAAGCATCGCTTGCTGTGTATATGTAAACCAACCCCAACCAGACGGAAAAAAACACTCACACGCAAATCTCGTTCTTCCCTACGCTGCTGCATGTCATACATTTCTTGCATGGAGACATATAAGGTAAGGCGTAGATGCAGAGGGCCAATGGCTGGCTGAACCCAAGGGAGCGGTCCATGTCCGGCTACAGCTTGGAGCGCACCGCCTCGAGCCGGTACTTGACGTCCTTGAGGGCCTTGTTGGCGGGCTTCCAGTCGTCAAACTTGCGCAGCAGCTCCTCCGTCTCGGCGTGCAGCTCCGTGCGCACAAAGTCCTCCTCCAGGACGCCGCGCATGATCCAGGGCAGGACGTACGGGTTCGGGCTGGCGAGGAGGGTCGTCGCATTGCCGCCACCGGTTGCACCTCCGCCCGCCGTAGCCGCAGCGCCCGCGCCGCCCTTGACCGACGATGCCGACGAAGATGCACCCGCGGCCGCGGGCGTAAGGCGGCGCACCTCGCAGGGCGTACCAGGCGGCACGGACGTGGTCTCGAGGGCGTGCGAGACGGCGAGGTCGTAGACGGCGGCGTCGTAGTAGAGGCGCGAGTGGCCCTCGCCCGAGTAGAGGCTGCCGGCGAGCGGGGCGGAGAGCTCGCGCACGAGGCCGTGGTCCGAGACGCCGAGGTTGCGCAGCTTGAGGGCGAAGCCGACGAGGTGGGCGATGAAGTCGGGGGCGTGGACGCGCCCGTCGATGAAGACGGCGCGGTAGATGTAGGGGTGGCTAGCGGGGGAGTAGACGGCCGACTGCGCTCGTTAGCGGACTGGCCGACAGAGAAGACAGAGGGAATGGTGAAGACCGGCAGAAAAGGGGGGCGAGGGGGTGGCCTACCTCCATGGGTACGAGCTGGTCGTCGATGCTCCCGATAAACGTGATGCGCGCGCCGTAGGCCAGGACACGTCTCATGGCCGCCTCGAAGCGCTGCGAGTTGGCGCTCGACGGGTTGCCAAAGTCCCACAGCTCGGCGGCCGAGCCCATGAGGATGCTAGACTTGTAGTCGGGGAAGGGTCCCAAGGCGACGCCGGCCATGGCGCAGACGCCGATGCGGGCGTTTGTGACGATGCCGAGGTCGATGAGCTTCTCGAGCAGCATGACGCTGACGGGGACGCCTTGGGAGTGGGACGCGACGAGGATGAGGTCTGCGGCGCGAATGTGTTCGATCCAGTTGAGCAGCAGCTTCCACAGGTTGTCGACGCGGTCGCTGATGCGGCCCTCGCCCTCGAGCGCCACCTTTTCGATCTCGCAGCCCTCGCCACAGCCGTGCGCGTCAGCCCACCGCCGGATCGCGTCGGCGCAGAGGCTGGCGAAGCGCAGCGACGTGCCCGTGGGCTGCCCGATCATGGGGCGCAGGTACGTGGCGGGGAAGAGGCCGTGGACGCCGATGGCGATGGCCTTGCGAATTTTGGGCGGCTCCTTGACGCGGAAGACGTGGTTCGCCGGCGGTTGGGAGGTGCGCAGGAGGAAGCTCTTGATCTGTTGGATGATGGACGGATCCTCCTTCATCTGATACGTGCTCGAGAAGGATGGGAGTAGTAAGTTGGGCGGAAACTTAGACGTTGACTCGGATTCAGCGACGGCCTTGGCAGTGTCGACCTTGGCTGGGGCTTTTGTTTCTGTCTGTGGTTGTATAGCAGGCTCTGCTGCGGCCTTGTCTGCAACGGTGCCGTTGGGAGGCGTCGGCGTCTGGGAGTCAGTGTCCATGGATGCCGGCCTGGCTCTCTTGCTGCGCCGCCATGTCGACTTGCCCTCCTTGGCCTTGACCTCTGTCTTGGAGGGCTTCGCCGGAGGGCTGGAAACGTCGCCCTCGGCCATTGGCGTGGGATGCGCCTCGGAGCCCTCGCCCATGACGGCAATCTCGCCAGACTCCGGGTCAGGCACCTTGCCATCCTTCTTGGGAGAGTCTCTTGACCAAAACGCCCAAGTCGAGCCAGCTTTTGGCGCCGGCTCAGGTTCCGGCTTCGGCGGAGGCGGCGGCGCGTCGTCCATGACCACGTCTTCGGGTTCCTTGGCTGTTGCCTCTTTGGGTGCAGAGTCTTGCTTCGCTGATGGGGCATTGCTCGAGTTGCCCAGAAATCCGAACCAAGATGACGACGGCGGTGGCGGTTCGCTCTTGGGGGGGTCGGCGGGCGGTTGCTCTGCTGCTGTCTGCGCGGGGGAAGTGGCCTGTCGGCCCTCGTCAGCCGCATCGTCGGGCGGTGGCGGCGGTTTGGCCATTTCGGCTTCTAATACTGTGTTTGGTATCCGCGACCACCAGCCGAGCCAACTACCAGTCGTAGGTGGCCGTTCCGGAGTCGCGGTGGGGAGCGCAGTCTGCTGGTCAGGGACCTCTTGGTTGCCGTCTCTCTTATCGGCCTCGGGGGAATTTGATTCGGGCTGGTCCTCCTGCTTCGGCTCGTCGTTTGCGGATGCAGGTTCGTTCGTGCTCGACTGAGGCGGCGCGTCTTCGGGGACCTTGGAGAGAGACGGGGCGTGGGTGCTGCGCAGACTCGCCGCGTCGTCGCCCTTTTTGGGATCGAATCGGCTTAGATCGGGGGTTCCTTTGGAGCGGACGGTCCCTCCGAGGATGTTTTCTCTCGCGATGGATGTCGAGGCGGACGCCTTGTTGGGAGTTCGCGGCCACGATCCGTACCAGCTCTTTGTCTTGCGTACCTGTGGAGGGGGGCGGGATGAGGGTCAGCGAACACGACCATCATAATGAAATAAATGTGAGGGGCCCCACGGCACATACCTCTCTCTGGTGGCCGGCTTCCGGGTTCGACGCGGTGCTGTGGCCCGACGGCAGCGGGCGCGGCATATGGGGCTGGTGGTGTTGCTGGCCGAGGCCCGGCTCCGAGGCAGCTGAGGTCGCGGCCTGTGACGTAGCGACGTGCGGCGACACGGCCGTCGTCGGGAGGCTCGCGGTGCTGGCTGCTGCCGGGTTGTGACGCTGTCTCTTTCGCGGGAGCATCATGAGGTGGAGGTGGCAGTTGCGGCGGATGCTGGTGATGCCATCGGAGCTGCGTCGGGGCGCCGCCACGTCATCCAAATCGCGTCGAGGTGGTCGTGCCGAGGAGGGAGGATTCCGTTGAGAGGCGACCGGCAGCAGCTCGCTCGAGCACGGGCGGGCGGGCAGTGGAGGTAAAGGTTCCCTTCACATGGCGGGCGCTGAGATACAGGGCAGCGCGGCGGGCGGGCATCGAATGAATGACGAACAGTGGGCCACGGGTGCCTGGGGAGGGCCCCACCACCCGCCTGCAGCACCCACGCTTGCCACGATGCCCGCCAACCACCTGGACGCCCCATACGGCCCCGGGGCATCCATCCCGTCACCGCCAGTGAATGATCCCTGTAGCGTAGTGGAGGGGACCTGAGCCCGGTCGCCGCAGAGCCTCGACTCCCGGGGCCTGACGGGCTGGAGTGCTGAACATCCTCCACTGCAGCAACCCAGAGCGAGCGCCTCACTCATCATCACCTCATCACCTCATGCACCGCCTCAACAGACACCCGACGCTGACTTCATCTCACTGCTGGCACGGTCGACCCAACTTCGGGCAGGCACCAAGGCTCTCACGCCATCTCACCGCAAACGAAAAACAGCCAACGCGCGAAACACAGCTTTGTTACGCGCACACGTCGACGCTGGCCGCTATGGACCGTCCATCGTCGAGCCAAAGCTACCGCTACTAATCAACACATGAGAGCATCGAATGCTCCAAAGCCCTCTTCTCCGTCTGCGCAAAAAAGCGACAGCGAGTGATGAGACACCCAAGCCGCGCCGTGACAGGACGACCGTCGCAGCTTGTCAGATGCCGCACCTCCCACAGTCCCCGATCCTCACAGCACCCAGGTACTCATGCCAACACCTCAAGGTCTCACAGCTTCGGCGCAAAGCCCAGCCTCATGTTGCCCTGGTCAAAGACGACCAGCGACGACTTGAGCCCCATGTCTCCGTGGATGTTAAAGCCGCCAAGGACAAAGCTGCTCTGCAGGCCACCATAGCAATAGCGGACATCCTCGATAGTGCCGATGAAGCCGTAGTCCAGATAATCACCGGGAACCGTGACCATGCTTCCCTCCACCTTGTACGAGAAATCAGGAAGCTTGGTGCCGCAAGGGAAGAGGAACACCCAGTACCACACGTATAGCACTGCCCCCGGGACTGTGAGCCAGTAGTTCTCAACGATGTCCTCTGGCAGATACAAGAGCGTGGTGCCGGTGTCGGCGATGGACGTCACGGCCTCCTCGCGGTACACCCCGTTGATGGCATACCCCGGCGAGGTGAACGTCCAGAAGCCCTGGCTGCTGTCGACGGGGGTATACGTGATCGGGCCATTGTGTTCCTTCTTGTCAATGTAGCCGAAGTTGTACGTGCCGTCTGAGCGAGTAATCAGCCATCAAAACACCATCTCAAAAGAATAAAGGTCACCTACTGGCGGCATGGTTCAGGTTGGCAGTGAACAGCTGCTGCTTTATGTGTCCCTTTGCCGTGTCCATAAAGGTAAGCTGCTGGTCGGGCTTCACCGTGTTGAGGGAGCTAAACGCCAAGCCGAGCAGGCCGTCCGAGTCTGGGTTCTCGGTGAACGACTTGGCGACTGTGCTGGCCGCCTCGATGGCCTGGCCTTTAATTCTCAAGCCGCCAATGCTGACATTGTCGGTATAGACCTCGCCACCGGCGCTGCTGCCGTCGCCGTATTGGATTGACCAGGTAGAGCCCTCAAGTTTCTTGGCAGACTGACTCTTCTTTGGGTTATACAGCGTCTGGCCGTTGACCTGGTCCGAGGACATAGCCGTGCTGAAAACCCACAGATCGCTCGAGCCAGTGTCAAAGTCGAGCTGGAACTTCTGCGCAGGCGTGCCGATGTGCACTTCGGTGATATATTCGATATCGTCGGCCAGCGGCTGGTTGATGGCGTGTCCGGTCCATCTCTTCTGGACGCCGTTGGCCAGCTTCATGTCCTCGACGGTTTTGACCTTGGAGCGGGACGCCGCGGCAGCAAGCTCCTGGTCGCTGGGCATCGTCTTGTCGAACTTGTTGAGCGTTTTCATCAGCCCCCTAAACCCGTTGGGGGTATGCCCCGGGTTGCGAGCCACATGGACTGAGAACCCGCCATGAGACTCGGCCGGGAGAGCAGCGGCGAGGCCGCCGGTGGCCACGAGGGCAGCGAGGAAAGCACCAAAGGTCTGCATGACGACTTGCAAGCGCGGCGACGTTGTGACAATGACTTTCCGCCTTGGATGCTGCTACACCAGTATACGGCTCTGCGCGGCTCTAATGACCTTTATATGCCCATCCAAAACACCAGAACAGTAACGCGACCCTCCAACACCAATGTCCATACAGGTACGTAGCGGGGAAGAGTAAAAAGGTCCCGATGAGTAAGGCCCAAACATGATGCTGCACCGCTTTGCTTCTCGGATTTCCCCCACATCCGGACGAGCAGAGACGGGCATCGTATGGTCACACGACATCGCCAGCGGTCGTTGGGGAAGCAGGGCCTTTTGCTGCTTCCTGACCTGGCAGGTAAAACGAGAGGATTTCGATTGATACGTTGGCCGGCGCGTCCATGGAGTGCTCTTTCAGGCGATGCGTCACTCCAGCGCCCGCGTGGCATGGGCACGGCAAGGGCACAGATTAGGCAGGTAAAGAATGACCTCGCGCCTCGAAGCCAACAAACGCGGACCGATAGCTAGAGTTATATCAAGCATGATACTTTGCACCTATAACTGGGACACAACTCTACTTCAGTACGACCCAACCGAGCACGCAGGTTGCAGCCGGGGCGAGACAATGCTCTTGGGACGACAAGCCGTGCTCTGGTGATCTTTGCCGGGCGTCGGATCGGACCCTGATCTTCAATCGCGATCGTCAGGCACGAGCATCAGGTGCGGTTCGTGCAGCCAAGCCTTTTAGTGAAGCAGCTGTACCTGTATGGAGCTTGGGCCTGTGCCACGGGCGAGCCGAGCCGGGAAGCTCTCCCTTCTTGGCATCCACGACCCGTTCCACGGACATGCCGGCCTGCAACCCTCTGCATCGTTCGCACTGGCAGTTGTCCCAGCCAGCGCGTCTTGCTGCCGTTGGGCAGTCGCACGGAAGAAAGATGCCGGCGAAGTGGCGTACTATGGCCGGTTGGCGTGGCCCGCGGGCGTGGACCTGCGGTCGAGGCATGAGCTGAATTGATGCTTGGCCAACCGGCTGCTGCGGGGGGGTACTGCCAACTGCCCACAGTGTGCTGCGTGTTGGCGCAGTTGGGCGCTGAGTAAGTGTGCGGTTATACATGTCCGCTGTTGTGTCCCGGAATATGCATACTGTACGAGATAACCGTAGTCCGTATGCATAATTGAACAAGAGGGGCAAGTTGATGTGGTACTCAACTCTGGGCGGACGGTGTGCTGCATGGACTGTACTGCACTCAAGCTCTATCAAGTCCAGCGTGCGTACATTCTATATGTACGGAGCATCATCTCAGAAGATAAGGATCTGCACCCAGCGTGGCAATCTTGCCGTTCTATTCATGGTCGCTTCTCGACGAATTCCCCGTGCATGGGAGGCCGGAACATCATGCGGGGTTCTCCGTTTACATAGTCACTCGTCGGTGTATCCGTGTCGTCTGGGCGAGCTTTCAATCGTGATGTGCTGTCAACGTGGTGCGGATAGGCTTCCAGCCGTTCCCAAGACCTATCATAGAAACTAGACAACAGTGGTGTTCGCCCGTAACAAGGGTGTCTAGTTTACGGGTTTGCCCACCCGGTGTATCTAGCACATCCGCGTCAAGTGAGATGGATGAGTTGTATGGAGGTAGCCCATATCTTAATGTTAGAGCGCAGGCGACTTGACATAGCCGCACTACCCCAATGAGGTTTCGTCTATGGATGTCGTGACCGCAGGCCGACATTATAGATATACGCTTAGCCCATCCTGAAATATGTAATGGCCGTTCTGCCTGAATGTGTTGATGCTGGAGCCTTTACTTCAACTTCTGAATAGAGATGGTTTGGTGCCGGGTAGCAGCGACGAATTGACGCCTGAAATCGTGCCGCATTTTTGGTGGGGCTCCGTCAAGATGGACCCCCAAGACCCTTACAGGGAAAAACGTGCGTGGCGGGGCCGGAACAACTGCTCGGAGTCCCCAAAACACTGACCCGCCGCTTATCGCTTATCGCATCCCGCCCAGCAAAAAATTATCGACGGCTCGACCTTCGTGCCAGTCCACATCCACAGCTGACTTGAGGATCACAGCCCGGCACAGCGCAGTCGCTCGCATTGCACCTCGCGACCTCGCACAGCCGCCATGAGCAACCTCAAGCGGAAGGAGGCCCCCGACGGCACTCCTTCGTCAAAGACGGCCAAGAAATTAAAAGAGGCCCGTCCCGCCAAGAAGGATGCGACACCCAAAGATACGACCACGGCGGGCAAGCCCTCCAAGAAGCCGACCGAACCCAAGGCGCCCGTCGTTTCCCTGCTCAAGGATGACGAGCCCATTTTCCCCCGAGGCGGCGGAAGCGTCTTGACGCCCCTGGAGCAGAAGCAGATCCAATTGGAGGCCAAGGCCGACGCCATGCGCGACGAGGAATTCGACACCGGCGGCAAGGCGCAAAAGAAGAAGAAGCGCAAGATGTCTCTCAAGAGCGATGGCAAAGCCGGTTCCAGCAAGAAGAATACCGAAGATAATATCAAAGTGGAGAGTCTCAACTTCAAGGTAAAATCTCCTCTGCTAGGATCGTGCTGGCCGGGAAGCTGACCCAGCGCAGAAATTGGTCAAGGGCTCGCTCGTCCTCGGACAGGTGACGCGCATCAATCGTCTCGACCTCGAAGTCGCCCTGCCCAACAATCTGGCGGGCCGCGTCTCGATTGTCGCCGTTTCCGAGCAGCTGACCAACAGGCTGCAAAGCAACGCTGCCGAAAAGGACGACGACGACGATGACGAAGAGTCCTCCGACGAGAGCAACGCCGACCTCAAGAGCCTCTTTGCCGTCGGACAGTACCTCCGGGTGTACGTCGTCTCGACGCTCGACGAGTCAGCAGTGACCGGCAAGGCACGGAGAAAAATCGAGCTGTCGCTGCGACCGGCCGAGACCAACGAAGGCCTCGACAAAGACGACATTGTTGCCAACGGCACGGTCATGGCCTCCGTCGTCAGCGTTGAGGACCATGGCTGCGTCATGGACATCGGGATCCCGGGGCTGCGCGCTTTCCTGCCGACAGGAGAGATTGATTCGAGCATAGATCGAGATCGACTGCAGCCAGGATCCGTCTTCCTGTGCCACGTTACCGGCAAGGGCAAGGGCAAAGTCGTCCAGCTCTCGCTGCAGCAAAAGGCCCTGGGCAATGTCAAGGCGGTGCCCACCGAGGCGACCACAATCAGCACTTTCCTACCTGGTACCGCTGTCGACGTCCTGGTCTCGCACGCCGATCATCGCGGCCTTTCCGGCAAGGTCATGGGCAGCTTGGATGTCACGGCCGATCTCGTCCACTCCGGCGCGGGGCCCAACGACACGAAGCTGGAAGAGACCTACAAAGTCGGCAGCAAAGTCAAGGCCCGCGTGATTTGCAACTTTCCGACCGCAAAGGAACCCAAGCTGGGTATTTCCCTGCTGCCGCACGTCACGTCCCTGAGCCGAATGTATCCCGCCCAGGATGCTAACAACCTCCCGACTGTCGTGCTCCCTATTTCATCTCTCGTGGAGAAATGCACAGTCCGCCATGTAGAGTCTGCAATTGGACTGTTTGTGGACACGGGCGTCGCTGGACTTAGCGGGTTTGTGCACATTTCGCGAGTCAAGGACGGCAAGGTGGACGCGCTGTATCAGACGAGCGGCCCCTACCAAGTCGGATCCGTCCACAAGGGCCGCGTCATTGGCTACAGCGAAATGGACGGCATCTTCCACATCTCCTTCGAGAAGAGCATCCTCGAGCAGCAATACATTCGCCTCGAGGACGTTCCCGTCGGTGCGGTGGTCAGCTGCGAAATCGAAAAGCTGGTCATCAAGGAGGATGGCGTGGCTGGCCTGATTCTGAAGGTCGCCGAGGGAATCAACGGCTTCGTCCCCGAGCGTCACATGTCGGATATCCGACTGCAGCACCCCGAGAAGAAGTTTCGCGAGGGCATGAAGGTCAAGGCTAGGGTTCTGTCGACGAACCCCGCCAAGAGGACCATGCGCCTCACTCTCAAGAAGACTCTTGTCAACTCGGACGCGCCGCCCATCAAGTCGTACAGCGAGGTCAGCGTTGGCATGCAGGTTCCTGGCACAATCGTCAAGCTTCAGCCCAACGGTGCTCACATCAAGTTCTACGGCGCCCTGCGAGGCTTCCTCCCGGTTTCGGAAATGAGCGAGGCGTACATCCGTGATCCTAACGAGCACTTCCGCGTGGGCCAGGTCGTCAACGTCCACGTCTTGGACGTCGACTCCGAGCAAACGAGACTGGTCGTGTCTTGCAAGGACCCTGGCGCTTTCGGTTTGGAGAAGCAGACGGCGTTAAAGAACATCAAGCTGGGCGACGTGGTTTCCGGTAAGGTGACGCAAAAGACCGAGGACCAGGTGTTTGTGGAGCTGGCCGACAGTCAGCTCAAGGCCATTCTGCCCGTGGGCCACCTGACCGACAACAAATCGGCGTCCAAGGTTCAGTTTGCCCTGAAGCGCATCTCGACTGGGCAGACTCTGTCAAACCTCGTGGTGATAGATAAGAACGACCAACGCCGAGCCATTATCCTCACCCAGAAGGCGAGTCTGATCCAGGCTGCCAAGGACGGCAAGCTTCCGTCTACTTTCGAAGAGGTCAAGATCGGTAGCATTCTGCCCGGTTTCGTGCGCAACATCACTCAGAGCGCCGTCTTCATCCAATTCTCCGGAGGCCTTCACGCGTTGCTGCCCAAGGCCAGACTGCCTGCCGACGCTCAGAGCAAGCCCGACTTTGGCCTGCAAAAGTACCAGTCTATTGAGGTTAAGGTCGTGTCGACCATTCCAGAGCTGCGCCGCGTCATGGTTGCTCCCTCGTCTGCAACGGAGGAGCCCGAGAAGCCGAAGCGCGCGGAGAAGGCCCCAGCGCCCGAGGACGGCCTTAAGGTTGGCAGCATCGTGCAGGCCAGCATCACATCCGTCAAGCAGACGCAGCTGAACGTGCAGCTGGTGGGCACGGGTGTCCAGGGACGTATCGACGTTTCTCAAGTCTTTGACAAATGGGACGACATCCCCGACCCTAAGGACCCCCTCGAGAAATTCCGCAAGAAGCAGCAGTTGAAAGTCAAGGTCATTGGCGTTCATGATGCCAAGGATCACCGCTTCCTTCCTCTGTCGCATCGCTCGGCGCACTCGGTGTTGGAGCTGTCAGCTAAGCCGAGTGACCTGAAGAGCGAGGCTTCGGAACCTCTCGGGCTCGATTCGATCAAGGTTGGAGAGACACACGTCGCCTTTGTCAACAACGTGACTCCTCAGTACCTGTGGGTTAACCTGTCGCCAAACGTCCGCGGCCGTGTCTCGGCCATGGAGGCGTCGGACGACTCCTCGCTGCTCAACGACTTGCACGCGCATTTCCCCATCGGCTCCGCCATGCGCGTGCGGGTTACGTCGGTGGATACCGAGAACAAGCACCTGGATCTCTCTGCGCGGTCATCAAGCTCGTCCGAGTCCATTACCTGGGCTTCACTGAAGCCAAACATGTTCCTGCCTGGTCGCATCACCAAGGTCAACGAGCGCCAAGTGCTGGTCAAACTCAGCGAGACCGTCTCGGGTCCCGTTCACCTGCCTGACATGGCTGACAACTTTGACGACATTGACACCTCTGAATACAAGAAGAACGACATTGTGCGCGTCTCCGTGGTGGAAGTGGACGCGCCCAACAAGCGACTCCGCCTGTCGCTTCGCCCCTCGCGCATCATGAGCTCGACGCTGCCAGTGACCGACAAGGAGATAACCAGCTTCTCCCAGATCTCCAGTGGCGATATTGTTCGCGGCTTCGTGAAGAATGTGGCTGATAAGGGTCTCTTCGTCCTCCTCGGCGGGCAGGTGACGGCTCTCGTCAAGATTGCCAACTTGTCAGACCGCTTCTTGAAGGAGTGGAAGGATCAGTTTCAGGTTGACCAGCTGGTCAAGGGCCGTGTCATTGCCGTCGATGCCGCCGTGCGCCAGGTCGAGCTGAGCCTGAAGGCTTCGATGGTTGAGGAGGACTACACCCCGCCGATGACCTTCAAGGACATCAAGGAGGGCCAGGTCGTGACGGGTAAAGTGCGCAAGGTCGAGGAGTTTGGCGCGTTCATCCTCGTCGACAACTCTGCCAATGTCAGCGGCTTGTGCCACCGCAGCCAGATGGCCGACAAGGCCGTCAAGGACGCGACGAAGCTCTACAAGGAGGGCGATGCGGTCAAGGCAAAGGTTCTCGAAGTAGACGCCGACAAGCGACGCATCTCGTTTGGCCTGAAGCCATCATTGTTCGAGGACGAGGACAGCGACATGGACTCGGATGCCGGCGCGCCCTTGGAGGATGAGAGCGACGAAGATGTCGAGATGGACGAGGGCGCCTTGCTCAAAATCCTGGGTACCGATAACATGGATGACTCTGACGAAGATGAGGGTGAAGAAGATGATGACGAGGACGAGGACGAGGATGAGGCTGAGGAAGACGAGGGCAGCGACGAGGATGAAGAGATGGAAGACGCACCCAACGCCAAGACCAGCGGCCTCGGCTTGGGCAAAAAGTCGGCTTGGGCGGCTGACCCATTCGATGAGCCTGGCTCAGAATCCGACGACGACGAGCAGGTTGTCTCGGAAAAGAAGAAGAGGAGAAGAAAGGGCGAGGTCCAGGTGGATAAGACGGCCGAGCTAGACGCACACGGGCCGCAGACATCGAGCGACTACGAGCGACTACTTCTGGGACAGCCCGACTCATCTGCTCTCTGGATCGCCTACATGTCATTCCAGATGCAGGTGAGCGACCTGTCCAAGGCCAGAGAGGTTGCCGAGCGCGCCATAAAGAGCATCAACATCCGGGAAGAGACGGAGAAGCTCAACGTCTGGGTCGCATACCTCAACTTGGAAGTCGCCTACGGCAGCAAGCAGACTGTGGAGGACGTTTTTAAGCGGGCATGCCAGTACAATGACGAGCAGACGGTGCACGAGAAGCTGGCGAGCAATTATATCGGCCTGAACAAGCACAAGGTACGCACTCATGGTAGAGTCCGACCGACATCCATATTGATGCTAACTCACTCTTCACAGGAGGCCGATGCGCTCTTCGAAACGATGCTGAAGAAGTTTGGAGCCAAGTCTCCCAAGGTATGGACAAACTATGCGCACTTCCTGCACCACACGCACAACGACCCTGCACGGGCACGGGCTCTGCTGCCGCGCGCGACGCAGCAGCTGGACAAGCGACACCACCAGGCCATCATCAGCGGGTTCGCCGCGCTCGAGTTTACCTCAGACAACGGTGAGCCGGAGCGTGGTCGCACCATGTTTGAGGGCCTGCTGTCGACGTGGCCGAAGAAGGGCGACCTCTGGAGCCAGCTGCTGGATCTGGAGACGAGACGGGGCGCGGAGGCGGACCAGGCGGCGGTGCGGGACGTGTTTGAGCGCAGGACTCGTGTCAGGGGCCTGAAGCCGCAGCAGGCCGAGAGGTGGTTCCGGCGATGGGCAGAGTGGGAAGAGAAGCTCGACCCCAAGGGTCGGGAGCGGGTGATGGCCAAGGCGCAGGACTGGGCGGCGCAGTTCAAGGCGCGCAAGGAGGCCGACGCGGCGGCGGCGGCGGAGGCAGACGAGGAGATGGAGGAGTGAGGGCGCTGTGGTTCACAGCACTTGCATGGTGGTGCCGGATAGCACCAGGTCGTGTCGACCATTTATTCTAGACATGTGCGGCACGCAACATTAGCAGCGTGAAGAAAAGTCTATTACAGAGTCTGCCGCGCGTAGAAACAAGCGTGACTACAACATGCATGTGGCGATACCTCGGAAGGCATTGAACGGAAGGCTAGCGATGTTGAACCCTCCAGGCACGACGACCTAAGTGAACTGCCCTGCCTGATCTCTCACTTCGGTTCTTACTTCCGCTTGTAGTCCGAGCAAACGGCAAAATTCTGCCACTCCGGCCAGGTACACGCGTTCTGATCAACGCGGCACTGTTTCAATGACAACAAAGAGTCAGCCAGCACAATTCAGTAGTGTTGGCGAAAGGCGGACATGAGCGGAAACAGTGGACATGTTCATTTTGGGGGGCGTAGACCTGATTTATTGATCACTTACCGGAGCGATGCTGTCACAAAACACTTTAATGTAAGATGGCTTTTTCCCTGTGCCTGCGTTTTCATCAACTATGCACTGTTGAAACTGGAGGTTGCATTTCTGGGTTTGGCGAGGAAGAGCCAGTTAGCCTGGTGTCCAACCAGTACATGCACCCAAGGCCAGGTCGCAAGGAGGAGCGGTGCGCGGGCTCTCTGCGTTGCGAGGTAAAGAACGGGAAAGGGAGCGATATACATACCCCGTGGTGAGTGCGCAAGGCGAATGCTGGGCTGCAGAGAGATGCCAGCGCGGCGGCGGCGGCGTAGGCGAACTTGATGTCGACGAGCATGGTGTGGGTTATTGCTCTGGAAGTCTCGCGCGGTGGGTTGGGAAGATGGCTGGGGGCCTGCGTATCTTGGACGAGGGAATGCTCAAGCAAGAGAGATAAACGGACGTGAGAGGGTATGGGATATCTTGTGGGTTTTATATGATTGAGATTGGACGTCGTTATTCACAGAAAGAACGCCGGTTGGATCACGGAAGGCCAACCCATGACGGATGGGCAACGTGGATGGACAACTCGCAGTTCTGTTAACCATTTTCGAAAGGCGTTCGCGTCATGAGCCGCCGAAGATGGACATCATTTTGATGCCCTGATGCGAAGACAAAATGGAAGCGAGAAGATGATGTGCATTTTATCCTGGATGAAGCCACTAGACCGTTTGGGAATGACAGGCGCGTAAACATGGAAGTGATTCACTGTTCTGGATATCTAGACTCCGATGCTTCGTGCTCATAGTTCTGATGCCTGAGGAAGTCAAGTGCCTCACTCCTCACACTCAATCTTGGAAGGCGTGTCGGAGCAAATGGCGCCCTTCCTCCAAGTCGGCCACACGCATGACGCCGAGTCAGAGCGACACTGCACAGAATACGGGCTGGGTGAGCACGGCGAACAAACAATTGAACAGGGAACGAGGGAAGCGTTACCGGAGTTCGTGGATCGCAACGCCTCCACCCCCCAAGCACAGTAGGCCGCGCCTGGGGATTCCGTCGATTCTATCGTCCACATGCATATGTTTTCTTTTTTCGAGCACTCCTGAATTGATCAGGAACAGAGTCAGATCGTGAGCCGCCGGCGTGACTGGAGAGAGGACGGTATGTGGGTATCCGCCGCCTGGCGGGAGCTTACCTCGTGAACGTACTCGAATGCGAGTGTTGGGCTGCATAGTAACGCGAGGGCGGCGGCGTAGGCAAATGTGATGGGGGATAGCATCTTTGTGTTGGAGCGTTGGAGCCGGGTTTTGATGAAGAATGGGGATTGGGGAATCGGCCTTTGGTGATTGTTTGGGTCTGTGAGTGATAGAGTCGGGATGGAGTTGAGCTCCGTGTTGCATAGTGGCATCAAACAAGACCATGAATGTTTAGAACAGAAGGGAGCGATGGGGTGAAGTGTCACGAAGCATCTTGCAGCTGATAGAAGGTACACCATCTACAAAAGCCAGCTCGGGACCATTCAATGACCATTGGGCCGTGCGAAACACGTCAAAGTATTGTATCATGTTCACCCAACGAGCCTGCAGTCGAGGAGCTGATGAGTCGAGGCGGGCGGAAGCAGCACTTTATATTCTCGCGGTCTCATTACGCGACCACGACCAGATAGCGTATCAATGACCGCACGCCCTGAATGAGTTATGTGAGTGTGAGACGCCGCGCTGGAGCGAAGGCGATGACAATGGTAATAGCCTGCAGATGGCAGTTGATGGCTGAAGCGCCGTGCACGTCGGTTTCAGTAAGTTCAGGTGAGGACATGGCATAGCCCGCGGCGTGCTATTGACACCCAGCGGCGGGACGGGCAATAAAGGTGTGGCGTTGCTAATGACCAGCCGGGTGGCGGCAGCCTCTTAGACGCGCTGATTGTTAGCATCTCATAGAGACCCTCCACGTCGTGCTGTGCAAGTGCAACGTTCGGCTGGAACTTGCCGGACGCGCGGGCGGCGGACGGACTGGGGCTGTTTCGGCAACATCCACCCAGCAAGGCACGCCGGACTGGAAGAAGAGCACCGGGAATGTGGAAACTCGTCGATCAGCGGTAAAACTGCACGGAGCGGCCCAAGGAAAGACGGCGGGGGGATCAATCCGAAATGGGCACTCAGAAGCGGGCGGAGTGGGTGCGCGTGGGCGGCGGCGGCATGTTCCAGGGCCAAGAGATGTAGGGCTCCTGAGCACGGCACTGAGGCAATAACGCACGCGAGTGTGATTTTTTAACAAATATGGATGGATGTACATATGTATCACTGCCGTCAGCGGGTTGGAGACCAAACTCCCCGCCCGCCATCTCCCCACTCGCCGAGGCCGTGTCCATTCTTCGGGCATATGAAGCAGCACGGCAGCAGGGCTCATTTGAGCACCTGTGAAGCAGTATCACAGCAGATTACACAGTCACGTCAGTAATACTCGCGGCATATACCTACCTCTGGTACATAACATAACACGTTGTTTCGAACACAAGCCCGCAGCCAGACCCCCCCCCCCCCCTTCTCGGCCGGAACTAGCGGGTGTCGCCATCTGCAGCGCAAAAGACGGGACGTCGATCCGCAAAAAGCGGGAACCGGGGGCGAGCACGTCACCGGGGCCGTCGGTAGCGTCAACCAACCCATACCCTTTTGCCTTGCGCCTGCGGCTCCTCGGGCGCGCCGCACCGCCGCCGCGGGCCTGGCCTTGACGCCGCAGCAGCGGGTGGTCGGTCGCTGGCGTGCCGGGTTTCGAGGCCCGCGAGACAGAGAGAGAGACTCTGCTGATGCCCTCATCATCGGACGTGAATATCCAATCCTCAAACCCCCAAGGAACTGACCGGATTTTCCGTGCCCTGGCCATGGGGTGTCGCGTGTGCCGGGCGAGAAAGGTGAGCGAGACCCTTCGATTCAATTCAAAGCTTCAGAAGCCACAGCCGGCGGCGAGGGACCGAAGCGGGTGGATCATCGGGCGCGCACCCGCGGTGTGGTGAGGCGCGCGTGCGTGAGGTGAGGCGAGGTGAGGTGAGAGAGCCTGGGCTGACGGGTGGGATATCAACGTCCCGCGCGACGCACAGGTCAAATGCGATGGCCGCCCCAACGGGTGCCGCAACTGCGAGCGCCTGCAGCTCGAATGCGTGGGTGACGACGGCGCGCCGCTGATACTCGACGGCGGCGGCGGCAGCGGCGGCAGCGGCAAGGGCGACGGGAGCAAGGGCGTTGCAGGCGTCGGCGCGCTGCGCAAGATCCGCACGTATCGCTCGTGCCAGAGCTGCCGCCTCAGCAAGACCAAGTGCAACGGCGACAGGCCGCGGTGCGCGCGGTGCGTGGCCAAGGGCGCAGAGTGCGTCTACGACGGCGGGTCAGCGCCGCGCTGGACGAGGAGCCTCAAGAGGGGAGGGAGCGTCGACGTCAAGGCCGAGCGGCGGGATGATGGTGCCGAGTCGTCGCCGCCGGGGGACCATGGGTCGTCGGCAACGACGGCGGATGGACGTGGGGAAGGAAGCGAGGCGGCATCGTCGTCGAGAGCATCTGCTGAGGCGAGGGCTGGCGAGGGGACGAGCAGCATCGGCGTAGGCGGTTCTGCCTCTGCCGGCGGTGATGTGACGCCCTCGCATCCGCTTTCATGGTAAGTATCGTTCACAGTACCTCTCCAGATCGGCTCTCGAGTCTCATACACAGACAACTGACACACTTCGCAGGCTCCTCTCCCCCGAGCTCCCCACCGGCCGGAGCCTGCGCCGCGTCGTCGAGCAGTACTTTGCCAACGTGCACCCGCTGCGGTGCTTCGCCTTTGTGCACAAGCCGTCCTTTATGCGCCAGCTGGACCGCGGCTTCGCCTCCGACGACGAGTCGGCGCTGCTGCACATCATCTGCGCCCACGGTGCCAAGTTTCTGCTGCTCGGCAGCGGCGCGGGGGATCTGACGCCGCCGCCGCCGCCGGTCGGCCTTCGGGGCGCTGGCAACCAGTGGGCGCGCCGGGCCGAGTTCCTGTTACTGGCAAATTTCGGCAAGATTTCGGTGCAGCGGCTGATGGTGAGTTCTAATGGTGGTGGTTGGGGGAAGAGTGCAAAGGGCGGTTTGCGTTCAGGGGTTCAGGGGCTGATGCACATTTATGACTTCTTAGACCGCCATCCTCCTCCACGACTTCCACTTCCGCCTTGGCGAGTACGGCCAGGCACTTATGATTAGCGGCCTCGCTGTGCGCATGGCACACGCGCTCAAGATCAACGCCGAGTACAACGCCGACGTGCTGTGCGCCGATGAGCGCGACGCGGCGGCGCCGTCGGTGGCATCACGCGAGTCGCGCCGCCGCCTCATGTGGGCGTGCTACGTGCTCGATGCGTGGGCAGGCTCGGGTGTTGACCAGCTGACACTTTTGCGCGAGAGCGACATCAAGATTCAGCTGCCCTGCAACGAGCGCAACTTTGGCCTGCGCATCCCCTCCGTCACCGAGACGCTTGGTGTCGGCCACGTCCTGCAGTTCCTGCCGCCGGCCATTGTGCCGCGCCGCCCGGCCGCGAACATGGGCATCATGGCCTACTACATCCGCGTAGTTGCGCTGTGGAAGCGCATCGTGCGGTACGTCGCCGGCCACGGGCTGGGGCTGCACGCCGACGACCGTCCGCCGCCGTGGCAGCCCGACTCGCACTTTGCGGCCCTAGACGCGGACCTGCACCTGTGGCGCCGCGAGCTGCCCGACTTTGTCGAGTACTCGACCGAGACCATCTACGCGCGCCTCGACTCCAACCAGCTGGGCGCCCTCGTCCTCATCCACTGCACCTACCACCACAACTACCTCGAGCTCTACAAGATCACCATGCCCGACCTCTTCAAGCTGGACAAGCCATTTGTCTTCCCGCCCGAGCACCAGGAGTTCCTGCAGACCATGCAGGCCAACTGCTACTACCACGCCGCGCAGATTGCCGAGATCCTCGCCGAGGCGGCCGAGCACGGCGCGCGCCTCCTGTCGGACAGCCTGCTGCCGTTCTTCATATACGACAGCAGCCGCGTCATGCTGTATTACGTTGCGCGGCTGCTAGATCCGTCGCGGCCGGATGCGGAGACCAAGATGCGGGAGGCGATCCGTGCCGTGGAGAGCAACAACCGCGTCCTGAGACTCATGTCGACGCTGTTTCCGATTGCCCAGAGCCTGGTATGTTGTCCTGCGTGGGGAGTCTGTCAGATGTGCTAACGTATGTTTCATAGTCGGCGACGATAGAGCGATGGCTCGCCAAACTGCAGCGGGCCGTCAGTCAGGACGACCTGGTGAGCAGCCTGCAGTCGGAGCACCGGCTGGAGGCGCACCGCTCTGAATTGTTAGTCCCTGTGACCCGACGGCTTGCTCTCTAGTTGGCAGAGGAAGGAGCTAACGCAGATCCAGATTAAGCGGCGCGCGCGAGTCGTCCGAGTTCATCCTCCCGCCGCTCCACTCCCTCGCCCGCACCGGCGGCGTCGGCGGCTCCGTCACCCCCGACAAGCGGACGCCCGGGCTCTCTTCCGGCGGCGGGACGGGAAGCGTGCCCGACTCGCCGGCGTGGAGCACCGTCAACCCCAACGCGGCCAACGCATCGTGGGACGGCACCAGCGCCGCGGCGCACCAACTGGTCGGGCTGAGCACGCAGGCGGCGCAGGCGAGCGGGCTGCAGCACGAGCGGCCGGTCCTGCTCCAGCAGCAGCAGCAGGGGCCCCCCGTGAAGCGCCAGGGCAGCCAGCCCATGTGCGAGGCGCTGGACCTCGACGACCTGCAGAACTTTTTGAGCTGGGACATGTACGGCATCATGGAGATGGGAGGGGGGGTGTTTAACGACGACATGGACGACTCGGTGTCGCAGTCATGGACGGGAGCGATTTGATTCGATACGATACAGCATTTTTTGTTTTTCCAGAGCGAAGATGAGGCGAGTGATGCGGTTCGGGGGAGCTGGATGTTGGCGTGATGAGGCGTGATGGAGTCGCTATATGGACGGAGACGGATTGAATACCACTGACGAGAGAGGACTGGACATGACGGCCGCGAAACGTTTCGAATATGATAGATAGATAGAGAGAGTGTGAAATGTCACCGGAGAACGGGACGGTGGATGAGAAACCGGTGTAAATGCGGTGGAGAGTGCGCCTCGGAGCGCTCGTCTCGACGGCCCGAAGCCGAGGCGGGCGACCATCGGCCGGATCGGCTACGGCGCCCGGAATTCGGTGGGGCCCGCCGCGGTCGGCGCAGTGATTGGCGACCGGAGCGTCGGCCGGAGCGTCGCCATTGCGTTGCAGTGAGACGTGCTGCGATATAAGGTCACCGTCGACGCCGGTCTCACTCATGTCGGGTGTCATTTGCCTCACGCCGTGCCTTGTGCTTCCTACATATCGTCTACCTTCCAACTCGCATCTCATAGCGCGCATTATCATCATCGCCGCTAGAGAGAAGAAGAGTGAGACGGCGCAACAACGACAACACTAGCACCACCTAAGGAGCACGACATTAGCGACACAGAACGGGCACAAGGAGAGACACAAGCATCATGCCCAAAAACATCCTCCTCCTCGTCGCCGACGACCTCGGCCGCGAGCAGCTCGGCTGCTACGGCTGCGCGGCCATCCAGACGCCGCACCTCGACGCGCTCGCCGCCTCGGGCACGCGCTTCGACATGGCCTTTGCCAGCACCGCCTCGTGCAGCGGCTCGCGCACGACGCTGTACACGGGCCTGCACACGCACGAGAACGGCAGCTACGGCCTGGTCCTCGAGCGCAACGGCTTCCAGACCTGGGCCAACGTCGAGACGGCGCCCCGCGTCTTCAACGACCTCGGGTACCGAACCGGCATCCTCGGCAAGGTGCACGTCGCGCCCGACGCCGTGTACCCCTGGCAGGTGCGCCGGGAGAGCGAGACGCGCGACGTGGCTGTCATCGCGGATCAGGCGGAGCGCTTCTTCCAGGAGGCGCGCGACGACGAGAGCAGTGCCAAGGGCTTCTTCCTGACCATCGGGTACGTCGATCCGCATCGCGTGCTTACCAGCCGCGGCGGGTTCGGCAACGCGGACGCAGACGCGGGTGCCTACGATGCGCGCATCCGTGACCGCGTGTACAACCCCGACGAGGTCGCCGTGCCGTCCTTCCTGCAGGACCTACCTGCCGTGCGGCAGGAGCTCGCCGAGTACTACCGCGCCATCAACCGGCTGGACCAGGGCGTGGGCATGGTGCTGGCGGCGCTGGAGCGCACGGGGCAGGCCGACGACACGCTGGTGCTGTTCCTGAGCGACAATGGCCCGCCCTTTGTCAACTCCAAGACGACGCTGTACGACGCAGGCGTGCGTCTGCCGTTCCTGATGCGCGCGCCGGGGGCCAGCAGTGCCACCGACGTTGTAAACCCCAATCTCGTCTCGTGGATCGACGTGCTGCCCACGATGCTGGCCTGGGCGGGCCACGAAGGGCGCCAGCCGCCTGAGGGGTCTGTCGGTCCGCGAAAGGGGCGCAACTTGCTGCCCATCGCGGGAGAAGGGGCCGTGGTGCCCGGCTGGGATCGCGTCTTTGGATCGCACACGTTTCACGAAATCACCAACTACTGGCCGACGCGGTATATGCGCACGCGGAGGTGGAAGTACCACCGCAACGTGTGCTGGCGCCTCGACTTCCCCTTTGCCATGGACCTGTACGCGTCGCTGTCTTTTGACGCGATGCGCAACTCTGGAGGCGCCGCCGCCGCGCCCATCACCAACGGCTGCAACGGCACCACCACGAAAGAGGTGAATGGTGTCAGCAAACACGAAGAGAAGACGGCGGCACCAACAAGCAAGCAACCGGCGATGATCGGCAAGCGCACGCTCAAGAGCTACATCCGCCGCCCGGCCGAGGAGCTGTACGACCTGGACGCGGACCCGGACGAGGTGCGCAACCTGGCGGACGAGCCGGCGCACGCCGAGACGCTGAAGGAGATGAGGCTCGCGGTCGAGGCGTGGCAGTATGAGACGCACGATCTGTGGTTGTGGAAGGACGGCGTGTCGGTGCAGCGCTTCCGTGAGTTTGACTACGAGCGCGAGGGGCTGCGCATCCCTGACCGGTTGGACTTTGATGTCGATAGCCCCGGAACGGAAGGGGTGAAGACGATACGCTTGCATGAGACATAATTGAGGGCCATGCGGCTGGAACCATGTAGATTAATGTAGAATGACACAATTGTGCAAAGCCACGACCGGCGTTGCTTATCTTCAAGTTCTCCTGAGTTAACGTGCCTGATGTGGCCACTACAGGGCGGCATGATAAGAGCACAGGTTGATACAAGAGGCAACGTCGTCGGGACATATTATGTACGCATCCCCCTGTTTCAGCCCTCAAGGCTCCTTAACTGCAAACGACGTCGCGCAGTCAATGGCAAAGCCAAATACCCTCGCGTACCAGCCCCGAGACCAATGGCTCATCTCAAGATTATGTGGCGCCCCGACCAACAGCACTTCCTCGACCCTTGGACTGTCAGCGAAGGCACTCACGATCTCCTGAAGATGTTCTCGGCTCCCTTTCCAGACCCGGTCGCGTTCCGCGAGGCCCACCATCACGCTCACTTGCACTCTGGGGGCCCAATCGCTCCTCCACCGGGGTGCCCAAACCTGGCTAGCCGTCTCAATGTCCCCAGTCGGCGGATGCTGTCGCAGACTGCTGGCGAGGTGGAAGATATCAGCATCGGCTGCCCATGATGGCAACATCAAATCTTGCAGCGTCTCTGCGTTTGTTTCACCGCGCCGCTGTCTCGCGCGAAAGGCGAGAATGTCCGGGTGCGATTGGGACCCCATGCCAGAGAAGGAGATGCCGCCGAGGGGATATGCGGGATTTGGGTCGTCGGCGTGAAGCGTTGCGGCGATGATGGCACTTGGCGTTCCCAGGCTATGGCAGTGCATTACGATACAGACGCACCCGCTAGACGCCCCAAAACGCGTCCATAGCGCCGGTAAGATATGGTGGTGCAACCGGCGCGCGTTTTCTTCTGCGAATGTCGAGTCCTGTGGAATGCGTCCAACAGGCGATGAGTCTCCATAGCCGGGTCGATCAATCGCGACCAACGGAATATCTAAAGCATCGCTCAATCTGTTGGCTGAGTGTTCCGGGTCACTGTCAAAGTATTGGGCAGAATAGCCGGCGCCATGAATAGCAACGAGAAGCGGACGACTGTTATTGCCGGAAGTACAAGTTGATGGAATATTGGCTATGCCTGCGACAGTCGCGCCGTCCGTGAGGCGCAGGGTAAATGACTCCATCTCGAGTGCATGTGGCCGCCGTTGCTAGACAAATTCACGACCTTACGAACGACTCTATATACTCCCCCAACTACGAGGACCATTCCGTGAAGAACGCAGCTGATTCAAGCACTTTCTTGCGTTGGACTGACTATGTTGTCATGATTGAGACTTTTGCTCAGAGTTGATGAAAGGCGTTGTGCCGAGTTGTCCCGCGGCCTCCGAGCCGATAGCGCCGAACGCAACGTGGGTTCGATTCAAGCTTCAGGGTTTCGGCCGCCTCGAGGCTCGGACATCGGCAATTGCGAACGGAGATCGAATGGTGAAAGAGCTTGAGATTGTAGCCATCGAACAGAGGTTCAGAATATGCCGAGGCCATTGCCACCCACCCCTGGGGAAGCCTTCTGCGCTGCGCGTACAGGTATCCTCCGATCTTGAGGTTTTCGCTTGCGTATTCCATCAAGCCCCCTGCTCTGCCAAAACCTGACCATCACCCCAGCCAGTGTTCCAGTCTTCGTTCATACACCGCTCGAAGCCTTGGGCCGTATCCTCCCAATCTTCAAAGGAAGAGAGGTTGTCGCCGGCTGTTTTCGGCTCTGAACTTGCTGCTAGCAGCGGACGCCGTCGCCGTAATAGGTCCCCCGCATAGCAAAGGATAAAGTACAGCCGCCGGCAAAGCTCTGTGTCTCTATCAACGCTCTTCTGAAGCTCCTTTGCTTCTTCCTCGCCCACTTGGCCATCTTTCAGGGCAGATCGACAGTCAAATACATTCTTGCGAGTCTGGTGTAGGCGTTTCGCGAGCGCGTTGACGTCTTCGGTGCCACCCGAACCGCCAGCCGACGAACTACCCAACGAGCGGCGAATGAACATAGCACGCCGCTGAAGATCATCCCAAGCAGAGTATTCAATCTGCCTGCCAAACACCAGAGACAGCAGATGAAAGGCAGGAAACATTGAGTTGTCTCTGGAGACAACTGCACTTCCAGTCTGGCTGCTTTTCCCGCTTGCCGGCGCTGTCATCATATACGTCGGGTCTTTTACTGCGGCCTCGAGCTGTTCTAAAAGGTCGTACGTTGGCCGAGGGGGCCTGAGGGTGGGAGTGACGGCTGCTTTCCAGTCATCCTGCTGACATCGCTCCTCTATAAAGTTGGCAATTGACCCAAAGGAATTGAGTGAGGCCATGTCGGAAATAATTTCACTGTCTTCCAGCCGCACGGTATATATGCACGACCCGCCATGGAAAAGACTCATGCTGGACTTGAAACCAAATCGAACTCGCTGCCTGGCGACTCCAAAGAAGGGAGAAAGCCAGCGGTAGTCATGGCTTTGAATCGAGTTGGCAATTAAGCTCCTCGCTGCGTTCAAAGGTTAGTCTTGTCGTGACATGGACGCTACATGTACAGCGGCACTTACGGGAAAACGTTGTAGTGCCCTCTTTCACAAGACCGAAAAAGTAACATGGAACGCATGTCGAACCTAGAGAGGCCCGTTTTTCACACCGAGAGCACTCTGTGCGTCCATCGTCTTCCCGATCGCACTGTCACATGTGAATAAGTTATAGTTATGTCAATATACGGGACGTGTAACAAGTACTCACCGAAAGGACTTTAAATCTGCATCGGACGCATACCGACCTGATTAATCGCCTCTTGACGTGCGCCTCTTTTGCTTCTTTTGATAGGGGACCCTGTCTCCCTCCCGTCTTCCGGCGGACAGGGGAAGGCATGGGCAGGTTTGACGAACACTCTGCTTCGCTACTAGCGCGCGTGTACGTAGAATCAAAAGTGTCCGCGCTGAAGGTATACGGAGTGTAGGTGGTTGATGCTCTGTAAAGTGGCCGAATGGGCGTGGTCGGCGGTGACCAGGAGGTGTAACTCGGCGAAGGGAGATACTCAGGAGCTTGCAGGTATAGATTCGTACCTCCGGCACTCATCGGTGCAAAAGGGACGCGCGAAGAATAAAGACATTCAACAGAAGGCTGCGAAAACAACTCCTGGGGATCGGCAATCGAGGACGGTTCCGGCTCCGGCAGTGAGATGCTCGCATGCGGAAAGTACCATTGGACTTGGTTCATGATCTCGACGAAAGGGCTGATGTAGATCTCACCCATGGGATTGGCTCCGATGACGAGCCCATAGATCATATCGCTGCCTGCATCAACCACAATGGAGCCAGAGTCGCCGACTTCCAGCCCTACGCGTTTCTTGTCAGATTGGGCAACGACGAGCTCATCGCAAGCTAACTGCTTACCTTGGCCGACGGCCAAGCCAACGGTCCAGACCGGTGAGACCCGACTCCCGTTGATTCCCCCTACAATCGAAACGCCAGGTCGGAGCATTCCCTGCTTCAGTTCTTTGTCACGGGTGATCAAAAGAACCGGACTATCGATTGTCGGACACGCTTTGACGTAGTGCCTTATGACGCCTCGACCGGGGAGACGGGTATGATTGACTAGGCGTGAACTCAACTGCTCACCACTTACCAGTCCGCCTATTTTGAAAAGTGCCCAATCGAAATCGTAGTCGCTAGACGGACCCAGCTCCTCCTGATGCGGTAATAATAGAGCAGGAACCTCAAGGAGTCCGACGTCATAGCTTTCCAGCCGTGGGTCATCGGACGATGGTCGGGGTGCCGCCGCGGACGAGATTGTCTCCTCTTTATCTTCGTCCTCGGGTAGGCTGTCGTATTCAATGTCGTCGACGACGAAGTCGCAACCGTCACTGGCTGTGACGCTGGCGTTAGACTTTCGAAACTTCGAGGTGAGTGGTGACTCGTCCTCTGTGATGGAACTCAAGCCTGCAGCGCCGTCACGGCCAGTCCAAACACCTTGAGTAGTGCCAACATTGTGCCTCGTGGTCAGGCCGTATAACTCCGTGTCAACCAGAATTGCGCAACCAAATGTCGAAGAGCCAACGTTGCCAGGCGGCCGAAGGCCGGCACCGCAAAGTGAATATATATAAGGCATATTCGGTAGCCGCCATGAGTCGAGGTGAGGGTCGAAGTTGACGCTTGCATTGTGGTCTCCCAGGAGAATCCTGGGCCGGACCGCACGCCAGAAATACAAGTCAAATAATGGCGTCATCAAAGGATCTGGGAGCGGCGTTTTCCACCAGCCCAGAAAGTCAGCGGTCCTTCCGGGTTTCCTACGGAGATACTGCATTCCAAGCTCTCTGCTGGTGAGCAACGCACGGAGACATTTAAACTCCTGGTTGCGACAAAATACTAGGATAGAGGGATGCGCGGTCTCGTACGAAGTACCACACATCCTGAGGGTGTAGTCGATGTGCTGCACAAAAGGCGCCAGCTCGTGGTGTTTCTCGGTGTTCTCCCGGAACATGCTCACGACCTCGCGAAATCTATTGTGACACGCGGCTGTGATGTCGGCCATGCTGTGTGGATACACCAGAATAGGTGGGGTTGTGCGCGGGATCATTCTTGGATCAGAGGAACCGGGATCAGCTACTTGGGTTATTTCGTTCTGCCCAGAGGTGCGGTTCAGATTGTGCTGGGGAAACCCGGACTCAAACACGGAGCCACAATTGTATTGTGAAAGGTTGTACGGTGGCAGGCTGCTCTGGGTTTGGTGCCCGCCCTGGCTCCCAACCCACATGCTCGTGCTGCTGAGGTACATTGGCATGTACCCCATTGTGGGATTTGATGCCTTGTAGCTTGGAGTCTCAATTGCAAGCTGATCGCGCGGTGGCCTTTCAAAATCTAGTTGGTCGTCCCGGTGCCAATAGCCCACAGGATATGGCCCATGAGCCGTCATGGTCTGGGATGTCATCTGTGACTGTCGCGGATCGATGTGTATGAGGGGGGGTTCGAGGACTGGGGCCTTCTCCCGGCTTCTTGGGGATTGTCTACATGTTCCTTGTTCAGACCCGGGCGGGAAAAGGTAATGAATCTCGTTATGACTGTTACTCACTCTTCGGTGGTCGTTGAAGCCGCCATGTCGCCGCGTGGTTGTAAATTCATCACATCTAGAACCACAGGTAGGTGGAAAGGGAGAGATAGGAGACACCAAGGACGAGCTGCAAAGTGGCTACTGACAGTGACTCCGACACAGCCATCTTCAAACGGGGGCACAGCGGAATTTGTTCCTGCCGTTGGGTGCCAGCCGTAAGGCAACGCGGCTGAGCCGGACGCCTTGTGTCGCCTCATGCGGGCCGACCCTGGGCCGACACCCTGGTCGTCATCAGAGGCGCAGGATTGGATCAGAAACTGCACTTATGTGACACGGCGGCGGCTATGGAGGGCGGCGAAGTCAGGTGCTGCCTGCCACTTGCCATGCCACCGCTGATGTTGCGGGGTGCAGATAGGAATGTTCGTTTCTTCGCGGACATGGCTTGAAACACGCTTCTCTCTCCCCTTTATTTTGCCACGATCAAAATGCAACCAGATTTCCAAACATTGCGTCTGCCGAACGATTGTGAGCGACAAGAGATTGTTGCTGTAATTTTTGGAGAAGAGTCCAGGGCTGATGCGAGCAACCCCAAATTTGACTCCTACTTCAGGTACTACCACTCAGTCGTGTGTCCAGCTGCTGTCGGAGACGCAGCAATCGCCGTGGAAACTCCTGTTCTCAGGTCGCACGCATGCTTGATAAGATGCGTCGGGCTTCTCATCAAGAACCCTGCATTGACTTTTGATGACTTCATCAAGCAAGCCGTCGGTGCGGAGCAGGTAGCTCGCGGAGAGGAAACCCACATTGCCAGGGTGACCGTCGAGGCGGCATTCGGCATCAACTGCGTGTCCAGAGGCTACTACCCGGACGGGTACAAAGGAGCAGGTGCCGGGCGGGTTCGATGGGAAGCGAACACCCCATTCGCCAAGTTCATGGAAGATGCATTCACATGTGCCACGCGACTCGCGGATCCATCAGAGCAACGGCTGAAAAGCTCGACGATTTGGAGACACAAGAGGTCGCTCAAGGCCTGGAAGCTAAAGAAACGTCACAAGTTGAAGTTGAGACCTACCAATAACTTGCTTGAGCACCTATCATACGACCCTTCGACAAGAGTCCTGAGGATCTATCACCACGTATCATTTCTCAGGAACCAACTTCAAAAGACGCGCAACGAGCCGCTGGATCTATCATTCCAGGACAGTTTGAGGCGGTGAGTATTTATGATGCAAGTGTTCTATCCATACTAACACATTTGACCAGGGGCGCACTCCCGCCTAGGTTAATTCTCGAAACGCTCTTGACATTCCATGACATACTCTTTCCAATAGCCACGTTCGGCGACAGGCGGTCGCATGCGATGCTACGAAAGCTCATGAAGCGGCATGGGTTTGATCCTCAAGGAAACTTGGTTCAGTACGTCCGATCGATACCGGAAAACATCACGTTCGAGTACTGGGGAGATCGCTTGTCAACGATATATGGTATCGTCAAGAGCCCCCCACCGACCAACGTTTTCATGAACTGGCTCGAGAGGCACACTTCGGAGAGGAACGCTCTAACCGTTGCGATCGTCGGTCTTCTATTAGCAGCTGTCTTCGGGTTCCTGAGTTTCCTGGTAGGCTTGCTTCAGCTAATTCTTGCCTGGGTTGTCTGGAAGAACCCCACGTCCTAGCATGCAAGAATGTCCCGGTAGTCTTGCTCAGCGGCTTCATGGCATCAAAAGAGCGATTGTATTTCTTCCTTGATACGTTGCTGGTACTGAAATCGTTGTAGAAGACCGTGAGGCTTAGAAATCTCACCACATATGGCTTTCCCACTAATTCAATGGCCGATTATCCTTGTCTTTGCCTGCAAACACTTGAGTAACGCCTGATGACACATTCGGAAAGGCCACTAGGCTCCTTCGTAGACCACGCAGTCCGTGAAGACACGACTCAAGCCTCTTTGCAATCTCAGAAACTCGCGTGGCGTCCGTTGGACTTTCTATCAGTTTGTGTAGCTCCTCAGAAAAGGCTTGCGCAGCGAGGGTATGCGCCTGCACCATCATCAATGGGAACTGCCGGAAAACTTAGCACGATTTTGCGTATGTAACGCGCCATTGACGGCAAAAGCTAGGGATACCCATCAAGCGACGGTACAGCGGGGGAAGACTCACTGGGTGAATGGCAACCTCGCTCAGGTTCGTAGTAGAGCCGCTTTGGCAGGATGCAGCGACTATGGACACCTGTGCTGCACTCAACAGACGTTGCCTTGCGCGGAAGGAGTTCGTCTCCCGGAGCGTACGAGAGAGTCTCTGCTCGGCAACGGAACTGAATGATAGGGAAACTTGCGTTTCCAGTTCCGCAACTGCGTCGTGGAAGAGGAGGATTGCCAGGTCTGTGTCGTTTGAACAGAAAGCAAACATGCGCCATGCCTGACGCCGGTACCTTTGAAGGGAGACATTCGCCAAGGTGTCAAAGGCGCCAAAGGTTGTCCTCCAGAGTTCGATGATTGCCGCTGCGGTGCTGTAACGCTGCAAAATTAAGTCGTAGTCCGCATTGTCCGACCTGGTACGTATTGGGTCGATGGCGATAATGAAGCGCGATACAGCCTTCCACAGCAGGATGGCTACGGAAGCCGATTGTCTGCCTGCTTGGATGATCGAGTGGTCGTTGTCGCCTGCTTGGAACCACACTGTCGTAACGGCCTTGGCTTCGGACCTTGCTCGTGCCAATATTGCATTGTCAATGTCGTTTTCGTAGGATGAACGCAGAAGTGACGAATTTGGCTTTGGATCATGAGCGCTTGTCTGAGATGTGTCAACGGGCAAGGGGCAGATGCTTCCTTTGGATGTCCCGATGATAATGGAGTTGACCATGGCGACGAACCACTCAACCGCCCCAATGAGCTCGAGCACATCAGCTGCAACATGTGACAAAACTGTACCCTTGGCTGCACACGCCGACTGTGAGGCTGTACACTGCGTGTCAGCTTCCATCGTCGCGCGCGCCTTTCCGCACAAGGTCTGCAGCCGACGCAGGCCTTCACAGAATGCAAATGTGGAATCCTCTTCGCACAGCGCCTGATCTTCCTTGGATTCGGACGGGGGCGATATGAAGCCAAAGAGCACCAGCGACTGCGCATGTCGGAACGAGTCCGTGGCGGCAATGTTGCCAAAGACCTTTTCCTTCGCCTTGCGCCAAGCGGCGATGGCGATGTCGCGACTTCGTACTCGCGTGCTTTCGCTAGCTGGTTGCGTGGAGCAACCTGCTTGAACCGTCTCAAGAGAAAATTGAGCCGCGGTGGCGACGGCGACCCATTTGTATGCCTCCGTGATGGCAGCGTCGCGAGCCGCCGTATGGGAGCCGGCCTTCAAGGTACTCGGTCGACAGAAGAGCGCGTCAAGCATGCTGACCGTACGGAATAGGTGAGGCGCGGCCGCCATGGAAGCCAGCCCTGTTTCTTGTGTGGATGCCGACCAGCAGGTCTCGACCCATGAGTTGGCCCGCTTGACTTGGTCCGATATATATGGACTGCGGCTAAGGGACTCAAAGGCGATCACCCCAAGAGAGTATCTAGGTGGCATGCTTCCGCTGAGAAGGCATTGCGATATCGGCACGTCGAATGCGTCGACATAGAGGTGGAACTGTTCGGTGCAGGTATCATTCGCGATGAGTTTCCGAGCGAGCTCGATCTCGATGGTCGACGTCGGTGTCGGGATTCCGAAGTGCCTTTCCGGGGTTGCGCCATCTGTGCTCGTCCATTTGACTACTGATTCACCAGTCTGAAGATTCCTCGCTGCTCTTGAAGCCCTCCTGGCTTCCTGCGCCGACTGCCGCTTGACGGCCCACACAGTGGTGCAATCTTGTCCTCGGACCATGCAGGTCGTGCAGGGCGGCGATTGTGCATGCTTTTGCGAGGTGGAAGCGTTCATCGCCAAATCGCAAGCTTTCTTGGATGCTCGGCATTGATCGCATGCGTGGTTTTGCCTTCGAGGCATTGGTTTCGAGTGATAGCTGAAGTTGCTTTGTTGCTGAGGTGGATTCGACACCTCGCGATTCCATGTTTTTGAAGGTGTATCCAGGGCCTCCGGATAGAGAGTGCCTAGGGATGCTGGGTCGCCATTATTGTCGCTCGGAGTGGTCTGGACACCCCCTGACTGGAACAAAGACAAAGTCGAGTCGGACTGTCCGCACGTGGTGTCAGGAGGATTGCCGTCCCAGGCCACCTCCATGATGTTGTCCAAGTTTAGGATGCTGGCCGATCTGGGTGCAAGGCCCAGGGGCTCTTCATTGAAATACCCTGCCTCGTGCATAGTTTCGGGTGAGATGCCATGCTCAAGGTAGTCCTGCGTTGACGGCATATCTTGGAACTGGTCCCACGCCATCTCCATGATGAGTCGCACGTCTACCGGAAGGCAGCTTGCCGTTGCCACGCTCGTCCTCTCATCTTGATAACCCTTATCGCAGAAGAGGCCGTCGAGGTAGTCCATGCCGCAAATCGTGAAGTACTTCGTCGGCGTGTCGCTGAGCTGGAGATGCAAGTGTCAAGCTGCCCTGCTGCATGTTGTTAATGTTAGCATGCGGGGGCGGGTCCGGCAATTCTGATGGGCGATGGCGCAGACGGGTGACCTCCCTCTACGATGTCCCACACCTCCGGCTGCCATCAATCCCTGTGGCGCTGCTGAGGCTGCCCTCATCTTGGTCCCCGGGCTCGAGACCAATGATAAGCCACCGAAGATATGGCGAGTGGTACATCGCTTTGCAGGTGGGATTCGCCAGACTAGAAGTTCTTTCTGAGCTTCTCGTTGTGACGGGTCTCTACATGGCAATTAGTGGGAGTATCTACTTCATGGCCTACTTCGTACATGTTCGTAGTCCGTGGAGACCATATCGACACAAGACTGGCATGCGGAGGCCGCGACCCGAGGCTGGCTTTTTACTACCAAAGATAAGAATCCTCAATACAGCTTGGAACGAAACTTGCCACACTCGAACTGTTGCTCGCAGCGTCCGCCGGGGAGGGCAGCCTCCAAAGTTGAGTTTGGTGGCTTAAACAGGCAAGTGGAGTCTCGGGGTGGGCCCGCTCATCGGAGCCGCCGGAGCCGCGGAGGCCGGCATCCCGGTGCGACGCGGCGGGGAGCGGACAGAGCGGGCAGAGCGGACATCTCAATTTGTGGGCGATTCCGCCGTCAAGACGCACTTGGGCACTCTGCCGGTGCGCAACTTCCCTGCCTGGTAAAGCGGGGGGCATTGTTACGCCGCCAACGCCGAGTATGTCAGGACTCTGGAGCGACCAGCTCGTGCTCGGCCATGGTAGGACGGCGCTCAGTGTTCGAAGCCGTGCGTAAGTGCAAATACATCGGCTTACATGACAGGGGCGCTGGAAGTGGATAGACTGCCAAGAAATGAATCAACATTGCAACCAGGCCGTGTGAAATGGAAGTATCAGAAGCCGTGCGCGGAACCGCGGCACCGTTCAAAGCAAGCGAGGGGACAGGACAAGTCTCCTCTATCCAGATTACTTTGCGGATGTTCTGTGAGAACCGTATTAATATGTCGTTATCGGTTGCTGAATACTTGGCCTACATAAAATCGCAGAGAGAGTTCAACTTGCGGCACCTTATCATTCGTACACCGATATTTACATCTACGCCTCGCGAACTTTGCGCAAAAATAAAAAGGAAAACATGGCTGAACAGTACGACGTGGTTGTTGTTGGGGCCGGCATGGCCGGCATAATAGCTGCACGCAACCTCTCTGAACGCGGCCTTTCTGTCGCTCTACTCGAAGCGCGGCCCCGTCTCGGCGGACGGACCTACACGGATTCTGCCTTGGATGGGACACTTGAACTTGGCGGAGGCTACGTGCACTGGACACAGCCACACATCTGGACGGAGCTGCAGCGCCACGGCATGGCAGACTTGCAACCGCCGCTGCCCTCGGAAAGAGTATACTGGCTTGCTGACGGCAAAGTCCATTCCGGAACTGAGAGCGAATGGCTGGCGATTGCTCAACCACTGGTCGAGCGGCTTTTCGCGGACGCTCGTACGCGATTTCCGATGCCCTATCAGCCGGATGTGGTTGACAACACGGATGTTGAATCGCAAACGCTCCGTGAGCGGATCGACTCTCTGGGACTGTCGCAGTATGAACGAGACGTTCTGGAAGGGCCACTGTCGGGTATGATTCACTCCTGCAGCAGACACGGCGCAGCGCAGCTTCTGCACGGTGCGGCAACTACGTTCGGCGATTATGGCGGATTGTTAGAGACGGGAGGGTCTTGGGCCTTGCCGCCAGGAGGCACGAAAAAGCTCATTGATTCGATTTTGGCCGAATGTCCGTCGGCCAAGGTCCACCACTCGTCTGCTGTCAGCGCAATCACCGACAACGGCTCTCGGGTAACCGTAACTACCCGCGCCGGGACTCAGTTCACGGGCCGCGCTGCTGTCATTGCCGTTCCCATCAATACTATCCGGGACATTAAATTCACGCCGAACCTAACACCAGCCGTTCGCGCCGTGCTCGACAAAGACGACGGAGCCCCAAACCCCGTCAGAGCATGCAAAGTCTGGGCACGCGTTCGGGGCCACGTAGCTCCCTTCTCCGCCCTCGCACCCGCCGGCAAACACCCCGTCTCCGCAGTGCGTGTCGAAAAGCGCTGGCAAGGGGGCGACACGCTGGTGCTGTGCATGTGCGCAGACGCCTCTGCAATCCCGTCCGCTCCCGACGCCCGCCGCGAGGTTGTGGAAGCGGCGCTGAGGGCGTTCGTCCCGAGCATCGAAGTCGTTGATACGGCAAGCCATGACTGGGTAAAGGACGAGTTTTCCCAGGGTGGATGGATGATGCATAGACCGGGTGGGTTCACGGGAGCGGCGGTGGAGATGCGCAAGCCCCATGGGCGGGTGCAGTTTGCGGGGAGTGACATTGCCGTCATGGCGGCTGGTGCAATTGAAGGGGCGATGGATAGCGGTGCGGCTGCTGCACGAAAGGTGATTAATGCGCTGGCGGATGAGAAGCTGTATCAGTCGAAGTGATAGCGTGTTCGAGGTTGCTTTGGTGGAAATAGCACAAGTGTCATAGTAACACGCACGACCTCGATCAACTTCACGACACTGCGCACGTCGACAACCTTGTCTGGAGGTATTAATCGGGTTTTTGGCTCATTAGAGTGATCTATCTACAAAAGATCCCGCAACCACGCCTTGAGCTTCTTGCCCTGTTGCGTCTCGGTGGAGTCTCCGACGTAGAGGTTGTACACAGGGGCGACATGGGCCTCCCGCTTGCCGATGAAGAACTCGACGGAGGGAAAACCGGCCTGCAATGGTGTTAACGTAAATGGTTTTCTGCATTTACCGCACTCAACAGTGACCGGTGGGTGGGCAGTAATTACCTTCAGCTTTTCGACAAAGTCCTCAATGATCGGCAGCAACACCTCGTTGCCGCCGCCCAAGACGAGAATCTGCTTTACGGGATACGTTTCGAACCAGCTGGACGGTGCAAGCGACGCATCCGTGTAGTAGTCTCTCGCCGTGCCGTTGAGGTAGTGTCGCGACCAGGGCTTGCCGACAAACGGCGTAATCAGGTCACCTCCCGAGTACACCTTTTCCTGGCTGTGGTTTTCATCGAGCGACGTCCACGGCGCAATGACGGCCGTGCCGGCGAGCGGCTCCTCCAGCTTGAGCTCCTTGATGGCCGGGTGCGGGTGCGCGAGGTGCGACAAGACGCCGACAGCCAGGTTCCCGCCCGCCGAGTCGCCGCCCAGGAAGATTTGTGACGGGCGATGGCGCTTCTGGTCGAGGACGTAGCGCAGCGCCTCGACAGCCTGCGTGAGCTGCGTCGGGTACCGCGCGTGCGGCGCGAGGGTATAGGTGAGCGCAAAGACGGCGACGTCCTTGCCCGCAGCGCGCGACGAGGCGACGACGTCGGCCCAGAACTTGAAGTAGCCGGCGTTGGCGGGCAGGCAGAAGCCGCCGCCGTGGTACCAGACGAGGACGTGCTTGGCGTTCTTGTTGCCGATCCAGTGGCCCTTTGCGCCGTGGCAGCCCAGGTCGACGGTCTGGGGCGTCACGCGAGCGGAGCGCGCGTACTGCTCGTACATCTTGTCCGTGGGCGGCGAGATCCATCTGCGCGCGGGAACCGGCTGTCAGCAAATTTTCATGTCTCAGTGCAGACTAGCCGTCACGAAACTCACTGTAGCTGCAGCACCGAGAGGCGCTTCGTGGCCCGGCGCAAGACAGCGTAGGCAATGTGAAGATACAGGCTCGGCGCGTCTTTGGAGCTGCGAATGAAGCCAGAGAGCACGGACAAGACGCCGACGGTGACGATGGACGCCAGCGCGGGCAGCATGTCCAGCTTGGCCCCGAAGGACAGCCGCTGCTTGACGATGGCCTTGGTCTCCATGGTTTCAGTCGCGTTGAGGTCAGTTCCCCGTCAAGCTCGTTCAATGGGATGTACGATGCTTCTCATCGCCAGGAATGAGACGAGACTGTGGAGAGAAATTCACATTCATGCCCCTCCCCCGTGCCATCGCCGACAGCTCGCTCGCCCGTGCCCGACAGGGGGCCTCGGCTTCGGGCGTCTCTGTCGCGCCGGCTCCGCTCCGGGGGCCAGGCACAGCGGCGCTCAGCGGCTCCGCGGCTCCGCCAGATCTGTCCTGCTGGTGAATGCCGGATGGCTGGCTTGGCTGGTTGGGTGCTCCACTGCAGCACTGGGGATTCGCACTGGCGCCTCCCAGCCATCCCCCTGAGGGTCTGATCAGCATGGGTTCCAAGCCCAGGGGCAGTGGCTTTCCCTGTAGTAGCCCAATCGGAGCTTCCTTTGTCACGTAATCGTCGCCCAATCGGCGCGGGGCCCTCGCATCAATTACTGAAAGCTGTCTATGGCTTGTTGAAACCAGCCATGAACACCATCACGATACACAACAAAGCCGCACCCACATTACCTATACTTCAACACTTGAGCTATTTGCCTCAGGGTAGTTGGCATAATGTAGCATTGAAGGGTACTCCGAGGATACATATCCGAACCCCGGACCTCTGCTTCCTCATTACGCCCAATCGCCGCAGCCATGAGCTCATGCGCAGTTACAAAGACTCGATAATCTCGTCCCTCGGCGCACCGACCTTCTCCAGAGCCTTGTAGAAAGCCGCCGGCTCGGCCCAGTCTTCTGGACAAAACACACCGCTCCTCTGCCCTGCAGATTCAAGCGCCATGACCGCGAACGCTGCGCATGCCGTTCCCGTCATCGTACCCATGTTCTTCGTAAGGACGTTGTCCTTGCCCGACTTGGGTGTGCGCTTGATTGCCACGGCCGGATGCCCGTTCTTGGTGCCCACCGCCCGCACGAGCAACCCGCTATGATTCTCGTACGTCTGCCCGCGTGCCGTCGATATGAGGAATCCGAGAACTTCGCCAGTTGTGCATTCGCCGCTCCAGATTTGCTCCATCATGCCCATAACTGCGTATCGCCACGGATCAAGGGCCTGCGTTGCGTGACCAGCTAGCGCGAACAGTTCCTTGACAGTGATGTCGCCGCCTCGGAACTGCTGCGTCACTGCGGTGAAGGCTTGGCCCCAGCCCGCAGTAGTAGGCGGGTTGGTGACTATCTCGTGCAGAAACCCGACCGCATCTTCAATTGAGAGCGCCTGGCGACGAACCGCATTACCCAAGCCGCGCGCAATGCCGTTCATGGGCTGCGGCCCAAGCCCTCCGATGCATCGGATTCGTGTTGCGTTGGGAAACAGCCGCGGAAGCGTGACGGGCTCAGGATGAGCAGTCTCATGCAGGAGCGTCTCGCCAGACTGGCCCAGCATGGGCGCGTAAGCGGTCTCGACCCAGCTTTCGTTGACTGTGGCCTTCCCGTTGGCCCAGGTGAGACACGGTCCCGATGCAATGTGCAGCAAATGCTCAAGAACGGCTTTGCCGACCTCGGGTCGCTCATCGCCAACGAGCCAGCACAAATCGAGAGCATCGACGGTGTCCAAATCCCTGCTTACGTCGACTGCCATGACATTGCTCATGCCCGGCGAAGCACCGCAACCGATGTAACACGGGACACCTGCTTGCTTGGCCTTCTCAAACAGTCCGAGAGCCGCCTGCGTGCTCTCAACGTCGTCGTCAAAGTCGAGGTACGGAACCTTGGCCTCGAGACATGCCGTGAGCACAGGCTCGGAGGTGCGGGTGTATGGACCCGCGCCGAGGACGACGAGCGCGGCGCCCTGGATCGCCTTGACCAGAGATGGCCGGTCAAAAAGATCGATCTTCGCGACGGTTGCGCGACCTTCGGGAAGCTTTGCGGCCAAGGATTCGAGCACGGTGGTGTTGATGTCGGATAGAACCAGAGGCGCGTCGCAGCCCATGGCAAAGCGTTCGACCGCGACGCGGCACATCTGGCCTGCCGCGCCGATGAACACGACGGGCTTGTTGTTTCGAGCGGTGCTAGCCATCTTGAAAATATCGAATTGAGTTGAAACTTGTATCGACTGGTTGTGTTGAGCAATTGAATGCTTTGAGGAAGTTATTCCCGTTGCTCTTATAGCCTGTTGAAACACAATTGAAGCAGAAAATCACGACGTCAATGTGATATTTGCTGTATCTGTCCAAAAATCGATCGCCTATCTGCGACTCTACCAGCGGAATTGTGTGTTTCCTGACGTTCTCCAATGTGTCGCGGGTCCGCGATGGACGCCACCCCGAGCCGATACAGGTCGCGGCTCCGCGGCTCCGAGCCCAGGCCCCATGTGTACAGTGTACCGAAAATGCACCCGATTCGGCCACCACAATGTCGCCGGTTTCTGGCAATCGTTGGAGCAACCTGTAGTATAACGGGAGTCGTGGTGCATTTGCCAGTATGAGGGCACATCGTACAATGTACCCCGGGTCCGCAACAGAACGAGACCGCTTCGTATATAGCCGACTCCCCCGAGTCTACGGGTGCCATTTATCTACTCCTGCATGGCTTTCTGCAAGTTCCAATTCCGTCTCCAACATGTCAGATGACAAAGATGCCATGGATTTCGATGTCGTAATTGTAGGTGCAGGAATTTCCGGCATCAACTTTGCGTACAGGCTGCAACAAAGTCACCCCGACCTCAAGTATTGCATTCTAGAAGGTCGCCACGAGATTGGCGGGACTTGGAGCTTGTTCAAATATCCAGGTAATCCCCAGTTGGTCCACTATGTCTTTACGCACCGAGTACAGCCTAACAGTTATTTCCTTGGTCACGCTCAGGTATCAGATCCGACTCCGACCTCTTCACGTTTGGTTTTGCCTGGCGACCATGGACAGCGAAGCAATCCATCGCCCATGGCGACCTAATACTCGACTACCTCAAAGAGTCTGCGGCGCAGGAAGGCATAGACCAGAAGATACGCTTCTCGCACCACGTCGATCGGATGAACTGGTCGAGCTCCTCCAACACATGGAGTCTGTGCGTGTCCGTAAACGGGACCGACTCAATTCTCGTCCGCACCCGACTCATATTCATCTCCACAGGATATTACGACTACCATACGCCGCTACAGGTCGAGATCCCTGGAATGGAAGACTTCAAAGGCACCGTGGTGCATCCGCAATTCTGGCCATCTAATCTCAAATATTCGTCCAAACGCGTCGTCATCATTGGCTCAGGCGCAACGGCCATCACCCTCCTCCCATCCCTGACGGAAAAGGCTGCGCATGTGACAATGCTTCAGCGATCACCTGGATACGTCATGTCAATTCCGCAGCGGGGCGCATTTGAAGCCGTCACAACAAAGATTCTACCTCGAAGGGTGGCGCAGTGGATGATCCGACTCCGGTGGACGCTCTTGTCATTCATGCTGGTCACCTTGTGTCAACGATTTCCTAAGCCAGCGAGAAGATACTTCTTGCGCGCAACGGCCAAGCAACTACCTCCAGAAATGAGTGTAGACCCCGACTTCATGCCGTCGTATAACCCTTGGCAGCAACGAATGTGCATGTGTCCGGATGGAGATTTCTTTGCGTCGCTGCGCAGCGGCAAGAGCAGCATCAAGACGGGAGTCATTGATAAAGTCACCGAGACCAGTATTCGATTGCGTTCCGGCGAAGAGCTCCACCCAGACATTATCGTCACCGCAACTGGGCTCAAGCTAAGGATGGCAGGTGGGATCGAAATCTCCATAGATGGGGAGGCCTTTGACATCTCCAGGCACTATGCGTGGAACTCGGCCATGATAGAGGGTCTCCCAAACGCAGTATTTGCGCTTGGCTACGTCGACGCCAGTTGGACTCTAGGCGCTGATGCCACGGCCCAGTTGGCGATGCGTCTGTTGAAACGCATGAAACGCGATGGCACTGCCGCAATTGTGCCGCGGATATCGGCACAGGAGAAGGACCGATTGAGGGACCGTCCGTTCTTAGCCCTGAGCTCGACGTATGTCGAGCGTGGCAAGAATGCTCTCCCGCGGGCCGGCAACGTGGCGCCGTGGCAGCCTCGATCGTACTACTGGAAAGACTTGGCCACTGCAAAATGGGGAAACATCCAACGGGGACTGGAGTGGGTGCACGGTGGTCGTGTTACGCCGGGAGAGGACTGATGATGCAAGGCAGGTTTCAGGGATGGTCATTTGCGCGATCTGGCGGTTGCGTATCGTGCAGGCTGTTTGTAGACCGTAATACGAGGACCTGCCGCAAGCGCGTGTGCGCGCCGTTCATGGTACCGTGCGAGCGACGAGTGCCCGCCTAATTGTTAACCTCAAACTCAGTCATCCGTAACGGACTGCTTTCTGCCACAAGAGTTATTGTCATCTCATTAACTAACAGTTTGCTTTCTAGTACATCTTTTAGCGGTTTGAAATTCGTCTGTGCCAAAATCCTGGCGGCCACGTGCTCTCCGGGATTCCTCATCGTCCCCTGCTCGAGAGGACTATTAAATGTAGCCCATGACCTCTTCCAACGAGATCCATTCCCACATCCCAACTCCCGCCAGCATTCTCCAGAGGAAACTATTCTGCAAACTCAATCAAGTCAAGATGTTGCTGCCTACCATTGTGGTTCCTCCCGACGCTGGTGGCAACACGAACGCACCCAACCGGCCCAAGCTTCCAATGTTCGAGGTCTGGTGCCCACAGCACACCAGCTCCATGTGTCTCCCACCTCTGTCCTATTGCGACGAAGGGACTTTCATGCTCGTCCAACAGTCTCAGACGAGCGCTTCTAGGCAAGGAAACACCAAAAGCTCCCGCGACTGCAGCCAATGTAGCTGTCGCCAGATATTTTCAGCCACCAGCAGGCCTCCCATAACGCCCCAATAAGGCAAGGTTACTGCGAGGGACACTTCAAAGTGTTGGCGGTGGAGATAATGGGAAGGAGTGGACGATGCGTCACACATGAGGCTTTACGACCCGAGAGACGCCATGACTCTGGATGGGCAGGGGCGGCTGTTGTAGGCTTCGGCACGGGCTTGGAACTCAGCAGTGACGTCCCGGCCGCGAAGGAGTATACTCATCAGAACTTCCCGATTATTTTGCACAGCATTTCATTGTTTAAACACTTGTGATCTAGTTTGAGGTTGTCGAGGAGTGGAGCATCCTGGAGAGTTTGCGTTGAGTTCGTACTTCAGCAGACAGAGGAGACTCCTCTACTGATAGCTTCATGTTACAATAAGGCGGCTTATCGCACTTACTATCGCCTTCATGGACATAATATTGGCGACTATTCCGCGAGAGTACACTGCAATTTGTCATTGCTCTGGGTTGGAGAGTGTACCACGGTCAAGATGAGACATTTTTACGTCGTCGGAGGTGCCGTTGCTCGGATGAGGCGGACGACATGCTGAATCCTGAAGGCAAGAGCAACCGCGTCATTCTTGTGTCCATTGATAGCGTACGAGCAGCTTACCAAAGGGAAGATGGTTACGCCAAATGGGACTGTCCACAATGCACTTACATGAACACAATGGCAGCAGGGCAACGAGTAGTCTAACAAACATGAAGGAATACATTGGAAGCATCATCCACGAAGCTGCGAGCTTCGCCAGACAAGAATAATGGTGACATTCACCAAAGCTACCCCGCCGTTAGACCAGACTATTTCCGCCGTCTGAAACAATCGAGGTGCCCGTAATGTACGCATTCTTCATGCAAAAGAGATACGGTTCTGCCGCATCCCCAACATCGCCCAGACTCCCTGTCAGGGTCGCCTCCCTGTACTTCGAAAAGACAAAATCCCTCATCTCCTGCGGCCAGGGCTCATGCATCTCGGTGGGCGTGAGGCCCATCTCGATGGCGTTGACGCGAATTGGCTTCAGCTCAACCGCGAGGCCACGTGCCAGTCCCTGGACAGCCACAGTCTGCGCGGTATATGATGTCAACAAGGGCGGCGGCTTGACGGCGGTGGTGGATGAGGTGAGCGTGTACGAGCTGGTCGGTGCCTTATTCACATAGTCGGGTAGCAGCCCGCCGAGGATGGCCGGTGCTGTGAGGCGGACGAACTGTCGGCTCTGAAGGTCCTCAACCGTGCTTTCCCGGTATGTTGCCACGACGATATCATCTCCCACCGTATAGACGACATGATCCAACAGTTGTGTACGGCTGGTGGTAGCAAACTCCAGCAATGCCTTCAGATTGGCGTTGAGTGTAGCCGGGTCCCCAACGTTGCAGGTGGTGCCAGTGACACGTGCGCCGCCAGAGGCTGAGTGATTGGGTTCAAGCGGGCAAGCCACCTTACGGAGACGTTCAATCGCGTTGCTGACTTTGTCTTCGTTGGAGCTGCTGACAATGACTTGGGCGCCGTGCTCGAGCGCGGCTTCGGCAACTGCGAAGCCGATCCCTGAAGTCCCACCGAGGACAAGGACACGACGGTCCTGCAGCTTGGAAATAAAGCGCAAAGGGCGAGACATGGTGCTTAAGCAGTGAAGGCGATGGGATGGTGCCGAAAGATAGAGGCTGGCAGGAATAGATGTCGTTTTCAGCTACGAGCTCCAGGGCGAAGCAGGCCGGCTATTTATTCTTCTCGATTTACGTGCACAAGTGAGAACGTCGACAGCGTGCAAGTGGAAGGCGCAGGCGTGCCCGGAATGCCAGGGACTAGTCTTCACTCGGTAGTCGATTCAAGATGCACGAGTGGACTCTAGCTAATCTCTCACCCACGGACATGTACGTCAAGTCAGCCCTCTTTTGCAGATTGGTAATATGGCAATCTATAACACAGAATTTGCCTCTCGGCATGTCAGAAAATATTGCCAGGCGCGCTGGTCGGGGAGCTGAAGGTCTCGGGACAGCCGCGGGGCTGTAAGACTACGCGCGGCGCTAGAGCGAATAAGGAATTTGCTGAGCCGGGCTCTCCAATGACGGGCAAACGAACAAAGCCACTCATCATCGCCAGATGCACGAGAATCATGTCGAACCTAGCTCGGCCAAAAGGGGAACTTGCTGGCTTACGGCCCACGATGCATCAATGAAACTGCACATATCTACTTGGCAGAAATGTCATGGAGAGGCACGGGTGGGCGGAAATGGCCTCCCAGCCACTGGCAGTTCATCTAGAGACCGATGGTATAAGATGGGGAGCCCACAACGCACCTTGGGCAGATACTATACCGGCACGCCATGTCCCTCTTACTTTAAACTTCTTAAAAATCTGTTTTGCAAGATACAGAGCATCAACAATGGTCGACATTGAGACAGCTATTCCCGAGGGCTCATGGGTATTGGTAACCGCTGCCAACGGCTACACTGGAAGCCACATAGTCATTGAGCTCCTGAAGCGAGGCTTCAAGGTCCGTGGAACTGTGCGAGACTCCTCGTGTGGCCAGTGGCTCTTGAACGACGATATAATCTCACCCTTTGCCAGGCGTGGCGACCTGGAGCTGGTTGTTGCTCACTGCAGTGTGCCAAATGCATTTGATGATGTCGTCAAAGGGGTGTCAGCGGTAATCTACAACGCTATTATCTCTGACATTGTACCAGATCCCAACATTACGATATCTGCGACCGTCAGGGCAGCCCTCAATGTCTGCCGGTCTGCCGCCCGCGAACCGTCGATAAAGAGATTCGTGATCACGTCCACATTCTGGACTGTCGCGATGCCCATACCTGGCGTGACGGATACCATTACGAACCTCGATACCTGGAACGAAGCAGCGCTGGAGGCCGCTTGGGCTCCGCCGCCATATGAACCGGATCGCGTTCTGCACGTCTACTTTGCCGCCAAGATTGAGTCAGAGAAGGCCATTTGGACGTTTGCGAACGACGAAAGGCTCCCATGGGTTGTCAACTCAGTCAGTCCGTGTTGCATCATGGGGGACCTTCGCGATGATAAGCAGCTGCATGCAGTACCTCCCCAGCTTTTGGAGTCGCTGTATCTTGGCAACACGGATGCATTACGAGGAACTCCAGCCAGTATGTTGTTGCCTGGCCCTGACGAACTACCGGTTGTCCGTTCGGCTGCGAACACCAACGAAAAGGACAGAACACCACTGACAGCAAATTTCTGAAAACAGTCTATTACTCGCATGTTACCGACGTCGCCGTTGTTCATGTTGCCGCGGCGGTTGATCCACAGGTGCAGGGTCGGCGCATCCAAGTCTTAGCCCGATCCTTCAATTGGGACGACTGCCTGGACATCATGCGCAGAGCCTATCCGAACCGACAGTTCGTTGCAAACTTTCAGCCGGAAAACCCAACCCTGAAATACACAATTGAGGACGACATCGCCCCACGATTGATCAACAAATGGGCTGGACGAGATTGGATCAGTCTAGAGGACGGCGTCAAAGAAACAATCACATTCGTTGTCAAATACAAGGAATTGGAGTAGCAACATCACAAGAAGCATGTCATCCGCCAGGAAATGGACCATCATCAGCAACGGTAAGCGACACCCCGAGACAAAACGCCCCTGGGGCGCCACCGGCTGCTGTGGGTGACGGACTGGGATGGCTTATCGCCTTATTGGTGGACGGTGGTGCCGGATGGCGAAGCTGAGCAAGCCAAATAAGCACTTGATTCCACGTCGCCCCCCTCTGAGCGGGCATTTAAACGAGTTGCAAGCCCTCGCTCCAATCGAAGCGGAGACGGATCGTTAGGACAACGCGACAGCATCAGTTCAAGGCGACATATTTCTTCTACGGGCTGAGATCTCCGCAAACGACCGAGACAGCGAATCCCAGGCGGTCCGCGATGGAACGGCTAGAAATCGTCCATGTGGATCCGGTTGGAAAGGGGCGACGAGACAACAACCCAAGGAAACCACAACAAAGGGGCGGCCCGAGGAAGCCGGGGCTCCCCACCGTCCAGTTCATCAACACTATTCACCCAAGCGAAAGCGCCAGCCCGCGCAGCCTGACCTTGATCCGATCGCACGTGGCCAAGCATGCCCGGGCCCTTCAACGGGAACGGAGGCAGCAGGCGCAGCTCGTGCCGCCGCCGAGGACGCCGCCGCTAAGAGTGGAGATCCGCTCTCGGCCACTGCAACGACATGACAGCGAAACGCGACAACAAACACAAGAAAGTGACTCCAACGAGGAAGAGCCCATCAATCAAAATGACCAGATGAACGAAGTTCGTCCGGGCAAACGCCACGGGACTCAGGCCAGATGGCGCCAGCTGCCCGCCAGTGAGACGACAATGCTGCTGGACCCAGACGACGAAGAGTTACTCCTTATACGGAATCGGGCGCCTAGTCCTATACAGCTGATTGGGGGCGCTCGGGGAGATGCCCATCACGGATTCGCAAGGCCACTCTCGAATGACGAGCAATATCTCTTTGACTTTTGTACGTTCATTCCTTCATGCTCTCATTTCCCCAACTTACGCTGACTACATCTCATCGATACAAAGACTTCGACTACGTCATCATGTATGGCTACCAGGCTTGCCACCACAAAGAGGATGCCACCGCATTCGCTGCCGCCATGAGGACTGTCTGGGTTCCTTTCGCCATGACCGAGCCTAGTCTAATGGCCGCCATCTTCCATGTGGCGTGCCGAAACTACGCCAGCATCACGGACAACACCAACACAACGAAATTCACACTCCAAAAGTTGCAGTATCGCCAGATGTGCCTGAACATGGCAATGGAAGCGATCGCTTCTGAGGAGATAGCCACCGATGCGACAATTTCACTAGCTTTGCTCATGGCGTCTGAATCAGTACGTCGAACTTCACGTCGTCGGACACGCACTAGTCAACTAACTGTAACCCGCAGTACTTTGAAGGGGATGTTGAAGCCTTTTGTGCGCACGGCAGAGGGATCATCAAGATGGTCGCGGGCAGAGGTGGGCTCAAGTCATTAGGCTTGTATGGATTTCTGAGGAAACTCGTGGGGTGGTCGATATACAATCCGAAAAACTACATAGTGCTGGGTCCGGAAGAGCAGGATTGATCGTTGTGCTATAGATAGTAGCTATAGATATCTTTGATATGACTGATGGCCTTCACAAATTGCCGCGCTAGAGCATGTTTGTCACGGGCTGGAATTGAACGGTCGCAAATCAGCAAAATGGGCACATTGTATGAATCCACCCGAAGGCTCTTGGGCCTTTCGCCAAACCGACGATGTGTAATGGAAGTAGTACAGTAACTCCGGCAGTTCCTGCAATGTACGCTAAATCCGGTCATGTTCAGGGTAGAGAAAACACATCGACGCATCCTTCTCCGAGACCTGCTAGCCATTGTAAGTAAGGCCCGTTACTCGCAGGCGAGTCAATTGAACGCCGATCGTCGCGGCTACAGTGCGGGAGAGGCCAGGCGCATTTATCCCCACTTGCCGAGCTGCCACATGTCACTACGTGCACGTAGTGCGCTCGGAACCGTCAAGTCGAGAGCCACTTTCTGTTTGACAGTTTGAGGCTGACTTGCAGCTACTTTGGCTCACATTGGACCTCAGACCCTCTACGACATGACGCCATGTTTTGTTTAAGTTCAGGCATGACCCCCGCAAAATTGGTTCATCAAGGGACAGCCTCGTGGGGCAGTTCTTTTATCGCCGAAGTACGTAGGGCCACTGACAGCTGTAAATCCGGACTACGCCTGGGGGTTGGTGCCGGCAAACTTAGAACAGTGCGAACTGCACCCCGAAAAGCCCGACAGTTTCGGATGCCTTGACAACGTCATCCCGCGTTCATATCTCGCGGGGGTTTCTATAAATGCTTCACACTGGACGGTTTCTCTTAGGTGCCACGCCACTTCATGCAAATAAACGCCCAACATTAAGTGCCATCGAACCCAAACAACGGTCACCATCAAGATATCCATCAGAATGTCGTCTCCCACAAAGATTCACTTCCCTTCTTTCGAATTGCAGATATCTGGCGAGCTTTACAGTCCGGCTCAAGGTTCTCCCGACCGCAAAGGCGCTGCCGTGGTCGTCAGCCACCCTATGACGGGGATCAAGGAGCAAACGTCTGCCGATTATGCTCGAGCCCTATCTAAGACTGGCTTCTACGCGCTCACCTTCGACGCCGGCTACCAAGGAGAGAGCACTGGCCAGCCTCGAGGACTTGAAGACCCACACCAGCGTGTGGAGGACAACAAGGCGGCTGTCACATACCTTACCACCCTCAAGGGCAAGGTAGACCCAGAGCGTATCGGCGTGCTCGGTATCTGCGCATCTGGCGGCTACACGTCGTATGCTGCACAGTCTGATGCCCGCATCAAGGCGCTTGCCACAGTGAGTGCCGCGTGTGTCGGACGCATGACCCGCAACGGCGGCCTCCAGGAGGGCAAAACCGAGAATGCAGAGGCAATCGCCGGGGCCCTTCAAGCTGCTGGTCAATGGCGCAACGCGAACCCCACGCCCCCAGGCGCACAAGCGCCGCCCATGTTCGAGACGGACTTGTCAAAGGTACCCGAGAACGCCGACTCTTTCTTCAAAGATGCGGCACAGTACTACGGCACGAAGAGAGGCCACCACGAGCGATCGGACCAGCGCGTTCCACTGTCAAGCTACGATCTCATGGTCAGCTACGACTCGTTCAACTTTCAACATCTCATTTCGCCACGGCCGTTGCTCATGATAGCCGGATCCACGGCGCAGACGCATCATTACAGCCGAACAGCGATTGCAGCCGCCAAGGACCCAAAGGAGTTATTCACAGTGGAAGGAAAAAACCACTTTGATCTGTATGACGATCTGACAGAGACCGGTCCCAAGCTCGTCGACTTCTTTGGCAAGAGTTTGACTGCATAGTACCTCTGATAGGTGTGAAAACTAGATAAACGTTGGGTTTCAATATCACGTTAAGGCAGTGGCGCGTCGCAGACGCCAGTTTCCAGTATCGTTCATGCTACACAGCGCCATCTAAAACATCTCGGTTCAGGGATTGTGTCGTTCCGCACTTCATGAATGCATGTACAAGTGGCGTGCCGACCGGGAAAGATGAAATCAGAGGCTAACAGCTAGGTGGAGCAGTGCAGCATGAAGCTTACATGTGTATTTCAGATTGTCATACTCCTTGAGGGGAGTCGCCTACAACACTTTCCCAATACCTCAGACGTGGGATCCTGGCTTCGTGGCACGAAACACAGTTAGCACTTTAGAATAAGCTGGTCTAATACAAACTGCGTTGGCCAGGAACAAGTGGAGGTAGCTTGAACTAAACACCTATTCTACGTTCTGGCAGGTTGGGAGCGAGAACCCGGAGACTGTCCCACGGACACGGATATATCCACAGTCTTCACGATGCCAGAGCTTGAAACTTGTGAAGCATGGCCATCGTCCTCGCCAAGAATGTTTTCCTCGCTCTCGTGATCATTGCAAATGCGGTCTGTAGCGTGTTTGTCCGTATTTGAGACCTGTTGTCTCCCATCAAATGGCAAGCCCGGTCCGAGCGTAGGTCTCGGGTATAATTCGTACGAGTTACTGCCGTTGTTGAGCTTCCTCCGCCTTCTGAGAGGTATCAGGGAGCGTATGCAAGGAATCGATGCAGTAGTGATGACCAAATAAGTCTCGATATATAGCCACCGGTCCATCGTAACTGTCGCTACCGTGGGATCATCGTCGGGACGTGCCAATACACGAACCTGTGTTGTCTTTACGATGGATGCCACCATAGCGCTGCCCGCACATGACAGGTTAGCTCCAGTCTATACGTAGCTCTCGAGAAAGTTTGAAGAAGGTGAGCACAAACAAAAGACCTAGGCCCAAGAGGGCCATTAAACCAATTTTTGTCCTCCACTTCATGTTTAAGGTCCAGAATATGTAGGTCGGAAAGACAGCGAGGTAGAGATCTGTCGCAGAATTGATAGCTTTTCATATCGTATGTTAGCTTTCATGGCCATGACAGGAACAAGTCGCGATTTACTTACAGCCCTGGAAGTATCCGTAGTATGCTTGCACTCGGGAATCCCAGCACTCCGTTTTCCCCGGCTTATTCCATATAGCAGAGCCGTGACCGGGGCATTGCAGGAACATGATCATGATCGAAATCACATTGACGATTGACTGCACCCCGATCAAAGTCCAAAGTATGATCCGATGGGTCCGGTCGGTGCCAAGTAGTCCAATGAGGTAGATTGTAAAGCCGATTCGCCCAATACATGACGCTGCAATGCCGAATGCCTGGGCCAAGTAGTCGAACATGATGACCCTTCCAACATCCACGGGGGTAATATCCCAAACATGTCGACCAAATCCGTACTGGACACCAATGGTGATCAGTATGGACCCTGCGATGGCCAAGATCTGTGCGATGACAGTGAGCATCACCAGTACGGCGTCATCTGGAACTGGTTGCTGGGTCTTCCATCCGACTCACCTGCGCGGCAACGATCAATGCATCATCCCATTGGATTTGGCGCAACCTAAACTTTGCAATCAGTCTCAAAATGGTGCCGACAATCGCAATTGACGTGACCCCCCAGATATCGCGGATAAGGGAGTCGCCAGTACTGTTTGAACTACCAGAGGTGGGCATACCGTCGGCATCGCGCGTCAGCAGAGAGACAAAAGGAGGAGAAGCCTAGTATCCTCAGTAAAACGAGTATTTGGGCACCGTTATTAGCTTGTAGCAGTCAGAGCGGTGCAGATGATCCTGGCAGTCATGGTGCCGCCACCCATACATTGATGGTGGCCGGAGCTCTCCGGAAACGATAGCCACAAGGCGGCCGCTTCCGCAAAGCGTTTTCCGCGGAACGCGTGTCAATCAATCTTCTGCGCCGAGTCAAGTTCACAGATTGGAAGCTTTATCTTGATATCAGCGCGCGAATTAACGAGGTGAACCTTCCAGTCGTGATTCAGACTTTGTGTATAATACAAGGACGGGTAGTTGCTGAATTTGGCACTGAGTGGGTAAGAATCCGGGGCGGGAGCGTATCCACCTGCAAGGCAAGTCGACCTGCCTTGCGATGTCACAATGCTACGTAGGTCCCACCCTGGCCAGGTCAGTGACATGTTTTCCCAAGTCGGGTTGTTTCATGAGAGCGACCAGTGCACCAGAACACTGATGGCTTGGGCATGTACATCTCACCATTTGTTGACTATGTCGTATGCTTTTCCTTCCTCTTCTCCCTCTTTTATCGCCATTAAGGTCTCGCGTAAATGCAGGCAAGCCGCGCCGAAGTTAGCATACTCCTCTATAGCACTCCGTTAGCACTTCTTCTCGCTCATACACCGAGCTGACGTTAATGCGAACGACTCCTGCACGCCTGCAAGGAATTTGGTGCCTCTGGATGATTTTTTTTCATGATATATTAGACTTCAATTATGTAGAAAATAAACAATTGTGCCCGAGAGGTCCTATTTCTTGTCTTCCGCTGTGCCTAGAGTCACATTAGATACCTGAATTACTTCCACATCCACCATTGGCATCTCGAACTTGTGCTTCCCCCACAGAACGTAGTATGCAACCCCGAAAGCGGTCCATCCGACCAACACTACAATAGAGTAGTTCATGTTCTCCGCGGTGACCGGCATGATGGTCGGAAACGTGCTGAACACCATGACGACGAGCATCCAAGCGATGCCAACAACGTTCATGATGATGCCAAGAACGCGGCCAAGCCGGAAAGGCCCGAAGTCGCGTTTCCGAAGCTTTCCACGCCCGTAGAGCAGCATGTAAATAATGGGAAGAATGTAAGACAGGTACATGCTGATGATGGCCATGGACAGGATTGCATTGAATGCTGTCGAGTTTCCAAGGTAAATAAACCCGAGGATCCCCTGCAGGACAGTAACGACGACGACCGAACGAACAGGTATCTGGAGCTTGGGATGAACATGCGACAGATACTTGTCGAATGGAGTAGCCTTGTCTCGGGCAAATGCCCAGAGGGTCCGGGATGTCGACATGATGCCAGCAATAGTGGCCGCGATGGCGATGAGAATGATCAAGACCGACATGACGCTCGTGCCAGCGCGGGACTTCGTCACATCGAGATAGATCTGCATATACGGGAACCCAAGGGGGGCAGTCGCAAAGTCGGACTGGCCCGCACAATACAGCAAAACGATGCAGTAGGCAAGCCCCATGATGCCATTGACAGCCACGCTGCCGACCATGGCCAAGGGTACGTTGCGACTAGCGCGTGGGAGCTCTTCAGCGAGATGGCAGGCAGCATCGTACCTAGCGCGGTTTAGCACTGCGGTCAATAAGCAGCAAGGGCAGTTTGACTTACCCAAGGAACGGATACACTGCACTGATGAGACCGACGAGCCATGACACTCCGTCGTTGCCCCAGCCGCTGCTATTGACGAATTCTGTCCACACAAAAGCAGAGCTGCTTTTCGGCGCGAGAACGCCAAGTGCAACTGTAATAGCCACGAGGCCAGCGACGTGAATAAATCCTTGAGCTTTGTTAGACTCGCCGCAACAAACATGTCAAGTCTGGTGACTGACCTGAGATCAAGTTCACATGGGGCATCGCCTTCATCCCAAAGATATTAAGAACGCCGGCGTATGTCAAGACGGCAAAGTACAGAAGCATGCCGTGCCATCTCTCTGGACTATATGTCTCGTTGTTGAGGACGATCAAAGCCTGAATCTGTAGGCCTGCGGCGAAGGCAGCAGATGCGGTGAAGACGATTTGCCCACCGACTGATATCCACCCGGTGGCGAATGAAGCTGCGATGTTGCTCGGAGCAGGGCATAGCGCGGCCACCCAGTGGTACTGCCCTGTATACGCAATGAGAGTCAATATGGTTTACGTCTACAGGAGCCCAGATCAAATGCGAGGGAATAGTCGTACCTCCGGCTGTTGGATAGATGGATGCAATCTCGGCGAGGGATGCAGCAATGCACAGCGAGCAGATCAGTGAGAGAATGCTGTACTCTGTCTTAGCAACGCTCTGCGAAAGAGACCGGAGGACTTGCAAATTATAAATCAGGCATGGTGGTCCACCGCTTTGAAGTGCTGTTGCAATGACTGTTGAAGTTGCTTCCCACGTGGCCATCAAACAAATGCACAAGGAGAGCAAAGCCGGGAGGGAGAAGGTGCGGCGAAGCTCCTGCTGATGACCAAGCTGGGCTAAGCGTTGTTCATCTGTGAGGGTGTGTGTTTTGGCGAGGTCCACGTCTTGGGTGCCTGCTCTGGAGAGTTCGTCCTCCGCGGGCCGCATCTCGGGATTCATGGTGCCCGTTGATCCACAATAGAGCTGTGACTGACCCTCCGCGTCTTGGCGTTGCGGACACGAATGGGGCGGATCAGGTAACTAAGAGCTTGATGTCTCGCGTGGGAGAGGCAGAATACATATGTGGTTGCACCGGCTGTGTGCCTCGACCGGCCAACCCACGCCATGGCGGAACCACCGCGTTCGGGCTGCATTGTCTCCGAGCGTGTCATCGTTGCTACGCCCTTTATCGGTGGTGCAGATTGTACATGGCTGGCGGAATCGGCCTCAACGGCGCCACCGCCCTGCTACAGATTGGAAACGCGTGCGTGTTTGGCTGGGCCTGTAGAGTAACTAGTCTGGCAGCTCTCAGCCAGGGGCTGCTGGTAGGTGCGGAACGGGATCCGTGATAAAACGCGGGGAAGCACCCTGGGGCACTGGACGCAAGATCCGCGGCGAGATTCTAATCTGCGGGGTGCAGCGCCGGCTGTTGGAGAAAGGGTGTCCACCTTGACTTATTCTCCTACAGCTTGCTTTGGACGCCAGCACTCCACTGTAGAAGCAATAAATGCCGAGCGACGCATACCTCCTCCACAAGGTGAGAATCACGTCGGCTCCCCGGACATCCACTTGATTAAGCGGGCGGAGAAGGATCTGCTTGAGCCTAAACTCGCCGAGGCGCTATCGACGACCTCTGCTCTGGACTGAGCCTCTAGGGAAGCCACCGACCCTGACTGCGCCGTGTCAGCGTGGCTGATGAGGGGTTCACTTCCCCAACATGGAGCAGCCCATGAGGCCGGAAGGCGCCTCAGTAGCGGAATAAAAGCGGAACCAGCCAGATTGGCGGATGTTTTCGCCAGGCATGCTTTGTACAAGGGGAAACCAGGGCCCAGCAACTGTGTCTTATCTGTATGCTTGGCTTATACAATGATGGGAAGCCTTCAGGAGATATGTGATGACTGATAGCGGCTAGATATGAAGAGTGACGGAGGCGCGTCTCCATCGCCAAGGGAGGGCTCAATGCGACGATTGCACCCTAACTGCCAAAAGCGTCTTGACAGCACCCGTCGAGCGGGCGGTCCACCTTTTCTCGGGGTCCTCGGACTGCGGAATCGGACCAGCGGCCGTCGGAAACCTGCGGTTCATTCCGAGTTCCCACTTTACCTCCGCATTGGAGGCGGATCGCTGCGGAGCCGGATGGCAATCGTTCAGGCCACCAGTCTTTCATAATCGAGCTCTGCTCCCCTGCATCAACTCCTCCTTGACAGCGGGTTGGTGCCATTGCCGCAATCTGCATACGACGCTGCTCTATCTCAGCTTGCGTGTCGCATTGATCTTTTCATCCAACCCTCTTTCTCCGTCTTTGCGGAACTGTTTCATGTTGCGCTGCTGAGCATTAGCCATGGCTCAGACGGTCCCCCACCCTCTCTCCGACCTCACTGTCGCTGAGATCAACCGAGCACGAGACATTGTGCTCGGGCTGCATCCCGGCAGTGTCATCGACTTCCGGTCAATCTATCTTCTGGAACCTCCCAAGTCCGAGGTTGTTCCTTTCCTCGATCTCGAGCATGCCGGGAAATTGAAAGCGTCAACCCCGCGGCCAGCTCGGTTGGCGCAGGTGCGATATGATATCATCGGTGGTGCCAAAGCCGCCGAGTATCATGAGTCGGTCATCGACGTCTCCTCTTCGAAGCGCGTGAAGCACGACATTGTTGGCACCGAGCACCATGCCAGCTTGACAATGTAGGCACCCAGTTGGACGCAGTCTCGTCAATTGAAACCTGTCAAGTAGACTTGGCTGACCCGTCGCAGCTTCGAGTTCCAAAAAGTGGTTGAGTGCGTGCAGAACTCGAAACTCTTCCAAGAAAGGTTCAAGACGATCCAGCTGCCCCCAGGCTTCGAGCTGGTCATTGAGCCCTGGCCATATGGCGGGCCGGACCAAGAGGATGGCGATACGCGCTTCTTCCAGGCTCTGTGCTTCGGACGAGACACCCGCAGCGGCAACCCGGACTCCAACTTCTACGCCTACCCGCTACCATTCATCCCGATCGTGGACGCGCGCAAGAACGAGGTTGTGCGAGTCGACGAACCTGCCACTGGCGGTGGAAATGATGCTTTGGACGCAAAGACGCACAAGCTCGGGGTCCTTGATCACTGCCGCACGTCGGAGTATGTTCCGGAGCTGATCCCAGGTGGTGTCCGCAAGGATGTCAAGCCCTTGACCGTCCTGCAGCCCGAGGGACCCAGCTTTGCCATTTCCGATTCGAATTTGATCCAGTGGCAGAAGTGGCGGTTCAGGGTGACTTTCAACCCGCGTGAAGGCGCTGTGCTCCACGATATCCGATATGATGGCCGCGACATCTTGTACAGGTTGAGCATGAGCGACATGGTAAGTCTTACGACGTTTCTAGACGCTCTGGAGACTGACATTTCTGTCCTTAGACGGTGCCATACGCAGACCCACGCAATCCCTTCCACAGGAAGCAGGCCTTTGACTTTGGCGACGGCGGTCTGGGCAATTGCACAAACAACCTGACGCTAGGGTGTGACTGCCTGGGTGTCATCAAGGTACGAGAGAATTCCATCGAGCGTGATCCAACGCTCCAGCAACCGTCAACCGTATAGGACGTTAAAGCTGACTTGTGCAGTACTTTGATGGCATTCTGACCAAGGCCGACGGCTCGGCTGAGGTGAGCAAGCAAGTCATCTGCCTGCATGAGCAAGATGATGGCATCGGTTGGAAGCACACCAACTGGCGCACAGGCCGTGCCGTCGTCACTCGCCGGCGTGAGCTCGTGGTGCAGTTCATCATCACGCTCGCAAACTATGAATATGTGTTCGCATTCAAGTTCGACCAAGCTGCCGGCATCGAGGTTGAGGCGCGCGCCACAGGTATTGTCTCCGTCGTCAACATCGACGAGGGCAAGACGGCGCCATGGGGCAACGTGGTGAGCCCCGGAACGCTGGCGCAGAACCACCAGCACATTTTCTGCCTTCGTATCGATCCGGCGGTGGATGGCCACTCAAACACCCTGGTCCAAGAGGACAGCGTCCCTGTCCCAATGAACAAGGTGACGAATCCAAATGGCAATCGTTACGAGGTGCAGGCCAAGGCAATTGAGACGTCGTCGGGCATCGACCTTAACCCGTTCAGCAACCGCGTCTTCAAGGTGCAGAACCTGTCCAAGCGCAACCCTGTGAGCGGCAAGCCTGTCGGGTATAAGATTACCACGCCGCCCACGCAGCTGCTCCTTGCCGACCCTGACAGCATCCAGGCGCAGCGCGCGCTCTTCACCAAGCACCACATGTGGGTGACCAAGCACAAGGACGACGAGCTGTATGCTGGTGGACGCTACACGCTGCAGAGCCGCCGAGAGAATGGCGGCGTGTACGATGCGGCGGCTCGGGGAGACAATGTCAAGGACGAGGACATTGTCATTTGGAGCGTGTTTGGACTGACACACAACCCTCGCGTGGAAGATTGGCCAGTCATGTAAGGATCCCACATCCTGCCTCTAGGCGATTCGCTTTTTGACCATTCTGCTAACTGAACCATAGGCCGGTCGAGAAGCTTCAGGTACACATCACGCCGCAAGACTTCTTCACCGGGAACCCGGCGATCGATGTTCCCTCGAACGCCGACATTGGCTCCAAGTTGACGAGCGGGGCTTGCTGCAAGGGAGATGGGGACAAGCCCAAGTTGTAAAGACATGGCCGGAGAAAGAAACAATGCATGGCGTATATACATTAGATTGCATCATGGTGGGCACTGGGAACGACAGAACAACCGTCCATGAATTGTACTTCGCACAGGCGGAATCATTAGCAGTACAGAAACTGCGCAAGCTCAGCTCAATCAGAGCCATACTTAACAAAAAATGAAAATCTCAGCCCCAAACGGCAAATCCAAATGCCAGAACGGGCAGGCATAGAATCGGTCCCGAAGGTATTGCGTGCGCCGACAAGGCGCTTCCGGTGCCGCCGCCGTTATCGCTGCTGCCACTGCTTCCGCTGTCACCGCCACCATCACCACCGTTCCCGCTGCCTCCCCCGCTGCCACCGCCTCCACCGTCGCCATTGCCGCCACTGCCACCATTCCCTCCACCTCCGCCGCTCCCTCCGCTGCCGCCGCTACCCCCGCTACCACCACCTTGACTGGATCCGCTGCCCTCCTGCCAAACGGTACTGTTCCACGCCTGAAAAGTCAAGGTCGTGTTCAGCTTCGGCTTCAGGTCCAAATCCTTCTCCGACACCTTTGCATCACTCTCCTTCCCATCCCAGCAGTGTCGGCTGAAGCAGCGAGTGCATTGCTCGGGTAAGTCGATGCCAACTCGCTCGGCACTGCGTGCGGTGGCTGCGCACGCGAGACATGCCGACCACTCCGCGTCGAAGCTGCCATTGCCGTATGTCGCCAGCTGGAAAGCATTGTCAATCGTGGCGTTCAACTGTTCGTCTGTGAATGAGGACATTTGGTAGGAATAGTTGGAGTACGCTGTCCACGGGGAGTTGGGTAGGTACAGCACAAGCGGGCCGTTGGACGTGTCGTTGCAGCCGAAGAACGTGGGCTGGCTGGTGAAATTCTTGGTGATCATCGTTTCAACCCTGGGGATCTTAGGGAATGGAATGCCGCCCTCTGAAGCTGAACGCGCGGTATCTGTTTTCCATCGTTAGCAGATTGTACGGCTGCGGGAGTCTCGCTTGATAGGTACTCACTCTGTAGGCTGGTGCCATTGACCCACGAATACGTGCCCTCCGAGGATGCCTCGTAAACGACAATAAAGTCCACTTGACGGTCAGGGATGATGAGCGGCCGAATCGGATTGTTCTCGCCTGTGAGACTCCCGTCCACCTGTTCATCGTTTGCGTCAATCCTCTTCGGCAACATAAATCGAGAGTGTAACTGACCAGCAACAGCTCGGAAGTGTTGCCCATCGCATCGTTATAACCCTGGAATGGATTGGGATACGTCGCCCACATTGACTCATTGAACGTTTGCTGGAAGTTTGACGCTGTCTCATTCACGATTTGCACCAGGGGACTCTGCTCCTGGCCTTGTGGGATGGGAATGTCATCCGTCTCGTTCGAGCCCTGCTGCCGGTTGTGGATCGACCTCTTCGCGAAGATAGGCCTTCCGTAGAAGTCATCTATGAACCACGCGCAAAACGCATTGGTCGTCGACCCTTGGACGAGGCTGAACTTGTCGAAGCCCGCGACGCACTGGCTGCTGTTCTGGGCGGTGCCGTTGTCCATGCTCGTGCCCAACCATTGCGTCGGTATGAAGCCCTGTACGCGACCTCCAACCCAGCTGCCAAACTCAAAGGGCGTGACTTCGTAGGACGTCAGGTTGAAGCCATTGGTATCGTTCCTGCCAGGGTACATGATCTTGCCAATCTCGGGAGACTGCCCAGGCACGACTTCGGCGAGTGTGATGATCGGCATGGGTCCAGCTCCCTCCGCCAGCGACGACCCATTGGCTGCGAGGTCAGAGTAGTTCAGATAGGTAGAGTTTTGCGGCAGCCAAGTTGCCCAGAATTGGCCAAACGTATCAGCGACGGAGACGGGGAATCCCAGTTCGGCCTTTGCGCCTGCGTTCTCGAATATGTTATTGAAGAACTCCGTTTCATTGCCAGTCGGTCCGACATCGTAGGGCGCAGAGAAGTTTGTAACTCCGCGAATGGCCTCAAAAGTGCCAAAATTGTTCGCTGCGCTATGGACATCACACGCGTTAGCTGGGCGACTGCCAATATTTGACTCGGAGGAGCAGCGCGTACATCAAGCTCACTGTAACTGCGCCTCCGCCACTGAGGCCGGTGATGTAGGAGAGGATCTGTGTCAAGCCTCCAGTACCGGCGGCGACTGCAGCAGGGTATCTAGCGTCGTAGGCCTGCCAGACACCCAGGCCGCCGATTCCAGACTGTGTTCCGCCACCAGAAATGGACATGCCGACAATGGGCACTGTGCTTTCGTTGAGCTTATCCATGTAACCTTGAATGTCAAAGTCCGATATGTTGGCAGTGTTGAGATAGTCCTGCAGGGCCGTCATGACCTGCTTCCCCCTTGTGCTGCGCCAGGATTCCTCCTGAGGAGATAGCCCCTGATCATGGTGAGCTTCAACTCTGACTTGGTAAGTCCAGGGATGGGCATACATCGGAGGCATTTCTAACGGTCAAATTTTCGGGGCACTCGGTATAGACGGGCACATAGGGATCGGAGTCGGGGTTTCCTTGCTGGCACCGGCATGCTTGGACAAGCAGCGCAGTGACAAGGATCGCAAGCGTGGCATGGAATTCCATGATTACTACCTGAGCATTAGTTCAGAGCATCGATAGCTTGTCAATGCACCCGGCGCAGCTCCCGCGTCCTCGAGAGATCAACGGCTCATTTGTATGAGAAGGTGTACGCATTTAATCCGCGTGAGTCCTGGGCGGTTCCAATGCGACGGCCAAAGTGCCGGACAAGGTTTCAGCAATTGGCACGCACAGTTGAGGCTCACTGGCAATCCAGTACAGCGGTTCGTGGCTATTCACTTTGGCCTTCCGCGTTCGAGATTCGACATTTACTCTCTAGGCACAGGCCGTCCGGCCGGTCACCTGTCGCAAGCATCAGCATGCAGCTAGCCTGATCTTGGCTGACGACTGCAATTGATGGTGGCACGAGGCCGGCGCGTGAGCTCTGAAGGGTCCAGACCCGGCAGTGTCTGAAGAATCAGGGTCCGGCAGGCAAGAGCCGATGGCCTTCGGGCCCGTTGAACTTTGTGCCGGTAATCGAGTACTGCCACGACTGCCTCCGCGCATCGGCATTGAATGGCGTGTAAGTCGTGCCGGTGCGAAGCCATTCCCGATGTGGACAGCTTCTGACAGCACCACAATTATCTCGATCGCCCCATTAGGCTCGGGCTCGTCGTCTGCGATTTGTATCCGACTTACTGTCGCGGAATGCTTGCCGCCACCGATCTGTGCTGTGGATGATACCTTTCGCGGTAAATTTGCCTTTCGCTCTCAACGGTAGCGATAATCGCAACACTGATTGTCGCCACGCAAACATGCCATGATCCTGGCTAAGCCCGGGCGCGAGATATGGCAGCTTCCATACCAACGATGCTTGCTTGCTAGGCTCTATCAAAGTCTGCTGAGGCCTAGATTCACCTTTACGCATTTGACATTCGTCCATTCATCGAGGCCTTCCTTCCCCAGGTCTCTGCCAAACCCGCTCTGCTTATACCCTCCGAACGGCGTGTTCGCATTGACGGTCCCCCACATGTTGACCGTCACCTGGCCGCACTCGACCGCATCGCTGATCCGCATGGCCCTCGTCACGTCGCTAGTGAAGACCGCCGCCGAGAGACCATACTCGGAGTCGTTGGCCAGCGCGATGACCTCTTCTTCGGTGCGGAAGCGGGCGATGCTCGCTACCGGGCCAAACACCTCTTCGCGCATGATGGTCGCAGAGGGTTGAACATCAACAAAGGCGGTGTTGGGCACGAAGTGGCCTTTTGGCGACGCGTGGCTGCTAGCATCTCCATGTAGCAACTTGGTGTCTTCCCTCAAGGCCTTCTGGATGTATCCTTCAACACGCGCCCTCTGCGCCGCGCTAACGAGCGGTCCCTTGACCGTGCTGTCGAGCAAAGGGTCTCCAGCAACGGCGTCTCTCGTTCTCTTGGAGAACTCGGCGACGAAGCGGTCGTAAATCTCATCCTGGACGTAGATACGACTACCAGCCGCGCAAATCTGCCCGTTGTGAACCGTGATACCCGCCGTTACGTGAGCGAGCGCATTCTCCCAGTCCGCGTCTGCGAACACACATGTCGGACCCTTCCCTCCAAGCTCGACCGTAACGCGCTTGAGATTGGTCCGCGCAGAGCTTTCGAGAATACGGCGCCCGACAGCGGCGCTGCCCGTGAAGGAGACTTTGCGCACAAGAGGATGTTCGGCGAGGGTCTGGCCCGCGACAGTGCCGAGGCCGCAAAGGATATTGACGACGCCAGGAGGAAAACCAGCCTCGACGATGAGCTGCGCTAGCTTCTGGCCATATAAGGGCGCGACCTCGGGCGTCTTGATGATGAGGGTATTGCCGGCCGCGAGGGCGGGCGCAAGCTTCCAGACTGTAATCATGCTGCATCTAGTCAGCGACTCTGCGACAAACACATCGAGGCCCAATTGTTCCCAGGTGCTTACAGAGGAGCATTCCAGGGCACGATGGCCGAACACACACCGATCGGCTCACGCTGCGTGTACGCCATCCCCTCTGCGATGCGCATGCTCTGCCCGTCCAACTTGTCCGTCCATCCCGCAAAGTAGCGACATGTCTCGGCGGCCTGTGCCACGCTCAGGCCGAGTGACATTCGGTACAGCATTCCCGCGTCAACCGCCTCAATTGATGCGAGCTCATTGGCGTCCCTCTCAATGAGATCGGCCAAGCGATTCAGCAGTGCCCGCCGAGTGGATGGCTCGCTGTGGCGCCATGACGTCGTGAATGCTGCCAGGGACGATTTGACGGCACGGTTTACATCTGCGGCCTGAGCGGCGGAGACGGTCGCTAAATGAGCGCCTGTGGAGGGGTTCTCAATATCGATGGTTTGGCTGTCGGTCGCGGCAACGAACTTGTTGTCAATAAATAGGCCAGTCGGGACTGCAGGGAGTTAGTTATGGCCAATATGAAGGAATCCGCGATTAACTTGCCCTGTATCACGAGGCCATCTGCACCTTGGATCTCAACAGTATGTGCCATTGTGACGTCCTCTACTCAAAGTTGGTCTCTACTTCGTACACGTGCGGCTGACCAGCTTCCAGTCCAGTAGCAGCGCGTTTCCGTCCACGGTTCCGGGCTGCATTTAATTGCCCAGATGATAGCTGTTTGTACGAACGGGTCGACCGGGATTATGCCCAGCATATGTCATGATGGTCAGCAAGAAGGCTTGAAGATTGTAGTGTTCGGTAATCGGTATCCTGTTCCGCGATGCTCACGCGGTAGCGTCGCACATTGGCGTTTCCGATTCCGAACCAATTTGGTCGGGGGTTTCCACCTGGCCACCGGTTTTAAGAGGTGTCATTCCGCCGGTTGTACGGAAGGCGCTCGACAAGTCGATTGCCATTCAACGCCAAGAAGACCAGACCGACAAAGTCCAGTGGTGCCTGGTCCGGAAACCCGCTTGCTCCCTCCGCCCTCGCAGTGCTTGTCCAGCGAACCACCCTACACCATGGCTGGCCAAATCCATCGTGTAACACTGTTCAAAATACCCAATCACGAGGATCAGGAACGCCTCTTGGACTTTTACAAGCACATGCAAAGCAGGGCAGTCAAGGTTAGCATTCCCCGGCGTTCAACCCCGCTATTGTCGTGGTGTGCAATTCGGGGTCAATGCCTGGACCCGTCCAGATCTGACACACAGAACACAGCATGGCAAGCCGTACATCATTTCGGTGACCGCGGGAGAGGCAAAACCCGACCAGCGCGCGCAGGGTTTCACCTTTGCGGCCATTTCAGTCTTCAGCTCCGTCGACGACATGGTGTACTATGACAACGAGTGTGCTGCACATGCCGAGCTCAAGGCGTTTGCGAAGACGGTACACCAAGGAGCCATGATGGTATATTTTGAGAACGGAGCAAAGTAGGTATCAAGACAAAACACAATGGCATCATACCGCAGTCCAATCGCTTTCCTCAATCGTTAGTCATACATGCTTTAAAAATGCGCTCTCTCGGAATCACATCAGGCCCTGGAGGAAGCGACGCGAGATTCCCAGCCCGTCCGATTGCATCTCAAATCCTCCCGAGGGATCGTAAAAGTCGGCGCCAAACGAGTCCCCAAAGTTTTGCCCTTGCCCCAGCGTGTCGAACAAGTCCAGGAGATCCGAGCTAAACTCTGTCATTTCGGGAATCAAGGACAGTTGCATTCCACCGTCGTCGTGAAACTGTCCCAAGTCCATTGGTGCGTCCATGTCGGCGCTAGCTTCTCGTCGGGTCTCTGAACCGGCGGCAGTGTGATTGCCAGTTGCATGCAGCATCGAATCCGCCTGCGGACCTTCTGAGCTCTGCATCTGTAGGCTTTTCAGCCGTGGCAACAGCTCCCGAATGCTGTTCCACAGCCTCCTACTCGCCACGCTATGGCGCGAAAACCCCTTGACGAGTTCAATTGCCTGCAGAAGACTTTCTCGGCATGTCCTTGCAAAATGATGTGGCGCATGGCACACTGCCAAAGTCATGACGGCAAACGCGCTTAGCAGGAAGTAGTTGAAGGCATTCTGCTGGCGCGAGTAAACGTCTGTCGTGGCGTTGAGATGAACGAGAACCTGCACGGTATCCCGTGCGATATCCACGACGAGTCGCGCGGAGGAAAGGTTCGCCTGTATGCTGGCGGGGCTCAAGAGGTAATGCTGGTAGATGGAGATGCGAGTGTAGTTGCCGCGGAGGTAGAGCAGCGCGCGAAGGCGATGCAGCACGCGCGGTTGGGACATGTTGGAGCCCGTCGCGCCGAGCATACGTGGATGCCGTATCTGGAGATGCGCTGGAATGGAGTCGAGCCAGACTTGGGTGCTGAGGTCGAGTGCATGAACGTCTTCGGTTGGGATGGCTGGTGAGGGAGAGCCGAACGGCGGAATCGCATCCCATATCTTGGAGCACAGGCGTGCATAGCTTATCATGCAACGAAGATAGGCCAGATCTGCGTCCTGCAGTAACTCTCTGTTAGCGAATTGGTATGCAAGGGACTTGATGCGACGAGTGACGACTTACGGGCTCTGGCAATGCAGGGTCGATATCACGGTCGGCGAGCGCAAAGGACAGGCTTGTCCCAAAGCTCCAGCGACGGTCAAGCACGTACACACACCAAAACACACGCATTGCATCGCGACGCGAGTGGGCGTCGCGGAAGTTGTCGAAGAGGCTCCGGCGACGGTGCAAGCCCATTTCGAGGGCTTCTCGGGCAGCGACGCCAATGGTACGCCACGCAAGAAGCTCGTCGTCGCAGTGGAAGTGGTAGATGCTCTATGGCGCACGTAAGCATGCAGTGTGAGGAGTGAAGTCCAGATGGAATCTCTTACCAGCATGGTCAGCAGCTGTATCCCTTTCAGCTCAACTTGGCTTCGGGATATGCGCGATAGGCGGTCCTCGACCGACTCGGCGATGGATGCGCTCAGCGCTGTCTTGCCATGCGCCTCTACCGCCACGGCAGTGGCAACGGCCAGCTTGACCATGTCGACATCCAGGCTACTTAGCGGAGCCTGTTGTCTGTCGTGCGCTTGGTTGTCCGCTGCGTCCGGATTCCGTATTCGACGCAAGATTTGCTCGGCCCGCGAGGCAAGCTCGATCGTGTCGACGAAGGGGTACACTGACTCGACCTCCTCTTCGAAGACGGCTAGCAGGCGAGCGACTTCGTCAGGCGTACAGCTGGCCCAGAACTCGGCATCCGTGGCGGGAGACCCATCATCTTCCATCGCTTCCCCTGCTAATGGGGAATCGGCTCGGCTGGACGACAGTGACGTAGATTTGGCGGAGTCTGGAGCTTGGATGCCCATCCGTGTAAGTGAGCGCTCTGCTACAACGAGCCCATAAGCTGGGCGTGTAGGGCCGATGAAGTGTGGGTGCTTGGGTGCATTATCCCGCGACCCGACATTGGAAGGTGAGGTGGCGAAGGCCGCTGCAACGCAAGAGGTGTTCTGTGGTCGCGATATTTCCGCATTTTCTCTGAGCTCCCTGACAGACTCGGCGAGGTCCGTAACCTGCTGTCGCAGCTGCGCCATCTCATCCGTCAGGGCACGGACATGGTGGTGGCTGGACGCATCGGCGAGGACATGCATCTTCATGTTGGCGAGACGCGCTGTCTTGGAGGCCTGCGGTTGCGGCCGCGACCCGAAGACGCAGGCGATGCCACCGGCGATGCATCGCTGGCAGTTGTCATCGCCGGTTGGAATGCACTTGAGCTTCCGTTTCTTGCACTCGTTGCTACACGACCAAGTCAGCAACGCATAAGGACACAGTTGAGGCCAAGAAATGCTAACCATGCGACCGGCGTGTATCTCCCGCGCTTCGAGCGACGGTTGAGCGGGCTGCTGATGCGAGTGTCATGCTGCTGAGCAGACTGTGAGCTGAGAGACGACGGGCTATCCTCCATCGTTGCAGGCATGCGCATGTTGGTCATGCCACTGTGCCGCTTTCCAGGGTGATTGCCCCGGAATTGAGAGCTTCCCCAAGAGTCGGCTTCCGAGCTGGGGTAATATGTGGGATCTGGGGGCCTGGTGCTCATCAATCAGAAGCCGGCTTTTACAGACCATCGTCAGCTCGGAAATAGTTCCGACCATTCCGAGCCGCTTCTCCAAGATGGCGGCGCGGGGTGGTGGGGAAGCTTGATGGTGCGGTTACAGTCGCAATGCCGCGCTGGATTCTGGCCTTGGCGGGGTATATCTAAGGCGACCGTGCGACACGAAATGATCCTCGATAGACAAGAAGAGCTGCCCATGCCGGTTCAAGAAGCACTACGGTCGCCGTTTGATTCGCGGATCGAAACAAGGTTCGCTGCCCCTTGAGATACAAACCCCCGACCGCCGCCCTCGCCATGACGATCGCCACCGTTATCTTGTCGGCGGCTGAGCAGCTGCAGCACACCAAATGGCAGTCCCTGGTTCTCACACTCGTTGCGGGACCCTTGCTGTACGTCCTGGTCAACGAATTTGTGCGCTACAATGCCAGGATACATGGTATGAAGGGCCCGTCAGGCCTGCCGCTGATCGGCAATCTCTGGGACATCCGTGTGAATGCCGCTGAGAAGTATCGAGAGTGGGCGCGCCGGTTTGGCGACGTCTACCAGATACAGCTGGGAAATATCCCTGTTGTGGTGATCAATTCGGCGTCCGCGGCGAGGACCATCTTTGGACAGAATGCGCAGGCCATGAGCTCGCGACCAGAGTTTTATACCTTCCACAAGGTACCTTTTACAATTACTCGACGCGAGATCGCTCGATTGCAGCTAGCTAATTGCGTGGTCCCAGGTTCTGAGTGATACGGCCGGGACTACAATCGGGACTTCGCCGTACAGCGACTCACTCAAGCGTCGCCGGAAAGGTGCCGCCTCCGCTCTGAACAAACCGTCCGTACAGACGTACATTTCTCATCTCGACATCGAAACTCGGGACTTCATCCGCGAGCTCTACACGTACGGCCAGGCCGGGAAGAAGGCTGTCGACCCCATGCCGATGATCCAGCGCTTGTCGCTGTCCCTTGCCCTTACGCTAAATTGGGGCGTGCGACTCAAAAGCCAGAGCGACAACCTGTTTGACGAGATTACCCACGTTGAGGAAGAGATCAGCCGCTTCCGCTCTACGACGGGCAACTTGCAAGACTACATTCCCCTGATGCGGCTGAACCCCTTCAACATGCACTCGACAAAGGCGAGGGAGATGCGGAATCGCAGAGACAAGTACTTGACGGATCTCAACAACGGGCTCGACGACAGGATTGCGCGCGGAACGCACAAGCCGTGCATCCAAGCCAATGTCATCATGGACGAGGAAGCCAAGCTCAACAAGGCGGAGCTGACGTCCATCAGCCTCACCATGCTCTCTGGTGGCCTCGATACCGTCACGACACAGGTGGCTTGGTTCGTCGCCTATCTTTCGCAGCACCCTGAAGTGCAGGACAAGGCTGTCAAGGAAATCCGCAAGACGTTTGGCGATGACAGGCCGATGTGTGATGAGGGCGACGATCAGACGTGCCAGTACATTGTCGCGCTGGTCAAGGAGTCGCTGCGATACTTTACGGTTCTACGACTGGCGCTTCCGCGAGCCAGCATCAAGGATGTCGTCTATGGCGGGACAGTCATACCCAAGGGGTCAATTGTTTTCTTGAATGCATGGGCCTGTAATCGCGGTGAGTAGCACACCTTGCCAAGTGAAACTTCGAGAGGATGCGTATGAGCTGACCTGGCTTACAGATGCCGCCGTCTGGTCTGACCCTGACGTTTTCCGCCCCGAGCGATGGCTTGAGCAGCCAGATGCGCCACTTTTCACGTACGGCGTCGGCTACCGAATGTGTGCTGGCTCGCTGCTTGCCAACCGCGAGCTGTACCTGCTGTACATGCGATTATTAAATAGCTTCCACATCGAGAAGCAGGACGCTGTGGATTGCCACCCAGTTCGTGGCAATGCTGATCCCACGAGCCTGGTGGCGATGCCGCACCGCTATAAGGCGCTGTTTGTGCCACGAAACGACGCAGCGCTAAGCAAGGCCATGAAGGAGACCGAACTCATGGCCAGGGAAGAGTAGAGTGTGCATCAATGGTGGTCTGACGTACCTGCATGGCAAAAGGCTAGAAAATTCCAGCGTTTAAACATGAGCGATCAACCAGCAGACCAGAGAACGAGACCATGTTCACGTATAACGCCAACAGCGAAACAGTTGGTGAATCACATGCACTCGTGCTCGGTTCCTGACTTCGTGTTGACAGCAAGACACCCACTCGGACTCACCGCGGCGGTGAACGAAACTAAGCTCTGTCCCGCGGTGTCGAGGGTCAGTTAGGCATTATCGTATGATTCAAATTCTTCCTGCTCCATGCCTTGCAATCTCCGACGTGGCTTCCGACGCTGCAAGGGACGCATAAATCAGTGGCTGGCACACTTCATGTTGTCGCCGATGCTGTGAAGCTTGTGCATTGAAATGAGCAAACATCCTTCTTGGAACTTAAATGACCAGACGGCACAGAGATGCCGATGGCATGGACCATCATCAAAAGGTCTCGATGCAGCTGTCTTCCAACGTTGCATCGATAGGAAACAAAGGGGTCGAGTTGAGCCAGGATTCGAAGCCAACAGGGCTTTTCTGCGCGGCAGAGGACCCCTAGAATTGCTGCAGCTTGGTCTAGAACGTAGTCAAGCGGGCAGGTGTGTTCGGTCAGTGATCCTGATCTAGGGCCGCGATCTCCCATCGTAGATGACCCGGCCCCATTGAGTATCCGCTGCGATCTCTGACAGTTCGGTTTACATCCGAGAAGTGTGCGCTGGGGCGAAAGAGTGGTGGCCGTGGGGGATTCTCCCGGATTATAATAAGACGGCGAGGCGTTCCCCCGTCTTAGTCTCTTCCGGCACTGGCAGGCACCCTTGGGGCAGCAAGGCGCTGCGGCTGGACAATTCAACCCCGGCGTCAGTGGCGTGCGGGAGCCAAGGCGCCAATGAGATCGACACGGGTGTTGCATCGCCAGGCTCGGCTCTCCTGACCAGTCTCCACAAATAGGTCGATGGCAGTCGCTGAACATTGGGCGGCTTACTGCAGCTCGACCTGGGACTAACGGCGCAGGAACGGATCGTCGGCGGCGTTCAGCTGTTCCTGGATGAAGATTAACATGCTCTTTAAAAATAGCATGTTGCATTGTTACGTCCAAAGATCGTCCGCAAGGCATTCACCTCCTCAATGAGCCGGCCATTCTCGAGACTTGTATTGACTGCTGCTGGTATATACGAGAACACGGGAAAGTATATAACCAGTGGATAGTCCTTCATCATTATTTAGAAGGCAAGCACACAGAAACAAGCCATCAAAGTCCAGCAAAGTCATCAACACTACTCCTCAACATCCGCCAAGATGAAGTTCTTCCAGTTCTTTAGCGTTCTCCTCGCCGCCGGCGCCTCTGCCATGCCCACGGCTGCCGATGTTCCTGAGGAGGTTGCTGGCCTCGACAAGCGCTCCGGCCCGGGCATCGTGGCCGCCGCGGTTAAGAAGGAGGGCCTTCCGTACGTCTGGGGCGGCGGTGGCTGCAAGGGCCCGACCAAGGGTGGCTTCGACTGCTCAGGTTAGTGACGACTATTCGTCTCCTTGTGTCCGAAAATGCGCTTGCTCACACGTTGCTGTAGGCCTCACTCAGTATGCCGTCTGCCAGGCTCAGAAGAAGACCATCCGTAAGCATACATCCCACCGTGTGATCCGTCCGTTGATCTTTTGACTGACGTCTTGCCAGCCCGCACGGCTCAAACCCAGTACCACTCCAAGATGGGCAAGCGCATTCCCCGCAAGGATGCCAAGGCCGGTGATCTGCTGTTCTGGGCTACTGGAGGTAACTGCCAGAGCAAGGTCGCCCACGTCGGCATCTACATGAGGCCCGGCTGGATGGTCAACGCTGCCCGCACCGGCACTCCCGTTCGCGAGCAAAAGATCTGGACGTCCAGCGGTGGCCTCAAGATCTGCCCGGATGTTGTCAGATTTTGGTAACGGGCGGCATGAGTAGATGGGTGGATCTTGCGTATTCTTTTCGAACTGTTCTTTTGAGCTGTACCTGTACATGACCCTGCTGGCGGATTTTAGACTGGCGCTTTGGCAACTGGGACTTGTCAAGCAGCGAAATGGTTTTGCAAATAGTATTCCTGAACATATATCATCAGCACATGCAAGAGCCTGGTATCAAACACGGAATCCGCGGTGATTTCAACGATATTGAAAGCCCGAAACGTTGTCATTTTATGGGATACATGTAAAATGTATTGGATAGGAATAATGGCGTCAAGCTCCACACCCAAGAAGTAGATGATTTCTGTTGATGGCCTCGAGATGCCCCGGATTTCGGCAACGCAACGAGAAGTTGCCGTCTCGCGGTGCACGCATTTAGCCACTCTTGGCCCCGTGCCCAAGGGCAAGACTCTGGAGCTGATCGTAAATAGCCAGCACTCCAGCCGAGGCAACACCGCGGAGAATATTTGCTCCTGCGCCGTTTAAGAGCGACTTGACGCCGTTGGCCGCAATAATCTGGCGCGCCGCATCCAGAGTTCCTTTGTACTTGACGGCCTCACCAGAAGTCATCATCATGCGGCGGCGAATGGTGTCAAACGGATACGCGAGCGTGCTGGCACCGGTTGTAACACACCAGCCAAGGATGAATGATGCCAGGAAGTTGCCTTGGAGTGGGCCGACCAGAACGAGAGGCTTCAACGAGTCGTAAGACCCAAAGTATAGACCGCGATAGACGATGATGCCACTGATGGAGGGCATGAAGCCGCGGTATAGTCCAAGGATTCCGTCGGTGGCGATGGTCTTGCGGTAAACATCCAGGATGCCGTTGAACTGGCGCTGGCCCCCGGTCTTTGAGCTCTTAGCGTCATTGGCAAGTCGGGTCCGGGCAAAGTCGAGCGAGTACACGAACAGCAGGGACAAAGCGCCTGCGGCCTATAAGGATTTAGTTAGCACACTTGCGTCTTCGGCGAATTCCACCTCGTGGGCTTGACTTGCCGCTCCAGACGCAACGTTTCCGAAGACCCAGAGCCCATACCCATCACGGTCCTTCTTATACCCGAACATGGCCTTGAACTTGTCTTTGAAGGCAAAGTTCAGAGCCTGCGTAGGGAAATAGCGAATCACATTGGCCGTGTTGCCGCGCCAGAGCGAACGCGTCCCTTCATCTGCGATTGTACGCTTGAAGCAGTCGCCGATGCCCCCGTAACGGCGATCAAGCCGACCAGCCTTGATCATCTCGTCCTAGGTTACAACATCAGCATTAATTTTTGCCACACCATCATGGTAGCGCAGCGTGTTAGTGTAAGTCGCCTTCTGTGCGTTGCACGCACGTATCCCAGACGATCGGCTTGTCCGGCCGCCAGGGTGGTGACATACCGTTCACGCCACGTCCAGTTGTGGTGTTGTGCCGAGCGTACCTGGTTCTGCACGAGAAGCTTGATGCGCTCGATCGGAGCAGCCGCTGTCTTGGACACAGCCGCCGATACGCCACCCACTGGCGTAGGAACATTACTGTACGTTAGCAGACGCGACCTGAGCTCAATTCGAGGCGAGGGGTGTTCGGACTCATAAAATCGGCCAGGAATGGCTAAGAGGCGTCAACATGGCTGTACATGTACTACATTGACGTACTTCTGGTGCAATCTGGGAAACTCACGGGCATGCCCATCACTTTCTGGTCGTGTGCCGCCATGTTGCTAGGAAGACGCAGGTTTGGAGTGGAGAGTAGTCGTGGTTACCGACCAAGACAAACGACAGCAGGGGAACTGGCAATTAATTGGTACACAATCCTGAACATCACATTTCTTCCATTGCGAACCTTCCTTCCTGATATATCCAATGAGTATGCAGTCGATTGACGTTGCAGCGAGAGTGACTCCCATTCGTCTCATTCGTCAATGCCCAACTCCCGGGGTGTTGCGGGACGAGATCGGGAATAACTGCGTTAGTCGCTGACTCGGGATGAACCGCCAGACGCCGTTCTTGGCGGCAAGTGACGACACGGCCCCAGCAGCGACAGCGTCTTCCTGTTTCACCCGGACCTCCATTGTCAGGTGCACCAACAGGGCTATGTTAGCTTAATTTGTCAATGTCAATGATTGACTTGACTGGCCGCCCTGAGAGGCCAAGCAAAACTCCATAGTCGTGTGACTGCAAACATTTGGCTCATTCGGGGCGTACGCTCGTGTTTGCCCTTCTGTGGAAACTGCCCAACCCGTATCCGGCTGCAAGATCCCGCAGCCTTTGTCTAGCGGTCGGACTCCGTGACGCCCAGCCGATGATGGACGATGCTAGCCGCGACCGATGCCGTGTCTTGGGAAACTCGATGATTGACGCTTTGATGTGCAGTGCTGCTGAGTTCCGATCGGCATGTCCATGTGGCAGGCTCCAGTAACTGTTGCAAGAGATCGTTATGCTATGAACATCACGGCGACTAAGGGCTGAGAGCGACGTATGCTTATGATTATTCACCCGATGTCTATTTCGCAATTTCTCAGATTGCTTCTGCTCATTTACTCTCACTATAAAATCGTGGGCAAGCGGGCGCTCTCCGCGCGTCAGCAATGGGCCTAACACCGTAACTTGCGCCTTAGCTATGTCTCACAACCCAGGTTCTCAGCGTGCACGTCCAAACGGGCACAAATTTCTCTCCAGAGAGAATCCTGTTGCAACTCCACATCTTGGGTGTTGAGGGAATTTCCAGCTTAGGATGTGATCCGGTCCAGCAACGCAAACAGGAGCATGTTCTCCACGCGACAGCCATCGCCTGCGGAGACAGGTCCCCGAAACCCCGGGCCCAGCCATCGGCGAAGAGCGTCATGATCCCAACCGGAATAATTCCTGTCCATGATCAACCTGTACGCATCGCGACATCTAGTTGTCGATTCGCCCGCCTGCGGAGGATCCATGTCGCGGCAGGCCTCTTCATCGGCGACGACGTCGCAACCGCAGCCTGTGCCGACTTCGCGACTATAGGCGGCTCCTAGCAGCGGACTTTTTGTGGATGAGGCTAAATCGCGATGAGAACAATCTTTCTCGGTGGCGCGTGGGGTAGCAGACGGCTCGGCGATCGAGACGGGACGTTCGCTGACGATTGATCGAGCCGTGTCTTCGTCTCCGCCACCACTGTTGCTTTCGTAACCGAGGCCGTCAACCACATCGTTCGGTGGTTCAGGTTCCAGCAAAATGTGGACTTTGGGACGGCATTGCGCTTCGGGCGAAGGTGGCTTCAACGGCAAAGAGACGTTCCGAACGGTAGTCTCGTCGGGTCGGTCTGTCGACGCAGGTTTCCGGTAGCGATCGAGCTCTGAAGTCAGGTGCTTGATCGTAAGAAGGGCCTCACGCAATTGAATCTCCGTCTCAGCTAGCCTGGTCTCGAGGTGCGCGACGTGGGATCTCGTCCTCTCGCGGTGGCGCCTCTGGTTGTCACGAACGCGCCTCCGCCTGTCGTCCTGTGGCCGACTCGACCACTTCATCACACTATCTTGCAGTTGACTCATGGCGGGGTACCGGCGCCCAGGGCTCTCGTCGCGTAAGCGTGCGGTCGTGCACGGGGGTCGGTGGCGATACGTTGCGTGGAATCGGCAGCCTGCTTCAAGTTGCATGTCTGGAGCTGGGAGCTGAGCCAAGCCGGATTACGAAGCTGGATTCATATGACCTGGCGGTCAATCTGGACAGCTGGGGCCACAGGCAGTGACATATCGCAAAATTGCCTGTTGTGGTATAGTGGTGCCACGAGGCGTCGAGGCGTTGAAGGCCTGGCCTGTGATTGGCACCGCGAGCACCGCCTCTAGTTGTTATCACGCAGTGGACAGGCACAGCATGGGCATTGACGGAGCTTCAAGTCAACAGTCCGTCATATGGGACTTCACTATAAAACAGGGCCGTGGTTCCGTGCGACTCACCCGCAACTTCCTCTCCAACTCGTCAATATTTAACACAATAAGCTACCAAACCCATCGAACTTGCTCAATCATGGACTCCCGGAAGATCTACTCTGAAGTTAGCGAGCGGTACAGCGCCGCCGCCCGCGGATCCAACACCGGGTTCGGCGACACCATCGCAAAGGCCTTTGGATACTCGGAAGAAGAGCTGGCCGGAATTCCCAAAGACTCCAACATGGGTCTGAGTTGTGGAAACCCATTGGCCATAGCTACATTGCGCGACGTGGGTTCCCAATGATCCCGTTGACCAGCCTCTGTCTGCGGCAACCCTGTAATCCCGTTGCCTGATGCTGACTTGTCTACCAGGGAGAGACCGTCGTTGACCTCGGCAGCGGCGCTGGGCTTGATGTATTTCTTGCCGCAGGAAAGGTCGGCCCAACTGGCAAGGCCATTGGCGTCGACATGAACGAGGTACGCCATGCCCTCTTCCAGCGCGTGAGTGTTTTGTAGTGACATGAGAGCAGGACATGCTTGCCAAGGCGCGCAAGCTCAAGGCTACTTCGGGCAAAGAAAATGTCGACTTCATCCACTCTCGCATCACCAAGGTTGATCTTCCATCGAGCTCGGCCGATTGCATCATCTCAAACTGCGTCATCAACCTTGTCCCGGCCGAGGAGAAGCAGCTCGTTTTCGACGAAATGTTTCGCATTCTTAAGCCCGGCGGCAGAGTCGCGGTATCCGACATCCTGGCCAAGAAGCCTCTATCCAAGGAGATCAAGGAAAACATTGGCATGTACGTCGGGTGCGTGGCAGGGGCCAGTCAGGTGGCCGAGTATGAACAGCATCTCGAGGCTGCAGGCTTCAAAGGTGAGACATGCTTCGCGGTATTTACAGCGCTGTCAAAAATGCTGATTGGGCTGCTTTAGATGTCCTTATTGCTGGAACGGGCAGCGACTTGAACGTGTACGCTGAGAACTGCGCCGACGGCTGCTGTGCAACAGAGGCCCCTTCAGACGGTGGGGGCTGCTGTTCCCCGAAGAAGAATGTGCTGGCCGACCTGGCAAGCTTGGACTTGAACCAATGGGTTGGTAAGTAATACATGGTAATCGGAGCCCCGAAGCATATAGTGGTCTTTCTAACATTGATTCAGGATCGTACAAGGTCTACGCCGTGAAGCGCTGAGCCTGGCCACCGGCGACTTACATGCAAGAGGCGACAGGCGGGGAGAAGGACGGTGTGCACCGGCAGCCATTCGAAGTTTGATCACAGGCCGGCGTGTCTGTTTCGGAGGGACCCGAGTCACGAAATTGTACGAAATCTTTGAACTACAGAATTGAAAGACGTTCTGCGCCTCCTCCTTGTAGAATTACAACTTTACAGGGCACTGTTCGTGAAGCGCCGCGGCCCTGGGCGGCGGGCCGGCCTGGCCGACTCCGATCCGCCGACAAAAAGTGGGCCGCAACGGACAGCGGGCTCGGCTTCCCTTTTGGGCAATGGGTCGGTGCCAGCAAGGTCCGGCGCCGATGCGGTCGCAGAGACCGCCGTGTAGGGCACAGCTGGGCAGGCCTGTTGCAGTAGAGCATAAGTTGGATCATCGAGGTCGGGCGGTCGCAGGCTGACCGCGCCGACATGATGTCTAGCTTCATAGGAGTCGGCGCATCGGCGGACAGGCAAGAGTCGCAAGCACACATATAAAACGAACAGCGCTCTCTACGATGCTGAAACGTCTTACATAGAAAGCAATTGACACAGTATATCGACGCCTTAATCTATTCCCCTATCGTCGCTTTGCCCACACTTTACTGCGACCATGTCCTCCTTCTTAGAACACGCTGGCAAGCAAGTCGTCCCCCTGTGGTATGACGGCGAAGATTGCAACCTAAACCCCAACAACATCTTTGAGGTGATTCACGCTGCAGATGGCACTGTCGCGCATCACGCACAAAGCGCATCCGTGGCCGACGCACAAGCCGCTGTCGACGCCGCACAGGCTGCCTTCTCTACATGGAGTGCAACATCCATCCCGGAGCGTCGCGCCGTCCTACTCAAGGTGGCCGATTTGCTCACTGAGCGAGCCGACGTGTTAGGCGTCATGCAGGCCCGGGAAACCTCCAGCGCGCCCTCTTACGGCAGCTACCTGGCCAAAGTCGCCAGCGCCAACATCCGTGAGGTGGCGTCCCAAATCACAACAGCGTGCACAGGCAGCTTGCCGCCGGATCAAAGCACCACCATCATGGTCACCAAGCAGGCAATTGGCCCAGTACTCATCATTTCGCCGTGGAACAGCCCGACAGTGCTTGGTCCGCGCAGTATTGCTGCCGCCCTCGCCGCCGGCTGCACCGTCGTCCTAAAGGCGTCGGAGCTCTGCCCACAGACCTACCGCATGCTATGCCAGGTGTTTGCCGACGCCGGCCTGCCTCGGGGTGTGCTGAACCAGATCGTGGTCAAGCGCGACGACGCACCGTCAGTCACAGAGGCAATTATTTCTCATCCGGCCATTCGCAAGGTCGAGTTTATTGGGAGCGCTGCGGTAGGCAGTCTGGTCGCGCAGACCTGCGCCCGCCACCTGACGCCGATTCTCCTCGAGCTCGGTGGCAAGGCGCCGGCGATTGTCTGCCGCGATGCAAACCTCGCCAAAGCCGCAGCGACGTGCGCATTTGGCGCATTTGTCCACCATGGTCAAATCTGCATGTCGACAGAACGCATCATTGTCGTCCAGGAGGTTTCCGAGGAGTTCTCCAAGCTTTTGAAGAAGGAGGTGAATGAGAAATGGTACCACGGCGCAGGTTCGGCCGCGACGACGGCTTTTGCGAACAAGGCTCATGCGCTGCTCGACGAAGCACTGCGTGACGGCGCCGAGTATCTCGCAGGAGACAACACGTACATCGATGAGGCAAAGACAAGTCTGCGCCCGACGATAGTGACCAAGCTAGTCCGAGACTCGCGGCTGCGTGACCTGGAGTCGTTTGGGCCGTCGGCAACACTGTACGTGGTGGAGGACGAGGACGAAGCACTTCGGGTCGCCAACGACTCGGCGTATGGGCTCTCGGGAGCGATATGGACCAGCGATGTAATGAAGGGGCTCGCACTGAGTAAGAAACTGGAGTGCGGAATGGTGCACGTCAACGCCGGGACCATGGCCGACTTTCCGACGATGGCGATACAGGGCGTCAAGGGCAGTGGATGGGGGAGCAACAACAGCGTGTACGGGATTGAAGAGTTCTTGGTCACGAAGAGCGTGACGCTGCAAGGATAGTACAGAAGGCGGCTGCTTCCTCTCGGGTCGCCAGGCCTTGCAAAACGAAATTGACTCGCACGTATGGTTGTATCCGGGGACTGGGCCTTGAATCATAAATGGGAGCTCGTGTCCAGTGGTGAGAACGCAGTTTTAGCTGATCCTTCAGTCACGGCGAACCACAGTTCGCCGCAGGGTGCCATGCAGCGCCGTCGGTGACGCAGCCTCACCCCAGCTGCAACACAATAATACACTAACAGGATCTGGGCAATGACTACCACAGCCCGCATGGGCGGCGGGATCCCCGCTGCTCAACGACCACACGTTGGCGAGTAGTCACCAAACATGCATTTCCTACATACATTTTGTCCTCCCGTTGACTGCCATCGTGAGAACCGTATTTGCGGCCTCCAGCCTTTATGATCCGGACCACATATCTCTGGATGTCCCTCGCGGCGCTGAACATCTTTCCACCCCTCACCGCCTCCGCAACATGTGTCGATGACCCTCGTCGGCGGTGCCTCTCGTTTGAGTCCGAGAAGTTCATCACCAACGCGACGCGCACCCGGCTCGAATATGTCCCCCGTGGCACGACGCTCCAGCTTTCCGACAATGATGCCTCGTGCAATCGCCCGTCGCAGCTGGTAGAGGCGAACCTGTGCCGGATCGCCCTACAGATTGACACGTCTCACCGCTCAGGCATCACGTTTGAGCTCTGGCTGCCCGACGACTGGCCCGCTGGGCGGTTGGTCTCGACTGGGAATGGCGGGGTGGACGGATGTAGGCATGGAAGCTCCAACATCAATCTACATGGACTGACACGGCGCAGGCGTCAAGTACGAGGATCTCGCGTATACCACTGGCCTCGGGTTTGCGGCCATGGGCACCAACAACGGCCACAACGGGACCACTGGCGTCTCCTTTTACCACAACCCCGACGTGCTAGAAGACTTTGCCCATCGCGCGTACGTGACTTTCTGAGCTTGGCTAAGCTGGACTGACACTGCACAGTCTTCATACTGGCACTGTGGCAGCCAAGACGCTGACTGAGGCGTTCTACCAAAAGCCTCCCGCCCGGTCATATTACATTGGCTGCTCCCTCGGAGGCCGCATGGGCATCAAAGGCGCGGAGCTCTACCCCGATGACTACGACGGAATTGTCGCGGGATGTCCCGCCGTGGACTTCAACCACCTTCAGGGCCAGCGGGCCATGTTTTACCCCATCACCGGGCCCGTGGGGTCGCCCAACTACATCAGTCACCAACTTTGGACGGGCCTCATCCATGACGAAGTCCTCAAGCAATGCGATGGACTCGATGGCGTAGTTGACGGCATAATTGAAGTTCCTGATCGCTGTCACTTCCAGCCCGAAGCTCTTCTTTGTGCGTCGGATCAGCATGATGGCCAATGCCTTAATGAGCAGCAGGTTGAGCAAGTGCGCAAGATCTACGCCCCGTATACATACCCCGATGGATCTCTCATTTTCCCGCGAATGAACCCAGGCAACGAGATACAGGCCGTACAGAAGCTCCTCGCTGGCGCTCCGTTCAGCTACTCACAGGTGGGTTTCCCTTGTCGTCGCCTTGTGCCCTTCCACCGCTGACAGCGTGTACGCAGGACTGGTTCCGGTACGTCGTTCTCAATGACCCGACGTGGGACGCCATCCACTACGACTCTTCCCTGGCACGACGCGCCGACGACCTCAACCCATTCAACATCCGAACCTACCCTCAAACTCTCCCTCCATTCAAAGCACGCGGCGGCAAGATCATCTCCTACCACGGCGGGCAAGACAACCAAATCACCAGCTTCAACACGGCGCGCTTCTGGGACCACATGGCGAGCGCGGACCAGCAGCTGCACGACTACTTCCGCTTCTTCCGCGTATCCGGCATGTTTCACTGCAACAGCGGCCCGGGCGCATGGGCGTTTGGGCAAGGCGGCGGTGCACCGGCCAAGGGGATCGCGTTTGAGCCCCAGACCAACGTGCTTGCCGCCGTCGTGGCCTGGGTGGAGAGGGGCGAGGCACCGGAGACGTTGACGGGGACCAAGTTTGTCAATGACACGGCTGCCCTTGGGATTGACTTTCAGCGGAGGCACTGCTTGTGAGTGTTGCCGAGCACATTTGTTTTATCGAGGCTGACTGGAGGTAGGTACCCGAAGGCGCAGACGTATGTGGGCGGCGACCACAAGGAGCCGTCCAGTTGGAAGTGCCTGTAGATGTCAGGATACGACGCGAAGTAGGGCGGAACTTACATGCCTGCCAGAGCATCGTCTCTGATCGTCTATACATATACGATAAAGTGAGAAAATAAATGCCTGAATCTATCTGTTTCAATAGCTGTACTTGACCCATGTAGAGCTTGGCTCGCAGCAGCATCATAGCTTCATGGTGTCAGAGACCACGGTCTGCCGTGCATCAGGGTGAAGCACAGGCGAAGGCGCGGCCGAACAACCTCCAAAAAAATACATGTAGGGGCTAACCACTCGCGATCAAACTCTGCGTTTACCAGGACAAACCGTCCAATGGTCGAATCGGCTCAGTACCCGGGTTGGGTGTGGCCTTGTGACGTAGGCGTTGCGACTGGCGTTCGCATCAACATGACCGGCCGCTGGGTTGGTGGGTTGCGACCCGGCCTGGCAGCTCCCGTGCAGGCATCGGGTGCATTCTGCTCCGCCATCGCTTCCCACCCTTCAGGATACAAACTTGCTCGGGTCTGGAAGGACGCTAAGACTGCGGGTGGGATAGCATCTTTCGTCTCAAGATCCGACGATACTGTGAGGGCCTTCCATGCACACCAAAGGTCCCAATTTAAAGGCGAATGCACCGTGGCCTGCCTTGCATCAGTGGGGCAAAGGTCATGTTGGGAGCGTTTACACGAGGGCGAACCTCCCGTATCTATCCCGGCTCGCCAATGCAACACAACCTCTGGGGTCAAGCGACGTCTCAATACGGCATCCAGTTTTACTCTGTCACCCCCAAGTACGTAGCTAGTCATTGCCTCGCAACAATGCCGCCCGTCACTGGGAAACCATGCCGCCCGTCACTGGGAAACCATGCCGCCCGTCACTGGGAAACCTTAGTTTCATCGCCGGCATTCCAGCCCGTTTCATTGTACGCGCCACGAGTGGCGCGAGCGTCCAAGACAGCACACATCGCTCCCATCTAAAAAGCAAGACACTGGGACACACAACAGCGAAATACCTTGAGCGCCCGCCCATCCTGCTCGCCTCCCTGTCTCTCCTGTCATCTCTCGGGAGCGCCTTCTCGAAGCTCGACCTTATCGCAGGGCCCCACGGCTGCTCATGCCTTCTTTCAGATAAACACCGAGCGTCCCGCACCTCTTCGGCTACAGAAGTTCCTCTCGGGGGGCGTCACTTAATCAAAAGGGACCGCGTCCGGCCCAGCCCCCGGATTGGCTGGCGGGCGATTGGGATCCAGCTTTGCGCTTCCCGCTTGCCTTGTTGGTGCATAATCGCGGGGGAAATCTACGGGCGGGTCATCACCTACGTCGTAGCCCGGCTCTCGTACCCCTGCCGGGACGATCAGGTCCCAAGGTTTCCAAGGTTTCTGTGCGACTCGACGGCGGCGACGGCGCTGGCCGCTCTGAGGGGGCCCAGGCGGGCACAGACGCGGAGAAGGCACAGAGTAGTACAAGAAGGGAACTGAGCCCTCTCGCCCGCTCTCGTCCGAGAGTTCTCGTCATCTCCGTTCGTCCAGTCCATTGCGCCTCGAGACTCAAACGCCAAGATGCGCTGGCAGTTCCTCGCGTCGGCCCTGGCTGCGGCCACCGTGATCGATGCGGCGCCGGACCGATACCGCCGGAGCGCGCCACCAACGCAGCCTCTCGCCCACCGTGGCGTCCCATTCGACAAGTGGACGCGGGACGGCCCCGTCGCCAAGCAGTTTGCGAGCTCCAACACGACGAGTAAGTACGCTTGGCGATGGAGCGAATCAGGAACTCAATCTCAATCTCGGCACATGGGAATGATGCGACCAAAGCTTGCTGACCACGGCATCACGCAGAGTACGCCATCAATGGCACGGGGATCCCGGACGTGGACTTTGACATTGGCGAGGCGTACGCCGGGCAAATGTCCATCTCGGACGACCTGGACGGGCCCGACAAGTTTTACTTTTGGTTCCAGCCGTCGCCGAACCCGGCTGCTAAGAAGGAGATTGTCATTTGGCTCAATGGCGGCGTGAGTCCCTCCCCTCACATCTTGCTCCAAGCCGTTGCTTGCATCGCTAACTTTATCTTCACTCATAGCCAGGCTGCTCATCCCTCGAGGGCTTCCTGCAGGAAAACGGCCCGTTCCTGTGGCAGTACGGCACATTCAAGCCCGTGCCCAACCCGTGGGGATGGCACCATCTCACCAACATGCTCTGGGTCGAGCAGCCCATCAACACGGGCTTCTCGACCGGCAACGTGACGGCCAAGGACGAAGAGGACGTCGCGAGGCAGTTCATGGGCTTCTTCAAGAACTTCATCAACACCTTTTCCATGCAAGGGTACAAGGTGTACATCACCGGTGAATCATACGCGTTCGTCTCCCCGTCATGCCGCACCACGTATTCTTTGACGCTAACCAGAGCAGTGGCATGTACTGCCCGTACATCGCGAGCGCCATGCTTGACGCCAAGGATAAGACCTACTTCAACATGAAGGGCATGATCATCTATGACCCCTCCATTGGCCCTGACCGTCTCAGCGACATCAACGCCGTGCCGTTCACGGACTACCATCACAACCTCTTCCCGTTCAACGAATCCTTCACGCGGCACCTCCACGACGTCGATCGGAGGTGCGGCTACGCCGATCTCCGGTCCAAGTTCCTCACCTACCCGCCGTCGGGTCACTTGCCCAACCCACTACCCGGCATCGACCCCAAGACGGGCAAGCCAAAGAGTGGCTGCGAAGATGGCAGCCTCATGAACGCCATCCAGGCGGCTGTCACGGACATCAACCCCTGCTTCGACGTGTACCAAGTCGCCACTACGTGCCCGCTGCTCTGGGACGTGCTCGGCTTCCCCGGTAGCTTCGATTACCTCCCCAAGGGCGCCTCTATCTACTTTGACCGTGAGGATGTCAAGAAGGCCATCAACGCTCCCCTCGACCGCAAATGGGCGGAGTGCGGCGGACCCGTCTTCGTCAAGGGCGGAGACCAGTCGCCGCCATCGTCCAACACGGTGCTGGGCGGCGTTGTCGATCGCACCAAGAACGTCATCATCGGCCACGGTGCACTCGACTTCATCCTGCTCGCCAACGGCACGCTCATGTCCATCCAGAACATGACTTGGGGCGGACGGTTGGGCTTCCTGAGAAAGCCCGTCGAGCCGTTCTATGTTCCTTACCACACTCGCGGCGAGGACGCGACCATCGCCGCGGCGGGCGTCTTTGGTACGACGCACACCGAGCGCGGCCTGACGTACGTCGGCGTCGCTCTCACTGGCCACATGGTCCCGCAGTATGCGCCCAGCGCCGCGTTCCGCCACGTAGAGGTGATGCTTGGGCGCGTCAAGTCTCTTAGCAGTAGGGAGCCATTCACTACCGACTCCAAGTTTCCGCAGCCAGACGGCCCGCTTGGCAAAGGCACTGCGCCGCCAGGCTATAACGAGTAGAAGACGAAGGGCAAAAGATGTTGAGATTTGTGTGGCTCATTTAGCAAAGCTGGGAGCCAGGTCTTCGTAATGGGAGACACACAATCTGTCGTACATAGACTACACCTTAATTCACCATCTCCCAAGTCTCAGGATTTCGTGGTCTAACTTTCTGCACTTAATGTCTTACAATTTTCACGTGATGGTTACAGATTGTATCGCAATCCCCGCCCGCGTCCGAACCACCAGCACTGCCTCTTCTCTTCAGCATGCAACACTAGTGACTCACTGTTCTCTGGGATCTAGGCAGCCACGATCTCAACCCTTCCATCGCCGATACCGATCAAGCATCTTTTGTCTCGACCACGCGACGCGGTCATCAAGTTCTCGTCTCGGCCTCGATCCTGCGTGGTCGCGATTGTCAATCCGGCACAATGACTTCCATGCAAGACATCGCTTCAAAACTGGCATACATCAAGGGTCAGCTGACTGCGGGAGGGACAAATGCACAAATGAAGGAGTGGTACTTTGAGTACAAGAAACTCACCGCGGAACTCGACGAGGCCAAAGCCGCGAAGGCAAAAGCGTCGCAGAGCTCGACAAAGCCCGCAGAGGGTACGGATTCCAAGCCCACCTAGCGACGTCCCGGCACGGTCACCCGGTGGCGGCTTCGAAGGTGACGAGGGTGATCGGAATCATTCGGCATTTTGGGCTACCTTTAGCCAGACGCTGAATGTATGTCTTTTTTTTTTTGGTCTTGGGCGACAAGACAAGTCGCCACCACACCATACTGTCTCCCGAGTCCCGACGACTGCATTTGCCGCCGAATGCTGACACCTGTCGAGGCCACGTCACGTAAACAACTCCAAACACAGAGGACTTGTTCTTCGTGGCTCGTTTAAATGCGACCGCTCACAAGTCTTGTTCCCCAAGACTTTACTGATGTCGCTACATTATTCTTCACCTTCGCTATCATGAATCGAGCAAGGCCACCAATTTGCTTTTTCCTGTCATTTGCCCTTCTCGCTGGAATTTGCAACGCATACGCATATGACGAAGATTTCCGCCCTTGCGAAGAAGATAAATGCTTCGTTGAAATCCATTCAGATGTCCCACGATGCTGGGTAGACGGCGGCAACCAGAACATTCACTACATGAGTCCCATGGACGGCGGATCTCACAGCATCCCGAGCGGGTGTTGGAGGTCCAACGTATTCGGCGGCGACGGATATCTTGTTGCGTTACCCTCAACAGGTGGCGTCGTGTTCCTCAAAAACCCGTCGGCCGTAGATCTTCAACATCTCGGGCTACCGAACACGCACGATACCGCGCGGGCGCCGGATGAAGACGATAACATCGCCTCTCGTATGGTCCAGCTTGGCGCACAGTGGTGGCCGAACTGGGATTTGTACTTTCGGCATAGGAGCAGAATTGATACCGGAATTTTCTACGACTATCATTTCCCTTCGAAGGTACACGTTGCCTTCCCGACGACAGGAGGTGTGTGGGTAGCAAACTTCACGCAAGATGCACTGCAGCATCAGTACGATGAAGATAAAGTCTGTCAGCCTTGGCTTCCGCATGCACCGGATCTATTCGATGTTAGAATGCGATATGCTTTGACCATGGACGATAAGTCTGAAGTGATGAAGGATATGGGCGCTACGTTTTACATATCTGCCGATGAGGTTCCTGGCCTCGCAAAGACTGTAGATGCTGCCATTAGCTTGTTCGAGCCGTTCAGGGAGCGATTGGAACACATGGAGGATAGTGGCTATAGGAGGCGACTTTGCACTGATTACATGTACGAGGATGAGGATGAGGATGAGGGCACGGTGAATGAGCAGCCTGACAGGCCGAGATGGGGGATAGGGTGGGTCTTTCATGAATTCCGTTAATACCACTATCCCATTGCCCATCTTTTTACGACCAGTCTTAACGGGGTTCCATTCGTATTGTTTTGCTCTAGCTACATGTATCTAGGAAGCAGCTCGTCCCCGCGATTCGTACGGCAAGATGAGAAAGACAAAGCCTGCCACAACAAACAGCGCCGCTGAGATCCACACGGGCAGGTCCGTGTCGATGCCCACATACGCCGCGATGATGGGCGCCATCAACCCGCTCATCCGGTTGAAGACTGCCACCAGGCCGTTGGCCGTACCTCGGATCGGCGCCGGGAACAGCTCCGGGGTGTACGAATACAGCAGTCCGTACACGAGGTTCTGGAAGAATGCAATGGCGCAGCTGAAGCCCAGGACGCTTGCACTTGTCTGCGCCCGCGTGAAGAGGAAGAGAAACACGCCTGTGCCCAGGCAGGCCAGGGTTCCGGTACCTTTGCGCCCGATACGGCGCATATCGACAGTGAAGCCACCCAGGATGGATGCCGGGATGCCGCAGATGGCCTGGATCGCGTAGTTGCGGTAGGTGGTGTTGATGGAGCTGGCGCCATACGCGACGCCCTTGTTCTCGAGGTAGATGGGAATGAAGGAGTTGTATAATGGGTACGCCATGCCGATGGAGCACCACAAGAACAACATCAGTGACGTGGAGAATGCGAGCCGCGGCGTCGAGAAGAGCGCCATGATCTTTTGGGGCGCAAACTTCTCAACGCTCCGCCTGACGATGTTCTTGGAGTCTGAGTTGGGCGGCGCCACCACCTCCGCCTCGTCGGCTCTTTGCGAGGCAAGCTGGGCGTCTACCGCCTCAAAGTGCGACAGGGTAAGCCACGTTGTCGTCTTGTTCCGCTTTGCAATCGCTTGGACAACTTCAACGGCCTCCCTGTCGCGGCCCTTGCCGAGTAGATACTTCGGCGTCTCCGGTACCCTAAACAGAAAGCGGGCGAGGAACATGGCAAGCGTGAGGCCGCCAAACGTCCAGAACGTGTATCGCCAGCCCAAGTTCTCATGGTACCCACACTGCCCGGCCGGCGTGTTTGTGGGACAAGAGTAGTTTGCAATCATGGGCCTTTAAGATCAGCATTGTTTACTTGCCTATAGTGAGAAGTGTCCTTACCATCCGATGAGCGCCGCGACAGCTTGTCCGACAGACCAGAATGACGATTGCATAGTGAGAAGGTACTGATGCGTCGCCGGGACAAACTCAAGGAAGATGGCGCTGTCGACGGGCTGGTTGCCGCCTGTACCCAGACCCAGTCCGGCGCAGAACGTGGCGATGGCCACGAAGTTGGGGCTTCCGGCGCCAATCAAGCCGGACATGGAGGAGATGAGGAGGGTGATGTTGAAGGCCGGTCGGCGGCCGATGAAGTCTGCCGTCATGGGCCAGAAGCTCGACCCAATGACGAGACCAGCGTATTTGGCGACACTGAGAAAGGCAATGCGCTTCACCGCAAATTCGGTCCGCACAGGTGGTGTGATGATGGTGATGGCTTGCAGCCAGAGCTGTGACGGCTTGTCAGATCATAGAGATCAAGCGGCATGAAGTGGCTAGGACTCACATTGTCGACGAACCAGCCGAAACCTGTCATGGCGAAGACCTTCCACTGAAAGGAACCCATGCCCAGGTCGATCAGGGCCTCGTTCATGATGGAAATCTTCCTCTCGTACACCTCATCCGCCCCCATGGACACTGCTCTCGTGTCAATGCCATGGTAGTTGGCGTGCCCAGCAGTGCCCTTGTCAGGGTCATGTTGGTGCGAACTGTGAGTATCGGTCCTGTTGTCGAGGCCGACTTCGGCGAGGTTCTCCTGGTGGTCTACGTCCGTCTTGGTTGCCATTCCGTTGCTGAAGTATAATAGTATCGAGGTGTTGGGACGACGGCTCCTGTCTGCTGAACGTCTCGGACGTCTCAACTCAGGCGTCGGCAACCAGGTTCTTTATACACTTGGACGTGCCGGACTGTCGGCTAACCCAGATGCTACGGGTAAAGAGAAAAAAGTCATGGTGTTTGCCCCGATTGGAATCTGCAACGCCATTATTCGCTAGCGGTTTTCTCCAGGAGCCACTCTCTCCGCAAGCCACCGTGGGGGCATCAGGGACCGCGCGGAGTGTGCACGTGGATCCCGAACGCCCGTCGGCGAAGCCATCATACAGATAAATCTTGCCACAAACTCAACATGATCTGGGGTCCGGAGGCTGTCGGTTCGTTTCTCCGCTTCCCCAGAGTGTGTGACCAGCGTTGCCGGTGCGGAGAAGCCTGTCTGAGTCCCGTCGTTACGTTCGCCGTTTGTCGCCATGGGCCCAATAGTGTGGCCCGCCGTCTGGGGACGAGAACTCTGGCGGTTCAAATGTCCCGCTTTGAGCCTAGCGCATGGCAGTCAGGGAGCATCCACGGCGCGTCAAATGTGCCATTTGTAGCTTGGTGTAGGTTGGCAGTCAGCCCGTGTGACGGCCATTCCAGCATATTGCTCTCGCGCTTTCATCCGCGAGAGATCTCATGACACACGAAGCCGGCTTGCCAGCCGGGCCTTCGGCATATTCTCAATTGTCATTGTTGAGTTAATGCCGACACTCCGACGCCGGAGCGCGGCTCACAGGGTCAAGGCCTCGGGCGCCTGTAATTGCTCAATTGCGTTTGGCGTGGTGAGATCCCACGGGGAAAGCATCGAGACGAGGAGGATCCCGATTCCCAGTCCTCCGCCCCAGATCCCCGGATTTCGGCGTCTCAAATTACCCTTTTTGGACATCTAGGTCTACGTGCCTTGACTGTGTTTCTAACTCACCCCGATATATAACGCCGTGAGCGTCACCTACATGTCTTCAAAGAATACAAGCTCACTGCTTTGTTCACTTCCAACACCAACATCATGTCTCCCCCAATTGCAGTTGACCCGGCTCCGGCGTCGCCGGCACCCAAACCGTCTGGAAATGTTTCCAGCATCAAGGCCGCCGTCGATTTCGACGCCCCCAGGCACCTTTCTTTCTCCCCTCCCTCATCAGTTCTCACCATGAAGGATCTCTGCCTTGAGCCCACAGCCCTCTCCAACGTCGCCACGACAGAACCTTTCCCGCTGCTTTCTCACGAGGCCGTTCTCCAGCACCGCCGGGAGCTCTTCAGCCCAGAGGTGCTGGACAACTGCCTGCACTACACGCGGCCCGGGTCCGTCCAGCTGCGCGGCATGGCCCCCCGCTATGCGCCGTTCATTCACAAGTTCTGGCACTCGCCCGAGGTGCTGAAGATTGTGAGCAGCATTGCGGGCGTGGACCTCGTGCCGGCGATGGACTACGAAGTGAGCCACACCAACGTGCAGCTGGGACCTGGAGGCCTCGATGCCGTGCGAAGCACTCCGGTGGAGCCGCCGACAGCGACCGAGGAGGCCATTCGCGCCTTTGAGGCAGACAAGGCCCAGAAGAGGGCCGTTACGGACCAGACTAAGCCCATCATTGAGTGGCACAAGGACTCACATCCGTGGGTGTGTGTCGTGATGCTGTCTGACGCGCGACACATGACGGGCGGCGAGACGGAGCTCATGAAGGGCGATGGCACGACCCTCAAGGTGAAGGCACCGCAAATGGTACGTTGACCCTCAGATTCGCCAATGCGCTTACAGAATTGCGGCGCTAATGGGAGACGTGCAGGGTTGCGCTGTCCTGCTCCAGGGCCGGTATATCACACATACCGCTGCACCCGTCGACAACATGCCCGAGCGCGTCACGATCGTGACGTCGTTCCGCCCCAGGAACCCCATGCTTCCTGATGAGACGACCAACGCCAACGTCCGCAACAAGTCGCACCTCTCGGAGCTGTACTACCAGTGGACGACCTATCGCCTCGATGTGCTTGCGCAGCGCGCGCGCATCACAGCCGATGCCCTGCGCCGCCGCTACGACGAGAATGTCAAGGCGAACGACCCAGAGGGCAAGAAGGGCATGTGTCTTGTTGAGACTGTTAATGTGGGCGAAGTGGAGGCGTGGGCGGAGGAGCAGATCAAGTACATTCGCGAGACACTGCACGAGATGAGGCCATTGGACAAGTCGGGAAAGTAGAGGAGCCTATTAAGTGGTAGGAGTCAGGACATAACAATTCGCTGAGGAATCAGTGTAGATTCACAGCGGTCGCCGTCATAATTGAGATCGAGACTAAGGCATTGGTCGAACTGTGTCAGGTGAGCTTGCGTGTGATCTCGTCTTGTTTGCCAGGCAACAGCGAACCAACACATTGGCGCGTCCAGTGGTCCGTTTGGCGCCAGAGAGTGAGCCATCACCTACATCCACACATTATGTCCCGTCCTGTATACCTCGCTCTCCATCCCGGGGGCCCCAACTCCCGCACGCACTTTGCGATATTCATCCCACACGCGAATTTGGCTGATAAAGACCTCGCGGTGCCGACGTTTAAAGACGCCCCGTGCGCCGGCACAATCGTGCAGGTCGTCGGGGAGCCCTTATGTCCGGCTTCGTGCTCGAGTTCAAGCGCAACTTCGACTGCAGCACCGCGCACGACCTGCGCAGACTAGCTCTTCTCGGCAATGTCGATACGGAGAACATCTACGATGGAGACTTCTCTGGTGGCGGCCCCGTGGTGGATGCCGTGCCGAGATCGAGACTGGAGGTGGAGGCGACTCGCGTTCCCCCGCCGCCGAAGGGACAGGATTTGCGCCGCCCACTTGATGGTGTACGGCTCTTTAAAATTTTCGGTGCATCATATTGTGCTAACGTCACGCAGGTCAAGACGAAGCGCTGCCAAGAGTGGACGATGGAATACGTCATGCGGCTTGTCGACTAAGGTCTGATCCATGCGGAAGCCATCGACATTGTGCAGCGCCATCGCGACCCGCCCACTCGTGGCATCGTGGGCATGAAGAGGGACTTGTAACTCGTGTCATCGGAGGCTGGTGCTGACTCCTGGCGCGTCCCATTTACACTATCCACACAGAATTTCCCCATCATTGTATGCATAGCCTTGGTCGCACATGGCCCAGTGAGTCTGCAGATGCTGTCTCGCTCGAGCAAAGTGCCGCATCTGGAACCTCTTCTCCAGCGCGTTCAGAGTCCTCGTGATGCTCGCCCTCTCCGTGTCATGGAGGACAGTCAGCTCCTTCGCAATGATGCCAATCGGCCACAGAAGTGTGTTTTGAAACGCCGAGGTTGGTGGTAATAAGTCAATCAGCTGCACTGCCCAGAGAGGAAGGTTGCCCATCCAGGCGTCGTGTGGCCAGGCACACGCTGAAGACAGGCCGCCCACACGACCAACGCACTGCTTTCTGTAGACAGTTCCCGCGATGCGGTACAGCTCCGACGTAATTCTCTGCTCGCTCCACTCGCGCGGACAGGTAAAGCTGTCAAGATGCCGATAGCGCGGATCCGTTACAATGTCGCGGTTCGCCGTGGGGATGTGCTCGTACGGGTCCAGCTCCAACGGCGGAGCCAGCGAGAAACTCGGCAGCCAGCCCAGAGCACCGTCCCAGTCCGCAATCTCCTGGTCTGTCACTGTAATATCGCCGGCGGTTATACGAGTGATGAGTCGCGGGAACACGAATCGCCGCAGGTCCTGGTCGCCTTTGCTGTCGTTGCTGTCCAACCCACCGAGGTCATCGACACCGGCCGGGTCGATGTGCCCGTCCGCTAAATAAAAGTCGGAGAACGTCGATGTTCGCAAGGATGTTGATCGTACGAGATCGTTATAAAGAAAGAGGTTGGTGACGAATTGGAATGCGTGCGTGGCAGATTGCTCGGGGGCGCTGCCACTGTGAAGGCCGGCCATGGCCTGAAGAAGCATATCCCCGGGGAAGAGCCGTGAGAAAAACTGCAAATGCGAAGTTCCATTCTCTTTGTCTTCTCCGGCGAGCTTCTCGTAAAGCATTAGTAGGACGCAGCTCGTCAGGAGATGAAGCATGGTAGAGCCGTCGTCTGGCTGGCTGCGCCACCGTTGGTGTCCGACGAGGGCGCCCGCGAGCGTCAAGTCATCGCTATCCTCGAGTCGAGTCCTGCCTGTTCTCATGCGCCCCGCGAGTTCGTGGCACCCTCTTAGAGCCTTTTGTCGTAGCTTCAGCATTGCGCCTTCCAAGGCAAACCCGCCGTTATCCCAGCTCTGTACCCCGCCCAATGCGAGTAAGGAGTCAAGCACGACCCGGCTCTGCATCGACAGCGGCAGGATCACGCGCAGAAAGGGATTGGTCGGCCCTGAGAATGCTGGATATGTGCGCGAGAATCGCTGAATGTAGTGGTCGAGGAGCATCGACTCTGTTGAGTCAAGCTCGAACGGCCATTGCGATATGCCAAGGCCAGCTATCGTGTCCGACGCAGAGGCAATGGTAGCTGAGCGAATTAGATCTTTGCTGATGTCCAGTGGCTCGTCGATATCGCTTTCTGCGGTCTTGTCTTGCCTGGCAGCACGCGCTCCTGCGTCTTCACCTCCCCGTTTCCGTTTCAACCCAGTGGCCGGTTTGGTTGGCCCTCTTCTGCGCATCCCGTCTCGCCGGGAGTCATCTTCCCAGACCAGCCTAACATCCCGCTGGCACTCGAGACCGAGCCTGGAGCAGTTGTGGCAAGGGTGTGCGCTGCTGTCGCACTTCTTTTTCCTGCGGGCTGGTTAGCTGTCGCCCAGTGGTGAGTCTGCTGATGCCCAGGCTGGGCTGACCTTTTTCTGCAAGTCCAGCAGCCCTCACGAGAGCGTCGCGGAGGTGGTGCTATTTGCATGGCTGGTAAGTGTTGTATGGTTGTACACGTTTTCGGTCGGCTATCCACGTCTGAGAAAGGCACTCATCAATTGAGCATTGCAGCAGAAACTGGGCCAGCGCAAAGCCGTGAGAGTGAGGGGGCCCAACGTCCGACGCCGGTGCCCCTGGACTGGTTGGGGTCCTCACTGATGGGCCAGCATGTGGGGGTTCAGTGGAATCCGGGGAAGCAATCCAGGCTAAAGTTGGGTGGCGTCGACCGCAGCCGACACGACTCGTGCTTCTAGTGTTGTGGAGCCATCGCCGCCGCGTTCCGGGTAGCCGCTCAGATGCAGTTGCTCTCAGGTCCCGCAAACTCTAGGCTGGGGAATACATTGATGATCTCCTGCCGAAGAGGCTTAATCCAAGATTAGTGTATCCCTCCTGGTATTTATAGAGGCCTGACTCGATCACATTCGCCCGAGGATAGACGCCTTGTGTGTTGAAGGACCAATTTGACGTACAGGTGAAGTTGCCCAAAAGGAGGAGGGGACGCATTTGAGTCTTGATCATGTTTCTTTGTCTGGTGCCACTCGCCCGCCTAGCAATACACTGAGTTCCTACAAACCCTCTACTTACGATACCACATACGAGTAATCTTGGTCCGCCTCATCTTAGACTGTAGCTGGAAGACCCCATACATGAGTGCCTCTGCTGCGGGCGGGCAGCCTGGGACGTAGATATCCACCGGCAAGATCCTGTCCACGCCACGCACCACCGAGTAGCTGTAATGGTAGTACCCTCCACCGTTCGCGCAGCTACCCATGCTAATGACCCATTTGGGGTCCGGCATCTGGTCGTAGCACTGTCGTACTGCGGGGGCCATCTTGTTCGTCACTGTGCCCGCGACAATCATCACGTCTGCTTGCCGAGGAGAGGCACGAAATATGATGCCCAGACGGTCTTGATCGTAACGCGGCATCGAAACATGCATCATTTCTACGCCGCAGCAGGCGATTCCGAACGTAAGAGGCCAGAGAGAACCCTGGCGCGCCCAGTTGACGATGGCATCGAAGGTGGTGCTGAAGATGCCATGAGCATTTGACTGTCGGGCTGCGTCAAGCATGGGTACCAACTCACAGAACGTATTCGACCGCGTTTGAGGTATCCTTCTTTTCAGTCAGAGACAGCACCTCGCCGTGCTTGACGGCCGGCAGGGTTTGTTTTGCCGTGCTATGGGCATAACGACGGCAGAGCCGGCCGTCGTAAGTGCGTGCCGGACAACAGATTGCGCGGTGGTAATTCAGTGCCAATGACGGAACTGGCCGTCTCTTGCAGACTTAGTTCGTCAGCATACGTGAGCGTCTTCTCGATGCAGAGGCGTACTTGCGAGCGAATAGTAAAGTCGCATAGTCTCGGCTGTGCGGAATTGAAAGACCTGTCGCCTTTGATTTGGACCGTATGCAGTTAGTCTCATGTCAGAACAACAGCACGAACAAAGGCATCGTGTTTGAGGATTCGGGAAGTCGATTCCATGCGGGAACGGCAACTTACACGATGGGAGCAGCACGAACAACAGCTTGGATCAACTCCGAGTGCAAATGTACTGCTTCTGAAGTTGACACCAGAAAGAGGGGACCAAAAATGCAACACGGAAATCCCAACTCCTCAATTGCGACTGGCCATCCGCGACAGCCGCCCGTATCCTCAGGACGCAACACGTTGTGCAGGGCACCACAAGATGTCCCCATCCGGAAAGGCTTGGGGGCATGGTGGGTTCAGCCGAGCGCAAAGGGTGAAAACCCACCCACCTGTCAGCCTCCGAAGCGTCGGACAAAACCCACCTCATTCATCTCCTCTCCCACCTACACCCCAGGACTCGAACATGGCCAGCCAGGCCAAGCGCATGATACGAAACCATCGTCCCATACCAGCCACTACGTCGCGTGCCTCTGGCGATGCTAGCTGCCGCAAGATCGGTCCCGTTAGGTGGGGCCGCGACCCGGCCGGCTGCGGGTGCCAAGTCGTATGTGTGCTCGACGTGTGGCAGACGGTACCAGCGGAACACGCACTTGCGGCGACATGAGGCCACTCGTGAGTTTATCCCTGCCGTGACTCCTTAGCCTGGGGCAGTTGATTGGGATATTGCAACGATGCACACAACTCCACACCAACGATGGATGGGCAGCCCAGCACAGAGGCAGCACGCATGTAGCTATTCAGCCGCCATGCCCTCACACCAGCACGCTCAGGCTCAGGACTCTGCGTTTGACCACGTAATTATTTCTTCTAACAAATCACAGATGTCGACGTATTCCGGTTCAAATGCCAATATTGCCAGAAACGGTTCGCCAGAGGGTGAGTGCCTTATCCTACACGTAGTCCTGGTCACACATTCAGGCAGCTCATGGTGTTCTATGAAGCGACGTCTGCCGCAAGCATACTCTCAGTTGCGCCAAAAAGGACGAGAGCGCAGCGATATCAGATTGCCGCCGCGGCCAGAAACCCCGAGCGTGCGAGGCTTGCTTTCACAGCAAGGTCTCGTGCGACAAGGTATACCCGTGTGCACGCTGCACGGCTCGTCGCGTAACGTGCAGGTTCCGCGACGCAGCTTCCACCACCTCGTCACACAACACACCTAGCATTGCGCTAGAACGTTCTCTGTCGAGCAGCGCGAGCCAGCCAGACCCGAAGCTCTCGTTCTTGCGAGGCCTGACGGATCCCAAGCGAGAGACCATGTTGGATTGCTTCGACAACAACCAGGTCGTCAACGACAGAGTTCCAGAGATGGACTTGGACATGAGTTCTCTGGACGAAAGTCCGCCATCGCTCGTGGTTGAGGACATTGGCTTCATTCCATGGGCGTTCCCACCCATGTTTAACTTTGCTTTCGATGATGCAGATGGAGAGCGGCCCTGCGAGTCAGCTACACCGTCGGCAGTAACAGACGCGTTCATCCCAGCTCTTACCTCCGAAGGTACTGCCGCGCTGGAAATTTTCTCCAAGCAGATCGTACGGGAGCTAAACGCCCTTCATGCAACACTTGCCGTCAGCGAACCCTCATACAACCAGCCATTTGACTTTGACCTTGCTCAGTCTGTATTCGCGCCGCACATCTTGCGCACTTTCATCTCGACATTCTTTCGACTTAGCCACAACTACGTTCCCGTTGTGCATATGCCGTCATTCGGGTCCGAGGACACATCTCCGCTGCTGGTTCTGGGAGTGTCACTGTGCGGAGCCATAAGGTCACCCCCGAGGGACGACGCCTTATCCGCCAAGTCGTTTTTGCGCATTGCAGAAGAATACATCTTCCTCCAGCTCGCAGATGTCATGGCGACCGATCCAAAGCCAACTAGACCTGTACTCGAGACGTTGCAAGCCGCTCTTCTCATTCACCAAGTGCACTTCCTGCAGAACAGCGTCGAAGCCAGACGGCGGCACCGAATCCGACGGCTCCCAGCGCTGGTCTCCGCAGTTCGTCGCCTTGGTTTGCTAAACAAGAGGCACTCCGCAAGCTCGCGTAGCGCGCAGTTCCTTGCCGACGAGACCTGCATCAGGTAAAGTTCTCGCCATCTTGGTGTAGCGCCTTCGCTAAGTCTTGTCAGAACCGCGACGTGGATCACACTGGCGGACTGGCACCAGTGCGGCATGTTCCACGTATTACCGCTCACGACGACGGCAGAAATGCGCTGCGATCTCCCGTGCCCGCATGCGCTGTGGGATTCAAAGGACGTTACAGACGCGGATGTTGGTCTCTACAGGCGGCAAACACGGGGCGCGCCGTATTGTCTCTCCTCGCTTAGAGCGCTGACGGAAACGCTCATGGGTGATCGCTGGCAGCCGGTCGAATTGACGGCATTCAGTTTCATAGCTTTCACCGGCCTCGAGCTGGCCATCTTCGGTAGGGCTCGGCGACACCGGTTCGTGAACCATTGCTGACCTTAACAGCCCTCAGTTCGGTTGCGATCTCGGCGCACCTCATGTCCATGATGCCCGTCACCTCGTCAGCCATTCTGAGAGCCATCTCGCGCTGGCAGGAGCTGTGGGAGGGCCAGACCGCCCGAGCAGACGAAGATCGTGTTGAAATGACGGCCATGGCGCGGCACTGCAGCGAATTTGGCTGCCTCGTTCAGAAGGTCGTTGAGGCGTCCGTATCGGGGCGGAAGCCGCCGCCGTACCTAGACAATGTGGCGCACGACTCGGTCGATGAGCTGTATAACCTCATACTCGAGGGATGACCGCTTACAAAGTGTGCCCTGAGCCTAGGGAGTTTTCGACAACAACCCAACTCAATTGACAAACGTTGCATGGCGTGGCTTTGATTGCATGAAACATTGTGTCATGCTGCCGCAGGACAGAGCGTTTTGGGAAGGCAGAAATGCGAATCCCTTGGTAGCTCGCTGTGCCTTGCTGCGGGCCGTTGGCTCGGCCCTTTCGCTTGAGCCAGTCACCTCTCTCAAGCTAGTCACACGACGACCTGAATCGCTTCTGTGTGCAGTTGCTGGTTCAGACTATGGATCTAGACGACGCCACAGACACGGTGCAATGCGCTGGCTAATTGCGAGGGCGCAAGCGTCTGCGTCTGCGTCTGCGTCAGGGTTCACGTCCGTAGCTGGTTTGCAGTGCCTAAATAGCATATATAAGGCATCAAGTCCGGCAATAGTAGAGTATTGACCGCCCCCGGCTGCTCACACCTTTTCACGGCCACTATCCCCCCTGCTGGAACGGCAGTCCCATCAGCAGACTTGTGCATGCCAATAGCAAACAGCATCTCTGCCATGGCAGAAGGGGTGCAGTTATCGGAACGCTCCGTTCCAATGAAGGTTATATGTCTGGGATACAGTCGAACTGGTACAAGATGTGAGTATTCTCACCCAGCAGTCACCTTGCACGCCCCTGTGCCTGACTCCGTCAGCTCTCAGGGACGCTCTCATGATGCTTGGCTTCAATCACACGTACCACACGTTTGACGCGGCTTGGCTTCGCCCCCAAGACTGCAAATTCTGGTTAGATGGTCTTCGAGCGAAATGCGACGGCATTGGCAATGTGCCGGGGCGCGCGGAGTTCGATCGGGTCTTGGGACATTGCCAAGTGAACACTTCCCATTGAGAGAACACCGATATTTTCAAGGGCTCTGACGTGTTTATTCAGGCTATCACTGACATGCCGGCTGCCTACTTTGCAGAGGAGCTCATCAGCGCGTACCCCGATGCCAAGATCATATTGACTGTGAGAAATGTGGACGGGTGGCACAGGTGAAGCGTTCTCGAGTACATGGAGGACTGACATAGGCACCTCTGCTGACAAGTGTTCAGATCTGTCAAGAGTACCTTGGAAATTGCAGACAACAGTCTCGTCAACGCCCTGCTGGGCTTGACAGCCAGGCTGCTCCTCATGCCCAACCGCTGGAACCACCCGATGTTCCAGACGCTACATCGCGCGCTGTATCACGGCAACTTTGAGAGCAACGGGCGGAAGAGCTTTGAGGATTATTACAACAAGGTAAGGGCTCTCGTGCCAAAAGAAAAACTGCTCGAGTACCACGTGAGTCAAGGCTGGGAACCGTTGTGCGAGTTCCTGGGCAGGCCAGTGCCAGCGGAGGAGGTACCATTTATCAACCAGACAGAGGTTATCAACAAAAGGCTTGACAAAATGTGGATCGCGAACACTAAAGCCCAGCTGAAGAGACTGTTGGACGTGTCGGCGTACACGGCTTTGACTGTCCTGATAGCGATGCTGATGGGTGAGAGACTCGGATACACCAGGAAGGGTTGAGTATGCACACACAGCTGCCAAATCGGATGAACCGCAATCGGATGCAAATCATAGGCAATCATGTGATAAATGGTGTTCTCTTACTGCCGACCGTCACATGTTGTGGGAGAGCAGGTTCTCTTCATACGCTCTCTCAATGGTGAAGAAACTCGGACTGGCCGCCCCGATGAATCGCATTAGCGTCAACTAAGGCAAGTGCATGTCACTCGATGTCGACACTAATATCAAAATAGCGATTGCCGATCCCACATCGGGGAATTGGAGAACGGACGAGTGAGATTTTGGGCCGCGACCTGTAAATGCCAACCCTCGGTTTGAACTCGCGTTCTTCTCGATCGGGGACTAAATAGTCGGGTTGCATTGGGGAAAGGATCGCACCATCTAGTCCGTCTTCCGCCATTTGGGGACCAACTTACATAAAATACGAGACTCAGTTGGTCGTGCGTCGATCTCCCGCCAGTTGGCGGCTCTTGAGTCTTGCACGTTGACCAAGGGCCTCTTTGTCCTTCATGTTCGTGGCCGATTTATACGCAGCGTGACTCTCGCCATAGACCACAAGCACAGCGCAACAATCACAGCTTCCTCATGGCAAAGAAAGAGGCCATTCTGCTCATAACGGGAGCTTGGCATCTCCCGAAGCATTACCACAAGCTCATTTCAGGTCTACAGACCAAGGGGCTCAGAGTCATATGCGAACGCCTGCCGACAAATAATGGCGTCGTACCACCCAATGCTACCATCCACGACGATGTGCAATTTGTCAAAGACATTGTCGCCAAGGAGGTAGCCTCGGGTACCCATCTTACCGTCGTTGGACACTCATGGGGAGGTATGATCAGCTCTGCCGCCCTCACCGAGTTTGCAGTCGACCCGAGCTCTGATAAGGGCGGCGTCACCGACATAATCCTCATCGCCGCGTTCATTCCGTCCGAGAGCGACTCCCTCGCCGGCATGTTTGGCGGGAATCTGCCGCCGTATCTGGTGTCACAGCCAAATGATACAGTCATCTGGGTGGATCCAATTGAGCACCTCTACAACGACATTGCGCCAGAGGAAGCCAAATGGGCGGATGACTTGCGAGTTGCTCACGGTCACACAGCGCAGTATACGTCGATTGAATGCGACAGAGTCGCATGGCGTGACATTCCACTGACCTACATTGTCTGTGAGCTGGATCAAGCCCTTCCAGCGTTTGTTCAGGACATCATGGTCTCCAAGGTGGAGGAGCAAGGAGTCAAGGTCAGGAAGTACAGGCTTGCGGCGTCTCACAGCCCCTTCCTTAGTATACCCGGGAAACTGGTGGAGATTGTCATGGAAGTACTGAGCTCGCATCAATTGTAGCTCAGACTTGACAACGTGGGAATGTAACTAAATTTTCCGCTAGAAAATCTCGTACACGCACGTTGCTGATCCCAGTGCCATTAAGCCGTGGGGTATAATCACGCGGTTCTTTACTCTCTGAACTTGGCACTGGCCTCCGTAAAGCTGATGCCTTCCTGGAGTGCCGCGGCCACTTTAGTATCGGCCGCCACCTGTTTTGCCATCAGCGGCAGGGCAGCCTCTGCCAAGTCCTTTGGCAGAACTACCACGCCGTTCAAATCGGCAATAAGATAATCTCCGGGGTTGATGGTAATGTCTTGCTCCTCGGCTTGGAGCCTCACGGGAACATTTACTGCCGTCACCTTAACGAGCTCGTACGGCGGCGCGGTTCCGACATCACGCGCGAAGATCTAGACTGTCAGGACTTGCCACGTAAAATTCGCATATTGAGAGTTTTACGAACCGGGAAACCCAAGCTGCGTTGCTCTTCTAAGTCGCGGAACCTTCCGTCAATGACGGATCCAACCGCCTTGCTGGCCCTGGCCCGCATCGACATGAGTCCGCCATAGACGGCATTGGGCACCTTTGGCGGACATGACACGAAGATGACGGACCCTTCAGGTACAGTATCGATCTGGCGCACTGTTCTTAGCAGGAACGTGAGTCACCTCCAAGAAGTCTGATCTACTCACATAGTGTGTCGGCAGCTTGGGAGTCGGATCGTCGAGCTTGACATACTTGACCGTGTAAGCCGGGCCAACGATCTTAGTCGGTCCAGCTTGCTGAGTGGGCGACCACATGGTCAAGCCTGAGAGGAAACCGCCGTTAGGGTACTTGAGCTTGCAGAGCGCGTCAGAGATATCGCATCTGGGCAATCGTTAGTTGGGCTCCAAAAGTGGGAGATCAGCGGCGGTTTGCCAACCAGCATACGTCGTGTACTGCCGTAACGCGGTGATGATACGATCGGATGCCTTTGCCATTGCGGTCGTGCAATATGAGGGGAAGTAGGATCAAATGATTCAGCTTTGCCCGTCGGCGTTGCAGGTCAATGGCAGGTACGAGACAGCCTTCATGAACGTCGATTGCTCCGTCGTCACGATAGCGGATGGACTGTGGGTATTCTTAAATCGCATCCCCGGGTCGGAGCCGTGAAGTGTTCAGGCTAATTTGGGTGACCTTTGCTGGGTTGTGCTGTCGCCGCGGAGCCGACTCGGTCTCCGACCACCCGCCGCCACGGAAAGTCGCCGGCAACGGACGGCCTCCGCCCGGATGGTGGGGCCGTCGTTATTGCCAGAAGCGGCAGTGGCACACGGAGCACACCCAACAGAGCATATAAAGCATGTTGGTTGCGACGTGATGGGTGATGTCCATCGGCACTCGTCAATGCTCATTGCACTGGCTCTCATCAACCGCCATGTCCGCCAAGAAGACAGTCTGTATTCTCGACCCCTACCACAAGGACGCCGTGGCATTGCTGCAATTCGAACCAGATCTCGAGGTCGTACCGCCCGATGATACCAGAAAGTCGCACTGGCGGGAAATCGCCGATGGAATCCTGGTCCGCTCTGAGACGCGCATCACCGCCGAGGACTTGAACGCAGCATCGCGACTTCAGGTCGTGGTGAAGCAAGGTGTCGGCGTCGATAACATCGACCTTGACGCCGCGAAAGAGCGCGGCGTCGCGGTCCACAACACACCGGCCCTCAACTCGGAAGCCGTTGCGGAATTGTCGCTTGCGCTGGCCCTGTCCCTCAGCAGGCGAGTCACGGAGCTAGATCGCCGCATCCGAGGCGGCGAACGAGTCGTGCGCAGCAATGCACTGGGCATGAGCCTCTTCAGAAAGACGGTCGGCGTGGTGGGCGTGGGCAACATTGGGCGCGCAGCTGCACAGAAATGGATCGGCGCATGCGAAGCCAGCGTCATCGGATACGACCCTGTGGCCCCAGACGGCATCTGGCCTGACATCCCCCACAAGCGCGTGGCATCTCTGGACGAGCTTCTGCGAACGGCGGATGTGGTTACACTGCATGTGCCGCTCATGCAGTCAACCCGGGGGCTGATCGGCGCGCAGGAGCTTACGTTAATGCGAGACAACGCCATACTCATCAACGCCGCGCGAGGCGGGATCGTGGACGAGGCGGCGCTCCTACATGAACTGCGAAAAGGTCGTCTATGGGGTGCGGTTCTGGACGCTGTGGAAAAGGAACCGCCTACGTTGGAAGAGCATCGCGAGTTCTTGGACTTGGACAATGTCATCATGACGCCGCACATTGGCGGGTCGACGATGGAGAACCAGAGTGAAAGCGGAAAAGCCGCTGCCAGAACATTAATGGCCGTTCTGCGAGGCGAGACGAGTGTTGGCGGTAAGCTAGTGTAATAGTCAAGCGATCAATTCGGGCTTATGAGATGAACTGTAGATGCCCTTTCGGCCCCTGTGCTTTCCCGTCGGCAGTCGTGCAGTAAACTTCTTGTGGAAAATCACGGTCCAATCCTCGCACAATGAGGCATCCTTGCGCGAGTTACAGCCCACTCCCGGTCGAGGCGGATTCGCAGGCTCTCACCGGGCTCCTGCCCAAATAAGCAAGACATTTGGAGAATTCGGGGCTTCTTTGGGGGTTGAGGTTAGCGCATGGCCGGGTCTGGGATCCGAGACTAATGCCGCACAGCCCGCGTGTTTGTGGGACGAAATGGCATGCAATACCAACGTCAGTTTGAGTGGCGGGAGCACGGACGGCTTGCAGGGACAAAAGGGCGCGGAACATGTCATTCTTGTGGCGGTCGCAGTGGAGGCACCGAGATCACAGTTCGGCCGCATTCCAGCAGCGAGGCTCAGTCAGCTCTCTGGCCGGACATGCGACGAAGTAGCACAATGGCATCACACTCAGTACGCTGCAGATCAGCTTGCTAGCGCCGGTAATACGAAGCACGCAGTTTGGCAGTGGCCGCCGTGCTGCAATTCTGCGATGCTCCACCATCACCGCCCCAGGGCGTTCCGCCCAGCACGGCACGGAGTCCCCGAGTCTAATCCAGAAGCCCACCGACTAAAGGGCTCTAACCTTGATGGGGAAGCAAGCCCCTTCCTCATAAACAACATCATACGCCCTCACGTCATGACGCCGCAACGTTGTCTTCTCCAGTGTCGTGGCCTCGATTGCGTCCGGAGCCGGCAGCTGGCCAACAATGCGGCCGTTCAAGAGCTTGCAGACGTGCCTTGGCCTGCTTCCGCTCTTGGCTGTCGACACCTTGGGCGCATTCGCCACAATCGGCTCGCGCACCGATGAGACATCCGCCGTTGGAACAGCACAGCCATGTCTGTGCAGTACAAACGCGACAAGACTCCCTGAGGGCTCCTGGGATTCGCACTTTCATGTCATCGACCCAGTCCGATTCCCTCCGCTACCCGATGCGGCGTACAAGCCAGGCACTCATACCGTTTGGGAGAACTCCGTGTTCGAGCACAGCATCGGCTGCGACCACGTGGTCATGGTGCAACCGTCCATCTACGGAACAGACAATACGCTGCTGGTGGAATCCCTGAAGGCGTATGGGCCGGAGAGGGCCCGTGGCGTGGTCGTTTTTGATGTCGAAAATACGACTGCAGCACAGCTGGCGGAATGGCACCGAGTCGGCGTACGAGGCGTTCGAATCAACCTGCAGAGCATTAATGCCACCGAGTCGGTCGACGAGCTGGAGCGAACGCTGAGGGTACACGCAGAAGCCGTCAAGCCCTTCGACTGGGTGCTCCAACTATACGCACCCATGGAACTCATCCCATCTATAGAGACCTTTGTCCCCACGCTGGGGGTCCGCATCGTCTTTGACCATTTTGGAGATCCGAAGATGCCGCAGCCCACCGGGAATCCTCAAAAGCTAGACCCGTACTCGATCGAAGGTTTCAGTGCCATGGTCCGCCTGCTAAAGCAGGGCAGGACGTGGGTGAAGGTCTCGGCACCATACCGCGTGTCCAAGCTACCCGGGCCAAACTACAGCGACCTGGATTCTGTCACGAGAGAACTGTTCCGCGCAGCGCCGTTGAGGGTCGTATACAGCTCCGACTGGCCACATACACGTTTCGAAGGACTTGATATTCGCCCCTGGAACGCGCATTTATTGGAGCTGGTGGGAGGCGATGTGAAGCTGAGGCGACAGCTGTTCAGAGACAATGCCCGTGGCCTGTGGCAGAGTTCAATACACAACTCGACATTTGCCACAAAGCATTGATCTAGAAACGTCGGAGGTGCAAAGCTCTTGGCCGGAAGAGCGTAACGGAAAATTCGCCGTAGTCATATTTCCACGAAGCAACCATTTGTAAAGGTCAACAGTTGCATCTCATTTGTGTTGTCCGTCCCGTCCGTTTTTGATGCCAAGATCTTGAGACCTCATACCAAGTTACTGGCATTTCCAACTATTGTGTGGTGTGACCATTGCCCGGATACTTGCCCAGCCTTGACAGGCCGCACGTTGAAATGTGTCCAGAGAATGAGCTGCAGTTGACGGCGCGTTCACATGACAAGGACCTGCCAATGACATCGCGAGCGTAGCTCATCGCAAATGATTATATACTGGCCTCCCCGTCGCACGTAGCTGGAAGTGAAAGCATCGCTAGGGGGCAATATGACAGGTACAACGCCGTGGTTACCCAACTTTAGCAGACATAGCAAAATATCCGGGAATAGCGCTTTAGTCTGCCGATTTCGGGGCCCTTTTCTTGGATGGCACCTCACTCCCCATCTTACTGATGTCTCTGGTATTGTGGACGACCGAATCCTCAGCCTTGTCCGCTGCCCTCTTCCCACCGTGGCCAAAGGCTCCCGATATAGTTCCCAAGACCCCGGGCCGATCCGTAGAGGCCGATGACCCTAGCGATGACACGCTGTTCTCTAGGGAATCCATCGTATCGGACACGCCCTGTGAAGCGGTCAGTCATGCAAGTCAAATGGTGGGGATTGCGGCTCATGTTCTGACTGTTCTCTTCATGTTCCCCGTCGCGTCTTGCGACTTGCCAGTTGTGGGCAGCTGCACTCGTCGGGCATTGCTCCCACCTGCGCCTTCGCCTCCTCCGACTCCCCCAGATGGGAGCTCCGACGGTGAGGCCGTTGTTCCTGTCTTTGCTTCGGGATCTTGGTCGGGGCGACCACGAGAAGCTCCCAGCTCAGCGCTACCGACCACCTGGTTGCCCCCGACACCAGCGCCTCCGAGGCCCAGGTCGCGCTTGGTATGAGCTGGATTGCGAGAAGTTCCATCTTGGCTGTCGGCTGCCTTTCCTTGCCTGCTGCGATAGATGCCGACGGCAGCTGCGGCGGCACCAGCTGCGGCGATCATGGGAGCGAATCTTCTAGACATGGCTGTTCTGTTGGCGATGAATCAATTAGTAGGGAAATAGGAAGACTGATTTGTAGTCGAATTGACATGAGCATTAACGAATGCGCCATCATCAATTCGTATATACGTTATACACGCTGCACATGTGAGCTCCGGGGAGCTTTGGGCATCGCATTGTGACGACATAACGGAGCGCCCCATAGTAATCCCCCAGCAGTGGTGTCACTGGTGTGTTGGGCGGGTCCTCAGATCAATGATGCCTCCATTGAAACGCCATGTGCGCTGGAATGATCCAGGCATGATGCTGCCACCAAACATTGAGACTTGACATCGGGAATCGGCGATGATTCAGCAGCTTTGCTCATCCGTTCGATCCCTCAAGTTCCGCCATGAGTATGTCGGACTTATCCGCCCACGAGTGTGCTCAAGGCAGCGGTGTCCCACATGTGTGCAGCCCGCCGAACAGTCACACCACGGATGGTACAGACTACTGATGGAAGGCACTGTCGAGTTTCCAAATCAGAAGGGAGCCGCGGCCCTTTTGTGGGTAACAAGCACATCCCCTGAAGTGCCCAGCCCTTACAGTGTACGTCGCTGTCTGGTCTGACTACTTGGCACCACATGAAACCTGCAGCCACTGGGCACTCATCCTGCCGGCTAACATATCCGATCAAAGAGCAGCCGTTGATGGGACTGGCCAGAGGCCGTTTGCTCAGTCCCTGCGCATGAGTTCCCCTCGACCAACAGCCTTAATCGTAACCAGATGGCCCCTGTCGAATGGTTCGAATGTCTGTATTTCACTGACCTTTCACGGAATATTCCATACGGTACGTTGGCCATGCCTTCGCCTCCGCCCGGGTCGTCGACCAACGGGTATGGAACACAGCGTATATAGACCGTGCGAACCCAGGTACGAAATGTAAATCCAGTCACAAGCGGCGTATTCCTATTCCGCCGCAATGATCTCCACGCTATTGATCACTATCCTTCTGAACCCCTTCCGACCATGCGAGGGCTCGCCAACCGCCCGCTCATGCGGGTGCGATGGACCGCCAACCTTTCAAGAGGAGTATCGGGGCAGGTACCTGCCAAAGGTCATCGAGACATGGCGTGGCCTCCAGGTTGTGGCGCCCGGATACTCCATACGTGGCAGCGGCGAGCGCAAATGAGTTGTACTTCATCGACACCCGCCTCGACAACGAGACTGCTAGTCGCATAAAGCAGAATATTGAGAGCGCAGCGTCGCCCAGGCCGGAAGAGTACGTCTTCATCGATGAAATTATGGCTACGGCGGAAAGAAGGAATCGTGCGACTGGCGAGACGACATTTTGTATTCGATCCTACCTATGCCAAGGTGCTGTTTGGAAGAGCAATGAAGAGGCCCGCGCACGCCCGTGCTAGGATGGCTGCGCGACGGCACAAAAGCTGTCGTGTAGCCGAAAGCCGTTGCCATTGACTAGTATTCCCCTTGCGCCCACCACAGATTGCTTTCGAGCGCCGTCATGTCGCCCTCCTCCAAGTGATTGGAGAGCGAGCCCCATATCTCTCTCAATTTCGCAACGTATTCCTCATCAGTAGACTTCATCCCGTGAAAACGATTTAAGGAGCTCCTTGACCTATCGCACTAATGTGGGCTGACTGAGGATCAGTGTTGACGGCATACAACAACATACCTGGTGGTGCTCCATGCGGTCGTATCCCGCCATCTCCTTGCCCTTAGCACCGAGGTGCTTCTCGAAGGCAGGGTAAACAACGACTTCCTCGCCTGCCGAGTGGCGAGCAAGGTGCCAAGTAAACTAGTTCCCACACCGCTGCTGGTGGTCGTGATTGCCAGGAATATCGACGACTTCATTGTAGCATTGTTCAAGCTTGCGGTAGTCTTTCGTGATTGCGTCCGAACCAGGATGCGGATTCCCATACTCCTTGAGGGTGGCGCAGAGTTGACGAGGACATCTGTAAGGCGAACATGCTACACAGGCCTCTCCGTCACAATGCAAATTGCTCAACGCCGCGAAGACCATTCATTGCTGTTGGCGATCTCGACCTTGGCATCTGGGTGTGCTCCGGGGACAATGATCCGGGCTTACGGCCTGGATTGCGCTTATTGGTACACTGTATCTCGTATCGGAAAACTGACCGCCGCGGCAGAATGACTCTGCAGTGCTACACCACACGCATATTGGCTGGTGTCGTCATTGACTCAGCTTCTCCAGATTTCTGCTTCTAGCACGTCTGTTGTGCGCTGTAATCGCTCCGCAGTCCCCCGGGCCTACGCTGCGCCACAGGGCCCGTTGGTACTGAACGCAGGATTCCAGCACGTTTCAGTTGTTCCCCCCAGGGCCTCCAGCGGTTCCAGGCTCTGGCCAGTGGGCAAAAAACTCCCACAAGACGGAGCTTCCATGGTGCTTAATCGAGCCCCTCCCAGAGGCGCTGTAAGTCCCAGCCAGTACGCAATCCTGCCCACGCGATCACGATCGCACCTCACAAGCCCCGTCTCACCTCGCCCAGCCGTCCATGATTTCACCATGGCATCGTTCGCTATAGCCCCGACAGCGAAATCGCCAGGCCGCTGCTTGAAGTCAAGTGCGTGTGACATCACCGTGAAGGGCACATCATAGGCGCACACAGCAGACCGACAAGACATCTGCGTCATGGCATTTCCTTCTCTTTAAAGACTAAGAGGCGACCCAGTGCCTCCAGCCATAATCCCAACGTCACAATGCACACAGCCGCTTCTCCAGTTAGCTACACTGCGAATATCAGACTCATAGCATCACACTGTACAGCCTTTGTGCAATCCTCCTTGAGAGCCATTCGCAGCACAAATTGTCACTCTAGCCATTTAAGACAGCGAATTTACTCGTCTTGCTACTCATCTTTCAAGTCGCACCCCGGCGCATACGGCACAATGGCGACCACGGGTGAACTCTCCAGGGAGAGGCTCTTCGACGTCGAGGGAAGGTTGCTCATGTCACCGGTATGCTCAAGACCAAACAACCGGCTTGCTACAAGAGCACGGTGTGCTAACACATTGAATCTGCAGGAGGTGGCTCGGGTATAGGTTTGATGGTTGCACAGGTGCTGGCAGCAAATGGCGCCAAAGTCTACATCTGCGGCCGGTCCAAGGACAAGCTGGATCGTGCGTCCGAAACTCACGGCCAAGACGCGAGAGGCGAGATTATTAGCTTACAGGCCGACATCACCACGAAAAAGGACATCGCGTCTCTATGCGACGAAATGAAGTCACGGGAGGAATACCTGAGTATACTTGTGAACAATGCTGGCATCAGCGGAGAGACTTTTCCCGTGACAGAGAACAAGTCTGCTGAAGACTGGAAGAAGTCGCTCTTCGACAACGAAAAGGCAACTTTTGAGGACTGGGTTAACGTGTATCGCACGAACGTGGCAGCGACATACTTCACCACCGTTGCGATGCTGCCACTCCTACAGGCCTGCACGGAGCGCCACCCAGGCTGGTCAGCGACCGTCATCAACGTCACTTCCATTTCGGGGCTGGTGAAGACATCGCAGCATCACTTTAGCTATAACGCGTCCAAGGCGGCAGCAATCCACCTCACACGCATGCTCGCATCCGATATTGCAGCCACGGGACTCAAGATTCGGGTCAACAGCATTGCGCCTGGCGTCTTTCCCAGCGAGATGACTGCCGGTGAGAGTGACAAGGCTCAAAAGAGCAAGTTGGAGACGGAAAGGTACCAAGGAAAAGTCCCGGTGTATCGTCCTGGCAAGGCCTCGGCTGTGTTGTTCACTGCGGGCAACCAGTACCTCAACGGGCAGACCATCACTGTTGATGGAGGATATACTCTTGCCGCAGGCCTGTAGGATGCAAGCATTAGAATAAGAAACGCGAGCCGTCGTTGAAGAATATGGAAAACGACTCTTAGTCTTCCAAGTGCACAGAGCCATCGTGGTCACTGCAATTGATGGAGTATATGGATCGAGCGAGCCTTTTTCTGAAGTAGTTATGTCACTAGTACAGATGTATGTTCGCTAGGTCGAGGTATACTATGTCGTTCAACAAGTTTCGAACCTCAATTCGGCTGTGCTGTTTCGATTGTCGCGTCCTAATGTTCGCGACCAGGCCGCATCCGCGTCTGTGAACATGTCAGCCGTCGCAGTCTGCAAGGTGTTATCAGGGGATATTCACTCACCTGGATGAATATCGGGAGACGGGATATCTGCTCTTGACTGCCTCTTGTGCTTGTAGTCTGTTCCAAACGTTTTGTCGCGTTCTGCAACCCGGTCGAAATTGAGCTGCCCATCAGCGACGAAGCTTGTCATGAGTTTAGGCCCGCCCAGAGGCACTTTGTGGCCTTTATTCGTTTGCCATAAATGGTAGACCTTTCCGTAGAGCGTCACGACTTGCTCCATTTCGCGCTTCTCTGCCATGTCCCATGCTGCCTCGGGGACGATTGTGTTGGGCATGATGAGCATTCCCGATTTCACCTCGTATACGTGGGAGTGCCATAGCCGCCGTTCTTCTTGAGGCAGCGAATCGTATATACGTGGCGATATCATGTACTCGATGCCGATCAAGCGTGCATTCTTCTCAGCCGAGTCATACAGCAGGCATTGACGAACGTCCTCGTCTTCAGCCCCTCGTTAGTGATGTCGCCACTATTGGGAATGGCGGGTAAGATACATACTGACGTGCGCGCAATAATGGTTGGCCTCAACGGCCCTGGCTGGGTCGTCTGCATAGGCATGAAATGCGTTGAGGTGCGCGCAAATATTTTCGACGGGTTTAAAACTCTGCATTGGATGATGAGCGGCATGTGTTGGTCTTGGCCGGGAAAGATTGAGTACCTGTGTCATGGACGAGACCGATGTAAGCACCGTGTTGTTCGCCGACAGGGGCTCTCCAAGGCTGTCGTTGGTGACAGGGGGGGTTTCCATTGTCGCGGATTCGGGTAACTTCTTGTGTTGAATCTGTTAAATTCACCAGTGGATAGCATTGATGCTAATGGGTCAAAGTACTGCATCCCTCTCTTGCGCGACTGTTGTGTTTGTCGCCAACGTCATGATCGCGTCTCAATGAGGTGTGGCAGGCTGGGGCCCCTGCTACTAGTGTCAGGCGGCTGCGCCCGCCGGCCACTCAAAGGCTTGGCCGCCTAAATCTGTGTTGGGAGTCTGGGACCCCGGATATCGGGACATCAGCACTGCTAGCTGTGCATTATCTGTCTGACTTGTAGCGAAGCTTTATGCTACTGTCCAGCGACGCCATACTATCCCATGAAGACCAGTTCCGGAATCAATACTTGCTTGCAACGCTCAATCTGCCACTAGACGCTGTATGGTCGCCGTCTACCACCATGCAGTAGCTGCGAATGAGAACGACTACAAGACTTTTGGGGGTAACGTTAACTGGAGTAAAGTTGGTTGAACGGCCCTTGCCAGCCACGCGGTCATGCCAATGTACACCAGATCGCGGAGTGTCGGCCGAGCAGTGCTATAATTATGTGATCGGCATCGAGAAAGACTCTAAAACCAGGTCCAAGATGGAAATCCGAGCCGCGGACGACCCCAAACAGGCATTCCTGGCGGACGGGTCCACCAGCTCTAGGGCTCGCTCAGCAACGGGCCTGCGTCAGAGCCGCCTTGTCCTTCCAGTTGTTACTGAGACAAGTTGGCAACAAAGCTGAATGCTAAGTAGCTCACGCATCACCGCATTGTGCGACCAGGTAACCGTGAATCCACTGTAGCAGTCAGCTTTTCCAGTGCGATCTGGCTATCATTATCGGCATTTCAATAAGGAAGCAATCGGCGCACTACTCAGTGGCAAACCTCGGAACGGAGGAGTCGGTTCCAACTCATTGCCGGCTCCTGGTCAGCCTGAGTGGGGTCACAGCGGTAGTGGCGGGATCATGTCGGCGATGACGGTACATCGCGCTCTCATGAAGTTCCCCAGATGTCAGCACAAGGCTTCGTTGAAGTCGCACTGCCCAATCACACCATTCGCTCGGCGCTGGAGCGTGAGCTTCGCATGGTTAGCCCTGGTAAAGCGCCACCGCCGTTCGGGTAGGATGCAGGCTGTCGATCAAGTCGTCAGCGCGGTGGCAGTGCCGGCACCGTATAAATGGCGACTGTGGTCCTCTTGGGTTCAATTGGGACAGTGCAGTTTGGTCTCAATACCGAGGCGCAGCAACTGATATCTCGCCATGACCATTGCTGCTGTCCTTGGCATCCGGGCACTCGTGCTCTTCCTCGGATTTGCTGGGACCATCCATGGCGCCGCCATCCAACGACGTGCCTCTTCAGGATGTTCTAAGCCGCACAATTTCGTCGGACAGACGAGAGAGTTCAGCTTTGAAAGCAGCGGGGGAACGCGAACATATCGCATTCATCTGCCTTCCAGCTACAAGGTCGGATCGCCGATGCCGCTTCTGATCGCCTATCATGGGTCCGGAAACAATCCGACTGCTTTTGAGAGGGAGACCCGATTCTCTGACGAGATCATCAACCCTAACATGATTACCGTTTACCCTGCGGGAGTCAATGTGTGTATTATCGAGAGTCTATTTTGGATGAAGGACTGAACAAAATGGCAGAAAAACTGGCAAGGTCCAACCTACGCGACGCCAGGAGTGAGCGACAAGGTCTTTACCACCGATCTCGTCAACCGCATTAAGAACAACTACTGCGTCGATGAAGCCCGTGTTTACGGGACAGGGCATTCAAAGTACTCGCATCCTCCTTCTCGTGTTCAAAGTCGCTCGCCGATGCTGACCGTCGGACAGTGGAGCCGGTTTTCTTGGGACCCTCGCCTGTTCCCCCGAGCACGGGGGCCAGTTTGCGGCCTTCGCCCCCATCTCTGGCGCCTTTTACACAGACGTCTCCGGTGACGAGAACTGCCACCCGTCTCGCTCCCCCATTCCCATGTTTGAGGTTCATGGCACCGCAGACCCGACCATCTCGTATGACGGCGGGCAGGGCCGTGGCGGCCCGTTGCCCTCGATACCAGACTGGCTATCTCGGTGGGCTCGGAGGAATCGGTGCAGCACTTCTAACACCGAGGATATCGCTAATGGGGCTCATGACACAAAGTGGACGTGCGCCAATATTCCTGGCCTCCTTGAACATATCAAGATCGACGGCCATGACCACTCTTGGCCTGGACCAAACAACTCGCCGGTCGACGTCTCACCATTGGTTATCAAGTTTCTCTCCAACAACTATAAGCCATAGACTATTGAGCAGTAGTTACCCTTAATGGCAGAATACTGGAGGACAGATCCTTGGCCGAGAGGATTATCATCGTCTACGAAATGTGTTCCGCTACAAGCCGGCTATCGATGCCCTTCTCACCGCAGTGCTCAGACAGTGAAATCACTATTGCGTGCAGGAGACTAGCCGCCGCTTTATCGCCATTATACATTTCATTTCTGTCATGACTCTCCGCAATCAGCTTGACCCAAATATGATGAGATGAACCCCCTTTTAGTGACCAAATACATGAGGCTGCTAGGTAATCTAAGCTTGCGTCGTGAGATTGCAAATCCTCACAATGTCTTTACCATCTGCCTTTTCTCCTACCAGGTGTCTATGCCCGGTAGTAGTTCCACCAGCTCCACATACGGTTGATCTGGCCGGTGGTGAACTCGCTTTGGCAAGCGCTAGAAGACTGTTAACGCGGATTCTTCCATCTGCAGAGAAGTAACTTACTTGTCACTGTAGTCCATGAAGTTGTGGATGGGGTCCTGTCCGGGCTGGCTGCAAGTGTCACGGCCAGTAGGGCAACCGTAAGCAGCAGAGGACTCAGCAGGAGTGTCATCAACGTAGTCTCCGCCGCCGCAGCCACCCTCAAAGGTGTGGAGCAGTCCCATCCAGTGGCCAACTTCATGAGAGGTGAGCTTGCCTTGGTTCCAGGGCGAGTAAGAACCTCCAGGCATGGTTCCGACGTGCATGACGCAGCCGTCACGAATGAAGTTGCTGTCGCCGTTGTTGACGTCGGTGGGGTACCAGCACCACCCCGTGTTACGCGTGAACATGCTCACAAAGTAGTACAAGTTGAGGTCCTTGTACTCGCCCTTGCGGAGCGATTTCTTCAGGTACCACTCATCATCGTAGCTCCTGAGCCGGGCGTAGTAAGGATCGACGGTGTAGTCGACGTCACGAAGGACGAATGAGAAGCCGGTCGATGCAAAGTTGGAGTTGAGCATCTTGATTTGCGCATCAATAGTGTTTTTCTGGGATGCAATGTCAGCATGTAATCTCCCGCGAATTGAGCAGAATAGTGAGGCTCACATCCACGTAGCCACCCTGGTAAGTCCGGTCTTCGGCAATGATATGGACGTAGGTGTTGACCTGGGCCTGAGCGCGCCCAACCAGTGCCATGGCAGTGGCGTTTGCCTCCTGGACGCGGAACCCGTGCAGGGTGTCGAGGAACTCCTTCTTGGGAGCCTGGACGGCGCATGGTGGAGTTCTGCCGACGGCAGCCTCGATGGCAGCCGGCGCCAGGAGGGACAGAAGGGCAAAAGACAGGAACATTATGGCGCCGTGTTGTACTAATGAATAGTATTGTACTTGAGTGAGCCTGGAGACAGCTGCGGTGTTGTTTGAAGTAATCCAAGGCAATCTCACTGGCTTTTATATCTACATTCTGATACCTCTTCGTATTTCTTCTGGTGCACTTGCCTTTTGCAATTAGTAGCAAGCATTTGAACCCACCTTACTATCTGGGAAGTTGCTAGAATAGCAGAGCTTTCTTTGCCTCATTGGTCTGGTGACTAAACATCGAACGCTGGCTCTAGGGCCCTTTAGTCTCGGCCAAGCGTCTGCATCGCGCTGCCTGGCGACCTGTCACTTGACCACCTCTGTCCTCGGCGCGGGAGCAGACTGCATCGTCGTTTCGGCCTTCTACCCGTTGTTCTGGGCAATTGCCCCCGCCTTCCGTGCAAGGCCCCAGGTTGAACGAACGCAGCGAGATTTGATGTTCGAGGAGCCGCCATCACAGGAACAGCAGTTGATGGACCTCAGAGGAGAGGCGAAAAGGTTTTACCCACCGTTGCATTGAGACGATGGGCGGCCCCGGAGATGCTCCCGGGAGCTAGTCTCTGCCACCGACTAATCTCTAAGGTTAAATCATGCACCCCAACTCCTCAAACGTGGGGTTAGAACCGGCAGATTGTCACGCAGCACTGCAGCAAGCGCTAATCGGACCCACTGTGCTACGTTGTCGATTGTCGCATTTTCAGCCTCTTGCCTTGTCACACCACTCGGACTTGAGCGAGAGGCACGTCCGACCTTCCATTCGGAGAAGTCACCTGGCGTGGCGCTCCAGCTCTTGGCGGTTTCTAGCCCTCACCTGCGCAATTGGGTACGTATCAAACGTAATCAACAGGTCCGAATCGTTCAAGGCCGGTTTCCCCTCCGGCTCCGGACCAACCCAGTCCAGCAAGTCATAAACTAGTTCGCGCAAGTGTCCGCTTCTGAGCGGCTTATCTCCCACATCTCTGCAGCTCCGACTTCGCTCCCTTTTGCATCATCACCACTTGCATCGCCATGAACGCGCCCGAGCACAGTCGGCCGGATCGGTCAATGCCTCGCGATGTTGCCAGGCGTGGAAGTTCCGTGGTTTGAGTCGGCTTTGTCTTTGACCTGGCATGGCCGGCTGCAGCCACGAGAACTGGCTGGCCCAGTCACTCACTGCAGCTGAGCGACTGAGCACTTTCGTGTTCGCAGACGACGCGTTGTTGTTGTGCGCTAACACGGTGTCAGCACGATACGATCTCGAAAAGTCTAGAACATCCCTCGGATATCATCGGTCGCCATAGTTGGCTGGTATGGCTATTCTTGCGTGTTGAGACCTTGCCTTCGAGTTCTGGCCGGGCAAACCTCCTTTTGTTAGACGTGACGACAGACGCCTATCCGTCAGGTCGTTCATGGAACGGGAGAGGGGCGTGCATCAAACACTCCAACCAGTCTTGCTACGGTAACAGTACAGGACTTCATGGCATGTCAACATACTGTATGATTCCAAGATCCCGGTCTCAACAAGAACATTCCAATCATTTTGTCTTTACCATCAGCCCGCAGCGGTCTGAGAGTAGACATGTTAGCCATCAGCTGCGACTCTGTCCCGCCGTGCACGTCGGTTTAGGCGCTTGCGCCCACAGAAGGTATTTCAGTACTATCACCGCACTTTATACCTGGCGAATCGGCGTGTTTGTGTCCTGTTGGTCATATTCGCCTCCTTGGAAGGCTAATTGGAATCTTTTATCAAAGTCATCTTCGCTCTATAGGCGCTTCAAACGTTGGGTGCCATTTCGTGTCACCGAACGGTTGCCTGAATGCGAGGTTGATGGCGCAGTATAAGAGGCGAATCTACATGTCTACCATACAGGAATACCCTGAGTCCAAGAGGTCTCTTCTGTTGATCTCCGTTCTGTTTCTTTTGCTTTTACATTATGCAGGGACACAAACAATTCAGTCGGTCTGCTGCAGAGGGCGTCAATCTTTCACTACAAGTCACACCAAAAAGGTAAGCAGCAGGTTCATGGCAATGATCAACGTATCCTAGCTTATGAACAATAGTATCTCCGGTGCAAAAGAGCATTACTGGTAGATACATAAGGAGCGGCTTACTGACTGTGGGCGTGTTCCAACCAGTGGGCAGCACAGAGAGTGGAGAGCCAGTGATCATCAGCAACACACCAACTCATTGATGACGGTCGCACCAGAGACAAAGCAATCATGTGCCTATGAGCAATCTGCCTTCGAGCGCCGTCGCGCAATGCGCATCGGAGTTGGACTCTGTTTTCAGTGACGCATTTGCGCCCTTGTTGGCCTGCGATGTGGCGATCATAGTGCCGTCGGCGCCGAATCGGCAAACCCAAACGCGCGCATCCGGCGAACTACCCGAAGCTCCCCAGTATTCTCGGCCGCAAATGCCCAGTGAACTACTAGACCAGCAAATGCAATGAATCGAATTCACTCCTTCTCATCAAATCTCGGAGTTAACACTGCAGTCAATGCTTCCAAGCGGAGTGCCCATGACTGGGAACCGGCAGACCGCTGGAATGACCAAGGTAGGACGTGCGCTGATGCCCGGAGCCGTGAAGCTATTTAAATGCGGCTCGTCCGCGACCGTTGCCAATGACCTGCACAGAGCTGACAGAGAGAGCAGACACTCGGTAATGGCTGATGCAAGGGACACTCCGGACCTGCACCAAGAGGATGACAAGCAGCCGCAGGACCTCCCGGCAATTGACAACTCCCAACATGATGTCTCTAACATCAATCGCGCGAGCAATCCTGCCGAAGATGATGCTCGAAAGGTCGAGACCCAGACGAGGGACGATGAACGACCGCTTCACTCAGTCTTCTCACCCAGAATTAAGGCCTTTGTCATCATCATGACCGTCTTTGCGACTCTCTTCTCGCCGTTCTCGTCGTTCGTCTACCTCCCCGCCATCACGCCGATCGCTGAGGCCTATCACCGGTCTCTCGGCGAGCTCAACCTCACCGTCACGGTCTACCAAATCATGCAGGCCGTTGCGCCTCTCTTCTTTGGTGATCTGAGCGATCAGATCGGTCGTCGGCCCGTCTACATGTTGACGTTTGCCATTTACATTGGCGCAAACATCGGCTTGGCACTGCAAAACAACTATGCGGCCCTCATGGTCCTCCGAGCGCTGCAGAGTACTGGCAGCAGCGCGACTGTGGCGATCGGCAGCGCAGTCGTGGCGGACTTGACGACGAGCGCAGAGCGAGGAGGGTACATCACTGCGGTACAGGCGAGCGTGCAATTCGCTCCGGCGCTGGCGCCGGTCCTGGGTGGCATCTTGACCCAATTTCTGGGGTGGCGGTCCACGTTTTGGTTCCTCGTCATTGCAGCCGGCGTGTTTGTTCTCATTTATGTGCCCTTTGTACCTGAGGTAAATCTCCATCCGCTACTTTGAGGCGTTGCCAGGGACTGACTGGTCATAAGACGGCTCGAAACATTGTCGGAAATGGCTCAATCCCGCCGCCGAGCGTCAACACCTCTGTGACGTCCTCCATTCAATGGCGCCGCAAAAGGCGCGACCTTGAATCGAATCCCGACGCACCCCCACTCCCTGAGCCCAAGAAGAGACCCTTTAAGATTCCCATCCCCAACATTTGGGCTGCGGTTCGCATCATATTCGAAAAAGACGTTGGCTCGCTGATGCTCTTCATGTCGCTCTTCGTCATGGCCAACTACGCCATGTTGGTGCCGTTGCAAGACGTCATCCGCCGGCGCTACAGCTTCAACGACCTTCAGGTCGGGCTTTGCTATATCCCCTTTGCGATGGGATCGGTTCTTGGGTCCATCGTGGTGGGCAAGTTGCTCAACTGGAACTACGCCCGAGTCGCAAAAAGCGTTGGCGTGTCCGCTGATCGGAAAAGAGGCGAGGACCTTCGGAAGTTTCCGATCGAGAGAGCCCGGTTGGATCTGATGTGGCCGTGGACTATTCTCGCCATCATCACCATTGCGGTGTGGGGTTGGGTCGTCGATTCCGGGACCAGCCTTGCTGCCCCCTTGGTCATCTTGTTCTTGGCCGGTATGGGCTTGGCTGGGCCTATTTCGATCCTCACTACGCTCCTGGTTGACCTCTATCCCATGAATCCTGGGAGGGTCTCTTCGTCATTCAACCTGACGCGGGCGACGTTAAGTGCGGTGGGCACAGCCGTCGTGCAGTACATCATTGACGCTTGGGGATACGGGTTCACATACTTGTTCATGGCTCTGGTTGTTGCGGCAGCGAGTCCAAGCATAATTATCGTGCGGAAATGGGGTCCGCAGTGGCGTGAGGCGAGATATCAGCGATTTGAACGAGCTAAAGTATAGATGAATTGACTTGTGAATACAAGACGCGCTATTTGGGCAACACGGGCGATATGGGGGGTTCTAGAGGTACCCGTCGCAGCAATACATCCCATAATGATTGACGGTAGTGTTGCCCTCCACGCGAGGATTCGTTCGGTGAGGGAGATGCGGGTATATGAACGCCGACGGGACAGCGCCTGAAAACGGCTTCGATATTAACGACCACATAAAGCAATTCCTGTCTGCCAAACCCATCCAGTCGTTCATTCCGCCCAGGGCGCATGTGCTTCTGACGAGACGCGAGTGAAACGATACTGAGACCATACTAGGCAAAACTGAAATGGACTTCTGGGCCACGTTCACCATCTAACGAGGGAATATACTTCATGGTGGTACTCGGTGGTCGCATCGCGAACCATGCGCAACCGAATGTCTGTCTCATCTCGTCGCTGGTCATCTCTAAACATCAAGTTCCAGCTGTGACATTGCCTGTTGAAGCGGTATCTCTACACGCTCACATTGACCTTGCGTCTACACCGCCAGGGCCCAAATGGTTTGGAGTTTAATGCCCTCAGCGACTGTGGAACCATGAATATGCTGTTCTCATTGGGGACATCTCATGAACAATGCACCAAGTTTTGGAGCCAGGTGTCAACAGCAGAGCAAAGGGCAGTTCTGGAAGTACTCCGTACCGGAACCCGCGCGCCAATCGTGGATAACGTCTTCTCTGACGTGATGGATAGGGAGCTATTTTGTTAAGAGAGCCGGCCCCGCGATAGCAATTCGTGCCTTAAAATGACGAACTGGGCTACTGTGTTTGACACATTTATGAAGTTGCAGGGGCAGGACAGCATTACGGAAGACAAGTTCGAGTTTTACCTCACTATCGCATCTTCATCGGGCTAAGACTTAGTGTTCTACTCTTACCACGTATTCTCGATGGCTGCCGCACCTGGCTGGGATTGCAACTCACCACATGCTGTTGTTGAGTACATGATCCATAAGAAAAAAACACGCTGCAATCGCCACGCCGAACATGCTGGGCTCGGTGAGAACGAACATCTTGATTTATGGGACGGCGACCGATGAAGCCATTACGACAGCAACGACAGCAACGACAGCAACGACAGCAACGACAGCAACGATAGCAACGATAGCAACGATAGCAACGACAGCAACGATAGCAACGATAGCAACGACAGCAACGACAGCAACGACAGCAACGATAGCAACGACAGCAACGACAGCAACGACAGCAACGAGAGCAATAGGTGGAACGTTAACAATAGCACCAGCTGAAGGAACGGTAGGAACGGCGCCCTTATCAACTGAAGCCCGACCCTGAGGCTATCGCGGCTGGTGGGCATTAGCGTCCTTTTGAGACAATGGCAACTGTCCACGACCCCATGTATGGCTCGATCTTTCCTAAAACTTCATTGCCTTGGTCCGCCCTTATTGATTCTTCGTTTAAATGCATACAGCCAGCTTTATATGGGGCACGTGCAAGCACCCTTGCAGCACGGAGCTGAGACAATGTTGACAGTCAATTCTCCCTTTGAAACGTCGTTTCCAGGTTGCGTTGGGTTTGAGCCGCACTCGCTGCATCTGAGACGTCTTTTGTCAGTATAGGGGTGTTAATTTAGGTGGTATATCATACCCGTGGTCGATGAGGCCTTGCAGGAGCTCTGCGGCGCGATCCGCAGTGCCACTGGCGCCATTCTGGTAGAACGCGCAGATAGACGAATACTGGCCTTGAGCACAGGCCAGTTGGACTGTAAAATATTAAGCCAAGTGCAAATTAAGATTGAGAAACGGATGTTGGCCTACCCCCTTGTGCGTAGTGGTGTCCTCCGTTGCCCTGCGCTTGGATCTGCTTGACCTGCGTCAGGACGTCCGACAACTTGGCGTCGTTAAAGGTGCAGCCACCGCTACCTCGGCAGTTGATACCGAGAGCAGTGGCACCAGAAATGAGAGCAGCAAAAGTGGTGACAGAAACCATATTGGCGGTCTTGTGAATTGGCGATGATGATGTGACTTGCATTGGGGGGCAGAGCGAGCTTACACACAGTGGCCGCCAAAGGTGTATTTATCTCGGTTAGACGATCTAGAATTCTAGATCGATCTTGTAGCCATGAGCTGACGTCCTTTCATGTCGGTTTGCGGGTTCAGCAAGACGTCGTTCCATCCGATGAGGCCAATCCTTGGTCATGTATCAGTACTTGCAATCAAGTCACTGCGATGGACGCTCCTGACTGACGGCTCTACTCGAGCAACCAACAAGTGCTGGGTGCACCGCTCGTGCGCTAGTGTAAGATCGACAGGCCCGCCTGTAACCTTTGCGGCACATCAGGTGGATCATTGGGCTTGTGGGGATTCGGGCGTCCCGACGTCACGAGATCCAACGACTGAAGATTGCGTAGACGGACATGGCAAGATGCGATTGAACGAGCATGCTCGCTCTCGATGACCAAGGTGCGTCGCTTCATGGGATTTCGTTCGCATATTTTGCCCCATACCGGCATGATGTGCCATGTTGCTGAAGCACTCCCCGTCGCAACCCCTTGCAACTACACCAGGCAATAGGAGTGCAGGCGGATTCACATACCGATACCGTGGGTGCAAACAATGTGAATTAACGATTGCTCTACATCACTAAGGCTGTAGAAGTTTACATCATTGCCATGAGCCGGGAATCCCTTCAGGCAGCAGCCCTGAGAGTTTCTGGGGTAGAGTTGGAGCGAAGGATCGGGTGGAACTAGCTGGTGCAACGATGGAACTGCAACACAATTTTTCCTGCAATAGCACTGCAGAACTCCCCAGAGTGGCGAGCTACAGCGCACCTGGGGTAGTCACTTGCAACCGACAAAAGGAGACCGACAGCCGGAAATGTCCGTTATGAAGTCATCAGGAGTGTCCGATCGGCATGCGCTGCTAGTAACCGGGTGCGCGTGGCAGCTTGGATGGCTGAGGAAAGAGACGGCATGGTATCGCGGCCGGCAAAAAGCTTGGCCTGCATCACCGCTGCCTTCGAAGCTTCCAAGAGAAGTATGGCACGAGCTTCCCCAAACCACGTGGAGACTCACCAAGCACTGATCACCGCACAAGTACTGAGGGCTCTCTGAATCAGCGGAGGCATAGCTGAGTCTTGGAAGATGCTGCTACAGTGTCAGCCCAAGAGACTCTATCCGCGTGATGTAAAAGCCATCCAGTTGCCCGCCCTTTCAGTGCTGCCCTTTTCCACCCGCAACTTGCGCTGCCAACCCCACACTGCCGATTCAATTCAACAATCTCTTTCAAGATGAAGTCTACGACTGCTTTTATATTCGCCCTTGCCGCGTCTGCCAACGCTCTGGGTATCAACTGCCGCGGCTCCGGGCTCTGCCCATCGGACGGCGCGGCCGGAAACCTGATCAACCTCAAGGCTATTGTCGACGGCATTCAACCTCGCGGCCGCAGTTACAGCACCGGCCAGCAGATTGCCTGTACCGGCTCTCTCTGCGCCTTCTATCAGAATGGCGCTACCGGAACCGCTGAGCAGGCCTCGGGCTTCATGCAAGCGCTCCTTGACCACGGGGTAAGAGATCTCACGGATCCTAATATCACGATACTGACACAAAGGCAATGAAAGTGCAAGAAATGCGGGTCGTGCCCGACTCAACCTGGCAATGATGTCAAGAATGGTGAGCTCACGGTCAATATTGTTGGCGATCCTCATTGCCAGGGGGCGTGTTAGTTAGGCAATCCGCGGATGACACGGAGTGGAGGAAGGAACACAACCTTGTACGTGTAGGCTACCGGCAGCCGCAACAGCTAGAAAAAAGACAGACAGAAAAAATATTTGTTCACGTGATATATTCTGAGTTTTCGCGACGAAAATATGGATTCTTCGTCATTCGTCACCACGACGTCTGGTGGAAAGGTGGCCGCGATATGCGACACATTCGCCTCCTGGGCGCGGGACATGCTTGCCGTATATTCTTGCGGCAACGAACCTCCCCCAGTCGCCATGCAAGTGTTCACCCACAACAGGGCGTTTGTTGCACCCTCTCGACGCAGCCTCGACTATAACCCCACTAAGCATCGTTGGTGATCTACTTTCAGGACACGAATAGCCAATTCGGTCCATTGCCTCCTAGCCATTGCCGGAAGGAACATCTGCCGCAGGTCATGATATCAGATCTCCAGCGCGGGTGGAATCGACTAATAAGCACTAGTTTAGCACGATCCCGGTGCCACCAAGGGGCGCTCGGCACAGTGCCGTCCCCACACGCCACTTTGCGTCTCTGCAGTTGAGGCGGTATGGCCGACACCGTCAAGGTGCACTGCCGCTAGAAGAATACCACGCTGGCCGAGAAGCCGATGACGCAGTCGGAGTATCGTGGATGGGTGGTGCTCGAGCTTTGCCCTATGCTGCCCACGGCCCACAGTCCGCCACGCTAGGCATGCCGATGGATCACTAACGGAGAACCTCTGCCCATCTTGGCGTTACTTTGCGGCAGGAGCCAAGACGACCAGGGCAAGCGTCGATTCCTTCGTGTCTAGAGTCAAGCAGATCTGAAACGTGAAGGCAACACTGCTGATACTATGCCGCTTGAATGCCGGCGCAGCCGTCAGACTGCCCACCATGGGCGCATGACGTTGCGTTCGGCACACAGTCACAAGAATTAATTGGTGGAAAGATACAGAGTTCTCAAGGGAATAGTTGAAGGAGCTGGTGGCGGACCAAGGCCGTGACATTTGGACTTTGGAGTAGCGTGCGAAACCGCCCCTGGGCGTTGTCTTTACACCGTCGCCGACCTTCTGCCTTCCTCGGACCCGCAGGCAGCCGGTCTACAGCTCTTCACTGAGTGGGATACCAAGACGGCATGTCGAACACCGTCTGGGGCAGGCAAACTTTGTACCAGTACAAATGATACATGCCGCTCAGAATAGATGTCGGGATGGTGACGACAGGACGTTACTTCCTCGCCATAAAAGCCCAGTGCCCAAGCGGGACAGCTCCTTCCAGGTTCGACACGATATCTCAAAATTCCAGGCCACACAACAGCCATGCAGTTTACATCTATTCTCTTCTTTGCCTCGAGCGTCGCAGGACTCGGCATTAACTGCCGAGGCAGTGGTGTCTGCTCGTTCAATGATGCTTCCCTCACCACCGTACGCGAGCAGGTTGGCGTCCTCATCGCCGACGGCGGCGGTGACCGTCGCTTCGCAGAGGGTCGTATGTTTTGATCCTATTGACACGCGCCAAAGTGATTACTGATTACTGATTACTACGTCAGAACAAATTTCCTGTTCTCACGGCTCCCAGGGTAGCGTTTGTGCCTTCTACCAGAGCGGCGCCAGTGGTTCTGCTCGGGATGCCTACAACCAGCTTCAAGGCCTTCTTGACCACGGAGTAAGATTTCCCTTGCACCTTTCGACAGACAAAGCCACTGACAATCCCGCTGTGCAAACAATGCGGCAGCATCCCAGTTAATCCCGGCAACGATGTGTCGAAGGGGCAATTAACGGTCAACTACGTTGGAAAGCCCTGTTGCGAGGGGAACTGCCATTGCTGAGATTGTATATGGATGGTGGAGCGGTCTACGTACTGGGTTGGCGAAATTCTCCAGAACTCATATTCAGGCAGGAACGCTTTCGGTTCATTGAGCTTCTGGCGCGCCTTCCACTCCCCCATTGTTAGGCATGTGCCGGTTGATCCCCTATCTACTTAGGCTCATGACTGTGATCCCTCCAGTCACCCCCAGAGGACCGAGGCCTCCATGAAAGAATAGCTCGTGCGAGGGTAATTCTATTGAATAATCATCCAGGCTCAATTGTTCTATTCAGATTGCAAGGCCTGGCGTTCGTTCAAGCTACGCACATCGCATACAGTATTCTTGTCACACTCGGCTAAACTACATGGATGAACTCGACACGAGGGTCACAAAGCCCATCACAGGAAGAGCGCCAGCCCGATTGCAGCAGCGAGGCCGGAGACATAGAGTCAGTTCCACAAGGCCAATAGTACCTCATTAGGACGTGCGGAACACACGAGAGCATTCAAGGGCGAGAGTGGCAATCCAATTGGCTATTGGCTCCTGTCGCGAGGTTTCCAGGCTTGCCAGGGTCGCGTTGCTGGACGCTAATGCCCTATGCATGCCAGCCGCACGCTCGTACCACGTCGTCCAGTCAGCTGCCCCGCGATATGCGGCAATACGAGGTTCAGAGCGCAACTCTGATCAATATTCCTCCTAAACCGGATCTCGGACTGCGGGGATGGCCCCTAGGAGAGAGAGGCGGGTGGGATTTGTCCCGAGGGTCCGTAAGCATGTGGTCGGTAGCTGCCTTTATTTAAGATTAAGCTGAGGACGACCATGACGTTGAGGCGACGGGAAGCCAAGGAGACATTGCGATTTGTTCTCAACAGCAGAAACTCGTTTGAGAATCTTCCAGGGATACTGATGACATCGCAATGAAGACCCCTTCGCTGGTCTTTTCCGCCATTGCCGTGTACGTCAAGTCAAATACTGTGGAGGAGATCAACTTCTGACGTGCTCGTCACTGCAGGGCATCATTTGCTACCGCCACTAAGCCGAGTAAGCGTCTCGCAGAAGTGTTGCAAGGGTCACGGCATTAAACGAAACCAGCAACGACTAGGACCAGCAAGTGCGATCCCAGGGCCTGCGTTCCGACTGTGACGGTCAATCAGCACTTGAAGCCATCGGACGGCTGCACCGTACAGTGCTCAACGGAATGGTGCATTGAAGATCGTGAGTAGCTCAGAGCCAACTTTGGCCAAATGCAAGCGCTCTTAGGCAAGTCAGATCAGATCTCTAATGTGTCGTGATGCAGGACTCGTCACCTTACCCTGTGGCTGCACGACTGCCAGGAGCGTCGTAACCAAAACCCATACGTTTTGCCCAACGGCGCCGTGCTGGTCCTGCATGACAGGGTTCCCGTTCACGACGACTGCGGCGTGCCCAACATCTTCATCGACGCGGAAGTGAGGTGATTTGGGGGCTGCGGCATGTGTCGGAACGACTGCCGGCTTGCGGGTCCGAGCGCCACAAGGGTGATCGGGTTCGCTCCATGGTGCTCTGCAACAAAGGGATGGTCCATAGTCATCGCAGATGAAAACAATACAGAGGCCCGCAGTCTTAAGTAACCGAATTCTCGGGCCAACGAAGACGTGGTCGAGTACGGCAGTCGTGTCGAGACCTGACTTAAGACCCCCGCGCCTTTCCGTGCATGCTCTTGCCCTGGAGATTTATCGTCTGTGCATGCGGATTTCTTGACTTGCGCATCAGTAATGCAGTCGGCCATGCGAGCCTGCGTCTCTGCATGCGACTCTGTTTGCACGTGCATGCAGTGCCGTGTCGTCAAATCATCCAGCTGACGATTCGCGCGACATGAAACGGCCACTGGTCGCCCGCCCCGCTGCAGTTGGCGCGGTCATTGGTGCGTGGTTGCCTGGACAACGCGCCAACAGGCGGAAAACAGTGGAGCTCCTGCCCTCCCCCGGACGTGAGGCTGCTCCTTCCCTACATCGGCTCAACATTTCCAGATCGCCTCGATTGTTGTCTCACCTCATCTTCTTCCTCCCTCCACCGCCTCTCCGAGCTGCAGCAAGACGACACGACGGCCGCGACCGTGGATTTCTCTTCTCCTTGGATGGATTGCGACGCCGACACGCGCCCCGGAGCTCGATGACACGACCAGCGATGCACATGTAAACAAGCACAAGCGAGAAGCCCCGCGTGTTCACTACCCTCTACTGTCAACACCGCCCCGAGAGCCATCTCCCACCGCACATACCAGCAAACAGGCCAGGCCACGCTAGGTCAAGCAGGCACGGCCCTTCTCACCGGCTTGCACTTTCACGTTCCACCTCCGCCTTCGCGCGGCCGCTACGACAATGGACAACTCGAGCTATCTGTCGCAGCAGGTCAACAGCAGTATCAACCAGCTGCATGGCCTGTTTGACGAGATCGGCGTGCCCAACCATGAGCGCGAATCACGGGAGCAAGAGGTAAGTTGGACCCTCGAGGATGTTGCGACGCGCCACGCTGACAGCTAGGCAGCTCTTCGAAGCTCTCTCGGAAGCTCTCAACAACCAAGTTCGCCTCGTAACGGCGGAAAAGAAGGAGATGGTTGACGAGGCCAAAAAGATCATCACAACGATGCGGCAGATGGAGGCCTCCCTCGACGACTCGAAGCCATCCCGGAGATCGTTCGACGAGGACGACGAGCTCAAAATCACATACCCTCTAACGAGATGTCTCCAGGTGCTCAAAGAGAAGCACATACAGATCAGCCGCCTCCATAAGGAGCGCTTCGAGCAGGTCAAAAGTGAGTGCCCCTCGTCGCCTAATAAGGAGTCCCGTTTGCTGACAACGACAGAACTCGTTGATGCTCTCGAATCTTATTCTTCCCACCTCGAACCCACATTCGTTCAGGTCGCCCTCCCGCCGTGTGGGCCAAACCAGTCCATACCCCCGACCTTTGACCTGTCTCCATCTTACGTCGACCGCCTCGATGCCGAGTTTACGCGAGTCTACGAGGAATACACGCGCCGCATTGCCACGGTCCAGACCCTATCCAACCACATCATTCAGCTGTGGGCCGAGCTGGGCATCCCCCAGGCACAGCAAGATGGCGCCATCGTCAAAAACTACCGCGATACCCCCGAGCAGCTTGGCCTCCACGAAGAGGACATTGCCCGCCTCCAGTCGAAGCGTGATCGGCTCGCCGATGAGAAGAAGAACCGCGAGCGCAAGTTGCGCGACCTGAAAGCCGCCGTCGAGGCGCTCTGGGCAAAGCTGGGCGTTGACGGGAGCGAGACCAAAGTCTTTCTCAACCAGAACCGAGGTTGCGGAGTGCGACAAATCAATGAGTTCGAGGACGAGCTCGCACGGTTGAATGAGCTGAAGCGACAGAACCTGCACCTCTTCGTTGAGGACGCGCGCGTCAAGCTCCAGGATCTCTGGGATGCGCTTTACTTTTCCGAAGACGAGATGCTTGACTTCACCCCGGCGTTCTCCGATGTCTACAGCGATGCTCTGCTGGAAGCACATGAGCGAGAGGTTGCAAGACTTGAGGCGCTCAAGGAGCAGCGAGCTCCGACGCTAGCTCTCATTGACAAGCACAAGCAGCTCATCAAGGACCGCGATGAGTTGGCAGCCTCCAGTCAGGATGCCTCGCGGCTCATGATGCGTGGTCAAAAGGGCGAGAAGCGCGACCCCGGAAAACTCCTTCGTGAGGAAAAGATGCGCAAGAGGATAGCAAAGGAGCTGCCCAAGGTGACGGTCGAGGTGCGCAAGACGCTGGAGAAATGGGAGGACGAATACGGCCGACCATTCCTGGTGTTCGGCGAGCGATACCTCGACGAGCTGGAAACCGAAGAAAGCAAGAAGGCTGCGCCCTCGGCACGCTCCAAGACACCCGCCGGGCCGCCACCGTCGACGGCCAAGGCTCCCAAGTCGGGCGGTCTGACCAGGGCCAACAGCGCCAAGTCCATCCCCCCACGAACCATGACCAAGACGCCGACTGCAGGCGATCGGACGACGAAGAAGCCTGTAGCGAGCAACACCAAGGGAAGCCCGTCTCGAATCCCCGCGCGTGCGCCGCTGTCCAACTTGAAGCACGGAAGCAACTCGCCAGAGCGCAGCCGGCCAGAGTCAAGGGCTGAGATGTTGCGAAACGGGGCCCCGATCCGCGCTCCGCCGCCCAAGATGCGAGATCTCAAGTCAGTCCCCGAGTTGGAGACGCCAATGAACCCGTACAAGTCGGCTGGTCTCGGAAGCATTGTCCGCCCGATCGAGCCAGAGGACGTGTACGACGACAGGCCGCAGGCGGCAAGGGTGACGCGATCCAACTCGACGCTGTCTGGCCGCACGGCGACCAGCTACTACGACGATCAGCCATATGATGACCGGTACGAGGACCGGTATGAGTACGGAACAGTACGAGGCTACCCGCAAGCTCCGCCTCCACCGCGGCAAATATCCAACACGTCGACGGCCGTCTCCAACTCGGAAAACTGGGAGACGTACGACGACAACAGCGAGCCTGAGCCGGATGCATCAGAAGAATACTACGCCAAGGTCAGGGCGGCCCGCGGTAAGAGGTATGAGCCGGAGCAATGTCCCAGGCCCAATAGCCAATCCAAGCGGCTGCGCGGCGTCCCTCCGCCTGCCGGTTACAACGGGCCAGTGATGATCGATCAGGAGGGTAACCGCGTGATATCGGGCAGCGAGTGGACCGACGACGATGCCTTCTAATGGGCAACGTGGCAGCGGCCAGGCGTTTTCGCCTGGCAACGGCCACTAGTGACAACGTCGCATGTAGCCGGCTGGATTCTTACGAAGTTGACGACGATGCCGGACATCTCCGCAGCGACTATGGTCCGGAAAGACACGATTCCCACGGCTCATGGCGTTTGCAATGAACGTGTTACTGCTTGCCTTCTTGTCTACTCTTACCTCTGACAGAGGCATCTCTGTCGTCAAAGATGTGGAGCCTTTCCCTCCATGACTTCTTGTGTCTATTTGCTGTATTTATGGGAGTTTGATTCGGCGGGGTGTTGGCGCGTGCTTGAGGTGGCTTGAGCGGCGGTTGAGACTTGGAAAGGGTGGCGTCGTCCCTTGCTGGGTTGCCCTTATTGTCGGAACGGCGCGATAATGAGGCGTGGCTGCAAAGCGGCGTTGCGCGACGGGAGACGGCGGGCCGGCGTTTGTTGTTTGCTTGTACATGGAAGCTGGAGCCCTGACTTGATTTGAGACTCGCCGTATTGCAATTGACGAGCTTGACCTGTGCCTGTGCCCTTTGACGAACGTGATGCAAGGTATGTTGCCAGTGGGTTGGCGGGAGGGCCCCCGCAATGCGAAACGACGGGACGCCTTTGCTCGTGCCGCGGACTGCCGTGCGAGCGCCAAGAGCGGGAAGCTGGAGCAGCTCTGCTCGATACGAGGAGCTTGACGAGCCGTTACATCATCGGCCGTCGATGGTGGGCTGTTAGCGCTTCGTACTCTAGCATCCTTGGTACAGACTTGTGAGAGCGTGCTTGCTATTTGGAGATCTCATCCACAGCACTGCCCAGCGCACAATGGGTCTCTTATGGCGCCCAGGCTTCCGATTGCCAGGGTCCCGCCGGCTGCCGCGCGTTTATTAGGGGGCCGCCAGCTGAGTGACAGGCAGCGAATCGGGCGTTAGCGTGCCGCGCGCCGTTTAAGGGGCAGGTCCGCGCCCCGCGCCAACTCGGGATGGGCGGGAAGCAGCGAACGGTTGGAGTTCCTTCCCTCCCGTCGTCAGCTCAGCCTAATTGAGCATCATCCGCTGCTGAGGCATCCATCGTCTGACTTTCGCTCCTCCAGCTCTCCCTGCCACCGACCTCGTTCCTTCCAACAAGCCTTTGAGCTTCTATCCGACGAGTCCGGCCCTCGAATTTGCCCCCATGTCGCCTCCACGGCTCCCGTCTTCCCGGCGATGAATCCCGCGGGCCTAGCAGCACCGCCGTCGTCGTCGTCCGCCTCCCCCGACAGCGCGACCTCGTCCGCCGCCGCGGCCGCCCTCCGCGGCGCGTCCCTTGCCTTTCAAAAGACAAGACCCGCCGCGTCGTCGCCGCCGACCCAGCCGCACGAGAGGAGGGGCGGCCATGCCGGCGGCGCGGCGCTCTCGGCTGCCACGGGGGCTGCTTCGGCGTCGGCGTCGGCGCGGTCTAGATCTCCCGCTCGGCCCGGCGGCGCCCCTCGTCCACACGGTACGGGAGGCAGCTCGCCGGCAGAAGTAGAGGCTGCGTCGGCGGTGGCTCACGTACCGCCTCACGGGCTGGTGGCGGCGCGTCTACACCAGCTTGGGGGTCCCTCGTCGCCGTCATCGTCATCGCCGTCGGCGCCTCTATCCGCTGCTGTCCAGGCGCAGCACCATTTGCTTCAGCAGCAGCATCAGCAGTCGCCGCACCTTCACTTCCCGGGCGGTGGCGGCGGCAGAGCTATCGATCCTAAGAGCCCGAGCTTCATTGCGGCGACGCTGGCGGCGAGCCGCAGCGTGAGCCCCGGGCCCAAGATGGCGGCCCCGGCCTTGCGACGCAAGGCTAGCGCCGGGGCCGCGAGCACGCTGAGCGGCGGGAGCGACGCGCCGGTCGATTCGGGATCCATTGCGCCGACGGGCTCGCTGATATCCATGTTTGAGCGGAGCGGGAGTGACTCGGCCAAGAGGGCATCGCCCACGGGCAACGTCGTCGGGAGTGCAGAGGCCCAGCGGATAGCCATGGGAAGATATATGGCTGCACCGCCGCGAACGCTCCCGAGTCCGCGCCCTGCGACGCCTCCGCCGGCGACCACGGTCAAACCGAACAAGAGCAGCGAGGCCGTTCCGAGGCAGCCGCTTACTCCTCCGCCGCCCATCACCGCACAGAAGTCGGCTGCTGTGTCACCTGCCGTGTCGCAGCCAAAGGAGCGGCGTGTCAAGAGTCGGTCGGTCGATGCTACGGGACCGAGGCCGGAACCGAAACCGAAGCCGCAGGAGCCCAAGGCCCGACAGCCGAGCCCGACGGCTGCCATGGACGCCCCCGTACGACCTAAACCAGCGCCGGCCGCCAAGCCGGCAGCCGTCGAGCCCCTTGTGCGACCCAGACCAGAGCCGGCCGCCAAGCCGGCGAGGCCGCCAGTCAAGCCGCTGAGGATACAACCCCCGACGGAGCCTTCCGTTGTTCGTTCGACTCCCGAAGTGCTCTCGCCGACGCCCGTGAGGCCTGTCAAGCCGAGCTTGACGCCAACCGTCGTCCTGTCGCCTCAGGGATCGAGGGCATCGCCGCAGGTCTTGTCACCCCCCTCGCCCTCTCCGGATCCGCAGAAGCGCAGTCCGAAGCCCCAGGCCAAGGCGCGGCCTCCCACTCCACCGAAACCGCGCGGCAGTCATAGACTCGCCGCCCCGGAGCCCTCGAGCGGCACGAGACCGCGCGCCAGCTCCCACACATCGAGAGGGCAGCCGAAACCTGAAGTTTATGGACCCTCATCGCCCCGTGGGTCGCTAGGGCTCGCGATGAGGGGGCGTCTGACGCCGCCGTCGCTGCCCACGCGCCGGCTGTCGGTCAGTAGCGCTCCATCCTCGCCGGCCATGGACATACCCCGACGCCACGCCCCGAGTTCTTCGCCAAGCAATCTCCAGTTAGATTCACTCACCAGCGCCATCATGGCGGGCTCTCTGGCGTCAGCGCGCCTGACACCGCACAACACGGGCTCGTCGATGCCTCCACCGAGCCTCCCCAAGCGGCAGAAGTCACCGCGTCTCCTCCAGACGCTACGCCAGCCGACGAACCAGCAGGACGAGGATTCGGAGCGCAACCAGCCAAAGGGTCACCGGCACAAGCTGCAGCGCGGCAAGCACAAGCACCACGAGGGCTCGCGTAAGCGCTGGCGCGAGGAGATGCTGCCCCGCGAGCGCAAGCGGTACGAGGCCGTGTGGGCGTCGAACCGCGGCATTCTGCTCGAACAGGACAGCCCGACGCGGAGCGTGGCCAGCGGTATCGGGCAAGACGCGTCGCAGTACGTGGCCAACGTGGTGGTGCGCGACATCTGGAAGCGGTCGAGGCTGCCCGAGGACGAGCTGGCCGAGGTCTGGGACGTGGTGGACCGGGAGCGACGCGGCAGGCTCAGCAAGCAAGAGTTTGTGGTGGGCATGTGGCTCATCGACCAGAGACTTAGAGGGAGAAAGATCCCGCAGAGGGTCACGGACAGCATGTGGGGGAGCGCCAACGGGGTGATGGTGAGGCCGCCCAAGGGGAGGTGACGATGGGCCGTGACGGGGCTGTCGTGTAACGCGACACGACAGGCGTGGGTGGCAGCGAGTTGCGCGATGGTCGGCAGAGATGCCTTTTGCGGCGAGATACCCTACTGCAGCATTGCCCGTTTGTATACAGTACGCATGTGCATTGCATTACTATACCTAATCGATAGAAGTAGACTCACTTGCGTTTGCACCTTTGCAAACAAGAGAACTCAAAACTACAAACGCCCCATGCCTGCCTGCCGTGGTATGGGCGAGGCCAAAGTGTCTATGCCGCTGCCCTTTTCCGTTTGCGCGCGCACGTCCCATCCATCCGTCATCCGAGCGTTCGAACACCCATCCTAGGAGTTTTACCCATACCCCATGCACACGTTCGTCCATTAACCCATCTCATCCACATGCACACGCATACGCAACCGATACCTGCTGGTCTGTGTCCTCACTACATACCTAGGCAACCTTACGGCCGGCTCGAGACGTACTTGTCGCTCGTGTGGTCGCCGAGCGTGACGCTGACGTTGTACAGGCTCAGCTGGGGCCAGGCGACGGCGCCGTAGAGGCTGGTGAGGCTGGCCTTGACGATGGCGTGGCCGAGGGGCGCGTCGGCGGGGATGGTGACTTTCTTCTTGAAGTCGTGGAGCTGGTTGGAGTCGCCTGCGTTGGGGTCACACCACCCGTCCGTTAGTCGCCACGCGTGCCTTGCACTTATAAACCAAGCAAAAAAGAAGAGGGAAAGGGAGGAGCAAGGGATTTATGGGCAACGCACCCTTGCCGAGGCAGATGGAGTTGGCGACGACGCCCAGGCTCTCCGGGTAGCCGTCGCCGGGGGCGTAGCCAAAGACGATGGCGACGTCGAAGACGCTCTGGATGTAGTTTTCGCTGTGGATGATGGCGTCGAAGGTGTCGCCGGGCTTGATGGTGTCGGGGACGGCGATGCCGGTGATGCGCGCGTGGGCGAGCGAGAGGAGCGTGGCGGCTGCAATGAGAGGGCGATACATTTTGATGTGTCTTTTGGCTGTTTGTTACTGGTTTGTTCTATGTCTTGTCGACTCCTCGTCGTTAAAGAGATGTGTAATTCTGATCTTTTGCAATTGAGAGTCGATGAGGGTTTTATGACGGCGCGCTGGGCTGAGTGAGTGGCTGTCAAGACAATGGTTGAATGGATGGATAGATGCTCTGATGGAGACGATGAGGAGGAAGAGGGGTCAATGTGGTGGTTGTGACCTCATCCTATTTATCAATTATCAATTCAATGCGCCGCCGCCGCCCGGGAGCTAACATGGAAATCGATCGTCAATCCCCCCTCCCCAGTCCATCTACTATTCCTGGACACGGGGCGCACGGACAGCTGGCCGCGGCAGGTAATTGCCGTCAGCCGCTCTCGCCCACGCCCACGGGTGGCCCTTCGAGGACGGCGGCGGCCATCACCAGCCAGTGATTTCCGACCACGGGGTCGAGGTGAGGGGAGGTGAGAGTGAGCCTCAGCCTCTTTGCTCCTACGCACGCACGCACGCACGCAAGCACGCAATGGTCGCTAGGTGGCCGGTCAACTGGGCAGTGTTGCGCTATGGTGAGATTGTGAGAGAGAGAGCGCGGCCCACGGGCGCGCGCGTGTGTGACGTTGCGCTTGCTTTCATAGCCAACCAAGGACGTCAACCGCCCTGTCGTGAGCCAGGTCCCGGTCCCGTCAGCGGCCGTTTCGCGGCGGCTATACTCGCTCTGACAGCCGCACTGATCCAGTTGGTGGTGGTTTTACTGTCCGAGGCTACGTAAACGGTGGCCGGCCGAGGGCGGCCTGGCCGATCCCGCGTCTGACGTTGTAGGGAGAAGAAGGCTCGTATTGAAGTTGGGCGGCTGTATACTTCCTTTGCCGCCGCCGCGGGTCGGGGCATATCCGTGTCTGTTGGGGTGTTTCTGCGGCTGTTCAACTTACAGCCCGTATTGAACGGTACAAGGATTACATCCTTTGGTGCAGTGCGTGCATGCAGTCAATGGCACATATTCGCGCCGGCCATGGGCACCAAATACTGGAGACAGCAGGGGGAGCTGGCCTGGCCCTCCTGCCGATCACATCGTATTCGCAGGCACATCTGCGGCATTGGCAGTAGACATTGTTTTTTTTTTTTTTTGCGCTGCAGGCTGCCAGCTGCGTCGGATCCCAGCCCGCAAGCGCAGTCTTTATGCATTAGCATGGGGTTGCATCGCTGGTTCGGCCAGTTGACGCGGCCGCCGCTGGCGCCGGGATTCGGGATCAACTGCCGGGGGGGAAGCACGGATGGGCGCGAGAGGTTGCGGCGCTGTCTCACAGCACAGCCAGGCACACACGCTAACATGACAGGCATATGTGCATTATTACGCCCACAGCTCCTGTAGCTCGATGCGCTGGCAGCGTCGAAATAAGCGGTGGCCTCGCCCCGTCCGTTGGAGCATGGCACCTTTGTGTGCCGCCGGGTCGCATGCCTACGGAGACATGCGTGCAGGAGAAAGGGCTCTATGCACGACGCATTGCAACGTTTATATTGTGTCTTTGGGGGCTTTTCAGCTGCAATACACGGGTCTAGATCTGAGAAGGCGCCAGAAAGTGCGGGTTTCATTGCATACATGCCACGGCTGTCAAAGTCCGTGGATCCCGACTTGGTTGTACCAACGTTCGCCAGCATGGTACTAGCCACATGGCATTGGGGTTAGATCACTGTCAACGACATTGTAACTACGTAGCATGGCATCGGTCCCTCAGCTGTCAATTCGGCACCACTTGCTCTTGCGAGACTGCTTACTGAATGCTCCCTCTCTCTGTATCGCAGCAGCGCTGTCCGTAGACACACCACGTCCAAGCCGGGCGAGCCGATAGCATCACTGTCCACAATACTCTGTGATTTTGGCGTGCGGACAAACTTGCTTTCAAGACTGTATCCATTGCAAAGGGCAAGAGGCAGCCGGCCGGCCGGCAGCAGTCCTCGCAATGTAGTCTCTCTTACGCCTCACCCTTCAGTGAGGTAAGGTCCCCCCTGCCGATCGGGGGACAAGCCGGACAGCCGACCATCCGACACCAAGTGCGTGCCTGCAGCAGACAACCTTGCACCAGCCACACAACACGGACGGCGGGAAATCGCCTGAAATTCGTTTCATCGGCGCGGCATGTGCGTTCCCTTGTCGGCTGTCTTTAGAGGATTCATGTATTCCAGCGACCGCATGCACTGGCATCGCCCTTGCTGTCTGCCAGCAATCGCAAAGGCATGGCGGAATTGTGCGACGACCCGCGCGTGGCACGGCTCGTCGGCGCTTTGCAAAGACTCAATGTCAGACAAACGTGTGGACGCCTTCGGAGTTTAAAAAAAAAAAGGTTCGAGAAAGATAAGGAGGAAATTCTTATGACCGCTTCCCACGCCAACACGCCGTTCAAGAGCCCTATTTCTTTGGTCCCGCGCGCCCGCGTCGCATGCAGGCCGCCGCCGTCCCGGCCGGATCGCCGCGCCGGGTGGGTTTCCCGCGCCGGCGGAACGGAGCGACATCCGAGCACATTGCCGTCTTGGGAAAGTCGAGCCGGCCCGAGGGTCCGGGACGCAGCGCTCTTTCCTCTCTCACTCGCTCCCTCGCCCGGGGCGCCGGGCTGCGGCCGGCCAGTTTCGCTTCTGCAGCCCTGTGAAAGCATAACTTACTTCATCCAATTCCCAACGCTGCGATCGATGGCCCTGGGCGTGAAAGTGGTGGTGGAGGGCAAGCGTACTTATCCCGCGCGCCCGACGCGACAGCAGCTCTGAACCAGCGCGCTTCGCTCTCACCTCGAGCCTAAGAGGAGGCGGTTCCCTCGCCGCATCGCACTTGTGCTTGTCCGCAGTCGCTGTCCAGGACCGGGCCTCCATTCTAACCAGACGCGCACGCGTCGCAGCTACTCTACTTCGGCGCGTACACGAACCACCCGCTCCCCCGCGGAGTCGTGACGCTGCCACTCGCTGCGTTTGCAATCGAGCCACCCGCCGGCCATGGCCGTCGCACCGCATGCTCCCAATCCTGAATGTCGCTGTCGCTGTCACAGCCACAGTCGCTGTCACACCACGCGCTCGCTCATGCCCGGTCCTTGCACGTCAACCCCGCCGGAACCACAATGCGTGCGTGCGTGCGTGATCAACAGGGCATCTTGGGGTATACGCATGTTCGGTAAAAAGTATAATAGCCGACTTGCATGTCTCAGATGTGCGGGCGCAAAGCACGCGCACACACAAGGCGCGCCCTCTGCCCGATGCGCGCCGATTTTACATGAGAGACGAAAAAAAACGGGGCCGGCTGTCATTCGACTCCGCGCGGGTGTTGGGGTCCCTGCATTGCATCGTTTTGACCCCAAACTGTGGGGTCGCGAACCTGCAACCGCAACCGACTCGTCCAACGTCGTGTGAGTTACCCCACGACGACGACGACAACGACGACGACGCGACTTCATCTAAAGCGATTCTTCTGTCCTTATTTGTTATTGATTGTCTGTCAAGACGGGACGACAAGGGACGCGTTACTGCTTGTCATCGTGTCGTGTCGAGTCGCTGGCTGCGTGGAGCTCTCATCGCCCGCATCGCGTGGTCAAGCTCTCAAGCCCCCCGAGATCGGCATCGCGACAACCCTCATCCTGCACCTGGTTCCGTGACGCTGTTCCAGCAATGGTGCCCTGGCCGCGGCCGCTCTACCGCCCTCTCGCCGCCTCCCTCTCCCGACGACACCTCTTGTCCTCTCATCCCACTCCCTCCGCCAGCTTCACCATGTCGCACCACCGCCACCTTCTCCCGGAGCAGCAGCAGCAGCAGCAGCAGCAGACTCAGTCTCAGCCATCTCAGTCTCACGAGTCTCAACAGCAACACCCCCCCTGGCTGCAGTCCCTCCTCGCGGACTCCTCCCCGCCGCCCAAGCTCTACGCGTGGACACCCGCCAACCTCGATCCCTCCACCTCGTCCGCCACATCACCGTCGTCGTCATCACCACCACCACCATCAGGAGCAGACGACCTCGACCGCCGCATCTTCGTCCTCGGCGTCGGCAACATCGGCCGCCTCTACGCCAGCCACCTCGCTCGCCACGCTCCGGACCCCCCGCCCATCACCCTCGTCGTCCACCGCCCGGAGCTGCTGGCCCAGTGGGCCGCCAGCGACGGCGGCATCGAGATAACCACCCTCGCGCACAACTCTTCGCCCTCTTCTTCCTCCCAGGATCAGCAGCAGCAGTACGTCCACCGCGCCAAGGCCCCCTTTGACATCGAGTTCTGGTCCGACGCCCCCCCGACCCGCGGCCCCGTCCGCGAGGTCGCAGACTCCCGGCCCATCCGCAACCTCCTCATCGCGACCAAGGCCTCGGCCGCCATGCCCCAGGCCGACCGCCTCCGCCGCTACCTCGACGCCCGCTCCGCCGTCGCCTTCGCCCAGAACGGCATGTCCAAGCTCTGGCCCCCGCACGGCCTCGCCTACGTCGCTGCCCGCTACCCGCGCCCCGGCTCCGCCCCAAGCTTCCTCGCCTGCATCACCGGCCACGGCGTCTACTCGCTCGGGCCCTTTCGCAGCGTCCACGCCTCGCCCGCCGGCGCCACCGTCGGGCCTGTCCTGCTCAACGCCGCCGCGCCAGCGTCCTCGCCTTCCGGCCAGGGTAACGACCGTCAGTCCGCCGCCTCGTACCTCACCGAGCGCATCGCCTCCGCCCCGGGCCTCGACTGCCGCGCCGTGCCCTCCTCCGAGCTCTGGCTCCTGCAGCTCGAGAAGCTCGTCGTCAACTCGTCCATCAACCCCGTCACCGCCATCCTGCGCTGCAAGAACGGCGCCCTCTTCGAGTCCCGCGCCGAGACGGACGGCCTCGCCCGCCTCTTCGACCGCCTCCTCGGCGAGACGAGCGCCGTTCTGCAGGCCCTCGTCGGCCACCCCAGCACCGCCGTCATCCTGCGGCCACAGCAGCAGTCGCATGGGTCTGCATCCGCACCCAAGGACCGCCGCGGCGCCGTCTCGTCGTCGCCCGACCTCGAGGCCCAGCGCGATGCTCTCCGCGCGCGCTTCTCCCACGCTCGCCTGCGCGACTTCCTCTACGACTACGGCTCGCGCGTGGGCGACAACACGAGCTCCATGCTTCAGGATGTGCGCGCCGGCAAGCCCACAGAGGTCCGCGACTTCAACGGCTGGATCGTCGACATGGCCGACTTTCTCGGCATGCCCGACGCGGTCCCCACGCACAGGGCCCTCGTCGGCCTCGTCGAGGACGCCGCCGCGCTGACCAAGGACGAGCTGGCGGAGAGGGTCGGCGTATGAGATTCCGTGATCCTTTTGGAGTAGGTCCGTAGGTCTGCTCGCTCACGGGTGCTGCCGCCGTGGCACGAGATAGTCTGTCATGGTTTCACGTGCTCGACCCCATCTCAAGGGGCTGCCTCGACAATAATATCAAACATTTCATCTCTTGGCACGAAGCCACCCCTTATTTCAATAGACAACGCCGACGTGCGTCATACCACGATTACAGCGTCGGTAGTACGCTCTTACCTCCTGTTCCGCATGCTTCGGCCCTCAACTCCAATTCCAGCGACCGTTGGCCCGTCCCAATCTATGTACTTTTCCCGCCCAGTTTCAGACTATTTTTGCTCGCTGCACTCGCCGCCGTGTTTCGGTCGTCTCGGTAAAGTAAAAAGAGAAAACAAAGAAGAGGAAGCTGTCGAGTTTTCGGTGTGTCGTCTCGGGGTAGAAGATGCCCGATCTCTGTTGAATCGCAAACGCCTGTGGCCCCATATGCCTGCCTCCTGCTCTCCGAGTTCGCTAACATCATATCAACGTGGCAACCGTCTTGTTGAATTGCTCAATTTTCTGCGTGTCCGTGGCTCGTCGGGACCGCGGCCCTCACCATGGCCGCTGGGTCTGCGGCATCTCCATAGACTCTGGCAGCGACGACGCCTTGGGCGACAACGACTGCCACAGCGGCTCCTCGGCCTCTTGCTCGTCTCCACCGGTCGCGAGCTGCTCGGACCGCTCCCGGCACGCCGCCGGCGTGAATCCGGAGCCGACCTTGTGCGCGACTATTCGCCATTTTTCATTCTCGTAGTCCTGGAGCGCCTTGCGAAGTTTCTGGTCCTGCACCCGACGCGTCAGCTTCCGCAAATCAAACAAGTGTTTCAAGCCACTCGACGCTTCAGGGGCAGCCGCTTCCAGTCACAAAAGTGGCATTGGGTGCTACTTCATATCGGGGCCGAACGTACCATTTCCTCCGTCCACATCGTCGTTTTTGCCTTGAGCTTCGTGCAGTACCGCACCTGTAGCGTCCCAGAGGACCGCCCCGGGAAGAAATCTGCAATCTGCTTCCACGTCAGGTTTTTCTGCTCCTTGAGCTCCAGCAGCAGCTGGTCGTCCTCGGCCGTGAACTTGAGCTTCGGGCCTCTAGGTCTCGGTGCCGGCGGCGGCATCCCGGCCTGGCCGACCATGCTCGGCGCGCCGCCTATATCCTCTCTCCGCATCGATTTTGACGAAGGCCCGAGGTCTGGAAGGTGATGATGATGGTGCAGCTGAGGCTGTTCTTGATGGCTTGCCGCCGCTGCCGCGGCGGCAGCGGCCGCCTGCCCGTACGCCTCGCTCAACGAACTGGCTTGCACGCTGTCCAGCCCGGACTGGTCCACCATGGATACCCCCGCAACAGAAAGGTCGAATTCGTCGGTCCGAGACCTCTTGGCCGCCGGTGCGCTATACGGGGCGTACGGGGACTGCGTGGGAGACGACACCGCACCGTATAGGGGCGTCGACACCGAACTCGCCGCCCCGAAGTGGACGTGCGAGAGCCGGTGCCCGTGCATATGGTGGCTCGGGTCCATCGCTACTTGTCCCTCAGCTTGCTTCTGGCCCATGGGCACGACCGAACGGGTCGGGAGATGGCCATGGGCTGACGCCCCCGGCGGCGTGTTCGGTCCGGTGGCGGCAACCCCTGGGTGGTGGATAGAGCCTCGATGTTGTCGCTGCTGTTGTTGCTGTTGCTGCTGCTGCTGCTGCTGTGCTGGATAGGGAAGTTGCTGCTGCTGGTGGGTTTGATGCTGCGTCTGCTGCTGGGGATGGTGGTGATGGTGCGGCTGCTGGTGATACGGGCTTGCGTGATGCTGCTGATGCTGGCCAGGCTGCGACGACGAGTACGCATGTTGTATCTGCTGACCGAGGCCACCGCCGTGCGAGGCGTGGGCAGCATAGTCCACGCCGTACCCCCCGACGCGATAGTTGTCCGCCAGCGTGACTCCGGCCCATGGGTCCCGCCAGAGCGGACGGCTCCGGACGGCTTCCAGGCTGTGTTGAGAGACTTTCTCGATCAAGAGGTTAGGAGAGGAGGCCAGGGAGAGATGCCCTCTCGGGCTCCGTCGCCAGAAGCGTCTTTTCTGTGCTCTGCTCCTGTGCCCACGGGCAAGGCACCTCGGTCGCAGATGTCAAACACCGGACGTGACTGCAAAAAGCTTTCGGCCTGATCAGTGTGGTTGTTCGGAAGTGCGGGTGCGACACGGTTCCGACAGGGGGTGGGCTCGATTGTTGTTGTTCAACAAGGCGGGATAGCTATTCGACACGCGGTGCAAGCCACTGCCGAGCCAGTAATCCAGTGGATGAACTGGCCGTGCCGCTGACCAGCTCCGGCCGCACTGCTGTGCTATCGTGCCCGGCCGGTTGCTGGTAGGCTAGCGTCCCTCGGGACGAGGACTTTGGGCTGCCAGGCGTGCAGTCACCCCGTCCAGTAGGAGCCGCTGGCACTGGCGAGATTTTCTGTGGCGACGACCGGGGTTGGGCCTCGGAGGGGGCACGAGGTGTCGGCGAATAGGATCGAGAAGGGTACTCGAGCCTCCGATGGCGGTCTAGAAGCCCTCGGTGAAGTATGGTTGAGAGGGTGTGGCTGGTTAATACCTTGCTCTGCCCACGTCTGAGTGCACTCGTCCCGCGTACGTATGCCGTTCCCCTCTCCGTCCGCGCCGTCGAAAGCGGTCTGTATACTCGAGGGCCAAGGCGATATTAAAGCCGAGATGGGATCTGGTAGTGTCCCAAGGCGGCTGACTGGCAAAGGGGGCCCTCG